ATACCAGTACCTAATTACCACGCAGCTACCTTGTCGATGGCAATGCCTATTTCTTTACAGCTGTTGATGTTTCCCGTCGATTGGAATACTTGAACAGCACAAGGACTGTGGTGGTGGGCATTGGATACCCGCCCAGTAAATATGTCTATGACTTCCGTCGTGGCCCAGATCTTACACCACCAGCCGATGAGTATGACATGCCGCTCGACAGATATGGCAAGCCTCGTACCGACATCTCATTCGGCGAGGCCAATGAATTCCTTGATTGGATCAAGGCCGATGTTATGCCATATGTGGAGGATAAGCTCTTTCCTAAGGCTAATCTTCACACCGGTCGCAAGGCTCTCTTTGGCCATTCATACGGTGGCATCTTCACCCTCAACACAATGTTCACTCAACCAGAGCTCTTCAACACTTATATCGCTGCCAGTCCTGTCATTTGGTGGAACAAGGACTTTTTGATTCGCGAGCGTGAGACTGCTTTTCTTGCACGCGACAAGCCCGTCGACCCTCCATTTTCGCTGGCTCTTACATGGGGTACCGGCAAGTCAGAGTTGGTGAGGGAGCCTGACGATGATGATGAAAAGTGGTACAAGAGACAGAACTGTGCGGAAGACGATAAAATGAAACCAAGTGCAACAGCTTTGGTGTCTCGATTGAAGGGTTGCCCGAGTGTCAAGAAAATCTGGACGCGTGAGTTTGAGGGCGAGGATCACGGAAGTGTTGCGGTGACGGGTCTTCAGCAGGGACTCATGCAGTTCATTCTTGGCAAGATTTAAATATAATTGAAGATAGAATTGATAGACTTAAATTTGAGCTAGCGCATGCAAGTGCGCACATCGTATTATCTCCTCATCGCCAATGCTGTTGGATCGGAATGTGTATAGTGCTGGTCTAACAAATGAACACTTCAATCGAGAGCCCCCAGTCAGATATCACCATCGCGAGGCAGCAGAAGAACATGATTCAATAACTGCAAATGCTTTATCCTATAGGATGCAAATACTTTGGCTGTTGTGAGATGCCAAACAGTGTCCCCGCGACAAGTTTGTCTCCAAAGCACGCGTCAACATGCTTCATACGATGAACTGGATATCAATCTGGCGACCCGATGATAAGTCTAGCGGCCGAGACAAGATCACGAGCAACTATCACAGACTGCTGGACATTGAAAGTCAAATAACAAGGCATATAATGCCATACCGCCGGGGCCACAATGCCCCCATCATTTATTACGATTGTCTGCTAGGTACTAGGTATATAACATCATATAACATTACTCTTCCACCATAATTTTGTTTGAGATCAATCTGACCGTATAATCCAAGACAGTCCAGTCTCTTAGAAGACAGTACCCTTGGTCTGCTTGATCTTCCTGAGATCGTAGTTCTTGATCAAGAACAGCGAGATAAGAGCGACAGCCATGATACCGGTTCCGGCAGCAAGCATGCGAGCCTGGCCATAACCGTAAGCCTTCTGGATAGCAAGACGCTCGGGGCTTCCAGGCTCATAGATGAGCTGAGAGTCGAGGGACTCGTAGATGGCGTCGATATCAGCCTGGGCAGACTCAGGAAGATACTCGGCGAGCTTCTTGTAGAAGGTGTTGGTCCAGATAGTGGCAGAGATAGTGTTGCCGACAGCAGATCCAATGTTGCCAGTGACGCTGAGGGTAGCCAGGGCAGTAGCAACATACTGATGCTCGACGGCAGCGAGGATACCGACTTGCATGCAAAGAATGAAGGTAGCGCCAGCAATGGAGATGAAGACCTCACACATGACGAGGTAGCCAATGGACTGACCAGGGCGACGGAAGTAGATCATGAGACCCTGAGCGAACATGTACAGAGGAATACCGACGCACAAAATCCACTTAAAGCGACCAGTCTTGTGCATGGCATAACCGACGATGAAGAGGAGGACACCAGAGACGATCTCAAAGGTGTTGCTGACATAACCAGCGCTGGAGGGGGAAAGGTTGTTGACAACCTGAAGGAACGAGGTGAAGTAGCTGTTCCAGCAGTAGTAGGCGATCATGTAGATGAAGTCCAAAAGGCAGACACCGATAACGGTGCGGCTGGTAAGAAGCTCGAAGCGAAGGAAGGGCTTGGGGGCAACGAAGCGCTCGTAAGCACCGAAGATTGCCAAAAGAACAACGCCCAGGATGATCATCGCAATGATGTAGGGAGTGTCCCAGCCCTTGGGGGCGCTGCTAGCGATGGAGAAGGGAAGGAGAAAGATGACAAGGCCAGCAGCGAACAAGAAAGCGCCAGCAGCATCGAACTCAATGAGTCCCCACTTGATGTTCTCCAAGAAAGATCGACCGCTAGACTCGCTGACAAGGAGACCCTGCTTCTTGGCCTTCTGAAGGTTGTACTTCAGGAGAATGTACATGGGGATGGCGACGACGGGGAGGACAATGGAGAATGTTCCAAAGCCCCATCGCCACTGATCACCGTTTCGGAGGAAGGCCTCGGCAGACTTGGGACCAGCGAAGGCAGTGATCATGTAAGGAGAAGAGGTGAAGGCGTATGCAAGACCTCGGTTCTTGAGTTGTGTGGAATCGGCCGTGATAACGTCGATGCTGTAGGTAAGACCGGACCAGCCAACCTGCCAAAAGACCTTGGAGGCGTTAGTAAATGCGTGTGTTATTGCTAGAGACTGGACAATGACTTACGACGGCGGCACAGTAGGTGGCGAGGTTTCGGCTAGCAGCCATCATGATCATACCAACGGTAGCAAAAATGACCATGAGGAGGAAGCCTTCAGCACGACCCCAGATATCGAGGATCTTGGACAGGGGAATGTAGACAGCAGCAGTCATGCAGTTGGCGACGATGCCAATGACGGGAATGAGAGAGTGAGACTCCCACTCACTGCTGGCGTAGGGAACAAGAGTGTAATTGATCTGACTCTGGAAACCGTTGGTGAGGTAGATCAACCACATGCTACGAGGCTGTTAGTACACGACCTCAATTGCGACAAGACATAAACATACAAGATGAAGACACCAGCAAGAGCCTTCTTGCTCCAGGCCAGAGTTGTGGCCTCAACGGTCTTGACACCATGCTGCGCGTTCTCGGTAACAGCATCGCTGGCGCTACCAGTCTCATCAGGATATTTGCCAGCCTCCTGATCCTTTTCGTTCATGGCAGCAGTGACAGTGACGGGTGCCTCAGCGGCATCACCCTCATTGCCCTTGCGCCCAAGGATCTTGTCGAGAGCTCCCATGGTGATCTTGTCTTTAGGAGGATAAAATTTAAGCTTAAGCTTTGGGAAGACAAGGAAGAAGAGAGGCTCAGCAGATCATGGGAGGGAAAAGCACACGGTTATAAGTTTAGATTGACAGGGAAAATTTTAAAGCATTTGTCTAGAGCAAGGGTGCTTTTGGCTAGACTGCGAAGGATATTAGACGCAATCCACTTTCCATCAGATAAGATCAGGTCTCTCAGGTGGCCAAATCCACCGAGATCGGGCTCGTTTAAGGACATTGGGGATTGGGAACCAAAAGACAGAGAGAGAGAGAGAGAGACAGACTGGAGATTCTCGGAACGCGAGGGATCCAGCGGCTGCAGCCACTTTGTCGTTAGCACAGGCCTGGAACGCACGAGTTACCGGGTTTGTAAGTGGGGGGTTCAATTCGGAGGGCGTCAAGCAGAGATTTCCATTATCTAATCTGATTGATCGATTAGATCGAATCAAAGTTTGTGCTTCATCGGTGAAATTCCTTTTGTTGGGCTTGATCCGTGTTGTATTTATCGTATTGTGGGATCTTGATTCAATCTTGATGCACTTTGGAGCATCGCTTTGTACAGAGAAGACAGGGTTCGCTGGGAGTTGCTGAGGCCTCACTGTAACCTCCGCTTTTACAGCGGAACCTCCCCATTTCGCATCCCACTACTTTCTTCAGCTTTTGCCTCTGGCGTGGGATTGTATTACTTAGAGCCAACCAACTGCGTGATCTTGGCACCATAATACAAGGATTCCCATCAGGCGTCTTTTGTCATGTTCAACCAACACGTCGGAGCACTACAAGACGTCGTTAAAAAAAAACCCTGCATCAGCTGTCGACGTTCCATGCTTGGCAAACTAAAAACCCATCGGAAGCTCGCCGTAAAAAGCCCATTTTTCTCTCTTGGCAATCATCAATAACTTCCTCTTGGCAAATACAGCTCCATTGCTCATCATCAGTAGCCCTACAGACCATGCCCTTTTATGGCCAAGACTGCATAACGAGGCTTGATTCTGGCCTCACAACCAGCGGACCAAACGCCACAAGGGGTCAAGTCCTCCAGGGGTCGGGTGCCTCAACCGCTTGAGCCGCGGGTTGTGGGAGAAGAGTCACTCCACTGAAGGTCGTGAGACCGGACCCCTGAAGCTAGGAATGGGCTTCCTTGCTCGGCCAACTGCTTGTGCTTTGGTGAGAAAGAAAGTTTGGGCGAGGCACGCGATCTCGTTGCTGCAAGCCTCGACGCAGTTTATCTGCCGCTTAAACAAGCTTAAATGACGGCTGCAAGCGGCGCAATTTCGTCCAGTTTTCGGAGCTCATTTGCGTAAAAAAAGACGGCAGCCGTAACGAAGAAAAGAGTCCCCCACGCTAGCTCCGTGTCACGAGAGGGTAATTCATGACATTTCCGGAAGTGAACAACAGCCGACCAATGTTCCGAAGCTCATTCAAGCTGCATCGCCCGCTGACTTAATTACCGTACAATGGAATTGCTATATCCAGAGTTTGCGGCTGGTAGAAGCGGCAAACTGTAAGATACCTCACTGTAGAACGTTGATCTTCAATCGCAACCTCTGCATGTAATTGAAGTTGATCAACAGGATCGGCAATGCCGTTGCGCCTTGGCAGCGTGTCAAAGGATTCCTGATCGGTAAGATCGGATCATCACTTGGCCGTTATCTTGGCAGAGTTATTCCCGTTGGTGCGTGAATTGTGAATTGCGAACTGTTGCTTCACTCATGCCCAAACGTCACAGTCCGTCGCCAAGAGGTTGGAAGAATGAATAACAGTGCTTACAAAAACTGACTGATGATAAACGAGTCGCTAGCATTATTTACTGTCCAATAGCTATCAAATTTCCAATCCACCAACTTTTAAAGATATCTTCCCATTTATTTACAGCTTGGGCTCAAAGCCAAAGGTCGTGCCAGCGACACGAGGCTTGCCCTGGTTGAAGGGACAGATCTGGAAGAAGCGCTCACGAGAGATCTTGACAAGGTTGGATCGCTTGTGAGGCAGGTCCATCCACTTGTCCTGGTGAAGACCAAAGATCATCTCATACTTGAGAACGTTCTCGCTGGAGAGACGAGGCTCGCCGACAACGTTCTCAGTGCGGTGGTCATCGAGGAACTCGTAGTGCATCACACTGGGCCACCATGCCATAACGCGATACTGTCCGCGGAACTTGTCGTTGCCGACGAGTGAGTGTCGGCCACGGTCAAAGTCAAGACAGGCGTAGTGTTGACCCATCTTGTCCTCCTTGGCCCAGTACAGCTCAAAGTAGGCGAAAGGTGTATCATTGAAGTAGCCCAGAACAGCGAACTGGTGAGGGTCATCGTGGATGTTCTTGAGATATGTGCGATGCTCATCTAGAGTACCTGTCTCCATCCATCCAGCAGCGACACGGGGGTCGTTCTGCCACGTGTTGAAGAGACCCAAGTGCTCAGGGTTCTCGTAGTCGAGAGCGACGAGGTTGAAGTGCTCATCAAGAGATGGGATGTACCGGCTGTAGATGTAACTACCGGCAGCAGGCTTGGGTGTTCGGCGCGGGTGACGCAGGAGAGTGGACTCAGAGGTGGGCGTCATCACGTACTCCAGATGAGGCACCACGTTGGCGGAGTTCCAGGTAGGAAGCCAGATGGGCTGTTGGCCCAATGGAGAGGCACATCCCTGCCAGAACGCGCTGCGAAGAACAAGAACCTCAACACCAGTGCTGGGCGCGGGCTCAACGCCCTTGGGAGGAGGAGGCATGTTGATGGCTATCATGGAGAGGACCAGCTCCTTGGCCAGATCCTCAGCGCCGGCGCCCTCAAGACGAAGGCGGAATTGCTCTACATCAAAGTGATATGTGAAGAAAGTGTAGAGGAACATCCACGTCTGCGCAAGCGTAGGAGTCTGCTTCTCCCAGCTCAACGACCAAACAGGGCTTCTTCTAGCACGAGCATACTCGCGATTATCAGAATCAGGGATCTTATCAGATTCCACAGCGGGAATCTTGGAGAAAACTAGATCATCTGCATGGAGAGCCTTGGGGAACGGCTTGCCCTCTGTGACGGAGTCGTCCTTGCGCAGACGATACGACTGCTTATTCTCAGCAGTGCGCTCGAGATAGTAAGTGGACAGATAAGGCAGAGGAAGCCTGATCTTGATTGGCGACTTTTGTTGGAATGGTTCTGAAGACATGATTGTTGGTTGTTGGCTTGTGACTACTGAACTTGTTCTTTTTTCTCTCCAGATTTTATTTATACCCCGATCTCGGTGTTGAAGGGTCTTGGCCCAATCAGATTAGATAAGATGTATTCCATCTTTCCTTGAGACGGCGAATATTCCGATGTGTACGGAGTACCGTACCGTACCGTGAAGTGGACAAGCCGAGGGAAGCAGACAGGGCAGGGGAGTCTGTCTTGTAAAGCTTGGAAGCTTTGTCCCCCTGGTCGAATACGTCGTGTTGTATCCGGTCTGTGCCGATTATCCGCAGTCCCTGCGAGCTTTGCAGTGGAATCATGCCACTAAAGACACTACTTGGGGCCAAGTGGATGGGATGTGCGCTAATTTGAGGCGCGGAGATTTAGAAAGAAAGCTCTTGTGGGGTTCTGAGTTTTTTGCTCAGTCCCACTCGAGAAATTTCGTCTCGTGTTGGTGAAGCTCGTGAAGTATCGAGTTGTCTGCAAGCTCTACCCTATAGAATGATGATGAAAGGGATTATCTACGTTGAGTTCTTGTCACCTCTCGATCGTGAGAACTTATTCGCTTGATGCGCTTCGAATCGCCGCAGATGCTACGAAAATCATAATAGTGGAGGTTGCATGAGCTTGGCTCGGTCTTGGTGGTCCCGGGATGACATTCACGCCACCGACTTTCGCTACACCACCACGAAACACGGCTTGCCGAGCTCTAATCAATCAGTTTTTGCCATCAATCAGATTAGATTAGATCGACATATCCTGCGAATTGCGAATACCCAGCGACAGATGGCTTGAAGCTAGAGCATCACTTTGTGGCTTAGGGTGGGAGTCTGGCGATGCGTATGCTGAACACAAGACGTTTCAATTATACCGATGCGACGACTGGTTGGCCATGGATGTGAATGTAAAATTGGCATTGAAATGAGTTACCATGTTTATACGACTGAGCGAAGCAGAGTGGCAAATCATTTGGTGTGGTGTTAATACAGTTGAGCTAATACTGAGGTTTCCTTCCAGTGGTTTACTTTGCATGCGCCACGGAGTAGGCTACGATACATGGCTTCGCAAGCTGGAAAGCCCAATCCAACTGGTGAAATCAGAACTCAGGTGAATTGTTCATTGTGACGTGAGGCTGTGTGGTAGAACCGTCGCTCGAATGGAATATCTACGAAGCCGTGGTCACGCAGCACCTGGAGTTGACATTCTCGGTCGCGTATAAACGCAACGTACGTGACGGAAAAGCAAACGCCTCCATCAAGCCCCCACGCGAACAAAAGTAGAAGTAAGTTGACACTTCAGTCCTTGGAAGCGATCATAGAGGAGGTATTCTGCGCGAATCACTCGATCGCGCAAACGGCGGCCTTCTTTCAGCGCTGTCGCCGACCCCCGCACAAATGTAGGTCTTCGCCCACTGCCATCCCACGATCAATTCGACCGTCGTGCAAGCCTTCGCAACGTAGCAAGGAAGTGAATGGCAAATATTGAAGCAAACATGACTCTGCAAACACAAGCCCATGCGTAAGGAAGCAACCAAAATACTCTCTTGTACAGGGCTTGTTACAATCGCGAAAGCGCTTGCTTGGCCAGCCTGCCCTCAGCTTTCGCAGCGCATCACATTCTCACGCATGTTTTCAGCCGCTGACTCAAGAATTTATCTAGGGCCTCGATGCATATATCGCTCATTGTTCATGCCCAATCACGGGGACCATTAAATCGTGGGTGAAGTCGATGACATTGCTTTTCGACACGGGAAAGGCGCGGACTCGGTTCGGAGGGGAAATAGAGGCTGGCTTGCTCAACTACCGATAGCACCGGGACATGCTTGTCAGCCAAGAAAGCCACATTTTGGCATGAGTGGAAAAAGGAAACACACAAACCATTGCCAAGTCAGTGAGATTCACGTTTCCATGGTGTTTTTCAGTCGTTGCAAGTATTCTGTTGCAAGTCTTTGCAAGCAATGGGCTAGGCAGAATGAATCCCCTTCGCCCAGCTCTCATCATTCCAGGGCAGGCAGTGATCATCTCCCAAGCTCTTGGAACTGTCATAGCTCCCATGAAAATTCTGCTCAAGCACCCGATCTCGGTGCTACATTAGCATTCACGATCATGAAAAAGAAATCCCTAGAATGCAGCATGTGATGCATGTTCGCCCTGAATTATCAGATGTGATTGATTAGATTCTCAAACGGTTCATTCCGTAGCTCCACGCCAAAACGACCAGGTGCCATGCCATGCGCTGGAGGGGGGCGTGGGCGTGGGCGTGTCGGAGATCGAGGAACAGGGGTATTTTCAACTGAACCCTTCTGAAACTCTAACGCCGGCTTGGGTCACACTGCACCAATCTTTTTTATCTGATCGGAACAGATTCATCAAGAGGTGCTGGCCATTGAGCATCCTCGGCTTCATCAGATAAACCCTGCCGGCCTGATTTATCACCGAGTGCAGCACATAAACGCACACTCACCGAAGCATACACCATTCCACCCACCATCCTTCAGCAAATCGACCACCATGGCGCAACACACGTTCAATCGTCAACCACCAGCCCAAAGCTATGGCCTCGTCTCATTCCCAGCACAACACGTTATGCTCGTGGTCTTCAACCGACCCAAAGCCCTCAATGCAATGACCAGCGACGCAGAATATGAGCTCGAAGCTCTCTGGGAGTGGTACGACGACGAGCCCTCACTGCGCTGCGCCATCGTGACAGGCGCTGGGCGTGCATTCTGCGCTGGCATGGACCTCAAGGAATGGAACCAGATCAATCAGCGCAAAAGAGACGGAATTCCCGAGAAGAGACCCATGGACCCACCCACGACGGGATTCGGCGGCCTTTCGCGTAGGAGCGGAAAGAAACCCATCATTGCCGCTGTAAACGGTCTCGCGATGGGAGGCGGTTTCGAGATCATCGCCAACCTGGACCTCATTGTCGCTGCGAAGAGCGCCACTTTTGCTCTCCCTGAGGCTAAGATTGGTGTCGTTGCTAATGCAGGCTCTCTACCAAGACTGGCAAGGACAATTGGCCGCCCGCGCGCCACTGAGATGGCTCTAACAGGGCGGAGCATCAGTGCTGCAGAGGCGCGCGAGTTTGGCTTTCTCAACGCTATCACTGAAGACGCCCCAGCAGACAGCGATGTGCTGGAGCGACCAGTGGTCAAAAAGGCGCTGGAGTATGCTGCCCTCATTATCAAGAATAGCCCTGATAGTGTTATTGTGTCTCGCGCAGGTATCCTTGCTGGCTGGGAGCATGGGAGTGCTGAGAATGCAGTCCGGGTGCACCGCCAGACGTGGGACAAGATCATGGCTGATGGACACAATTTCCACGAAGGCGTGCAGGCCTTTGTGGAGAAGAGGGCTCCGAGATGGGTGGATAGTAAGCTATGATGCATTGCGTGCATTTATGAGGCATTTTCGCTCTGTATTCACGTTTAGCATAGAGCCCGACATACTTAATTCATATTAGAGCTAGCCACGGCGGTTTCAGACACTTTGAGGTACAGATGACTCAAGAAATTCAGTGGCTTGTTGGTGTGACGCCATGGCAAGCTCTTGTGGAGATTTCATTGATCCTTGTCAATCAGATCAGATAATGAACTTATCAATCACCCCACCACACGAGAAGAAAAAAAGTCGCTGCGGCTTCATGGGGGTCGTCACTTCATCCACTGCGTCCCCGCCGACATGTCGATTATTACGCCTCTCCGTATAGTAACGGGATGAGAAAGAAACCCTGTTTTCTCTTGGGTTGCAACGCTGTTACATGGCGCGGTGGAGAGGCGCAGTCCTTTTTACTTTCATCGAACCATCTGTTACTACGCGGATGAATCCTTTACCATAGCTCTGGCTACCACATCGCGCTCTGTTGCATGAGTTCATGCGAACGTGTATTTCCCCTGATCAAAAAAGCAGCCTCACTCACAACCGCCTTGGCAGAGCAACCTCTCACCGAAGCCACCCATCTCCCGCTCCCTTCTTCTTGCTTCTTTGCCCACACTAGTTCCGCAACTTTTACACGGGAAGCTAGGATGTATCCAAGGGGTCCATCGAGCGTGGGGCTTTCATCCTCTTCACATCGATTCACGTACGGATTAGCGTGCCGAGATCAGCAATGGACGTCCGATGAGCAGACGACTCCCCAAGACGGACGCCCTCCGAAGTCGCCCATGATGGGAAGCTTGGGACCCTGAGTGAGTGAAGCTTCAAAGGTCCCCGTCTACCCCCCACACAACTTGTATACGATATGCTCAAGAGGGATGAAAACCTCTGTTCAATACGTAATGGTGTTCTTGCAGGTTGGTTTGGCAATTCTGCAATAAAATAGTGGAGGCGTTCATGTAGAGTTTCTCGTCGTTGCAAACTGCATCTGTATTCCCATCGTCTCCAGTGGGATCTTCTCTAGCCCACCAAATACAACATTAAACAGATACACACAAAACAGCCCATCATGGGAGACGTTCAGTCGTCGGCGCAGCCGCGGGCGAAGGGTGTGCGGTATGACGTACCCGTTCTTCGCAAACAACAAGACCAGGATAGCTGTGAGCTTGAGATCCTACTATTAGCATGGACGCTTCTTCTGTATCGTCATAGCCACGGGAACCATGTTGAGTTCTCGTGGGGTTTGAGCGAAATTGGATCTTCGACGTGTCGCACATTCACCCTCAACACATCGAAGCTGCAATGGGACGGTAGCGACTCTGTTGCATCAGAGCTGAAGGTGTTCCGAAGCTACCTGCAACAAGAACTACAATCAGAGCAGCCTTTTGACACAAAAGGTTATAAGTTATTCTTCAACGACGAAGCTGCGACAGGCGAGGTCGTCACTAACGTGACCGAAGACGGCGAACTGTCTGTAAAATGGGTAAGCGCATGACCCTCACCTCTCACGTACACCAACTAATGGGTTGCGCGACACAGGGAAACGTTCAAATTGAAGCGACACTAGAAGACGACGTTCTATGGCTCCGACCGACATGGCGCGAGCCTCTAGGCGCAGAGTTCCTCGCCAACCACTTTGCCCAAGCCCTCGTCGAAGTTCTCAACACAACACTCACCGATTCGACTGCAACAATTAGCTCTGTCCTACCACTAGGCGAGCTCGACAAGTCTGTGATATGGAACTGGAACAAAGACCTTCCTCCGCCAGTGCCCATGTGCATCCACACATTGATCGCTGAGCAAGTGAGGTGGCGCCCCGATGCCCCAGCCATTTGCTCATGGGATGGCGACTTCACATATGCGGACGTTGATAGACTATCGACACTGCTTGCGCAACATCTCATTGATCTTGGAGTCAAGGTCGGCGATATTGTACCGCTGTGCTTTGAGAAGTCAAGATGGACAACTGTCGCAGTCATGGGCATCATCAAAGCCGGTGCTGCATTCTCACTCCACGATCCCAGTCAACCTATGCAGAGACGACAAGTTATGGCGCAACAAGTCAACGCGACACATATTCTCACTTCAAGAGACCAAGCGAAATACGGCCCCGAAATCGCGCCCGACGCAAAGCATGTCATTGTCGATACTGGGACTCTCGACTCTTTGGCCAAGACGATTCAAGATCTCCTCCGAAAGCTTCCCGACGTACCACCCGAATCTCTTCTTTATATCATCTTCACTTCTGGAAGTACCGGCACGCCGAAGGGAGTTATGCTCTCGCACGAAACATATACTGCTAGCGCTCTTGCGCGAAGCACGGGTATTGGATACTCGAGTACTTCCCGGTCACTCGACTTCACATCATATGCTTTCGATGTCAGTGTCGATAGCATTCTTTGCACGCTCATTCGGGGCGGTTGTCTTTGTATTCCTACTGATCAAGACCGTGTGAATGATCTCAGCGGTGCGATTCGCCGTTTGCGGGTTAACATGGTTAACATCACACCGTCAGTCGCGCGAATTTTGGATCCTGATATTATTCCATCGCTGAACAGTCTTGGTATCGGCGGCGAGTCTTGTTCGGCCGGAGATATTGCGATCTGGGGTCAACATACACGAATTGTCGTTGGTTATGGTCCTGCTGAGTGCACGATTGGATGCACTGTCAATCCTAGCGCAGCGGGCAAGCCGTATGTCAGCATCGGTCCCGGTACCGGCGCTTGTATCTGGCTTGTTGATCCCGATGATCACAACAAGCTTGTTCCCGTTGGAGCTGTCGGAGAGCTGCTCGTTGAAGGTCCAATTGTTGGTCAAGGATATCTTGGAGATCCAGAAAAGACAAACGCAGCCTTCATCCACGACCCCGATTTCCTCCTCGCTGGCGCTGGTGGGATTCCTGGTCGCCGTGGGCGTCTATACAAGACAGGTGATCTGGTCCGATATGATCCAGACGGCGAGAAAGGCTTCGTATTTGTTGGTCGCAAGGACACTCAGATTAAGCTTCGCGGCCAGCGTGTGGAGCTGGGAGAGATTGAGCATCACATCAAGAACCTTCTTCCAGCGGGCGCTGAAGTCGTGGCTGAGATTATCGCACCACGAAACCAGAACAAGGAGTCTATGCTAGTAGCGTTCATCGCTGATCGTGAAGCGAAGGATGATGGCGATGCTCGGCAAATTGACTTCCCACCTCGTCTGCGTGCCTCGCTTGAGACGCTCAATGAGAGACTCTCAAAGGTCGTCCCAGTGTACATGGTGCCTGCTACGTATATCACTCTCTCCAAGATCCCGTACCTTGTCTCCGGAAAGACTGATCGCAAGTCTCTTCGCGCCCTCGGTGCTGAGATCTCTGCAAACCTTCAGGCTTCAGCAGCTGCAAATGAGTCCTCCGAGATCCGCGAGCCAGAGTCTGAGGCTGAACTCTTCCTGCGCGACTCATGGTGTCGCCTGCTTGGACTTGAGACGAAGCAAGTCAGCACTACACACAACTTCTTCACATCAGGCGGAGACTCTGTTCTTGCGATGAAGCTCGTGCCAGTCATTCGAGACTGGGGATATACTCTTTCCGTCACAGATATCTTCAATTACCCAGTTCTTTCCGACATGGCCAAGTCGATGCAGAAGGGTGATAAGAGCAAGGGTGTTGATATGCAGATCCCCGAGTTCTCTTTGCTGAGGGATAACATGGACCGCGATGCTCTGCGCGCTGAGGCTGCTGAGCATTCGGGATGCGACGTCAGTGCGGTCGAGGATATTTACCCTTGTGCGCCCATGCAGGAGATCCATATGGCTTTCTACACGCGATCAAAGGAGAACTATGTCGCGCAAAGAATTGCCGATGTTCCCGCCTCAAGTTCTGTTGACAAGCTCAAGTCCGCTTGGGATGTTGTGTACAAGGAGAGCCCCATCCTTCGAACTCGCATCGTTGAGTTTAAGCAGCATGGCTTCATGCAAGTCGTAGTCAACGAACCACTTCAATGGAAGGAGGTTGAGTCAACTCTGGACGAGTTCCTTGAGGAAGACAAGAAAGAGCCCATGTCGCCTGGCGCGCCGCTCTCTCGCTTTGCCATCGTCACTGACAAGGCTCTCGACAAGCGATACTTTGTCTGGACGGCCCATCACGCTATTTACGACGGATGGTCTACAGATCTCATCGTCGAACACGCCCGTGCTGCGTACAAGGGAGAAGAAGTCTCCCGCCCTGCTCAGTTCAAGCACTTCATTCGCTACCTTGCCGAAGACTCACGCGAGTCGTCCAAGGACTACTGGAAGACTCAACTCGCTGGCGCTACAGGACCTCAATTCCCAACTCTGCCATCGCGCTCTTACATTCCTGATCCTAACTCCTTGACTGAGCGCTTCATCAAGCTTGATAAGGCTGCTAAGTCCGACATCACCATCGCTACCGTCATTCGCGCAGCATGGGCTCTGCTGGCATCGCAATACTCCATGAGCGATGATGTTGTTTTCGGAGAGACGTTCATGGGTCGTACTATTCCTCTTCCTGCCGCTGAGCTCATTGAGGGTCCCATTCTCGCTACTGTCCCGGTTCGCATTCGTCTGGACCGCACTACTACTGTGCAAGAATTCCTTCGCGCGGTCCAAGAACAGAGTGTCGCTCGCTCTGCACATGAGCATCTTGGTATCCAGCACATCCGCCGACTCAGCGAAGATGCTCAAATTGCTTGTGAAGTCACCATGGGTCTTGTTGTCCAGCCTCAAGATCCCGAGCCTTCTGAGACAGAGACCGATGAGTTGCCTTCTTTCCGTGGTGGAGATGCCGCTCTCGAGGCCCTGCACTTCAATTCGTATCCTCTCATGTTGGCTGTTTCACTTCAGAAGACTGGCTTCCGACTCCTGGCAAGCTTTGACTCGGAGCTTCTCAGCCACGTCCAAGTTCAGCGCGTGTTGTCGCAGTTTGAGGTTGCTATCAATCAACTTCGCGGCGATGTGTCGCGCCCATTGAGTGACATCACATGCCTGGGAGAAGAAGAGCTAGGAGAGATCTGGGAAGCCAATAAGCAGGCACCTGTCTCTCCCAAGGACATCTCGCGATTCCTGTCCAGCGGAGACAAGTACCCCACGGTCCAATATGTTCCTTGGATCGTCCAGCCTGGCAATGAGAAGCTTCTCATGCCGCTTGGAAGCACTGGAGAGCTCCTGCTTGAGAGTGCTTCTGTGCGCGAAGATGCTGATGTTGTTGATGCTCCTGAGTGGTTGAAGGAGGGTGCGCTAGGTTACCCTGGCCGACAGAGCAAGCTCTTCCGCACCGGCGATCTTGTCAAATACACCGATGATCTGAGCTTGGTGTTTGTCGGTCGCAAGGATGACATGGCCAGTGTTGACGGTCGCGTCGTGGATCTCAACGTTACGAATCTTGAGCTCAAGCGCCTTCTTCCTGGTACTGCTGAAGCTGTGAGCCGACTTGTCGTTCCCAAGGGCTCTAGCAGTCAGACTCCGGTGGTTGTCGCATTCATCAAAGACACACCTGTGAAGGATGCTCAATTACTCAAGCTTGGTGTCGATGCTGGACACGCATCACTGCCTTTGGCGGAAGATGTCTCTGTTGAACTCGCGACGGCAATTATCGGCCTCAACAAAGCAATGGCCGAGACTCTCCCGCCTTATGCCATTCCCTCAATCTGCATCCCCCTCTCCAGTACCGTAGATATCAACTCCATTGAGACTCTCGCTTCGGAGGTCTCTCTGTCGCTGGTCGTTGAGCTTCGCAAATGTTTCGCCTCCCTCAAGAAGACAATTGCCGACACCACAGTCTTGACCACAAAGGAGCGCGTTCTTCGTGCTTCATGGTCCAAGTTCCTTGGTATTGAGGAGGAGAAGTTGTCGCTCGATGATAACTTCTTCCGTCTGGGTGGTGACTCCATCGTGGCTATGCGTATGGTCTCTGCTTTGCGACAGGATGGTTATCGTTTGTCTGTCGCAAGCATTTTCCAGAACATGCAGCTCCGTGGTATGGCCAACTCATTGGTCAAAATCTCACCTGAGGCCAGCGAGAGTACGAAGAAGTATACTCCCTTCTCGCTGTTGAGCACCAAGGATGTCGATGGCTTCCTCGCCCAGGCTATCCAGCCACAATTGGCCGACTCGACCTGGAAGGTCCAGGACGTTCTCCCCGCCACTGGACCTCAACAAGGCGATGTCAAGCAAACAGTGTCTGCCCCACGAAGCTCGGTTCAGTACAACATGCTTTACCTGGATCAGTCAATTGACACTGCCCGTCTTGTCGATAGCTTCCAGTACCTCGTGTCGCAGCACGCCATTCTTCGAACTGTGTTCGTCCAACATGAGGGGCAGACTCTCCAGGTTGTCCTTGATGACTTGAAGGTGCCGGTCACGGAACAAAGCGTCGAGGGCTCAATTGACACCGCTGCTAAGCAAGTCGCAGAATCGGACGTCAACACCAGCACTGATCTCGCTTTCGGCGCTTATTTCATTCGCCTCTTCGTTCTTCGAGGCGAGACTGAGAACGCCTTCATGATCCGTATTTCGCACGCACAATACGATGGCGTTTCTCTGCCAGAAATTCTCCGCCAGCTTGAGCTTCGATACCGAGGCTTGGAGATCCCCGCATCGGAGCCTTTTGAGACCTACATCCATCATCTCTCAACCGCCAAGCCTCAGAACGTTGACTTCTGGCGCAAGATTCTCGAAGGATCTTCGTACACTGAGATCATTCCTGCTGCAGAGCCTCAGCAGAAGACTGCGTTCATGACCAAGGATGTTGACATCTCTGGAGCCTCACCCGACACGACACACGCGATGCTTCTCACTGCTGGCTGGGCCAAGGTTTTGTCGCAGCACCTCAATGTCTCCGATGTCACGTTCGGTGGTATCGTTTCCGGTCGAGACGTGGATGTTGCTGGTATTGACACCATCATGGGCCCCTGCTACCAATATCAGCCTGTCCGCGTCAAGTTCGAGCCCAACTGGACAGCCTCACAGCTTCTGGACTACGTCCGAAGTCAATCCGTTGAGGGTAGTCAACACGCGACGCTCAGTTTCGGGGAAGTGCTCAAAGAATGCACAAACTGGCCCGCAGACACTCCCTTCTACGGGTCTTTCACCAACCATCTCAACAAGGAGTTCTTCGACTCGATTCCTTTCGCTGGAACCAAGTGTCGCGTGGATTACTCCATCCCCCATCCCGAGCCTGCTATACCACCTCGTATTGTTTCATTTGTTGAGAACGGTAGAACTCAAATTGGTATTGAAGCAGATGAGGAACGTCGAGAGTTCTGGGAGGCGAAGGTAGAGGAGCTTGCACGTGTCATTGAGGGTTTTGTTAAGAACCCTGACGATTTGATCTAGTTATTTGGAACATTTGCACATTTATTATTTTACGGATAGAAAGGACATAAGAACTGGTTACACATTTTGTTTACTTTAAATAAAACGGTCCAAATGGAATTTATCATCAGCCTCGCCCAAACACATCTTCAAGAGGCGCGAAGCTGGCTTTGACCCAACGCCAAATTCGCCAAGTTGCGTGAAGAGCATCCTAAAATTGCCCTAAACTAACTTATGTATTGTCATTTCAAGGTCTAAACTTTTCTTACTTTAGGGCTGCCATGTGTTTGGGGTATTATTGCCATCTTTTACCACGCTCTCTTCAAATTTGTTAAGCTCCTGACCTTTGATGCGTCTGACCTACGCACGCGAGATGCGATCTTCATGTAAAATGAGACTATCATTTTACGGGATCGTACTCTACCAACCGGCTATTTCTTGTTCCTCATGCCTTCCTTCACCCCGTCATCTGAAACGGACCCTGAGTTGATGGCGTCCAATATGAACTGGATCCGCTGTCGCCAGAGGCGAACCCTTAAGGCAACCGCAGAAATCCAAGAGCAGTCCTCGAGATATTTATCTATTCTCAAGTTGGGTGTTATATTCTTCAGAGCGGCGTGCTGTGCATCCTTCAATAAGAGATAGATCAATTGACGAACTTCGATACTTATGGCTCGCTTCAAGGTTAAATGCTGATGTATTATTTAATAGTCCGCACACTGTGTCTATAAAGTGTACGAGGGAATATCTACCAACTCATCTATTACGTCTATGAAAAAAAAAGCCCCAGTATCTCGGCCCTCTAGTCAAACGCCAACTCACAAATCCCATAAATCCTAAATCCAGTTCGCTAAAGCATGACGACAAGCAGATATCCTTAAGAACCCGACTGCAAATAATATGATTCACACCGGCAGTTATTTGATGTTATCGCGCTCCTGTGACGGCTCGTCGCCACTTGTAATTGTGCGATTATCATCGTCATTGCGTAGACTCTGCGCGGGGAGGTTGGCCTCAAGGTCAACATCCTGACCTTTTGGTCCCGGTCTCAGTCCTTGCGATGTTTCCTGTCGTGTCTGTTCGGTGCTAAATCGTTCAAACTTCTCGTTGTAATTGTCTTGCATTTGACTCTCTGCCTCGGCTTCAGCCATCATGCATCTCTTGCGGACTGACCAAGTGCTTCCAGCATGTCCAACAACCCACCAAGAGAATAGGATAGGTAGAGTAACCCCAGCATTGGCCCGGCATCCAGACCAAATACCGACAAGAAGAAGCCACGCGTTATGGGCTGGAAGTGCCCACGACCAGTGGTAGAACCCTGGGGTGAGCTCAAATGGAAAGACGGTCGACCCAATATTAAGGATGATCCATGTAAGAAGGAAGAAAGCAAAGAACTGCATAGGGACTATAGTCGCCAGCACTGTGTCGATGACAAGGTAGTTGATGTCCATGTAGAACCAGAGGCACATCCAAGTCTCAAAGAACTGAGCAGCATCAACGCTCCAGTTCTCCCGGAAGGCCCAGAAATAGCCTGCCATGCCTAAAGCACCGATGAGGGTATAAATCTTTCCAGTGATGAAGCGGAAAACGTAGACATCTCGCTTTGAGTACGACTGGAGGACCTTGGTAGAAGTTGTGATGCCATTCAACCCCATCTGGAAAAAGAAATGCATGAGAATCCCCATCACTAGTGAGACAGTATTCAGGAGAACTCTTGTACCCTGCTCGGTCGGCATGATGTTCCAGATGTTGGCATGGAAGGGTCGAAGGAGGGTGCTCGCTGAGGTAGGGTTGGTCATGTTGACGGCCTTGAGGGCATCGGGAGTCGCAAGGGCATACATGGTTGCGGCAGCGCCAACGAGGCTCTGCATGTTGCCTTGTAGGGAGGAGAAGATGGAAGGATAGTATGCGCCGTTATAAATCGTAGTGACAGCGTCTTGTGGATTATAAACAGTAGTGTTGTCGCCCTCGATGGTGGACAAAAGACGATCAGAGGCACCAGGATGAGTGTAAATAGCGCCCCAGTAGCCATGGTTACAGACGGCGTCGCGGACCTTTTCCGGAGTATCATACTCGGAGGATGAACCGAACTCAACGGAAGGGAACTTGTCTGACTGAAGGGTATCATAAGCACCAGAGATGGCCCTTCCAATATCGCTGCCGTCGAAATCGATCGCGAGGATCTTGAGGTTATGCATTCGCGTCGAAGACTTGAAGAGGGAACCGAAGAGGTAGGACATATTTGCTAGGAACAGAAGTTGAACCATCAAGGCCATCATAATGACGGGTATTATATAGGTCTTCATTCTGACGGATAGTGGTGTAGACCGCGAAGAGATTCGGTTAGACGATCGAGGTGGTATTAATGTCATGGTGAGTATATGCTGCTGTCTGCTGTTTGACGTAGGTTTTGCTAGGATGAAATGGAAGTACTGAACGAGACTTGTCTTTTATTGAAGATAGACTCCAGAAATATTGTTTACTTATAAGTCTAAAATATAAACATCATGCCATTCCCCTGAATTATCAACGGGTTTGTGTTACATGCCGCCGCCGCCAAACTAAGCAGACTTCCCGAATCTCCGTTTGTTAAGCTTCTTGGCTTCGGACGCGGTGATAAAATCATGCCGAATTCTACAATGCGATTGGATCAGACCCATGACTCAGCGGAAGCTGTGTTTTTCGGATTCATTCCCCACCAACCCCGGAAATTCGGACTTCTCGCTAAACACAATTTCCATGTAGCGAGCCAAGTGGCTTCATTTACAGTACATAGATGCTAAATCTTGATTAGAGAGTTCTCTTGCTGCCTTATTAATAGTATAGTGGGTTCTTTGCCTCGGATACGCGCATTCGCTTCCGGCAGTTGAGTAAGGCTTAGCGGTAAACAGCTAGCCATATGACGTACGGAGGTATATTCATTCTATAGCTAGGTCTAATCATGCTCGGATACGACCCACTCCCTATCTTCTTCCGGCTTCTTTTTCTTCTTCTTGTGCAAGTCTAGCTTCATCCCAGCGGTACCAAATAAGGCAATGCCCGCCGCAACGACAGGAATCTGTAGGGTCGCAGCCCCAGCTGCAATCGTTGCTACGCCACCTAGCATCCCTAGGACAGCTAGTGTATTTCGTTTCATGATCTTGCGTTTTTCCTGACGGGCAAGTTCTCTTTCTAATAAGATCTTCCTTTCTTCGCTACTCATGACCTCCATTGAGTATTGGGGCTTGTTCATCCTTTGCAACCTGTTGCGTTGTTGAGGTCTGCCATGTTGTAAGCCTCTAGTACCGTCTGAATCATCGAAGCTACTCCTCTCATAAGTATATGATGAGGACCTGTGGTCTCTTCTACCCGACATGCCCCGGGGTCGGAACGAAGCAACCTCAGGAGGGGTCCTCATTGAACCTCGGCTCTGGGGATCAAAGGCTTGAGTGAATCGGCTTGAGACTTCCCTCAGACTTTCTAGTTCTGACTTTAAACTTTCAATTTTGGATGAAAGCTCGGAAATCTCGTCCTGTGTGTGGTTGAATCTTGTCCGGTGTCTTTTTGTTTTGTCCGCGAAATGCGATTCAACTGTTTGGCGCAAATGCCTTTCACCCACTTCTACTGCTGTTATCTGTCGCTCCAAGTCCTGTCTTTGTTCCTGGACTTCTTGTCTCGATCCCAAAGCTAATGATCCGCTCTTCAGGAGAGGTTTTTGCAAGGCTCTGAGTTCACCTTGCAAGCGATCCCACCGGGTGGCATAGTGGTTATTGAGGACAATCCCCGCTGCGGTTTCATCAAATTCCTTATGCTCCTCGATAATCTCTTGCTGGAGTTGGAAGACAACTGGACCTTGAGCATCAGAAACAGCAAGAAGACCTGAAAGAATAGAGAGGGCGGATGCTCGTGTGTCCATGCATCGCTGTGTGCGGCTGCCACAATTCTTCATCCAGCCCCAATAGCCTTCGGTGGACTTAAGTTCCATCTCCCTCTTCACTGCTGAGCTGTAGAGAGAGGTACCTTCTGGAGCTTCGTCCCACATCGTCGTGACTAATCTGGCAAACTTTGCTCCTTGTGAACCGCAAATCTTCTGAACTAATTGGAAGCTTCGCATTGCTGATCCCGATACTCTGTTGTCGGTGATTCGATGAAGATATAATATTCCCCCAAGGCGAAAGCAGCTTTTATAGATCTGGCCCAGGTAAAAAGCAATATCTGTGAAGATGGCAGAATCTATACATCTAGTATCGTCAAAGCCAGGTGTATCAACCAAGAATATGCGCCGATTACCGTATAAATAGGGATAGATAGTGATGCGACTGGTTTCTGACTCTGTCAGTACTACTAAATGAACTCACTCTGCAGATGAAACTTACCAGACACCAAATCATGCCCTATTCCAGCGTCTAACCCTGTCAATCTTTCGATAAAAGTGCTTTTCCCGGCCCCTGTGAGGCCCATCACCAATACTATTGTGTCGCCCGGGCTAATGATAATTAGTAAGTCACAAAGACAGTATACGAAACCTTACCTGGGAGTTGAATGAGACTCGGCAGGCATTGTGGATTGATCGATAGCTTCCGCTGGAGGACAATTCGTTACAGGTAAGAAGGATATGTGAGAAACAATTTTGACAATTGTTGCGTATTTACTTGAAGAAAGACAGAAACCGATCTAAAATTAAACCCCATCTTCACCTGTCTGCAGGGTCATCATTTTAAGCGAGCATGGCCTCGACCAGCCACTCCCTCGAATACGCCTTGTCGCAAATGCCAAGGCTCTATGCAACCATCTTATATGCATTATTGCCAGGTCGCATTCTTGCCTGCAAGCAGCCCAGTCAAATTGTGGTTATATCGACCAATAGTATACGCCATATCGCGATCAGGCTGAGCATCCCACCACTACGATACTGCAAAGGGTCACGCTGAGCTGACACTGCAAGCCGCAGCGGGGTTGAAAATAGTTAGCGACCGTAGTAATGCTCAAATTCGCACTAATTTGATAGGCTGAGAATGATTGCTGAGCTGAAAGCCTGACTTGTCTACGCCTCACTTCCCGCAGATCAATGCTCGCTTGTCGCTCCAGCGCTAAGCAATTGAATGGACTTCCTAGAGACAGCCAAATGTCTATATAAGATAATTAAGTGGACTGACGGTGCTTTGATGCATACGTACTTCTTTGCTTTCAGACAGCATCTTTCATAACCCGGAGCAAGACCGAACTGACACCATGGGTGACGTATTCCTAGGCTTTAGGCCGAGGCCTAGCGACATATTAATAGCTATCATGGGCATGACCGGGTCTGGAAAGAGCACTTTCATCTCGTTGTGCACTGGACAAGATGTTCCTGTTGGTCACGAATTGCAAGCTTGTACGTACCGGCCATGTCATTATTCGGCACACTCCCGTCTTAACACGACCCAGGTACACAACATGTCACTGCATATCAATGCAAATGGTCAGATACCTCTGACATATACCTTCTCGATACTCCGGGGTTTGATGACACGAATCGATCAGACACAGAAGTTCTCAAAGAGATCGCTTTATGTCTCACCAAGACGTATGAAGACAACATCAAACTAAGCGGGATCCTATATCTCCATAGGATCACAGATCGTCGTATGGGCGGGTCTGCCAAAAAGAACCTTATGATGTTCCGGAAGCTCTGTGGTAAGGATAGTCTCAAGAACGTCATTCTCGTCACTACGATGTGGGAGGATGAGCAGCCAGCAACAGGAGAAAAGCGAGAGCAAGAGCTCATCGCTACAGACGGCTTCTGGGGAGCCTTGGTGGAAGAAGGCGCTCAAATCAATCGCCATAATAATACCCGGGCATCCGCCATGTCCCTCCTCAGAACGATTGCCAAAAACAATCGGGTCACCATTTCCATCCAGAAGGAAATGGTCAGTGAGCACAAAGACTTGAACGAGACCGAAGCTGGTATTGGTCTTAACACAGACATCCTCCTGGCTGAACAGAGGGTCATGAGGGAGATGTCAGAAGCCCTGGAAATGGAAAGACAGGCCAGAAAGGACCAGGACGAAAGGTCAGCCGAAGAACAACGTCAATACCGTGAGAAGATGCAGAAGAAGTTTGATCACCTTAATCAAGAACGAGAGAATCTCAAAGTCAGCCTGGAAGAGATGAAGGAACAGAAACGTCGATTCAAAGTACTGGAGGGAAAGTATCAGGAAAGCCAAGAGCGGATGCGCCAGCAAGACAAGAAGATCGAGACCTTGGAAGAGCAACGCAAGCTCCGAGAAAAAGAGATGCTTCAGCGAACCGAAGAGGCCAGCAGGGAACTGAAGAGTCTCCGCCTCCAACTAAGCGAAAGAGGCAACGCTAGAATGGGGATCTCGAGTATGAGACCTCGAAGCTCAGGGTCTTATTACGTAACGGGCTCCAAGGATGTTGTCTTGTTCCTCTCAGGAAGGGACTTCTTTTTTGGAGGCAGAAGCGGAAATCATCAGTAATTGAAGGCCCTTCCAATATCGATAAAAATCACTAATCAGCCTATAGCCGCTACAGCAACGATCTCAAACGATTGAGGGATGAAAACGACAAACGTAGAATTTGTGCGCTTGGTGCCAATGGATCATGGCTCTATCACTATCATACTGGAAGTGACCTTAACTGCTGGACATGTAAGTTGAAGCTCAATTACCGAATACTGTGACTCATATCCAGAACAGGTTGGTCCGATTCATTGGCGACCGAGTATCCCAAGCTCGTTGCGTGGCTCGATAAGCACCAGAAATTTGGATGTCCCCGACACATTAGTTTAGGCGCCGATGGGTTCTTCTATATCGCCATGTTGGATAATTCGGTTCACTGGCGCATACCAAAGTCTGTGTCCGAAGAGATTACCGAATATACTGGTGAAAGGAACATAAGGTCCATCCAAAGACTTTGGCTTGGCTACAATCACGATTACGTGGCGGAGATTGATGACGATGATTATCTCTACAGCATCGATAATTACGGCAGCCTAGAAGGTCTTATGGACGATGTAGATAACGAAGGGGCAACAATCAAGGTTTGTGCATCCCCTCAGTCTAGACCCCATTTACTGACTTGGATTAAAGCAACTTGCTATGAACATTGAAGATTCTAGAGGGTACATCTTGATTAAGGAGGGAGGAGCAGTATTTTGGAATATTGGAAGTAGTGGCAACCAATTCGACGAGCCAAGATGGCAAAGATTCAGAAATGACAACGAGGATACTTGGTAGGGTTACATGGAGGTAGATACTATAGGGGCAGTTGGAAGCCACAAGAACCAAGGGCTGCCAAGACATGTACAGTAATAAAAGCTGCTGTGATACAAGAGAGATCCTGGTCCTCACAATTCTATCTAACCCAATTCGTATGAAGGTCCCTGGTGTTAAATGAGTAGTACATACTTGCCGCCCAGCACCTTCAGGGAAAATAACAACAAAAAGCCTGCATTTGGTACAAGCCAAGGCATCCCGTGTTCACGTAAAGCAGTGTCACGGGGAATGTTATCTGGTCAGCCTGCATGAAGCAATCTGACAGGCTTCGAAGTATTATTGCTTTACATCAGATAAAGAGCGCAATTAAGGTATCTATAGTCAAAAGGGGGCTCTATGCTAGGCTATTTACTTGCGGCAAAGACGGCCGGTCTGCTTGATCACATAGGCTGGGTGATCAGTCACATACCAGTCCTCGCTACCAACAGCAGTAGGAGCATAAAAGACACCGTAAGGGTCAATCTTTTGCTTCAGCTGGTAAAGCTTGGCATAGTTAGAACCGAAGTAAGACTGACCAAAGTCAGGATCCATAACATCACCCTCATTACCGTAACCACCACCGCCGGGAGTGACAGCCTTGAGACGCTCCATGACACCAAAGGTAAGTTCGTTGTTGACCTTGGCAATCTGCTCCTCACTATCGGTGTAGTTCCAGTTAAGAGCAGTGATAACAAACATGTTGGCGTCGCGCCAAGCAGGGTTGGCAGAGTTGGGAGGAGTGTTTTGCTGCTTGGCATTGATGTTGTAAATAATCAAGATACCTTCATCAGCAAGGATGCCCTTAAGAACGTCGATGGTCTTGTTGAGAAGCTTAGGATTGTTCCAGTTCTTACGGGGAATAAGACGAGAACCGGAGCGACCGTTGTAGTTACCGACGTTCTCAGCAGGGAAATGTGTTTTCCAGGCAGGGTAGAAGCGGTCATGCTCAAAGAATTTGGGCTTGGGGTCAACGCCGAGTTCCTTCCACTCATCAAGGAGGGGCTGGACAAGCTTCTTGAACTCACCAACAGAGATGTTGGGGATCATCCAAGGGTTCATAGTCCAAAGGTAGCTGCCGTTGCCAGCAGGGAACATGAAGCTGTAGCCATAACTGTTCTTGTCAGAGTACTCGGGGAAGCGGCGCCAGTAGACGTCAAGAGCCTTGAAGAGAGCCTCCTGAGAGATGCCAGCGTCCTTGGTGTTGACGCTCCAGGTCATACCAGAGAACTTCATCTTGGGGTAGACTCGGACAGTCATGGAGACAACGACACCCCAGGTTGCAGCACCACCGCCACGGACGGCCCAGAAGAGATCAGTGTTCTGCTTCTCGTCAGCGGTGACAAAGCGACCATCGGGTGTGACGATGTCGACGCTGAGGAGCTGGTCGGCAGCAAGACCAGCGATAGGGCTGATGGGGGAGTGACCACCTCCGGGAAGATAACCGCCAGCGACACCAACATCCTATGAGCTCATTAGTATCTGTGAGTGATGACCGGCGAGGAGGAGCACTTACACGGCACTCTCCACCAACAGCGGTGTAGCCCTGTTGGTCGGCAGCCAGGTACAGGTCCTTGACCTGGATGCCAGCACCAATCTTGAAGGCAGGGCCAGTGTAGCTGCTAGCACCACGGTAGTTCTTGGTGAACTTGATGTCCTTGAGATGATGTGTCCAGATGCTCAAGGCACCAGCACCGGTGCTCTTGCCAAGGAAGTCATGGCCAGTGTTGTGAACGACAAGGCGGAGGTTCAGGTTGCGAGCAAAGTTGACGGCGAGTTGGATCTGAGCAACACAGGTAGCCTTGATAGAGTACAGAGGGAAGCCACCAATGGTGCACTTGGAGCCGGAAGCGGCATTCTCGGGCTCGCAGGTGGCACCCTCGAAGAGTGGCGACATGACCGAAGTGGGATCATCGATGCTTGATGATGTTAGTGTGATGCATGAGACTGGAATGATCGAGGATGAAACTCACTGCGTGGTAGAATTGTGCCAGTTGGATAAAAGATATTGGCACCTCTCCTCGTTGTAGTGCTCTCCTTTGTAGCAAGCTGAACCAAGGGGAACAGTGCTGATAAGGGCACCTCCACTGAGAAGGTCAAAGACCTTCCAGATAAGTTTGTTGGGGTAAAGCTTGTCACCAGGGAAGACCTTGCATTTGGAGTCGACAGCAGCAGATCTCTTCTTGGAACCCTTGGTATCAGCAAAGTAGAAGAGGTCAACATCACTCAGGTTGAGGTCTGTGAGGTTGGCCAACACGGCATCCGTCAACCGAGGGGTGTCATCGACAAAGGAATACCTCGACGATGCAGCCGGTGGCTCAGACCACGCAGGGGCAACATTCTTCTCGTTGGCCGCTACCCCACGTTTCAGATTAGCGATGGTTCATGACAGCAAAAGAAAAACACATTCTGCAGGCGAAGGTGTTACGTACGGACCGCCTTGCCATCGACTTCGATCGTCTGACCAAGGGTGAAAGGAACAAGCGCGGCAAGCAGCCACGAAATGTGAGAGCCTTGCATCTTGTAGAGTTTTGAGGCTGGCTGCAGGGACGGGACAGAACGCCAAGGACTCGAGAGGGTTGGGGGAGGTAAGAGAGGGAAAGGGAAGAGATCGGCTTATGCCACATGGCTTTCTATGCCGTCTATATATCGAACACTAGTTCTTATGTTACTACTGCAATCCTACAGAAACACGCGAGTTGTTGTTGGCCAAGCGGTGTTTAGCACGTATTAGGTAGTAATCACCTTGATGCTTAGGTTCATGGGCCGAGAGATATCCATGCTTGACGATGGAGTGCGGTGGCGACGGTGGAGTATGAGCCGCGAGGCATTGCCGTTGAAAGAGGAGAGAATATCATACATATCGGAACCATTTGAACCCCGATTTCCTGTCAAAATCTGTGCCGATTCTGCGGGCGCTTTTCATCCCACTGGCGCCATTTCTTTCAGCCGCCGTGGGGATCCGTTTTCTCGTTTTCCCAAGGGTCAAGGGTCCCTCTATACGTGGAAATGATGGTCGATTTCTAAGCTTGGCGTAGAATTACTGTTGCATTATGCATAACCCTCAATTGAAGTGTCTTCGGGTCGAACCCGCTTCCCGTCAGACTAGAATAATCCATGACACATTCTAAAGTTGATTGGAGCGGGACGCCGCGGCCGGACAAATTGTACAGGCTGGGCATTCAACACCGACAAAGTTCAAGATCCTGGTGATCAAGTGAAGCGAGAAACTCTATTTTAAACAACTGTTGGTTGGAAATCTTTGTTAGAGTGGGATCGGCTTCCTAAATATCGTGCTAAAAGATGATGGCAATCTGCATGGAGCAAGGATCAACGGATTATCATTTAGCTGAGACAAGCGAAGGATCAGCGTTCAGCCTTCCGGGCCTTGCGACTGGTTGGGAATCTTGGCCAGGGTTGGGGATCCGGGTTAGATGTGAGCATCTCGGTATTGTCTTGGGGATGGAGCTAGAGGAGCAGAAGAGGACTTTAGGCCCTGGGAAGCAAAAAAAGCCCAATACCATCTTTCAAGGCACAAGAAATAACTAGTCAAAACTTTTCAAAGTTATACTAAAGCTACCTAAATTTAAAGTGGCCTAAGTATTTTTGTCACTTATGATCGTAGTCCAGAGTTTCCTACTCCCTTAGTCTTTAGCGGTACTCGGTTAAAACATGCTCAGGGTCCAGTCATCATCCCTTATAGATGCATGCTACATTCGTTCACGCATATGCATGTTGGTCCTTCCAGATTGTTGAAGAAAAATCGCGCGAATGCTGATCTTCACCTTTGATGGAAATGCTAAGAGATCTAGCCTGAACCTAATCACAAATCACCCAACCGTTGCTCTGGGTTAACGATATTAGTTAACCCTCCCAATTTATAATGCTTGAAGACATCAGAACGAGTAGTTCGTATATGGTACTGAAATGAGCTATGTGGGAGGCTTCCAACAGGATCTAGCGAAGACGTCATGCCTTGTCCTGAAAACAAGTTGTTGACAGTCTAGTTTCAGCCACCACTGGAAGTCTTGGGCATCAACGCCTACTTAGTTGCAAGCCACCATGTTCCATCATTTCTACTTTGGATTCTTCAATAACCAACATGCATGATCGAAAACACGGCTGAGGGGAAACATCTAGACGTTCTTGGCGGAACACCGGGAATCGTACCGGCAGACTCTGCGGCACAGAAAACCTAACCAGCCCTTCAGTCCAGCCAGACACGGGATGTGTGACACACAAGTAGCTGAATCGCCGGTAGTTGACACACAATTCCTTGATTCCAGAATCAGACGTGCTGAAATATGCCGGCAATCACTTTCCCCTTTCGTAGCCGTACATGAGCAACGCTGTATTGTGCAATCCAGGAACCAGGAACTCGTCTTACTCGAAGCACCAAGATGGTGGTTCAGCTCCCAAACCACGGACCATGCTGCCCATGTTGGGTCACTTGGGTGACAATCCTCATGAACTCTGTTTCTCTTCCTGTTTTATTGGTCTCCGCGTTCGTCTTGAGATTCTGCGTTGCTGGGTTCCCCTGGATATCTACTATACATAAATCTGAAGGGCCCCATCTAAGCGATCTTCTTCATCTCGTGCCAATACCGTAACAGCGGTTTCCCCCCCCCCCCCCTGGTTCGTCCTGTTACATGTACATACAGAGCGACGATCGATCGCAGCGGCCGTCTTCGCCCGGATCAGCGGTCACATCGAGTCTGCGTCAATCTTTCTTGTGTCGCTTTGACGTCCCATGGTGCAAACTCTGCACCATCATACTTTTGACATACGATCTCTTTCATGTTGGTTTGACGTTCACGATGGCTTCTTTACATCTCTATACTCGGACAGGGCCTCCGCCCTATCCTAATCCTTTGAGTCTTCCTACGACTCCTCTTCAAGAAAAGGGTCTCGCTGCTCTTTTCATCTTTCCGGCTTTATCGATCATCATTGTGTCTATGCGTATGTACAGTCGTGTGACCTCACGGACAACCGGATTAGGTGAGTCTCTTTCATGGTCAGTGCAATCAATACCGAAAGCTTACCTTTGACAGATGACTGGCTCGTGCTGGCAGCTTTGGTAAGTTTGGTACATCTCAATCTCTGGGTGTTTGTCTAATATCGACAGTTCTTTGCTTTGATGATGATTGGTCCGCTTTATATGTGTACGTGGACTTGAATCTTATTGCTTCCGAGTGACGCTTTCGCTGACAGTTATACAGTCATGAAGCTCAATTACTGGGGGTTTCACGAGCGAGATGTACCCAAAGACCTCAATCTTGCCGCTGGCTTCTGGTGGAACTTTCTCGTGCAGATGTTCTACAACCCCGTCTTGGCACTCGTCAAGGCCTCGATTCTGGTATTCCTCCTTCGCTTGGGAGGCCATAAAACCAACGTACGATACGCCATCTACGGGCTAAATATCTTCAATGCTTCACACGCCGTCGCCATTTTCTTCACGGCTCTCTTCCAATGCTGGCCCATTGAAGCTAACTGGGACTTTCCCTTGCGAAAGGAGCCTGGCGTTCATTGTGTCAACAACTGGTTCCATGTCATTGCATCTTGCATCACTATCGTAACAGACTTCCTGGTCGTTGCGCTTCCTTTTTGGATCTTCCTTGGCTTGACCATGCGATGGGCAACTAAGATTGCTGTTCTGAGTGTATTCTTGTTGGGTAGTGTGTAAGTTGAGCCTATAACTTTGACAGATTGATACTAATACTGCCCAGGGTCGGTATCATTGGCATCATTCGTGTCGTCTCCATCTATCACCAGCTCGTCGAGGGACCGCGACCCGGCGAAGACACCTTTTACTCCGTCCTTCCCGTCTGGGGCGCTGTGGAAACGAACCTCGCCATCATCTGCGCATCAGTCCCCGCTCTCCGGCCGCTTTTCCGACGATGGTTCCCTGCTCTCTTTGGAGGAAGCTCAGACGCACCATCTGGAACTCCTTACGGCGGCCGATATGCCAACAACTCCCGCGGAACCGGTGGAATGCGATCACATAACCACGATGATATTCGTCTTAAAGACCTTCGGGTTTCACGAACTCAACATACCGAGATTCGAAGTGTTTCACCGACTGGATCCGAGGAAGAGATCATGACATATAATGGAATTATGCGGACTACGAATGTTCAGGTTGCATATGAGAATGCGTCAAAGGCTACTGTATCGGAGTCGAGAACTTCAAGTGAGATACGGTTTGAAAGCAAGGCGTCAGAGGTTAGGTCGGGGATTTAATTTCAGGGATTATCAGGCATGGGAAAACTCTTTGGTTGTATAATAGCTACTTTCTTAATGAATACCTGGTGCTCTCTGCAGTCACTTGTCCTGTGTATCCGCAGCACGTTCCGAAGGCTAGGTGCAAATCCCTTTTACTACTTTCGGTGTATCAATATCTATCGCAACAATATGCAAGAATAGATTATTCGTAAATCAAGTTCTACCCAGATGTCTGGATTTACTGTGCAGAGGGATTATCTGTTAGTGTTATACTGGAGTTTGGAACTTGTATGGAATGGTACACGGCTTCGTTGATGTTAACAGATTGAACCTCGGCTGCTACCCAATCAGCAACGTCTGCTTGGCTCAGTTGGTTAGAGCGTTGGTCTCATATTAGATTGTGATCTAATCTTAGATTAGAGTGATCCAAAGGTCGTGAGTTCGAACCTCACAGCGGACAATTCTTTTTTCTCATTTTTTGCGTCTTTCTTTCTGGAATATTATTATATCCAGTGAATTATTCGTGCCTGAGTGTTCCTTTGCTTTTTCATCTTTCTTTTTCGTGAATGCCAGGCGACTTATGTTACGTGTCATTATCGTCCATGAATGACCATCCCTGCTCAGCATTTTTGTCTCACCCTGCACCAGTGCGAGCTGTCAATTGAATGTCGTCAAAATTAAATCATCGCTAATCTCTAATTATCGTGTACATGAGAACCTGCCATTTCCCTATTCTCTGATCACATCACCACGCATCCATCGCCACCCTCCTTGCCATTGTCATCACCACAGCACCCGCAACAGCCATCGCAGTCACAACAGTTGTCACATTCGCAGCAATTGTCACAGCCACAACATTCATCGTTGTCATTGTTACCCCCATTGTTCCCATTGGAATAATCTTGCTGGTCACTTGGTTGTTGGTACCTCGTAGCATCATACGACGTGTCCGCCTGATCATTGTCGTATTGGTTACCGTAGTTTGTGTCATTGGCGTATTGATCGTGATCATTATCGTAGTAGCGATTGTCACCGTTTGGGCTGTTTGGAGAGTATTGACGATCACCGTCGCTGTCATATCGATAGTCTCCATTGTCTATGTAGTCACCTTCATATTGGTTGTTGCTGTTATCGTACTGAATATATGTGCTGTTGTCTGGACCCTGACTGTTGTCGTAGTTGTTGATAACGTAAGTGGGCTCGTTCGAGTCATTGTTCAGGAAGTACATGGCTGCTCCTGCACCAGCCGCACCCGCGACAGCACCGCCAGCTGCATACTTCATGTTCGACGAGCTCTTTTGGTGGCTTTGCTGGGAGTAAACTTGTTGAGGGTGGCCGGGATGGTAGCTTTGAACTGGCCGGCTTCCACCTTGCGGAGCATGGCCTTTTGGTGGTCCAGCCTTGTGTCCTTGAGCAGAAGCTGGCTTCTTGACTGGAGGATGCGCAGCTTGTTGCGGTTTCTTCATCTGGGTCATCTGCATTCCATGGTTGGGAGCAGGCTGTCTTCCGACAACAGGAGCGCCGGCAACTGGTCTCGGAGCAGTCACCGGTTGATAGCCAGCTGGTCGTTGGGCAGGCCGCTGGGTAGGCTGTGAAGGTCGCTGAGCGGGTTGAGAAGGTCGTTGAGCATGTTGAGCAGGTCTCTGGGCGGGTTGCTGAGCCGGTCGGCCAGCTGGAGGACGTCCGGCCGTGGGGCGTTGTGCGGGAGCAGCTGGGCCTTTGTTGCCAGCAACGGGCTTTTTGGGTTTTTGACTATCAAAGCCATTGATGTTAGTGCCTGAAATTGAAGATGACCGAAGTGGGATGTTGCCAAGATGAAGTGGGGAGGGTCAAATGTGATAGGGCTGGGAGAACTGACTTGAACATCTTCACAAGGAGTTCCTCCTTTTGTCACGGAAAAGATTGTGAGGAGTCTCTAGCTACCCAAACAACGTCTACCGGTAGTGAAAAAAGACAGAAAACACGCGTTCACATCTTTGATGGCGCGCAGTTATATAGGGGTCTTGAACAGGCGACGGCTTCTTCGTAAGGCTCAAAATTTGTGCTTTTTTCAACCTCCACCACCACTACCCTGAGACAAATGCTACGCTGACAACTTGCCACTCAAGAAGCCTCAAGAAAAAAGCCTTTCCTTCACACTGAATGAATGCAGTGAGATTCACAATACTACTCTATTTATTTTCGACATCAAAACGGCCCCCAAATGAAGATGCAGGGTTTCCTTCAGCTTCTTGCTTATGGTAACACCTTATCCATATATCCTACAGCGAGGACCAATAAATATCTCTGCTGACCACTGAACCCTGTACAACGGCTTGAAGGATCAGAATCGCTTAGCCAGATCAGGCCTTTTACCCGATTTTAGTAGCAGAAGGTCCGGGCTCTGGTACGAGTTAAGCCTTGTAAGCGCCAGCCTTATTTCAAATCTTATACTCCGTATGCATCAAGGCAACCGCATTTACCCCCGGTTGTTCCCGTTGATCTTTTGTTGATCGAGGCATGGAGTATCTCAGATTGTCAGCCGCTTGATCTTATCAGTTCCATTGTCTGGCCCCCAAGATGGTCAGGAAATTCCGGTCTTGCATCCTGGTTGGGGGCCGAATCTTCAGCTGGCGGCAGGATTTGAAGCGCCTTGGTCACCATTCCTGACGCGAGATCTTAGCTTCACCTTTGGCTGTCTGGAATGGTAAGTTTTGAGTCAAGCAAGCGCTTATCTTACCAGAAAAAATCGATCCTTTTGGATAGAGGCTTTGCTTGTAGGATTCTATGGTCGCATATCGGGCGAAACCTAACAGAAAAGCCTGCTGAAACCGCCGGCTGCGTCCACGGTAGGAGAGCACAAGGACACCGACAGTAGAGAGAATAAACACCAGCAGTGATTCGTACAATATGGATGAATGATTGGTATATAAATTAAACATGGTTTATGGATAGACGAAGATACGGAGACGATGCCTTAGCTCGTAACCTGAAGAGCAAGTTGTCCCTTATGCCACAGGACCAAAGAAGCTAAACTTTCCTTTGGGGTCATACTTGTTCTTCAGAGTCTTCAAACGCTCTTGCCGCCAGTTTTCCTTTCCATACCAGCTGATTGCCTCTTCATTTCCAAAAGCGTAGTTGACATAGACGCTCATGTAGTATTGACCAGAAGCTTTGTGAAGGATATGGCGCAACTCATTGCCGACAGAGGCAGCCTTCTTGTCAAGTTCAGCATCTCCAGGCTGGTATGTGATCAGTGGAGCAGTGAGGATGTTCTCTTGACGGAAGGCGAAAGCAGCACTCTGGGCATCAGTGCCTCGAACGGCCTGGGTGGAGTAACCCTCAAACATGAAGATAGAAGTGTTAAAAGGAGTGTCGGGTCCTGTCTCTTTGGCAAAGAGATCCCATGCGTTCCTCATAGCGGAGATATTGTACTCCTGAAGGTAGAGAGGGAAACGGGGGTTGACGAGACCATTCTTCTGGCATGGGACAGCATCAACGTCAATTTGTGTCCACCTGGCAAGGTCGCGGTAGTCTCCAGACTCAGGAGAAATGGCAATGGGGTTCAAATCGTGGAAAGGCTTGGAGATCTTGGGATCGATGATCTTCACACCTTCCTGGATGAGCCAAAAGAGGATGATAGGCTGCAAAAGTTAATGTTAGACCAAAACGATGGATGACGGATAGAAACTTACGTTTTCGGGGTCCGCAGTGGGGTCATGAACCCAGTAGGACCAGTTGATGACGCCCTCAGGCTGCTTTCGAAGGAGATGCTCATTGGCGGTATGATACAATTTCTCAACGTGTTCCCCACTGAAAACAAGTGTCTCAATGGCCCAGTCTCGGTGCTGGATGTCATACACCTTGGAGGTGATGGAAGTCACAATACCAAAGTTGTGACCGGCACCCTTGAGGGCCCACCAAAGATCGGACTTGTTATCGATGGTCTTGAAAGAACCATCAGCCAAGACGATGTTGAGCGAGACCCACTGATCTGCGATGATACCATGATGGCCTTGGAGCCAGCCGTGTCCACCACCAAGGCCGGGGCCCATATAGCTAACGCACTCGCATGTTCCGGTCACTGATAGCGGTTAGCACGTCATCATTGGCAAAAAGAAAACATCAAAGCGTACCAGTTTGCTTGTTTGCAGCCCAAAGGGTGTCGGTGACTTCTTTGGACCTTGTACCGCCACCAATTGTAACAGTCTTGCCGTCGGCAGCGACTTCGACTTTGTTCAGCTGGCTGAGATAAATCTCAATACCATGGTCCATGCGACCCAAAGTGGTGATGGCTCCATGAGCAGTGTTGTAGGCGAGGAAAGGGAGGTTCTTGGAGTTGGCATATTTGACCTTGAGAAGCCATCATTAGCATTTCTCATCGTCGATCAGTTATGAAACACTTACCGTCGTGGCGACGTCCTGCTCTATGCCAGGAACAACAACAATATTGACCTTGGGAGCATCCAGAACAGACCAGCGAGTGGTGGCCTTCTCGAACTCGGCAGATCCAGGACAGTAGACCTTAGCTGACTTGGATAACTTCTTACCAAGCTGGCTCAGGTCTTGGGAGCATGTCCCAATAGCATCGCTACGAGCAAATGGAGTTGTCGCACATGTGACAGCGGTGCTCCATGCTGTCAATGCAGCAAAGACTTTGCTTGAAAAGTGCATTATAAGAAACCACGTGCAAATGCAAGACAACTTGGACCCTTAGATCAAAGATCCCCTCTAGATAAGGGATCGACGAGGACAAGGTGCATATTTAACCTGCATGGTTCGCCATTTTCTTCCTCTGCAACATCGGCCAACGTTACACCGAGAAGTGAATCCTTGACAAATTCCCCTGACTTCTTCCTGCAGCCGAGGTTTGACAAGAAAAAGGGAAATTATTCATAATACCCTTGCTAATGCCCATAGCCACCTCCTTCGTTCAGCATCCTGCATACCTAGTTCCTCCACCTTTTCGCAGGACAACGGAGATTTTGGTACGACCCGATCGAATACCTCAAAGTCATAGCGCGGAGATGGATCCATTTTAGTACCCGCGGAACGGGTACCGGCGCGGAAAATCCCTGACTTTTAGCTAAAACCCAGTATTTATTTCTGGGTTTTATTCCCTGGGTTGCTGATCGCGAAGATGCAATTGTCCAATCGGGTTCTTGGACGTGATCTGAGTGCAATCTTAGAGTCATCGGCGTCGATTTGTGGGAGGACTACCGAGGCTTCCGAAGGCCAGTGGGTATTGGGACCTTTTGTCTGTCTTGTGAATTGCCCGAATGCTAAGAACGAAGAAGAAAGGATCGTCGAGGCAAGGCGTTGTCAGAAGTGGAATTCAGATCTGAGATTGTGGCAGAGGATCTTGAACAGCTCCCCAGATTGTCGAGGTGGTATTGACAGCGCCACCTTTGATCCAACTGAGATCTCATATGCATGTTGCCGCCAGAAGGGAACGTCTTCGCCAGATTACCATGTATCGAAGGAATATGGTTATTTCCCATTACGTGCGTGGCGGTCTCACCCGTAACTTGCCGTATCACAGGCTTTACCATGAGGCTCTTGGCGCGTCATTTTCTTCATGAGCTAGCCCGACTTTGCCCTACTACTGCTTAGCGTCAGGTACGGTTCGGTCTCCAATATTCCCAGCTATCCCCGAGCACCAACCAACTGAACATTGCATGTCTAGCTTGTCCAAGGGAGGCAAGAAAGCCTGGGACCTTTATCCTAAATGACAAAAAGACTTAGCTAAGTTCATTATAACTTAGTGGGCCTTTAGACAAATTATTTCTGGCACCTTAGTCTACAGTCAGAAGTTTCTTGCTCCCTGGAGCATGTGCAGACTAATCTCAGGGGTGCATATTCTGGGAAGCTTGTGATTGTGGAAACGAAAAATGTTCTGCGTGCTCAAACCCCTACCTACTTACATATGGGGGGAGGCTTCCAGGACCCGGGCCCATGGGCCGTCGATCGTTGTCCTTTTTTTCTTTCTTTCTTTTGCTTCTGATAGTTTTGTTGGTTCTCAAGATTGAAGATGTCCGATCCGGTTGTTGAAGGCTGGACGCTATATGCGGTTGGCGTTGCTTCGACGATTCTCAGATTTTATGCTCGTATGAGAGTAGATGGTTTGAGGAGTCTTCAGGCGGAAGATTATCTCATGGCCATTTCAATTGTGAGTTCCAGTCAAGCTCTGTGAACACGGGTTAAATATTGACTTCATCAGGCCTTTTACACCATCCAGACAACTCTTGCATACAACATCGGAATCCTTGCCCATGGTCTCGCAAACAATGGAATAACAGATGCTCAACGAGCGGCATTGTCACCTAGTGACCCAGAATATGATTTCAGGTCCGTGGTTCACTACTCCTCATCTCCCCACTTGTTGCTCACTGAAATTCCCAGAATAATTGGCTCCAAGATCCAGGTCGCTGGCTGGACCATATATTCCGCTCTCATTTGGTCCTTAAAATTGTCTATGTTGTACTTCTACACTCGCCTGACGGTATAAAACCCCGAACAAGCCACAAAGAACGCATCTAACATCGGCCAGACCGGACTTGGTAGGCCTTATCGCATCCGGATATACGTGGGGTTCGGTCTTGTCATTGGCACTTTCATTGCGACGATGGTAGCGATCTTTGCTGGCTGTCGGCCATTCCACAAGTACTGGCAGATTAACCCGGATCCTGGCAGTGAGTATCACAATCTTGGCCGTTACAGGCGTTGTACTGACTCTTCGCCTAGACTCTTGTCAAGCTGCCATCTCGAAGCCCATTGTCTGGGTTTCGTTTGCAGCTAACATCTCAACTGATATCTATCTTATCGCAATTCCTTTGCCCATGCTTTGGGGATCGAGCTTGAAAATGATCAAGAAGATTGCTTCTACGATTGTGCTGGGGGCCGGTATCTTTGTCCTCGTCTGCGCAACCTTGAAGAGTGTTTTCGTCCTCGTGGTACGTTCTCTAGCAAGGTTCTTCTCCCACTCTATGATCTAACTTCTGTATGTAGGATCCCGTCCATGGAGCCGAGCTTGCTGGAGCTTGGGGCACTCGCGAAGCCTTCGTCGCCGTTATGACAACCAACTTACCGATCCTCTTCCCGCTCTTCAGAATCTGGCTCACACCAATCTTTGGAAGTGTGCTACGCTCCTCTAACAAGACATCCTATCAATATCCTTCCGGGTTTCAGACAATTGGCGGAGGAGGACGAAGTGGCAAAAGCAACGACCCGAGCCGACGAGGACCTCCGACCGCGAATCCGATATCAGCGAATATGTCATTCAATAATAGCGAGGAACGGATCGTAAAAGCGGAAGCGCACCGCATGAACGACTTGACGGATTACAGTGGTAACGTATCTAAGGGGATCATTGTTTCTAACGTTGTTGAAGTAATTCATGAAGACAAGAAGGGCGGTAGCAGTAGGAGTAGAGATGGTTCTCAAGGGTCGTGGTAGGAACGAACTTGTTATATGTGAATTAATACAAGATACCAAAACTTTATATTATTACTGCATGGTTAACTATAGTATTGTTCTGCAAAGGGTACAATTCACGTTCGATAACTCTTGTGTCCATCAAGAGGCTGCCTTCTTCAATTGTTTGCCTATCTCAAGATCGCTATAGACCGAACGGCTCTCAGTCTTCCGGATATGATCAAGCCCCAACTACATTTTAAATAATGGGACACCACTTCGAATCAAAATGCAGCCTTGAAAAGATTGTGAGCTGTTGAGAAAAATGGATGGTCAAATGTTGCAGAGTCCAGATACTTATACTCGACTTGTCCTCTCCGTCGCTGCCCTTTGTTTTCTCTTTGACTGATCTCTATGAGACAGAGATCTCCATTACTTCAACACTTGCATCTGCACCTGGCCTCAAGGAGATATAAGTTGGCAGATCTCTGTTGGTCTTTCCATGGCAACGACCTCGTAATCGCGAGAGTTTGGAGCCTGCTTCCCGGTGGACGCTCAAAGCGTAGATACTATTGGATAAGTCTCAGCTGATTTGCCGTCTCCCCGCTCTGATAGCTGAGAGCGGCATCAGGTTCAGCTCTCGTTGGTCTCTTGGTGTATACCGATTCAGACAAACCAGCGTGACGATTGGAGGGAGATGGATCGTACATGATTGCTTGTGTCACCACTGAGTCTTAGATGCATGCAAGGAGCCTTTTACATCACAGATAAGCGCGGGGATATAGGAAACGGGCCCCAGGGAGCAAGAAAACTTCTGACCTTGGGATAGGATACCAAAATAAACTCATTAAAAGACCCCCTAAACTTATACTAAGTTACCTAAATCCTTTTATAGCTTAGGGTCGAGGTCTTGAGTTTTCTTACCTCCCCGAGACGGGATACTGCTAAGCAAGAATTTCAAGCCTAATCTTACATGCATATTCTAGCCACATACCAGTTACGATGTCCTTGCTGCTTTTGGTCTTGGCCTAAAGTCAGCCGTCTGTTGCCCAATAGATATCCCAGAACTGAGCACAAAGAGTTCGAAGATTTTCAGCCCCAAGGTAGACCAATGCACGATTGACTAGATTGAGATTGCCGAGTCCAACGGGGCGAATCGGATGCCAGATCTTAAGACACGGGATTTGCACGGGAAGGCGATCAAAGACATGCATTTCTCCGTCGACCACTGAGAGGCGGCGGAATGGGATACGATGCGGGTTGGCCCCATCGGACCGTCGCAGTTAGAGGTAAGTTGACTGACTTTTGTGTAGTAATCAGACATTGGTGATTTCACATCCAGTATTTGACCCGGCAGGCTAGTCTAGGAGTCAAGACACGCTGCGATTTGAAAGGTTTTTGACAGGACCCTGGCTATTTTGATTACGAATACGTAGCCAGCTTTCTTCTGCAACGATTGAAGATGAAAAGCTTGGAGAAGTGTGTCTACTAGGAAACCATGGACAACGTATAATACATACTCAGTTGCACTAAGCTAGTATCACATTTCATTTGGCCCTCAAGTGTAGACAAAGTTGCCTTCTTTTGTCAGATAGTCAAGGTCTCCGATTTTCAAAAGTTGTGAAGGGAACGATAGGGGATAAGTCCATTTGTCAAGTCGATAGTCACCAATTCTGTGATGGCCTGCAACTGAGATGTGTCGATGAGAGATTGGACGGGCCTTGAGTTCTGGTGCACCGGAAATAGTCAATCTGCGGTATTCAATACTCTCATGAACTTACTACTACTTCGGCTTGTGAATCGAACACGGGTCAAAGGTTTCAATCGAAGAAAGGAAATTGAAGGTACACGATCCAAGCTGATTTCTAGTGAGAAATTATTATTCCCCGGTGTATCGTTCGCTCGATGCACTGATGTTTTGTTGTCATATTGTGGTGAAGATGGTCTGATTTAATCGTGAAAAATTGGCGCGTGATGTCAACGCGGGATGTAGTGAAGCACCCGAAGTACCGAGGTTCCAAAAAGCATGTCTTGACACCGCAAGTTCTAGGTTTTCCTTTGTGTGGTGAGGCGCCTTGTCACTACGGTGAGTTGTTCAGTTATGATCTGACCTCTCACCTCACCTCGGCATGCAGGTCAAGGTGAGGACGCGCGGACTGCATAAAACCCTGATCCGAAGTTCGGAGTTAGCAGCGACCAATGACTGTCAATTCCATTAGTGTTTGTTCCCCCAAATATAGTGGTTTTTATCGTGTCCATTCCGTGGGGAGACAAGTCCGTTCTCTAGAGGCTCTTTTCATCCCGCGCGCTAGTATTAGCTATGCTGCTGCCTACAGGCACGGTACCTGAGTTGACCGCTCATTGAGGTTCAGGGACCTCAGCTTACCCCTGCTTCTTCAGCTCAACGACATGCATGAAAGGGACGGAATTGGGGGAAGTGCAGGTCATGGGACCTATCGCGTTGAGAGCCGCGGCCATGAGGCTGATGTCGACATGGATGAAGCAGTCACCTGGACATGTCGACTTTTTACTCTACCCCAAAGAACTTAACTTAACCCCACGATGCTTGGCTTGACCTTCAAGGTGTAGGTGGCCTGAGCCCTGAGCTTGTTTGAAAGGTATCCACTGTAGCTTTAGCTATCGCTCCGCGATAAGAGGTCTTGATAAGCAACAATGATGCAAGTTTTTCTACCGATGACGGCGTGTACTGCTGATCAGATTCTGCGGTGTCTGCAGTGTCAGCGCAGTGCTGCACAGTGAGGTTGCAATATCAGGGCAGAATCTGAAACAAAGAAAATATGATGAAAATCTCTTTCATCATTCGCCACTGAAGAATTGGAGGGACATGACATGACAGGCAGCAAGATTTGGGATTGATGTGATAAGCTGATAAAAGCTAAACTATGGGGCTCTTTAACGTCACAGACCCCATAATCTTGGGGCCCTTGACCTCACCAACAAAGCCGGGCTCACCGCGGATCCACGGCTCCCTCTCCACTAAGTTTTTAGCCACCTGAAAACAAAAAAAAACGACAAAATCAATTGAGCAAAGAGTCCACCGAACACGGGGGAACGTTCAAATTTTCGCTGCCCGAATTTATTCCGACCTCTCCTTATCTTTTTATCGAGGAAACCACAAAACCCGGCGGTCAGCATCTGCATTTGAGCGGTGACCTCATTCTTCAAATCAACAAAACTTCATCTCCCTCTCTCCTCTTCACATTCACCCACACCTCTTCATCTTCTCACCTCATCTCAACACCTTGATACCCTCTTCATCCTCATCTTCCTCCCTTTTATCCTCCTTGACACACAATCACAACCGCCAAAATGACACAACGCCTAAAGCTCAACAGCAGCAACCTCTCCGCTATTGCGTCACAGCAGGGAGACCAAAAGGTCAAGGTCCCCTCCTACGACCGCAAGTCCCTCAAGGAGGGTATCGTCCACGTCGGAGTCGGTGGTTTTCACAGAGCGCATTTGGCCGTCTATGTCGACAATCTGCTCGAGAAGCACGGTGAGCGCGATTGGGCCATCTGCGGTATCGGCCTGCGACCCAACGATGCCGCCATGCGCGATGTCCTCAACTCCCAAGACCATCTCTACACAGTCATTGAGCGCTCCGCAAAGGGCAGCTTTGCCGATGTCGTCGGCAGCATCAACTCCTTCATTTTCGCACCCGATGACCGTGAGGCTGTCATCGCAAAGATGGCTCATCCCGATACACACATTGTTTCTCTCACTATTACTGAGAGTGGCTACTACTACAACGAGAACACCCATCAATTGAAGGACGAGCACCCCGACATTCAGCACGATCTCAAGGCCGAGAACGAGAACGCCCCCATTAGCACTTTCGGCTTCCTCTACGCCGCTCTGGCCAGACGTCACGCTGAGGGCCGCAAGCCCTTCACCGTTCTGTCATGTGACAACATGCAGAAGAACGGAACCATCACCCGCAACATGCTCACATCTTTCGCCAAGCTCCGCAACCCTGAGCTTGCCAAGTGGATCGACGAGGAGGGAGCTTTCCCTAACGCCATGGTTGACCGCATTACCCCCAGCACTTCTGAGAATGACATCAAGTCGCTCGCTGAGAACTTTGGCATTGAGGATGCTTGGCCCGTTGTCACCGAGCCTTTCATGCAGTGGGTTGTTGAGGACAAGTTCGCCGATGGACGTCCTCCCTTTGAGAAGGTCGGTGTCCAGGTTGTTCACGACGTGCACGACGTCGAGCAGTTTGAGAAGCACAAGCTCCGTCTCCTCAACGCCAGTCACTCCGCCATGGCTTATCCCGGACAGCTTGCTGGCTTCAAGTACGTCCACGAGGTCATGGAGCACCCCATCTACCGCAAGTTTGTCTGGCAGATGATGCAGGAGGAGGTCAAGCCCCTTCTCCCCGAGATTCCCGGTGTCGATATCGACCAGTACTGCAACACCTTGATGGAGCGATTCTCCAACCCCACCATCATGGATCAGATTCCCCGTGTCGCTCTCAATGCCTCCGGCAAGATCCCCCAGTTCATCATGCCCTCCATCGCCGAGAACATCTGGGTTACTGGCCCCTTCCGCCGCTTGTGTTTCGTCGCAGCTGCCTGGTTCATCTACATCAACGGAGTAGACGACAAGGGCAACACCTTCGAGGTTGACGATCCCATGCGTGAGAAGCTTCAAGCTCTGGCCAAGGAGGGCGGCAAGGATCCCCGCTCTATCCTCAGCGTCCGAGAGCTGTTTGGTGACGATTTGCGAGGTGACCAGCGCTTCCTGGATGAGGTGACCAAGGCTATGGAGCTCATCACCAAGGACGGTGTGATGGAGACCATCCCCAAGTATGTCAACTAAGGGATATCGGCGGCGTTACCTATCGACTTGTTCTGGGCAGGGAAAATTACAGCGAAGCGATGATGATGATCGGTTAATGAATGACTTTGAGTTGGTGAGCTAGGTTAGACGCGGATTTGTATACCGTCTTAGAAGGCACACCTCAGATAGACATCAAGGGCAGATGCCCAAAAAGTTTTAATGATTATGCCATGATTTGATGAAGATTTGGTCTATCTCGCCGTGACTCCTATTCGTGATGATATCTATTAACGTATCCAAGACTAATTCACGGTGACGGGGTTGTCTAAAGAAGTAAAATGTCACAGGATACCACTTTTCGAGGTTGGTCAGGTCAATCCAATTCTTATAGGATTGCATCAACAAGTGAGTCCATGCCGTGTGTTTAGTGAACCATCAAGATGGAGATGCTATGTCATCGTTTGAAATTTGCGCTTGCCCCAGATGACGAATCTCAGTCGCAGGACTTACAGAAACTAGAACGGAAACATAAATCAGCATCATTTTGTGTCTGAAAACATGCGATATCATGCTGGGGTCTCATAAGACGCCTGTTTCTCTTGATCTGCTGACCAAGTTGACGTTTAACAGGCCGAGACGAACTTTCCATGTGGACACGCTTGAAGACAGCTCTGGGGGGACCAGCACCAGTGGATTTCAAGATAAATAGATAGGATTGATGAGATGAACAGACTGGAAGAACGAGTTTTGGTTTGAGATGGCACATGGAATTCTCCTTAGCTGCAAGACAATTGCAAATTAAAGCCTGTCCAGGATCACACTTGTTCTTGTCACAAAATTGCATAAGTGTCAGGTGGAAAAGACTCATGTCGCGGCGTTGCATAAGCAAAGACAGATGCGATTCACTCTGCACAACTATACGTCACAATTGCAGCAAATGACCTCGTGCTCATGTCGTGAAACATTATCATTCATTCATTCAATCAACCATTCATTCACTGAACACATCACTAAGAGACATCGGCAGAGACAAAGTTTATCATGAACGTGAATGCAAAGCTCGTAATTGCGTGAGGACAAGTATATACATATTGTCAGTAAACCAAATAATCCGCATAAGAAAACGCGAATGGTTTATTCAAGAAGTGAAATGTAAGTTCATAGCCCTGGTGAGTCGCTCTCATAACTTGAAGTGAAAAAGATACATCAAAAGATCGCTGCCAGCTATCCCGAACCTAAGCATCCGTCCATGTCGGCGTTGACATTTAGTAAGGCTTGTCACCGATCCTATGTCATGATTAGCGAGTGCTACATTAATGGTAGAGAGTAATGGGAACTTACATGTTACCGGGCTTCTGGTAGCGGGCGACAACCCAAGAGGCACCGGAGCTGTCCTTGGCGACAGCCATACCGACCTTGGTGGTGGTCTTCCAGACGCACTGGGTGTAGTGACCGAAGGACATGTAGTTGGAGCCGGAGATAGCCTCACCGTTGTACTGGCTCTTCTCGCTCAGGAAAGCCTCAACAGCGGCGGAGTAGGGGTTGGAGCCGCTGCCCATGTAAAGGTTCTCGCCATCCTCACCCTGAGAGTGCTCGAGGCTGCCGAGCTGAGCAAGGTGGTCGGCCCACTCCTGGGCACCGGAGGCAAGAGAGTCGTCCCAAGAGAGAGGCTCGTTACCAACAGCCTTGCGGGCCTCGTTGTGGAGGTCGAGAGCCTTCTGCTGATCAGCGTCGAGATTGGAAGATCCGGAGCCGGAGCCAGAGTCGGAGCTGGGCTGAGTGGTAGCAGGGGCCTGAGTGGCGGGCTCCTCCTTCTCGGGCTGCTCGGGCTCGGGGGCAGCGACGTAGGTGGGCTGGGGAGCAGGGTTCTTCTTGGGCTTCTTGACGACGACGGGGGCGGGCTGCTGCTCCTGGACAGGGGCGGGGGCGGGCTGCTCGGGAACGTAGGTGGCCTGGGGAGCGTTGCCTCCAGCGGTCACGTAGTGAGTGACGTACTCATACTCGGTAACGACCTTGTAGTGCTTGTTGGAGTTTTGCCAGCTGCCGTGGGGAGCGGCCATGGCGCCAGCGGCCATCATGGAAACGAGGAAGCTTGAGAAATGCATCTTGATTGAGAGTTTTGTTGTTGTTGGTTAACGTCACCGGGACTGGGCTGTAAAAAATTCGAGTTGCTTTAAAAAGAACGTGTTAAGGAGTGAAAGAATGTAGAATAATCCTTCAAGGATGAATGAGTGATTTGCCTGTTAAGGAATGAGTGACAAGACTGATTGAGTCTGGAGAGGAAAAGAAACAGAAGATGGGGGGACGGGAATCAAGATTATAATATAGTTGTACAGCAGTCGCCCAGTGTAATGATCCCATTGGATGAGACATGTCAATGATCCCAACAGTTGGTGTGGTGCCATGTGAAAAACGAAATTCGAGGCGTATGCCTGGGCCCTGGGCAACGTCGAATTGATTGAAAGAGCGGAGTTCTGTGTTTCAAAGGGATGATGCTCCGATGGGCTGCTCGATCCAGGGGTAAACAGACTAGACTAGACCAGGGGTAAAGAAAACCGTTGATGGCCTCAGCTTGCCGAACCAATCAATACGAGGTCTCGTAGCTGACACCCGAGTCTCCGGATGGGATGCTCGGGTTGAGTGTGGGGAGGGATGCCACACTGAAACCCCTCACATCAGTCCTGCAATGTTAAATCCCTACCCAGATCTTGCCTGCGTGTTTCGTCTTGACGCGGCAATCAGCCAGCAAAGAGACGAGATGACATGCCGGGGCTTGTTCTTGGACCAGGCACTGAACATGCCGACGCGGCATTTTGACGCCACTAAACGAGGGCGGCAAAAGGTACCATTCGCCCTTCACCATGGGGGATGGGGAATACGAAAGGTACATGCAGTGCTTTAGTGTATTCTTTGTGATGATGATGAGCGTCAAGGTGCACAAAGCGCATCTAAGATAAGTGAGCATTGGTGTCGTCCAGTCTTGTCGCACAGACATGGGCTATCCTCATCCCCCCGGGTTTTCTTTAATCACGGGCGACGCCTCCCAATATAAAATAAAGTTACAAGTTCGTAATGTGATCCCGAGTGCAGGGATCAGTCGACCAGGGCCAGGATGTTTTCAAGATTGATCGAAATCAGCCTTGAAAATTAGCAGTGATGCAAAATACCCTGCCAATGCCCAACAATTCTCTTCACTCATTCCCTTACGTTATTATTCTCCTTCCTTCCATCTGCAAGTAAGAAAGGGGCCGACACGACCGGTCGTGTTTTGTTAAGGAAAAAAAGTTTGCTAGCTTTTTCTTGACTCGTTTGTTCCGTCGCCTCTGTAACAGGCTAACTGCAGCTACTGCAAGGGACGAATGCACTATATTATTGGTCCACGATGGCTGGCACTCCGCCAAACTTCCAATACATGCCTCTGTCCGTTGAGTAGAATGTCATCGAACGTGGCCCAAGACCACCAAAGGCAAAAAGGGGTTTCAACGAGAACAACAAACTCCTCATACAATGGATCCCTTTAGCTGTTGAACACCTTGGTTGAAACAGCCATCGGTGTTTTGAGTCTTCTTTGTCGGACCTCGCGGGTGCAGACCGTCATCGAAACAACGCCACAGCGCTTCTCCCTGATGAGAACCCAATCATCTGCAAGCGCCCTTTGTTTCTCACCGCAAGCGGTCGATCATGGCAGCGCCTCGTGTGCCCCATGTTTCCCTCCCCGACATTTTTCGCGCAGGTCTCACAGAAGGTGAGTGTGTGAGTGAGTGATCGGCGAAAGGAAATCTTTCGTCTGCCGATGCTAAAGAATGTTCCTGATGATCGGAAGCTGGCTCTGGCACTTGGGGTTGCATTTGCCCAAATGATCCGCTCTGGATGGACGTGCATTTCATGGCAGACCCGGTCCGTGTTGAATCAGAAATTCTGCCCTGCAGGCACAGGGGCCCTGCTAAGGCTTATTTCCGATAGCATTCTTGATGACTACGATTCGTCTCGCATTGATATTTGGTCATTTCAGAACCTTGGAACCGGAAACTGGGATCGTGGCTTGTCAAATTTCACTGTAACAATTGAGTTTCAGCTCTGATTGATTCCTCCTCAAGACATGATTGTTTATCCCTCTGGTCTCTGATCGGGTGGCTTTGTTTCCATCCTGCGTACTGCACTGTACTGTGCAAGAACTTGGCGAGCGGGGAATGCCAAGTGGGCTACGCGTAAGCAGACCGACTTGATGAAACAGCAGCGACTCATTGAAGAGACAGTTCTTTGAAGATATTTTCAGACATTGTATCCTTAGCACATGAACGAAGATCTACACAAAGCCAAAGCACCACTAATGCCAGAAATAATGGACGAGTCTGGGCCTTGTTGCGCACGAACCAGCAATCTTAAACTTCCCGTATTCCTCTGAAACCGCCACATCATGTGCCTTCCTAACGAGGCCATGGCTTGCGACTATTGCTTTGTCAGATTGATTAATTTCTGCCGACGCCTCACCTTGCTAGATCCTGGTAGCACGGCATTTACTCAAGACTATACGACGCTTACAGGGTAAACAACTCATGTGGGGAAGTTTCGCCGTGAATATCCTCGCATGGTTGCTATGCTAGGTCAACGGTTTGAAGCGTAGTTCATGCGACATGTGAAGTTCCGCGATGAATAGCGTGGGTGATCAGCTGCAAAACTGTTGACTTGTTAACAAGAAACAAAGAAACATAAACAGTTTGTCTCACAATTAAAACCATGTGCCATATGCTTACAGGCATCAGAAGAAATCCACTCTGTTCCAAGCTGTTGCAAGAGGTATTCAGGGTAGGTCATTGACTTATTCTCCAGCCAACGTCCATTGTCAGAGTCACAATGCAATACGAATATTGGATAATTTTCAAGCCTTATAGTGATGAAGTTGAACAATTCATCTTAAATTAAAGGCTGACGTGACCTTATTAGTAGTCCATGTAACCATTTCTGAAACTTAAGATTATAAGATTGGAGGATTGGAAGGTCATAGGCCACTCTTGTGTGGCATATTGCAGCATAAAAGTCCACCCGTCTCAACCAACGAACTGGCAGGTATAATTTTATCTTGTCCTTCACGGCATGGCCACTGTGAATTATTGCAAAATATTGCAGGCTCAGAAGCAGCGAAAGCGGCTGCGATGCTACCCTAACTTATCTACTTTTATCAAAGCGTAACATGACTCTTATCTGTTAGGCCACCAACAGGCCTCTTATCGATAAGCACAATCGCAAGAACAACCCACCATCGCTGTTGATTATTTTGCGAACCTCATCATTGGCCAAATACTCATTCCGTAATCAGTATAAGCAAGCCCTCTGCGTCATGATTACACCGATACCTCCAATTAGGTTGAGGTTACCTTGCATTTACTGAAGACTTACAAAGCTCGTGTCAGCGACAGTCGTCTAGTGATCCTTGAATATGCACTTAGAGGCTATACGAGCCAGCCAATGTCACATTTGGCGCTGACAACTGTGAGCAATTTATCGTAGGCGTTCGAGATTCCGAAGATATGCTGTCTTGTCGGATCCTCATAACTTACCAGGCACCACTGGGTCCTTCTGTCTCACGTATTGCATCAATTCACTGCCTAAAATTTAGGAATTCCTCCTTTTGTAAGCCAAGACGCTTCTTGTCAAGTTCCGTTCCATCCGGTTTCAAAATGAACCCTCAGGCGGTGGAATCTCCCTTGTCGCAGTCCGCGACATTCCTCGTTCTCTCGGCAACAGACAACCCGGATGCCGACAAGACGATCCGATCAACATTGTCTAGCATTGCAGACATTACTAAGAATATTTCAATTCGCCACCAAACCGCAAACCTCTCATGCACTGTTGGCATTGGAAGCTCGGCATGGGATCGATTGACCCAACTTCCACGGCCTGCTGAGCTGCACCCTTTCAAAGAGTTCAAGGGATCAAAGCATACTGCTGTGTCGACGCCAGGTGATATCTTCTTTCATATTCGCTCGGAGAGAAGAGATATGGCATTTGAGTTTGAGAGACAACTCATGGATAGACTTGGTGATGCCGTCAAGCTTGAAGATGAGACAGTTGGCTTTAGGTATTTTGATACGCGCGATGTCCTTGGGTTTGTCGACGGAACTGCCAATCCAGTCGGCCCCGATGTCAAGGACTCGGTGCTTATCACTGCACAAGACGACTCTGCTGCTGTAGGGGGCAGTTATGTCGTGGTGCAGAAATATCTTCACGATCTCAAAGCATGGAAGACTCTCAAGACCGAGCAACAGGAAGCCATCATTGGACGTACGAAGCTGGATAATATCGAGCTTGATGATGCAGATGAAGGGCAACAGCAGTCTCATAAGAGCCTTGCTACGATTGAAGACGAGGGAGGAAGTGAGCATGATATTCTACGAGATAACATGCCCTTCGGATCTCCGGCTCAAGGCGAGTTTGGCACATATTTTATCGGGTATTCAAAGAAGCTTTGGGTAATTGAGAAGATGCTAGAGCGCATGTTTGTCGGTGTTCCACCTGGGATGCATGATCGGATTCTTAACTATTCGAAGGCAGTTACAGGCTCGACATTCTTTGTACCATCGGCTGATTTCCTTGCTGGACTTGACGATGATTAACTGCTGGGCAGGCTGTGATTGTCTTCAAACAACAAACAATTAGAACGAATAGCAACAAGTGTAAAACGTCCATGAATCAGCAAATAGTTTGTGATAGCACGCATAAAGTCATGCTATTCATCCCGTAACTCAGATTCAGTATAATCATAAATCTCCTGTGCCACATGTTTACTGCACAGTGAACGCACCCTCAGTAACTATCTCGGCCAATTAGATGTCACATTCGGTGCTGATACGGGCCGATCAGATCGACCTTCCCACCGCGTCAATAGCGCAGCTTGGTGATGTAATGTCAGACAGATCCCTCGCAATTTCGCTCACAATTACTTCGAAACCACGGCGCGTTTGCAATTTCTCTTGTTACTAAATACTTTGCAAATAAATCGTACGATGTCTAATGCTGGAATCTCGAAGAATCCACGCCCGAAACGGAAGAATCGACCTCGGCCTTTGCCGCCCGATGTCACGGCTAGAAACTTGGCTATTGAGAAACAACGTCGCGGAGAATTGAAAGAAGATTTCTTGGTGAGATTCATTAAAGAAATTTGAATACCAAGGGATCTGTCTCTAACAATGCATTGCCGCGAATAATTAGGAATTGGCGCGCCTTATCCCCGACCTTGCTAATACACGACGCCTTACAAAGGTGCTGATCGTAAACAAGAGCATAGAACATGTTCGGCAGCAACGGGCTCTTTCCCTTGCGGCAGCTAGCGATATGCAGGAAGTTGTTGACCAGAATCATCAACTTGTTGCGGAGGTGAATGCTCTGCGTGCTCAAATTGGAGGACCATCTATCCCTCAAACCCAGGTCAAGCCCATGACCCAAGCTATGACTCAACTAGCCGAAACAAAGAACCACGTCTTCGGAACCTTCCCAGCAGGCTTTGGAGATAACTGGGCGGAAGAATACTCCCAGGGTCAGCATGAGACAACACGTGAAGTGGACTTCTCACCTGATAATCCTAATGCGCCCCCTGTCCCGCATACAGATGTCAATGTTACACCAGGCAGCATACAAAGCAGCCTAGAAACTACTCCCGGATCTATGCCGGCCTCAGCATATCATGAACCTCAAACGAACTTCAACATGTGCTTGAATACAGCGCCCGGGCCTAGTTTTCCCTTTCCAGACCTTTTGGGTACCGGCCATTCTTATTTGGACGATCCTCTGATGGCGAATCTCTGGACTCAGGAGGTTATTGGTGAGGGTTCAGCTTGGATTGATGGTCTGAGTGGGAGCGACATTTCAGTTTTAGTTCAGAATGGTACAGGGGATAATGAGATACAGAGTTGTATTTAGCGAGAGTTTACGATCGGCTATAATGGTGAAAAAGGACATCATGATACTCAGAACTGCTTCAAAGCTTCTTCGATCGCATCTCGACTCTGCAATTCGTTCGCTTTGAATGCCTCGAGAGCTTCGGCTAGCCCCCTCTGAGTAACAGGGTCAGCAGCGATGGCTTGGGTCAATGCGGCCCCGTTGTCTGCCAGATACTCAATATCAAGTGCTGGAAGCCCAGAACAAACGGGACTGGCACGGGAATCAATCTGCGCCATAGGGGCAATTCGCTGCGAGGGAGTACCGATCTGCATTTGAGAGTCACCGCCAGGTGGCGGGTTCGCCTCAGCATCCAGTAGTGAGAGCTGGAGGAGGATATCCTCAGGAACAGTAACATGATCGCAGCCAAGCTCAGCCATGGCCATTGCCTCCCGAGCAGATATGAAGCTGGGTAGTAAAATTAGCTCGGGTTTCTTGCGCTCTAAAATTCTGTTACGTGCCTTGCTGGCTTGAGTACTGGTTGCGTCTTGCCAGTCGCTTCATGAAGGTGCTTGTAGACTTGCTGAATTTGTACGATTCTGGGTGAAATAGGATGATCGAGAGCTGGGTCTTTGAGATTAGGCCACTGCTCTCTGTCGGCGTGATACCAAGGAACTATGAGAAAGTAAGCATTTCGAAAGAGTCAGATAGGTGAGACTAGATCTTACAGTTGTAATAGGGGCTAATAGACAACGTCTCTGCCTGGCTGGCAGCGATAGCTTGGGCGACAGAGAACAGAGAAGTCCCCAGGGTCAAGATCCCTTCTTTGAGTAGAATTGGGCTGGCGTTCAGTGCAGGACCTGTGCACGGTATCTTGATACAAATTCGATCCTTTGAGATACCAAGCTTCTCGAACTCACGCGCATAGGATCGGGCCTGGGCTACAACCTTTTCAGTGTCGTATGCATGGAAAGCTGAAGTCTGAAGCAAGACCCGCCCCCGGATGTTCTCTATGTTTTTGGCACACAGCAGGGCACTCTGCAGATGATGATATGAATGAGTGACTACTATCAAGACATAGAAAGTGACATACCATACGATCAAGAATCACCTCCCATCCTCCTTCTTTGCCTTCTTTGACAGTTTTCAAGAACAGCTCGCGGTTCTTGGGAGAGATCATTTGCTCATAGACTAGACGTTGGTTGCTCGTTTGATCATGTGGCTTAAAAGGTAGAAATCTCTTCGCTTCTGCTGGGTCCATACAGTCAATGTCGACCTTGACTATCAAGCAATTCAATACTTAGAATGGCGATAGAGGAGAGGAAGAGGCTGTCGTACCTTGCTCCTGGAGCTTGTCAAGCCAGGTGACTTTACTCATGGTGAATGACCGCCGTATGGAAGATATAGAGATTGCAGGATGAAAGGTAATCTGAAGATTGTAGAAAAATGGAATAAGAAGAAGAAGAAGAAGAAGAAGAAGTATGGCTTCATTTATAGTTGAACGACAACACTGAGTGATAATGGGCACTGGTTGTTGACAGGACAGCGCAAGACGTCGTGGTGAGTAACGGGCGAGACGCTAATGCATGGACTGTACAGTTCCTTACAACCCCGGAAATACTAACCATTGCCATTGAGTAGGCGAGAATCACTGTACAGTAACCTGGCCCTTCCAAGTACTACAAACTGTCCAATTTCCTCGTCCTCGTAGCGACTGTACAGTCATGGCATAATGCCGTGCGGATCTTTTGATATCTCTGTTGCAGACTAAACAGGAGAAGAATGTTTCAAGTACAAATTGATACCTCAGTGGAGGATGCTACACAAACCCTTCTCATGAGATGTATGCGATGGATACTTTGACTGCTTGTCACAAGATGGACCATCAGGGAGTAACTAGTAATGTAACAAGATTCGCCATAGTCTTCGTCCTCTGAATCATTCATATAAAGTAAAATATATTGGGTGAGGTCTAGGACTAGAAATACGTTTCATCTTTTCCCAGGAATATGACTAGAAAACGCTGATTCCACCATCTACAAGGATATCTGCACCCGTAATGTAACTACCCGCTTTGCTCGCGAGCAAGACAACGGCACCCGTGAGCTCCTCCGGGTTTCCCATGCGGCCATATGGGGTTCTCTTTGCCCAAATAGCTCTATGCTCGGCCAAACCGTCTCCCTCGTTTAGAATAGTATCCATGTACCCAGGACTGATACTATTGACACGGATACCGTGTATCGCCCACTCTGCGGCGAGTGAGCTTTTCATGGAGATGATAGCCGCCTTGGCCGCGTTATAATGGACTTGAGGCTGAGGAAAGTTGACTATATGGGCTGATATGCTTGCCATCAGAATGATTGAACCACCTGTTCCTCTGCTTGCGATGGACTTCGCAACAGCTTGCGCTACCAGGAATGCACCCGTGGTGTTGACATCAAACATGGTCTTGAATTGTTGCGGAGTGATATCCAAAGCATGCGCAGCAAAGGCGATACCTGCAAAGCAGAGGCAGATGTTAATGGGGCCGATGATTTGCTCTGCGTTCGCAACGGCGGCTGTAACGGACTCAGGATCCGTCACATCAACCTTGGTAAATGTGATCCTTGCTTCAGGAAAGTCGCTTTGAAGACCGGCGACAGTCTTTTTCCCAGGATCAGGATGCAGGTCAAAGATAGCTAGTCCCCGGAGTCCGTGTTCAAGCAGAGCTCGACAGGCGACAGACCCAATATCTCCAGCACCCCCAGTCACAATGGCATTGCCCGTGACCGCGAATCGAGCTCGTGCTCGGCCCAGAGATGTGGTGATGGAGTGATCATGTTCTGGGGGAGATGTAATAGAGTTGGCTGAGCCATCACTTAATTGCATTGACGGCGGAGCGCGGAACTTGAGTTCAGATCGTGCGACGGACATTTTGGCAAGAATTGACTGTGACAAAGGCTAGTGCACTTGATGTGACGCGGGTAAATATTCGGATGTGCTGGTAGACAACAATAACGACCACTGCAGTAGAGAGGAAACGTCAAAGTATTTGTTGGATGACACTTCTCAATTATAGTTCTAGCATGATGACTTCGGTTCAGTCTTGACTGAGATACTTACTGATGTCGTAAGCTGGTACTGTACAGTAACCACGCCGATCAATGGAGTTTTCAAACGCTTCTCAGCCAATGAAACTGGGTGAGTATGTGTTACTGTACAGTAACCGCATTAGCGCTCACGGTCGCCTCCGCAGAGGCGATCAAACCGCTGTCATTGTTCAGCCATCAGGCTACAATTGCATAGATTAGCAAAATCACTAATGTTGAGCAAGATTGGATGAGATAGACGAAGAATCCAGGACTCCCTCAGTCGAAAGTATCGAGTGTATTGGGTCAATTCAAACGAAACGTTTGTTATCTCTCGGTTCGATGCCATGGGGCACAGTTTGATGAGGATACGAGCCGCCAGTTTCTAGCTTCTATCTATCTGACAAGCTCCCACTCCTCGCCAAAGCCATCAGTCTTGAAGAGAGAAGCATTTCCAAGGTTATCAATCTCTCCCTGCGCAAGGAACATGTTCTTCAGATCATTGAAGTACATGCGGCCTCCACGTCCACTTAGGACAACCTCGCCATTGTCATTGACGCTGACATACTTTTGGGCAGTTCCTCCAACTGCACCGACGGAGATGTAGTCTTTCCCAATGATGACGGTCCTGTTTCTATCGCTGTCGCGCTCCCCATCAAGACGGAAGAGAAAACGAGTGCGGCCCTGCTTGGTCGCATAGATCAAACCATCCTTTGCAAGCCAGTATAGATCTGGGCTAGATTTGGATCGAATGTAATAACTATAGTTCATTAGACAAATCAAGACGAGAGAAACAGCTCAGGAAAGACTCACGATTCGCCACTGACGACATCAGTCCTCTCGGGTTGGTTGAATGTAGAAATGATACGGCCATCTCGATCATTCAGCAAAGTGTACATGATCTTATTTATGAACGAAGGAGCAAGATCCCAAGCCTGGGCTCCACTGCCCCAAGAAAAGAAATCAGGGGCAAGACGCTTGACATGCTCTGGATCTTTAGTTGAGGCCTCGCGCCACCACTCATCAATAGTCTCAGCATTAGGAGCAGCAAGTAGGTATCGGTAGTTTGGCTCTGAGGTTTGCTAAAAGAAGTCAGAAAGCTGATTTTTACGACTGTCAAAATTTGTAGACGTACCCATTTGAGAAAAGCGTAGTAGACCATGTTGGGCTATGAAAGTCGGCTGAAGTAAATCGAAGTTTGAGAGTCTTGAGACTATAGATGAGATGAAGACTGACCTTTGAATGAGGAAATATACTAGAGCGTTCTCAATGCCATGCTTTATACGCAACCTAGATCAAGCAGCTACTTGTACTCTCTGACAACATACTGAGACTTCGTTCACTCTCGAGCATCATAGCTGATCACCACCGCCAAGCCACGGAATGTCCTCAGGTGATGCTGATGCCATCTAAATTTCCTCATTCTAAGAGATTTCATCATAATTTACTACCGCTTACCCTTTTCTCAACCGGTTCAACACCTGCCTTGTCTCAGTATTTACCAACAAGGAATCTCCGCACCGAAGAAGGCTGGCTGAAGGCCCTCAGAAACCCTGGCGAAATGAACCGATTCCAAGGAGAACGAGACAATAGTCTGTCGGAAGGGTTCCGTCAGCATTTGCCTGGTAAATGCCGACGTCAATTTGAGACTTGACTGAAAATTTCGTCTCGAATGGGGATAGTAAGAGACACGGGACGGTCGATGTGTCTGACAGCTACATTGATCTGCGTCACATGCCGGTCCGTCGCAAAAGCACAGCGAGATGCGGGCACATTCCTCATGTAGCTGCACACGAAGGCTGGTGATGGTGACGAAGCCGCCAGAGTTAATCTCAGCCCTCTTATCTGGACTGCCTATAATGTAGTTGATCTCGGAAGTTGGCCAATCCGAGGAAACTCAAGCTATGCGATGTCTAAGAAGATCCCTGCACGAGCATCTCAGCTGAGATCGCTATCATGCAAGGATGGACATGACCAGAAGCAGGCTGGCTAAGCTAGATGGCAGCTGCACGAGAGAGAATTGGGAAACAACATACGCAAAACTATTGGACCAAAATAACATATGACCTACGGAGATCTCAGAAATTGACTTTGGCAAAACGGCCTGTCTCAAATAAAACCCCTTCCGTCGCTAGATCCGATGGCCCGTTCCGAGCTGGGAGTCGACCGTCTGCAAACCTAAACCTTGAGACATAGTAAAGGGAGGCCTAAAATGCTACATCTGTACGTCACGATAACATTAGTGAGACAAAAGTCCATCCAGGACGGCAAGCAACCGTACAAGACACTCAGCTGAAGGCCTCACATCTGACACATGTTCCAGCAATGTGAAAATCATTACCCAAAGCAAGTCCAAATAGTGATAGGAGGCTGTACAGCTTCCCAAAGAAGATTTGCTGACATCGGCAGGGATGCGAGGTAAGCTTTTTGGTAGCTTAAGGTGACACATTGTCTGTGATGATGGTCCATGGGCGCACGCTCCGACTCCCCGGCATCATGGTCAAAGACCCAAGGTTTGTATCACAGGTTGATTCTCCCTCATGTCAGAGCAGCCTCGTTGCTGGGTTCAGGACAACCGTCTCGGAAGAAAAACTCTTGACATTTCGTGAGATGTCAGAAGAAACGCGGCCAGTAGACTATCGACAAGCAGGTAGGCACCAAGACAGTGCTCAGGATGTTAGAATGGCTGAGACTATTGCATAAGAGGGCGAGAGCAAACCAAGAGCGTACCAAGTTTTATCCTAAAATGTCCTAAACTTGTCGAACTATTTTATCACTTAGGATTTTATCCCTAAGTTTTTCGCTATCCCTATGTAGTATCCCTATATTGAGATCCAGCTGATTGTGAGATCCCAGCCGGACTAAGGTTATAATGACAGGAAGGCCCAATGACATCAAGCCCCAGGCCGTGAGAGTTTCATCCCCGCATCCTAAGAATGCAGTTGAGAGTCAATCTCTGCTCAAAAGGGACAGTTGTAAATCATGCCAGCCACCAACCGGCACAAGTAAGATGAGAGCCCCCATTTGAACCAAACTCCAACGAAAAGCTAAAACAACGAATTTCGGCCGGAATAGCGACATCCGAGGATTGACGGCCGTCCACGAATACCGAAGATTTCCAGCCGTGGCGTTGCTGGGTCGGGCCATATGACTGCCAAGAAATCATGCCGTCAACGAAAGTAGAGAGATGTGAATGAGGGATCCAAGGAAAGACTGAAAACAACGAATTGGAGAGGAGATTTTGTAGATAAAAGAGTACCTCATTCGCACTCCAAAGTCGTAATCACCCCCTCACCTCTTCATCCTACTTCACTTTCTTTTTTGTTTCCCAATCATGTATGAATCCTGGAAGACCATCATCGCACTCTCCAGCTTTGTGCTGAGCACCACAGCTAAGGACGTGCCCTTCGATGCTCATCTCATGGTTCAGCAAGCTGGACTGCCTTCCGTGCTCAGCAATGGCTCCAGCCCGCCTCCTCAGCTTGACATCCCAAGCACTCGTCCAGCTCGGTCCATCGACCTGAGCCAGATTGTGCCTGTCCAAGATGCTTCTGGTAACAGCCGTTGCTGTCCCATCGGAACTGTCAACGATGGTACTGGCTGTGTTTTCCCTCACTCGTCTGTCTGTCCTGAGGGTACTCGTCTTGAGGGAAACACTTGCATCAGCGAGAAGCCACCCAAGTGCCCTGATGGTCTGATCTACAATGGTCGCAACTGTATTGGTACCGCGCCTAGCTGCCCTCCTGGTAGCCGCTTCAACGGCGAGTCCTGCGAGTCCGAGGCCGAACCACGTTGCAACCCTGGGTTCAAATACCAGGACGGCAACTGTGTGTCCCTTTCTGAAGCTGGATGCCCTCCAGGATTCACTCTAAAGAACCGTCTTTGTACTTCAAGCAGCAAGCCTCAATGCCCTGCGCCTCTCAAGTACGAGGATGGTAGCTGTGTCGATTCGAAGCCGCCGGCTTGCCCTCCTGGCAGTAAACTAGCCGACGGCAACTGTATTGGCGAAGTTCCTCCATCCTGCCCTCCCGGCTATGTAGTCAACAAGGGAGTATGCACCCACGAGTCAAAGCCAAGATGTCCTCCCGGATCCAGCTTTGATGGGACTGCTTGTGTCTCCGAGAAACCCCCGTCTTGTGAGCCAGGCTTCTTCAACGGCAAGGTCTGTGAAGACAAGCCCTCCTGCCCCCCTGGTTTCAACCTCGAGGGAAGAGTCTGTGTCTCTGAGAGCAAGGCCACCTGCCCCGGTGGAACCTACATTGTCTCCGACAAGACCAGTGGAAAGTCAGCTTGCTGCTACAAAAACTTTGACTTCAATGGAGACACCTGCTTCAAGTCTGTTGACCATGAAGATGACTGCCCTCCTGGAACACACTATGATAAGGGTCGCTGCTGGATTAGCCCTACTGAAGAGCCCAGCTGCCCTACCGGTGGAAAGTGGAACGGAAAGACTTGTATCGTTCAGTCTGTTCCTCAGTGCCGCGCTGGTCAATACACTAATGGGCGATGCATTATCTCCGAAAGCCCTCGTTGCCGTCCTGGCGCAGTGTTCAACGGAGAGAACTGTGTCCTCGAAGATCGCGCGGCTTGCCCTCCCGGAAGTGTTCTCAGCGGCAAGAAGTGTATCTCCAGCACTCCTCCTGTCTGCGAGCCTGGCCACACTCTGACCGGCGACTACTGTATCTCTGAAGAGCGTCCTCAATGTCCTCGTGGATCTACTGTCGTTGGCAGATACTGCAAGTATCCCGATCTTCCTGTCTGCGAGCGTGGCACCAACCACCATGATGACGACTGCACCTCTTCCATTACCCCAGAGTGCCCTACTGGAAGCTCTTTCAATGGGGTCAACTGTATCTCTAACGATCGTCCTATTTGCAGACCTGGTTATATCTTCAACGGGGCCACCTGTGTCTCCGAGAAAGACATCCCAGCCTGCCCCAACAACATGCAATTCGATGGTACCAACTGTGTTTCAAAGGAGCGACCTATCTGTGATCCTGGCAAGTCTTTCGATGGTGGTGCTTGCGTCGATCACTCTGATCCCCAGTGCCGCCCTGGTCTTGTTTTCGACGGCACCAGCTGTGTTTCCAAGGAGCCTCCCCGTTGTGAGCCTGGAACAAGCTGGAACGGAAGCAAGTGTACTTCTGAGAAGAACCCTGGCTGTGCTCCTGGTATGAAGTACAACTCTGAGACTGAGACTTGCGACTCATCTCTGAAGCCCCGTTGCCCTACTGGAACTGAGCTCAGAGATGATATCTGTGTTTCCGTAACCCCTCCTCAATGCCCCACTGGGACCACCAGAAAGGGTGGCAAGTGTGTCTCTGTTGAACCTCCCCGTTGCCCTCGAGGTCTTACTCCCAGTGGTGGTCTTTGCATCTCCACCAAGCTACCTGAGTGTGGCGAGGGCACTATCTTCGATGGCAAGCGATGTGTCATTGGCAAGACCGAGGAGTGCTATACCCTTCACACCTGCCCACCTGTTGGTGCTCCTGGTCTCCCTGCTCTGGCTGGCCACTAATCCTATTTCTTCCAACCCCCTATATGTATCAGTAGTACGAGCCTCAACTCACAAATTGACAACTTTCTTTCTCTCGATTTCTTTTTGACAATGATCGTAATATCTATACTTTGTTTATCTTTGTAGGTGTGATTCACCTAGACATTTAGCTGCCCGAGAGACTGTGATTGTACTTGTATTGATTTTCTATGCAGCGAAAGAGCGCATCTAGCAGCACTATCTGGTATTGATCAATCGCAATCTTCTGTTTACACAGATAAGTCGCCTTTATCGCCAGCTGCCCGAGAGTCATCTGCTTTTTGGGTTGTGTATATCGACTCAGAATATAAGATTCATAAATTTACCTAAAGTTATGATGACAATCAATATGTTTTAGATGATGTCAATCGCAGTTTTACCTAAATTTATGATAATAAACCTAACGTTAGTTAACAGTAAACATATGTTCAAGGCCCCATGAGTCAACTTTAAAATATCGGTAGTATTGATTTTTCACTATTGATATATCCTATCTAAATATCCTCCAGGGTGAACCCTTTGCATTTAAGCACCATTGCCGTTGTAAGCCACAGAGTTGGGGCTTCCGCTGAGGGTACCAGTGATTCTGCCAGTGGTGGCGAGAGACTTGATACGGTTGGTAACAGAGGCGGGAGTGGTGAGACCCTCAAGAACCTGGAGGTACAGAGCAAGACCAGCAACGTGAGGGCAGGCCATGGAGGTACCGCTGATAGTGTTGGTGGCAGAGTTGGAGCCGATCCAGGTGGAGAGGATGTTGACACCAGGGCCGAAGACATCGACACCAGCACCGTAGTTGGTGAAAGAAGCAGGGCGCCAGCTGGAGTCGATGGCAGCAACGGTCAGAGCGTTGGGAGCGTTGGCGGGAGACTGGCCAGAAACGGGAAGAGGTCGGCCGGAGTCATCACCGTTACCGGCAGCAACAACAGAGAGGACACCAGAGTTGTAGGCAGCGTTGATGGCAGAGGTCCAGGTCTGAGAAGCGGGACCGCCAAGAGACAGGTTGATAACAGAGCGACCAGCACGGCTCTTGGAGGTGATGTCGTTGACAGCCCAGTTGAAACCAGCAAGGATAGTGGAGGTAGATCCCTCACGGCCAGCGAAGACCTTGACGGAGATGATGTTGGCCTAGAAAGCTGGTCAGTGTTTGGGTTGAAAGATTGTAGAATATTTGACATACCCGCTTGGCGACACCGTAGGTAGTACCAGCGATAGTACCGGCAACGTGAGTACCGTGGCCGAGGGTGTCCTCGTGAGCACCACCAACAGCGTTGTAACCAAGAGAAGCGCGGCCACCAAAGTTGGTGTGGCTGACCTGGACACCGCTGTCAACGACGTAGGCGTAGGAGCCTTGTCCGGCAGTGGTGTCGTAGATGTAGCTGGTAGAGCCGGAGGTTCGGTGGGAGATAGTACCGAGACCCCATGGGGCACCAGACTGGGTAGTCAGAGCACGGTCAGCAAGCTCGGGCTCAGACTCCTCGTAGCTGAGGTACATAGTGTAGTCAGGCTCAACGAAGGCAACCTATAGCATGTTAGTGAATGAATGACTAAGACTAGATGCTTAAACAAACCTCAGGGCTCTTCTTAATCTCAGCAATGGTGGACTTGTCGAACTCGCCAGAGTAAGCGCTCCAGCTGCTGATGTTGAAAGTCTTCTCAACACCAGAAGTGTCACGCTTGTTGAGGCTGCGGCGGTGGACATCGCCAACCCAGTTCAAGTGAGCCGCAACAGAAGAGTCGGAAGCATCAGGCTTGAGGGTGATGATGTACTTGTCGGGAACAGCCTGTCGCTTGGAGAGGATATCGGCAGGAGCAGCGAGGACTGCGGGGAGCAGAGCTCCAAGAGCCAGAGCGAAGCGACGGATGCTAGTCATGATGAACAGAGAGATACAAGAGGAGATGAGGCTGTGTGGATGAGGATAGTAAAGTTGATTATCGTGGTGATCGTCAAGTGTATTTATACACAGATCAGCATGAATATACCTTAAGCTGATTGATAATACAATTAGATCCAATCATCCATATCATCAACACCAAGTCTTGCGTGATAGCGTTGAGTTTGGATAGAGATTATTCAGCTTCCTAAACCGTCACGGCGGCCGAGGTGTCCAAGTAAGGAAAGTGATAGTGGGTGAATAGTATCAAGCAAAAGTGCCTATGCCAAGACAGACTTGTAGCGGAGTTAGCCTCGAAATATCTTGGCTAGCTACCTCGTAAGACTATGCTCCTCCTTGACTATGTCGCTGGTGATTGGAGTTGGGTATCAAGGTCCATAAACCTAACTCTGAAGGTGTTACTTCTGCCCATAACGAGTTATCAAGACGAAAATAGCTCATAAACGTTGCAAAGATGTTTGTTTTCAAGGGTCCAACAGTATGCCAGGGCATGAATGCTGCCAATGCTGGGGTTCAGGTTCAGCCGCGGGGTCATATGCTGTCATCAATTTCTTATCACCTCGAATGCTCAGAGCTGCTTAATCCTTCCCGTACCTTTTCTCCTAGCGAACATCGGCCTCCCCCGCCATCTGTTTTGCCATGACCGCTATCTCGTTCGGGGCCGCTCCTCACAAAGGGAAAGGTGCGCCGGCTCCCTTGGACGGGATGAGCCCCCTTGTTAGGGAAAATCATAGTGTCGATCCGGCAAAGGGAGCAATATGGCGCAATATGATGGGATGAATTCGAGGTAGTGCTGAGTTGATCGGCAGTAGAGGCCTCGTGTGACCCTGGTACCCCTGGACCTAATCCTCTTTCTAATGAGCTCGCGTGATTCGGACACATTACCCATACGGGAATATCCTAAGGTTCTTATGTTTGCACTAAAGAGTATGCTTAGTTTATGCATGCGAGATACCTGGCTTAGCGCTCAGCTAGCAGACAGGGGGTATCGCTGATTCCGCGAATCAAGACCTAAAACCTCACCACTATCTCGGTATTAATGACTAGTGCGATGTCGACCACGGAGGTGCAAATAAAGTGTCGGCGATAGGGATTTTAATTGGAGTGTCAGATAAGCTTGACTATGGTCTTGGCTTCTAGCGAGCTTCTTAAATCGGGTATATGTGATGACATGATACGAGAGCGATCGTCGGGCCGGGAGTTGTTGGCCTGCCTTGGCATTCACCGCTTTGACCTGCCTGTGAAGTGTGACTCAAGATAGCACGGAACCGATTAGGATAGCATTAGTGCCGATCTCATCTGGTCAATGAGGGGATATTCCAGTCTCACGATTGAGTCTATCTGCAGATATCCTATAAAGACAGTACAGATACATTGGATGCCTCTTCCTCTCCTACAGCTATGCATCTCTCCCATTTCAGTACCCAAACATGGCTAGTCCACAAATACCCGCCGCTCCACCTTGACAGGAAGGGGTCCAGGGTTCGAATTGAATCGATCAAAGATGACGAAGCCCATCTCTTGGTCCGCCAAGTACATGCTGTATCTCCGTACCAGGGTTGAAATCAATATCTGCAATTCAACAATCGCAATGTGCCTGCCAAGGCATTGACGCGGTCCCTGACTAAAGACGATGTAGTGCCTTCTGAGATTGGACAATTGCTCTGGGTCAAACCACCGCTCAGGATCAAATTCATCAGGGTTCTTATACAGTTTCCTGTTCCGGTGAATAGTCCATGGTGAAACTGCAACAGTCGTGCCTTGTTTTATGTGATGGCCCGCTATAATGGCGCCTTCAGGAGAAACCACAAGACGTTGCAAAGCGTAGGCAATTGGGGGTCGAAGTCTCAACGACTCGTCAATACATGCTCTCAAATATGGAAGGTCTTTAGCAGAATGGTATGAGACGATTCCATCGTGACCTGGCCCTAGTCTGGCGTCGATCTCCGCTCGTAGCTTCTCGAAGCATTGCAAAGTCGTTTGACAAGTTTGGCGCATCGTATACTAGATAGCTGAGCTAAAGTCGTGGATAACCTTGTCCCTCGATGCAATGTATCAATGGTACTGGGGATACAATATTCTTGCCTTCCAGGAGATTTCACTCTTGTCATATCGCATCTACCTGCTAAGAAGCCCAGAGGGAGGCCAAAAGCCATATCCCCGATGACATCCAAAGTGAAGTAGTTAAACCTTTGCCAGATCAGTATACTAGGTCCACGCGGAACGTTTACTTACCATCGCCGAATATCTAGTGTCTGACTGAAAGGGATGTTGGTGTTCTGGGCCGCAACATCATCCAAGTGGTTCAGTAATCTCTGTAAATTCTGCCTGATGACAGGTTCCATATCTGTAACAGTTTTGAGGGAGAATGAGTTGGAAAGGTATTTCCTTCGCTGAGAATGATCACCATGATCAATGACGTTGACAATATCGCGCTCTTCGCCAGCAATCTTGTCATAAACAGTGTCTTTCACAAACTTTCGAGCTGCAGCATGGCCATATATGTCTGGTACGGCTTCCGGGATATTGAAGATGATGAGACTAGGTGCTATTCGGATGACATCGCCAAGTCTTTCATGCTGATGATGGATACTTCTGGAGCGTCGCTGGAGCCATGTCTCCTTGAGGATCCAGAATTCAGTGGTTGCTGCAAGGAAGCTAGGGGCCGGATACTTTCTCAAGTCAAGAGGACCAAGAACATAGTGAAGAAGAGATCTCCAGATGAGGAATGCTATTAAAGCAACAAGAACAAAGAATGCCAACTCTGCTGCGTTCATTAGCAGTGAAATCATGATGAGAGACCTTTGAACAGCTGAGTGAACTGCAATGCATGCTTTTAAGTAGATTATCTCATGATACTTATAGTTGGGTAATATATATGTCAAAGCTTCGGACAGAATTACTCATGAGAGCAGCTCTGGTCTACGACTCCATTAAAGTATTCGATAGTGGCAGTTGTAATTCAGCCAATGCCTGACATTCGATCATAATTCCCTCGTCGAGGATCGGGAATGATATCACTCTCCGATGAATCACGTTTTGCTGCATGTTGTCGAATTATAGTTTGTGGCGTCGTGAAAGGTACAGCATTGAACACTGACAAAGAAGCTCGGACAGAAACACCTAAAGAGGCAATTTAGCACTACTGCACCCCGCCCTTTTAGCGTAGGCAACCACATACAAGTCCCCTCGACCAGATTTCCTTCAAGGGATTTCAAATTCTCGACCATATTTTCCCAATTCTGCTCATGACAACACGGTTGTTCTGTCACTTTGCATTCTTCAAGGGGCCGACGCGGTAAAATGGGTCGAAGGTCACAGCACACAGCCTGGTATGGTGCATTCCCTTGGCAACGCCTCGGGTATCATTTGAACTGACGTAACTCACAGTCAGACATGTCAAGATCGTCATTTGAAATGCAAGTTCCGCCTTGGTATCAAAATAAGCTATTGTGCCTATCCTGGCCTAACTTTTAAAAGGCAATCCAACTAGCTTGCCCTGCTCGAACTGTACAAAGTCAAGGAGAGAATGCAGTCCAGGATCATTCTTCCTATTCCGCCCGGGCATCAAGACCGGAACCTCTAAGATAAGAGGTACTATTCGTCGAAATCAAAAGACAGCAGTCTTACTTGAGGATGTCAACTCCCATAGTCTTGAGGCATCCTTGCATTTAGCTAATACTTCAAACCCCGACTCATCTTTAACAAGAGATCCACGGGTCCCAACACCGGCGGCCCACAAAGAAACAACTGTGTTAGATTCGCTCGACAACGGCCAGACTTATCAAAACTGCAACATCAACCCACTTAGTATTAGCGAGCTTCTTTGTAGCGAGGTTGATGGTACCTTGTCCGGTGGACACTACACTACACCGCCTCTCACGGCCAAGCCTGGCTCACTCTATTTCGATCGCTTTATCGAACAGACTATTGACCAGCGCGGAGCAGAGCTCTTACTACACTTCAAGAAAGTCATAGCGCAACCGTGGGTAAGGTTTCGGTCTGCTAAGTTGGCCTTTTTGAACTCTAATTATGGCCATGTAGTTCCAAGTCACAGATCCTGACTTTACTAACGAAGCTCTTCGACGAGCCTCAACATGTCCTCTTCTTCTCTACTCACTACTCGCTGTATCCAGTAGTCATAAAAGTCGCCTTCTGGATGATCCAGATGTCGCACAAGACTATGCGAGATACGGTGAGGAATACCATGAGAAATGCATTAGTTTATTGTTGCCTATGCTCAACGACAGTGAAAGCATCACAGATGGTGCATTCCTAGCATGCTCCACCATCCTCCGATGGTACGAGGAGCTCAGTGGTGAGTAATCAGTAATGTGAGATGATCATTGTTTAACTTTCTTAGCACCTATCCATGGAAGAGATGATGCAAGACACTTATTGGGAGGCTACGCATCAGTCGCCGAGTCTTTTAAACAGGATCTGCCTTGGGAGGGGTTTCGACGGGCAGCACTATGGATTCACCTACGCCAGGATATTTTTAATGCTGTCATTAACCAGAGAGTACCCAGAACTAATGTCAACCGATTGGGAATTGATCGCAGTTCCTCACCCGCTGACGAAACAACTTGGGCCAAGCGAGTACTCTGTCTTGAGGCCGAGGTCGTCGAATACTGCTTCAGCCACGAGGTATCATCAATCCAGACGTATGCATGCCTTGAATCCCGGTTGAATGACTGGGACCGTCAGAAACCACAAACCTTCACGCCAGTCTTCTATCAAGAGCGTGATCCATCCCAAGGAAGATCATTTCCCGTTGTTTCTGTGCTCTTGGATAGTTGCGGTAAGTAATCATCTGGGTCATGCACCAATATCTTCTCTGACTATGTGTAGTGTTCGGTTTGAGCCATTACTATTTCGCTATGCTCATGATGCTCGTCCACGATCCCCGCACGCCGAAAGTCGGTACTCAGTATCTAGAATCTCAGAAGCAAACCAGAGTCAGCCTCGTAATCTCGAGGTCAATCATCCTATAACTGACTACCTTCCAGATCAGAATACTGTATTTCTTGAGGTTGTTGTGCGGACTCGCCTGCTCAAGTCCGGTTCCGCCCGCCAGAGGGATAACCTGCCTGGCCCTTTCTCTGTGTAAGAAAAGACAGATTGCTACCTGGGTTTAGAACTAATTATGTTTATGACAGTCGGGTCATGGATCACAGATCACGCGGAACGAGATGCGGCGATAAAGGTCTTGAGGAAGGTCGATCAAGAAGATGCCTGGCCAACATCGAGTTTACAACGAGACTTGCGGGCTCAGTGGGAAAGCAGAGAATAAAAGAGACATATAAAGAGATTTGAACTTCGTTACGAAGGATATACCCATATACATAACCTTCCTGCAAGAATATCAAGGCCTCGGCTGAGAACTCGTATTTACCTGGCCAAGACCCCACGTCTGACTTCTACGTCATCGATCTTACTTATTTAGTGTCGTCCTAACATTTCATTATTCCCTAACACCCATCAACAACGAAAAATAGGGTAAAATGCCGTCCCTGAACAGTTGGTGGTGGAATTTCCTCGAGAACTATGCCTATGCAGTGCCAGAACCTCCACCTCGAAAACGCACCAAGCCTATGGAGGTGCTCTGCGTGGGCTTACCTAGGTCTGCAACTGAGTCTCTCCAGACCGCTCTATTGAAACTTGGATACATCATACCTATCACGGATGGGATATTGTGTATGAGACACCAAACTACTCATCAAAGTGGGTTCGTCTGTGCCGCAAAAAGTGAGTCAATGTTCTTCATCATTGCGCAAAGTTACTCACATAGCTGAGATGGTTTGGCTCGCTCGATGGCAACACTACTATTACGAAAGAAGAGTTTGGCGAGGTACTTGGGCAATCTGTAGCTGTCACAGATGCCGCTGGTTCGGTGTTTGCGGCTGAACTCATCGCCGGATATCCTGATGCCAAAGTTGTACTCAACTACCGCGAAGACTTGGATGCGTGGCATGAGAGTGCTGTGAAGTCTTTAGTAAGCGTCCACGAGAATTGGGTTCTATATATACTATCGTGTCTCGGGAAAGAGCCGTTCTGGGGCTGGCACGTTTACGAGAGGTTTATGTGGCCTGGCCTGTTTCGGGCCCTGGATGGCAACATTGAGACAGGAATTGCGAGAAATGGTAAATGGGTTTGCAAGGGTAGGCAACATGCATTGCGTTCCAGAAGCGCTTCAATAATCATTGAGAACCATTGTACTGACTAGAAACACAGAACATTGCAACATGATCCGCGGCCTCGTACCGAAAGAAAAGCTCCTCGAGTGGACTGTTGAGGGCGGATGGGAATCATTCTGTAAGTTCTTGGACAAACCAGTGCCTGAAGAGCCCTTTCCTCACGTTAGCAAAGCTTCTGGCTGGGAGAATCACGAAGCAGAAGTTACTAAACGATATCTGATGAGTGCCTTGTCAGGCGTCGCTCTCTTATCTGCTGTTGGAATTGCAACAGGCGCCATCGTATATAAAACCATGTGGTGAAAGCCTTGTACTCATGAGAAAACGAGCCTTTGTGATTCAATGTTGTTAGAGTTGACATCGAAGATATCTGCAAAGTCTTCTGGTACATCAATTTGAACCAGCCATTTTACTAGATGTATTGAGTTAAGAAAAGTAAATAACGCCAATGAGTAACCCCTCCAGCATGGATGTAAACAAACCGAAACTGTCAAAATCGTCAACCCTTGACATAACCTTCGTTGCTCTTAAACCTCATAAGTCATGGACAATGCTAACATAAATATCTTCCAGATACGATGTCCCCACAACAAGCTGAACCTTCAACCAGACTATACCCAATAAGAAAGCCCCAAGGCGGATCAAGTCGTCACTCCGAAAGGCGGAGATGCTAAACCTGTAGCTATTCAGCCGCTCCTCATGCCTGCTAGCGCCATCTGAAAAAACTTCATGATATGATCAGGAGTGCAATTTGCAACCCACGCATGGTCTTGGCGGCTGAGAGCTCTGGTAGACTCCCGGATTCTGCGGCCCAGAGACATTGAGAAAGCCCACTGCACCCTTGTCGAGGCGGAAAATGGAATGGTCAACCAGTGTATACGTTCCTGGGACAGCCATCTTCAAGTCAACGATTGTTGATCCGCCGCAAGGAACAGAAACGGTCTGAATACCCTTTGATGGGTTACTGGTCACGCCACCATCTCGGTACACATTCTTGAAGTGCGTGCCAATGATGTGGAATGAGCTAGTCAGGTTTGGTCCAGCATTTCCGAAGAAGATTCTCACATCATCACCGACATGAGCCTTGAGGGGATGATCTCTTGTCAAAGCAGACTCGCTGCCATTGAAGGCAACGACTTGGGGCTCCTCACGAAGACCATTGGGATAAGAGAATTCGACAATTTCGGATCGTCGACCGTCATCGTCAACCTCTGGTGGTTCGTGGTAGAACTCGCTCTGCATGACATAATACTCCTTGTCCACAGGCGGCAGGTCATTGCCTTCTGGCTGCACATACATGAGGCCGTACATACCGTTGGCGATGTGAACGGGAACAGGGGCAGCAGCGCAATGATATACATAGAGACCAGGATAAAGCAGCTTGAAGCGACCAACCTTGGTTTCGCCCTCTTCAGCTGTAGTCACAGCAGCACCGCCACCAGGACCAGTGAATGCGTGACAGTCAATGTTGTGAGGATTTCCCGCGGGATCCTTGTTGGTGAGACTTAGTTCAACGACATCCCCGACTTTAGCGCGAATAAAAGGGCCAGGGACAGTGCCGTTAAACGTCCACTGTTCGTATTTGTACTGGCTGGTCAACTGTGCCAGTTTAGTTGTAGTTATCAGTGGAACCCTGACAAGAGCAGGATGGTCTCTTGTGATAGAGGGAGGAACATTTGGTGCTGTTGTGAGAATCGCGTCTTCTTTGGGGAGCTTTGAGATCAGCAATGTCTCGTCGTCAACTGTCTCGAAGATCTTGTGCTTGTGATCTCCGCCGATAGCAGGGACCATAGCGATGGATGCCTGAGACTGTCAGCTATATCCGAGACTTATACAGGAATATTACTTACCTCATCATCGACACAGCATGAAAGAGGCTTCCCTTGATATGTAGTGGTTTGCTCATCTTCGCAACACCCGGCTGCCTTCTCTTGGATTACCTCGGGCTTTTCGTCCACACAATGAGCGCAATTTATCTTCTCCGGTGCCAAGCTCATCCTCATGGGCTGGGGACTTCGTTGGTAAAGGTAGTAACTGAGGGCAATCCCTGCGGATACAGCTAGTACTGGAGTGATACGAGCATGATTAACTTGGCTGTTGGGCCTCGTCTTTGATGAAAAGGATCTTGCTCCGATCACCGGAGTCCGCCTGACTGGAAGTGATAGGCTTCTGATGAAAGCAGTAGAAGCAGCAGCTCTACTGGTAATAGGAAGGAGTTGACTAGTTGCTGGAGCAAGGTTCCAGCATGTTGTCACCATGCGAGACATAGTAAAATAGGATAAAGTGGAAGTTGTTGCAAATATTGAATAATTGTTGGCTCAGATTATCGAACCCATAGCAGTAAGCAGGCCTGGATGATCTTTATACTGCGGTTATCAGGCCATGGTATGGCTCAGTAAATAGGACTAGAGCGCGGAGATCTATGTTTGAGTGCTTGGTAATATGACAGCTGTTACTGACGCATGATGGGACGGAGTTGGTCTAGTGGTCGACCTTGATTCCATAGCCCTGATCACCGGTGAGCCCGAAGTGGTCACCTGAAAACGTCAAATTGCATATATCAATGCTCAAGCAAGTGCCAACTTCCCTATTAAATCAATCTTTTATAAACAGCTCGGTACTTGTTAATCACTAAATGGCTTTCTTTCAGTCGACCGCACTGAAAAAGCAACGGCGGTGAGGCCTAAAGAAATAATATTTAAATTCCGAAGGAGTTAGGGCTTAGCTAGTAAGTATTCAACTAAAGGGGGAAAGTTAGGACTTTTCTCGGCTTCATGAGAAACAAGACCATTCGTCTTGGGAAGTGGAATGCCTTTCAGTCAGATCATACGTATCATATCATCATGAGAATAGCGCATCTCCGCGGCTCGACACTTTACCCTCCAAGCCGAACTATGACTGAAGCGGCATCCAATCACCTGTCCTACACTGTCTCACCTCCAATACCAGAATACGAAAATTTGCAACCCCTCGCAAACTTGGTCTGTTAGGTGCGGTCCGAAACTATATCTATTATTATCTAGGTATTGGGCTCGTTTTTATTTCCGATGGAGGCATCAGATTTGCGAAAGGACTCAACGATTAATACAAGAGATTTACTGGTTGTTCCTAGGCATGGACATTCCATCTGATTTGAGATTATAGCACGGACCTTGGGACAAAAGATCATCAGGCTCATATGGTTCCAGTAGTTGTGCTAGACGGATGTACCGGAAGCTTAATACCCTAACCCAGAGCCTCTTTAGCAAGTGAGGTACCCAATTCCTCATTGATAGATTGGTAGACTGAGGAAATTAAGTCATGGAATATATGGCTGGATGTATCCATAAGTTCTAAACCTATTTCTATTCGAATTATTGGTTTGCTCCTACCATAAAGCCTTGGGGATTTTGCCTTGAGCTACCTCACTTTGGCTGATAGCTGAAGTTGCAAACCTTTGTTTCAAGAGATGGCAGATTTCCAATTGAATTAGACATGCAGAAACACTTGCAGAATGTAGGTCGCTATACCAAGTATGAATACGTGTCGGCATTGCCATGTATATCCCCATTTATATATCTATTCAGCCTTCAGCGTCAAGTGTTTATCTTAAGTCTATAACAGTTTAAAAGGAATCTATATAGGATCGGAATCCAAGCCCATAGTCATCGTTAGTGAGATCTTATCTGCTCAACATTTTGCTTGTCACCAAAACCAGGTGTTCCACCAAGCGAGCCAAAGATATCACCGATATAATTTTGAGCAGTGATGCCAGCCTCGAATCTAGTGGACCACTCCTCCAAGATCCCCTCTATAACCTTGAGAGCAGTAAGATAAAGGTTTCGAGTGGATGGACCCAAGCCACCTTTGTCCATAACAAAAGGTAGTTGATGGGGCTTATCCTCATGTCCCCGGTCGAAGTTGGATGCAGATCGAATCAGGAGGATTCGTGAGAAGTCAACCTTCCTTTGAAGTGCTGCGTTTAAGAGACCAGCCAGAAGGGCATTATCCTCCTGAGCTGTCATTGTGTACTCTCCCTGATCTGAAGTATAGACTCTTGCAACCTTCTCCATGGCTTCAGAGATACGATGGCCATGCCAGAAGGTATTAGACGACAGAACATCTCCTTCAAGAACCGCAGGCTCCTGCGCCGCTGCGTCAAAAATACCATCAGGGGAGTCCTTCCACAGAGCTCGGTGCTCAGCTGCCTTCGGGGAATCTGTGAGCTCCACAGTCTTGGCGACGGAAAGAGCATAGTCTCTCAAGTTTGCATTGAGCTCGAACACCTCAGAGCCATGCACGATACCAGGGAACTGGTCAGGTCTGTCTGCTCCCATTGGAACATACCCCGAGCCCCATTCCTCGGGAACTTCTCTCGCATCAAATTCGAGCTGGGTGTCAACTTGAACAGCGAATTTGGCAAAGGCAACAGAGCCAATAGTTGCTCGCTTGGGATTAACGCCTGCAATACCGGTCAAGACGAAGTATGACTTTGCGAGGTCAAAGAGCGGCGATGTCAGGAGAGCGCTGATGGACAAAGACGCGTTGATAACTGTCTCGGGTCAGAGAGGAGGCTTTTGAAGGGGATTTGATCCTTACGGGCAGTTCCTACCACCAAAAGTGCGACTTCGCCATTCTCCGTGACATGGATATCCTCATAGCCCCTAGCCAAGCCCGGAACGCGTACTTTACGAGAGAACTGGAGGGCACTATCAGGAGAAAGCCAATTTCTTGATTCTTCGTAGAACTCGTCATAATTAGTTCAATGCTATCCCAAGAACTAAGTCTCACTCACCATGGCGATAAGCAGGACTTTGGGCGTTATCTTAGCGTCAGTTGGCTGCTGGGCCTGGAGCCCTTGGGCGGCTGAGCTCTCTGCACTCATGATGCTTCGTATTATCGATATGATTACAGGTGGTCTTGACTCTTCTCCTAAGTTTGGAGAGATTTTCTTGAGGCAATAAGTTGATCACAGACAAAATCACCTCATTTAAGCTTGGGCGGGGTCGAGATGGCGTGATCAGCGAAACTAACGTTTGGGCTCCCGTATTATCCATCTATCTACGGGGTACCAACCGAGGCTCACGATCCTCTCGTGTCCACCGCCTCAGTTCTCCAAAGTAAGATTCAACCAGGTGAAGGGATTATAGGTTCCACAAAGCCTCCAATCCGAGGCTTGTTACCAGAGCCAGTACCATACCCCAACAATGAAGGCGACGGGCAGAGCCAATTTCGCAGTGTATATAATCTGCTCTCTTTGCTTCTGTGATCGAATGCGCATTTGTTCTTCGTAAAATCGCTTTGCTTCTGCAGCAAGCCTCTCTGAGTCGGCGGCTATATCTTCACCCGATCTGTTACAGATTCTTTCGATCATAGCCGACACGTCGGCTTCTGAAGCTTCCTGTGCAATTGGTTCGGTGATATTGCTGGGCTGTTGTCCCAGTCCCAGACGCTCGGCTTTCTTATCGTGTGACATGTAGTCGAACTCGTGAACTTGGCCGTGGAGCAGGCGTCGGGAGTCGCGGCGTTATTGGTAGGGCATTGGGATGGATACCTCTGATGGCTATTCACCTGGGCAGAAATGTCAAAAGCCTTCATCGATCTCACATGGAATTTATGAAGATTGGTCATGTCTGCCTAAGCTTCAGCCAAGGCAGATTTGTGATTGTGCAATCAGCCTCTGGTCTCAAGTGGCTTAGTCTGGCCTGTGTCACCCTGCACGTCATAGGCTACACTCCTCACTGCGCCCTTTATCTACAAATGTCACAACTTCCTCCAGATTGCAACTATACCGCTGAGTCTATCTCTGGCGTCCAAGAAGGTTGGAGGTCTGACAATATGATGTCTCGGAATCGGAATCGGTTGAGCCGGATTCTCGGCCGAGCCGAGCCGTGGCCATGACCGTCAGTACAAGGGAATGGCTTAGGTGCAATTCTGTACGCTTTTAGCTGGAGAGTCTTGCCTAAAACTATTTTTAATTCAATTATAGAAGCTCCATATATGGATCTTCGTGTAGTTAGGGGGCAGAGTAGCTGTGCCGTGGAAAAAGATGGTTAAAAGGTGCTGGCCTGTAATAAGCTTTCACTATCAAACAAGTGACGAAAACCCTGACTTAGTTATGAAGAGATGAGATTTGTTGTACACAAGTTCTGAATCATAGCTAGATCTGCCGTGTAAGTAACTAATTAACACTGGTTTGGAAAGAGGATGGAGGAAAGCCTCGCCAAGACTCCCTTTATGCCTTCCTTCGGCCGAAGAAGTCCATAACCTCTAAACTGCCATGATCAGAGACATATACTCGCTTGTCCCCATCCGTAATATTCATTGTTACTAATCCGGCGTACCTCGTGTACCTTGTCTCCCACTCCTGGCTCGTAGTTGGATAAGGAAAGGACGCGATCACCTTCTTCTGGCCATCAAAGCGAACCTGCACAAGGTTGTCACCCGTTGACTTGACAAGGTAGATACAATCGGAGCTAGTTGGCTTGCCTGTGTCTGGCTGTGCTATCTTGACTCCTTCCAGACAAACAAGCTGTTCATCGCTCACATTCACCAGGACCTCGTTACCGCGGACGACAAAAAGCAGGGGCACCTCTCTTCCGCCACAATCTTGACGGAATCGCACTGAGGCGGACACTATCGAGAGCCCACCGACATCAGCGCGTCCCCAGAGCCAGTTATCCAGGATCGTCTCCATCGGGACGTTGCCCCAGTTGTGGTCATGGTAAGCATTGCCTTCGACCTTGGTCTTGGTGCCATTGACGGTGACCTCTCCGGTGAGCTGGCCACCTGGAACAGCCACGAACCATGAGAAGTGACGACCGTCAACGTCCCACCGGCCTGAGCCCGGACGATATGATGGTGTAGTACTCTTGATCGCCACGTCGAAGCCGAATCCCTCCATCTCATCAGGGTCGACAAAGATGTGATACTCGCTTAGACCATTCACGCTGCGGAAGTAACTCTTGCGATACTGCAGATCACAGTGATCTTTTGCCACGACCAAGTCGGCAGGGAAATTGCCAATGCGCTTATGCAAGTCACATAGCTTCATGCCGTCCTTGGCGATGTTCAGATCAATGAGTCCCGTCTTGGGACCGGGGCCTTCTGCATTGTAGAAAAAGGCCACCTGGAGGAACCAGCCATCTTGAAGATGTGCGTCGGCGTACCACCACTCCCACTCTCCGCTTTCGATGCCGGGACTACGCAGGCCATCTTCCCAGCTCGCAGGTTGAGAGCGGTCCAACCCGAGCTTTTGCAAGCTCTGGTCATCAGTGAGGAGGCGCCCCTGCGTCGATTGAGCCATTGGTGTGTTTTGTTTCGAGTCTGTTATAAACTGTATACCTGGAAGAAGTAAAGAAATGATCAGAACTGAGCTGATACAGGAGGGAAATACAGTACGAGTCAATGTTGCACATATATATACCATCGTATCATGTAAGTCTGGCTACGATTCATCATTATTCAGACTTTTCTGACTTGCCTAGTATGCTCGCTTATGACAGCCGTATGATTCCGGAATGCATCGTGCCACTCAAATCAGGATATAACAAATAGATGAATGATCAGTTACACGTGTCAATTTAAGGTTTTGATAGGTAAGATACCTGGATAGTCTTGACGTTCCGCAGCTTCCGCGCAGACGATGCGAGGTGCTGAGATGCCCTGCCAATAATCCTGGTTTTGCCGATAAGTATTGTTTTCGTGAGTCTTATCCAATATCTCGCGATAACATCAGTCAAGAGGCCATATAATGCCCAGTAGTAGTATCCTTTCTTTTTGTCCTAGGCCTTAGGCAATAGTACCTGACAGCCCTGAATGTCGGAATTAGAAGCGATTAAGCGGAGTTCTCGGCCGAACCGAGCCGCGGCTATGACTGCCAGTCTAAGTTACGCGGAGGTTCAACTCCATTAAGTATCTTCATATAAATTGGAACTAGAAACCGGGGCCAAAGAAAGATATGATGAAAGCAGAATATTGAGTGCAACTTGGACAATAAAATACTGTAGGTGATGGATGGAGATGAGAGCGGGGTTGGATCGATATGACAGCTTGACTGCGTAAGCGGGGCTCGAGGATCAATGAATTGCCTCAACTTTTAAGATCTTCAACTAACGATTCGATTCTTTGCAGAAACAATTTCCAATCACATAAAGATCATGTCTTTAGAGCAACTCAGCGCCGGTTCGCTCTTCAGCCTCAATGGCCTTGTCGCCGTCGTGACAGGGGGAGGTTCAGGTCAGTGAACCCCTCAAAGCACGGATCACAACTGATCGTATTACAGGTATCGGCCTCATGTTTGTCAAGGCGTTACTCCAAAATGGTGCCGCAAAGGTCTACATCGCTGGTAGAAGGAAGGAAAAGCTGGATGAAGTCACCAGCTCATTGGGCGACAAGGTCGTTGGGGTTCAGTGCGACGTCACCTCCAAATCTGATCTGCAGAACATGGTCTCACAGATTGAGAGTGATGCTGGGTACGTCAACCTGTTGGTGTGCAACTCTGGTATCGGAGGACCCCAAGTCAAGCCAATCACTCCCGAAACAACCTTGGAAGAATGGGCCAAGTCCAACTTTGACACTGATTTCGGCGATTATGTCAACACTTTCGCCATCAATACGGCGTCGGTCTGGTTCACCAGCATGGCTTTCCTTCCACTTCTGAAGAAGGGTAACGAGAAGGGAAATGTCGAGCAGACTTCGCAAGTGATTGTTACCAGCTCGATCGCCGCATTCAACAAGAAAGCCCCCGGCGGTTGGGCCTACGGACAGTCCAAGGCTGGAGCTGTTCTAGCAGCCAAGCAGCTTGCCGTTGCCCTTCCTCAGTGGAATATCAGAGCCAACTGTATTGCTCCTGGATGTGAGTCAATTCATCGATCACTCGGAAAGTGGCATTCTAACGTTTCATAGTATTCCCCAGTGAGATGTCAGAGCCAATCGTCAAGATGTACACCGATGAGTCAGGACAGCCTGGTGCTGTGCCAACATCAATGGCACCACTTCGAAGAATGGGAGATGAGAAGGATATGTCGGGAACTTTCCTATATCTTGCATCTCGGGCGGGTGGATATTGTAACGGCACAGTTATAGTGGTTGATGGCGGTCGATTGGGTAACTTTCCGACCACCAATTAGGCCGAAATCTTGAATCGCAGGGCAGGATACTTTGAACACGAAGTTACACTGGTTTCTGCAATTTCACTCTATAAGTCCCAAGTTCTTTTGCATATATCTAAAAGTCTATCAGAGCCAATCGTGAACTTGTTAGAATTGGTACCTTGTCCCAGTGGGGATTCTCTCACGATACCTGGGCCAATTACTCGCCAAGGCGGCTATACCGAAGTGCCGTTCGATGAACCAACACCTCCCGTCGCAACACAATTGCTCCTTGAAGACTGGTGAAACCGGCCTGCAATGCCTGCATAATTATCACAATCGATGAGCTCCAGTTTTATGACAGCTTGATAGGTTCTTCAGTCGTATTCACGATACACCGCATTCCAAGCCACACGATTGCTGCCTTAGAGGATCTGCTAGCCGTGAATCCTCAAACGCTATGAACGCCATCCCAGGAGCCATTAGCTCATTAGCGGGGATCGCTGAGGTGAGACTGAGCTGGCGGGAGGCCCTTTTAGCGGGGACCTGGGGTGATAAAAAGCCTGGAGCTGTAAGCGGCGAGTTTTGGTGAAGATAAGCCTCTCCTTTTCTGACACCCATGTAACGCTTGGGCGCTTCGCCACAACCCTCAGCGGCATTGCTGCCTGTAGTCCTACGGTGTACAGGGGGCTTTCTGTGCAACAGGGACGGGGAAGTGACTCAGCCCGGCAAGACATCTTGGCAATCAATCGTCGTATCGAATTCACGATGATAATGCATGCAGGCATGCGCGAGGTGCCTGATTAGGCCAGAGGCCATTGCCATGTGCATTTTGCTATAAGAAGCATTGATCTCCAGATCTCAACACCATCATCTTCATTCACACCAACTTCAATCATCTCTCCTTCATTCACAATGGCGCGAACTTCACAAACAAAGGCCAAGCGTGGCGGCCGTCGCAACGCCACCAACAACACGCGCAACACACGCAATCACAAAGAGAATGATCTCGAATACATGGCTCTCAAGCAAGAGGCAGAGCGACGCGAGCGCATCCTCGCTGACCGACGCCGAACTGCTGCCAAATGGCGCCCTAAGATTCCCGAAGTCCGAAAGGTCAACTTCGAGAACTTCAAGAACAGATTCCAAGACATCGACGAGCCTGATTATGCCATTGACGTTCTGATGTCGGGTACTGGTACCCAGGCTCAGATCCGTCGTGAGCACGGTCTTCGTCGACGTGAGGAGATGGCTCGTCTTCGTCAGAAGTACATGTATTACCCTGGCGGTGGTGTTATTGAGACGCCCCATCGCAAGGCCGATGCTTATGAGAAGGCTCGGCGCGAGAAAGATAGCCAACCATCTTCAGATTCCGAGATTCAGCGCATTCGTATCCAGTCCCAGCCCATCTTGGGCCACTTGACAGCTCTTATGAACGACACCGAGAAGCGATCGTCTCCCCGAACATTTATGCGACCCTTCAAGACTCTGGTCCACTTCCAACCCAAGATGCGAGAGATCCTTGCAACTCTTGAGGACAAGTGGGCTGACTTTGAGGACATTGGTAGCGAAAGCTCTGAGGTTGTCGATGTCGCTGAAGAGACTGAGGCAGAGGTTGTTGACGAGGAGGAGGCTGCTGAAGATGGTGATGACGTCGCGTCTCAAACATCTGAGGCCTCAAGCATCGAGTCAGTTGACTCCGACGCCGATGAAGACTATGACAATCTCATGGACAGCCCCGAGGCGCTTCGTGACATGCGATGCTATGTTGACTTTGTCGACAAGGAAGTTCTTCCTCTTTACAACCGCTTTGAGGGTTCCACCGCCGACCGTGTCAAGTTCGACGATCTCTGGTCCCTCTTCCGCGTCGGCGACCTCATATACATGCCTGCATCCGGTGAGACTGGCGGTCGATACCATGAGATCTGGCGTGTCTACAAGGTCCGAAGCCCCGAACCCGAGACTTCTTATCCTACCTCTGGCTGGGACTTCTTCGCGGATGAGCAGCAGATCGATGAGAACTCCAAGTTCAAGATCTCTGCTTATTACATTGATCACGACGGTAACACCTTTGGCGCTGTGCGTCGCAAGTTTGAGATTGAGTCGTTCATTGGAGAGCGATCAATTGACTCGCTCGAGGCCTTCCCCATCCGATACCGCCACGACTACAAGCAGCTTCTCAGCTCAATGCAAGACCAGGGCCGAAAGTTCATCAACTACTTGGATGATCGCCATCAGCAGTACAGCGCCTGGACTCTGACTAGAAACCCTCCTTCGCATCGCACTGAGCCTGAAGAGGAGATTCTCGACAACGAGGACTATGAGAAGATGCGACATCCTGAGTTCGTCGAGAGCGACGTTATTGTCGATCTCACAGAGGCCTACCAGAAGATGCCTGACTGGCGCCCACGATTCCATCAGCTCACAATCAACAAGTCTTCTCGATGCGAGATCAAGGATGATGAGATGCCTATTCAGCACTGGTTCAACGGCACTCGCCAAAGCATGGCATATTCTCAGAACGAGATCATCCAGCACGCCGATGGTGTTGAGGCTCGTCAACGAAGGGATAACCTTGCTGTTGACGCTTTCCTACGCGTTCGTGTTAAGGGCAGCCGAACCTTTGAGACCAACCCCAAGGCATTGGAGCTTCGTGATGAAGATCTTGTTCTTCTCCCCAAGCGCATGTTCGCTTATGCTCTTCGCGAGCGCCGCTTCTTGCCAATTGATCTCAACGTTCTCAAGCCCGTGCGACGCGAGCCTGGTGTCTTTGAGAACCTTCGCATTCAGAGCGATTACAAGGATGTCGTCCGTGGACTTGTCATGTCGCACTTCCAGCGAAAGGTACTTGAGCGCAAGTATGCTGATGCAGCGACCGAAGGACCTAGCCAGGATCTGATCCAAGGCAAGGGTCGCGGTCTTGTTGTGCTTCTGCATGGTGTTCCTGGTGTCGGAAAGACTGCCACCGCTGAGGCTGTCGCTATGGAGAACCGCAAGCCGCTGTTTGTCATTACTTGTGGTGATCTTGGTCTTACACCACATGAGGTTGAGTCTTCGCTGAAGAATGTCTTCCGCCTCGCTCATCTTTGGGACTGCGTTCTCCTTCTTGACGAGGCTGACGTCTTCCTTTCCCAGCGATCCAAGCAGGACATGAAGCGTAACGCTCTTGTGTCTGTCTTCCTCCGAGTTCTTGAGTACTACAACGGTCTCCTCTTCTTGACTACCAACCGAGTCGGTACAATCGACGAGGCCTTCAAGTCTCGTATTCACCTCTCCCTGTACTATCCTCCTCTGGACAAGACTCAGACCCGCGACATCTTCCGTCTCAATATTGGCAAGCTCAAGCAGATCGAAGCCGAGCGCCACCGCATGACCGGCGAACCCGCCCTCGTCATCAAAGAGAACGAGATCATCGACTTTGCCGCCAAGCACTACGAGGAACTGGCTCGATCAACCGGATGCTGGAACGGTCGACAGATCCGAAGCGCGTTCCAGATCGCGTCCAGTCTCGCCATTCATAACTACGCCAACCAAGCCGAGGCAGCTCGATCTCGTGGTCAGAGTCCTCCTGCGGCTCCCGTTCTCGACAGGACTTGGTTTGAGAAGGTTCAGATGTCGACGCAGAGCTTTGATCGGCACATGAAGAAGGAGGCTGGTAGCTATGACTCTGAGATGCCGATGCGAAGCACTTTCCAGGAGAGCAAGTTTGAATAAGGGCGAGGATTCCGCAGCTGGACTGTGATCATGATTGATCACGACTGTTTTCGTTGTTTCCATTTGTTTGGCGTTGTTAGCAATTATGAGAAAGTCTCAATAACATCCTTCGAGTCTGAGATGAACAATACACCACAATTCACGTAAGAGCACACCAGGCTCTGAATGTTTGAAGACACATTAACCAATCACCTGGATTTTCTTTTTAACTGTTTATATTTAAACGTTTTGTGAACCTTTTGTTCTTGCTTGGCCTGATGTACCCGTTTCGTAGAAGCCTTCGTTGCCACTACCAGCTGAGTGGAACGCAAAACAATCTGAGAGCAACCTGATTGCAAGTTTACGATGGAGGTTCTCCAAAAATAAATTCTCGAGGTCGCAGCCGATGCGTCCGCCGCCCATACTTTTACCCTGTTGTCTTATATCAACAGTTTGGTCCAGAACTTAGACGAAGTCATGGCCCCTAGCGAGTTTATCTCTAAGCCCATTTTCCCCATTCTCACTTCCTCTCGAGCCTCTATTCAAGTGGCTTGGTATGGGACAAAAGTAATTGACTCAGGAGGTCAAGTACACCGTTGACTGGCCTGACGAGAGAGAGCCACGCGAGATTGAATGGGACATCGGCCAGAAAGCTGAGGCTCTCCTACAGTAAGTTATTCGAGTCAACAGACCCACTCCGTTACGCGACGACTAACAACTGTGTCAGCTATCAGGATTAGAGAGAAGAACAACACGGTTGGTATGTCATGCCAGCCACACACAAGTTCACTGACTCGAAGTAACAGGAACTATTCATACAGTACAACTTGATCGCCGTCGAGCAGGATGGCGGCATCAAGTGGCAAACTCCTTTTAAATGTATCTGGTCGCCGCTCATGGAAACTATGAGCCTGGTCGAGTTGAGTAGACCACATCCAGATCTTAAAGACTTCTTCCTGGCCCTCCTTGAGATTGAGGAGGCTACCGAGAAAACAATTTTGTCGCGCATGTCTTACTGGATATCAGATGCCGAGATTCGAGACCTGTTTGACATTCTCAATTGCCTGATTGCGAAGTCCGAAATATCGATGAACCCGGACGAACTTTTGCACCGGCGAATCTTTCTTGGCAGATACAAGGGCGAAAGATACCGCCTTGTTGGCTCCACAGAAGAGTTCTTTATTCCCGATGATCAGCAGTTTGCGACTGCTTTCAAGGACTATGTCCCTTTCCTTGACGTTACCGCGGAAGAGATCGCGCTTCTCGATCCATTGTTCACATGGCTAGGTTTCAAGGATCTCTATTTGTCAAAGCATGTCTATCCCAGGTGTATTCACCCTTCAAATGCACAGAAACAGAAGATTGAATGGGATGTAGCTCAGAGAGCGGAAGGCATTCTTCGGTGAGTTCCATAGCCCCTGAATTACTGGATGGATCTAATATGCTAGACAGAATCGCCCTATACTGTCTGTGGTAGCCCCCGAACAACAACAAAAGTGGACAGGTGGTGCTTTTGAACGTCTTGAAAAAGAGTGAAATGCTTGCGGTGGATGGCATACAGTGTGAAAGTTTTCTGTTCTTACGCCAAGAAGGTTCCAGGTTTCTGGGCTCTCAGCTCAATCACGTTCAAGGATTCACAACTCTGAGCACACATCCTAAGCTTTCTATTGGGTTCGATGATGCAGGGTATCCCGTGGATAGACTCGTCGTGCGCGTCTCATCTGGCAAGGAAGAGCGAGAGCTGGCACTCTTTACCGCACTCCCACGGCTTTTGATGGAATGGCTCATGGCAGACCCGAAAACTCAGAAACGGGGAACGGTAACTGTGCTTGGTGTGAGCCTCATGAAGAGTGTACTAACTGCTCCACCAAACGTTATTGATTCCTTGCTCACACGTGAGGGAGTTGGACGCATCCGAATCATTGAGGTGTCTCTAAAGACGACACTACTGGAGGCTAAACTCCAGGACACTACATCTAACGAGCCTGCTAGTCAGCCATCTCAGAATAGGTATGATTCTAACACGTGCTCGAACTTGCTCATTGTAGCTCACAAAAACAAATCCGAGGAGGCACCACCGGCCAACGCTTCCACAAAGAAATCGGAGAAAACGCTTGGAAAGCAGCCAGCAACCCCGGTCACAGCCAACAAGCAACCGCACCCAGTAGCCGGCCCTAGCAGCTCAAGGGCATCACGAGAGCCGACACCTCAGGCCGACCAACCTCAGTCAACGCCAGAGGAACACCCAGAATCCTCGTCCAGTGGGGGAAAGACGCCACCACAGAACGAGCCAGTTCCCCACAGGGGTGAGGGTCGATACAAGCCCCTATACGCTTCTATAAGCCAGAGGCCGAAGCTCAAACCCAGATCACGAAGACGATCTGGCTCGCCTTCATCTAGTCCACCAGCATCTTCCCCTTTGAGTCATATCCCAGATGATGTGATTCGTGGAATAGAACAACTGAGGATTGGAGATGCATCTGAGGCGACTCTTCAATCGCCCAAACTTATTCTGGTAGCGTAAGGGGGAAAATGGGTAGAGTTACTACAGCGTGGAGGTTGAGCTGAATTATCAGTAGTTATGCTTAATTCTTTGAACCGTCTGTCTTTGGCTTTGATGATCCGATCAGTGGTGTCATGTCCTTGTACTAAGTTCAGCTTGGTAGAATAGGATTACAGGGTTTAGGTCCACCCAGAAACCGATATCCTGTCGAGATTTTAACCTTGGTTGCATTCATTTACTCGGCAAGGTGGTCGGATCTCATACAATCGATACATGTATTCCCCATGCGACCAGAGCACGTGGACGGCCGATCCTGGTCAACTGATAAACTATCCTTTACCTTCAGGGTCCTGGTTCGACGCAAAACATTCATGCCAAGAAACCGTTACTCGATATGCTGAGTTTCTACGATGGACCATAGAATTGGTAATGCTTTGATAATGATGGTTATCGTGCCATGTAAAATTTCTTGAGGCAGTGCCGCGTAGTTTCTCGGCAAACGTGCCGAGTACCTTGACTAGCGGTTGTTAGTGAAGCGACAATACGACCTCGTACACCTGAGGAACATAAACTCTGACGCGTTGATTTGGGGGTTCTCTATTAGATATCTTTGGTGCGAGAAAATGACCTCAGTTCAAAAACAAAAGCGAAAAAAACAAGATAATATTTGACAGAGGAAATTGAAATGGTCCAGCAGTTGACGAGGCCAGCTTCAGTGCCGAGAGATGCTAATAAGATATCTCGGCATACGGCACAATACGAACCACAGAATTAACTCATGCCAACATGGCTATTTTTTACAGTGGAGTCCACGCCAAGGTCGCCGAACCGACTTTGCCGTCTTGACGGCTTGGCAGATCTTGTTATAAGATAATCGGTAATCATTTTCATCTTATCTGATCTGGTCCGATGTCATCATCGTGAGCTCTGCCTACGAAAAATGAGTGCAGCTACTGAGAAAGGCCACGTTGATGCTGAAGTGACCTCTCCGAATGAGGGTCTGGTCCGACCTGAGACATCTTCAGGTACGTTGCTGGCTGTTGCTTTGACAAGTTTTTCATGCTCATAAAGTCAAAGGTGAATCTGTCGAGGAAGTCCTATCAGCGGCTGGCGTGGGCTTCAAGGATGATGATCCGACTCTACCATGCCTCACTCTTCGCATGTGGACAATCGGCATCGCCTTCTGTCTTGTTGGCAGTGGTGTGAACACTCTTTACACGCTGAGATTCCCATCCATCAGTCTTTCGCAGTCCGCAATCCAGTTCCTCGCGTATCCCGTCGGCAAGGCATGGGAGTATGCGATACCGGACTGGAGCTTCACCTTGTTCGGCAAGCGACACAGCCTCAACCCTGGGCCCTTTAACCATAAGGTATTTGCACCCCAGAATCTTCGAGGAGATGCTCGCTAACCGTGACCCAGGAGAACATGCTCATCTACATCTTGGCCAACCTCAGCTTCTTGACCCGATTGAGCGCTGATGTCCTCACCGAACAGCGCGTCTTCTACGGCCTCAGCGCAGGATGGGGTTTCGAAATCCTCGCAACACTGACATCAATCCTGTTTGGTTTCGCTCTGTCAGGTTTGACTCGATCATTAGTTGTCGAACCGAAGAGCCTCGTCTGGCCCGGCGTCCTTGGAAACACAGCTCTCAACGCAGCCTTGCATGCACCGCGCAAGAAGGTCATCGCTGGGTAAGTATCCCGTCCAGGGCTCTCCGAATCGTATTGTGCTGACTAGTCTGTAGCAAGATCTCTCGTTATCACTTCTTCATCCTCGCTTTCTTTGCGTCTTTCTGCTGGTATTGGTTCCCCGACTTCATCTTTCCTGCCTTGGGTTACTTTACATGGATCTGCTGGATCGCCCCGAAGAACCCTGTCGTCAACCAGGTGTTTGGCATGAAGAGTGGACTCGGGTTGTTGCCCTTCACCTTCGATTGTATGTTGTCGCCACCAGAATTCACGACTGTTGTTACTAACTGGCCGTTTCTCTAGGGAGCCAAATTGCTTACATCGGATCACCACTCGTCGTTCCGGTTTGGGCTATCCTCAACGTTCTGGCATCCCTTGTCTTCTGGATCTACATCGTCAGCCCTGCGCTTTACTACTCAAACACCTGGTTCTCGGCACATCTGCCACTACAGAGCAACTCCATCTTCGACAATACGGGAGAAGTATTCAATGTTTCGAGGGTTGTCAACAAGAAGGAGGGGTTCACATTTGATCATGATCTGTATGCGCAATACTCTGACGTAAGTCGTGTTCCAAAACGCTTCCCAGAGATGAATAGGATGCTAATGAGCTCTCCCAGATCTACCTCCCGGTGACATACGCCTTGAACACGTTCGGTCTGTCATTTGCCACCATATCTTCCCTTTTCGTCTGGCTATTTCTCGAGAAGCGTCGGGATTTGGTGAGAACGTTCCGCGATGCATGCAAATCATTGACAACGAAGGATACTTCCGCTCGCGACAGACTGCAGCCTCAATATGACGCAGTTCCGCTGTGGTGGTATATGATCGCAGCTCTTGTGTCGTTGGGCATCGGAATCTTCACGTACGAGTACTATCCCGTTCAGCTCCGCTGGTATGGTGTGATCTTCGGAATGGTGGTGTCTTCTGTCTTCTTCATCCCCGTAAGTACTTTGGCCTCCATTCGTAAACAATCTTCTGACTTTTGAAGCTCGCTTGGGTGTATGCTACCAGCAACATCAAGATCCAGATCGATATCTTCTGCCGCATTATCGCTGGCTACGTATGGGAGGGCAAGGTTCTAGCCAACATCTGGTTTTTCAACGTTGGCTACATCTCGGGTATCAAGGGCCTTGCCTTCTCACAAGATCTGAAGCTTGGCATCTACTGCGGTGTAAGTGGCCCTTGTCTCAACGTGAACGACATGTCACACTGACATATTCAGATCCCTCCCCGAAGTCTCTTCCTGGTCCAAGTAGTCGGCCTTGTTATCGGAACTCTTGGTCAAGTTTCCGTCCTCAACTGGGCACTCGGAAACATCCCCAACGTTTGCAATGCCAAGCTTGCTCCAAACGGTTTTACTTGTCCCTTCTCACGAACTCATTTCAACACAAGCATGGTCTGGGGCGCCCTCGGACCCCGTCGATTCTTCGAGCCAGGCGCTCTTTATAGACCCTTGCTATGGTTCTTCCTGGTTGGAGCTCTTCTCCCAGTCGTCGTGTACATCCTTCGAACCAAGGTATTCCCTCATATCAATTGGCTGAAGAAGATCCACGTGCCGTTGTTCCTGGGCGGCTTGAACTACATCCCCCCTGCATCAGGCGTCAATTATGGCAGTTGGGCTTTATTCGGTCTCTTGTTTGGCGTCCTTGTTAAGAAGCGCAAGGCAAGCTGGTGGCAACGATTCAATTTTGTGCTGAGTTCCGCGCTGGATTGTTCTGTAGCTATCGCTGGCATTGTCATCTTCTTCGCCATTTTCTACACCGGCGCCGCGGATAATTTCAGTTGGTGGGGAACCAACGTGTACAAGGTCAGTGATGAGAGTCATCGAGATGTGCTGTCGGCTAACTGTGTATGCAATAGGATACCTGCGATTGGAAGAGTTGTCCTTATAAGGCGTTAGCAAAAGGGCAGACGTTTGGACCTTAATGGCCTGCGAGTATAGCAAGCCTCAATTTTAGGTTTCTGATCCAAGAATCTAGAACGAGAGTTTTGACGACACGTCCAAGAGTAATAAAGATTTGTAACTTGTTAATGCTGGAGCCAAATAGCCCGATGTTTGTCTTTCTTTCATGTCCTGATTGTGTTTGTGTTACAGAGGATCCGTGCCCCTGTAACGCCAGGCTGGCCAGGCACCAGCGAATCTTGTGATGCGGACAAAGCCTTCTGTAAAATAGTGATCAGACACGCTAATACTGGATGGAGACCTCAATACCACATCGGCAAAGTTAATCTTGGTAGCTAAATCAGCAAAGCCTCATCCTTCGGGATTATTCCACCTGCCGGAAGCAAATTGCAGGGAAATCATGCAGCATTTCTCATGCAGTAGGGATTATAACGTGTGATGATCAACATTGATGCGGGGGAAGGAGGGAAATAGCATGATGATCCCCTGGTGCTTTTTGTTAAACGCTGACGATGTAGACGTCATAAGGTTCACACAAACTTAACGTGGTATGCAGGCGGGGAACACGGAACGGCATGCTGAGGCAGTACAAAAGCTCCTTCATCCTCGTGCGCAATTTCACTGATCGTAACCCTCACTTTCAAAAATGTTCTGGTCAAATATTGCCTCCTTTGCGGGGCTTTGCTCTCTGTTTCTCGACGTCACTTCAGCGCAGACGAAATACGAGGTTCAAAAGCCTCCACTCGACACCGACTGGACTTACAAGGTTGGCACCAATCCTTGGCCGGAACATCCGCGACCGCAGCTCAAGCGCGATGCTTGGAAGAGTTTGAATGGCATTTGGACATGGAGAGGCGATGGCGATCTCAGCAATCCGCCCAAAGAAGGCCCTCTTGATCGTGAGGTGCTGGTCCCAGCATGCATCGAAAGCGCTCTGTCAGGATTGCAGATTCTCGACGAGCGGGAGTTCTGGTACCAGAGGTCCTTCGAGGTATCGGATAACTGGAAGAACCAGACCGTTCTCCTTCACTTTGAGGCCGTCGACTATAACTCAACCGCATTTGTCAACGGGAAAGAAAAGGCGACGCACATTGGTGGCTACGATCGGTTCACTGTCGACGTGACAGAGGATATCAAGTTTGGAGAGTCAAATGAGCTGTAAGTAAAATATTGAGTGACCAATCTGAAGCACGTTCTAACATCTTACCAGGCTTGTCTTTGTCAACGACCCGACGGACGATCAAGTTATTCCCATTGGCAAACAGACTCTGCGACCGAGTCACATCTTTTACCGCTCCTGCTCGGGCATCTGGCAGCAAGTTTGGCTCGAGGCCGTTCCGAAAGACTACATCACTGACCTTGATCTTGCTGCGGGCGCAGATGGTAAAGGTCAGTAATTCCCCGCCCCCGATGTCTCACGAAGTTGTTGACTATTATGTTCTAGTAACTGTAACCGTTCACACGTCTCAGAAGTCTGGCAAATCCGTCAAAGTCGTGATCGAGAGTAGCGATGGCACGAACCTGGCATCTCACGAAGGAACCACCGATGAAGAATTCACCTTCACCGCCAAGTCGCCGAAACTATGGTGGCCCGACTCCCCAACGCTTTACAACATCACTGTGACACTTGACAGCGGAGACAAGGTACACAGTTACACTGGCTTTCGAACCATATCTAAAGGTAAAGTTGAGACCGTCACACGGCCACTTCTCAACGGCGAGTTTGTGTTTCAGTTTGGAACTCTTGACCAAGGTTACTGGCCCGATGGATTGCACACGCCACCAAACAGGGAGGCTATGGTCTCTGATTTGAAGCTCCTGAAGAAGTTTGGCTTCAACATGGTCCGTAAACATGTTAGTATGGCCTTGTGACCTGGATCGCTCCTACTGACTTGAGAAGATTAAATATGAGCCTCACCTATTTTACCAGGCATGCGACGAGCTTGGTCTGTTGGTCATCCAAGATATGCCCAGTCTACCCGCAGATGGCAACCGCAAGCCCAACGACGCGGAGCAAGCCGAGTTTGAGCGACAGCTTGAAATTCTTGTGAAACAACACAAGAGCTATACTTCAATCGTCACCTGGGTATGAACGGCGACTGCTCAAGATCGTTCATTTACTGATCATGACAGGTCATCTACAACGAGGGCTGGGGTCAGCGAGACGGGTCTCCTGAGAAGAGCCTGACTGAGCTGGTGCACAATCTTGACAAGTCGAGACTCATCAACTCGATCAGCGGGTGGAATGACCACGGATTTGGCGACTTCCACGTAGGTAGATCCCAAAACCTTACCGAAGACTTTGCTGACTCGTGTAGGATAATCACAACTATGCTGCACCTCAGTGCGGAACGCCATTTTACTCGCAACCCAAGACTCCATATGACCCTGAGCGTATCGGTATCGCAGGCGAGTACGGTGGCATCGGTCATAACGTCTCGATTGACCAGTAAGTTTACATCCCTCCATTCATCTTCATCGCTAACCGTCCTTGCAGCCTTTGGAACGTTAAGCAAGCCATCGATAGCATCCCGGAGACATACGAGATCAACAAGGACCTCGACTCATACAATTATCGGTCTGGTGTCTTATTCCGAGATATTCGTGAGCAGACTCAGCGATTCGCTTGCAGCGGTGCCGTGTATACTCAGACGAGCGATGTTGAAGGCGAAGTGAATGGCTTGATCACCTATGATCGTCGGTTCGTGAGACCAGATGTTGAGAAATGGCAGAGTGAGATTGCCAGTGTATACAAAGCTGCAGCATCTCGGGGCGGGCGTGAGTCTGATGATAATGGGAAGAGCGCAGCTGGGTCCTTGTTGGACTTGTAGTGTTTCGATATAGACTGGTGACTCCACGTTTCAATTATACTTCCATGATGCAGATCAAGATCTCGTCTTCCTTGAAGTTGCAACAACTGTGGCTTCATATTTAACAATGTACTATTCACTAGAAATCACTTTTATCAGCGATGTCAAGGACTCACTGCATTGATCAAAGGCCTAGGTGGATTAGTCAACAGAGTGGCGATCTTTCTCGCCACCAGCTGCCTGCTGGGACACGTCACCTGCTTTTCAAGATTCACTTCCATTTAACCCAAGCAACTCAAAACAGAACCCACGTATCACAAAAAAAGGTTGCGGACCTAGAGTTTGATAGAACCAAGAATGTCATCAGACAATTACAACGAAAAATTGACAGCTGGTAAGAGTCCAAAACTCAAGATCTCTCTGTGCATTGGTAATGTCGCTGACTTCCATCTAGCTTCTAACCCAAATATCGAGGATGACTGGCAGATTGTAAGCAAGGAAGAAATTCAACCCGACGACTCGGGAAAAGAGGAAAAGAAGGAATCAAATTTCGAGAAAGACTCCGGCAACTCTGAGAAGAGTGCTGCGGAAGAGAAGAGAGAATTAGCAAAGGCAAAATGGGAGGGCATGCAACCGCAGAGGGGCGGCGTGTATCCTGATAGAGAGGTCAAAACACCAGACTATCCTCAGTTTACTGGAAACTGGTAACCAGGTACTTGGCGCGTGCTCCTGGATGAATTATAAAGTCTGTTCAAGAAGATTAGTTGTCCATGAATGTGCGTTCCTGTTTGGCCAAACAGGCGAAGACGGAGTGATCTGTTGTAACCGCTCCAGAGCTGCCCGAACCTCATTCTTGTCTACTGGCTGACCATCCCAATAATCGTGCATTGCACCAATCAGATACAACTCGTCAGCTATCTCTGGCCAGTCTACAGCAGACTTGGCACAACCGGTTGGTTGAGTTGGTTTGACGGATCGCTCGCATCTGTCGCGAAATACGTGAAAATGGGCCATGGCGTCCCAGATATCCCATCGCCAACGATTCTCAGACGTTGCAGTAAACGGAAGAGGACTCTGTGACGCCTGCCCGTCTCCCTGAATGGAGGTACAGTTCATTACACTATTGAGTTGTTAACGTGTGTCTGACTACCTTATGGCTCAACTTACCTCTGTTTCTGATGCTCCCCGGTCAAATACCAAGACCCCGCCAAATACCTTTGCTTCAGCCCAGTATCCAACGGTATCAGCGTCCCCGTTCAGGTATCGCTCAACCTCGATATAAAGGCTGTGGCAGAAGGCTGTCGGGTGTCGATACCCATCCCATTTACTGGCATCGCGTGGTGAGTCTATTCATTTTTGATAGTCTTGGTGTGTATGGTTGACACCATCTTGTTGATATAAGTATACGGCGATCTGGTGAATGGATACAGCCAACAGCTCAAACAGTCGTAAGTGGAATGGCCGTGATTCTATTGTGGTCTCTTCAAAAGTACGTAGTAACTGGGACACAATATCAGGTGAGCCGCGCGTAGGTTTCTACTAAGAGAACTCACCGGTAGTTGGAAGCTCAATCTCGTGGGAGGAAAGTCGGAACGTAACTGGCAAGCTTTTTCAATCATGCCCGGGCAAAGGTCAAGATGTTGAGTGGCAGGATGGCCATCTTGAGGCCAGTGGAAGTCTCGATATGAGTCAATCGTAGGAATCCCATCAATTATCTCTGCGAAAGTTGTTTCCGCAACGTCTGTTTCAATTACTCTCAACAAAGATTGCACAAATGCCTGTCTGTGCATTGTTCCCAGTACATCAATTGTAGCCATCTCCGCCATGTCGTCAGGCATCACTCTTTGTAGACCCTTCGTAAGAAAAAAGGCCCAATTGGCTTAGGAATATAATCTATATATTTTATGGCTCTCTGCCATGTTCAAAGTGGTGATGAGAAAGGGAAATTCCAACTTTGGCTGAACGCAACGGACTCCGCGAACCAACATCAACCTGAAACAGACCAAAGAATGAGGGCCCTACAAGCGGCCAATGGCACAACTAGTTACCTCAAATCATACGACACTAATTACTAATCATTCTTAGTTTTGATATTGTCACTCAACAGAAAATGGTAAAGTTGACAGTTTCCTTCATCCTTAGAACCAAACTCAGGGAGACAAGAAAACTTGGGAACTGTATCCTGAATGACAAAACTTCTGACCTTGGACTGAAGTGCCACAAGTAACTTGCCTTTGTTTTATGAGGCCAAGACTGTAGATGAGTGTAAGTGCTTGTATCCGTGACTGTCAACACGGTATGGACAAGGTATTATAACTCGTGATTTTTCCACCCGGCTACCATTATATTCCAATTTGGCTCTATGTATCCTCAACAAAGGGTCAGTGGTGCAGTGGTATCTCTCCTAAAACCTACAAACCTTCTAAAATCCGAACCTAAAATCCTAAAACTCTCTCCCTGTACCCGCCCTTTGTTTTCTGGAGGTCATAGGTTCGAGTTCAGGCTCCAAATCAACTTTCTCATGTTCTGAGGCTGCATTCTCTGGCTTGGTTCTGCAGCCAACAGATCACCAAGTCGTCCGGCTCCTTGTTCGCTATCAGTTCAGGACGACCTGAGGCGCCACATAGTGCAGTAACTAGAATCCAAACCCATTGCTAGGGCAGCCCCTGGCCTCGGCTGTTGAAAGTTAGACGCACAAAAGTTATCGAGTTCTTTGACAATGACATCCCAGTCTTTTTCCGAACCAGAGTTGTGAAGATTGTTTTCTTGACCAAACCGTAGCTGCATCTGTGGCGTCCATTGGAACTGCAGAATTACCCTGTCTTCCTCTCCTGAGGCTGAGTCTTCGCTGGTACCTTCGGAGGAAGTGTCCAGGGCATCTCTCATAATCATGTCGGCCATGAATTTACACGCGTCGTTGGTTCATCCCATCAATTACCCAAGTGCTGCAAGTCTCAAAGATTAGCCTGGCTATTTGAATAAGATTCGGGGTGGTACTCACAGTATTTGGAAAGCGGACTGATTCAATCAAGACATTCTTCCATACGCTGGCGAGTCTGCTCTTATATTGACAGGTCATCAAACCAGCCATGATCCCCGCTATATGTTCGGCACGGAGCCAAAATTCATCTGTAACGGAACCATGTTCTCACATTTAAGACTCTATGCCTCTCACATATTGTAGTTTCTCCTCCATCTCATGAGTACGAAGCAGATGATTGGGTTGTCGGAAGGCAACATTCTCGGGAATTCGTTGTTGGTGCAGGTCGTTGCTGGGAGTTGTGTATGGATGGAAAGGCGGAGGCGCAAAAGGTTTCACCATGGGATGTTCCCAAGGTAAATAAGTAGCTAGCTTGAAGTGGAGAAGTGAAATCCTAATTGGTAGGGTAGCTTATTAGCGACAGAGTTTTACTTCGTTGTAGGTTTACAGCTGAGAGGGGGGCCGAAAGCTTACTTCGGAGTTTACTTGAGAGTTCTTTGGATCTTACCCAAGATTCCAAACAGAAATCGAGAAGTTGAAACATAACGTGAGATTTCAGTCTGTTCAGTAGGAAATCAGAAGCTCACAGGGGGCTTGCCTAAGTCTTTCTCCGATCTTCGTAATTAACTTTAATCGAAAGGTTTGACTGCAGTCCATTTCATTTGCAAAGCTACTTCACTATGATCTAAAGCCTTACTGGACGAAAGCCCTTGACCCCATTATTTAGAGTAGGTATCCGCCTGCTTGCACTTATCCTCAGTCATCTTGCTTGATACCGTGAACAAATCCGCAAAGGTAAACAGCCGGAACCCATTCAGCTGCGATCCCCCCCCATAGGAAATCAGAAGATTATGTAATACAATGGATACAGGATCAAGCCAGATGGGTAAGTAGAGGGGGCGAGATGGAAGTGGGAGACTTTGCCGAAGTTGATGAGGAGGATTTAAGTTCCAGGATATTTGGGTTGAGATGGTTATCGAAGTGACGCTGCAAGTTGTGATAGTATAAAAGCACATTAGACATAGGATGTTTATCCTCTGGGAGAGCCGGTAGTAACAGAAACAAATGCATGCTATCGTGGGTGGTTGAATATTTACGCGGCGAGATGGAGTTTGCTCCCGTTCATCCGCTGCACTTTTACTTTGCCGACAAATAGTGTCTTTTCTTCAATGCCCATGGTTTATTCTCGCCCTACTTAAGCCGAAATTGTGCAAGGCTTTACAAGGGTGGGGCAGACGAGGTTGGACCAAGGAGTTGCGACTGCGCACGAGTTTGGCACAAGCCTTAACCGATTCGAGGATGTCTACCCTACCCGCTTTTCCTTTTTGGGCATCTAGGCTCCGCAAAGATCGTGGATTCGAACGGGGAATAGCGAACGACTTTGCATCTAGCAACGTCACGACTCCACGCTGGACAACATGATTTTTTGAAATAATATGTTCAATGACACTATGTAACTATAATACAGTCTTTGCAAATCATTACTCGTGATCCACAGTCTTGGGCTCCATGCCGTTGTGGGTGAGAGTTGGTTCATCTCTGTCCAGGTCATACATGGCATCTTCTTGAGCATCGTAGTGGCGGAAGATAGCATAGAAGATACAACCAGTGACGAAAGAAGAGATACCAACGCCAGTGTAGAGCCACAGGAAGTTGGGATCCTTGGCCTCGGAAACAAGTGCCTCAGCAATGGCAGATCCAAAAGCGTTGGTGAAGAGGTAGATGGACTGGACGAAGGACTTCATGCTGGGAGGAGCCTTAGTGTAGGCGTACTCGAGACCAGTGACGGAGATGAAGATCTCAGAGATACCGATGAAGATGTAGGCGGGTGTCTGGATGGCGATGTGCACGTTGTTGGGAAGCTTGGTATTACCGTCCTGGCCAGCAGGGCATTCACCAGGGTGTTCGTAACAAGGTCCAGCAGAGTAGATGATGTGCTGAACGATAGCAGCGTAGGCGAGGCAGAGAGCAGCGAGCCAGAAACCGATGGTGATTCGGGCAATAGGTCGAAGCTCAATACCAGCTCGGCGAAGGATGGGGTACAAGACCTTCTCAATCAGAGGAGTGAAAACCAAAATGGAGATAGGATCGAAGTTTTGCATCAGATCGTTGGGGACACCGTGACCTTGCATCTGACCAGCTTGGGTGACAAAGTTGGTGGAGAACTGTCCGTAGCAAACCCAGAAAATGGGGTAAAAGATGAAGACCTTGCAGGCACGGAGAGCACGCTTGAGCTCATCGACAAAGTGGTCGTTCCAGGGAACAACCGTGGTCTTTCCGTTGGCCTCGCGCCACGAGGGCTTGGCGGCATCGGTGTTGCGGGCAGCAATCATCATACCAAGGGCCTTGAAGGCATCAGTGATAACAGAGCCCTGAGGAGGGCGGTTGACAAAGGTCTTTCGGCGGAGGACCAGAGTGACGATACCGACGTTGAACATGCAGAAACACATGAGGTAGGCAGTCCAGAAACCCTTGTACTTCTCCATGAAGGGGGTAGCGAGCAGTGAGAGGGCACCGACGTTAATGCACCAATAGAAGATCATGTAGATGCGTTGGTAAGTGATGGCGGGGTCGATGACAACTCGCTCGCCGGTCTTCTCAGTTCGAATGGCCATTCTGCGTCGCTGGTACTGGTCGGCGATAAGAGGCGCAATGTTGGACTTGATACCACCGGTTCCAAGACCGATAACGATAATAGCAACGATGTAACCAGCCTTTCCAGCGCCATGTTCCATGGCAACAGGTAGCGAAGTAGTCCAAAGGATGATGAGACCGACCCAGTAGAAACCGCAGAAGACCAAAATGGTCCTGTACTTGCCGAGGTACTGATCGGCGATGATGGCACCGAGAATGGGAGTCACGTAGCAGAACCATTGGAAGAAGAGGTTGAGACCAGTAGCAGCCTGGTGGCCCATTCCAAGACCCTTGGCACCATCTGCGCCCGTTGGGCTGTTGGAGATGTAGTTCTGGAAAAGACCCTGAGCACCATAGTAGGTGAATCGTTCCGTCAACTCAACGACAGCGATGAGGAAAGCTGAAGCAGGAAGGTTCTCTCCTACACGTCGAAGCGTGGCCTTCTCATGATCATTGGGCTCCTCGCCATCGGGAGTAGTACCGAACTCAGGATCAGAAGCATAGTGTTGCTTGTCGAGAGACTTCTTCTCATCAATAGAAGGGGCGATGTAGCCACCGGCGAGATCAGTCTTCTTCTCGGCGGGCACGCGCTCACCTAACTCCTCGTGGAGCCTGCATTGCATGAGATTAGCAAGGGTACGAAATAAGCTTGAATAGAGTTTGCGACATACTCGGCGGCCAAATCCTCGTGATTCTGGGCCATGTTGCAGATTGGCTGACTTGGCTCTCACTCTCAGAGAAAAGAAAAAGTTTTCACTGTCACGGATGCAACAAGGCAAGGCAAGGTTGATTGATGATGAAAGGGAGGAAAGGATGGGAGTAAACGAAGAGTAATAAAAATACCAAGATCTGGAGACGTTTAATAAATATTCTGTCATGGAAACACGGTCGACTCCATATTCTACGCCACGAGATGCCACACCTCGACCGAAGCCATGCCCGTTGTTGTAAAACATCCGACCATCAGAGGAGGGAACCTTTGTAACGGCCCGGATATGGATATGGAGCAACAGCAACGGACGGTGCAGAGGTGGCCAATGGCTATGACCGTGTGGCGTGCTCCGAGACCTTCTGCAAAATTTCGAGAAACATGAGCCATGTCTAAAATGCCGAAGATCCGAGTCATCCCCTGTCTCGTACGAGCGACGGTGACACCTCAAGTGGAGGCTCCGGCCGTAAAGAAAAGCACCCCACAGAAACAGCCGAGTCTAGTGGCGCGAGGGAATTGTCCGGATTTGTGATCCATAGTCTTCCAGAATAACTGTGACTGTCATTATCGCGATGTCGCTCTCCGGGCACGGCGAATCCGCTTGTATGACTCTTTTATATATTACACAGTCACGTTAAACTTATCGATGTCTACAAAGCCAAGAGATTATCTTGTGTTAATCCATGTGATATTGAAGGATCAACAAAACTTCACCTATCATTAAAGATCGGCATAACCTCGTATCAAGCTTACCAGAACAAGTAAAGTCCAATTTCTTGCAAACACCCACTGGCTAAATAAAAAGTTCCGCGGCAACTTCTCCCAAGCGTGTGGTAACGTAACAATCGCAGTGCCCGTCCGCGACTAATGTAATTGAGAACCCTGAATCCACCCGCCACTGATATCGAGACGTACGGACGGGCCAATCGACGAGACAAAGGGCGCGAACCGGGAATGACGGCTGGCTATCTCAGGCACCGTCAGTAATCTTTACCCAAGAGGAAGGTCATTACTCAATCATCAAGTCCTCCCCGCAAATCATCTGTGCAAGGTTTATCTCAGACAAGAAACTCGTCCAAACAGCGTGCTACAAATTGTCATATGACGTATTACCCTCAAGTAAAAACTTGAGCCCATTCCCCTTAGAGGAAACTCCACGAGTGAAATAGGGTTATCTAGAGTGTCAGTTGATTTGATAATACCGTGATAATCTGCTAACCAGCTTCTCGATGCGGAATGATATGGTCTTTTGTGATATGGGCTATTGGCTTGATGTCGCAGGATTCTCTTCAAAAGTTCATCAATCATGATGGGTAAGCGACATGGTGCATCGCATCTTATCTCCGGTCATTCCCAAGGCCAAGCCGGCAGCAGCCGCCATTTTCCCTTGGCGATTTCTTCCATTTTTTGCCGCACTTCGCCTCAGCTGATTCAATTGCCATCTCTGTCTCCCGATGGTGTTGCTATCACCATCTCATTTCGCAACGTTGTGAAAGCCAGTACACCACTATTACCTAAAATCAAGAGATCGTCGCAACGCCGCTTATCTCCTAACCCCATTCTCCATTCCTGTCAACTGCACCCCATGTTTTTCTCATCTCCATCTCCATTTCTCAACGGAGAGAGACCTGAGGCTAATGCATGGGGTAACGGTTCACTCTGTGTCAAGAAAATCAAGGAAGGCGACCGATTGCAACCCCCCATGTCTAGTAAGCTCAGAGGCTACATGAAAGCCAATCACGCCCCTCGCCGTATTTCCGTGAACGCGTTGTTTCCTGGGGTTTCACGGGGTTCAGCTGGATGGTGGCGTGGGCTAGCACGATTTTGGTTGCTGAAGAGAGAGCCTCAACAAGCCTTGAAAACCCGTAAAACTGTATCTCATACCGAGGTGCCGAGGTTGGGAAAGAGTTTTAAGAGTGAGATTATGGAGGTCGGGATCTAAAAAGTCAAAATAGCCGCGTCCGAGGCTGACGAAAATTGTCGTATTCAGGGTAGGTTGGTTGGGTTGGTTGCAAATGGTACCTTAAGCTGAGTACAGTCAGCAATGGCGATGCCTCGTTACGAATCGTTACGAGGGCTATAACTCAGTTTAAGAGACTATCGCTATCTTGCAGCCATTTTTAGATTGCTCTAGAGATCTTACAATAGTCGTATTGCTGTAAATAATATTTTTGGCGTCCGCGATACTGCACAGCACCTGTTCAAAATTTAGGGACGCCATATTCGTGACCCAATTGATCGCCCTACACCATGAACATTTCGTATCACGGCAAATTCCAGTAAAACGACATACAAAGCATCGCCACAGCCTGAAGATCATACTGATGTCGCACCCTAATGGCGGGTTTTGAGTATGCTGTATAGGTTCTGCGATTGTCGATCTCCGCTTCTCACTAGAGACTCTAAGATTAGACCGTTTATGAAGTTTATGATGAGGTGACGGCATAGCCTGTTCTTGCAGTCAATTGATGTAGCATTTTAGAGTGTGCGATATTGAAATGACGCTCAAATATAGACATTACAGTTTTATACTCTAATAGAAGACACTGTTTCAGTTAAGACAAGTTCAATACGTCCTTCAGCACGCGCAGCGCCTCAAAGAGCTCATTGTCGTGATACCGCCTCGCCACCACCTGCAGATTGACAGGCGCACCCCCAAAATCACCCTCCTCCCACAAATCCCTAACATGTCGACAAGCATCGCTTAGCGGAACATAACCCGTATCGTAAACTTCCCCAGATTCAGCCCTAATTGGCGTGGGAATAACCGCTCCCGGGTAGTCGACAAGGTTGTACAGCGAGGTGTATGTCCAGTAGAAAGCCGTGTCGTGCGTACAAGCTGGCCCTACGAACGACGGGCCGATAATGACATCCACATCTTGGTCACTCCAGCTTTTGGCAAAAGCAAGTCGGAAATCGTCTCGCTCTTTGTGGACGGCTGTAAGATCTACGGCGGTGTGCATGCCTAGGGGTTCTGCGTCTTTGTAGATCCAGTCTGTAAGAGGGTGAAGAGGTTCTCCGGAAGAGATTATGCCGTTTTTGGTGAGATGGCCGCCGTCGGGCCAGTAGAGTCTTCGGACTTGGTTCCATGCTTCTTCTGCGCCGAAGACTTTGAACTCTTTTACTTCGATGAGATTTGCGAATTTGCTGTCGTATAGAAGGATTTTGGCCCAGGAAATGGCTCTCTTTACTGGGGGTTGGGGCTCGATGAAGTTATCGTTGCTGATGATGCCTACTCTAAGGCGTCGATTGAATTGAGTGTTCAGACCAGTCCATGGAAGAGGAATGATGTTGGGGTCCGAAAGATAAGGTTTTGAAGAAAGGACACATCTCATGAATAGGTCCATGTCTCTCAATGAACGGCACATTGGGCCCGTCGACAGAGGGATGTTCAACACGGCCGGAGGCGGAGCGCCTTTGATGTGCCCCCTTGTCGGCAAGACATTCGATGTGGTTTTGAAGCCATAGATGCCACAAAACGCAGATGGGCCACGAATGCTCCCGCCAATGTCAGTTCCAATCCCAAGAACCGAGCCTTTCATGGCAATCAACGCAGATTCACCTCCTGTCGAACCACCAGCAGACAGCTGAATGTTGAAAGGGTTCAAGACTCTTCCCCAGTGGGAATCACTCTCAAGATGCATCAGGGATTGGGGCCGGTTGGTTTTGCAGTAAATGATGGCACCTTGGGCACGCAAGATTGATACGATATCGGCGTCTTGGTGGTCGTCGCTGATGCTGGCGAAACAACCCTGAGAGGAAGAGGTCCCGGCAACTTGGATATGATCTTTAATGCTAATGGGCAAACCATGCAAGGGGCCGACTGGTTCTCCGTGTGTTTCGAAATATGCATCGAGCTTCTGAGCTTGTTCGATGGCCTCGTCCATGAACCATTGTGTCAGACAGCATGTGAGCTGATGCGCAATGATGGAGCGCTTGCAGAATGCTTGTGCAATGGCCACTGCAGTGTACTTTCGACTTGCAATTGCTTCAACCAGGCCGACAGAATCATAATCCTCAGTGATGGTGATCTCCTCAGGCGATAAAATGCCACACGTTGTTGGTATCATGGAGACATCTCGTGGAGGGTTCTGTATAACCTCCAAAGGCAACCGAAGCTCATCGGGAACCTTTGCCGCAAAGGCTTCAAGCAACTTAGTCCTCTTCTCCTCGAAATCGGGAGTGCCGCGGGGTACGTGCATAACCTGTACAACAGGAAGTCCTGTAAGCATCTCCGTGGCCAAGGGTTTAGATTCGAGGTGTTTCAAGCTGTGGGTGGCGACACTTGAGGAGTCTTTGGAAGACCCGGATGGGGGGACTGAAGAAGAAGAAGAGGCAAAACCCATGATCGAAGGATCTGTTTGTGTAATGGCAGACTTGCCAGAACAGCATGGCGAGACGGACAATGAGGAGGTGGTGCAGTTGTGATCATCCAGCTGATATATGTCAGGTTCTCGAACCTCAAGCTTCTGGGTCTTTGCTCGACGTGCCTATTCTTCAGCTGTTTGCACCGCCAATCGCCCAGCAAAAACAAAAGCTCGGACCATGGGTCAAGTGCAAACCACAGTCGACAGCTGGCTCGCAAGCGTGTCGTTGGTTCACGATATGCTCGATACCATTCACTTCTGACCGCCCAAACAACCTAATTCGACACAAACATCCTCAAAATTCTCATTGTTGATATCCAACCGCATCAGAAAAAGCAATCTTGGCCTCCAGGTGACCAGTTGAGATAATCTGTGGGACGTCCACCAACATGCCCTCAGGACCCGTCACTTCGTGGAACAATCCTTAGCGGCGTTCTATTGTTCTTCTAGTTTCAACCACCAACAACACCAACCATGTCCGACACACGATATGTAGATGGCGTATCAGTCGGTGAACGCCGTATCGCACCGCGGTTATTGCTAATTTTCCCGGATACTCCTAGTGACACAGGCGCGGGGGATGAGGATATAAGAGGTTACACAAATCCCTGTTCAACAACACACGAATGGAACATTTCGCAATATTATCCTCCTCCGTCAGCTTCTCCATCTACACTTCGATTGCCTTCGCCCGTTATGACATCGCCCATGATGGTAGATCTGGTGGAAAACCACGTTCCTGGAACTATCCATCTTGTTGACCTTAACCGCAATCTGCGCGTCCGTCATGCAGGTGGTGGTGAAGGTGACATTGTCCTTGACCCTGTACCAAGTGACGACCCAGAGGATCCTCTCAATTGGACCCCTGGTCGCAAAATTCTTGCGTTGATCTGTCAAAACTTGTGAGTCTGTTTTCTCAAAGCGCGTGTCTTTTGTTGACTTTGAAAGGTACACCTGGTTCACAGGCATATCTGTTGCGACTGTTTACTCTGTCCTCGTCCCGCTCGCACAGCAGTCAAAGGTCTCAATCAACACGCTCAATGAGGGAACTGGTTATATGTACCTTCTCTTGGGTTGGGGCTTGTTGTTTTGGCAACCTTTCTCGCTGCGATATGGCAAGCGTTTGACCTACCTCCTCTCTGTCCTCGGAGCAATCGTGAGTAAACCTCGATGCATTCACTGCAAGCAACAGCTAACCAACATCATTAGGGCACAAGTGTTTGGAGGTAATGATTTCCAGTGATTCGATACTTGGTTGTGACTTTACTGACTACTCGCAGCGCCTACGTCTCAAGCAACGGAGAATGGATCGCCAAATGCATCATCCAGGGTTTCTTCATCGCGCCCATCGAAGCCTTGCCCGAAATCTCCATCACTGACATCGTAAGCCAACATCCCGATCTTATAGCCGACATGTGACTGACCCTCCTCAGTACTTCACTCATCAACGCGGAACCTACATGGGCATCTACGCTCTCGCCCTCGCCGGCAGCAACTACTTCGCGCCCGTCATATGCGGCTTCATCGCCGAGTACCAAGGCTGGCAATGGGTGTTCTACTGGCCCGCCATCTTTCTCTCCTTTGTCTACGTGTTCCTCTTCTTCTTCATGGAAGAAACCAATTACAATCGTGTCGCTCGACACATCGATCACCCACAGACCAGTTCATCCCGACCGAGCGATGAGAACAACAGCAAGGCTGAAGAAAAGGCTACTGATGGTGGAAGGGCTGAGGTCAGAGAGGCTGATGAAGCAAACGTTCAGTATGCAAAACCGAGAACGTTCGTGCAGAAGATGTCGCTTTGGCAACCGACACCAAGTCAGAGTATGACACGACACGCTGGACGCTCGCTCCAGTACCTCGGTTGGCCTGTCATCTTCTTCGCTGGCTTCTCATACGGCTCGTACCTCATCTGGTTCAACGTCCTCAACGCGACAGCGTCTATCATCCTGTCAGGCCCAGGGTATGGCTTCAAGCCTTCCATGGTCGGACTGAGCTACCTCTCTTGCTGCCTCGGTACCATCATCGCTGCCATTCTCGCCGGACGACTGAGCGACTGGCTTACTATCAAACTTGCGCGTCGCAACAATGGCATCATGGAAGCCGAGCATCGTCTGTGGCCGCTTGCCATTTGTGTCATTGGTGTTCCAGCATCTTTGATCCTTTGGGGTGTTGGCGCGCAGCACGGCGTTCACTGGTTCGGCCTCATTTTCTCCATGTGCACTTTGTCTGTGACGAGTGTCATGGGACTTATCATCAGTATCAATTATCTAATTGATAGCTACTATGATCTCAGCGGTGATGCGATTGTAACGATTATTTTGGTTCGCAACACGATGTCTTTTGCAATCAGTTATGGGTAAGTTTCCGTTCGCCGATGAGGTCCGCAGCCACTAACAGACAACAGTATCACCCCTTGGATAACCAACATGGGCTACCAGAACTGCTTCATCTCAGCTGCATTTATCGCTTTGGCCGCTTGTTCTGCTTGCTTCGTCATGATCAAGTTTGGTAAATCGCTCCGACAACGGAGCGCGCCTCGTTACCACGAGCTGGTCCAAGATGATAAGAGGGTCGTAGGAATTGCTACATGATGGAAGGATTCGCGACTTGGACAATCGAGTAATGAGAATTGGTCGTATATGCGAGTAGTCAATTATGTATAATTAGTATCGTGAATAATGATCCGTATAATCTAGTTTTCCATGTCCGCGTCTCATTCCCGCTATGCAATCTTGATGTCCAATTCATGCGTCCATTCACACCAGCGCGGCAGCAGCCAGGACAGCAGCAGCAAGAGCTCCAAGGCTGGCCTTGGCCCTGGCACCCATATTTCCAGAGTCGCCAGTCTCGCTGGCTGAAGCACCAGTCGCTGTAGATGTCTTGTCACTGCTGCCGCCCTTTCCACCGCTACCGCTACCGCTGCCGCTACCACTTCCGCTTCCACCACTGCCCGAGCCTCCAGAGCCAGCGCTTGACTTGACGCCACTCTCGTTTCCAACGCGAACGTTATTCACAGTAAGAGGCGATGGCTTCTGGCCACACTTCTGCGTGACCTGCACCTCGGGCTTATCCGAAGACTGGATGCCGCTGCTGGTAACGTCCTGGAACTGGCCATTGTTGGTATACAGCGGCTCCTCATAGACATTCTGCCCGTTCGCTTGGATCTGTAGTGTACAATCGGTCTTGTCAGCTCGTCGTCGGAGCTTCGCGCTGCTAGGTTCGCCGACGAGGATGGATGCGACGATGTAGATAAGCTCGTCGGTGTTCAATTCATCGTCGCTGTCGACTACCACGCTGAACGTTGCCTGACCGTTGGCGGGGGCGCTCAATTTACTGGGGTTAAAGTTAGCGGAGTTAGGGGACAGGGACGCTTGGGACTGACATGGCGGGCTTGCCATCAACTTTGACAAGTTCAGCATTTTCGCCAATTGTAGCGTTCTTGAGATCGACTTCCACTACAGCACCGGTGCTTGTAGGTGCAGAGCTGGATGTAGCCGTCGCAGTGGCTGTGTCGGTCGAATCATCGTCGCCGGTCTCGGACGCTGTAGCTGTCGCGTCGGCATCTGTGGCGGTGGCTTCAATCACTGTTAGCTTGCGGTTCTGCAAAGATCATTGGCAAATATTCTCACCATCTGCTGTCGCTGTGCCTTCGGCTGTTGAGGCATCTTCATCGTCACCGCTCGCCGTCGCAGTGGGCTGCTCGTCTCCTGAAGCTTGGGAGGCTTCATCCGATGGTTGAACAGCTGTCGGCTCTGGGCCATTTGTGGCAGATGGTACATTGTCTGCATTTGTCGGTTGTGCATCTTCGTCATCGGCAGGATCTGAGGGTTGATCTTGAGCAGGATTTGAGGGCTCAGCAGCAGGCGCTGATGGTTCTGGTTGTGCGATGGCAGAGGGTTCTGCGATGGCAGAGGGTTCTGCGTCTTGATCGGGAACCATGGTTTGGGCCAAGCCGTTGACTGCCAAAAGGCCAAGGATGAGGCTGCCAGCGAAGCGCATGTTTACGGTTATTAGCGGGTGTAACCTTTACGTTTGTGTCGTGTTCAAGTTATCTTCAACTTCAACTTCTTGCAAACAGTAAACTAGTATCGTAAGAGATCTGCAGAAAATGAAGAACTCAGCTCGAGCTGAAAGAAGCTTGTTTATTATACCTGAGCTAAGCTCCCTCCCTTGATCTCTGAACCTTGTTGCTGGTTCAGGTGGTGGCATTGTCATGGTGGCTTTGCTGGTCCAGACCCTTGGAGCCCTGCAGCTGGGCTGTTAGGCCAGCCACTCAGGCGCCAGCTTTACTATCTGGGGGCTGTGTTTAGCGCTAGACGTAACTGTCGTGTACAGAAATAGCTTCACCTTCGTCAGTGCACCACAGGAGACCCGACGTGTCTCCAGGTCTATACGAGAGCTGTCAGCAATATAACCAGTTGCCATTCCACTTAAAATTCACGATGGACTCTTGAGTATTTATGAGCATTTGTGCTTGCAGGTTAAGCTTAATTGTTCAATTTCAACTACCGAAATTATGCCTTGCTTAATGTTGAGAATAGCTTCAATAGTTCACGCCACAAAGAGGCCGCCGCGCGACCAGCTGAAGGGCTAAGCATTTTAGTTAGTCATGGCACATTCCGTTTTTATTTCAGCCCTGGCAACCGATGTATGCCACTAATCGAAAATTGACGATTGCGGCTGAGCAGTCATGCCTTTCCGCTGTCCAGCCAAGATTGCTATCCCCTTCAATTGGAAACGGGACAAGCCACTTACATTTCTGTATCTTCCGAAGACAGCACAACCTTATCTTCCGATGACTGGCAGTACCTTTATTCTGGTCACTCCCTTGGAGACCACCCTCGATGAGCTAGGTTTACATTGAAGGCTTAACAAGAAACGTCTTCAGCAGAATATGTCTCTTCAACCCAAGATCGTGGTCCGACATGATCTGGGGCGGGCAACGCGGCCTCTTCTTCATCTCCTCCAGCTGTGTCCTTGTTTCATCCCTCTTCGATTCGATCAACTTCCTCTGTTCCTCAGTTTGCACAAGTGGCGGGGGCAATAAACTCTTATCAGGGTGATACCACTGCTCTTTCGGCGTGTCTCTACCATCAACACCACGAAAGTCAATCTCATTTTGGGGTACAAAAGGCAGGCGATCAAGAAGCGCCTTGATCAGATGAGGTGATAAAGGGACTGCATCGTGAACATCGCGGTCTGGGCCTAGCGAGCGCAGAATGCCATCTTTGCCGACGGAGAAGACTCCATTGAAGGAGGGATGGTGCTCGAGTTTTCCCCAAATATCGCTGAGCTCAGCTTGGTGTTTGCTGATGGCTGCCCATTGAGCTCTATGACTAGTGCTGGAGTCTTGGGGTTGTACTTGGGCGTCGCACCGAGTTGAAGACATGGTGAAAGTGCAGAGTCTCCGAGGGTAAGTCTGTAATGAAAGAAATTCAGAGAAATTAGTTGGGATACAAGGGTTACTTAAATAATAAAACTTCCCCTGCTGGATCAGCTTCTGCGCATGATGAATATCGAATCATATACCGCGTTTCAACTTACTTCCTACAAATGTCTCTTCAAGGACACTGATGACATCCTCAATTGCAGGGGTGTGTAGTCCTTCTTTGGGGTCAGATACCTTGGCATGAACAGGGGTCTCTGACCAGCGAACGAATCAGATCGAAGCCGGGCCAGGTCAGCACGAAGATGGCATCTATCCTTTCGGACTTCATAACGACGTAGTGCCCGTGCTTCAAGTTCGTATTGGTTCGGTCTGTTTGATCGTCATCTTTTGAGGGTTCTGTTGGCTATTGGGAAGCCGCATTGACAAATAGAAAAAGCAAGAAGCCGTGGCAATGGAGAGCTCTCTATTCACAAACGACACCCTGGGTAGAAACTAATAGTCGGATTTATATGCCTCTTCTGGGAGGCCATGGTGGAGTAAAGGAGAGATAGAGTGGAGTGTCCTCAGGACGATACAATATCGCCAGAGAAGGAATATCGGCGAGGGATCTTGACATGCAACCAAATACAACAGTTTTCACCAATTCTTGGAACAAGTGCATGAAGCAAAGATGACGGACGTATTTATACAAAAATACTGACTCGCATTATATGGTTTTTAACCTTGAAACTATCTCTGGAGGGAAGTGCAAGCTGTCCTATTTGCAAACTGGAGCACTATTGGGCTTGGCAACACCGTTGCTTGGGTTCGTCTGGCTGCAACCATTCGCAAAACCTAAAGCAGTATCATCAACAGCCGCATTGAAGGCAGCTCCGCAGTTGGGGTCACTGTCGAGGTTAATATCAGCTTTCTACCCATTCAAAAGGCAACCTACCTGGCACCTCCGGAGGCGGAGTTAAAGTAAGAGCAGATATCGTGAGAAAAGCAGTCCTGGGTATAGACATTGCCAACAGCAGTTCCGCTGCAACCGGCTCCACATCTTCCGTTACAAGAGTAACTTATCAAATCAGTCACATGTTCTGAAAGAAAATGGTAGTTGCGAAACTTACTCTCCTGATCCGGAAGGATTGGCGCCGTAGTTGCTACCAACAACACCCGTGAAAGTACATTTCTTGCCAGCACTATTGGTCCACGAGGCAGTGGCTGTTTGGCCAACTTTGAGACATGTAATGGCTCGCTTCTCAAGTGTTGGTGAGGCAATAGAGATACTTGCGAGGAGTAAGACAACAAGAGAGCCGAGCATGATGGGCAGACGATTCAGAACAAGATACTATTCTGAAAGCTTTCTTGACTAATTACTATCTGAAGAATACTACTCTTATACAGAATTATAGTCACATCGCTCATTTTGGTAGTATATTCTGTCATCGGAGGTGTATCTTGTTCTGGACAGTAGCGGAGATAATTTCGGAGAATCGCTTCTTGGCCATTGGCTCGATATGCGAATGTGACTACGATCGTCCCAACAAGAGTTCAACTTAAGCTTTTGTAGACCTATTTCAGGTATCCGATGCCGTATATCGAACAATAATAGCCATGCGTACCGGAGAAAAGCTCGGCATCGCTATGAGCATCACGAGTCTCTGTCCAACCCCTTGGTATTTCGGATAGAGCTTGTCCGTGACCATAAAGGGACTACCCCAGAATACTCCAACTCACTCATAGCTTGGTCCTCGGTTGCCGGAGAGGCGGTGTACGCATGTGGATGTCGCTCCAATCAGGTCTCACACGAAGCCATTACCTGGATATCTCGACATATGCACGGGACATGTCTGCGACACCAATTCGAGATCTTGGCTCCTGTTCAGTCAAGTAAGACCTAAACACCTTATCTATGACGTCTATGATCCTGAAAATCCAAGATGGTGAGACACGGGATCGTGGATAAACACCCATTCCCGCATCTCATTTGGACCTGGACCATCGTACGAACAGATATCCGAAAGCTTTAGTCTGGAGACCACTGCTCGGGACAAGTCCAAAACTACCAAGATCCCCCTCAGGGAACAAAAACGCTTCTGAGCTTAAGTCAAGGTGCAAAAAATACCTAGTCTAGAGTCTACTAAATCTACACTGAGTCTATATTTAAGTCTTTTTATCACTTAGGGTAGTCGTCTTAAGTTCTCTTGCTTCCCCTACATATCTTGATAGAGGCGTCACTGGAATGATCATCCTTACTTCCTACGGGAGGACCCGCATCCGTGCCGTGCCGGGTCGCGTTCGTCCAATACGTGGTTACCCGGGGAGCCGGAGTGTTTTTGACTTTGAAGCTGGACTAAGATCTGTCTTGCAAGCTGGTCGATCAATCAACCATCCGTAGATCATGGCTATTTATGGCAATAAGCTTGGTATCTATGCTTTTTTCGCACGGATGTCTTATGTTGGCGAAGCAAGGGAGATGACTGAGATGGGGCAGAGATCTGATGGCATGGATTAGATTTTAGATCAACGTAATTGCGGCTGCGGGGCTTGCTATCAGACCAACAGCGAGCCTTCCATATGTTGACGGAAAAGCATGCTCATGAGGCTCAATATGGCATCTCAAATGAGCTAAGTATTGGTGATATATGCTTAACCGTAAATCAGGTATTGTTCAGTCTTAGAAACTTGACCTTACGATATGTAAATTGATGAATGCCTTCTAAGTGTTTGTTTTCTGTATGGTTCTTGGTTATGGAATGGCGGGAGGTTGGTGTCGAGCCAACACCTCTCTGTCTCGCCTGAGCCAACAGTCTTACATCCCCTCACCAGACCCCTACGTTGCTTGAGGTTTGAGTGTCGTTGCGTAGCATTTTTGCTTGTAGATCTCGACGTTTTAATCCATGCCATCCAAAACATCCTTTGATGGCATGTCGATCCTCCGAGAATGATCAGGGCCAGAGAAATATTTGGAGAAGCTGGTGGGAGCAACGCAGAGAAGTTGACATGTGATGAGTTTAGAATGTGTATAAATATCACATCATATCCCCAACTATTCAAGTCGAATCAACACATCTCAAATCATCTTTCACTCTACTCAATTACTACAACTCAACTACTATCCAACATGTCTCTCCCTGGTAGATTCATGATCATTGTCGACGGAAAGCCCGTCGCCAATCCCCAAGACAACGGCGAGCCCATAATCCAGGCTCAGTCTGGCGACCCTGCTGCCATTTTTGAGCTTCGAGACGGCCGTCTCTTCTCTGGCGAGTGGGCTTTGGGCCGTCTCAACTTTGAAGACCGATCTTTGTTGCCCAAGCGTGTCTTGTGGCGCAAGAGAGAAGCCGTCGAAGAGCTTCAGCCGGTTCAGGTCCAAGAGTTTGATGGTCCCCCCGAGCTCAAGTTTTCTGGTAAGCATTATCACCCAGTAGCCTCAAACGTTGTAGTATTGACAAGTAGTAATAGGTGCCGGTCTGGCATTCTTTGACAACAAGCTTTTTGCACCTATCATAGAAGGTATGCCTCTCTTCCGAGTGTCTTCGTGATGCACAAAGACTGACATTATTCTTAAAGGCGAGAGCCAGCCTATCCAGATTCGCCCCTTGCCATTCTAAGCAGTGTTGATTGATGAGCTGGTATCTCAGAGACTCGGTTTTGAGAAACATGTCTTTAAATTACATAGGCTCCAGCTCCAATCAATACTCAAGTTTATATTTTACCACTCGAGATTCTGTTGTTTCGTTCATCGTCTCACACCCACTATTCAAAGCTTGATGCGTAGCCCATGATCTCTCCCAATGCTCTCCTCAAGCGTCCCCCATGAATCTTTATAGTGCCTCTGTCGTGCTACAGGCCAGTGTCAGGAACACTAGCATCATTGTAAGCGTCCGCGATGCTATTCCATCATTTCGTCACAACGTTTACAGCTCTGAAAATGACAAAGACTATCAACCACGTGAAGCCTTTGGTAATCACATACGACCATACCTATAGGAAAATACGGGATCCCGTCCGCTCTCCCATCGTCAAGCCTGTAAGGGGCGGATTAGTAGTTGGGTCGGTGACGACCAGCGAATCCCCGCTGTTGTATGTATTTTTTGAAGTTTTTATCGTGATGGTGGATATGCTTTTGCTCCATCCACGATGGCGCCCATGTCTTTGCTAGCATAAGTTACTTCTCCACTTGTTCCGCATCCATGAACGACGGGTAATATTGACATCCTTGGATAGCTACCAGGGGTTGAATTGATATGAAAGCCGTAGAGTACTTATTTTATGACCCAATATTCGTACCTCTTATTCTCTTAGCAGCCATCGTTGATGAAGCTTTGGGATCAGTTAGGCCTAATCCCGCAAGGGTAAGTCACCGCTAACCTCAAACGGGATGGACTGATAAAGCCAGTAAGGAAGCAGAAAACGCGTTTCTGCCACCCTCGTCATTCTTTTCATTGGCACAACCTCAGCAGCTTCCATCTCTTCCCGCAATTGAAGGAAGCAAGTATTAATATAACCCCAGGCCCTTGTATCGCTATGGCATCCGTATCTGCCCAACCGACAGCTGCTGCGGCTCTCCAGCCCACCATTGAGACGCAGTCCAACGCGTCTGTGACCAAGCCGTGAATCTCAATTAGCACCAAGTTCCGTGGCAGCAGAGGCGACCCCAGGGACTGACCTCGAAGTGCCTAAATGACTCCGAGATCATATGAGATCTTGGAAAATCCCGCTACCCCTGTCCGGGCACGTGCATGGGTCCTCGAAGCTTTAATCACTTTAACTCTAATAGAGCGCTGCCAGACCATTTTCACGGAATTCAAAATCAATTGTATCAAGCGTGGCTAAAAGAGAACAAGGAAAAAGCCAAGACAACTACCACCAAGGCAAAAAGAAAATCAGACAGAACCTCCAACCAGCCTGCAGCCAAGAAAACGAACGGCTAAACGATAGTCAAGTCAGAGAACCAGCAAGTTGCAATGCCACCCCCAAAACCACTGGGAAACTTGAAAGGAAAGGACGCAATCGAGACACTTTATGATTGTTGCGATTACGAGCCTCAGCGTAGCCACGACGAATTCTGCAGTATAGTCCTCTCCCCCGGAGACGGCGAGACACTGCGAGGTTACCTCAGTTTGGGCCGAATGAATCACACTGCACTTGTGCTTTTCGATAAACGTCCAACGGAAGCTTCAACACGCAAAGTACCATTCAGATGGCGCGGCAAGACAATGTTCAATAAGTTCAGAGTTTTCAGAGGTGATAAACTATGGCTGGGTGAAATTTCTTGGAGATGGCAAGATCGAGGTTTCTTTTGATAAGCTCAAACTCGAGCTCGTGGCGCAGAAAGATCGGGGGATTGGTGAAAGGGGCAAGCATAACGCAGCAGTGTTTTGGGACGATTGGCATGAGTTGGATGAGGAAAGCCTGAACTTGCTTGATATTGACAGAATGATGCCACCTGATTGGTAGTACTTGAAGTTATTTCTTGCTCTTGAAGCAGCTCAGCTTCTTTGATTAGTCGTCACTCGTTCTTTTAGCCGGTCCTACAGCCTTTAATTGATCAAGAATGCAGATTGCAAAAAGTTGAGGGAACACTCTCCAGTACATACAATATCAAGACTACCAATTCTTGTAGTGTTCTGTTCCGGATATGGGATGAGACTTATTACCGAGAAGGATCAGATCACAGAGATCGTGCGTAAGAAGTCACATAATCACCTCCGCTCCAAGTAAGCACTAACGTCAGCAAAGAGCATACGTTTTTATGGGATTTCGTAAAGGATGACTGGCAAAGATGTTTTTCCCTGTCTGTTTCATAAGCCTTTTGCCTCTGAAAGTCTCCGGTTTACGATTAAATGCGTGCGGTCGAGACTGCGGAGTTAGCTTTTCAGCCACTTGCGGGATATACACATATAGCCTATATTGAGAAGCTATTTGCCTATATTTGAGCACAATCATCACACGTCGGTTTCGTGCCTCTCGTCAAAACACTTTCCATTTTGATTCGACTACCATGACTGGATTGAGATATGACCCCGAATACCTCAAAGCTCTTGGGCCGGTGACGAAGGGACCAAAGTCCGAGCCCTCCAAATCCGTTCTCGAGATCAGGAAGAATACTGAAGATGTCATCCGCCGGGTCGTTACGAATTCACCATATCCCGATGGTGTGAAAGAGACTGTGTATAAAGTCAAAAGCTATGATGGATTCGAGATTGAAGTCACCCGCTTTGCTTCCGAGGAGACGTTGGCTTCGGACAAGCCTACGCCCGCTGTGATGTACTTCCACGGCGGAGGTTATGTCGCTTGTTATGTGCAGCTATTCGCGCCTCAAATCGCCCGTTTCGCGAACGACTCAAAGCTTCCATACTTCGCGGTGTCTTACCGGCTGGCGCCGGAACATCCTGCTCCTGCTGGTGTCGAAGACGCGTATGCGGCTCTTCAATTTGTGTCAAAGGCTGCGGCGGAGCTCAACATCGACCCTACGAAGATCGCTTTACACGGTGACAGCGCAGGTGGAGGACTCGCCGCGGGTCTCGCTTTGATGGCCAGAGATCGCCAATTTAACCCTCCACTTGCGAAACAACTGCTTGTCTATCCCATGCTTGACGATCGCGACCACATTGAGAAAGATGATCCCATCCTCGATCTTATGGTTTGGAAACCTGACGGCGCAAAACTTGCATGGGACGTGTACGCCTCCAAGGTTCGAGAGAATGATGATCCGCAAGCTCTATCTTACGCGATACCAGCTCGGGCTGCAACGCTGCGGGGTCTGCCCTCCACCTATATCGACGTGGGATGTCTCGATCTGTTCAGAGATGAGAATCTGGAGTATGCAAAGAGATTGGCTAATGAGCATGTTGAGGTTGAGTTCCATCTTTGGCCGGGGCTGCCTCATGGGTTTGATGGGATGAGGGATATCAGCTGGTTTGCGAGGTGCCAGGAGAGTCGCATAAGTGCCCTGAAAAGGATGTAATGGTCAGTTGATTCAAAAGTCAGAACGTTTGCTGGTCAATGGTTACCATTAGATAGTCGTTTTGCGTGGCGCGAACTGTCACAAATGGAATATCGAAGAGCATAAATCCAATATCAAACCACTGTAGTAGACAATTGACATCTGGGGTAGCATTCTTGAGATCGCAATAGCCACACCTGGGGGTATCAGGCCATTGCACAACATAATGAAGGATGCAAGGCTTGGTAACCCATGAGACCCGGCCCGCCCTTGACGTTACTATGAGCACCTGCAGCTGCCTTCATATGGAGATGATCTGTCGCCACACAACGTGTCAGTCGATTAAGCTTATAACTCGTTGACAGATGATCTCGATAGAGGATACTTACAACGTAAAGAGCATTGTCAATCATGGCGCCATCTGAGCGCATCGGACGACTACTGTTTTGACCCATCGCTGTATCGATCGGCTGACCAACAAGCTCCGAGGCAGTCCAGAGCGCCGTTGAGAAATTATTGTGCACTCACCAGTTGCCCCCCGGTAGTCCAACATCGAAGGAGGCCATCACATGGAATAACGGCAACTCGGGCTGTGAATTGGTTAATTAGTCAAGGTATGAGACAATCGCATTGGTCGGGATGCAGCGTGTAGACGAACAGGGCTAATAGGCCCGATGCACGTAAAATGACACTCCAACTACCAGAGCCGCGTCAATAGAAATGCGGGTGAATGTGGAGAAAACATGGAGTAAATGTCATCAGACGTAATAAACTCTCGTCTAAGACTTGACATTGCAACGCTACCAACCCATGGCGAAATTCCCATTGACGCGTTTTATGCTCCGGCTGATCCATCGTACCCCTCAATTCAATTCATCGGTGAAGAGCACCACCGAGCCCCAGACTTTTTGATCGACACATTCGGGAGTGAGAGCCGTGGGGGAGCTATGTCATGTCATGTAATGCGGGTCATTTGTGACCGAGATAACTTTTGGTGGTGTTCGGGACATATATAAGTTCTGGGTGATGCTGTGCACGCGAGCTTGGGTTTGATCGGCATAGCAAGTCACAATGAGATTGCTTTCGCTTTCAACTGTCGGGCTGCTTGCCTTGGCTGGTTTGTCGATTGGACAAGAGACAAAGGATGTTCCGATTCAAAACAATGGACTTACAAACATCGTTGAATGGTAATTTACTCGATTGTCGCATTGCAACTCACTGCCTAACAAACAATTTAGGGATGATCACAGTTACCTAATCAATGGCGAGAGAATCTTTGTCTTCTCTGGAGAGTTTCATTACTGGCGTCTACCTGTGTATGCCTCACCTCTTGCCTCCAGTAATCCCAAATCTAACATGTTGCAGACCCGAGCTCTGGCGAGATTTGCTAGAAAAGATCAAAGCCGCCGGCTTCACAGCCTTCAGCATCTACAACAGCTGGGGCTACCACGAAGCAACCCCCGGCGTCCTCGACTTCGAAAATGGCGCCCACGATTTCGTGTCGATCATGACCCTTGCCAAAGAGCTCGGCCTCTATCTCCTGATCCGTCCTGGTCCCTACGTCAATGCCGAGGCTAATGCCGGAGGGTTTCCTCTGTGGGTCACGACCGGAGAGTATGGCAAGCTTCGAAACGATGATCCTAGATACACTAAGGCTTGGTCCAAGTATTGGACTGAGATTTCCAAGATTATTGAGCCGCATCTCATTACCAATGGCGGCAATGTTGCCATGTTCCAGGTATGATCACAGAGTTGAAGATGGGGAGGAAGCTGACGATTGTAGATTGAAAACGAACTGGGCGGCCAGTGGAAGAATGACGACAAGAGAATTTTGAACGAGCCTACCGCCAACTACATGCAGCTTTTAAAAGAGTCTGCCAGAGAGGCCGGCATCGATGTCCCCGTATTCCACAATGCGCCCAACACTGTATGCTTTTTCTCCCCAAAATCCAACCATAGATAGATATTGACAGATCCTTAGCGCACCTTTTCTTGGTCCAACGACTTCGAGCGCAATGCAACCGGCAACGTCGATGTCACCGGTGTCGACAGCTACCCCTCCTGCTGGAGCTGCAACCTCGACGAATGCACCGGCACCAACGGTGAATACGTCCCTTACAACATCCAAGACTACGTCACGTACTTCAACAAGCAATCGCCCCGTCAGCCTCACTTTTTGCCCGAGTTCCAGGGCGGCTCTTACAACCCATGGGGCGGCCCAGAGGGCGGCTGCCCCGGCGATATCGGCCCTGACTTCGCCAACATTTTCTACCGTGACTTGCTCGCACAACAGGCCACCGCCATTTCTCTGTACATGATGTACGGAGGGACAAACTGGGGTTGGTTTGCCTGTCCTGTTGTTGCTACTAGCTACGATTACTCTTCGCCTATTTCTGAGAACCGCGCTATTTGGGATAAGTACTACGAGACGAAGTCACTGACTCTGTTTACGCGGGTTGCACACGATCTTACCAAAACCATCCGAGTTACCAACAGTACTTCCCTTTCCACGAACGATGCCATCTTGATCTCTGAGCTTCGACATGAGGAGAACGATGCTGCTTTCTACGTTGCCCGACACGATCACTCACCTTCCGGTACCAAGGAGACCTTTAAGCTTCACGTCAAGACCTCAGAGGGCAAGCGTATGTTTTTATATTCTTCCTTATGCCTCATATACTGAAAACTTCTAGTCACCATCCCTCAGAACGAGGGCTCGATCACTATTAACGGCCATCAATCCAAGGTGATCCCAACCGACTTCCACTTCGGCAAGAAGACACTCCTCTACTCGACCGCCGAAGTCCTCACTTACTCGATCATCGACAAGAAGGAAGTCATTGTCCTCTGGCTTCCTGAAGGCGAGCATGGAGAGTTCACCCTCAAGGGACCCACCGAACTCAAGCACGACAAGTCTCTAAAGGGCATTAAGGTCAAGACTGGCAAGAAGAGCGTTACTGTCAACTATACTCAGCAGAAGGGTCTTTTCACTCTAAACATGAAGGATGGCTCGACCATTGCTCTGGCTGATCGAAAGACTGCTTATAAGTTCTGGGCTCCTACACTGGATAACGATCCTTTTGCGCCTGTCAACAAGACTGGTGAGTTCTACGGATGACACAAGACACTTTTAAGAAGGATATTGACTTTTACAGTTCTGGTTCACGGCCCCTACCTCGTCCGCCACGCCACCATCAAGAATGGACAACTCAGCATCCAGGGCGATCTCGACAGCTCCACCGAACTCACCGTCTTTGCTCCCGAGTCTCTCAAGTCCATCGCTTGGAACGGTGAGAAGGTCAAGGTTTCGTCGAAGGAAGGCCACAAGTACACCATCAAGCTCAAGGGTCCTTCAAAGGTCACGCTGCCCAAGCTTGAGTCCTGGAAGTATGCCGACAGCTTGCCCGAAATTAAGACCGACTACAAGACTTCATCCTCGGCCTGGGTTGGTATGTAGTACAATGGCGCCTGTGACGACTTGTTATACTGATCTTGAATAGTTGCTGATAAGAAGAACACCACCAACGCGGTTCTCGTCCCCGATCTGAAGAACCCCGTGCTCTACGTCGATGAGTACAAGATCCACTACGGAAACCACATTTACAGAGCTACTTTCCCCGCCACTAGCTCTGCCCCTACCGGCGTTTATCTGAATCTCACTGGCGGTATGGCCTTTGGTTACTCCGTCTGGCTGAACTCGGATTACATTGGCTCCTACCTCGGTGAAGCCACCACTGGTCATGCGGGTCAAGAATTCTCTTTCAAGAACGCCACCCTCTCCAAGAAGGAGAACGTTCTGGTGGTTCTCATGGATAACTCTGGCCACGATCTACGTGATGGCGCTCTTGACCCTCGAGGTATCACCAACGCTACTCTTATTGGTCCTGCCAAGGGCGGTTATAAGTTCTCTGAGTGGAAGATTGCTGGACATGCTGGAAGTGTTGAGGGCGAGGTCATTGATCCCATCCGCGGTCCTCTCAATGAAGGTGGTCTCTACGCTGAGCGTATCGGCGCTCACTTGCCTGGCTTCTCCGATAAGAAGTGGAAGTCCTACTCTTCCAAGCAAGGAACTCTCGTCAACCCTTCAGCTGGAGTCCGCGCCTACAGGACCACTGTCGACCTTGACATCCCTGATGGTCTGGACGTCGGTATCTCATTCAAGCTCACAGCGCCGTCTAACGCTACCTTCTCCGCCACCAAGAAGGGCTACAGCAACCAAGTCAGAGTTCTTCTGTTTGTCAACGGCTACCAGTACGGACGATTCAACCCTTACATCGGCAACCAGATCTCCTTCCCCGTTCCTCCTGGTGTTCTGAACTACAACGGGGGGAACATCATCGCTGTTACGGTCTGGAGTCAGAGTGCTGAGGGTGGTGAGGTCAAGGTCGAGTGGGAAGTTGATTATGCCCATGCATCCAGCTTCGATGTTAAGTTCGACAGCAAGTATCTCCGCCCAGAGTGGACCAAAGAGAGACTGCAGTACGCTTAGGAAATTAGTAGAGTTACGAAGTGGTGTTAGAGTCAAAAAAGTGAGTTATTAAGACATTAGTCATGTTAGCTAGACCATAATTTAGTGAAGCTCGGCTGGCTTGACGAAGACCCAGTTCTTGTTTGCTGTAACCGGTAGTCCTTCCTTCTTCTGAGCAATTGTGTTATTCTTAATCATGCCGTCAATCTGCTCCCTGTAAGCAGGCTTACGGTCAACCCAAAGGTGAATACCGCCACGCGCAACATCAACACCCTGGAAAATCATGGGACCGTCACTATCAGGAGTATCACCACCAGCAAGAATAGGCCTGTTCCACTCATCGATGTACGTGAGAATAGCAGCCCACTTTCCAGACTTCCAAGTAGCTGGGGCCCAGAGCCAGGGAGTCATCTCAGCATCGAGGTTCTGCTTCTGTGTCTTTTGTGTGTAGACACCATCCTCAATCTGCTTGCGAGCAGTAGTGATCTCGCCCTTTTTGGTCTTGAGGAAGAGAGATACGCCAATGACGTTTTGGGGAGGGACGTTGTAGCCGTATTTGGGATCGCTAGCAACCATGCGGACAAGCTCTTCGGAAGCAGCGCTGACGACGTAGACCTTGATGCCGTTGGCCATGAGACGGTTGTACAGCTCGACCTGGCCCTCGAAGATCTTGGGAGGGGAGACTTCGGTGGCCGTGACCTTGTCGTCCTCGAAATAAGTGGTGGGGATGGTCTTGTTGTAGGCCATCAACTCATCAACGTAGCCCTTGAGCTCACCAAGAGGGAAGCCGCTGAAGATTTGCGCAGCCCAAGGATAGCATACAGCATCCTCGATCTCACAGAGGCGCAAGTAGTAGCTGTACAGCGATTCCTTGTGCTTCTTGGTGTCCTTGAAAGGGACCAGCTTAAGAGCAGGGTCCATGGTCTCTCGTGTAAGAACACCCTTGTTCTCAAGGTAAGGAAGAAGTGATTCCTCCAGATCGAATTGATAGCTGGTATTGTCCATGTCGAAGACGGCATAGCGACCATTGTTGGCATTGCGAGCAATCATCTTGTTGAGAGCCTTGGCAGCTTGGGCAGGCCAATGCTTGAGCTCGGGACCCTTGAGACCATAGTTGCCATTAGAGGGAGCGGCAGCAGAGGGAGTGCTCAGGCTTGTCAGCCAGAGGGCATTGACAACGAGATTGATGCTAAGTCTCATGGTGAAAGGCTTGAGGTGAAGAGAGAAGTAGAAAGCGTGATTAACCTGCTTTTCAGCTTGAGCCTGGGATGGGATTCACAGAGTAATTAAAGAAGTCGAAGGCACTCAAGGTTTAACGGCCCGACAATTATTCCATACGAAGTCGCTGATAGTGTTACAAGAGGTAATATCCGGTGGTTGGTCTAATTGGACGATCTTGGTCTATTTGGTCACGCTACCCCGCTTACACGTTTATTGAGGGGTTTTAGTCGCTGTTGAGATAACGGCCATGTGAGCTTGTTTCTGTTCGATAAAGGTCTCGATTATTTAATGTTGCAGGCTCTCTGTTCAATCTAATACTATTGAGGCTTCTATTCGACATCAGATCGATCTAAACCATGCCCAAATCTCACAGCTGAAGGTGGTGATGTCAGCCACTTTCCTGTCTAGGCCAAGTTTCCAACAGCAGGGGAGGGTTGTACAGTTCAATAAACAGTTAAGATCTGCGTCATTGACACGAGGCAGAAGAACGGCACTCGGCATTAGTCCAAGACCCCAAGCCAAGAACCCTTTTACTCCAATGATGTAACGTTGAAAGGGACACCGGGGCGTTTTCTAAACCACTAACGGGCAGCTAACAGGGGGTTTCAAGGTTTAAGCTTGCCAGACTCGAACTCCAAATTCTGCTTATCGCAGGGGAAATACGGAGTACTTGGAATTAAATTGCGCTCAATTGGCAGGACGGGGCGCCAATGCTCAGGTACAAGGGTTCCTAGCTCTGTTTGTCGAAGTAATTCTGCAGTGTGCAAAATTTATCCTGATTTTCAGGACCCTTTGGTGGTTTCTTCGGCGAACGCGATGGCTTTTTACCGACTCCGATCAGCTCCATGAATTCCTTGAATTCAGCTTCGGGAATCTTTCCGCCGCTTGCGTTCGTGTGACCACGAGCAAAGTTAGGTCCCATTCGTGTTCTCAGCGTTTTGTCTTCTGCTCGATCTGCTGCTTTACCAAGAATGTCTGGGATGTTGACGGGCGGATCTCTGCCCCTGGCGCACAATGGAACGCGACACGAATAATTGACAATGCCTGGCGCGTAACCTTCATTCGCTACCATCACAACTTCAAGGTTTTTCCTACTCAAATGACGAGCCTGGCGTGTCGCAATGACAGCATGAATCTGCGCTTTCGACTTGATGCGGAATACTGCGATTCTTTTATCAGCAGAAAACTTGGGCTCCACGCGACCGGCCCTCTTGACTTCACGCATCACTTCAACCCTTGCTGCCTGTAAAAACTTATTCTTGACAAGGTCTCTGGTTGATGAGGCCTCGATCAATGTTTTCCAAGCTCTGGGGACGTCGTAGGCTTCGGTTCGGCGAGGAGCATTGATAAACGATGCACTAAGATTTATCGACCTCTTGGTATGCGTCCTGAACGTCGCTCTCATGTCCGGAAATGGCCGGCTCCATGTGATTGAATTGCCCAGATCGCCATGCGTTCCCAAGACGCATAACCAGCCGCATGCTTCCTCGACCCCTTCGTGTAAGTCGCGACAGATGAGATAAGTCAGCAGCGAGCTTGTAGCTATCGGTGGACACTTATTCGCTGTCACTAATATCGCACTCTCGGGGTGATCATCGTCATCTGCAAGATGGTGGTCAATTACTAACGCGCGATGGGGCCCGTCGATTACAGGCGGTGATCTCCCTGAGCCTTGGTCGAGGATAATGATGAAAGATGGCTTGTAAGATGCCATGTCTTTACGAGAATCCTCATCGTGGACATTGCGGTTTTTTTTCATCGTGTAGGCAAATATCAATTTGGGATTAAGGCCGAGTAAGATGAGAGTTTTTCTCATAATGGCTCCAGCAGCAAGGCCATCGGCGTCTTTATCAGGGACGATGAGAGTCCGTTTACCAGCGGCGACACTACAGGATGATTAGTTGAAAATCCTCTTAGGTAAACGATATCCTTCTCATCTAGATGATTGGCATAGTGAGAAGTAAGGGCAGCTGACCATTCGCGAATGAAATCCTTTGCTTCCTGAATCTGATCCTTGGGGGCAGGCCATATGATCTTTCCACATCGATCCCTCCGTGGTCGAGCTAAGTGATAATCAGTTTCAGGAGATATGGGCTTCCCAGCGCGATACTTCTTGGGACTTGATTCGCTCAAGCGGGCCGAAGTCGCGCTTCGATTCATGGTAAATTGTCGTGCGATTGTGAGGGAAGCCCGATCCTTGCGAGCGATAGGGATTAAAAATCGTCGTGTATTTAAAGTCGTTGCGACTGACGGAATTGATATAAGGGGACGCATGGTTGTGGCGATGAGGTAACAGCCTCGAGGACATTGACATTGTTGGTGTTGGTATCTGTATACGTGGAAAATCCATCATCGTCATAGAAAAACGTGGCCGTGCAGCACACAGCCACGATTATTAGCCGCATATCATCATGCTTCATTGTTCTTCCCCTGACCAACAACAGCAATCGGACGTCGTCGAATATTAAAATTATTATAGATATATGTATTAGTCACCTTTCTTTATTTTGGTCACCGGTTATTCACCATTCGCTGCCATGAGCTTCACAGTACGACGAGGGCCGAAAGCCAAAACCAAGAAGCCCAAGCATCCTTTACTTTCATCAAGTGATTGCCCCTTAAATGATACTATTCAGATTTGCGGTGAATCCGTCAGTATCTCAATAGATGAGGCCGAACGCATGCGGAAAGGTTCCCTGAAAAAAATGCGGACCAGACGCCAAGCCCCTGGGGCTCGACCGCCAGCCATCGCACCAATTGGTTGACTTCCAGGGGCTCAGGAATGTAGTGACTTCAGACTTTCCACTGCGTTCATTCAATAGGATGGCTACTCAAATAATCGTCTCGAAATGAGAGCAGCGGCTGAAGGTTATCGTCTCTTTATCGGGTGCTAAAGCCAGGGTTCCCAAGCCTCTGGCGATCAATGGCGTTGTAAGGCTTTCGTTCCTGACTACTTAAGTCCTGCGTTTCGCCCTCGCAACTCCCTTTTGCAGAGAGCACGGCAAGCATAACACTGAAGCAAACATGAAATATTCTGTTTGTGTTTTCCTCGTTTCCGCTATTGGAGCCACTGCTCAAGCAGCAAACTGCAGTGAAGTAGAGGCGTGCCTCAAAGCTGGTCCCAAAAATGTACGTGCAGAATTGTCGAAGCTATGATGGAAGCTGACGTTTGTCCTCAGACCGATGCCTGCGGCGACAACGAGCGTTGCCTTTGTGGAACACACAAGGAGATTGCCAAGTAGGTTCAACCAGATGATGCACAGTCCATATTACTGATACATTTCCGCCAAAGTTGCTACGTCAATTGCGAGGAGGATTCGAAAGCGAAACCGGCCGAGGAAGCTGTTGAGAAGTACTGTTCTGTGCTGAGAAAGCGATCGAAGCCATTGTATAAGTGAGGGCGGCCGAAATTATACCAGCAGAAAGGACACGCATTGACAGGACTTTATGTACATTATGAAAGCTGTATTATAGGAAGTTGATTGGTATGCGTCTTATATGGAGTCAGAAAGTCATCAAATTAAATTTGCTGTGCAGACAAGACGAGTCTATCAACCACTGAATTATACCACAGTCCCACTCATAACCCGTCCAGGGGCGCATTGACAGCAACATCAAATAGAGGGTCAATGTATGAAGAGACCAAAAAAAGAAATGCTGTGTTTAACAGCTGGCTGGAACTCTCCCGCCGGGAATTGAACCCGGGTCTCAAGCGTGACAAGCTTGCATACTGACCACTATACTACGGAAGACATAACAGGCTAAAGCCTGCTGTAGTGAGTTCGATGTCACGTGGTGGAAATTTGCAGTCTATATACCCATTTCTGGCATCCTACCCATTTTGGAGCGCGAAGCTCGGAAAACCGATGCTGACAAAGTCAATCCACCAATCACAGCAGCTTTTCTGGTAAACTCTCTTCCGGGACTGGGGATGACGCAACACCAAGCTGATTTATGCTCGCTTCAGCTACCCTGGATTTTATACTGGGTCAAAATCGGCTCGGAACTTCGGAGGTAGAAATATATATAAACTTTTGGCGATGCTGAAACCCAAATACTAGGAATTCTCTTTTTGAATCTACTGGTATAGTTAAGATTCAGTTCAATTGTCTTTTTCCTCAATTGCCATCATGTCGGAACCTACCGAAGCAGAATCACGGCGTCATCCCGCTCATAAAGTCTTTGAAGAACTTGGTCTTGTTTCACTCTATCGCTCGACCAAAGATGTCAAGATCCTCTGCGCACAGAGATTCATTCGTCTTTTCGCATACGGCGGGTCGACTCTCGTCCTTGTCGCCTATTTGCGGGAGCTTGGTATATCGACAACTCGAGTTGGCTTGTTCATGACCTTGACCTTGGTTGGTGATATCGTCATCAGCTTCCTGCTTGCGCTGTTTGCTGATGGCGTTGGTCGACGCGCGGTCTTGGCGTTGGGAGCAATCTTGATGACTGCAAGTGGAATTGTATTTGCTACCTCTGGCAATTACTGGATCTTGCTTGCTGCTGCAATCTTGGGCGTCATCAGTCCTGGGTAAGCCAAACAAGAACGCTTTGATGGTGTTGATGCTGACAAGCATAGTGGCAACGAAATTGGACCTTTCCGTGGTGTTGAGGAGAGCATCATTGCTCACCTCACTGATGCAGCTAGACGAGGCGATGTATATGCTTGGTACAGTCTCTCTGGTACGGCTGGTGGCGCCTTTGGTCTCTTGACCTGCGGTTGGATTATTCACCATATGCGCGTCAACCTCGGCATGGATGTCGTTGAAGTGTATCGCAACGTATTCTATGGGTACTCTGCGATGGGCGTGCTGAAGTTGATCTCGGCCATCATCTTGAGCGCCGCAGTCGAAGTTCACCACGAGCCTGGCCAAGAAACGCCAGCGGACAACGGCGAACAAGCGCCTCTGCTTCCCGACAACACTCAAGCTCAAAACGCGGATCAGACCCAGTCTAAGAAGCAACTTCGAGCTCGCATTTCTCGAGAGAGTATCCCGACTGTCGTGACCCTTTGTACTCTGTTGGCCTTGGATAGCTTTGCTTCAGGACTCGCTCCTCTGTAAGTACTTTGACGCAATACTTGATCTCTGTGCGAAAGCTAATAGACATGATAGCTCATGGATCACTTTCTACTTCAAATCTTACTATCATATCGAAGAAGGGAAGCTAGGATCTATCTTTTTCACCACAAGCATCATCGCCGCTGCATCAATGCTGGTAGCGTCTTCCCTTGCCAAGCGATTCGGCAATGTTCGAGTAAGAATCCAATGCCGACAAACGTCTCTGAACTGTGTGATTAACCTGACTCGCAGACAATGGTCTTTACTCACCTTCCATCTGCGGTCTTCTTGGCCCTGGTCCCCATCCCCAACGATGTTCACCTGTCAGTTCTCTTCCTCATTCTACGATCTTGCACTCAGTCAATGGATGTTGCACCCCGCTCAGCATTCCTCGCCGCTATAATCAAACCAAAGGAGCGAACCGTCGTCATTGGTCTTATCAACGTAGCGAAGACGACATCTCAGAGCCTTGGACCACTCATCACAGGACTGCTCGCGGATTCGAACTATTTCTGGGTCTCCTTCATCATGGCTGGATCTCTCAAGGTTTGCTATGACCTGGGATTCTTGGGTCTCTTCAAGCATCACGAACACGTGGAAGCAAAGAGACACCACGAGGAAGAAGGAAGCCAGTGATTTACAAGCTTGGCACTCTGTATTTTGATCGGATCGAGAAAGAAATAGAATTAGGTATTAAACTATTAGTAGTAATAACGATACGGAGGAGACTTTAGTGTCATTCGTACAATCATGCTTGTATTTATGTTCAAGCAAAGCAATCTTGCTCATGTCTCTAGTACATATTCCCTCCTAAAGCTTCCGCATTAATATGTGATCTCTCACCAACAGACTTCTTCACGACTACTACAAGCTCATCAAGCGTGCCCAGAAATCGCACAAACGCATAAACAGCTGCCGACCACTGTCTTCCCTCTTGATTAGCCAAGTACTCTTTCGAGTTGCCCTCGTCCTGAAAGTCTCCCCTTAACCTCCTGAACTGGATGGCCCGCCCTACCAAAGGTGTTGGCAAGATGGCCGGAAGCGGCTCTCCGGATGTCAACGAATGCTGAAGGAGGGTCATGGTTGACATCAGGTCAGCGATCAGGTTTTCGTCACCTGCACTCACGCGATAGAAGAATCTCTCGCGCACTGGCGATGGTAGCTTCGTGGCAGTCAAGCTGAACTGCGCTAGGAAGACATTGAGGTTGTTGCAAAGATGGTTGGCGCGGCTGAGCGTTTCAGTATCGATGTTTGAGGTTGAGAACTCAAACTTGGTCTTCAGAATTGGAAGAGCGATGGAGTTAAGCAGCTCTTCGGTCGTGGTAGCTTGCTTCTCGACGACCTCGACGAAATCGTCGGGAGGCGAGCGCCAGACTGAAATCAGAAGGGCATACCGGTCTCTGATGCTCGACAACTGGCTTGATAAGATTTGTCTATAATGTCGGTTTCCAGAAAGAGGTCGCGGAAGAAGCGCAACAAAAACGGCTGCACCAAAACCAATGAGGACAAGAAGGATTCGCCGCCAAAAGACCTCGTATCCGACTCCAGGATTGCCATAGCTGGGGATATGCGTATCGACCCAACTGTACGACATAACCATGTACATCGTTGATGTAAGCATGATACTTGCAGCCATATGCTGTGGCGGCGCAAACAATCTCCACCACATCATGCCAATGATAGCGACTGCCATGATGGCAGCTAGACCGTATGGATTTCCAGGACCGTTGCCGGATCCGATGTACCAGCACAAAAGACCCAGGATACCTCCGGCGATAGTACCGAGAGTACGAACGAGAATTCCAGATGTGAAGTCAGACATGTAAGGTTCGAGAGCCATCTGAGCCATGATCAGAGCCCACAGTCCCTTTTCGCGATAGTAGAAGCCAGCCGATGACGGTATGACAGCGGGAACGGCGAGAGCAATAGTCAGAACGAGAGCACGAAGAGCGTGTAGACCTTCAACGCCCGTGAAGAAGTTGATAAGCGCCAAGAAGATGAGACTCGACTTGCTTCGTCGACGGCTCGTGGGCTGCTGCATACTTTCCAAGATGGTGGCTGCTTTTCTTGCCCCTTCAGGATCCTCCTTTTCTTTTCGCTTCTTGCTGAAGAGACCTGGCTTCTTTTCGGGCTTGGAAATGACTGACATCGTTCGAGTGAGATCAGTAGAGTTGGGAATCGTGGAAGGCGGTGCATCTTGGGACAAACCAAGCTTGAAAATGTGCTGGAGACCTTTGGGTAGCCATACCCGCTTCGACGTTCGAACCCTTTCAACCTCGACAGCTCTTTCGAGAACTCCTCCAATGTTCTTGGTCAGGTTGATGAGTCGTTCTTGGTATAGAAGACCAGACATCAAGCCAAGCAAAGGAGGTGCGCGGCGATCATCGTAGATAACCTTGCCGTTAGAGTCGAAAAGATGAGCATGAGGGGCGATGAGTTGCTCTGCAGCAGTATCTTCGAAATCTTCAAGCGCTTCTTGTAGCGATGCAAGAATCTGTTCATGTTGGCTGATTATATCATCTCGAGAAACACCTGAGAATGCTTCGATAATGGCATCGACGCTTTGCTCCAGAGTTTTCAGCAGGGGAGTAGCGCAGGAGGAAAGTGCATCAATGCTCTTGATAATCATATCTTCAGTATCGGGGTGTCTTGTAATCTCCCGTAGATCGGCCGCTTTCGCAATGTGATAAGCCAGTGGGTGCTTCTCGTTGTCAGACTTCTCAAGTTCCTCGGCAGCTTTCGTTAGGGCTTCATCTTTCGCAAAGAGGTCCTCGCGAGAGATAGACAGTTGCAGTAACTCTCCGAAAGACACCAGTACTTGCCGCAACGGTTCTTGGAAAGACTTGATATCTTCGGGACTCCATCTTCGATAAGAAAAGTCCAACGGCAGAAACTTGATGGCACTCTCGACGCTCTTGAAAGACAAGGTCAAGGCACCCTTCAATGCTTGTAACTGATCAGGCTCAAATCTAGTTCTCGTCTTGAAGTGCCAGGTCAAAGCCTTGACGTAGCCATTCATCGGGCGGAGAAGGTCTGCCATGCTTCCCAGGGTGATTTGTGAGGTTGATTGCGGGAAAAACAACAAATTGCAAACAACTCCAACGCCGACTGCAATGGCACTTGGCAGAATCAAGACTTTCGGTATAGTGCCGTTAAAAGTGGGAATCAGCGGCGCTGTCGTGAAATAGATGTCGGCAACAATCATGGAAAACATTGATACGAGCATCAAGTTGGGTGCAGAAACTCGTAGACGCGCCTAGCCAGAGTTTGTCAGTTGAAAACATGCTTGACTACAAAAGCAACCTACCATCAGATACACAAACAAACCCATCATGCAGAAATACGTGACCGATACACGAGTATCCAGCATGAAGCCTTGATAGATGGCCACTTGTTGGTAGGTTGCCTGGCCAGAAGCTTGATCAACATTGGTCGTGTTTTGCGGCATTGATTGTTGCAATTCCGCGTAGCGTTGTTGTAAGTCAGCCAGAGGTCTTGTCGCCAAAGCAGCTTTCATCGTGATGACTCCCCAGGCCCAACCGAGCGCAAGACCAACACAGATCATAACCCCGGCTGCGAAGTGGATGAATACGACGCCGGATGGCGGCATGATGAATAGGACAACACTGGAGACGTGTTAATACTTGGCGACATGAAATATTCATGACAGACCTACCATCCGAAGAATGCCGACTGGCCGAGCACTCTCAGTGTATCACTGATGTAGATAAACAAGGTGAGAATCCAAACAGCCAAAGAGCACTTGAACAAAATCTTGAGGTCCTTGGCATTAAAGTGATCCAGCCAAGCCGGCAGTCGCTTCGGGCTATTGAAAGCATGAAAAGACGCCTCCTCATCCCCAATTGAGCTCTCCTCTTTCGTTCTGGGCTGTCTCAGCCTCATAATTCCCTCAGTCCGAATCAACCGATGATTGTTTTGCTGTTGTTTTGGTGACGTTTTTAAAGTTTGAAGAAATGCGTTGAATTTGGCGATCGTCGTGCCAGCGCGAGTCGGGAGTGGCCCTTATTTAGTCATGTTTTCAGGTTCTCATTTCGTATTGCCTGCACTAGGACCAAAGCGTGTAGATTGTCTTATCTAAACGCTCAATCCCTGCAATTTAAGATCACTACTCCATAGAATCCGTGCAGATCAAATATCCCTTGGTACAGTGCAGCATTGCGATGAGATTTGTGCAAGTCATACCTAAGCTTAACCTTGTGTTTTATAACGATCACCATCGCAAGAATTTATACAGTAGTATTCGCATAAGTCATTCAGGAGTGATTACGAACCCAGATAGTTGAGGGTCTTGTCAGCCCTCCCGCCCTGCACTCCAGGCTACCCATGACAATTCTTGCTGATAGAATTCTTCATTACCTCTTTCGTCAAGTAAAGTTTTATTTGAGCTTACTGCCGTAAGGATCTTTGGGGAATAAAACAAGAAAAGCGGTCATGGAGTCGATACACATATGATCATTGGTTGAGTACTCTGTAGTAGGTATAAAATAAATAACTACTGCATTAATAAAGGAGAAGAATTGCAGGCGGATGGTCTGGTACTTTCAAGGAAACACAGACCTAGTATCTTAGGGTTGCCAAGGGTTTGTTTTGAGTCCAATGGATAAGAATGATACTCGCAGTTGAGGAAGCGCTACTCATTTACGCTCCATGGCCCGAGGTCAACATCTAACGCCATGAGATGAGCTGGGCACGGGCGACACTGATGCCTGATATTCTCAATGAGGAAGAGTTAGCAACGTGGGCGATTAGAGCGACGTTGATCGGACCTAAGGGTCATAGTCATGTGACAACGTTGCCCGTTCCATCACCGGCTCGGTCCATGCCGCTTAAGCTATCCACTGTAACCAACTATGTGCCATTGGACAGCCACAATATGCAGCCTAGAGCAAATGTGACAGTTTAAGTCCTGCAGGTACTGGAATGAGGCTCAAGTCTAGGCCATGTCCTTGCGCGGGGTTCAAAGACTCGGCTGAGGGCTGAGACGCCACGAACATTCGACATGCTGATGCGTAAGCAGGTAACACCATTGTGTGATAAGAGGCTTGAATTCGAAAACTTCATTTCGCCAATTACCACGAGAAATCTCAGCCTATGTGATGAAACTCATGCAAGCAGGAATTATTGTGCTTTGATGGCCAGCCAACCGAGGAATGTGACAAGCCAAGCTGAAAAGATGTTGATGAAGTTGTCGCGAAATGAGTAAAGGTTAGATGGATTAGGAAATTCATTTCTTTAATGCGAGAGACACGAAGTTATTCTATGAAGGGAGAGCAAGAGATAATAGATTAGTCCGCGACCAGGACATCTATAAGAAGGGAAGTGCCCCCGGGTTGTTCTTCTCATCTCCAGACACTCATCAATCGCTCAGCTTTCGAACTCTTTAATTTCACTCACTTCATTCATCCCTTCAATCTATCCTTCAACTAAATCTTCCAAAATGGCTGCTTCACAGAACGGAGGCCTTGTCCATCAACAACTCATCCCTGCAGACAGCATCACTGCCTCCTACGATAACGAAGCTAAGCTTCTGATTCTCAAGGCATCTGGCAACCATGTCAATATTGCTAGAGACATCGCTTTCCATCGTCTTCCTTTCGACGGTGGTCTTCTCTTTGAGCTGAGCGCCTGGGTAGGCCCAGTCGTTCTCGGGGAGTCACCCTATGAAATTACGGATAGCTTCAACATCGAGCTTCCCAGCATCGTTTTCCCATCCAACACTGTTGTTGTCAACACTGAGAACAAGAAGCATTGGGTTGTCCCTATTCAGTACAACAAGACAACTCAACAGGCTGCCACAAATGGCAAGGCGGAGGTTGAGCTGCCTGAGATCAAGCAGGTCTCTGGAGACCAGAAGATTGTCGTCCTTGACGACACGCCCTTTACCATCCAGCAGAGTGACTCTTTTAAGGGCAAGGGTGGTTCGATCAACGTTGATTTCGACAAGAGCTTCGTCACTTTGACTGACGCCCGTATTGACGATGGCAAGATCGAATGGACTTTCAATGCTCAACAGACAGGAAATACCCAAGTTATTGTCTATGTCGGCCAGACACAGCCCCCATTCTTGTATCGAGTCGTCTACGACGTGGAGAGTGTCGTCCTTGATGACAAGTCTGTCCCACCCAAGACTAATGCCTCTTTCAGCGTGAGCAATAACGGGCAAGGCAGTAGCGGAACATACGGCGCTACGTCTAACGGACATAAGAACAGCGCTGGAAAAGTTGGCCTCCCTCTTTCCTGGGATGGGTTCATCAACGTCGGTCTCAACCTCATCAAGAAGCAGTATCCCAATGCCAATCTTCTCGAAGTTGATGCCACTCCATTGACTCGCAAGCCTGTCGAGAACGAGTGGGGTCTTGTCAACAACCGTATTGTCTGCGGTCTCGCCGGCAACAAAACCGCTATCATTCAGTCCACTGGATGGGGCGAGTTTGGAAAGGTCCAGACCATCAACTCTCCCTTCTTGGGTGATCAGGTCATCCCCTGGCCTGTCGCTCTCGATATCCATGATGCTTTCACTATCCTCCGAAAGGCAGGATACAAGCAGGCCATTTACGCAGTTACTCTGCGCCAACCTCTCTATCCTGGAGACGATCAGCCTTTCTATATCTTCAACACTGGCAGTGAGTTTATTGCCGTCGGAACCAAGGACAAGAAGATCCACAACTTTGGTGTCTCCGAGTACAATGTTCAGAAAGCTTAAGCTTTCAATGGTTTCTTCTGTACCACAGATAGTATTTCTCTTCTCTTTAACCCAGAACAGATTTATCGGGGTTCCCTTCATTTTATTAATTAATCAACTCTATATGTATTATCTAGTAATGCTCTCTAGTGAACGTCTTGATGGGTGGTTCTTTGATCTCCTGGTACCATGGAACAAATTTCTCTGTACCTTTGGGTTTTGTGAGTCTATGCCATGATATGTGATACGCGATTCCTCTGGCGCTTTACACGTACTGCTGAATCATTTGGTTTTGTTTTCGATACTTCCTCGGCAAACTATCCTGGAATAGTTGCTGGGACGTCTTGTCTTGATGGTAACTACTCATAGCTTCCAAGTAACCAGATAATGCACAAGATTGATTAATTGGTTGGCGAGACCTTTTCAAATCAGCTCCACTTCCTCGGCACTCGGTCTCAACTAAATTTTAGTGGTCATCTCGGCAACGATTCTGTAGTTCGCGACAGAACTGAAGCGGATTGCACCATTGCTCCAACAACCACTCAACAGCTTGACATTTCACTGCCAAGGCAATTGCTCAACATTACGCCATGCTCTATTCACTGAAAACGGCATAATTTGATAGTTGTTGCTCCACTTTATACTCACCGAAACTATGATAGCTCGACAGTTGGCCTATCTCTGGCGCTTCGTCGCCTCGCATCTCGGGTCGGATCTCGCCCCCCACGAGCTCCGAAACTGCTGCAAACGAATCGGGACATTATAAATTAAGGATGTGACTATCTGATAACCCGTTTAAGTTTATCTCCGCGGACAACTCTATTTGCACTTCATCGACAGGATGGCGTGCTTCCTGTCGAAGTCTGGAGACTGCTGGTTCCAATACTCAGGGTCCTAGACAAGGCAGAATCATCTCCTACGACAATATCTCTAGTAATAGGACTTCAGAGTTATTAAAAGTCGCTTACTTCATATCGTAAGGTGAATGTAAAGTTATTCAGGATGAACGTTAAAGTTCTCTGTACAAAGATCTCATGGTAGGTACCAAGATGTCTTCGGAATTAACCCCTACATCTCGCTATCACAACCATGCCTGACGCCATCAATACATCAGAAACCCCACGAAGTAAACTCTTTCGAATTTAGCAACATGGATTTCGCCATCGCATGGTTCCCCGAGGGGTAAAGTAAGTCCCAATGTCGGTGCATACAAAAGGCGTTGGTATATCCAACATAACTGAGAAAAAACAGTTGAACAGGGCCCCACAATACAGAATCAGAGTGAAGTTCAGAATGGTACAGTCTGGCGTTCTTGGTCCGTCAGAAGTCAAGAATAATGTTGACCTTCATATCGACCCAACCGATTCAGATTCCTCCAAGTCATCTCCTCCCACAAAGGTGACCCCTCTCATCTCTACACTTCCCCTCGCTGCACCAGAGGAACCTCGAAGCTGGTGGCAGCGACGACCGAAACAAGATGGCGATGCCGTTGCAACTCGTCGGTCCGTCTTTGACGACCCAGACATGGCGAAGCGCTACCAGCCACGATCCGACTGGGAGAATCTCCATCGGTTTGACCCTTCCGAGAGATGGACTTTCAATGAGGAGCGCAAGGTCATTCGAAAGATCGATAAGCGAATTATGATCTTCACTTGCGTCATGTTTATGGCTCTTGAGCTGGATCGATCCAATCTGTCTCAAGCTGTTTCGGATAACTTCCTGCCAGACCTGAAGATGGACACCAATGGTTAGTCTCCTTTATCTGTGATTGGCAAATTGTTTTAACTTGGTTAGATTATAATCTTGGCAATACCGTCTTCAAGTTGTCTTTCTTGTGTGCCGAACTTCCCTCCCAGCTTGTCAGCAAGTTCCTCGGACCTGACCGTTGGATCCCGATGCAATTGTGTCTCTGGAGTCTTGTATCTGCGGTACGTCACTGGTAGCTTATCGTTAACGGAAAAAGCTGATGATATGATCAGGGCCAGTTTTGGTTGGATGGTAGGGCCTCGTTCCTCGCCTGTCGTGCGCTTCTGGCCATCTTCCAGGGCGGATTTATCCCGGATGTGAGTAGTCTGTGCTGCCGTCCTGTCTAAGTGTTAATGGCCTCAACTAATCATTGTTCTGGAATGCTTGCAGACGATCCTCTACCTAAGTTATTTCTATACCGCAAGTGAGCTCACTGTCCGACTGGCCTTCTTCTGGACGGCGTACAACGTCGCCGATATCATCAGTGGTTTTCTAGGAGCAGGTTTCCTCCAGTTGCGTGGCTGGCATGGGTACGAGGGCTGGAGATGGCTGTTCTTGTTTGAGGTTTGTTACTCAATCTCTTCGCCTTATCGACTGTACTGACGACTGGTGCCAAATAGGGCCTGCTGACGCTCGCGGTTGGCATTTCCGCCTGGTTTCTGATGCCCGCTGGACCCACTCAAACTTCAGGCATACTCCGCGGTAAGAACGGTTGGTTCACTGAGCGGTAAGTTGCCCCATAGATGGATGCATATGCATTCGAGACTGACTGGTGTACAGAGAGGAACGGATTATGGTGAACCGAGTTATTCGTGACGATCCCAGCAAGGGCGACATGCATAACCGCCAGCCCATCACTCCGAAGCTCCTATGGGCGTCGCTCAAGGATTACGACCTCTGGCCGATCTATGCCATTGGTTTGACCTTCTTGATCCCAGCCACACCGCCCGCCCAGTACTTCACCTTGACCCTCCGTGGCCTCGGTTTTAATGTACTCGTTACCAATCTTCTGACCATTCCCCATACGATCCTGTCTATCGGTGGCCTGCTGCTTATTTCCTACCTGGCTGAGAAATGGCACGAGAGGTCTCTGCTTGGTCTGGCAGTTCAGATCTGGAAGCTTCCGTTCATGATCTATCTATACGTAGTAGACATGAGCACAGTCAATAGATGGGTCTCGTTTGCAGTGCTGACACTGTTACTTGGTTCGCCTACTGGTGAGTATCAACCCAACATTTCTAGTGGCATCAACTAATATTTCCTCACCCAGCTCATCCGATTCAGGTCAGTTGGAACTCTCGTAACTCCAATACTGTTCGTCTGAGGACAGTCTCCGCAGCTGTTTACAACATGTCCGTTCAATCTGCTGGTATCATCGCATCCAACGTCTACCGCAAGGACGACGCACCGAGGTACCGGGAAGGAAACAAGAATCTTCTAGCTATCATTGCGCTCAACATCACGTTGTATCTGTTGACCAGGACCTACTACATCTGGAGAAACAAGAGCCGAGACAAGATTTGGGACGCCATGGATGATGAACAAAAGAAGCATTATCTTGACACCACCAAAGATGAGGGCAATAAGCGACTGGACTTTCGATTTGCCTACTAGCTGGTCAAAGTTTTCTGGTGGCTCAGACAAACAGAGGGCAGTACGCCATGGTTCTGATGTTGTGACAACACGAGCGAGTTTGCGTCAGTTCAATTAGTCCAGCGCTGAAAGGAGAGTTAAATTATACTAAGAGCCGTTCAATTGATTTATATGGATAATGCGCAGTCAAGTTCATGATATTCAAAAAGTTGAGGATGTCGAATGTATCCAGCCATTTCTTATCAATACTGATAAGACCAGCCACTCAGGTTCAAGACAATCAGTGCAGGTGACACAGATAAGCAATCAGTCGCCTGATCCTTCCGAATTGATACTAGTGCAGTCTCTAGCCTTATCTCCATTCGCCGCCTCCAACCGTTCATCGCCAACTTAACTTCCCCCGCCTCATTTGTTAGCAAATGACATAACCCCAAAGCAGCATGTTTTGCTTTGTCCCCCAAACTCAAAGCCCCTGTGATGCCACCGCAGCGTCGATCATGGGTTGGTTGTGCGAGGTGTAAGAGCTTTAAAAAGAAGTGCAGTGAAGAAAGACCCTCGTGTCAGAGATGTCAGACTGCTGGGGTGAAATGCGAATACGGGGTGAAGCTTCGATGGGGAGGGAGGCCGTTTAATCGATCTCCTTTTGGGGATTGTTTGTCTCAGAATGAGGGCAATGTTCAAAGACTAGGTTTGTCTTGTATTTGCTGCTAAAAGATGCGTGCTAATAATATCAGATTTAAACAAGAAAAACTTCATATATGTGTCCCCTTCTACTCCTAGACCAGGCCCATCAAAGGTTACGTCGCCTCCTCCAGACCAGAATGTCGATGAAGCAGAATGGATACCAACTTCGTCATCAGAGGACTCTGAGTCTTTACAACTTGTCGTCAGTCAACGGCAAATGTCAATGCCTCCTCTAACCCCCTCAGTCGAATTCTTCGGTCATCTATCTCCCCTGCACAGATCAGGTCTACAGTACTTCACCGAGAGGACCGTCAAAGTTCTTGCGCCACATCCACAGATTTTTGATGAGTTATGCGAACTCATCTTGCCAATGGCAGTCTTCAATGAACCTTTACTGCAGGGCATTGTTGCGCTTGCGGCCACTCACCGACTTGCGACCTGCAAAACAAGCGAGGAGCGGTCCTCGCAGGCGCTTATCGTTGCTGGCTTTCAAGCTCTTAGTTCCAGATCCCTTTGCCAAAAGCTCTCAGAGTGTGATGAAGACCAACAACTCATTCCACTATTAGCCGCATCGAGAGCGTTGTTTGTATGCGAAGTCTTCGCCAGTGAGCCCAGCCCGGATCGATGGAGTGTTCACTTCCGCGGAGCTCGTGGACTCATATCTCGGATCCAGGATAAGGGTCTTTCACAAAACCCGACGGACGAATTACGATTTTTACTACGATGGTTCGACATGACCGAATCGTTGGTTTGTCACTCAATGAGTGATCTTGCCCCGCAACAATCGGCTATCCCCTCACCGACAACGCTCGCATCAGAAACAGATGACGAGCCTGTATATATCGATATGTATCTCGCGCGTACAAAGGACCTTCTTGGGGTGTTCAAAGAGATTGCACGACTATACCGGATCAACAACGATGGGACGGCATCCGAGACTTCATCATCACAGGGCGGCCAAGATGATGCCGAGGTCTGGTGGCTACTCAACTATCTACAATCCATAATCGACCGAGATCAAGCGACTCCGCCGCCGGTCATGTCAATACGTGGCCGCGTCTTGTCTGTTGCCGAAGTCCAAGAATACCGACTCTCAAATCAGATTTGGCAGCTCACAGGCCTTCTTCTCATCCATCGACGTTTACGCCATGAAAGAAGATCGTCACCTCTCGTGCAAAACCTCGTTAATCAGATTCTCGGGTGCGCAGAGCGTATGACACTACGAGATGGCCTCACACCAGTCACTCTGCTTACTCCGCCCTTGTTCTTTGCAGGATGCGACGCACTTGGTGATGATAGGCCGCGGATAAAGACTTCGCTGCAGGGCGTTTCCACTGCGCTTGGACTTTTGAATACGCAACGAGCATTGGAAATACTCGAACAGTATTGGGAAGCTGATCCGGGTATTGATGATGATCTGGCTGATCGGTCATGGCCTAAGATCAGTCAGTTTCTACCGTACTAATGCCAAGGGATTTTGTATCATTATTCTGTATACACGGACACAATTGAGGTGTTTGAGCTTGGGAAACGGATAGCGTTGTTTTTCTTGCGTCCTTTGTTGCTTGCTTTGGCGTTTTGCTTACCATGTATTTCACTTCTCGTCATGTTTCTTGGAGGGAAAGTTTTTATCATTTGAAACCTACAATACAAGAAGCCCGAGGCACATACATTGATCCCATGACTCCACGACTCCAACCCCAAGACACAAAGAAAAGTGCTCCGTAGGGGAAACCCTCTAAACCACGCCCATTCATCAGCGCAAAGACCAAAGATACCCAGTCTTGTCTATGCCCATCAATGCCCCGTCCGCATGGCAAAGACGCTCAAGAAAATGCTCCAGCCGAACCCAACACAAACTGCCACCAAAACTCGAGAGCGCACGGGAACCCATAAGAAGTTGCAGATGGCGACTAATGGCCAGATATGCCAGCCAGCTTTGATAAGTGGCCAAAGTCGATTGCGAATTACTTCCAAAACGAGGAAGGGGTGTGAAACACGTGCGATGTTTGTGCAGATGAGAAAGACCGAACCGCTGATGGCAAGACCAATTGTTTGATCAAGAATCAGCTTCGCCAAAACGTTGCGCCAAATGAGATCCGGACTAATGTTGAACCATCTCCTCGTCGTTCCTCTCGTATCATCATCCTTCTTCTCCTCAACCTGCTTAACATCCGTCTGAACCTGAGGCAAGATCTCGTTCGCCCTGATTGCGTGTCCAGTGGGGAAGCAGTCCTCCAGAATGAATTGGATGATATTGCCGACCTGAGAGCCTATGAACCCATAGATGGCAAACTCCAGTACCTGCTGAGCATCAAAAGTCGATACACCTGGTGTTCTGTAGTGAATAATGATCTGGGTGACCAGGTTTGCAGAGACCTTGATAGCTGTTGCCTGAAGGGCGAGGCGGAGATTGAGGGCGCGGACCATGGTGCGATGACCCTGGGGACAAAGAAAGGGGGCTTATTACGTAGTCATGAGAGAGAGAGAGAGAGAGAGGGATAAACGAGTGAATGAAAAGTGAGGCGGGTACAGGGACAAGGCTGATGGTGGTGGATGTTGATGTGTGTACTGGATTGGATCTGGAGAAGAGAGATGACCAAAGATGATTAGTGACAGCCTGGCTTGTGCAAGGTATCCCCCTGAAATTTGACGAATGAGAACAGCTGTCCCTTTTGTGGGTCACGTAGCAATCAATTTCGGCGGGGGCTGAGAATGAAGGGGACTGGTATTATCTTCGTTCCTTGGGGTTGCACGGCATATTTAAGACAAATACTCGATCAATTCGTGCAGCTGAAACATTTGCGCGCTTGGCATCGATAAATTCCATGACAACTTCGTGATTCTGCTTCAGCGGGGTCCAAGGCTGATGGTTGAGAGGGGAACGCCCCGCCAACTGTGAAATGCGCTTAAAATGTCAATTGATAACACATGAATTTGTAGATGAAACGAGCTGACACTATGGAGGTCACTATTCAATCAATCTAAAACAGCAGAAATATTACAAAAAGAAAATAAAGACTAAAACTGTTAACAAACAATATTACAAACTGCCAAGAGCATCTAGCACCCTGGTTATCTCTCTGGCCATCAGTTGATGTCCCGGGTAGGTGGGACAACAGATTGATGCGCAAAGAAACCAGCCACGAACCATCGAAACGCCAAAAAATGTGGATAATAGTGGAATTAAACCACCAACGATGGACGAACAGGGAATCGAACCCTGGACCACTCCCAAATAACGCTCGTGGAGAACATGCTAAGGGAGTATTATACCACTAAACCATTCGCCCGAATGGATGCCCTTGTTTGTCCAACTCACATCTAGATTCCGTTGCTCACACTGGTGGGCCTGGGATCTGCTGCAGGTCCATAGGTAACTAACTTTGTGTTCTACTTGATGATTGACAATATCTCATCAAGACAAGGATAGATCACGACAGCACATAATAAACAACACTTTGTTTTATACGCAGTTTCAGGCCGCATAAACACTCGTCGGTATCCGGTAGATATTCCCAATAACTACGCCAATAATTATGTGCTTCGCCCACGGCACAGGCCCACAGTTGCATAGCTCTAGAGGTGTGTCTCTTACGGCACAAGCACTAGCGATAGGTTATTCCAATTCGTGTCCGAATTCCCACTCTAAAGCAAGAGGATCTGTAAGATGGGTCTAGTGGGGGCATGTGTGGGCGACTTTGCTCCCAGAAAATGAAGTGGCCGAGGGTTATTCACAACTTCATCAACACTGGCAGTAATCTTGAAGTATAGCTTTCACGCACGAAGGCTACATAAGTAAAAAGGATCCAAGTTATCTCTAATTGTAGATAGTGTCTTTTGTAGAGCTCATGGTGTGCTCATAATATGTTGAAATCGACTATTCGTAATGTGCACGTTCCTGAATGCTCTACAGCTGCATCAGTAGACGTCACTGAATTTGGTGGCTGTAGCAAGGCCCACTTCTGTGGTCGAATCTCTGTCGTTTAAATATTTTATCTGTGTATTCCAAAATTCCCCTCCGATCTCTTCCTTCTTCACCTCCATCCCCCAGTGTCCATCTCATCATGGCCACCCATATCAGAGGACAGCGGGTAAGTTCCATCACCCCTTCAACTGATTACATCTTACTAACACGTCTTATTTAGCTGATGCCGGGGGAGAAGTCAATCTTGGATCTCTCTCTGGAAGTGCAGGGAATGATCATCGACTTCACTATTCTTGCTATCCCCCCCTCACCATTCCCTGCGATGCAAAGGCGAAGTACCAACCTATCATTTCTGCTGGTGAACGAAGTCTTCTACCCCTCAAGCTCTCGTACCGCATGATCTACAATGCCATAAAAGAGAAGCGAGATGTTGAAGCTTTCACGATCCCTCAGCGTAAGCTCAGCTGGGGTGACTGGGATACCATGCAAGGCGCTGTCATCTTTCCACCCTCTCATAAGGCTTTCGCCATCGATACCTCCCAATACATGCTGCGAGTCTGGGACATGAAGCTTCCTTACGTTCAAGGCACCATGTTCGCCAACCTTCCTGTCCAGACTCCTCTCTGTCTGGCTCGACAAGCCCCTCCATCAGGTGAACCTCTCTTACGATGAGCGATATGAACCAAACTATCCCGGGGACTCTCTGCAGCTATGGAGGCAGAAGTTCCAGGGCCGAGCCAGTCCTGAGCAACCTCGCACTCTTACACCTTTTGTGCAGTTGTCAAACTAGGACCCCCTTCTCGACGACCTCCGCCTCAGCAAGCTTTTCTATGTCCAAGAGCTCTACATCGTTGCCAAGAAAGTCCCAAGTGACTAGTGGATTCCAGGCTTTTGCTTCGATGAGCGCTTCCGACTGGATGGAGATCCGCCCACCAACGACATTGCTCCTGGACAGCATATCAGTGAGGTCTGGAACAACGGCGCCACCTCCCCTCCTCCCGGCCCGAACGAGTATCATTGCCCTCTCAGCGGCGTGGTAGTGCCTTTTGAGCCTCCCTCTAGGCCCCTGGTTGGCCTATACGGCTACGACAAGACTGAAACGACCCGGGGCGGGTTCTGGGCCGGCTTCCTCTACTTCCAGCAGAGAAAGGAAGTATGGTTCTCGCCTCTTTCCGCCTTCGAGGTCCGTGACGCAATGACTGTCCCGGTTGCCGACAAGTCTGAGCGTAAGCTTTTTGAAGGCACTCATTCCGACTTTGTCGCTCGTGTCTGGATCATTCGCGCCGGCCAGAACCCGCCTCCCACCAAACCCCACCATAGATGGGTCAAGGTCAAGAGCGCTGAGGCTGGAGATCCTCGATACACCGGGGAGATTGAGCTGATGTGGTCGATCGTTGTGGACAGAGTCCATAGACAGACTCAGGGCGAGACTCCTTACGAGCTCCGCGTCCGCGTCTAAGTGGAATTAGAAGGCGGTTTGCTGGAACCGAGCCGCCGTCAAGATGGCTCATTGGAACGATAAAATGGATACAGGTTGGAATGAATCTTTGGTAATGGATGGATCTTGTTGCATATCATCTTGCAAAGAAGAATTGAGACCGTAATAGACTCTCCCAACACAATTTGACCTTTCCGTGACAAGAATGACGAATAATGAATGAATCGAGTCGAGCAAGAGGAGATCCAAAAGAACTGCATGTCCTCGGCTCTCTATTTACAAGACAAAAAACATACAACAGCAGGTATTCGCTGGTCGTCTCCGACCCAACTACTAATCTACCCCTTGCGGGCTTGACTAAGGGAGAGCAGACGGGATCCCGTACTTTACCGCAGGTATGGTCGTATGTGGTTGAAGGTATCGTGAATGGGGGTTAAGTTGATGCCTGGTGTTTGTTTGCTGAAGACGGCGGAGAGGAGGACAAGAAGGTGGGGCCTCACTGGGTAACCAACTACCAAACAGCATCAACACGAAGAAAAGCCTTTTCATGTTCGCCAGGCAAAGCGAGGTTGGAATATACGCTGGAAAAAAGCCAGGATTTTTTGCATACAATCAGTTGATTTGATACACAATCGAGACACTTGCATCTGCCTGGTCTGGCCACGGAAGCTCAACAATCGGTGAGACTTAGCAACGTGAATTTAAAATGAGATTGCCCAAGAACTCTTCAACGGTCACTGAACTCTGATTCTCTTTGCAACTTGCTATTTCAGATATATCAGACTTCTTGCTAGCTGAACCGCTTCACAGGACGATCCACATTGCCATGATACCTCCCAACATTCCACCGACCGAACCCGGCGTCTTCATATTCGAATCGTTACCGGTCTGAGAGGAGCTTGGTGCAGAGCCTGTCTCCGAAGCTGTCTGTTCAGCACTTCCCCTGGCGGTTGTCTTCGAAACCGTGTGTTTGGCGTTACCACCAGTTGAAGTTGCCGACGACGCGTCGTCAGTAGCCGATGCCTCTGCACCATTCAGGTACTTCGAGCTTGCACTCTTGACGCGCGAGTCATAGTCTGAGGCTGAGACAGGAATAGTGGTGTAGCAGCTCATCGACTTGGGTTCCCAAGAACTGCCTGTGCAGATAGGCCATCCTTCACAGGTGCTCAGGTCGAGCTCTCCGCCAATGCAGCAGTAGGCTTTGTTATCAGGGGGGTTGTTCAGAACGCCAGGGCAGTTCTTGTTGTTTTCACCGGTGATGATTGTTGTCTGTGCTAGAATGCCTTGGATCAAGCATGCGAGGCTAATGGAAGAGAGAAGCATGGTGGATTTCGATAAGGTGGTGACAAATGGTGCTTCAATTCGACTCAGGATGGAATGCTTAACGCTGTAAAAGGATCTGAGGATGGCCCAATTTGTCATCCTCAAACTGCGGAAGCCATCGTCATTTATATACGTCTGGGCCCAGGTTTGAGGCTTGTGGCTTGAGGCCATCTTGTCAGCAACGTCCCAATCAGAGGAACCCAGTGTCGTTGCCCCGCATATCGTGGATTTACCTGAACCAAGGAATTCGTATTTACACTTTTAATGATGATTCTCGTTCTAAAATCTTATGATGTAACGCTTTTACTTCGTCCAAGTCAACGCTACAGACGAATTGACATTTTTGGACACCAAGGCTGAGACAAGTCCCGGCATCTGCCAGCCGATATCCCCCCAGCGATGAATCTAGCCATGTTTGGTATTTCAGAGAGATACCCCTGCAATCCTTCAATGGAGCAAACCGTAACAGGGCCAGCTCGGCATGCTCAGAAGGGTAAGTGACAGGTATCGTGACGTAAATGTCTCAAACTCTTGGGGGCTGGTTGATTGTCAAAAGGCCCTGAAGAGTAATAAAGGGTCTTGATTGCCCCGACGTTGTGGTTGTTGATCGACATTGCAACAAGATCTTTACTGGGATGTCGGCACTCCCGGACACCCTACGAGGATTCAGCTGAGAAAACGAAGTGCCAATTGAGATTTGTCAATGGCTGTCTGCCCGTACAGTTCTAGAACCTCCACATCGCCAAGCGAATCCCTCGACAGCTCCACGCGTTCAGAAGCCACTTGCCCCCCAAACTAACTACATCCGTAGCATGGCGTCCCAGCGTCTGGTCGCTTTCCCTACGGGGTATTTCAACACCTTGCCCCCGTCCAACCTTTACCCTTCCTGCAGCCAAGCTTTGTCTTTCACAGCCCTACGAACCCGACTCTGGGGTTTTGGTTTTTGATCTAACCTGTTTTTTCCTCTTGTTTATTAATATCTTTACTCTCTGTTTCATTTTCTACGCGTCTCCACATGACCCGACACGGAAGACGTATAAAACGGTGCGGTACTTGTGTTGAGCGCAAGGTTAAATGCGGTATGTTCGTGTCGAGATTTGAGTGGTTCGATGGAACTGACTATTGATAGATGAGCAGCAACCTTATTGCCAACGGTGTAGAAATGCAGGTCTTACTTGTTCAGGGTATCACAGTCAACTAAAGTTTGTTGATGAAGGGACTCGGTTCTTTTCGGCCACTACTCCTCCATCTCAAGCTGTTTCTAAATCTGCGACATCACAATGCAGTCGTCTCGCCAATAGCAGAGCTTCAACAAAGTGCGCAAGGAACCCTAAACCCCAAATAGTCAGCCTAGTACCGCAGAAGAACACTCTATTCTTCCCCTACACTTTGTCAAAGCTGTCACCAGAAGACTTGCGCCGCGGGCCAGGATTGGGTCCAGGAATACTTTCAGAACTACTGACGGGCCACCACTCTGAACTACATCAATCATGCGTACAGGCATTGGCCGCGATGTACTTTGGAAGAACCAACCGTGATAGAAATGCTTGCGAGCAAGGGCTGCGGCTATACTCTCATGCACTCACTCAGCTCCGGACGGACATCAGCAACTCAAATACCGAAATCGGCACCCTGATGAGTATCATGTGTCTTTGTGTATACGAAAACGTCGTGTTTTCTCAACCGACTGCTTGGCTCCTTCATTATGACGGGCTAGGGAGATTGGTATGTCTCCTCACTTCGGATCTTTGACCCTCTACTCATCTAGACTCCCAGCTGCAAGCACGAGGCCCTAAGCCGTGGAGAACGCCAGCAGAAAGGCAGATACTGCAGGCGGCACGATACTATATTGTGAGTTCTTATCACTGCCGCTAGCAATGGCGAGGAGTTGTTAACTGGATACAGACTCTCTCCGCTGGTCATCAACGCCGCCACTGTTTCCTCGACCAGCCGCAATGGGAGAGCACAAGATGTCTTCCGGAAGGTGAAACTCCAGACAAGATCGATATCCTGTACGACATCTTCGCCCAGCCGCCCGGTATCATTGAGGACTATGACAACATACGCAAAGCAAGTGTTACGGACCCTGCTGCAGTTGAAGTTTTGCGAAACAGGACACAATCACTCATCGACAAATTACATGAATGGTACCGAGGCATGCCATGGGTATGTACCACTGATCCAGCCATGAGAGAAAACAGTGGTATCCCCCTTCCGGATGACCCTATGGAATGCGTCGCTCTTGCAATCAGTTACGCCATGCTGTTATGTCTTGTCCAACCTTGCGAATACTTGGGTATTCCACTCTTTCCGGAGGACAGTGGAGAGGCGACAAGCAACATCGATCAAAACTCAAGAAACAAGTTCTTGGCCCTGGAGATCTGTCGCTTCGCAAACTGGGCACTTCGCGGTGAATGCTCCGCCAGCTACGCTCTGTTATTGGTATATCCGCTTCAAATAGCGTGGTTCTGCGTGCAGAATAGCGAAGAGGATCTCCGCAATGTCAGGGTCATAATGAACTCGGTTGTTGCGGATTCATATGGATTTGAGTTGGGGAGGATGAGGCATTGGGATGAGACTAGCCTGGATCAAGGCCGATATGGCTTTTTGTATTAATGATGATGGTATTGATGAAGAGATGAAGAAATACCCTTTGAAACATTGTGATGATAAGAAATGCGAAGATTGTTGCGTATTGCTCCGCTGAGCTGATACAATTATCCGCCAGGCATGGCTCTGGGATTGAGTCGATTGCTCAAATGGCGCACTTGGATATCTAAGCGCCTTTGCCATATCGACACCAATTGATTGGTTCCAGGAAACTTGAGATTTCAAATCATGCGGCTCTGCTGATTGCCCCCAAACAATATCGACGTATGTGGCTGTATCCCCAAACCTGGCATGACCCCTGTCATGTCGTCAATCTGCTTCCCCCCTTTGCGTGGCGATGCACAACACAGCAACTGCTCAGCCCTAGGCTACACCACACCAGAAAAAAAGATCAACAAAAGCAGACCATCTCGTTCGGAAATATGGCAGGCTTAGCCCCCCAGCCAAGGCAACTCCGTCGGGAGCGGAGGTCCGCAACTGATTATCCAGCGTGTTTGACTGGTTTCACTAACTTCAAGATCCACTGATCCTTCAAGGCTGATATGCAGCCTTGCTTACGCCCAGCTATCTTATACACTTTTGGAAATCGCGCTTATGGCCCGAAAGAGTCCAATGGAGCGCCCATGTCGATGTAAGCAGGCGTTTCCCCGCCCAATTTAATTTCACTACCAATTTCTCTCTTTTTGGCTGACCTGGCGTTATTATAATAACTTTATTCCCTTCTTCTCAGATGCAGGCGCGCGCGTAGACGCTGATTTACGAAAATGTCGGAAAAGAGACCTATTAAGCGACTTGTGGTGTTAGTAGATGGAGTTGAAGCTCGGGAAACCAAGAGTGAGTATTTATCTTGGCGTCAAGGATTGTTGCTCATTGATGACAGAGGAGACGAACCCTTCAACGATTCAAAGGATCAACCAATTGGTACACAATGGGCTGGTTGAGTCGAATGGAGTTTCTGTTGCACAGATTCCCAAGTATTATGTTGCACCTAGCAGTGTTGTCAAGTTGAGCGACAGGTTCCGATCACGGAGCACTACAACTGATGACTCGACAAACCTCATCAAGACCATTGTCAAGGATGTCTGTCTTACACTTGAGCGGCCAGAAGATGAGCTCTGGTTATACGGATCTGGACACGGGGCCTTCATCGCTCGCGCAGTTGCTGGCATCGTGCATCGAATGGGCTTACCAAGAACGCAGGCCTTCGATGAGCTGTTTGATACGGCTCTTGGCCTGATCAAGGCTCAACTTGAGGATGATTTCAAGCGAGGACCTCAGCTACTGCAGAAGATCAAAAGTGAAGCGCAAGAGCCTCCCCGGATACCGTTTGTTGGTCTTTTCGACACCATCATTCATAACTCAAAGACATCTTACGACATCTCATTCAACCCTTCTATCGAAACTCTTCGCCACGCGCTGGCTATCAACGACAACAGATCGAACAAGACACCAGAAGTGGTTAATATTCCAGACGACGCAGACATGACACATCGTTCACTTATTCAAGCATGGTTCTTAGGCACTCATGAAGATATGATTGGTGGTACAGCCCACGACGGCCTTTCACTCTATCCGCTCCAGTGGATGGTTTTGGAGAGTATATACTCTGGTCTGCGTGTTAACAACATGGGCGATTCAAAAGCCAGCGATAATCCCATGGCTCTGATCTTCCCTCAGTACGCTGGCAACCTCCCGCCCCTGGACGGATCGGAAGAGATTGAATGGCGCATTCAATACACCAACGGACTTCGGACAAGCATGTTCGACCTCCAGAGCACGCATGCAAAGAAACCGGCAGCCGGTGTTGAGATTCACTCTATCAAACTTGATACGGATTGCTACAAACATGCAGCAAACCGGAAAGTCTTTGCTGCAGATGGAAGCTTGAAAGGATGGTGTGACGTTGGTAAGTGGAATCTTTTTGTCAGTTTGGCCATTGCTAACAAACTCTAGGACCGTATGGAAACATGATACACCCCTCACTATTCTGCATTCTCGATAGATACCCCCGATACAACGACCTGAAGAATTTCCAACTGCTCAAGAAACCAATCTCCGACTTCCAAGACTCGTATCTCGTTGCTGAGGAAAACGGGCTAGCTCCATGGCTTCAGGACATGCAGCTTGAGGCAAGTGGCGTCAAAGCCTTCCGAATCCTTGTTTGTGGCAAGACTGGAGTCGGCAAATCGACATTGATCAACAAAGTGTTTGGTGTTGAGATGACCGACGAGTCTCTTTCGTATGATCAGGGCGTTCATGACATTAACGTTGCGTTCGAGTCACCCAAGCATCCGGGACTCTTGATTCATGACTCAAGGGGTTGGCAGGCTGGTAGTGACACTGAGCTTGAGTTGATCGCGAAGTTCCTTCGGCACAGAGCTTTTCAGGAAGACCCCGCCGAAGCTCTTCACGTCATTTGGTGAGTTATTTACCATTTTCAAGCAACACTAAGCTAACGCGATTTCAGGTTCTGTGTTGACGCCGACGTTGCACGTATTGAAGAAGCCGACAAGCGAACCTTTGCCACCATCGCCCAATACTCCCACCAAGTCCCCGTTTTCGTTGTTGGAACAAAGAAGGATAAACTCACGGGCTATCGCAAGATGCAGTACCTAGAGGAACTCATGGAGAAAACAGATGATTACAAAGAAGCCAAGCGGCTCGCTGAAGAGAAAGCCAATGCTGTTGCCGAGGAACAGTTCGCTGAGCTGAGAAATCAGCTCTCGCAGATCGAGCACTACAAAGCCGATGGCTTCTGCTGTCTCTCAAAGAGTAAGTAACATCCAGTTGTAGAATGACAAGTGGACGCTAACTGTAACAGATGATGACGCCGGAGTAAAAGACCTCCTCTCCCAAACCCTCGGCCTCATCGTCGACGAACGCGTACGTCTCTTTTGTGTTGCCGCTCAAGTCGTTGATGTTGAACAGAAGATCAACTCAGCGATAACAGAGTGCATGAGACTAGGGACACACGCAATCCGCACCGCCGCCGTTCCCCTCCCCTGCACAGGCTTGGTCGGAACACCTACCGTCTCACGGCTCATCTGCGAGCATGTACTCCAATGCTTCGGTTTCCCCAAAGCTGCGCCAGCAGAGATCGAGCAGATCATGTCAGATATCGTCATGAGCAACTTTAAACAGTACCTTAGAGTTTCTCTGTCGCAATTTGCGGCTGTTAGTGCTATTTCGGTGGGTGTTGCGGTGCCGACTCTGGGAATTGGTATCATTGTTGGTGCTGCGGGTTGTCTGTTGGGACTTCCTCCTACCGCGAGGATGTTGCTCAAGTGCTCGTGCGATATGATTCTCATTCTCGAGCGGTCGTTTCGATATGATGGAAAGTATGTTTCTATCAAGCAGATCGAAGATGCAGCGAAGTACTACTCGAAAACGACAATCACGACGTTCAATGGAAAGGAGAAGCGGTTGCAACAGCAAGTCCACGATGAACTGGACCAGCTCATTCCACTGAAGAAGGTCAACATTGGCTTCAAGTTCAACAAATTGAGATCATCTATTGAAGAGATTATCTATAGCAATCGTTTTGGCAATCCTCCAGACTACACTTCTCTGCGAAGCCCTTCCAGCGTAGGTCTGGACTTACAGCCAGGAGGACCTGTCGAGATGGATGCCGCGCCTACCATCTCAGAGTTGCCTGGCGATGAAGTCGACTACTCGCAGTTATCGAAGTCAGACGAGAAGTCTGATGAGAAGCTACCAGTTCTCGAGCTTGACTCAACTGAAGTCGGCGCAAAAGAAGGACATCTTTCAATGACATCGAATATTTCGGGAACAACCGCCCAGACTGGTCCTTCGCTTGCAAATAAACTTGTCGAGCTTCACGTTCAGCCGCCTGAACTCGAGGGCAATGCGCCGGGTGAAGCGAGACAAGACTCGTTAGAAGTACCCCCGCCGGCGACAAGAAGTAAATCCGACTCCTCTGGGTCTCGATGGTCGAATAAGCTGTCATCGTGGAAGTTGAGTCGGAAGTCGAAGACGCTAAAACAATGAGTGAGTGGAGGATCTGGTTTCTGCTGTTCGTTTTGATTTTGTTGGAGATACCATAATGTCGGATCATCGTAGAACTGTCATTTCTGTTGAGTCCTCATGTCTGCCTGTGCTTTTTGTAATGTATCAAGAGAGAGATTTTATAAACCGACTCACATTGTCATGATAACATTAATTGAGCGTTGTGTCAGGTTGACTTTTTGTGTATGGCTCTCTGTATGACATTTGAAGTTTGTGTTATGCTTGATTCGGCACAAACTGTTGCCTGGCCCCCTAAAGGAGTAGCAAACAGCCCTCCCAGGCTTCCAATATCCACCAATGACGGTGGCACAAAGCTTCCCCTCCCTCAGTCGCCGTGTAACCATGTGCTCCACCTTTACAACCCGCTCAGAGAGTACGAAATTTATCATTTCAAAGTGCCTGTGGCGAATGAGCGAAGCTAGACTTCTACCGATCTTGCGCATTTGCGCATAACTTACTTTCGCCAAGCAACTACTGGTCACCAACGTGGAGACAGGGATAGCAACCCCCTTGGCCCCTCTTCGGGCGCATTTGCGCAATCACAAGATACTAGGCTTCCGCAAGGGCCTTTGTAAGTACTCGAAAACGCCCAAGGCAGAATCCGTACTTCATGACATCTCAGGGATCGTGGATACGTTGGCAAGTGCTGCACGTCACGCTGAGTCCCCTGTGCATGAGGTATGAAGGCAGGTGGACATTCTCAAGATCATTCAGCTAACCTGTTACTATTCCGAGACTCAGACACCGCGATGTACGATACTGCCAAGTTCACTGAACGTGCTCGTGCTCGGGCTTAAACTGCTCTTTCAGAAACGACCCCCTAACTGAGGGCTGTTGGATCTACCGCTTCAGCTCACCACAGTTAAGGCGAGGAATTAACCGAGTTCCTCTTTCCTATAACGCGTCAGACGTCTCGAAACTACCGGTGATCTACCAACAGCGCTACTACACGAACTACGGACCAAGGTCTCCTATAACCTTGTTTTGTTCAACCGACCTTCTCACGAGGCAGATAGCGTCCTTCATCTGCCGCCATGCCCTTTCTCCCGCTGTTTTCCTTGAAAGGATCAGATCGCTCTGTTGTTGAAACGGCTGTCCAGGTGCGGGAGTTGACCGCGGCCCAAATATCTCATCATGAAGAGGTCACTGCCCAGCAGTTGGTGTAGAGTCCACCAAGCAAGAGACAAGTCCAGACGCGACTGTCTAAGGATGCAGCTGTGACGCTACTCCCTACCCCGACGGGAAGACAATAAGCCACAGTTCCACCAAAGCACACCAATGTTGCACCGTACCAGGGTATCTCGGTTAGGAAAGCTCTTCAAGCGGCGGCAAGACTTCGTGCCCAAAGTTCTCGAAGATACTCGATGAATTATTCAGTACCTTCCCAGAAGAACTCCTGCTGATCACCTCAAGAAATGCAACCGTATAAATCAGCGATCTTAAAAATACAGCCCCCTTTCTCCTAACTCAGTCCCAAAACTCGGTGATTTCTTGTTTGAGTTAATCGCCACTCAGGATTGTTTCTCAACAGCCAAACCATACTAAGCTCTGGGATTGAATTAGGACTTTAGACCTTAATTGGGGTCTAAACACCGTCTCACGATTTCTTTCGTCTCCTGATAACCCTAACATCCACCCGCTTACAGATGACATGAAATTTGCTGATCCTAGCCACGACTCAATAGTGATGGCCAGCTGCGTCGTAAAAGGAATCACATATCGGGAAGTTTACGGGTTCAGTTTCGGGGAGCTATTGACCCCGAGATGCCTGAATTATGTGAAACGTCAAACTGAGGATCACTCCCAAGAATTAGTTTGGTACGAGTTATACGGACCCACTTCAACCGTTGCGAGAAAAAGGTGGAGCTCGTAAACGTCCCAAAAAGGAAATCATCTTTTACGAGCATGCGCAGAACTCAACGAGACAGGGGTTCTTCGAGACGAGATGTGCCACATAAGATATTACGGGCTGACGGAGGATGACTCGAGATTTCTGCGTTAGTTTCTGTTCCATCTTATTCTTATCTTCAACTTTATTTTATTTCTTCTCAGCCCTGCACTTGCAATTGACGCCTTTCTTTCCAAGTCTATCCTTTATCAACTCTTTTTACAACACCCCCTTCCTCCATCATGGCCGCCGACGCCAAACCCCCCAACGACGCCGAGCACGATGACGAAAAGTCCCCTTCCACGACTCAAGATACCCAACGACCCCAAAGAACGCCAAAGGTTGCCGACTACATTCGAGTCTTCAGCTACGCTACAAAATGGGACTTCTTCATCTACGCCCTTGCCTCTTTCGCATCCATTGGCGCTGGAATAACCATGCCTCTGATGAACATCATCTTCGGCCAACTCGTCAATCAGTTCACAGACTACTTCAGAGATACGTCTAGTTTTCCGACCGATAGATTTCAAGAGATCCTCAACCGACAAGCGCTTTACATCATGGCCCTGTTCTTGGGACGATGGGGACTCAACACTATCAACAAATACTGTTTCCGAATGATTGGAATCCGACTATCGTCCGCCATTCGTCTTCATTACCTTCAATCTCTCTTTTCACAGTCTATTCATGTCATCGACTCGATGCCTGCCGGCGCACCTGCTACTGCAATCACTGCGACGTCTAATACCCTTCAAGTCGGTATCTCGGAGCGACTGGGCACGTTCTTGGAGTTCAACGGCACCATCTGGGCAGCTATCATTGTCGCGTTCGTATGGAGTTGGGACATTACCTTGGTCACTGCATCCTTGATCCTTTACATGGTCGTCATTCTCTCCATCTCCATGCCAATTCTCGTCAAGGGCCAAACCGCGACTGGCCAGGCAGACGCTCAAGGTACCGCTATTGCCAGCGAAGCACTCCAAGGTATCCGACTGGTCACTGCCTTTGGTGCCCAGTCTCGTGTGATGGCTAGATACAGAGTATGGGTCGAAAAGGCAATTGAGGAAGGCCAAAAGATGGCGCCTTTCATGGGCCTGCATCTTGGCATGATCGTACGTCTGCAAGTGCCCCTTGGTAACCTGATGCTAACTGTTTCCTAGTTCTTTGGAGTATTCGGCACTTTCGGTCTTGCCTTCTGGTATGGGACTCGAAGATACATCGCCGGCGCCATTGACAGTCCCGGAGTCATCGTCATTGTCCTCATGTCTGTCATGTTGATCCTCACCTCTCTCGAACGCATCGCCACTCCTCTCATGGCTGTCAGCAAAGCCATGGTCGCTGCATGCGAGTTCTTCACTGTCATCGATGCTCCCATCCCTTCCTCTGGGTCGCTCAAGCCTGACATTACCTCTTGCGACATTGTCTTTGGCGATGTGACCTTCGAGTATCCCAGCCGCCCTGGAGTTCGTATCTTAGACGGACTGAGCTTCTCCATTCGCTCTGGACAGAACACAGCGATAGTCGGCCCCTCAGGCTCAGGGAAGAGCACCATCGTTGGTTTACTCGAGCGTTGGTACTCATTGAGGGAACACCACGTACTGCCTCAAGTCGTTGAACCCAAGCCTCAGACGAAGGCTAGCGAGGAGACCGAAGATGCGTCTGAGGATGAGCCCCCTGTAGTCAACCCTACCCTGGCTGGCTCAGTTTCCATTGGCGGGAACAACCTCGAAGACCTTGACCTCAAATGGTGGCGTTCAAATATTGGTTTGGTGCAACAGGAACCCTTTCTCTTCAATGATACAATCTTCAACAACGTTGCGCACGGCCTTATCGGTTCTGAATGGCAAGATCAGCCAGAAGAAAAGAAGCGCCAGATGGTTCGAGATGCCTGCCAAGAATCTTATGCAGATGAGTTCATCAGCCGTCTACCTGATGTAAGTTTCTCAATCTCCTCACCTTCGCAGACATTCCCATCTAACCAATGTTTATAGGGCTACGATACGCGTGTCGGCGACGGCGGCGCAAAGCTGTCGGGCGGCCAGAAACAACGCCTAGCAATCGCGAGAAGCATCATCAAGAAGCCCAACATCATCATCCTCGACGAAGCCACCAGTGCCATTGATGCGAAAAGCGAGAAGATCGTCCAAGCTGCACTCGATAGGGCCACGCATAACCGTACGACCATCACCATCGCACATCGACTATCCACCATCAAGAAGGCCGACAACATCATCGTGCTGCAGAGCGGAAAGGCGGTTGAGCAAGGCACTCATGCGGATCTTATGACAAAGACTCATGGAGTCTATGCTTCTCTCGTCAGGGCGCAGGCTCTCAAGGTTGCTGATGATCAAGAAGAGAAGGGCGCTCTTGTGTCAGATGATGAGTCGCACAAACACCATCCTGATGCCAAACTTGCCGACGTCACTACAACTTCTACCCAAGAAGAAGCCCCCAAGAAGCCTCGAGGTCTCTTCAAGAGTTTCGGAAAGCTACTATACGAACGAAGACAAAAGTGGCCCAACTTCCTTGGTATTCTCCTCTCGTCTATGGCCGTCGCAGCTGGAACACCTGTCCAAGCTTGGCTCTTTGCGAAGGCCCTCGGGGTCTTTCTTCTTCAAGGCAGTGACCTGAAGAGTGAGAGCCAATTTTGGGGCTTCATGTGGTTTGCCCTTGCCGGAGGGGTTGGTCTTGCGTATCTTTGCGAGGGCTGGATTGGTCTGCGAGTTCAGTACTACGTCAGCGGAGTGTATAAGTCTCAGTACCTCAATGACATGTTGTATCAACAACTATCCTTCTTCGATCAGGAGGACAACTCTCACGGGTCTCTGAGCTCTCGCGTCTCAAGCGACGCAAAGCAGCTGGAGGAACTTCTCGGTATCAACCTCGCACTCATGCTCTCCGCCATCTTTAACATCACTGGTTGTGTCATCATCTCACTCGTCTTCGGTTGGAAGCTCGGCTTGATCTCTATGTCTGTTGCCTTGCCACTCATGATTGCGGGCGGATGCTGGAAGTACAAGCATGAAGTTCACTTCGACAAGATGAACGCGGCGGTCTTCCAAGAAAGCTCCGCATTCGCGACCGAAGCCATTGAGGCTATCAGAACAGTCTCTTCGCTGACCATGGAGGACTCGATCAACAGTCGGTACCGCGATCTCTTGGATGGACATGTGAAGGCAGCGAACCGAAAGGCACAGTGGACATCAGCGATCTTTGGCTTTGCAGACAGTGTCGGTCTCGGATGTCAGGCTTTGCTGTTCTGGTACGGCGGTGGTCTCCTAATTAGCGGAGAATACTCAATGGAGGCGTTCTTTGTCTGCTTCATGGCTGTCATCCAAGGAGCTGAAGCTGGCAGCCAAGGATTCGGATTGGCGCCAAGCGCTGCACAAGTGACTGCTTCCGCGAACCGCATTCTCGACGTGCGGCAGTCTGTTCATCCCGATCGACAGACACATGGCAAGGATGGAGAGGGTATCAAGGACACTGAAGGCGGAGTCAAGATCGAGTTGCGTGACGTCTCCTTCAGATACCCCACGAGAGACGTTCCCGTCTTTGACAGACTCAACCTCACTATTGAGAAGGGCCAATACGCCGCTTTTGTCGGGGCATCGGGCTGTGGCAAGACAACTGTCATCTCGCTTCTCGAGCGTTTCTATGACTTGGAACCTAGCAATGGTGCAATTCTGTGCAATGGCCAAGACATTAAAGACACGAATGTCTACGATTACCGTCAAGTCCTGTCTCTCGTGTCTCAAGAACCCGCCATGTTTAGAGGATCCATTCGCGACAATATTCTCTTCGGAGTCGACAATCCAGAATCTGTGACCGACGACAGGATCCACGAAGTCTGCCGCGATGCCTTCATCCACGACTTCATCGTCTCACTTCCCGAAGGCTACAACACAGACATGGGTCACAAAGGAATATCCATGTCAGGAGGACAGAAGCAAAGAATTGCAATTGCCCGCGCATTGATCCGAGATCCGAAGATTCTTCTTCTCGACGAAGCGACATCAGCCCTTGACTCGGAGTCTGAGAAGGTCGTTGCAGCTGCGATCGACACAGCTCGCAGCGGACGAACCGTTATCTCTGTAGCTCACCGACTTTCGACGATTCAGAATGCAGATGTTATATTTGTGTTTGATGACGGAAAGGTCGTTGAGAAGGGTTCACATACCGAACTCGTCAACAAACAGGGCATCTACTGGGAAATGGTGCAGAACCAAGCTCTAGACCAATAGCTTTTTTCCTTTCTTTCCCCATTCTCTGCTTCATTTTCTGTCTTTATCATTAATTCTCTGTAAACTTCTCTTCTCACATACAGCGTGTTGTGCTTGTTTCTTCTTTCTCCACTAGACTTCATTTGCAGGATCATTGCCTTCGCATAAATCGAGGTTTCTTGTAAACATAGCTCGAAGAACTAGATGTTCATAGTATACATAGCTTATACAGGTCTCTCCACTAATTACATCGCATGAGGCCAGCCTCTCGTTTTCCGTGGCCTGCTTTGAAGTTTCTCTGTCATTCCACCAACTCAGGCCAGAGGGTAATTACATCTCCCAGTAGCGGTCTGCCAGCTGCTGAAGGCGGTCTTCTCTTCCACTCGATAGCATCAAGCTCTCCCTTCACTACGGCCGTCTCCTCCACAAGCTGCCACTCGCCCGTAGTCTCATCCTTATCCAAATAGCACCAAATAACCCGGTCACCGCCTTCTTCAAACAGATATTCCCTGCGTAGTAGCCTATGCCACTGCTCTACGGCCGTGCCCTCGGATGCATTTATCCGCTCCACGATCTTGTTTCTGTGCGCTAGTAGGTACAGCGAGCGGGCGTTCCAGATCCCGTCTTGGCCAGGGTAGTCTTTCAGCAACCATGTAGCTTCGTCGCGAAGAAGCGCGTCGCGACAGAATAATGCGATGAGGAATAAATGTGATGCCATATTGCATTGTAAAGAGAGCTGTTGTGCCGGGTTCTTTAAGTCCCGTTTCGCAATGCGGATACTTATCTCGGCTAGAGAGAGGAACTCGCGAAACAGGGGGGTCTTGGCTTGGATTGGTTCTACATCGTAGAAATGCGTGAGATCATCGAACGTGCATGTACCAAGGTAATGCAAGCGAAGATGAATAGCTCTGATGTAGTCCGTTGATTTCGCATCCGACATAATTGCACGGTTGAAAAGGGGCATGAAAGCAGCTTCGAGAGCCTTTAACTCCTTCGTAGAAGCTTCACATATTTCCTTGATGCGTGGATCAGCTGTGATTTCCTTCCAAACTTTGGAAATAATATCAGGATCCGATGAGACCAAAACGCCGGTGTTCTGAACAGCTTCCATAAGTAGAGGAACGACAGCAAGTTTGGCGTTCCGACCAGTCAGCCAATATTTCTCAAAGTCGTCCAGGTTGTCAAGAACAGGCGGTAGCTCTTCAGTCGGCGGGTAATCTCGAGGTATTTGGTTAACCAAAGACATGAAAGACTCGACTGTCTGCTTCTTGGCGCGTAGACCTCTGGTGAAGTTTGGTACTGCGGGACTGCGACCGATATTTCCGCGTAGTATAAGTCTTGTTTGTGGTAGTAGTTGGGAGAAGATATCTGCGACCACTGCGATGAGTGGTTTTGGATTCGGGGCCACTGATGACATCAAAGAAGAATCTGGATCGGTCAAGAGCGCAAGCAACATTGCCAGCCCATGGTTGATGTGATCCAGCGCAGCTTTCCTGTTCCCTCGTAAGGTCTCAAAACAGAGAAATAGGACTGAAAGAAACACGGCGTCTAGTATCGAAGCCTGCTGGCTCTGTAGTTTCAGCGCATGACAGTAGTGCGACACCGCATTCAAATAGTCCGGATCCTCCTGCGCGGCTTCATTGTCTGCCGACAGCAACGAACCAAGTGAATCATATTTCGACTTAGTAAGCCATTTGCTCAATGCGCCGATCGCTATCGCAGCATGCCGTACAATATCGTTGGTACGTGCCACTTGGGGTAATGTCATAGACCATAAATCACTGTTGAACCCAGCAGAGATCCACGGACTCTGCACAACTTGCACAAACTCATCAAAATAAAGAACACTCTGGGCGTCTCGAAAGTCGAGAGAATCTTGAACAAGATGAAGTTGAGTCCTCGGGGGGGCTGCCCAGGTAATTTGTTTCGAGTCCCATTGAAATTGACCTGGCCCCTTGTTCCGCTTTCTATCCGGGATGGCGTAACCTTCACATTGCCGATTGTTCCTCACACAATTTCGACACTGAGGTTTTGCTTCATCACATTTGACATGGCGTTTTTTGCAGGTGACACAGCCAGTTCTGACTTTGCTTGCACTCGTGCGAGTTAGCTTTGGCCTGAAGGATCTAGATCAATTGTCAGCTTGTTGGCACAGTTCAAAGAGTTGGCAACTGTGTTCTTACGTTGAAGAAAGTTCAAAAGATATGGGAAGCCGATCTGTCATAGGATCCATGGCTGTCTGGTGGAGAGATGAGGTGCATTGAAGATAGCCATGCTGACATGTTGGTATTGCATTTCGCGGGGTCCGGCTAAAGCCCGAAGCGCGCCGATTATTATTCCGCGATGCCGTTGGTTGTTGGTTGTTGGTCGTCATGGATGCTTGGCATTCCTGGGCTTGGTATTGAAACGGTGTACTTTTGCGTCATTTTTATTAGGAGACGAAGATTCATTCGGCTTCAGAATCTAAGAAATCAACCAAAAACCCCTTGAAACGGTTCAGCGATATCGCGAAAGGGACGGCGGGTCCAAGACCTGTAGTGGTGTTTGCGGCTCTACATGACGTGCAAATAATGCGACAAATTTCGACCAATGGAGCCCAGAGTCGAAATTTCAATGCCTTACTTTGAGAAGCGCAGTCTTATTGTATTAAGTTAGTCAGAAGAATTATTTTCATCGATATGAAGTTGAACTTGGCTACTTACCTCCAAGATCCATCGTCTTCAGCCAGCTCCAGCTCTTAGCCAAGGTTGCGTTTTGCGAGACATTTATAGAATGAGAAAATGCTAGCGTCGTTACTAGAAACAGTGTCACTCTGATTTCATCCAGTATCGAGAGGAAGATAAGTAAGAAGAATCTCCCGAGTGTCGCTTGACAAGCTTACAATAACTGACTTCCTATGACCTACGGAGTAGTCTTTGTGCATGTGCTCATGTGAGCATCGAGCTCATCTCTCTAGAATTACTGTTGGGTGGCCATGTACTCTAGCATCTAAAGGAAACGAAGCAGCCTCGCAGACCTCCTTCTGAATATTGCTGGAAGGAATTGGTTACAAGCAAAACCGCACAATCAGCTTATGCTCAGGGGAGGGAGAAACAAGGATACTGCCGATATGGCCACGATCTACCAGGTTTTGTGAGCATAGCTTTCTATCGCTCACAAGATAACAATTCATGACAACATGATCAGTTGTTCACAGGTGATGTCGTTGTCGCAATCACCTTCGTCATGGAAATATGAGAGTTCAGAACAGCTTCAAGTTGAACCAGAAGAATCACCACGTGCGTATAAAGTTTACAAATCAGAACCCAATCTCATCCCATGATACGTAATTCTTATTAGCAAGGTGCAGCAACTCTTTGAACTCTAATAATACTATTATTTCGCAGGCTACATGTAAAGTTAGTGACCAACAACAGTTTTCGGACTCCGCGGGGTGTTCATTCGTCACCATGGGTGTTGGTCCCTACCGTCAAACGACCTACCCTATTCTGGGTACACGAAAATCATGTAGAAGCTCCCAGTTTGGACGTTATGGGGTGGTTCGTTACAGGTGAGCTTTCGAAATGTCTGGCTTTAGCATTGAATCCTTAATCTTACGATATAATTTCTCGAATAAGCATTAGGATGACATACTCGATGGCGTTTCATTTGATGAAAGATGCATGTTTCGTGGCTGTGAGTGGGTTTTTGCAGCTGATGTAATTCTTGTAGTGGGTTTCCCGCATCCTTCGGGCCCCTAGCTCGAGGCTCTACCCTGTTTCGCATTGAATCCTCCGGCTATCAGATTGGTAGCGAATCGTGATCAACTTTTAGCATCAAATCCTTCTGTTGGGGGCCAAAGTGACGGCCGCGGACTCCCGAAAATCGACGTTTTGGGCAGTGGCGTAATTAACCAGGCTAAATGGTCTTGGATTGACGTGCAAGAAATTATGGTAGTCCCCGTCATAACACGTGCGAAGCTGAATCACAAATTCACAATTACAATTAACAGGAATGACTTCACTTCCAAGAAATAGGGCTGAAGAGGGTGGCAGAGTCGGTCCAGCCAAGGCAGAATGACTGCTCTTCTAGACTTTTCCTCCCCCTTTGAGGATCAGTCACACATGCCAATCAAAAGCAGGACATCAGCCTGGACCAAGCCCCTCCAAATTTAACACGCGACTAACCCGGTTGTTTTCCCTGCACAAGGGGGCACAGATCAGCAGGATTTGATCCACGTTGATTGGCGACAAATGGGGCTGTGTTTTGGAGTTACTGGCTGGCCCGTAAAACCACAGATGCACAGGACACAAACAGTATGCCTCGTACTACCTACCAACATTCAATTCGGCGCATACCTGTTATGGCCACTCAATGTCTGCTGTAAATGTCGCAAATGCATGATTTTGTTGCTATTGGATATGAAGGTTTCAGACGCCATTGCAATTGTTTTGTAGGATCAGGACTTGCATCGGTAAATCTTGACTGAACCAACAACAGATTGGATCTGAAGGAACCGACACGCGTGGATTCTGAACCGTGTTATTGGGTCTCTTCACCCCTTTGTAGCTAAGCTTCAGAGGAAATTACAGGCGAGGGCCAACCAATCCACTACCGTTAGTGGATCCGAGCCCTGGAATGGCCCCTGTGTTTTGGTGATCCATCTTCTGAAATCTGTTTGCATGGGTCTTGACGTCCATTTCAAACGTCAAATTCTTGTTTGCAACTTGTTGGTCACTCGCTGAATCTGGCCGCTATTATCACCATGTTGCACCTTCAGATTGCCATGATGGATGCAATTTATGGGAAATGCAAATTGTATCCCTTGAACTCTATATTCGGGCTAGATTGACGCCCCCCAGCACGATCTTTGTTTCGACGCCGACAACGGCACACTCAGCCCGTTCTGGTACGTGCCGAAGATCCGGGGCCAGCCGCCCCAAAAGCCTAAGTCACACGAGTCATCTCCTTTTCCGTGACCCGTTGTGACTATTTTGATCACCGACGGGAGCCCTGATTGGAGCCAGACACATGCAAATGTCAGCACTGCGAGAAGCTGGGCCCCAAGGGCAAAAGGGCTGAGGCTGAGGCTCCCTCCACATTTTAGTACAGGTACAGGCAGTCCAGGCAGTGAGAAAACCCCTTAATAATGGTCTTACCCGTGGTCCCAGCTTGGTGCACTTTTGTTTCAAGCTTTTGCCTTTGCTGTTGTGTCTTTTGCCATGCGATGCATCACTGTAATAACAGACTTTTTTCTATGAGAGCTTATTTGGAAGCTCAATAGCGTGGCATCTTTTTTTCTGGAGCGTGTTTCTTTCCTTCTTCCTCTCTTTTTAGACAACCATGATGCAGAATACGACACCGTCTCAGGCGGTCTTGGCGCTCGCACGCGCTCTTCTAAAACGAGTACCCAACCGACAATTCTTCTTCACCTTTACCGCCCTCGCAGTTTGGGGCGCCAAGATAATACATATCTACGCACACATCAACGCCGTACACCAAAACCTATTGCAGCGATGGGGCTATTCATTCGTTACACAAGATGTCGTCGTCCTCACTCTCATTCGACTCCTCCTTGACCAATGGTCCACGAATCTACCCGCGCGGTCGCAAATCGTCGTCCTCGTTTTCACCGCGCTTTTCATGTTCATCAACGCATTGCTTAGCGTCGTCTCGATATCCTTCTACCTCGTCGCCGGCTCCGAAATACATTATAGCAACATATCTCTTCCAAACGATCCCTCCTCCAAATCGTTGATGCTGTCGGGCAGCGTCGCATTTACAAGTGTCCTTTGCGCCAACATCTTGTTGAGCTGGCTCCTCAAAACACCTTGCTACAAAATCCATGGCTTGGTTGCTGAGGTTGTACATCGAGCGATCGCCAATGCTTGGCAATTCCTTCGTCGCATTCTTCCCCGCCAAGATCGCTACGTTCCCGTTCCGAAATCCGATCTCGAGGGCCAAACCGAATCCTTTGAAGACGAAAGTTCCGACGACGACCTCCAAGAACAAAAGAACCAACAACTCAGCCCGTTTCAATTCCGGTTAAAAACCGCTTTGAGATCCGTGCCATTCGCTTTGGCTGCCATCTTCTTGCTCACACTCCTTTACGCAGCCGTCGCACGACCCTCCGACCGATCCCTCATCTTCCTCTCCTATACTGCAGCATTGGCACCATTCGTAGACTTTACTTCTGGACCGACATTACAAGACTTGCCCACTGTTTTCGGCACTGGCATTCAGCATAGCTGGGATAATCTCACTGCGCTCGCGACGACCGAGCCATTCGATTGGCTGCCAAATGATCAAGTATTGGCTGGGTTTGAGGATTGGCACTTGAAGCGCCCGCATTACAATGCTGATGTCGACCCATTGAAGATATCTAATCTCGGGCAAGACCTTGTTCCCACATTGAAGGACAAGCTGCAAGACGTTCCCATCCGACATGTTGTTTTGTGCTTCCTCGAAAGCACGCGAAATGACGTTTTCCCTATCAAGAAAGACGGACACATTTGGGAGCTATTAGCATCAACATTCCCCGACCGCATTATTCCCCAAGAGGCCCATGAGAAATTGGCCAATCTCACACCTACCGCCAACTATATCACAGGCGACTACGACGATGGGTTCGGCCACGATGAAGGGTCAAAGCCCAAGCGCGGCGGCGTTCACTTTACTAATGCTCATACCACCGGCACCTTTACCTTTAAGAGCTTGGTCGGTACTTTGTGCGGTATCGGCCCACTGCTAGCCGACTTCAATCTCGACTACGCCCACCATGTCTACCAGCCTTGTTTGGCTCATATCTTTGAAGCTTTGAACCAAGTGTCAAACGCTACTGGCACAGGGTCGCGCCCTTTCGAAGACTTCAAGTGGCAGTCGTATTTCTACTCAGCTGCGACTTTGGGATACAACAACCAGCAAGAGTTGATGGAGGCAACTGGCTTCCCCGAGCAGCACCTCATTGGACTTGAGTGGCTACGATCTGAAAATGCGACACATGGGCCGGTGACACTACCGCGAATCAACGGCTTTGCTTTCGAAGAGGACCCCCTTGAGGATTACTTCCGCGATGTGTTTGTTCAGGCCAAGGAGAAGGATGAGCGAGTTTTCTTGTCGCACATAACATCGACAAGTCACCATGCCTACAAATTGCCGGAGAGGGAGGAGTACGTCCCACTTGCTAACGGCCATGATATGCTTTCGCATTATCTCAATACAGAAGGGTATGACGATCGATGGCTGCGCAAGATCTTAGACCTGCTAGACGAACAGGGAGTCGCGAATGAGACTCTGATTGTCTTCGTTGGAGACCATGGAATTTCCATGCCCGAGAACGGTGCCGTGTCGCCTTACTACAACCCTAGCATCGGCATCGACCACGTTCCTTTAGTCCTGTCTCACCCTCTCCTGCCTGCGTTCGATATCCACGATGCAGTCCATTCGTCCCAAATCCTACCAACCATCCTCGATCTTCTCCTCGAGACAGGCTCACTAAACAACGCCAGCCGACAAGCTGCATCCGACCTCGTCCGCAATTACGAAGGCCAATCCTTAATTCGACCACTCCTCACAAAGAATGAGACCACCGGCCAAGGCAACTGGCAGTTCGTCGTGGTAAATCCCGGTCGCGCTGTAGTAACTGCCCGAGATGCACGTTACCCAGAGCGCCATCTTGCCATTCCTCTCATCGACAATGTCGAATGGCGATTAAGCGATGTGAACGAAGATCCTATGGAGCATGACTCTGTACAAAGTTTCGACTTCACTTCTTTTACAGATGTCGTTTCACGGAGATTTGGCAATGATGTTGCGCAATGGGTTGAAGAAGGGGCTTTCATAGCGAGGTGGTGGGCGGAGGAAAACCACAAACGCTGGCAATATGGGGAGTATGATGAGCGGAAAACGCCTTGAGGGCTTTATATAGAAGAGGAATAATTTCACCACATTTACATGTTCACCCTATATCGACGCTCGCTGTGAAATCGATGTGCGCGCTTTCTTGCCTAAGACTCTGATCTCGAACAAGCCAAAAAACAGCAACTCGGCGAGTCCTACAGCAAGAGCACTCCGAGTGCTGTAACTGGGCACCCCAAACAAGTCTTTGGGTGGCTTGATACCTGTAAGTCGTGGAAATCGTGTCTTGAGGCCATCAAATTCATGATGAAGCATGAGAGTCACGCAATCGAATCATCTCCTGCTGAACAATTGTGACGTGGTACTTTGAGTCACTGTAAACTGAAAGTTCGAGAAAGTAATATTTTATTAAAATATATTACTTTAGGAATTGTCTCCTGCGCTCACAAACTTCCAGCCTCATGATGGTGAAAGATCGTGTCCCAAGATAGCTAGATAGTGATTCGTCCTACAAATCTCGCCCCCGTGACTTGATATACGATGACAAGTTTGAAGAATTCTCTACCTAGGCATCCTGTAGTATGATGTGAGGTTAGTTTCATTCAGTGTGTACCATGATACTCCATGCCCAGTCTCTTGCTTCATTGTCTACAAAGGCGTCCACGGTGAGAGTTTATATACAACTCTGATCTTGTGGTTCATACCTTGGTTCTCCTATCTTTTCAATAAATTCGAATGGTAACTATACTATGAATGAAAAGCAGCACTACTATGACCAGACAAGTCAACAGATGGTAAAAAGCTTTATGGCAAGGTCAAATTCTCCAAAACGAAAAACTGCGCGTGTTTCTGTAACTGAATGGGGCGAGTCATTACCTGAATGTAAGGTCCCAGCCAGGTTAGGCTATATGTATTTCAAGTTCAGCCTCAACATAGCCAACCAAAGAAAGTCCCTCAAGAAGTACAAAACAAGCCAGTAGTCGTGTTTCCTTCTCATATTACCTCGTGATAAAGGTGTCGGCTTAGCAGCCGCAACCACACTGCTGACAGTCACCCTTACCGCAGAACTTGTCATCAGTAGGACAGTCGCTGTCCTTGTCACAACTCATCCGAGCACCTTTTCCATCCTTATGGGCAGACCAGCACCAGTGACCCCATTCGACCCCCTTGGCGCTGCCGCAGTTCTGCCAGCCTTGGGCTTCCACTTTGATGAAGTGCACTTTCTCTTCTCAAGGGCGTTGACCTTAGTGGAGTTAGGGTTGCGGCTGTGGACCTTGATGGAGAGGGGGTGCTACTTGCATTTACGGAGCTCAGAGATGTCAGTGCCGGCGGGGAGGGTATCAAGATCCCATTCTGCGACGCCAAGGGCGCCGCACTCAGCTGCGGCGTTGGCGAACTGAGTACATGTTGACAGCGAGGGCCTGAGCGGCGAAGAGGCCGAAGAGTGCAGTGGTGAACTTCACTGCCCGTTGCAACGGCTTGGCTGGTTGATCAACAGCCATGTCATCAGGCTATAGATACAGCCCTAGATTGTGGCAAAGTGGAAACTTTATTGTTCCAAGTGGGACTGACTTTTCTAGTGAAACCATGTTTGTTTTGCACTGTTGTTTGTTGGTTATTAGGTAAATCGCATCATTAGTTTAGGTATGTTGTTAGTTGTCCCTTGTCAAATCAACTTATGATTCGACACCCCGCCCTGCCTGTATGGGGCCGTGAGTCGCCATGGCTCGCTACCGAGGTCAATACCATTTTGGTCTTATGACGGAGAGCTGAACTGTTCATCAGAGACTGTTCCAATGACCTGGATATTTTCTGAGTGTCAGTCTTGTTCCTCTGTAGATGTCTTAGGGCTATCGAAAAATGATCCAAAGCAAAAGTCCCATTTCCTGGGGCCTTGCCAAGCTTCATTTTTGAGTGTTGGTTGTTTAAATATCATCCTGTTCAGAACGCCACTGTAGTCCCTCTACAGGGCAAGGCCAATGCAGAGAAACATCGGCACTTTTGCGGCCCGTTCCTGGTCCAGGCGGATACGGGATCGACAACACCACTACGGAGAAAAAGAGCACTCTCCTAGTTTCCCCAGGAGCGAAAGGCACAGTAAATCTCGAAGTTGAGGATCATTGACATGCTCTGATGTAATGCCATAACAGCAAGATTTATAACATAAGAAGATTGATTCAGAATTGATTAGCATTCGACTGTCTGAATACACTCCGGAAGTCGCCACTTCTGTGATAGGCTCGAAGATTTACGCGTCGAGCATCTCCGTGCCTCGTAATCCAAGCTACAGGCATGATCTTCAACGCTTTGACTCCACGATAGGCTGTTTCATCCGTGCGTTCCGTTTGTACCAATGAGAATGCTCAAGGTATGCGTACTCCGTAGTTGATCGTCATTTTCACGTTTACTGGCCGTTTCGGTACCGAAAGACACAAATCAAGTTTATCCTTCAATTGGAATTTCGGTTCCATCCAGGATCGCGGATACGATGTGCCGGTTCCAGTTGGTACCTTGCATCTGAGCAACGTTTCAACGAGATGCAACCCCATCGACCCGCTTCTAGAAATACATGCCTTCTATGAATACACGGTACAACCGGGATACTCTTGATGGTCTATGAAGAATAGTATGGCATCAAGGCTTTGAATAGTCTGGCTATGTCTTAGAAAGCGAATGGGACTATGAATGGTGCTTGATTTAGGAGGCGACACAATACAAGAGTTGTATATACGTTGTGATTAAGTTGTCAGCCTCGAAAGCTGAGTAAAGCAAGTGCCGAACATCCGTCGGCTTTTGATGCCAAGATAATCCCGGGCCTTTCGTGCCGTTCCGTGCGACTCTGAGGGTATGATCCAGCGAATGTTACTGGTTCTATTGCGCCTCAAATCATGACTAAAGAGCATGGATATCATTAACAATTTCGCGATCCGGGCATATCGAGCATCGACTCATGCAAGTCAGTTCTTATGTCCATCATCAACTCTGGCAATTGGGTAGCGCTGACGGAACGTTTGTCTTGTGTTACACATACTGCCTATCCGGATGCTCCGTCGGGACCGAATGCTTCCATGATGACTTCGGGATCTCGGTGATCTCGGAGTTAACCCTACATCACAGGGAATTCGATTGATCAACTATGAGAGGATATTGATCACCCATAACAGGTAATACTATCAATTATGATACCTCATTCTCGCGGGACCATAGAACAGGTTGAGAGTTCAAACCCTATAAGAAGCAGCAGCCTGCCTCTGTCCTCTACCTCTCGAAGCACAACTCGCATCATCCAATCCGAATCACCAAGAGAAACAACTACACTTCGTTCTCGACGCCATCGTCAACATGGTACACCGTAACGCTTTCGTCAAAGCCTTGGTGGCTTCACTTTTCGTTGTTCCAGGCTCGGCCCTCCCTGCCCCTCAGTGAGTCCACGTTCCATGATGCCGAACCAAAAGCTAAGAATTGACAGAATGGGAGACTATGGGGAGAACAAGGGCCCCGTAGGCGGAGTCAAGCCCCCAACACCAACTGTTACCTCAACAAGCGGTTCTCTATACGGTGACTCTAGCTTGCTCGGTGGCAACGCTCCTCTCCCAGATCCCGAGCAGGATTCTGCCATCGTCAAAAACCCAAAGCTCGTCAATGGCCAGAAAGCTGATCCCAAGCTCGGGCTCTATCTGGACTTTGATGGTGTAGATGTGCCCCAGCCAATCCGAGGCGAACTAGGCGCCACAGATCCTGGTCCTCGAACTTACGACTATGAGAGACTCAACCCCGATCTCTTTGCTCCTCCAGGTACAGATGCCGGAGATGTCCCCAATGCCATGTGGCCGCTTGGTCTTTCTCACAACCGTCTTGGTAGTGAAGCTGGTGCTGGATGGGCTCGACAGCAGAATCAGGATGTCCTTCCCGCTGCAACTGCTATGGCTGGAGTTGACATGCGTCTCGCTCCAAATGCCTATCGCGAACTTCACTGGCACACGGCCAATGAGTGGGCGTTGGTCACAAAAGGCTGTCTGCGTGTTGCCGCTGTTAACGATGAAGGCAAAAGCTTTGTCGATGATCTCTGTGAGGGTGACGTTTGGTTCTTTCCTGCTGGCATTCCTCACAGTCTCCAAGCTTTTGACAAGGGCGTTGAGTTCCTCCTGGTATTTGACCAGGGCTCATTTTCCGAAGACGAGACATTCCTTGTATCCGAGCTGTTCTTGAGGAACCCTGTCTCTGTTCTGGCCAAGAACTTCGAGACTGAGACGACTGCCTTTGATAACATTCCAAAGGACGAGCTTTACGTGAGTACATTACCCAGCGTCTTAACTATATACTAATGTCTAAACCCTCAGATTTTCAACGGAACACCAGCGCCGAAAGATATCGAGAAACAGAACGTGACGGGCTCAGCTGGCGCGTTGATGGGTAATGATTCGTACACATATCATTGGTCTCAGCAGAAGCCCCATACTGTACCAGGAGGCTCTGTCAAGATCATCGACCCGACGACCTTCCCAATCGCCAAAGGCTTCTCAGCCGCTCTCGTTGTCGTTCAGCCTGGCGCACTTCGCGAGATACACTGGCACACCACTTCTGACGAGTGGAGTTACTTCCTTCAGGGCAGCGGCCGAATCACCGTCTTCAAAGCAGCCTCGTCAGCTCGAACTTTCGACTTCACTGCTGGTGGCGTTGGATACATCCCTGCTGCAAACTCTCACTACGTCGAGAATACTGGAACAGAGGACTTGATTTTTCTCGAGGTTCTTCAAGCGCCCAAGTTTTCAGATGTTTCTGTGGCACAATGGCTGGCCTTGACACCCAAGCAGATTGTGAAGGACCACCTCAAGGTTTCTGACAAGTTTTTGGATTCCTTGCCCAAGGAGAAGGCGTTTATCAAGACGGGAGACGTGAACATGACAGCTATCGCAGACGAAGCTTAGAGATCATTAGTTGGAGGCGAGGCAGCGGGTATTGGATCGAGTGATATGACTCTTGGTGACGATTCTAATTTACTAATTTCTGTGTTGTGATTAGAAGCTCTCAGCCACAGGTCTCATGAGTTGTGAAACACTTGGCTGATGGCTGCTAGGCTGTTACATTTTGGGTTGTGCCGACGGTAGTACTCCATTCCCAAGTCTCAGTTAGCTACCAAACTTCTTCAGATACGGTCGGTAGATGTGTAGTAAAATATTCTTTCAGGGAATGCATTCGTCTCCTAAGGTGAACACATGGGCTCAGCAGGTATTCCCCTGGCTCGTCTTCTACCTCCGAGACATTCAAAGTATTCATCATGGTGGTGCTGAATTATATTAAACTCGATCGAATCGATGCTTGCAGATAGGTGGTGCAAACGGCATACGCTATGCTCGTGGGCCCATTGCGCCTTTTTGATGGCCCCGTCATAAATGGCTCCGTCATAAATGGCTCTGAACCCAAAGTTATTCCTTCTGTCCCTGAAGTATAAGGTAAGGTATTATTAAAAGACTGATATTATATCTATATATTTAAATATCTCTAAGAGATTGTAGTGGCCAAGCTAAAGCATATTGCCAAAAAGAGCCGACTGTCCTGGCCACTAGGTAGATCAAGAATGAGCCAGAATGACCAAATACCCAAAATTCTCGATACCGGTGTAAGATAGCCCCATAGAATGCTAGAACGACAAGAGCTTCCGGCCTATGCTCATATAGGGCCTCGATGTACTTGTCAGGAATAACCTGGGGCCAGGCCATGACCGCGTGAGGGCCAATATCAGATCTGGATGGCTCTTGTTTCGTCATGTCCAGTACCCATTGAATCCGGTCAAGTGCCGAGAGGCAAGCTTCAGTAGCGGTAGACGATGTTGAGGATGACTCAAGGAATTCCCTAAGATGTTTTGTGTCTTCCCCTGAAGCCTCAGACTCTGTTTGCTCAAATATGACTGCGATATGCATGAGTGGTTGCAAGTCGGAGTGCAGGATATGGTGCCAGTACTTCGCGGTGATGGCCCGTACCCCCCGATGAAGACGAAGGTAGCTAACAAAATGGTCAACAAACTCAGCGAGAGTATCATGGCGCTGACCGAGTGTCTCGTGAAGGACATGAAGTCCAAGCAATGAGGCAAAAAGAAAAGTCGGCATGTAAGTGTCTTCGGATATGTGGTCTTTGGCTTTGTTGAATAGGCCTAGCGCTCGTGTTTGCAGCTCAGTGGCTTGCCGACGGAACGACGATGCTTGTACCACATCCTGGGTTGACAGATGAAGCGCCGAAAGCGCGAGGACTTGATCCAGTAGATAAGGCGCGTTATATGAATTCTCCAGGGCAGCATCGATGACAGGCTGAGCTCTCGCCTGAAGAGCCATGAAGTCCGACATATTCATCATAGCATAGTGAAGAAACACCATGTGGGTTGCTGTAAAAGTCGGCCCAGAATGTAGTGCAACATCATCTATCTCTCTAGGAGCCGCCAAAAGATTGTTGTCAACGACGTTGGTAGGAGTAGATGCGGTGTCGGCTGCGCTTGGGGTCGAAGGCGTCGTCGTAAGGTATGGACAAATCAGGTCGCTTATGACGCAGTTCCGGCATTCCGGCCGTGTTTCGTCGCATTTAATATGTCGGTTTTTGCATTCCCTGCAGCCGTTTCTTGACTTTCGGTGGGCTCGACGACCTGAGAGTCGTCTTCGTTGCTGTTTTGGCATTGATCAAGGAACACAAAGACGGGCGGACAGACTTGGGAATGAACTAATCCGCGAATACACGGATATCTCTACTAAAAGTTAAAGAATTAAAGGTAGCACACAGAAGAGCATGTATACAAGGAGTCCAGGCGGCAATTAATGTGGAATGTCCTGCGTGATAGCTACGCCAATGCTCTATTAACCGACTTTGGCCTAGCCAAGTGGACTCTCGTTTCGGCTTCGCCAGGCGCACGTATTCCCGAATGAATACGATGTGTTTGACATTCTATCAGAACTAAAAAAGCATTAAACAGTGCCAAGCTGTAACGAATCCGAGCCATCTTCATACGAGGGGCTACAAAGATCGACGGTTAATCTTGGACTAACTGCCTAATTTATCATGCAAAACTCTTCCACGTACGGAGAGCAACCAAGTGGGTTTCCGGAGCCCATGCTCACGGCGAACTTGAAAAAACGCGTAATGGTTGTCAACTTGCTTGAAAGATACTGCTGATATAAAAGGACATGAGGTATTCATGGTTGGAAGCCTAGACAGTAGTAAGCAGTATCGGGTTGAGTCTCTAATCCAACAACCCTGTAACACCATGAGAGTCAATCGTACTCGCTTCGCAGCCGCGTTGGCCTTCTGCACCACGAGTGCCGCTGAGTTGATATGCAAAACCCACCCATCCAGTGCAAATTGGCCTTCGACTGGAGACTGGGACGCCCTTAACCAAACTGTCGGAGGCGCCGTAATCAAATCGACGCCTGTGGCTTCTTCTTGCTACAACGACAGCGACTTCTCATCTGCCGTCAGCTGTAAGAAAGTGACCGAGAACTGGTTCTTATCTGAGTTTCATGCGCTACAACCCGAGTCAATTGGGTATTCTTACTGGGCAAACAACTCGTGTGTCCCTCCCAACGACTATGGCTATCGATCCGGACAAAGCTGTGAGATTGGCGGCCTGCCTCAATACGTTCTCGAGGCTACATCTGCAGCTCAGATAGCCACCGCTATGAAATGGGCCAGCTCACGAAACATCCGCATCGTGATCAAGGGCACAGGACACGATCTCAATGGAAGGTATGTCAAGAACGCATTAATTTGAATAAGAGGACGGCGGACTAACATCCACAAAGATCTAGCGGCGCTTATTCCTTGTCCATCTGGACACACCGGCTTCGCGACATGGGCTTCAAGTCTGACTGGCGTCATCCCTCCAAAAACACAACTGAGCACGTAGCTGTGGTCGGAAGTGGTAACAACTGGGGAGATGTGCTCCAGGGGGCTTACTCGGTGGGAAGAACAGTCGTGAGCGGTCAAGATCCCACGGTTGGTTTAGGCGGATTCATCGGAGGCGGTGGGCATGGTCCTCTTTCCAGTCACTATGGCCTGGCCGCCGATCAGGTTCTTCAAGCCACAGTTGTGACTACAGACGGTCGTATCCTGGTAGCCAATCCTACTCAGAACCAAGATCTTCTCTGGGCCATTCGCGGTGGCGGCCCTGGCCTGTACGGAGCTGTCGTTGAGTATGTTTTACGAACTTACCCTTATCCCAAGAACGTGGTCTGGTCATCAATTTCTATAGAACTTGCGGAGAATGCGACAGTTGAGGCAGCTACGGCCTCTTGGAAAGCTATGACGGTTCTGGTCAGAAGTCTTCCAGGCTTGATGGATCTTGGTATCACCGGAAACGGGTTCGCTTCGACATCAACAATCTCAACCAGAGACAACCATTCATCCGTTCAAAGGGGTGTCGGACTCAAAATCACACTATTCGGCTACAACACCACGACCTCGGCGCTGAAATCTTTGCTTGAGCCAACCAGCCGCAGAATGATGACTTACGCTGCTGTTGAAGGCCTCAAGGTTGCGATGGCGGAGCCAAAGATGGAAGCTGATTACTTAACCTTTTTCGATGTGCTAAACCCGAACCCCAGTGCATGCAGCGATATCAGTTTAGTCTCCAGCCGCCTACTCGGCCATTCCCAGCTCACCGATCTATCTTTGGCGGACGTTCAGACACATCTTTACACTATCATGAACTCTCAAGTCGAAGGAGAGCCCTCAAACCTGATTATTGGTCTCCAAGGCGGACCGGGACCCAGGGATGTATCGCAGGACATGCGCGGTGGTCTGAACCCAGCATGGCGAGAGGCCTACCTCCACCTCTTAAGCACCGGTGTCAAACTCAACGAAACCAACCCCAACATTCAGGACGAGCTCAGGGTGGCGGCCGAGTGGATTGAAGAGCACAAGGAAGCTCTGTGGCGCAAGTGGGCGCCCGGTTCTGGCTCCTACATCAACGAAGCAAACCCCTTCAACAGGAACTTCAAGGAAGACTTCTACGGGGCAAGTTATGACCGCCTTCTCGAGATCAAGCGGGAATACGACCCTACCGATAGCCTCTACGTACTTTCCGGGGTTGGTGGTGACAAGTGGCAGTACGATTTGAACAGCGGGATGCTTTGTGCTGGAAATTAAAGGCAATGAGAAGCTGCATTGCCACTCCCATATGCTTGTACATTATAGACTAGATAGACCTCATAAATTTCTGATGCATCCGAGTTAGCGATCTTCGTCAGAAACTTTGTACATTCATCGCGTTATGGAAGCTGTGTATGCGCATGCCAGGGTTTGAATTGAAGCAAAATCAGAGCAGGAAGCCTTTATTAGCCTTTGTACGAAGCTGAGAAATCGGTAATGTAGTTATTGCCTAACAGCCCCCTTACACGTGATGCTGAGATGATCTACGAAGCACCGCGTTACCTCTCCAGTCACCAGGCACGCCACGTGAGAGCTTTGTATGAAAAGGATGCATCAAGATCCAGGAATATTTGACAACGGCCAACTCATGCTTTCCTTCCAAAACGGTCCAAGATAACTTGCTAGTGCTTCGATAAGAGAAGCCCCGCAAGATTCGAAGATCCAAAACGATCGAATTTCGTACACAAAAGCAAGGTAGAAAGCCAAGACAGCCATTGCCTGGGGATTGCGTAGATGTAACGCATCAATGTAATCATCTGAAATGATGATCGGCCAGGCTAGGATGGCCTGGATTCTGTTACCGAAGCTTTGAGCGTTGTGGTTTGCAAGATCAAGTACCCATTGCATCCGCTTCAGAGCATCAATAGATGCAGTAACCGGCATCATCGAGGAGTCTGGCAGTGATTCTAACTGTTCACGCAGCTTAGTGGTCTCGGTCCCGGCTTCCAGGTGGTCAATTCTGTTACCAAGCTCCACGATGCCCAGAAGGGAGGCCAAATTTGAGACAAGAATTTGGTCCCAGTAATCGGCCGTCACGGCGCGAATTCCCCGATGAACCCGCGCGTAATCTACAAACGCGCTAACAAACTCGCCGAGGTTATTTTGATGGTCCCTGAAAGTATTGTGTAGGACGTGAACTCCGACAAGGGAGGTGAAAAGGAAGGCGGGCATGAAGTTTGACTCGCTGATATTCTCACGCGCTTCGAGGAACTGACCCAAGGCACGCGTCTGCAGTTCTGTGGCGTACCTGATGTAGAGATGCTTGCGTGCTTGCGCTGTGGTAGATTGGTATAAAGCACTCATGGCAAGCAATTGATCGAGGCAGTAGGGAGCGGTGTGCGCGCTCTCAAGAGCAGTTTCCAGCACCGGGCTCATGTCACCGCTCACTCCCATATAGCTTCCCATGTTGAGGATGACATGGTGGAGAAGAGTCATGTGGACGGCATCATAGCGAGCGGTTGGCTCCGTACCAACTGGCGCTGCCGCCGTAAGCAGATCGGTAGATGATGAAGTGAGCGCCGGGCTGTTGCTCGCGCTCGTGCTTGCAATAACGGCGCCGGCGACGTTGGGGCTCAGTCCGCCTTGGTGAGGCGTCGAGGCATACGAGCAGGTTCGGTTTCCCAAGGCACACTTGGCGCACCTAGGGCGAGCCTCGTCGCACTTGACATGCCTCTTCTTGCAGGTGACGCAGCCTGCCTTGGACTTTCTGTGAGTGCGACGACTCTCGTTTTGGCCTGGGCCCTCGGATGTCATGCGTATATGGGAGCTGCAGCTCGGATCTAGGCGGGTCAAGATACGAGGTCAAGTGCGGACAGAAGGACAGTTGAAGGGAGACATTAGTTATGAGTTAAAAAGCCGTAGGCCAAACTAGGCGAAACACGGTGCAGGTGGGGTTCACAATGGATGAAACGAGGCGCATAACTGACTAGTGGCCAATTTACCGGCGTAGTCTACGGTATTAGCGCTTCGTATATCAATACGAGATGAGTGCGAGATGAATGCGAGACGACCCACTAGTCTACCCTCTCTAGCTCTAGCAATACAATACAAGGGCTGCCACAGCCACAGCAGAAACGTTAGGTTGTTCAGGGCAGCGAGAACTATTGATACTACAGATGAACCGTCGAGATAAAATCCATTGTCTCAAAATGAGAACTAATAAAACATGAAATGCCTTGGGGCTTCTCTCTGCATCAGTTTGTCAAAGGAATCTAGCACTTCGTGCTCAAGGACCCTGTCTGTTCCAGCTTTTCCCGCGAGGTATCTGCCTTCTAATCGCCGGGCCAGCTGGACACTTCGTCGTGTCTGGCAATAGATTAAGTAAAGGATGCTCTGGTGAATACCTCGTAGCGGGTATGCACCTGTGCCGACCGCCGCTGTCCCGCAGTAAATGTTAGAAACCCCACGGTGGTCTTCAGCAGGCTGAAAAGAAGTAACACACGTACCTGCGAGCAGCATAAAAGACAAGTTTGCAATCGCTTTCGCAATGCCTTTGAATGCACCAAGGGGGCCGTCTTCTTTCGCGCCTAGATACGGCTGAACGAACAGGCCGGTGAGCCCATCATAGAAGGCAAACACAAGCACCTGAAGCCAGGTTGCGAGTCCAGCCTTCCAATCTCGAATTACTCCGAAATCTCTGACTTGGTGACCCCATATTCGGGGAAATTGCCACAGACCCTCGGTGAAGGCAAATGGGATCTCAACGATGGCGGTTGCGATGGCTTTGACCAGTGTTCCTAGGCCCAACACAAATGCTAATGCCGCCGACTTGGTCACAGCCAAACAACTCCGACTTTCCTTCGGTCTAATGTAGAAATTGGTTCGTCCAAGCTCTATAGAGTTCCACTCATCTCTTTGATCGTGCTGATCTCGCCGAGACAGTGTTCTGACTGGCTGCTTGACGGCGCGTACGGCTGCTGTGGTGACGTCTGTGGTGGCGCCCAACAAGGCGGCGAGCAAACCAGTCAGAGGGTCCCAGCGACGGGTCTCGATGATGATCTTGCGCGTTTCAATCTGCTTTAGCTTATTACCGTCAATTTTGAGGTGAGTCATGAGAATGTCGGCAGCGAGTTTCGACAGTTTTATGGTATTCCGTCTCCTCGAATATTCCCATACAGCCGGGCGTCCTTTGATGATATCACATTCGACAACGTAGGGACGAAGGTGTTTGTGAAAGGATGTGACCGCCTGTTTCACACCCTGTTCAGACTGCATCTTGCTCGCGATGGACGCAGCCGCTTCTGCGGCTTGTGGTGTCGAGCAAAATTCTATCGCTTCGACAAGTCTCTCAACAGTTATAGCCTTTTGCGGGATAGGTTCTGGACCAGCGCCAGCGCTTGCTACCATCTTCCCCCAGAAGGGTTGACTGTTGGAATGGTTAGTCTGGTACACTCATAGCTTCAGCCAGGTGTCGTAGGAAAATCAAGGAAACATACTCTCCAAAAAAGGGGACAATGGTGGTTGGTTTCCCATAGAGCAGACCACATGCTGTAGTACCAGCCCCGCCATGGTGCATCACAGCACTCACTCGTTGAAAAAGCCATTCATGCGGGCAATCCCCAAGGAACATTACATTGTCGCTCTGCGGTCCGTCCAGTTTGCTCCAGCCCCGAGAGATCAATGCTCTAGTTCCGGTAATGCGGATTGCCTCCAATAGCATATGTGACAACGCATTCGGGTCATCGATCACGATGCTACCAAACCCGATGTATATAGGAGTAGGGCCGCGGCGCAGAAACTCGGCGAGAGCTGGAGGCGGCGTATAATCGGGAGGGTCGCGGAAGAAGAAACCGCAAACATCTATTGCCGGTTTAGCTAATGGTTAAGAGTATGGTCACTTGTACTGACCTATATTTTCGCTCCAGTCTTGAGGTTTGGGCACCAGCGCTGGAGACCAGCAGTATGTGAACGGAATATTAAGCTTCTCCGCCAGCCTTGGCCCCTGAGAGAAAGCTATATCCTCCAGATCCAGAGTCGCTCGCCATTTGTTGATGATATCTCCGAGCCTAGCAAAGGATAGATTAGTTGAGGCTCCCAGCTATAAATAGACCGAGAACTCTAGATGAACGGTTATTAGCTTGGAGATACGCACCCTTGCCAGGTCAATACCTCAACTACTCCATAGGACAGGTTGTTAACTTTCATCTGTTCCGCAACATCTACTCGTCCAAACTTGACATTGACCAGCGGATGCGGGAAAGCAGCTGTGCTCGTCCAAGGCATGGTAAACATCATATGTAAGGGAATTCCTAGAGCCTGGGCACAGTGAATATGGGCGAAACTGGGGGGGTTTGCAATAATGGCATCTGCCACGAAAGGGACAAAGGTGATGGGATCCGGATTGACACAAGAAAGCCAGCAGCCCCGCAGCATCTCTCCCACCATTATCCTCTTTTTCCCTATATCGCCGGCTTTGAGACTTTGTATGCTAGGGATTAGGCCAGGGTTGCGAACCATATACGCCATCAACTCGGTGGGATCGCCACCAATAGGATAGAACTCCAACCCAGAGTCATGCACAAAAGACTCAAATGTATTGTGAGTGGCTAGCCTCACCCTGTGGCCATGTCGTTTTAACTCAGTCCCCAACGCGACAAAGGGTTGGACGTCGCCGCGGCTGCCAACGACCTGGATGACAATATTGAGCTTGGTTGTGAATGGTTCCGAATCGGGAGGCGGAAGCTGCGGAGCCAGAGCCTTGGACCACCTGCGACTGAGTTGTGGAACTCGACCGAGTTTTGATCTCGAAGTACGGCTAAGGGCATCGATCGTTTGGGAGTCGAGCTGCAGCTCAAGCCGACCATCATCTTGCAGCACAATTAGTTAGCTTGCTGTAATGTTTGTGATGTAGCTCTTTGGCGATCCCTGGGGTAAGTACCTTGAACTTTCGATTGTTGTCGCAAAGTTGCCTGCGCAAAGTTGCTTTCGTACTGGAAGTAATCGGTATGTTGTGACATGGCGGCTAGGCCAGATGTCATTGTGCCTTCGGATGCCGAAATCAGGGATCACAATTCGACAACGCTGACGTCTCGCGCGGAAATTCAGCTGTGTAGGTCCCGCGAGCCTTTATATGAACAAGCTTTAAAGTTTGCTTTCTTACTCATGACATAATAATGGAGCGAACAGCGATCACCAATTATCACTAAGCGATGTAAACTGTGACGTCTCACTTATCGCAACCCTCAGGCCAAGGGACATGATCAAAGCCCAAAATCCAGGGCTCAGTGTTTCGCAAAGGGTCAATGCGGCGCTCAGCTCAGTGCCGCGTATAAGGTGAGACGCTTATTACACACGGCGGCTCAAAAATCCGAAGGAACCCGAGGGTATGGCACGTATACGAGTTTCGGGATTTAGAGGTAGTAGATTGGTTAATTGACGGCTAAGGGCCAGGCTAGATTTTCATGTCCCGTCTTATCTCCACTAAACAATTTCAACGACACCCCTAATGACTCAGCCTAACTAAACGCCCAGTTCTTCATCACTGAGATTGCATCTTATTCTAGCTAATGATGGGGATAATTATCTCTCATGTGGCTTAGGGCATCGCCGCATATGACCTTTGACCAACCATGGGCACATTGTCGAAGTTGCCTGGGTCTTGGCCAAGAGAATCCGATAGCGTCTGGTATCCAAAGATTGCACTCGGGTGACGCACCGTAAAGATGACTGCGACGATAATCATAAGCAGGGCATCGAGCGTATAAACATATATCTCCTTGGAAATCAATGAACCTGTATGGCCTTGAGCATATTCTATCATCCGAAAAACAGACCGCACCATGATAAGCGCGCTGGTAAGGTAGAGTACGACCATGAACACCTGCCATGGGGCACTAGTGCTCTGGGACCTGCTGGTCGGGCGGCGTCGTATGCGCATGTGAAAGATTGCCGTGACCACCATAAATCCGCCGAAAAATATGACCTGAATCGCGAGACCGACAATAATGATGGTGTTGCCGAGGTCTTGGCTTCCTTTGTCGCTGGCACTAGCGAGGAGCCCGCCACCTGATAATGTTAGTTAGGATAGTTTCAAAGGGCCCAGGGCTTTAGAACGCTATCGCACCTCCACCTTGTCCAAAGAACGAGAAAATGTCTCCCATCAAGAAGATCTTAGTAAGCAGTTTCACTCTGATCGGTGAGTGATGCTGTCCCTCAAGAAAACATATGAGCCGGCCCAATGCCATGTAAATTGAAGCTGCATAGAATGCAGGTCCGAGAAGGATAAACACGCTCTGCAAGATATAAGGCATGAGATCCCAGTTGGGGGTTTGTGTTGCCGAATATGCTCGGGCACCGTACCCAACTGTTTCCACTGTTCCACGTTGTTATTAGTTTTCTATCAATTTGCGGGTCAATAGGTAATGATAGTCGTACAGAGGCATCCTATACAGAAGGGAATAAACGACCATGTTTTCGTTTTGATAAGAAGTTGGAAGTGGCGAGCGGAAACAAGGCCGAAAAGAATGGTAAATAATATGGCTGCTGGAAGGGAGGGCTTATAAAGATACAGCTTGAATGCATCGGCGTCGGTGTCGGATGCCGAATCGGATGCCATGACAGATATCGATGAAGAAGGGAGCTGCCGAGTGGGATTATGCTGAGTAGATGGAAGATACTGACTACTGGTGAAATGGGATAAGTGAAGATGGTGAGAGATGGATGAAATATTATATCTTACAAATTATTGCAAATATCAGCTTTGAGTCGATCTCGAACGCGAGTACTATATAGACGGACAGTTTTACTTCGAGCAAGTCTCCGCAGACTTAGGGGAACCCAGGATGTGGATACTCAAGGGCCAGATATGAGCCCTTACAACCAAACTAGTCCAGAGTTTCAGATTTCTGGATGGATACGCGGCAGTGCATAAACGCGTACAGACTCGGGTCAGATTTTTGTTCAGCAAGTGAAATCCGCAAGCGTGTCTATTGTCCGAATTAAATTGCTACTGAGGAGGTATGTATCAAAATCTCGAGTCACTTCGAAGGTATTAACATATAAAAAATAGATATGTGCGAGACTGTACATAAAGTGACTTAAATTAACCTGTAACCTCTAATGCATAATACCTTAGCAGGCCATTAGACAAGTTATCGGACCATTCTAAATCAGTTTCCAAGCACTGTTCTAAGCGATTTCGGCAAGTATCAACTGATACCACAATCGTGCACCCATTGTACGATCTCTTTGCCCATGTGAAGAACCAACCTCTCATAGTGCGATCCGGTCTCAACGAAAATGCTACAATGCGCGCCAACTTCATCTGTGCCCTCCATGGAAATACGCACCCACGTGGGATCAGCCTCCGGCGGAAGAATGCAGAATGTGCGCCCCTCATCCGGTTTTACCACACCTTGCCTGTCCACTCCACCTTCGACAGTCAGTCGTTCTTTTGCAGATTTCCAGTGGCTTTCTGGAGAATCTTGAAATAGTGATAACAGATGTTGAAGGAACCCCACTAGGTATGAAAAGAGCGCGCGGAAGTAATGCAAAGGGTTGATAGACTGACGTAGTCTCAAGCGATGGCCGACAAGTTTGAATGCCTCGTTATTCTTCCGTTCCTGCAGGGACAGAATATCAGTGGTAGATTGCTTGTAGGGCTGTAGGCTCTCTACCTCAGTGCCCCAATTATCGGAATCTGGGTTGCTGCAAAGGTCACCTAACCTGTGATCTTTTCCTGCTTGCTCAAAGAAGCGCTGCTTGTCTGTATCCCTACCCCATGAAGGAATATTCGACCGCTGACAATACTGCCGTGGTGTGCAGGCAGTGAAGAAATTGAGAAATCGGATTCCTTGCCGCCTTCCGAGATCTCCTGATTGTGTAATATGCTTTTGGTATGCTGCAGGAAACTCATTAGAACCCTCTAGAGCTCGTAGTTCGTGGTACCTAACCCTCAATGTCCAGGGACGCCTCAGACAACGTCCATATGCCCAGTGGGAAGCAAAGTAGGCAATGATTTCACGTAGCCAGCCCTGGATGCCGCCGTTCCAAACAGACTGCATAAGTTCGGGCTCGGATGATAGTCTGCTCGGCCGCACTTGGTTGTCGTTGAAGAAGGAGGGATTGAAGCCCGCATCCACGAAATATGCGGATGAATTCGAGGGTAGAAGTCGAGATGAGGAGGAGTACTGCGACTCAAGCATGTCCGACTCACAAAATTGAGCCTTTGGTTCGATTTGTGTATTATTAGGGCGGAACAGAGATATGATGCCAGGCATGATAATGCCGGGGTTAAGACCTAAGAACGGACAGTCCAATGACATTGTGCCGATTATAGAATGGCGTTGCTGGTTAGCCAAACAGAGGGATTCTTTCTACGATCAAAATTAGTAAAGATTTGCACTTTAATGTAGTGAAGGAACTTACTAGCTGAGCAGCCTGAGCAGCCAAAAGGCCACCAAGGGAGTGTCCTACCAGAATGACATCTGTTTGAGAGTTCTCATGTGGCTGAAGCCAACGGCTGAAGTTTTCTACCGCGATATCCATGGAATTACGCGTTTCGTACTGTGGGTATATCTTGGAATAGACGACGTAGGTATCACCGACGGCTTGTTTGAGAAAGCTGTGGACATGAGAAGGGAACTGACCAAAAGACTCTTCACTCCCGCAAAACCCATGGATGTATATGACAAGTAACCTCCTCTTATCAGTCGCGAGGTCAGAAACATGGAAAGATTGAGGTAACGGTGTAGGTGAGGGTTCACCAGGCTCAGCGTAAGAAGCCATCTGGTTCAAGTTGAGTGCATCACTTAGCACAAGTCCAAGTCTCTAAGTTACCTAACTTATTGATGGTGGGTTCGTCGCGGAAGAAATAGCTAAACAACTTCACGCAAACATGAGGCTGATTCATTTTGTTAAAGGCATAGATCAGGAGTCGCGTCTGGCATAGTCCCTTGTACGCAGTGGGTTACGTTTGAACATGCGGCTTACCCCGAACCTAATTTAGAAACGCGATCTCCAGGGGCTTGCCCGTTTCAGAGGCTAGATAGATTAGCGCCAGCCTCGTATTTGCTCGCTATTTGACGTCGTCACAGATTCCAACGCGAGCTGGACCATGCTCGGTCGGGATTTTATGAAGTTGAGGGATGTAAGATACGCTCTCGGCCAAATCAAATATCCACAACACATTCAACATAACATAACTCGCGTTTCCAAACTAACTTGGTGCTTCCAGTACAGCGGAGACTCGATTCCAGCGCTCCTTCGCCCTGTAGTCTCCACGAAGCACCTGTTTTATAATCTTAACACATTTCCCCAATGTCTCGATACTGAGGCGCACCTTGACGTTGGGGCCATGTCGTAGCAAGCCCGGAAATGTGATTGCGAACCCATACGTGGCCAATCTGACTTCGCATTAATAATACGAACTTGTGCCAAGTCAACCCTGGTTCATGCGTTCAAGATACCTTCGACAGCTGAGGGACGACCTTAGTATGGAGACCACCTATAACCACAAGACCTATCATTCCCAACTGCAGGCTCATCGTCTTTCCTTCATCACTTCACTTCAGGTTGAAGCACTGTACCTGTAAGCAACAATGTTATTCCCCAGTGTCGCCGTCTCAGCCTGTACAGACGCCCTGATTGAGGCTCCTTTCCTTCCAGGTGCCGAGATCCTCTCTCTGGACGCATCGCCAGTCCTTAATTACACGCAGACTGCCTCGTCCGCATTCAACTTTAACCATCCCACAATTCAGGCAACTGGCGTCGACTTCTACAATGTCACCATCACCTATACGCACCCGGGTCAGGGAGACGAGGTGGGCGTCGAGACCTAGCTTCCACTGAGTACCTGAAATGGCCGCATCCAGTCCGTCGGTGGAGGGAGTTACGTCACTGGCCGCTTCTTCATCTCCTATCAGACGATGACTGGCGCCATTGCCGAGGGCTATGTCACGTCCAGCAAATCTTGAAGTCCTGGTTTGGCCTTTGCAATCTCAGTACTTTGCATCCACGTCCCATCGCATATACCTTGCGAGATATCTCATGAATTTCTTGTAGGGAATTTTTGAATTTAATAAATAATGACAGGATTTTAAAACAGTGAAAACTATCGTATCTACATTGACTCCTTCCACATTCAAATCATAGTGTGAGATGACATCGTAAGATCACGACTTTTAAATAGCATCGTCTTTGTCATCCCATTGTTCCCTGTCTTAGTTTGCCCTTTCCTACTACAGGAGTTCAATCGGAGAGAAATGGAAAAGGAACTGAGTTTCAGTTACTGTATGACACTAGGTTGTAGATGGATGATCTAGAGTTTGTAAACACTATCAATATCTCGGCAAGACAAACCTAGGAGATGAGCTACAAAGCGGGGGAAATAAGATCAGGCACGCCAGAATGGAGGATTAGCCGCCAGGAAAACTGTCTTGATTCCTTCCGACTTTCCCGGTTACTATGTGGCGGCATTGCGGTCAGAGGGGAGAGCGCGTTTCCTGATCCGCTAACTGCTTCGGTGAAAGGCAATGGCTCTTGGGTACGAGTACGATTGCTTTCCGCGCTCGCTCGAAACCTGGCTCGCTGACCACGGACAGTCCCAATTTACCCGCAAAGGGGGGGGGGGGCACTAAATCACTCGGATATTATCCCTTCTACCAATGCCTGGAAAGATGGCTGTGCAGACTAGACAGATGCTGATGATCAGTTCGTCAACAGGGTATATTTGACATCCTCCTCGCGACCACTTCCTATTATCCCTTCAGTGGCTCGTAACAGCCCTCTTCTCTATTGTCCACGATACCGTACCATGACTCTCTTAGTCTCCCTTCTCGTGTCGTCGCTCACCTTGGTGGGTGGGCGGACCATTTCCTATGCCCTTTCGACCCAACTCTGCCTGGATGGAACTCTGACCCAAGCTGTGTCTTCTTTTCAGAGTGGGACTCTACTTTCTTCTGTTCCACGTCATCCTTCATGGCCTATCCAGGGCTTCCAGTCTATGCCTCTAAGGACCTCATCAATTGGAGACATATCAGCAATGCCTTGATTAGACAGTCGCAAATCCCCGAGATGGACAGTCGTAGCATAGGACAACAAGATGGCCCCCATGCTCCAACTCTGAGATATCGCAACAAGCGCCTCTATCTGACAACCACTTACCTTCGTCTGGGCATCGGCCAGTACCCTGAGGTCAAGGTTGTAGTATATACTACCTCAAATCCATATGACTCTACATCTTGGAGCGGTCCGGTCATCATGCAGACCTCCGGGCTTGATCCCGACATATTCTGGGATGATGAAGGCCAAGCATATATGTCATATGCCACTGTTGGTCAAGCAATCAATATTTGTAATGGTACTGGCGGCCGAAATGCAGAGGGGCCTCACATCTACAAAAAGAACGGCTTCTACTATCTGATGATTTCGGAGGGCGGAACAGAACTCAACCACACTGTGACCGTATCTCGCTCAACAGAGGTTACTGGCCCGTACAACAGCTATTCTGAGAATCCAGTCCTAACAAACAAGGATACCAATAAGTATTTCCAGACGGTTGGGCATGCCGACTTGTTCAAAGATGACTCCGATAACTGGTGGGGAATGGCGTTGGCAACACGATCGGGACCTAAGTTCGAAATCTATCCGATGGGTAGGGAAACAGTGCTCTTTCCGGTCAATTGAAGAAAGGGAAAGTGGCCGGAGATGCAGCCTGTCCGAGGTCGTATGAAGGGCCCCCTTCCGCCCAAGTCCAAGAAGTTGCCGGGCTCTGGACCATTCTACAATGACGCAGAGCATATCGACTTTTCTAACGGAATCCCGCCTAACTTCGTCACCTGGCGGCCTCAGTGGCGTACTCCATCCCAGTTCCAGACTTCTCCGTAGGGGCATAAACGAACCCTTCGTATCACGCCGTCTCGCGCCAATCTTACAGGAGATAGCACCTTTGACCCGGATAATGACAGACTTGCCTTTGTTGCTCGGAAACAGACAAGCACGCTCTTTCGGTTTAGCGTCGACTTGCTCTTCTCACCAGATGTTTAAGGGGAAGAAGCTGGTGTCACGGTTTTCCTGACTCAGCTACAGCATATGAGTTTAGGCGTTGTCAATCTTGTTTCTTCCCGTGGCAAGCTCACCCCACACCTCCGCTTCCGGATCGAAGCATCTGGGAAACCAGGTATGGATGCGCCGAAGGCAAAGGTGGTTCCCATCCCGTCAGACTGGCAGGGCAGCCTCGTCCGCCTCACCGTCTCAACCCCTGATGATAAGTCATTTGTTTTCTCGGCCTCATGCGTTAAGGACGCATCTAAGACAATGGAGCTCGGTCGAGCCAGTGGAAAGATCGTCAGTGGTGGAAGCGGTCCTTTCGCAGGTAAGATCCCTACTACCTATTGCATAGAATCTCAGATTAAGCTAACTCCTGTAGGCGCTTTACTTGGAGTGTATGCCACTAGCAATGGTGGCAAAGGGAGCACGCCTGCCTACTTTAGTCGATGGACATATTTGCCTACAGCATAGAAAGTCGCTGAAGGTGACGAGATCTACGTGGGCAATAATTAGGATAAGAGGAAGGTATACTAAGCCGGTTTTCGACCACTAATTGGGCCGTTGCTTGGATTCGTGGGGATTCAAGTGAATGAAATCGATACGTTGAGTTAGATATTGTCGTGTGTCCTTCTTTTAGGTTCTGTCTTATAGATTGAGAACCTTGTGACGTTAGCTTATACGCAACATTGACCTGTCACATACCCGACCCTCATCGAGACTCCAAGGACCTGTAGTGCCTCATCTTACTTTAAGAATGACGAAACGTAGACAGGAGTTCACAAGGAACTCATGTAAAATGGAGCTAAAGATAAAACAACATGATGCGGCTCTAACCCGAGAGTAGCTGGAAGATTAAGGGTTTCACTGACAGATTGCCGCGCTTGTCTAAATAGTGAGCTAGATGTGTTATTTGCAGTTGATACCTGTGGCTGAGAGCTTATAATCACCACACAGAACTTAGTTAGCGCTTGTTTGTCTCTGTGCATCAGGTGGAGGAAGAGCATTGAAAAGGTCTGAAAAGAGTCAATTTGCAAGTCATACAGAATCTGATCAGCCACCCAAACTTAACCAGTCACTACTGCAGTAAGCACTTTCTTTGGTTTTCCACTCTGTTACCACCTCGTTGTAAGTTGTCTCCTGATACAATTCCACCCTAAGACAGATGTCTCAGTCTTGGCTCGGAGATCACGAGAACTGAATCCACCAGAAAAGGTAAAGGTACCCTCGGGGATGACCCATTGGCGAGTAGCCTCATCCCAGAAACTAAGGTCCCTTCTCTGGAGAGGGAGAACAACCCTCTTGGCCTCTCCAGCCTTGAGATGCACCTTTTCAAAACCCCTAAGAACTCGCACTTTGGTACCAGGTGGGGTTGCGTCTTGGGGGAACGACACATATAACTGAGGCACTGCATGTCCGTCCCTGTCACCAGTGTTGCGCACCTGAACGGATACCGCAGCTGCTTTCTCCCAAAGATCAATTCATCCTCCAGGTACCTTGCCTTTGGACTCATCTACATGAGTTCCAATACCGACAGCTACAACAACAGTGAGTTCTGTCGACATTTCAAAGGTGGTGTACGACAGGCCAAACCCGAACTCATACTGAGGCTCAATGTCCATGGCGTCAAAGTGTCGGTAATCTATAAATTGACCTTCTGTGTAATCAGCTGACCACTCATCAGGGTTGGTGGATGGCTCAGTTAGGTTGAAGACTGGTCCGCCATAGTCGCTCGTATTCTTGGGGATAGTGTATGGTAAACGGCCGGCGGGTTCCGCCTCACCCCAGAGAACATCCACGATAGAGTTACCGATTTCTTCTCCAGGGTACTGGGTTGACAGAATAGCCGTCACATTCTCGTTGTCAGCCCAGGGCATCAAGACTACACCTGGACCGTTGACAACAACAACAGTATTAGAGCACAAGGACGTAACGCTCTCGACGACCTTGGTGGCATTCCAATCAAGGTCCAGCGACTCTCTATCCCGGCCCTCTGCCGCAAATGCCTTTAGGAAGACCAGACAGACATCAGTGATCGGGTAGATGGACCTGAAATTGCCCTCAATGATGTCCTGATGTTCCAGAAGGACCTGGACCCGGCCACTCTGTTTTCGCACACGTTCTCGAATTGCGTCCAGCGGGGTGATAAGTTCGGTGTGGCGGACTATGCCAGAACCGCCACCCTGGTCGAGAGTGCCCATTTCATAGGATATAGACGCGTTCTCATAATCAAAATAGACGGATCCGATGGTTGGGTATGGTGCTCCATTTCCGAAGACACCGATGTCATTTTCGTTCTTCAGAGGCAGTGTTCCATTAGTATTCTTGAGCAGCACAGTGGCAGCGGCACCCAATTCCCGGATAACCTTGGCGTGATCGCCTCTAACATCGCGTGCAGGTACGGGCTTGATTGAGTACTGAGGGTTGTTGTAACCAAATTGATTGACACTGAGGGCAGTGGCGGAAGCAGGATCCAGGGCAGGGAAATCCTCATTCTGATGTAGAAAGAAGTATGGCGTCAGGACTCTCTCAGCCATATCATTGAGGCGACTTGCTGTCACATTGTCATCGTTGACCGCGTCGAGAAGGTGATCGCCAAAATACGAGGCACCATAGTCGGCGCTGACAGGTCCTGGCATCTCGAGGTCGAGCCCTGCGTTGGCGAAGGAGGCTGTGCCATGTGTCGCAAACCAGTCAGAAACGACGTATCCCGGAAATGCGAGGTCGTCCTTCAGTACCGAGAGCAAGTGATGGTTCGCACAGGAATAAGTTTGATTCACTCGGTTGTAGGAGCACATGACGCTGGCAGTACCGGCTTTAACAGCGTCAGCAAAAGGCCAAAGGTACATCTCATGTAATGTACGTTCGTCAATGTTGGAGCTCAGAGCATTGACGACGGTTCCATCCTCCTCAGTGGTCTTGGTGCGCTGTGTTTCCTGTTCGTTGCCAATGAAATGCTTCGAGCACGCTTGTACACCAACAGATTGTATACCAGAGACGGAAGCATGCATGGCGACGCCAGAGAGATAAGGGTCGGGGCCGAAACCCTCCCAGTTTCGCCCGCCAAGAGCACTACGGCCCATAGGACCACAGGATGGTCTGCCATTGAATTAGCACATTTATAACCTCGACCAGGTGAAAGTTGCAATGACTTACCCAAGAAATACGTGAGCACCTTTGGCCCTAAACTCTTCTCCAATGGCAACGGAACGTTCATAGATAAGGCGTTTATCCCAACTAGCAGCTGCAGTAAGGCCAGAGGAGAAGACGCTCACACCATCTGACCTGGCATATCCAGAAGGGCCATCGGAAAAGCATATTCCCTGGAATCCGAGCCTTTCGACTTTCCCAATTGTGCCAACACAAGCCGGTCCGTCTGTGCGATAGCCGCCGGTAGCGATGCCAATTTTCTCGGTCGTATTGAGCTGTAGTACAAAGGCAAAGGCTTGATCAGAAGCATCTTCCCAAGCTATCCCTAATGGTAAGTTACTTTGTACAAGTGAGAACCGAAACGGACAAAATCTCCATGCGCAGATACTTACAGGATGCTGGCCTCTGACTGAGCAGTCTAGCGGAAGACGAGAGCAATGCCTATAAGGCTAATCAACGCAGTTGGGACATACATTGTGCAACAGAGGATCTTAGTATGGGTTTTCTAAGTAGAAGAACCTCGAGAAGACGTCTGTTGCTTCCTCCTGTTGCTCTTGATATCTTCTGTTAGCCATCAATTCGTGTTAGTTATACCTTTTATACACCTAAGTCCATGTAGCTTCCTGCCCAAATACGCTTAAGGCGCGGGGTAAACAACCATCTGGATAAAGTACTATCCGAATTCCCTGGAATGTGATGATTTTACTTAACTTAATGTCACGGTAGGGGAGAGGGGGAGTATTTACATCCTCTCATGGTAAGGTCCCTTGGTAATTAAGTACAGTGTAGACTATACTTTTAATACTAATTTTACTTAATTCTTTCCTTATTTTAATAATGCTATAATGATACCTCAGAATAAGAAGTTGTATTATTTTAATAGTTAAAATGCTCCGAAGTATGGAGGATCTGAATACTTCCTACTCTTTACTGGACTGATGGAATTAACAGCTGGGGATAGCGTCGGTGCAACCTCGGTCATGTACAAGAACTACCCGCTTCTGGAGGCAGCTTTTTTAGTCCTTGGGGTAAATCAGAGTATTCAGAGAGTTTGGCCACAATATTATGACCTGAGCTTTACCCCGTGTTTCTATTTTAACGCTCTACTTGGCTTCGCTTAGATCTGGATCCACAGTTCGGGTTATTGGCATCTAAACGAGGTGTTTTAGCCATCGTAAGCGAGAGCCAGGGTTTTACGAATTGAGTCTCGTTTAGACAAATGAACATAATCCGAGGCCTTATACATTTGTCCTTGGTTGAAAAGCCCCCTCACTCATACTGTGTGGGTACGAGGCAGAACGACAGACAGTTACCGTAGTTGAGCATCTGAGCATCTAGACGGCGCCGGCGGCGTATATCCATCTAAAACAGGAACGCGAACCTTGTCGCGTGTCTATTGCAAACGGGTTTTTCGACCTTGTGAAAGTCTGCTTCAGAGGATATATTTCTTCAGGATACATCAACGACTTAGCTTGATTTCGAAGTGATGATTAATCCGGGGCTGCAATGTCAGAGGACGGGGGTCTGACTTCAAAATAACCAGAGGGGTAACATGTTCAAGATCTGATAGTATAATCCGCCTTGGCAAACTTGGATCTCAACGATAATAAATAACTTTGCTTTTCGATTATGTACAAGGAACTTTACTCTTGGTTGCAATTGGCGAGAGAGAAAGTACTTTGCCAACCTGCGCTACCTGATGTAATCGCAGAGACACCTAGACTACCCTACAGACACAGGGCTTACTGTAGATAATGGCAGGCAGGCGGTATCTATCTCAAGTTTTCAATATCCCCAGGCTCCTCTTGATGGCTTTTCATTAGAAGAAACAAGCTCATTTTTGGCTCTTGTTTGCCCAATGACGTCCGGTCGAGCCCTGGATGATCAAAGCCAAGTTTGAAGAGCACATGCTTGCCCCACCGATCTCCAAGACATTTATTTTCATTGGTGAACAATCAATGGCAGCCGAGGCGGGTCTCACGATGACAAGTACATACTGCCAGCCTTGAATTAGGCCGTCAAACAGGTATCTTTCGTCTTGCTGCGCAAAACCTAAGCGTAATACAGGAGCTCAGCACGAGTTTCTGCGCCACGAGAACGATCGACAAGCTTAATTGCCTCATCCACTGCACTGTAATAACGCTCCTGCATGGAAACCCAGGTTTTGGTGGCACTAGCTACGTAGTCGATACATCACTGTGGCGTAAGCTCTCCACTATGACCACCAAAAAGGCGAGAATGACAGGGCATCTGAGTTTTTAAGCGACAGAATTAGAGTACGGTCAAGGATCAAAACAATCGATAGATCTGGCAGGTCCAGGCACATGAAAGAAAGTAAATTGGTTGCATGTTAAAATGCATCGTCATAGATCTTGGATCGTAGTGAATTGTGCAAAAAATGACGAACGATGACAGCATTAGCCACATACGCTGCCAAGGACTGTGGCATGAGCTCATTGATCTGCCAGAGCTATTAAGAGAGAGCTCTACAGCTGATTTGAACGACAATCATTCTAGCATTTGACTTCAAATCTATTCAAACACCATTCAAGTCACTTTAAATCTCCACAGATTCACCATGGCATCTGAACTTCCTCCCAACGCCCTTGGCAAATTGGCCTCATCCGTCAAGAACATCGTAACTGGTGTTCCCCTGGAAGAACAAAACGAAACCAATGTGCCAGCCACCAAGCAAGTCGATAAGAGCCTTGAAAAGACAGTTGACGAGACCGTCGAGACTACTGATGACGCCACCATTCACAAGGAGAAGCAAGCTCCAGTTGTGCACGAAGACGTCAAGTCTCACGAGCATGAGAAGGTCGACACAGAAGTCGACCACGAGGTCCACCAAGACCATTACCATACCACTATTCAGCCTGTCAAGGACAAGAATGTTTTACCCACCAAGCATGTCTACAAGGAGAATGAAGTCGAAGAGGAGATAGATCATCGGGATAACAAGGCTAAGATGAAGGCCAAGGAGGAAGCCGCCAGGATCAAGAACGAGAAAAACGTTGAGGGCACTACTCATTCAAGAGAGTATGCTCCTACGAACGAACATGAGCACATTCACCAGTAAGTACTTCCTATCACCTTGCCCGTGTACTCGATTCTCACATACCGCTCCAGCCACCTCCATGAGAATATCCAGCCCGTGATCGAGAGAGAAACAGTTCAACAAAAGGTCATCCATACCACAAATCGCGTCCATGAGAAGGAGCAGCTCAACGACGAGCACCACGAGGCCACTGTCGCTCCCGCCATTTCAATGGACGAGTTCAAGAATGGTGGCGCCAAGGCTGGAACTACTACCACCAAGGACATCGAGATTCCAGTGTCCGGTGTCAAGGCCACAGCAAAGAAGAGGGAAGCTCTCACTGCAGACGTGGATGTTGAAGAAGCTCCCAAAGTTGGTAAGTCAATGCCACTCCCAAGCCAAGAGCCTGGGAAATAACAAATTACTTAGAATCAATCTAGTGAAAAGGAAGAGAGGATCTTCTTGTACCGTACTTGACTGTAAATGCTCATGTCATCGATGAATGAGGTATTGCTCAGAGGATTTTGTATTAATAGGACGGAGTTAGGATAGTTATGGATAGTACTTTGGTAGCGAATGGGCAATGCCTGACTGGAGCAAAGAATCCTCTGTCTGCGATGTGATATGTTTCTTTGGAATCCAACAGATGCACGAGACGCTTGGTGTAAGTATATCTGCATAGATTTTAACAAGTTCGTATTTAGATTGCTTGCGCATGTCTCATGAGTGCATCCAAGAAGCCAGGTTACTAATCAAGCCCTGCCCACCGTGCAGCCCCCTGGGATCACATAAGCCTTACATAGTTCCATGAATGAAGACTTGGCTTTGTAACCCAGCAGGGTGTCATGAATTCTTTCTACATAGATAACTGGGAGTATCTGTTTCTCGCCATGATTATCTAACACCCAGCACACTCATCTCGGTTGTCTTGAGCTTCCTATCCGAGGACAACTCTGCACTGAACACCACTTCCGTTAGCAATACAGCCCTTGTATGTGCCAGTCTCGCAGCCCTGTATCTCCCTCCAGAATCCACCAATGCATTGGACCTCTTCGTTGTTGAAACCTATGGCCTAGGCTGAAATGGAGAAAAATTGGTGATTATTACACCAGTTCGATCACATCAACAGGAGGCACGACGTCCATTTCCACTGCCACATGGGCTGTTTGTGCGACGAGTGTACGGTACTCCACCCTTGCCGCAGTCGTCACGGCGAGCCAACTTGTTTTCAGCGGGTGCGCTTGCTGCAGCCCAGAACGCAACGAGGATGATAGAGAGCTTCATATTAAACAGAGAGTTTGAGTAATGTATAGGAAGCTGTATGGATAAAAAGGTAATGATGAGGGTGGATGCGACTTTTGAGGGGGATTGATCAAGTTTAAATAATTTTTCTTTTCTTGAATTAGCCATTGCTAAGAAGAAACATCAATAAAGCAAAGGAATTCCAGTAGGGACTGAGTAAGAACGACCCTGTAACTTGACAGTTGAAGGAAGATCATTGTTGTGATCTGCAAGAATGCCATGGAATTAGATAATATTTCGGAGTAGTGAGAACCGGCGTCAGGTAGGATAGTATGATCTATACCGGACTCTAAGACTACTAACTCTACTCAATGGCCCGGCTGAATACACCGATGAGTTGCCTAATTATAGAACATGCGGGGTACACTGGAGTTATGGTTCTGCATAACTCTAGTCATCAACGGTTGAGGTTCTATCTTTAGAGTTATTAGCCGTTACGGACGCAGCTGGACTGAAACTTATCTCGCTCTTTGGCTCTCTGCTCCATAACTCTTGAGTTATTGACGGACAAGGCGAGACCATTACCATAATTCTGAACAGTACCCATGTGTGCCTCTTATCAGCGCCTAGGAGCCCCAAAGCTCTGTACCTCGCCTTTATTGACCCTATGAATTGCTTCTGTCCATACGATTACTGCGCTATCGGGTGACTGTCACCCCACGAGCTAATAGTATCATTTCCTTTTACATATAATGAGACTGTAACATGAAACTATTAGCTTGTATCGGAGCTTTTGGAATGATGTTCCCCGTCTTCATAAGTCATGGGAGTCCACCTGGCGGCGTACATCAGCTCTCTGGCAAACAGGGGCAGATCCTTTCGGATAATTAAACATCGAATCTCTGGTGCAGGAAGATCTTCATAATTATGCAGCCATCAAACCACAGATGAAATCTCGTATACAGGCGATGCAGTCCTATCGGTGTAAAACGTTGCCCAGCGGATCAACCGTGATTTCAAAATCTTACCTCAGACGAATGCGGGACCGGACTCACGATCGCTTTGTTAGTCTCCGCTCGAAATTCGAAGTCTAGTCCATTTTGCGCTCTTGAAAGATTGTTATAAATGAATTCTCAGTCCATGCTCAACACAGATGAGTAACGCTTGAATCTATTTCACACGAACTTCAGTCATTAAATTTAGTCAAAATGGTCAAGCTTGCTCTTACTAGCCTCGGTATCTTTATTAACGATGATATTGCTGGCATAGTTGTCAATAGAAATGCTGATACTGAAGCCACTTTTCCGTTTTCTTTGGAGTCATGGGCCTCTGCCATCGTCGTTGATCCGGAGGGTGCTCACTTGAGCCCCGATGAAGCTTTTGCCTTGACAGTTAACCAAGCTGCAAATGGTAAAGGTCATAACATCATGTATGAAACAACATAAGCTAAATTTTGTTGATGAGATCCGGGGAATTTGGAGAAGCGTGCTGTTCGTTGCAACACTATTGCTGGGACCAGTGCTTCCGTAAGTTGACTGTCATCTCATGGATCACAAGAAGGACCTTTGCAAGATGGAAACTGAATTTCTGATGTAATGGGTCGCTGACGCTGTCTGGTGCATTGACTTTCTCGCACGTAGGTCAGGACAACGTTGCGGCGTCCCCACTGGTGGTTGAAGCTCTTTCTGTCGCCACGGTTTAGCTACTATCCATGGTGTCAACAGCTTTCCTGTCTGGAAGGGAGGTACATCCTCTCCTTGGTATGTCAACTCTTCTGCAAAATACAAGTCCTTGCTAATTTCTGTCAGCGGTAATGTTGCTCGTTCTGCCGGGCGCATCATGGATAAATGCACTCGAGGTGGCACTGTTCGAGGGGTAAACACCGCCTATGGAAACGGATAGTTGAGTGTTCATATCCGCAGGCCTTGGGATAATGAGTTGGACGGTTTATTGCTTGTCGGTAGCAATCACACAAATTGTCATGTAGATGATATTGTTTTCTTATTCTTCGTTACTTAGGGTCTTACTCGCAATCCACAGTCTAAATAATGACCGCCAAGTAGATACTTAAGTATCTTCTACATAGTTTAGTAACATAAAGATGCTTCCATATTGGCTATGCCTTGCCTTTCTGGGTTGTTCTTCCTCGTAATAACAGACTGTTCAATAGCTCCTCTCAGTGCCTGTCTGGGAAAGCCAGGGCCTTTCATCAAACAAACCGCTATCTTGGTCAAGTTTGTGATGAGCAAGTTCAAACTGACCCGTACTCTCGGCGTATGTATCTGCGGTCGTGAATCTTTTGATGGGAAAAGGTTAACAAAACTCCAGCTATCTGGTTGCGCGCAGCTAGGTTCTAGGCGATTCCCCGACAGGATCGCTAAGGCACTCGAGTCCAGCTCGATGGTCTCTTTATCCACAAAGCAGGCACCGAGTGCCATAAGTTGCTTCTCAACACCAAGAACACTGAGGAACTGAGGGGCAGATGAGTCAACCATCGCAGCAGTCGTGGCATAATTCGCAAGATCGCTTCCAGAGAACTCTTGATCCCACCACCGCCCTCCCCACGGTAACTCTGCCAATGTCTGAAGCTCATGCTTGCCGGGGCCGAGGAGCCATCTCATTCTCAAGATCATTTCATCCCTTTCCCGGTAGCGAAGGGTCGATCCAAACATGCGACTTTCTTCTGATAGGGGGAGTGGTGCGTCGATCGATCTGCTGAGAACGAGGCAGCCAACTTTGAAGCATGAATATGTGAGACGACAAATGAAAGAATTGAGAGATAGGGGTGGTAATGAGGATGTCCACAAAAGAGGGCTGAGAGGTGCTGGGATAGTACATTGTGGGTAATTTGCTTGGGACAAAACTGTTGGAACTACTGGTAACTGTGCCATTTCATCTTCTACTTGAGGTATATGTATGGGAGGGTTATCTGTAAGGGGCATTGGGTAAATGACGGCTTCTTGTTGGTCCGGACCTATCATCGGATCGTCGGGGGTAGTGAGAATGGCAACATTCGGAGCTGAGCCAGTAGACTCACCTTCGCAGTCCTTGGGAGAATGACATTGGGTTTCAGTGACTTTCCTCCGAGCCTTACGAGTCTTGGGGTCCTGTTCAGGGTCTCCGGCTTCATTGGCCAATGTAAGGATATCGGCGATAACGCCTTGAATGCTGGCTATCATAGCAGGGCTCTGTTGAACGATATCCCGCTGTAAGAGCCCATCTGTAAAGTCTACCAAGACAGTGCTCATTTTCTCAATCACACCTTCAAGGTGCTTTATTCGGTTGCAGCGTGTCTCATCGACTTCTTGTTTCTTCTTACGAAACTTTAACTGGGCTGCCCTATTACGCGCTCGACGTTCCTAAGTCTCTTGTTAGGTGACTCGGCAGATTTGACGTAAGAGACCCGAATAAGCTTTTACCTTGGCCTCTGGGCTGGTTGAGCCATCTGAATTGTTGGAACGAGGAGACATGGCGACAAAGAGCTGCACGTTTGTACACTGGGATTGTTTTGGCCAGTTCAGAAAGAGAAATTATGATAAGCTGAGATAAAGTAGTTTAATTCTTGCATCGCACAATTCAATAAGATGATAACCTTAGAGGATGTAGACAGAAAGCCTTCAGGATGCAGGGCGTGAGGCGCAAAGCGCAAGGCATAAAATAATGTTTAGTGAAGGACGGGGAGATAATCTGGGCGATCGGACCTGTCACTGAGGAAAATGACATAAACTTGTCCGATTAGCCCCGCTTTTAATGCCATTGCCAAGGGACTAACTTAACTGGGACAAGTTTGATCCATTGTCAGCGATGATTGACCTCAACCACCAATTAATATTTGTATTAAAGAACCTCGGCTGAATCAGTTCAATGCGGGCATCAGCTTGAAAAGCAGAACAATAAACATGACGTCTCGTCCGTTGATAACACTTTTCGACATTCCAAGTATAACACGAAAATCATGGTCTCCAAATGTCTGGAAAGGTTTGATAGGTTCATACCGAGGTTGAGCGTGTTAGACTGACTGCTCGATGGCAGCCCGTCTCGTCCTCAATTACAAAGAATTGCCGTATACCACTGAATGGCTTGACTTTTCCAACCTCAGTTCCCATATTCAGCCCCAGTAAGTCTCAAAGGCCCCAGAAGTGCTTCCCATGAATTATCTGACACCAGCTCAGTGTGAAACCCAATGAGCCTCCTTTGAGCCCGCATACCATACCCTGCATTCTGCTACAGGAGGGCCAGACCATGAAGGGTATCGTGGGATCAAAATCTATTGCCGAGGTCTTAGAGAAGAACTTCAGCACGCCGTCACTTCAGTTCAACTCAGAAGATTCCGCTAGGGTCGAGGAACTTACAGAAAAGCTGCTGATAAGCAGTCGACCGTTATGGGCACATTTATTACCCAAGAAAGTTCTGGCGCCGTCAGATCGACAATATTATGCAGACACACGAGCAAAGATATTTGGAATGAGCCTTGATTCATATTATAGCGAGCACGTCAGCCAGCAGCTTTGGTACCAGCTTGATGCCATGTGTCATGAGATTGGAGACGCGCTAGCTGAGACTCCAGGACCATTCTTGATGAATTACCATCGTAAGGAGAATTTCGGCCCCAGACCCTTTTGGTGATGTTGGCACTAACGTTTAAAGCCTCTTACGCTGACTTTACTGTCGTTGCTCTCCTTCGATTCTTCAGCTGTGTTGATCAGACCATGTCGGATCACTTCTATTCTGTTGAGCCGCAGCTTCTCAAGCTGTATGAGGCATGCGACCAGTGGCTTCAGCGCGATTATTAACCGACTTCTTTGCCTATGTTTGAGGAAGGCTCCAACGAAGCTTTGGGACAAAGGTTCGGTCAAAGTAGGTACTAGATACTCAGATGTTTTTGCTCTCACATAAATGTCGTGAATGGGTGCAGGATGTAAACACCAACTCTCATGAGTCCACCATGTTCAAAACAGTGTGGCCATCATTTGGCGCTGGAGATTGAGGATATGTACCTGTGAGCCGCTTCGATAAGATAAAATCTACAGATCATTTTTCCTTTACCTTAAATACCTTTAGGACTTGCTGCTTCAGCAGCTTAGTTGCCTTTAACAATGGATACGTCACAAATCTTTCCATACCTAGAAGCTCACACATTTCTCGGCCTATCCACTATCCACCATCTCTCCTTCACCTTTCATCCATAATTTGCGTCTCTCACTTTTTCCTGTCCTTTAAAAAGTTACGTCATCTGTCAAAGCTTTTAGCGGAAAGGCGGCACTTGCCCAGCAGTGTCAGTAATGCTTAGGCGCGTTCACCCCCAAGACAACAACAAACAATTTCCTTCCATTCGATTCATTTTCGATATTCTCTCTTCCACATCACGCCTAACTGTGAGGCTTTCAAGCTGTGAGTGAAGATCCTGGTCATATCTTTATCTAGACAAGCTAACATCATATCTTCAACCAGATCAGATGCAACGATGTCGGCAAACAAGAGAGCCGCACCGACACAGGCGGCTTCCACGCCCGCGAAAACTCCCCGACACGAAACTTTCGAGCCTGGGGTCCACGTCATCTTTCTTGGTGTCAGCCGTTACAAAGACATCGGTGAAGAGGGTCACGACGCCAGAATCCCCTGTGACCCAGCTGCGAGCTCATTTGAGGCCGGCGACGTCCTAGGCAGTTTAACGCCTGAAAGACTGCAGCAACTGGAAGATAGCCTAGGTCCTGGGCTTGTCAGCAACATCGGCCCCAAAAAGAAACAAGAAAATGGTCTAGCCGACTTGGCTGGTCGTATTGCCAAGCTACAGAAGTCCAAAACCAAACTAATCGAGCCGCAATGGAATGAACGCCTTGTTCTTCTTCATCAACAGATCGTCACGGTGCTCTGGGCCGAAAGATCTCAACGTATGACAATTGAATACCGCACGCTTGAGTGGATCGAAGGACTTATAAAACAAGGAGCCAACTCTCTCGCCGATCATGTGTTCGAATACAGTCGGCCGGTTCTATTCTACATCCCACTCCAACGTCACGACTGGACCGTGCATCCTCATGTTCGCGATCTTTATGAAGCCCTCGACGCACTCCAGGCTTCACGTAGCGACATCAGCGTATTTCCAAACTACCATGAGAATTGGAATTATGGGTACAAGGCTGCCGACATCATGGCACTAGACACTATCGCAAGGGATGAATCTACACCAGAAACGTACCGTCATAGGCCCAAGACATGCTTGGGCATCGGAGCTTGCACACTAGCTGAACTGCAGGGGCCACAATTTGTCAGATTCGGGTTTGGCGACCGTGACGACTACATACAATATGACGCAAATCCGGAGGACAATGAGTATGTCCATAGTCAGCCAAACACGCAGGGTTTCGCCAACAGGAGAGTCTTTCACCAACAATTCTTTCCACCGTTTTCCGAATGGGGCCATATACGTGTTTTGATGATTGACGACCAGATTATTGCTCGAGGTTTCTCTTCACGCAATCAACAAACAAAGCAATTTAATACATCGGCCCTTCGTCACGATTGTCACTTCGATTTTCGCGCCGCTGGTCTACGACATCCAAATACAGACCAAAGAGTGACTGAGAGACAAGAAGCAAAGCTAGAAGAACTCAACAACTTTTGCAAGTGGTGGCAGCAGCAACTCAAGACGCAATATCCTGACCTATTCGAATCGCTTGATGTCGGGTGTGTCATGAGGGTTGGCCTATCGGAAGCAAGCCTCGATGGAAAGTTCTTCATCATCGACATTCAAAGATGGTATGCCTCTTCCTTCTGCAGCATGGACTTGGTCGGTAAGCCATTTGATCAACTTTGCAGAGCATTTGGTGAGCAGTTTGCACGGGTTCATGGGTCCTTTGCGAAGTATCTGCCTGGTAATTGAAGGAAAATTGTTTGATTGTTAGCGCGAGGGCTTCTCCTTGATGTTCGGATATTGATCTTGAGGTCGTTGCGTGTATTACTGGGCAAGGCGGAAACCTAGTGGAGCGTGCAGACTGTAGCTGTGGATTCCTCCTTGATGGGGCTTAGAGCTGGTAGGAGGGAGCATGTTTTCAGAGTTCAACAATTTAAAGCCGCTGTATCTTCTAGAATTTTTGACACTAAACCCATTTGAGACATGGCGCCCTTGCTTTGTACGTGCATCTGTTACTGATACTCGTCGCTATTTGCTGGACTCGCTGAGGTTTTTGGCGGGGTCGTCCAATGCCCCGCATCCATGATTCCCCATCACATTGCCCTCGGTATCGTCGATTGAGTACACTTTCCCAATGAGCGCAAATTGATAGGTTTCGGTTCAGAAGCGTCATGACATTATTCCCGGCGAGTTTAATAAGGCCGACGCGTTGACTTAGTCCCAGGACCCTGGCATGATTGCCGCTACCCCAGGTTGACCAGCCGGGGACCCCAGAGTCAATTGACGAGGTACCCTAGATCTTGCTCTGTGATTGAGCTGTCTTGGTCATGGTTGCTTCTGAAGGCGATATTTCTTGTTATTCAAGATGGCCTGATGTTTTCGGATTGATGTAATCTGGATATTGTCTTGTCCAGCTGAACATACCGTGAATTTTTGCCGTGAGCTCAAGAATGGCCTTTCAAGGTTGAAGCAAACAGGTATGCACGTGAAATGAATGGTTCGCGACAATACACCAGTCAAAAAACGGTAATAAATCGTACGAGAACCAGATCCGGTAAGAAGAATCGGCAATCTATTCATCCAGAAGGTGAAAAAGTTGGAGAAACAAAGATCCGCTTGGTGAGGAATCGGCATCTTGGTACGGCACCTGCGGGTAAGAATATTTCCCCCGGTTCGGATCTCTTACCCCAAGATTGTTCTAGTGGACATGGACCAATAGAGATTCAGTATTTGCAATGGTCATTCTGACGTGGAGAGCCGACTTGAATTGCCGCTACTGTTGGCGTCCATGATCCACGGCCCCGCCCCCTCCAAGTCTCCCGGCTACGGTAACGGCAAACGACAATTCATTTTCATACTTAACGTCGCGACCTCCACGTTCTGACCCAAACGTCTTTTCCCTCATCATCACCCATCTCCAGATACCCCAGATCTTTCAAGTTCTTCTTTTTCTTCCCCAGACACTCCAGTCATCAAAATGGCCTCCAACGGTACAAACGGCACCAACGGCGCCAAGGCGCAATCAAAGTTCGACCCCAACTTCACAGACCATGTCATCGGCCTCATGAGCCCCGAGACCGACCCCCGCCAGCGTGTGATTCTCACTTCTCTCATTCGTCACATGCATGATTTCTGCAGAGAGGTCGAGCTCACTCAGGACGAGTGGATCATCGGCGTCAACTACATCAACTCTCTTGGTCAGGCCTACAAGAAGAACCGCAACGAGACATGGCGCGTCTGCGACATTCTCGGAATTGAGTCGTAAGTACCCAAATCAATTGCGCCCGCCAAATCAATCGCTTACAATCGCAGTCTCGTCGATGAGATCAACCACAAGGTCGTCACCGACGGCGGCAAGGCCCCTACATCCTCCAGCATTCTCGGTCCCTTCTGGTCTCCCGAGACCCCCTTCCGCGACCTCGGCGCCAGCGTCGTCCAAGACATGCCCAAGGACGGTCAACTCACATTCTTCCACGGCGTCATCCGCGACGTTGATACCGGAAAGGGAATTCCCAACGCCGTTTTCGACATGTGGCAAGCCAGCACCAACGGCAAATACGACGCCCACGATCCCGAGAACCAATCGCGCCACAACCTTCGTGGCAAGTTCCGCACCGACGCCGACGGAAAGTTCTGGTTTTACTGCCTCAAGCCCACCGAGTACGCCATCGACACATCTGGTCCCTCCGCCGAGCTCCTCAAGATCATGGGCCGTCATCCTTACCGCCCTGCTCACATTCACATCATGGTCACCCACGATGATTACCTCGGCGTTACTGCTCAGCTGTACCCCAGCGACGATCCTTATCTCGAGACCGACACTGCCTGCGCTGTCAAGGATGATCTCCTCCTTGATTTCAAGCCTGCTAAGGACGACCCCAAGGGCGCTGTTCTCGATGTCGAGTACAATGTCAACCTTGCTTCCAAGAAGTACAAGCCTGATAACACCATGTTGATGCAGAACGCCGATCAAGGCAAGTTCTAAGCAAAGAAAAAAGAAAGAGAAGGAAAAAAAAAAAGAACGAAGGCATGAGGATGCATATACATAGCATTGAATGAGTGGACTTTAGCGTTTGATTCATGTGTTCGATGACTACTATGGTATTAAATAGTAAAAGATAAACCATTGACTTTCCATAAACCAGTGCCCGCCTTTGCATGTCGTGATTCAGTAGCTATAAGCTCACCAACAAATCGAAAGAACAGGACCAAGAATAATGTTTGTTTCGAAGACCAGACAAATGATTTAACCGCACAGTAAATTTCGACTTGATAAGATATTCTCAATTTCTGGTAGACTTTTATGAACGCAAAATAAATACGACTTCTCCGCGTTGAGGCTGTCTTGGAGTTCCTGTGTTGAACCTAAAGCATCTCTAACCGCAGGTCAAATCAAACCACCCGAGCCATCATGTTCCTCCTAAAGCCAGTATTGGCCACACTACCAATACCAAACGAAGGTAAAACTCGTATCATACGTAAAGGTGTAGCAAAGCCAGTGTAGCGCCGAATGACACTAATGCGATCTTTGATTGTCATGCGAACTTGACGAGCATGCACATCCAGACCGAGCAGGTGAATCGGAGTACTGACAACTTGAGATGCAGCTGGCATGAACAGTTGGGCCATCTTAAGCCTTGCATCTTCAGACTGAAAGATGTTGGCAAACGGGGTAATCGACGCGAAGGGAAACTCGGCAAGCTTGGGAGCAATCATAGTAGGCAGGTTGAACGAAGCGTATATAGTCACCGCATCTCGCAGGGTAAACAGTGCATAACTCAGCAGAGGGGTCGACATTCCGCAAGACATTCTCGAAAAGTATGCGTCTTTGAATATACTCAGCCCTGAACTGACGGTCGTGGTTGCGGCGAACTTCGCGGGAGATGAGCAGACGATAGAAGGATCGCAATCGTATTGGACGGCATTGAAAGAATCGAACATGTTGGCAGTGGCGTAGGTTCCGAAGTATACCAGGAATGGTATGAAGAGAGAAGCAAATGTTGCCTTGGGCTTGGATGCCCACTTTCGCATGGATGACTTGATGGACGTGTTGCTGGTGGCTTTGTTGAAGACAAGTCTAATGGCGACTTTGTTAGTATCCACAGTATCTTGAACATAAGAATATCGATGATACTGTTTGCTGAGATAGTGTTTATAGGATTTTGGGCACTTACTTATCAATGGCTGTCACCCAGGGAGTGACCAAAGCAGAAGCGAAAGCCGCAGCCGCAAGGTCAACAGCAAAGTACTGCAGTGTACAGTGCTGCTGCTCCCTAATACTCATAACATCCGTCATCTTGACAATCCACAATCAAGTCAATCAATTGAGAATATTGGAAAAGCTAAAGAATCAGATTATAATCTCTTTGACTTTCTAGGTTATGACTCTTATTATAGTCTACGGCACTTGATACCGAGACACCGAAACACCGTGAAACCAGCCATCCAGGGCGACCTATCACAACACTTTGGCGTCCACAAGCGCTGAACTACCGCTGTAGCTACTACAGTAGCACCAACCCGTCATCATCCGACAAGGCATTCCTCAACAAAATCACCAAATGCTTGCGATCATCACGAAAACAATCATGTCGGAGGCCCAATCAGGCTTTGCGTAAGCTCACCTTGTGGGTCATCACGGTGAGCGGTGCGGCTGCGCTAATCTCAGCCGTCTTGCGTCGGGTTAACCAGGAGCCATGGTTGACTCACCTAGGTGACCATTACGTGGCAGGAATTCGGCTACGTTCGGGATTTGTTGAGGCGCGATAACCCTTGGCAATGCTGTGACACGGCATGCTAACTTCTAGACCGGCTTGTGCTCTTATTCGGCTTCTTGACGACTCCGCGTTTCCCCACGTCGGCATAAGAATTGAGTTGAGTTGAGTTGACTTGTTGAAGCGCTAGAGCTAACCCCGGATTCATCTTCAGGGGTGAAGCACGGACCTTGATGTCAGCCCTGTCCTGTTCAAGGTTCACTTACGTACTGCGTAGTCAACTCAAGACGTTGGCCTCAATTCAAAATGTATTTCTAATTGTTTGAAGTGTTCTAGCAAAAAGATTAGTGTGCTCTTGAATTAATTGACTTTCGCATGCTGATTCAGCGCCATAACTCTCCTGTGACCCCGAGCTTAGTCTTCCCCCCTCCTCCTCTAGCACTCACCACGGTGAGAGCTAAATGCCAACCTCTTCCACTCCCTTGCTGTTCATTTGGAATTTTCTATGACCTACGCAGTATCCTCATGTCGATTGGCTCTCCATCCTCTGGAACTTTTACCTCGATAATGTTGTTGTCTTAATAGTCTGTGTAGCTCGGCTTCAGACGGTTTATTAAACGAGTACGCTTCAGACCAGTGTCCACTCGAAACGATAAGCATAGGACAAAGTAACGCGTGGTATAGCCGACGATTCCCGCGATGCGTGCATAAGTCCTGTAGTTGATCATTCGAATCTAGCTGGATCAGGTAATCTGGAAGAACACCTACAGAACCCTGTACGACAATGTTCGCAATCAAGCCATGCGGTGAAGATCAGTAGTCGCAATGTAAGCCATAGAGTACCGTGTGCGAACCACGGTTGATACGGTCAAGTTTAAAATCACTTCGGCTCTGTTGGCTCAGCTTCTCGCTTGTCCGTCGTTGAATTAGCCTGGTTCATCTCTTGGCTTCACCCCTGTAGTCGGCTTTCTCTAGCTACCGAGTCTATCGATGCGACACGTATCCGTAATCGGCACCTAGACATAATTCGGCGCGAGAAGGCTGCATTAAGTACCATAAATCCCGGGGGCCTACTTGATGATCTACCTGGGTTTTGGGGAAAGGGAACAGACATCATAGCACTTCAACTAAAAGAAACAAGACGGCGATCCCAACAAACTTGCGTACATGACTCATAGACTAGCCTAGACGATACAAAAGACGGTCGGGAGCCCGGTGATGCTTGAATACCAGATAACAGTGATTCTATTTGGCTACATAAACTGATATTGTTTGCTTAACGCTTGAAGCATATCGTTGATAAAAGGCAAAGTCGAACAAGAAACCCCATAAAGCACAAGAAAAACAAGCAAGAACCTCTCAATCCCACCCAGAAGCCCACTGGCGCTTGAAATATCTGTAGTCAAAATGTTTCGCATTATACAGACTCTGTAGTTGTTGAAGTCTGCTTGTCGGCTGTCTCCGCGTCCAGGACCGTCCCCTGATGTTCCTTGGGCACTTTGAAACCAAGGTGCTTAAGATAGCTACCAGGAAAGAAGACGTTGTAGAGGAAAACGACGAGCAATATCGGCAGGGTATCAAACACATATAAACTAGGGGACAACTGTTAGCTTGGTTCAAGGATATAGGACAAGTTTTACTTACTACCACTCTTTCTGGTGAGTAGTGCCATCCTTGCCGCCGGCGAAGTCAATCTCACGGTAGATGGAACGGATCTATTCGCGATAAGTAACTGGGTCGTAGATAGATGAATAATTTGCTTACAAGAATGAGTAGGCATGAGACATTGACTACAATGAGTAGGGTCTGCCACTTCTTCACAATACCATGCTTCTCCTGATTATCCTTGGCAAAGTCGGGACTTAGTCGTCTCGTAGTGAAGTGGAAGCGGATGGCGGAGACAGTGAAAAGACCAAAGCCGGCAATTTGAGTGCTCACACCGACAAGACCAAGGGTCTTACCCAGATTGAGTTTGCTCTTCGCATCTGGATCAGTGGGGTCGGTACCGGCGATGAGAACTGCGGCGACAAGTTGGAGGAGGAGCGAGATGACATCGAAGCCAACGAAGAGAAGAGTGATGAAGCGAGCTGTAGCAGAAACCATTAGTATCTCTTTCTCTCTCTCGTCGCGAAGATTACTTACGAGGGACCCAGAGAAATCGCAGGGTTCTCGACTCAGGGGGAACAACCCAGAAGACAATTCTGGCGAAGATAACATAGATGACTCCGGCCATCAATACTGGGGGTAAAATCACAAGTGTGAACTGAAGCACGTAAGGTCCCTTTTCCGTTGGCTTAGTAGCGGATACGACTCGAGCTGCGTAGCCAATGACCTCCACTGCAATAATGATTAGCTGACAAGCCTCGTATTTGTGGAATGATTGACTTACTCGCAATAGCAAGCAACATAAAAAGCCATACCCAGGCTTTTTTCCTAATAATTTGATAGAGGGTGATACAAAAACTCACTCCATAGAGGCCCGCGACAACTCCAGCCAAAGGCTCCGAAGGGTTGTAGAGATAGTAAGACTTGGGTGCGTCCATGGTGGCGGATTATTAGAGATGATGTTTGAAGTTGAAGAACTGAGATGTGATTGTGCGAATTGTCTCAAAAGTCCATCTGCGTTCAGACCTTATATAACTCCAACTTCCTACAACACTGCAACGGCAAACGCCGTGATGGGTTCATATCAAGCTCTAACAGATAAGCCACATCTGCACAACTGGAATCCTAGCACCATAGCAATGCCTCACAAATGCGTCAAAACTAGCAACGAATAAGCCACGCTGAACCCGCATTCGTGCTTCCAACGCCACGGCTAGTAGTTAGTACCCAATCAAGAATTGAGTTTCGAAACGCCAACTCAGCCAGTCATATGTGGCGCTTTCTTTAGAGACAGACGTCACTAGTCAGTTGTTACGTAGCATGCAACCATATCGAATCACAGTCTCTTTTTGGTGAGACCATTCGAGCTTAAAATTGTAACGTCTCGAATCGCTATGGAGGCTTGGTTTAGGTCCCTATTGTTGGGAGATTAGGGCTGGAAAGCCTCAATAGCCACGTTGATTTCCTCGAATGGGATTCTGGAAATGGATTTAACTCTAAGCGAGGTCTCACGTGGCTTATGAAGCTGAAGAGCGTCACAGTGAGACGCTCGAGATGATGAGAGAAGGAGGTTTGAGTTGAAGCTGTCGGCAAATGACGCAACCTTTTACGAGCTTCACGGAAGGCTAAATACTTGTACACGCATGCACGCAGGAATCTGGGATTTGAATCAAGCTATGATACTTCGTTACTCTTCTCAGACAACTTAGCATGGTCAGAACGTAAGGTACCGTGCAATGAGCTAAGTCCCGCATATGAGCGAGAGGCGCTAAGGTTTCTTGATGAGGTTCTTATACAGAAAAAACAGTGGTCGAAGCTGCCAAAGCTAGCGGGAAGATGAGGCTGGATAAATAAAGTAGGAAACGTGAGTGGCGCAGAGACAGTTGGAAATGAGAGTTTGCTACGGCGGTCTTGATGAATTGCTTTGCTCCTAACCGTTCACAAATGAAAGCTCTTCCAAACCCGGCTCGTGATCAATATCCCAGATTTCTGGGCTGAGGTCACGAAATGGAAGATGATCTAGAGGGGGATTCTCGCGAATCTGATAAGAAATCTGATCATGGTGGAGAATCTGGCTATTCGAGGCACCGTTCTGAAGACGTTTGATTGTTCTGTACCTAGCAAGACTATACACCACGAGTGGATTTAGTGCGCTGTATCTGGTTTGCTTTATGAAGCCAATATACCCCATCACCTTAAGTGAGCTCCTAAAGTGGCCTGCGGCATTTTTCTACCGCTTGGTGTCACACAATGGCGTTCTCTGCCATAAAGCTGTAGGTTAAACGACCTGGGGCCCAAAGGCCTGTAGGTTTCTTAGTAGGACTTATGTCCCCGTTAACAGCTTATGGAAGAAGACAGAGGTAACAAGTCAGGAGCTGCTGAAGCTAAGTGGGCCAACTTGATGCTACCATCTTGAACCTGCAGAAATCCTGTTGTTTTCTCTCAACGTCATCAATCTTCCGAAGGCCAAGTCGATATGGATCAAGATACAAACACTTACGCACATCAAGCTTTGACATCCCATGATTCAATCCGCATTTTGCACCTGCTACCAGGATCTGACAATGATGTAATCCGCTGTAGTTCGGAGGAAATGGTGCTGGACGAGGCAGAAGGTAGATACGAAGCAGTTTCGTATGACTGCGGCCGTTCATATATCACATCTACGATTGTTTGCGATAGTGCCGCACTTCCAGTAACGACCAATCTCGAGTTGGGGCTCCGAACATTTCGTTTGAAACTATATCTCCATTTCCCCCGCGTAATGCCAACAAAGGGGATCTGTCAGATGCAGAACGATCATTCCCACGATCGAGGGACCGGCGCCTAGCGATGACAGCTCAAGGAAGAATGGAATTGGTCTTGTTGATTGCTAAGGGCAATGGCTTTTGTTATATCATCCAAGGCATGGATGTTCCTATCATTCTTCAGGGAAGGAGAGACGTACTGCCCCGGAGTGATGGAAGGAGAACTGTCAAGTTCCGAGTCCCTTGATGATTAGTGGGAGGAGGTTCGTGTTCAGTGATGGTGATGGCGCTCCAGAGTCAAATATCATCTCTCTTTTTAAGCCTCTTTATATTGAGCTACTGATTAAAAATGAGAAAAGTATTGCCGATAAAGTTAAAGTTACACAGGCCTGACATGCCCCATGTGGGACGATGAACCGGCCGGTAATGTGGGGTAATAATACTTGTCATGAGAATATCCAACCAGACTCTTTGATCTTGGAGATAGCCCAATCAGGGCCGACCGTCATCTGAGCTGTACTCCCGGCTGATAACGTTGCGTAGGATGCGGTTTACCCCACAACTGCCATGACGATATCCCGGGACGTCATCTCCGCACACTTTGCCGTGTTGGGAATGTTGAAACGACCCGGTCCGGACGTGGCCGCCGGCCAAAGCGAGGGTTGCCATATCCAGATAAACATGATTAATGATTCTCGTGATTCTACGATATCGGAGACGCGGGGTGATTTACCTTGTCTGGATAGCCCTGCCTGAGACAGCCATTTTATGCTCTCACTTAAGATCTGGGGCCTCCGCATCTAACAAGACTAATGGTAACCTTACTCGTTTACCCTTTCGAACACCACTAAGATGACGTCGGAAACTTACAAGGTTGCTGTTCTTACCGTATGTCACTCCAGAAGTCATTGTGCCTGACCCTAAGTATTAATCCCAGCAGTCATCGCAGGAGCACAATGCAAAACCCACGTTTGAGATCAAGCAGCTCCCACGCCCTGTCCCTGGCCCCAATGAAGTTCTTATCCGGCTTTCACTCACCAGTTTATGTGGCTCTGATCTAGGTATGGCCCTGGGTCATATGGGACCCGTGGGGAAGATTCTGGGTCATGAGGGCGTTGGCAAAGTCGCAGAGCTTGGCTCCAATATTGCCAACTTGGACCCCAGCGTCCAGATTGGCCAGAGGGTTGGAATAGCCTGGATTCGAGATATTTGTGGAACCTGCAACATGTGCGTTGACATTGCCAATGAGGGTGAGACGCGATGCGTTGAGGCTCTGCACTCTGCCAAAGCATACGATGGTACCTTTGCCGAGTATACTCTTGTGCCCTTGCGATACCTGGCTCGCATCCCGTCAACCTTTGATGATATTCCCGACGAAGAGATCGCGCCTATTCTTTGCGGAGGCGTCACAGCCTACAAGGCTATCAAGAACTGCAACCTCACACCAGGACAATGGGTTGTCATTTCCGGCGCAGGCGGCGGTGTAGGAGCTCTGGGTGTGGCGTATGCTCACGCCATGGGTTACCGAGTCATTGCTGTTGACGCCGGCGCCGGAAAAGAGGAATACTGCAAAGCTCAAGGCGCCGAGCATTATGTAGATGCTTTGTCTGGCGTAGATTCGGGAAAACAAGTCAAGGATCTGACTGATGGTCAAGGAGCTAAAGCTGTTATCGTCACGGCGACAGCTGCTGCTGCGTACCAGAAGGCATTCGACATGCTTGGGCCATTTGGCACATTGATGTGCGTGTCGATTCTACCAGAAGAAGCCAAGATCTCCTTCCACCCGCTCTGGTTCATTGACAATGGCTGGACTGTGAAAGGCTCGGCAGTGGGGACGAGGGCTGATATCCTCGAGGCTTTACAATTTGTCAAGCGGAGGCTTGTGATCCCCAAGATCAAGTGGGCAGATCTCGAGGATATTGAGGGTCTAATGGAGAAGATGTCGAAGGGACAGGTAAGTGCGATGGCTGCCGATGAATGTGACCAAGCTAATACGAATGCAGTTGGAGGGAAAATATGTCATGAAGTTGTAGGGTTATATGAGTGGAGCACGGAGTTAGGGGAAGCTGAGAAATCATGTGCAAGGGTTTGGTAGGAGGTATTGGATGTCGCCATGTGTAAATAACTCGATACATGAAGAACGAGATTCTGAAACAGAAAGATTATGTTTTTGTAAGGCTTATCAACATCTTAGCAAAATAGAATCGTTGCTCAAGAAATTTACTTTACAATGATCTTGTTCAAAATCTATCTTATAACAGTCACAAACGTTGAAAGAATTTAAGATCAATATTCGTCAACTTGAAATTCCTTACAGGGCTACGTGAAGCTACCTAAAAATAATTCATAATGTCAAGATAGTTCTCTTCCTTCATGGTTGTTGAGAATACTTCTATTGATCCTCCCCGTCCAGACTAATCTGGGGTCCGGTGAACGTCTTTCGGAGACCACCAAACCAGAGGGCAGTGGTAAATACCAGGCCAACTGCCATAACTACAATAAGATAGTTCATAGACGATGCCGTAACAGGCATGAAGGCGGGAAAGCAAAAGCTGACAGAGAACAAAGCGACAAATAGCGTAGCCGCAGTGTTTACGGCATATCCCGCCTTCCCAAGCGAGAAAGACCTCTCAGGAAGACAGCTGCGTCCACGAACGAGGAGCGCGGCCTGGGGGAGAGTGACAGTGATATTGAGTGCAAATAGGGTAAGGCCGATAAAGCTATTGTAAGCTGTGCTTGAAGCCACGTACAAAACTCCAATGATGATCTGAAGTGCAAGCATCACTGCAGTAGCTCGAACGGGACTGGCCCAGTTGAGATGCGACAGGAATCCAGAGAAAGGAACACCCCCATCTCTCGAGAAGGACCAAATAGTTCGACCGGAGAAGATGAATAGGTTCAGAACGATGTCGTAAAACATGACGATGTAGTAGACAGTCCAGATAGTTGTTGCAACTCTGTTGTTGAGAGCCTGGTTGTAGACCTCGAGAATAGGAACTGTTGACTCAATGATGGCATCGACATCCTTGATGGAGAACATGAGGGCGATGGTCCAAGCAACGACAGTGGTGATGCCGAGGCCAATAGTCAGGAAAATGGCACGAGGGACATTTTTACTGGGATTCGGCACTTCTTCTGCCAAATGGGTAGGGCCATCGACACCACTGTAGGCCCATAAACAGGCAGTGATAGAGGTGATCATAGCCCAGCCATCTCCCCATCCACTGACATTCTTGTACTCCTTGAAGACCGTGGAAGCTGATTGCTTGTGATCACTGACAGCAAGAAGAGTGATCATGGAGGCGATGAAGCCGACCAAAGACAGCCAGAAGATAGTAGTGGTCAATCGGCCAATGGCAGCAGGGAATCGCGAAGTGGCGGCAAAGGCGATAATGCACAGCAAGATGTGCATCAAGTACGTATGCCAAGCCTCGATGGTATATGATGGATGCCACAGTTGGACAAGGTCCAGAACAGAGCTAGCAGCGAAGAAGTTGCAAGACGCTGTCGCAGCCATGAGGTAGATGATGGAGATCCAGCCAGTATAAAAAGCGGCAACGCGTCGCGTCGAGGCCGGAAAGGCCATGAAGACAATATGATACTGTCCACCAGCCGAAGGGAAAGCTGAAGCCAATTCAGCAAAACCAATATTGATGGTAGCCATGATAATTCCACCAGCGATCAAGCCATAGATGATCGAGGGTCCTCCCCCACAAGCAAGCGGCACCGCAATGCCTGAAGCAAAAGCCATCCATGAATTGGTGGTGGTAAACGCAAAAGCGAGGACGGACAGAGGACTGTATCGCTTCTCAAGCTGTTCGCCGCCGTGGAGGTGATGGGTGGCGAATGTCTTGCCAGCAGCTTGGGAGGGCGTCAGAGACGCATTGTCGGGGATATCGTGTTTCTCAGCCATTCTGTCGGTGTTCAGGCTCGAAGGTCAAGACGGGACGCGAGGATGAAGGTCCGGTGCTCCTGTTTGAGGAGGATATTTGTGTATTGCTGGGGGCTTTTTGCGGTCATTCGCTACTGTCAATAATGCCGTTGAGGTTGCACGGCCACGAAAATATGAGAGGTAAAAAGACGTTGCCAGAGTGAAAGAGGGCGACATCGCATGGGTGCAGTCGCATTCTTAAGAACAAACGCGCTCCCATAGTCTAGTCTTGATCTGCACCAAGATAGGGCGCGGCAACTCCAATCTTTAGTCAAACTATATGACAACCAGTAACCGCAATTTCCCAGTCATATCTGTCCCTTCCCAATCGTCTCTTATCTCCAACTTCCGGGGTTTCTGGGGAACCTGGGGCGCGCGCAAAGATTAGGCGAACCTTGTCAGAGCCGAGGACGTGGTTCAGTCTCGTTTTAGAGCCGCCCTTGTTATCAAGTCTGAGATTCTTACTCGATGACTCGGTAGATGTCGCCTGGTCTTTCCAAGTACGGCTTAGTTTAACGGAGGCGGATGGAGAGGTTACGGCCGGTTAGTAGCCGGCCGGTGGGGTTTATGTGCCGAACTCCCGTGGAAATTATGATAATGATTCTTACGGATATTGGTATTTTGGGAGAACACGCTCGGACTCGGCCGCCGGCGAAGAATTAAACACGGATGGAAGATGTTGATAGTAATGTCCTTGCAGCCCTTGATACAGATATCCCGACATTCCGTACATCCCAGTGATCCACCAAGATCCTGTTGGTCATCGACATGACAGTAAAAGGCAGGTCTTGGTCATGCACAACCATCTATACCTAATGCCACCATATCCTTTCAATCAACAAACATCTTTTACAGCTCACCCAGAGTCGCCAGCGTTCTGGATCTGGCCACACGGGCCATTACTCAGCGTTGGCCCCTCCTTAGGGAGTAGTTTTCCAAATGTTGTAAAGTTGGTGCCAAACGCATTGCCTGGAATGCAGCTAGTACCAATGACGTTGTAGCACACGTCAGTATATGCCGCGGAAAAGATGCAATCCTTCTCCTGTTGGCACTGAACACAACAGTCGTAACCAGAGAGTGGTGGGAGAATATTGTAGAGGTTCGTTGCAAGATTCACTGCAATAATCCCGTGTCCGCCGTTTGCCGAATTGACAAGATTGTCAGCGTTGCAAGCAGCCCAGGTGCTTTCGGCTGGAGCAATATATGTTCGAGTCACTAGATAGTAATGATGGTTGGTAAGTGATTTACGACCACAAAAGCACAAACTCGAGACGTACCAGTTTCAACTATAGTGGTGGTGCTCGTTGTAGTTGTTTCAGTGAGCGTCTTGGTTGTCGTTGGATGGTCGTCCGCAGTCACTGTGGCATCAGCTTTAGTGACTGTATTAATGACAAGCACTCTGATGGATGAATGCCTTGTAGTGGTTTTTTGAGCAAGTGTAATCGTCCTTGTCCACTGTCTACACCTGATGGCATCCCTGGTCTTGGAAATCTTGAGGACTTTATGACATAGAACCATGCTAGGGAACTGAGCTGGCTCAACATGATGCTTTTTATCGTCGGGGTCGATTTTGATGGTGCATGGGCCGTCTATCTCCTTGAGCTTGGGCTCGGGCATGACTCTGCCCCTGTCATTCAGCCACACGTCTTCCCATTCCCACCATTTATTCCTCCTATGCAGGGCTCGTTTGGATAGACTTCGCTTTCGAGAAACATAATCAGATGCCGAGGCAAGAGGTGTGAATCCAGAGATTGTTGGGACTGTTACAGTTGACAGAATGGTTGTAGTACTGGTAACAAGCCTCGTGCCAGTTTTCATGACAGTGGCAGTCATCATAACGGTGTCGGTTCCTGTGGGGCCCTTAGACGATGACATATAAAAGTAGTGACCACATCTTACTCACGAGTCTTTGTGATTGTGAGTGTATCAATCTTTTGGGGAGCAGTAACCAAAGAGGGGTAGATAGACCTAGCAATAACAGTGGTAGTGACAGGATCCGGGGTGATCTTGCAGGTCGCTGGTTTAGATCGGCAACGCGGCAGGGTCCCGGTCACTTTGACTTTCGTGGTAGTGGTGATAGTGTATACAGGACCCTCCGTACTCCACATTTTCGTTTTGCAGTACACTTTAGTATGCGTTTCGTCCTTTATAGCAAGTGCAGCGCCCTGCAGAGCAGAGAGGATCAGAATTGGACGCATTGTGATCAGTACAATCCTCAAGTCGTGGCAAATCCGAGCGCCAGGTGCGACAACCCTAATTTTGAGTGGGATTGTCTTGGCTGAGGAATTGGAGGCATCATCCATCTTATACTCCAAAGAGTCATAATCTAGGTTTTCTTGCCAGCAATTATCGTACGTTTTTAACCCAATCAGATACGGGATCTTATAGGAACTCTAAAGTGTTGGCGGATATTGACAGCAGAACCTGTCATATGATGGAATGGAATGCTCATAGTTTGGGGCAAAGTTAAATCATAATTATGACCAGCTTACATGTCATTATCGCTTCTGTTTATTATGAAACTCGCCCGTATATTCACTCTCTGAATCCATGTGTCATCACCTCATTGTTGCTTCCACTCGTTGGGGACCCGCCAGTGTCGCCTCACGTCTCTCTAAACAGGATCCAATGATATCATAATAAGTAGTTGTACCCTTCTGCCATCATTTATTTCTTATGTCAGCGATATCCAGTTGGATTCGGGCTTTCATTATGGAAAGATTGAAGTTCATTGAAAGTCGAATTCCGCATGTTAGCAGAAGGCGAGTACGCCTTTGGCTCAGAGGACATCCCCGACACCAGAGGCTGATAGTTCGCCTCGCCTTGGGCATGGGTGACAGGCTGTTGCTGGTAGTAGGGCACGACTGGGGGCTGATCTGTTGTTGGAACGACGTGAGGTCCATGAGCTGCTTGGCGCTTTTTGTGGCGTATGAACCAGAGACCGAAGCCAATCAAGGCGAGTAGGGCAAGCCCTCCAAGAACACCACCAACAATGGCTCCTATGGGGGCAGAAGAGTTTGAAGAAGAATCTGCTCCAGATGACGAACCTGATTCGGCAGATGAGGTAGTCTCTTGGGTTCTGCTCTCTCCAGTCGTTCCAGTCTTGGCAGTTAATCCGCCATCTGAGCTGACAGTCTCGGAACTAGATTCTGATGACGTCTCGGCGGTAGCCGATACGCCCTTGAGAGCTTTATACATGGTGACTTCGATATCCGCTGTCGTACAAAAGGGATAAAGAGTAAACTCATCGCTGTCACTGTCAGTCGAAACAGCAGTGAAACATCCCGCTGAGCTTGACAAATGTTAGTCGGCGACTACACCATTACCTTTATTGATCGTTACTCACCAACATAGCTCGTCTGAAGATGTTGAGGTGCAAGACGATGAAGTAAAGCACCTCGTTCTGATGTATCCTTCACATCCAATGTGACTGTTGCTGGTTGCACAGGTCGTCGTTGAAACGCCGGAATAATAGCAGTAATTCGCGACCCAGACTTGAAACTCATTATCAATCAGGCTCAGTTTAAAATAATACATCTACTTACACTGTCCTGGGACGGAATAGTAGGCACAAACGTCGTAAGTGCCTGGGTTCTGGCGCTTGAGAACGTCGTTTTTGTCAAGCCACGGTAACTCTGTGATTGCGGGGTCAAGAGGGGAGCCTGTCAAGCCGCCGCCATTCAACGCGTAATAGACATCAGCCATTTTATTGCTGATGATTGAAGGTGTTGGAGATGTTTCTGATCGCTGCCTTTAGATCACTGCAAACAGATACCCAGAAGTCTCAAGCGAGCGGATGAGAGGCTAAGGGGAGAGCTCAAGCATAGTAAGAAAGTGACAGGATCAGAAGAAAGGCAGCAAGAGAAAAAGCCTGTCACGGCCATCATTTCCAGGCTCATCTCGTGCTCTGTCCATGAATAGATGTTGGTGGCGTCGCCAGAAATTACAACCATGCGTGAGCTGAACAAGCAGAAGAATAAACTCGGTGCTTCTGAGCCCTGGAGATCCAATGAGAAGCTCGCTCGGAGTGATACCGCCGTATGTGGTTGAAGCAGAGGAGGTGTGATTGGTGATATGCCAGAGCCTGATCTGCAACCTGAAAAAATGTGTATCTTGTCTTTTCTTTCGAGGCCTGCTGGAACCAGTCAAAACAAGGCACTGGATGACGAAAGATCATTTCTCTCTCTTGACATCGAGGTTCTTACCAATGGTTGAAGTTTCCTCGCAGCCTGATTTTACAAAAGACAGACTAATGCAGTTGAGATGATGCCAAGCATATGTCTTCCAGTAAGACAGAACTAACCTGCATGTGGCGTACGCAGGCGACGTGTTCCTTGTCAATATCCTTAGCCACTTTCTCTCGGTTGTCAACATGAGACATTTTCAACGATTGGCAATGTCTATTTTGAGACTCATGAGACCTTGGTGATGACGACGGTGGTGGAAACTGCTGAAGAGCATTAGCTCCCTGATAATGTCTGGTCTGAACGGATCAATCTTGGACAGCTGCCTGTCATCATAAATCCGCTACTTCGGCAAGATAACAGTGAGGGTTTCTACTACTGGCAGACTTTCGCTCGTGAACTGTTGTCATGTACGGTATTCTAGTAGGGTACCGAAAATGGAACTCAGAGGAGCTATGGAACTTGGTCAACTATTTCTTCATTTTTAAGTGGAATTCTTTTATATCAGTAACTTTCGAAACGACGCAACACAGTGTAATTCTCAACTCCTCGAATCCAGCGGTAAATTGCCCCATCCTCTTCAGAACTCAGCGGTTTCTTTCCATAATCCCCTGACCGTTATGAACTCTGTATAAGCCGCCAAAAAGGAAGCTATCGTCTCTGGAAATAGTCCACCTTCTCGTGTCCAATGAACCGTCAATGGAACCCAGAGCAGAACTTGAACAAACTTTCTCCGCCACTCTGTCTTGGTCTCTTCATCTTGCTTTTCTCCGGTACGCTTACTTTCCGATCGGTCGTATAGTAGTTGTGCCATCTCCGACATAACGTAGACACCCCAAGACTTGAGAGACCAGATCATGAGTTTCGACTCGGTCTTCTCTGACCACTTGAAAACGCCACGCCTTGTAAGCCACGCCAGATTCTCCAAGCCATAGTAACCAAAAAGCCCAATGATATATGTAGACCGTATGGCTTTCTGAACAAGATATCTTCGTGGGTTGCTTTTCTTTTCTTCGCTCTCGTCTTCAGATGTGAAACTGGTTAGAAATTCTTTTGCATCCGCCCATGTCGACAGCAAGCCCCACAATCTGGTGATGATCTGCCAGTCGTCCAGAATATTCGATAATGCCCTGAATCGTTCGGCGATAAGAGTTTTGTTGGCAGACAACGACCCTATCGCTGGTGAATACTTGGGAGTTGATAAGAGTGACAAAAGTCTTGGCGGCACAATCCTCAGTAAAAGCTTGCCGACGCTGATTACCCAGCTTCGGAGTCGCCCAGGAATTGGAGTTTCGAGTGCTGTCGCCATAAAATGTGCTGCGTATGCCAGAAAGAGAATCAGGGCATCGTGGCTCTCCCGGGTATGCATCAATCGATTTAAATGCAAAATGAAAGCATCAAGCTTTTTGATGGGTTTCAGGACTTTGCTGCCACTAGGGGTTCGGCTTCCTGTCGATAAATTCTTCGTTGACACATGATTTTCCTTTACCGGTTCATCCAAGCCTTCTGTCAATGGCTCAGGTGGGACTGTTCTTCACAATGTCAGCCGAAGACCCTGGAATAGGTGATAGACTTTACTTCATGTCAGCCATGTTGGAGGTAAGAGAGAAGAAGTGACTTTAAGATAACTTCCAGCCATGAGCATTAGAGAGTCGATATTCGCCCTTTGACAATGTTTGTAATGGTGGTGAGATAAATGAGTTTGAATCAAAATTCAAGGACCAGGAGGTTGAGGGCATCAATAGGAAATGATTCTGCGGGGGATAATTTGGATCTTATCCTGTTATGGGCAATACTTGGTGTGCGTAGTGCAGATACCGGTTGGACTTGCTCAATAATGCATAGCGCCCTGTGTGAAGCATGCAGGAGCGCAGATATTGTCACTATCGGCTTGCTACGCTAGCCACGTTTGTGATAAACTCCTCCATCTGTTTCGCAAAGCTGGTAAATCTTCATCATAAGAAAATAGATAAATGTTACTATTTTAGGCCGTTTCATCGATATCACAAGTTCTGCCTTGCAAGATACCCCCCGGAGGTTTTGATAGATTGTTAGCCTGTATAAGATTTCGTGCTGGGTGAGGCATACCATTGGTCTATCTTCCCCACTTTCACTTCTGCACGCGTGCTATTTCCTAAAATGGGCAAAGCTGTGCATTGCCGAAGACCGACATCTAGTATGTTTCTTTTTACTGAGAATACCTAACTTGTTGTTGTAATTTATCCACAAAGATTTGGTTTCTTCCCTTTTCAAGAGTATTTCTCAATGCCATTCGGGAATTTATGAGTATTTATACAGTCTTCCGGTACCTAGCCATTGAATTCGAATTGAAGACACTTAATACTGGCAGCAGATCGACTTCAGCGGCAGTGGCGGTTAGTATATCTCAGGGGGGAAAGCATTTCGATCTCAGGGATTACTCTCTAGAAGCTGTAGTCTTGAAGATGTCTGTCTCTTTGTCATTGAGCACCTGGCTTTATGGAACTGTGATGTTTACTTGGACGGGGATCCGTGATTTCAGCGTCAGACATGAGGTTGAAGAAGCAGTGTTTTCTTTGTGCTATGTTACACGTCGCTTGTAAATATCTGAAACTAACCTCACAGTTATCCAGAAGTGACAAATACACTTATCACGTATCGTACACTGCCTATTCCTACCGAGCCAAATTGATGTCATTCTTTATTGAATGAGCTCATTCTTTGAAGCTTCACGCGCATAGTGCAACTTGAGTCCTTCATAACAACCCAAGAACAACCCGTTCCCTACAGCTGCTGCAATACAAGTGACAGTTGCCCCTCTGAATAGCCCTGAAATTCCATCTCTTATCAATATGCCCTTGGCGATGGAAACGGGGCCTCTCGCAGCGGGCTTTCTGGCTTTCTCACGACTTAACGATGATGTGAACAATGCTTCTGGTTGTAAAAGATGGCTAGGGGGAGCTTTCTCTGGTAACCGCATTCTGGTTTTCACAACGTCGATGGGGACAAAGAAAAGAGAGGCTATTGAGCCGCCGATACCAGCGGTTATTCCGCTCACTTTGACCTGTTCCACGATGCTGTCGGACTTCTTTGATCTCCGAAGCCAAGCACCTTTGAGATACTCGTATATCGAGAACGTGAGGCTGGTACGAGGAAGATTTCCGGCTACCAACACCGTATATCCTGTCCATAGTTTCAAAGGATGTCGTGCGAAGTGCTTGAGTGAGGCTAACATGGGATTTGGTTGGACGCCACCCTCCGAGAATCTTGCAACTTGGGCATTTTGTTTGAGGACTTCCGACGGGTTGATGATGGCGCAGGCAACCATATCAGCCAACGCGCTACTGGCGGCATGAACAGCAGTTTGTGACAGGCTCCCGGGTTTGAGACCTTCCTTTGGTTGAAGAGCAGACTTCGCCGTTTCGTAGATAGTGAAGAAAGTGGCAGATGCCGGGATGGTCGTGACTACGGTTGGTGTTAAGCCACGATAGAGGCCTCGGAACAGGGCCGGTTGGAGTTTGCCCTCATGACTCCTGTATTTTGGTACATATTCCGGAGATTGTATGCGCGTAATGAGGGTGTCGAACGGGTGAACTACAAACTCAACGCTTAACGCAGCGAAGGCTGCGGCCTGTCAGAGTCAGTAATTGCGGCGTTGATGACAGGGATGTCGCGATGCTCACCAAGGATATATCCGCAGCATCCGCGCTGGTTGAGGTGGACATCAATCAGACTGCCGGAGCTGATTGACCAAGAGGAGGGCTAAAGAAAAGAGATCTCAACGGTGAAGAATTGGTGATTTAGGGATTGATGAACGGATCTCCAGGCACATCGACCAAAATTTCTTGGGGCCTAGCGTTGGGTGAAAGGATCAACTACGTCAACATCGAAGCTTCGAGGAACGCGCTAGGCTATCGCCCCAACAGCAAATGTGACCGAACGATGAGCAAAACATCAGCATTCCTGGCCCAAGGTACATGAATTGTCTTTCACAAGCTCGTACCTGGCACTTGGTAATTCATGACTGGTTTTTGAAGAAATTGGAAGATACTGACTTCAACTGATGCCCTGATCATCACCATGCTTTCGGGCTCACAGTGGCCTTCAGGCGCTGAGAGCTATAAATTGGATTAGCTAATCACAACTCGCCCCTCAGTAAGCAGAACGCTGCAACCAGGACTTCATTTCACGCTCATCATGACTCGGTCTCAGTAAAATGAGAGCGCACCGCTCTCCAATGACCGCATTTTCTCTTTGAACTCAATTCAATACCGCTGAAGATTTCTCGGACTCAAGTTTTCTGCCGATGAGTGAACCAGATCCTCGAGCGATTGAAGCTCACCAAAGACCCGGATTTATTAGGCGGAAGCGAAAACAAGTCGGCAGAGCCTGCGACGGCTGTCGACTCCAACGGATAAAATGCGACAACAGCGTTCCATGTCTCAACTGTCGCACGCGTGGTCGCGAGTGCAGTAACAATAATACGCCTTCTGTGACGACTCTCCCTCAAGCCCAAGATGAGATCGATAAGTTGAAGCGTCGGGTGAAAGAGCTGGAGGTCCAACTTTTGCAGGCGCGAAATAGTGAGACGCCGTCTTCACAACAACAAGAACCGACACCGCCTGGCGGATCGCCACCTCTCCCGAGATCTACTACCCAGGAAAACACGAAGACGAAATTTTGGGATGGCGTTTACCTTCGCCCGGCACGATCGCCGCACAGCGCTTGGTTCGGACCTTCGTCACTTTACTTCTTCATCCACCGTCTCAGCACATTTCTCAGCGCTCAAGCCGACCACATGCTCATTCACCTCGCCAGCAACTTGGAACAGTTGGAACAGCCGACCCTAACGCAAGACTCTTCGCGACTGTTGGCACCTCTCACGCGAGTCAACGAAGAGGGATTTTATCTCACTCCAGTTCAAGAAGGGTACTTCATCAACCTGTATTGGGAAACATACCATACATGTATCTATGCTGTGGTCGATGAGGCAAGTTTCAAGGCGCATTATCAATCACTCTACGTTGATGTACCAGCCGGATCACCAAGAAAACCATCCGCACTGGTAGACATCATACTCGCCATGTGCATGCAGTATCACACGTCGGCGCTTCCATGCGGCCAGCAAGGCAACATCCTCGAAGACAACGATGCAACCATGGCCGGCCGATGGTACTATCGGAGAGCGCAGACACTCTTGGCTTGCGAGGTCGAGAGCCCTTCTATCTCAACTCTCCAATGTCATTTGCTCTGCGCATTGTACGTCTGTGGAGGATCCTTTCACAACATGGCAGACACAACCAATTCCCTTGCAATTCGGACAGCATACATGCTAGGTCTGCACCTGGATCCACCGCCCACGATGCCACGACGCGAGCGCGAATTCCGACGACGACTATGGTGGTCTGTTTTCGAGGCTGATTCCAAGGTCGGTATGAAAGTCGGCCGCCCGTTCCTTATTCGCGACTCTTACGTCATGCCCGATCTGCCTAGTGATACTCTTGAAGTAGCGATTGAGTCAGGTTCGGCATTTCCCCCCATCGGCGATAATGCTACATGGCTCAGTCTCAACCTGCAGCGCACGAAGTTATACCAAACCGCGAGAGCTCTGAATCAAGCCTTTTATGGTCATGAGCTAAGGGTCGCGGAAGGACATTCCGTCTATGATGATCCAAACACAATGGAAGATCTTGCAAATGCCTGGGGCCCGCGAACAGCAGCTCTCGCGGAATGGACAAAGCAGATCCCTCGAGCGCTAAAGACAAGCCGAAAACATGGCAGCCCATACTCCCTTGACGACTCCACTCTCGGTATCGAGCAGTTTGCACCACAGTGGCTTCAGCGACAGCGCTTACACTTGGAGCTCGAGTACCATCACCTATGCATCGGACTCCATCGTCCGTTTCTCTCGTTCGCTCCCCAACAGGGAAGTTCGGCAACGGGAATGGCATTCAAGTGCGCCCAACATGCGATCCAGCTCACAAACATCAACCATCAAGTCTTATCCAAGACTTCAATCCTCAACGGCTGGCATGAAGCCTTCCAATGGCAATGGAGCGCGGCGATGACCTTGGTCGGATTTGCTGTCGCGTATCTGAATCACCCACTCGCGCCAGCTGTACGCTCAGCAATAAAAGTGGCTGTCTCGGTTCTCGACATCTTCGCTCGTAGCTTTGATGCTGCTTCCAAGGCCGCAGTCATTGTGCGAACATTACATACAAACATTGAATCCGTCATGGCGCAACTCGAGATGCAATCGGGCCCGACGGCTGTGGCAGCCATGGATAATCCCCTCTTGTATAATCTACCTGTCCAAGGAGGAATGGCGAACACAGTCGCCAACCAGTTTGATGCAATTGGCGGAGATTTCGATCTCTTGGACATGGCGATGAACGTGGACTTTTGGGCTGACCTCGATATGCTTCTACCAGGGATTTCAGGAACGACAACTGATGCAGCTGTGGCTTAGCCTCCTTGGGCCAATCATTTTACCACCTAATCGCTTTTACATAGACATCTACGAAATAATGAATGAACGACATAGATGAATTCTATTCGATGGATGAACCATTCTCTTCAATTATTCAGTACATACTTGACAGGCCATCGACCCGAACTATCTCACGAACAAACTTCGACAACCCTCATACTCCTCCTCCCGTTACATGTTGTGACCTCACAGCGTCTCGAATACGGCTACGGCCGCTTCAGCAGTCGAAGCAGCGCTAGCAGGATTTTGACCAGTGACCAAGCGACCATCAACGACATGGAAGTCATCCCAAATACCAGGAGCACGTTCATCTTCATTCCGTCAGTACAGCTTCGGTCATCGTCCAGGGAGGGAACTTACAGGTTGCACCAAGACGAGCGGCAACTTCCTCGACCATTTCAGAACCCCAGCTTCGAAGCTCGCCCATGATCTTCATAGTGTTCTCAGCTTCAGTAGTGAATCCCGTGATCTTCTTTCCCTTGATCAAAGGCTCATTGGTAGTAGGGTCAATGAGATTGGCAAAGATAGCTGGACCGTGGCAAACAGACGAGACGACGCCGCCGTTAGCCCAGACTTGAGCAGCTATGTTCTGCAGTGAAGACGCAGTGGGGTAATCGATCAAAGCTGCATGTCCAGCAGAGGCGTAGAAGAGACCATACTTGGATGGGTCAAGGTCAGAGGCCTTGGGCATGTTGTCGAGCTTCTTGCGGAACTCGCTGTTGGTGTCGTTCCAGATAGCCAGATCTTCGCCGTTGAGGAAGTCAGGCTGCTGAGAGAGCCAATCAGGCGTGTAAGTGCCAGTCTCGGAGGCGAGGTCCACCTCAAAACCAGCGGCTCTCAAGACCTTGTAGGGATGAAGAGCTTCACTGATGAAGAGGCCGGTAGTCTCTTTACCATCAAAGAGAGTGGCAGAAGCGGAGGTGATGCTGATGAGGGCACGGCGAGGAGGAGACATCTTGTATAAATGTGAGTAGTAGAGTGGTAATAGAAGTGATACTGGTGAATATTTGCTTGAAGGTGTTGTCTTGAGAGTTGTTGATGAATTGCTAAGTTGTTTGGATTGGTTGTTCTATCTACTGATGGAACATCTCAGTTATATATATTCGTGGTGGTTGAGTATCCTTGAGATGCTATTAAAGGCCATGGCCATGCAGTCTAAGCTTACGATTTCACAGTTTGGCATTGTCCCACGACGTTGTTGCAGAACAATGAGCCATTCCTATTGGTCGGGCTGCACCACGATAAGCAGAAGTCAAAAGTGAGCTGGTTTTGAACCTAACATGCATGGCAATCTCCAGTTTCGTCATACCCCTAGATTCCGGTAATAACTCTTGATAAGCTAAAAGATCATCGCATCGAATCGGAGTTTCCCATTTGCGACTGTCGACATTCCGAGGTTCCTGAAGGATCGAAAATGGGTGTGGAGCCACTGTATCAGGAGAGGTTCCCATTTGCCACAAGATTTGCAATCAAAGGGAGCTTGTCCCATTGGCTTGAGAAATGCCGAATGGGTCTGTCAACATCGGAGTCCCGGAGTTGGAAATCAAACGAGTCAGTGAGAAAATGACATAATCGCATGTTGCGACCCTCAAGGTGACCAAGGTAATAACGTTGATCTTCAATCTGAGTTTTCATTTCGCCAGACTATAAGAAGACGCCATGGCCATAACTCTAAATCATAGAACTTGTACTTCAAGCATCATTTTTGTCCTTTCTTTATTACCCTGTACTCGACCAGCATTCACCTCAACAATATGACAGTTACAAAGACAACCACCACAATCTCTCCCAACAGCAGGCTGTTCAAGCCAATCCAAGTCGGCAATGTCCAACTCCAACACCGCATGGTCATGGCTCCTCTGACCCGTTACCGCAATGACAATAACCACGTCGCAAAGCCTTTTGTAGAGCGATACTACTCCGAACGAGGCTCAACACCCGGCACCCTCCTCATTTCAGAAGCTACCGGAGTCTCAATGCAAGACACCGGCATGCGCCAAGGTCCCGCCTTCGTCACAGACGAACAAGTCGCTGCTTGGAAAAAGGTTATCAGCGGTGTCCACGCGAACAAATCCCTCTGGTCTCAACAGATCTGGGGCCAAGGCCGAGCTGCTGATCCAGAGTACCAGAAGGAGCGCGGCTTCAAGTATCGCTCATCCAGTGCTGTGCCGATTGAGGAGGGTGCTCCTGCTCCCGAGGCCATGACTGAGGAAGAGATCCAGGGCTTCATCAAGGACTTCGTCGCTACTGCTAGACGCGTTATCGACGCTGGTGGTGATATGATTGAGATCCATGGCGCTCACGGATATTTGATCGATCAGTTCACATCCGACTCTGTCAACAAGCGAACCGACAAGTGGGGAGGCTCTGTTGAGAACCGGGCGCGTCTTCTGCTTGAGATTGTCAAGGCTGTCTCAGCTGAGATCGGCTCCAAGCGAGTTGCTCTTCGCCTCTCACCATATGCTTCCTTCCAGGGAGCCGAGTCCTCCGATATCAAGGAGCAATATTCCTACATCGTCAAAGAAATCAAGAAGATTGGCCCTCTGGCCTACCTCTCTCTTGTTGAAGCCCGCGGCGATCCCGCCAAGCTCCTTGCTCCCGACACCGACCCTTCAGTTGATGCGCAAACCCTCGACTTCATCCTCGACATCTGGGACAACACATCACCTGTTATCGTCGCAGGTAACTACAGCCCAGCATCAGCGGCCGAGGTCCTCGATGGGCACTATAGCAAGTGGGATGTTCTCGTTGCTTTCGGTCGCCATTTCATTGCGAACCCCGATTTCGTCTGGAGGGTCAAGCACGGCGTTGAGTTGACCAAGTACGACCGCACCACCTTCTACGTTAGAGGATCAGAGATTGGATACAATGATTATCCATTCTCTCAGGAATACGTTGATGCACAGCGGGCTTGGGCTGTGGAGAACCTTCCAATGCATCCCAAATAAAGATATACAGCACGAATTAGATGATTAACGAAGCGATAGAATAGAGCATATAAATAGATCTTGATAGAATAAATATTTACTTCTTTTTCTGATTAGTATATGAATTGTCCATGGGTTTGGAAGTCTTCGATTCCGATGGACATCACGTTACACACCGAGCGAAAGGGCGTTGTTGACATGCCCTCCGCTTTACATGTCGTCATGGTTGCGACTGGTGACTTATAAGAACCGTGAACATTTACCACATTTTATCTTCTACTTAAACTCTTAAAACTCAAAAGACGTTTTACGAGTAGCTATCCCAAGAAGTACTACCATGGCGTCGTCAGCAAACTCAACATCCAAGATCCTCAAGGGCGGATGCCTATGCGAGTCTGTCCGCTACAAGATATCCTTCCCCAAGGATCACGATCTTTCCAACGATACTTTAGGTTGCATTTGCCAATGCACCCAGTGTCGCAAACAAACCGGAAGCTTTTTCCTCGCAACTTTGACAGTCCCCATCTCCGCCATCGAGTGGCAGGGCGACTCGGAGGAGATCATCAAAAGATATCGCAAGTCCAAAAATATCGCTCGGGGTTTCTGCGGCAACTGCGGCTCCTTTTTGTTCTGGCATCCCGACGGGAAAGACATTAGTATCGCGACTGGAAGCCTAGATCCTTCGTATCTCTTTGGTGAAGGAGTTGAGGACATGAAGAGTGAAGCTCCCTCGGATGGGTTTGCAAAGGAGATTTTCAGTGGGCATTTCAACGTGGAGTTTTGCGAGAGTGAGATCAAGGGCGTTACGGATGATATGCCCATTCTTCATAAGGGAAAGCGATGCCAAGGCGATAGCTCCAATTCCTGAGGCCAAAGGGGGCCACCTGGTATTTTTAAACTCCTGTAGCTAGTCTCTATCTCTATAATTATTCTCTCCAGAATCCTCTCTTATAGGCGGCGACAAAGAGCGCGGACGAGGTTGCGGTAGTGGAATGCCACCCTGTGCATTGATGCGACGTATCATATCGCCAACCTCGGGATAATCAGGTTCATCTTTCGGTCTTCTGTCAAATATTCTCATTTCTATGTTGGTTAATGGCCTTCGTTCCCAAATATCTCTGTAGATGTGATGGTGGGTAAGTGCTCTCGGCGCGTCTACTCGTACACGATTTTGCTTATCACCAAGAATTGGAAGGGGTGACGGCAATGTAGATGATTCATCCTGTAGTAGGGAGTCGAAGAGAGCTTGTTGCTGTTCATCTCGCAGTTGGTAAACCCTTATCGTTTGACTCTTGCGGCATGGGTGAAAGTAGATATTGGGTATCTCATCTGGGTTCTCGGGACGTCGCTCAAACACAGTTACGCCACCTAGAATGCGATCCTCAGCCCAGTAGCCAACCATATCTGCCACCCCTTCTGGGTATATATCGTCGTCGAGATAATCGTGATGACTGAAAAGGGTAGGCCCAGGTGGGAATCGAGTCATCGTCTCAGATAACGGCATCTCCCAGTTTGTGACGGCGTCAATATCTCCCTGGTGGAGATGAGGCTCAAGCTTATGTAGCCAAACTGCTATTTGATGCAAAGCAACAGCTACCAACTCGACTAAGTGCAGCTTGAAAGACTTGAAGCCAGGTTCGGCCTCTTGGAAGGCCTTTAGAGTCTGGAGAGATTGTTAGTGAGGGGCTTTGACATGATTAAGCTCACGACGATATCGTAACAAGATACATCAAAATGACGAATAAAGGCAAAGTCTCTCTATTTGTAGTTAGAGCTGGGAGGACGACTTACTTCAGGATCAAACTTGAGGCTCGAAGAGTCCCACTCCTTGTAGTACTCCTGTGCCTTCTCCAGAGCTCCAGGGCACAATGTCTCATGGTCATCAATGATATGATCTCCCATGATACCAGGAAGTCGACGGTCCCAGGCAATATCGGCAATGGGAAGACCATCAATGATCTGAGAGTACGTGAACTGTGCTAGTTCGGTGGAGAGAACATTTCTGATGGCTCTGTCTAAGATTTCGCGGTGATGGGAAGTAATGGTCTCAAATGGCACACGACTGTCATGTGCGTCCCGTGCAATATTTCGGAGCCTTTCTTTGTGGGCTTCTAACATATCGGGGTCCATTGGTAATATTTTAACCACTCCTTTTTTCAAGGTGACAGATTGATTATTGTTAGCATTCCATATGTGAAGGTGAAGTTCAGAGGGGTTACATCGGACACATGCGGGTAATAGCGTTGGCGAGAGTGAATGCCTGACTTACAAGGCTTTCCTTGTTTCACCTGGTTCGTCGTGCTTGAACTTGGCTCAATCCGCGCTGATGAACAGAGTTGGCAGGTGACCGTAAGCTCAAATTAGCTACACTGTTATGCTCGAACCCGGTTTCTGCACCCGTTTAATACGTCTTGGATAATCATGCTTTGCGAGTCTGTTCAGTGTATCCGTCGACTTCCGAGTAATTATGAATGATGTTCTTCCGCATTCTGATTGTTCATGCTGGATTCATATCAACAGTGTTTTATCTCTCGAAGCACATTGGATTTTATACTGCACAGGCCGTCATATCTAGCTAAAACGTAGAACAACGCTTCTGATCAATAAACAATGTAACGAGACATCATTCACCCAGGCCGAAAATTCTTCCAATAAAAGGCATACCATACATATCGAACTATTCCCTCAACATGTAGCATTTGCTTGCAGCCTGTTTTCCCATTCTGCCTATTGCTATAGAAGAAATCAAGTATTAGCCGTGACAAATTAGCTATACAGACACTCCTATTCATCGCCTACGATGAGTACCCTCAACCTCCATCTCGCCATCTCAAAGGAGCGCGGTCAAGGTCAGCCTCGGCACTGGATCCTGATGCTTGCAGAAGAAAACGCCACTCATGCTATCTTCCACCATGTGACTGGCGGACCCATGCACGGTAAGCCGTATGAAGTTGTCATTGAGCCCAAGCGCGTTGATAGCCATGGTATCGAGAAGCGTTACTTGATTGCTCAGGTCCTCAAGAAGGATAGGCAGAAGGTCAAGGCTGCTGTTCGGCAAGCTCCTCCGCTGTTCTGTCAGCGCTGGATCTTGAACGTTCTTGAGGACTTGGAGAAGCAGGGTATTGTTCCTGAAGAGACTTCTTCCAAATGGAATGAAGCCTTGGAAACTGATCCGTTCTCCAAGGATGGTGCTCCTTCGAAGAAGTCTTCAGGTGACGGCGATGCTACTGACGCTTAAGGCTTTCCAGGTACGTAGATTGCCATCTGACTTGATGAACAGGTGAGATGTACTATGCGTGATTTGAGTATGAGATAGAGTAGATGAGATGTGTTTGCTAATGAAGGAAGCGACTTAGGCCTCAGGAAGCAAGAAAACTTCTAACTTTAGGTCAAAGTACCAAAACCTAGTCTAAGGATCCATAAAACTACACTAAATTTACCTAGGTCTTTTTATCATTTAGAATAGATGTCTTCAGTTTTCTCATCTCCCCTAGTTAGGGTAATATGATCCGTTCAGGCGTGGCAAAAGGGAATATATTACTTGCAGATTATTGGTGGTTGCTTTTCGCTATATGCAGGCAAATGGGAGGGAACCAAGCAAGACTTCAAGCCAGACGCCGGAGTGGTTTGCTTTTTTTTTAACAGGTATGTCTCTGAAGTGTATAGATTTGTCGTATTTCACTACCTAGTGATGCCATATCCCCAATAAGGAATGATAATGCAAGGCTCATGGCTGGATCATGATCGGGTCAGAGGAATACCACGATGCCTTATCCTTGATGAACTTATGACATATGTGAAAGTGAAGTTCATATAGGTTACATTAGACGCATGCTGGCAATAGCGTTGGCAAAAGTAACATTTGACTTCCAAGGCTTATTTGACCTAATTCTTCGTGCCTGCGCTTGACCAGCCCACGCCAATATACCACTGTTGGGGTTACTGAATGGCTGGCTTTGACCCTTGCTTAAGTCTTGCTCCTTTGTAACCCGTAGAAGCAATCTACCAGGCACACAAAATTGGCTTCTCTTCTCATAAATCCCAGTCAAGTCTTTCACCAACCTCCGCCGAAATAGGCTCAGTTGTCTCAAGATCAAACCCAACCTTATCAAGTAATTGTAGCTCTACAGCCTGCGCCAGACCATCCACATATCCCTCCGTAGTGAAACAAATCTTTGTTCCGAAAACCAACTCGTTCGTATCCGGCGAGACAGCACTCTCAGAGGACTGGCTCCCACCATTCAGCCGACACAATGCCGCGATAGCGCTTAAAAAGTCTCCGGTATAAGCTTCGTTGGACCGGTCCTCCAGTACTTGAGGGTTATCTATAAAGATATGCACCAGTCTCGGGCCCAGCTCACGCACATCGCGTATCAGCTGAAGTGTGTCGCCCATATCCAAGGTCCCTTGCGCAAGGGCAGCAAAGCGCGCAGGAGATAGATCCGCCCTCGAATAACCTCTCTCTGGTATTAGTTGGACGAGTTGCGTAACAATAGAGGCTATGAATGCCTCAAGGCCGGCTCTCTTGGATGTCCCTAAGGCGTCATGATCTGTGAACGTGCAAAAGTAAGCGACAAACGGGATGTTATGGGTCCGTGCCAGTGCCGTCAGAGACGCCGCGGTCATGGAATTTTGGCCCGGCCGTGAGATGTCATGAGGGCCTTGAATCCAGAAATTGGTTGAGCTAAGACCTCGTAGCCACGTTACCAAGCGTTGATGCACATGCCTATCAATTTGTAGAAGCGATGCTTGCTTGACAGCCTCAGTTAGATGCTCAACCTGATTCTTCCATAGAGTGGTAAAGTCGATCAGCTCTGCCTGGATCTCTCCGCGGTTGTACCTGTGATGCGCTTGTGGACACGAGCGAGCCTCTAATTCCGGGAGTAGCGGTTCATTGGCGTCACCGTCTGACGCAACAGGGCATTCTTCCGTTGATCCCTCAATCATGCTTGTGACCAAGGTCGGCTGGGGTCGTTCCATAATGAACAGCTGTTGTTGCTCTAGTAATTGTTGAAGCGACTCGCCGAGGAATAATCTTTGCTCGTTCAGTTGGTTCGGTAAGCGATCCAAGAGCTCCTTTTGACTCTGAATGACCATCTCCAAACACTCAGTGGTGCGGTGTCGAAAGTTGAGATTGACGTGGCGTTCCATACGGCGTTCAATAGCCAACATTCGTCCTTTCTTCGCAGTGAAAAGCTTGTTGAATGCACGGTCATCGAAGCTGGTGAGGAAACGTTTCCAGCCAGATTTGGACCATTTGTTGAAGATCTCGGTGAAGAACTCAAAGACAATGACATAAAGCTCCTGGATGTATTGATGAAGTGATGGAATATTTCCATGCTCCCTCATTTGCCGGTTCCAGAAATCAATGTCATGGCCCAGATCGTCGAGTGTATCTGCCACCCCCTCGGCGATATTCTGGTGGTTGATGGTCGCCTGAGCGATGGCTGAGAGGGACCCCGTTAGTAGAGTGACATACTTGTCATCCTTGGGAACGATGGCCAGCAGTGAGCTGTGGTCGTGGCAGGTCTCACAGAGGCTGTGAAATTTGGATTTGAGCTTGCCCAACTTGCTTTCTTCACGATCCGACTGCCATGTCGCCGAGGCTTTGTTAACTGTAGCCACAAGGTAATTGATATCTGGCCGGCCGCGTTCCTCGAGCTGCATCTGCTGGTCCTTAGGGAGATCGCGTCGGAATTTGTCCCATGCCGCATAGAGCCTCCGGCTCTGTTCAAACAGAAAGGCTTCTTCGTCTGGAACACAGCCATTCGCTAGTTCCCGCCCCTCTAAGAGAAGCTGGTCCCATTCATCTCGTGACGACCTCAATCGTTCTCGATTTCTGTCAAACGCCACCTTGGCCGCCAAAGCCCGACCGAGGGGTTCTTCCGGTGTGGAATTCACGACATCATCGCTGAACCGCCTGGTGATTCCTTTACTGGGTTCAGCTTTCCCGAATCTATTCATGACTTGGATAGGTCGATGGGTCAATGAACGAGAGACGGATCCCCCTCCTTGTCAAAAGATGTACCACAGGCAATGTTGGCTAGCTGCTGACAGGGTCTACCCATGCCTACAAGTATATCTATACGCACATCAACCCTTCGCCGATTCGCCCTGTTCCATAGCCACTGCCACCCCCTTCGTTATTGATTACTTTTCCATTACGGGTTTCTTCTTAGTGTGACTCAGCTATCCCGCTAAACAGCGTTGGTGAGTCGTGCTGTTCCGCCTTTCATAGCTGTCTTCCTTAACTCCTTACTTAGACAAAGCAGAGACCAGCTACCTGGGTTTCAATGCTCTTGAATATTCTTTCGCTGAGTCGCCTCCTCTCTTGCTGACGTGTCCATGGGAACACTGCATGATGGTGGGGTGGGCCTGGTCATCTACAACAGCCTGATTAATGGCCATAATCATCATCTATACCCCTCCTCGCCGCTTTGCTGATATCAGCACAAGAGCATCAATCAGGCCGCAAATAACCCTGCTCGTCTTTTTTCTCCGTGACATAGGCCCAGATTCTACTCTCAAGTCTCATCAAAAATGGCATCAAGAGCTAAGTCTACGACGGACGACACGGAAGAGTCTCTGAGTCCGACTTTTGCGGCCTCGGGCGTGCCCCACCGATTGACGGCCCACGCTCGCGACAATATCCTGCTGTCCGATACGTCAATGATGATGCTGATGACTTGGACTTGGGCTTGAGCTACCGGTATGAAAGAGACACGCTCCGTCGTAATGAGATCAAAAGGAGCGTCGTGATTGATCTGCCCAAGCTCCGACAACATGAGGACTCAGACGCGGAGCATCCACCTATCGAGCCAGCCATTATTTGGAACGCCAAAGTCTACCAGAGCCAAGGAAAGACTCGCGGCGAGGATCTTCACTTACACCGATCTGACCTGACTTACGTCGATGATCGGCCTATTGAGTTTTCCGTTGGTCTTTCCCCCACGAAACTGCCACTTGAGACAGATGAGGATGTGCCAGAAGCTGCAGCGTGGACAGGCCCCGTCATAATCATTGAAACCTTTGTCGAGGCGGATATTGATCAAGAAAGGTTATCGGAGATGAAGAGGCTATCGGAAATAGTGGCTTCGCCTTGTCTTGATATGTTGAATCCAAAGCATGTCTCCCGACGACATCTCGTGGTAGAGTCCCCGTTCCTTGCTGAGTGCCTCCGTAACCTCGTTCAATATTATCCGTCGTTCCATCAGATGTTATTGGATGATTCGAAAGGAGGAGAGCTGAGGATTGAAGAGCCTTTTGCCGTTTTGTTTCATCATTTTGACGCCATCGCAGCCATGGCCGACGAAACTACCGGGGCAACGGTTTGCAACGCTGAGGATGACAGTAAGAACCAAGGAACCGACTTTAAGGTGGTACATACACAGCATTTGATGGCTTTTCTCAGGCCCATTTACACTGAGTCCATCCTAACCTGTCAAAAGCACCTTTCCAACCCCGTCCCGCAGGTCGCGTTTGACATGCTCTGGTATCCTCTCAAGCCCGAGACAGATGTCTATGTACAACTTGACGGATCAACGGATGCTGCAGTTGTTATGGGAGTCAGGCGCACTGATGTCTCTTTGTCCAAGGTATGGGGGGCCGGGAGTGACGGGTCTTGGCTGGTCGACCTCTGGCGGCTTGAGAGTGATGGCTCCAGACTCCGAAGAGGCTTCTTTTCTGCAATGGTAAACCCTTACTCTGGACTCCGAGATGTAATTAGTCTTCCAGTGTGTCCAGTTTCCATTTGGGATGCACACGACGGTGGCGAGCGACGTGAGAGTATTTTACGCCGGGCTGCAACTTTCTTCAAGGCGCTTCAACGAGGCAATCTCCTCGTGGATTACAAGGGACCTATCAAAGAGACCGCCCAATATGTAAGACATAGGCTTGCAGAGAAACGGTAGATATGTCACTGACACCTCTATAGTACACGGGAAAGGTGGTTATCGACCATCGAAGAGGGCGTGCGGAATCTCGCATCTACCGGGCCCTTTCCCCACAAGTCAACGACTATTCAGACCGGTTCAAGGAGTATGACGGGATTCTTATCAACAACGATAGGTCCTTCTACACCACCCAAGATACTCGAAACCGTCCCCCGAACCCTAAATTCAAACTAGCCAACAGCAACGATGCCGTCGTCAACGGCGAGGAGTTGCAGGTATGGCTCAACAATGTACCCGAGTACCGTTCCCCGGAAACGATTCGCGCAGAGACCGGTGGTTCCGTCGTTCAACAACTCACAGAGCACCAACTCCTTTTGCTATGCCCAGACGCTCTGGCATATGGACTGAGACGCAAGCACTGGAGTAGGCCCATCTCCCTCTCTTGAATGTTGTCGCAATGACACTAATATGATTTTAGTGCTGATCTCTCTCGACTACGTTCAAGAGTCCGTGCCATCAGAGGAGAGTATTTCAAATCTGATTATTGCCCAGGATGAGTTGAAGACCATCCAGGCTCTCTCGAATCGCCAGAATAGTGAGACGAGGCACTGGTCGGCGGATTTCATCGAGGGAAAGGGATCAGGGCAGATCATATTGCTACACGGTATCTCCCCTTTGACTAAGTCTTCTATAAGTCATGTCACTATCTGACAATCTCTTCCAAGGTCCTCCAGGAGTTGGCAAGACTTACACAGTTGGTACGTTAGCGGCGAAGATCCAGAATGAAAACTAGCTAACGAAATGAAGAAGCTATCTCTGAATGGTTGCACCGGCCGCTCCTTGCTCTCACAGTGGCTGATATCGGCACGGTCGAGACGCTCGTCGAAGGCGAGCTTATGAAGTGGTTTGATCTTGCGGAAGCCTGGAACGCAGTGCTTCTCGTCGATGAAGCAGATATCTTCCTCGAACGACGGCAAAATCGAGACCTCGCCCGAAACGGACTGGTATCAGGTAAGTTCCCTGTCTAACCTTTATCTCGCTCATGCAAGGTAACATTCCATCTACAGCATTCCTCCGACGAATGGAATACTTCAAAGGTCTTCTATTCCTGACCACGAACCGCGTCGGACAAATTGACGATGCCTTCATTTCACGCGTCCACGTGGCAATCGGATACCAGGCCCTCGACGAAGAAACCAGGCGAAAAGTCTGGAACGGCTTTTTCCGCAAGCTGGTGCGCGAACGCGCTGGCAAGGTACAGATCGCACCAGACGCAAAGACATGGGTTCTTGAGACCGCCGGCGAGACGAGTCTTAACGGGCGAGATATTCGCAATGCGTTGCAGACAGCTATCACGCTGGCAGAGTTTGAAAGCGAAGAGGATCCAGACTATGATGCTGCATTAGTGACAGTTGTCACTAAGGCCCATTTCCAGAAGGTTTTGGAGATGTGCAATCGGTTCCGCAGTTATGTAACGAGTATACGGAGGGAGGATGAGATGAAGCGTGCTCAAGGGCGTGGAGATCGGAATGATTATAGCAATGGTTTTGATAGCAGAATGTGTTAGTTACTTGTCACTGCCGTTTCAGCACAATAGGTATTCGCTTATATAGTGGCGAGTTCTCGGAAGTCAAATCTCTGTGCCTTTAATACATATATAGACTCCGACAAAGGACAATGAGAACGTTAAGAGAAGAACATGGGAGGTAAGAAACGCACTCATATGAACTTATGCTGGGGTTGCCAAGCGTAGGCATAGACATACGGCATACAAAGACAGGAAACATCAAGTGCCTGCGAATAGAGACAAAAGAGTCACAACGGTGTCTGTTTGTCGTGAAGTTGTTTGGTCGTGGATGGGGCTGTGGCCCTGTGGGTCATGAGTTCCAAGTTGCAGAATAAGTGGCCCGGGTCCCATTAAGAACCAACCAGGCCGTCATCGTATAGGGGTCAGTACATCAGTTTGTGGCTATTGAAAGCACTGAAAACGCAAGTTCGAGTCTTGCTGACGGCAAACCTCTTCTTTTGCTTTTTGGATACCTAGATAGACTTCTCAATTCAGCTATGTTTTAATGTTTTTTTGTTTGCCTAGACACGCCTCATCGATTCGGACCCCCGGTGCAGAAGGAGGGTGGCAAAACTGATTACCCAACACATTGTTGGTATTTGAGTGATTGAACAAGCTTGTATCGTGCATACTGAAGTTGGTCAATGGGACTGTTGCTGATAAGGCCTCCGTTATAGAAAACGAGGCACTCATTGAGCTTGTACTTCAGCATCCCTCCTGGGGGCGTAGTTGTGAGGGTGATGATTTGCTATCCCTTAATTTCTTATTAATTTTATCGAAGTCATGCTATGAGACGAAATTTTAAACCGCCTTGCTATTAATGCATCGTTGAAATGACTGTTCGGAACAAGAGTTTTATTGTTGTTCAGGGTAAGTGATGAGAATGTGAGCGTTGCACTAGTCTTGATAAGGATCTTAGCGCTGAAGACTTGGGTCTGATGTGTTGAACCGAGAAATTGCTAGGTTAAGATAGAGGTGTGCTGGATCATTTCCTTTCTCTTTATTATTTTCAATGACTGGCCCTTACCATGACATTTCGAAACAGAAATACCGTGATGTATCATTCACCTACATAGATGTTGTCGCCTTTAAGTACCTTGCTTTGACCACTGTAGAACAAGTCAGCTAAGCGTAATTGGTTTAGTGGTAAAATTCTCCGTTGCCATTCGAGCAGCGTCGGGGAGCCCAGGGTTCGATTCCCTGATTACGCATTTCTTTTGCTGTTTCAACATCTTTTTGCGATTTGTTGTAACCGATGTTGTTTCTTCATTTCAGTCGAGATGTTTTGAAGTTTATTGGCGACGCGTTGCAGTCTAAAATGTCGCGTGGCAGCTTACCCTACAAGAACAAACCGCACTGTGGCTGCTGTGGCGTAACTCTGTTGTGGCGCCGTTACCAAAACGGGCTAGACCGTTTGCAGATCTTACCTCACTTTAGTCATCGCGAACATGGATCGTATCAAGGACACTCTGTACGACTTTCAGCCTCCCTTGATTCACCTCGTCATTTCAAACTCTCACACAACATTCCCCTCATCACGCGCCAATTTAACCCCATCACTGCGCGCGCATGAATGCTTCCAATCGCTAGATCAAGACAATCCGTTAGCATGGGCGGGCAACAGCCGGATCTGCTGCCTCGCTCCGAGCACGAAGATAAGCCCTCATCGTCAGCCCCAGCCTCGCGCCTCAGCAGAGACAAGATCAAATGCCTTGACGGCTTGCGCGGAATCGCATGTCTCCTTGTCTTCAATTATCATTTCTTCTGGCCATGGACGCCTGTTATTATGCTGGGTTATGGCGCTTTCCCTCCGCGTGCGCCTGAGCCGTATTGGGGATTGCAGTCGTTGCCTATTATTTGCCTTTTGCATCGTGGACGTGCTATGGTTGCTATTTTCTTCGCCATCTCGGGCTATGTTATTTGTCGCCATATTCTTCGCTTGATTCATGAGCGCAAGCTTGATACTGCTTATCAGAAGCTTGCATCCTCCGTTTTTCGACGTGTCTTTCGCCTTTATATCCCTCCCACTATCAGCATGTTCCTTGTCGCTGTGCTAGCTCAAATCGGTGTTTTCAAGTCCGAGTTCGCTATTTACAAGGGTCCTGACTCTCACTACATCAATGCGACGATTACTCATGCTGATTTGGCAGAGGGTAACTTCTGTGCTAACGGCACCGCTGTGAGAGGAGCAGCAGGTATTGCGAATTACCTTGGAATAGAGACCACCGCGTATCTCCGCAATACCACTGGATATCCTGAGGGAAACACCACAGAATGGACAGATATGCTCCTCTGTGTCAATCACACAACGCGATCGTATGGACCGTCTCAGCTCTATACCTTGGAATCCGAGTATGAAGCCCAGTTCCCCAAGAATGACACCAACTCCACCAAGCCTGTGAAGAACACCACTGGTATGGAGCGACTTGCGGCTCTCAGTTACCTGGATGACGAAGACGATCTGGATCTCACCTTCGGGAATGCCACCAATGCCACAAACCCATTGAACCTTACTTGGGTTCAGATGGGTGGCTCTTGGGAGGAACATCCCTTCATCCACCCGAACTTGACATACGCGATGAAGAACTTCACCAGATCGTACGCTGAGTGGGCCAACCCCTTCAACTTCGGTCACTACCATACACGCTATGACCCGCATACCTTCACCATCCCAATGGAACTCCGCGGCTCGATGCTCATCTACATCTTCCTTCTCGGCACAGCTGCCATCAAGGCCAAATGGCGAACGAGAATCGGCTGCTTCCTCTCTGCGTACAGCCTCTTTATCGGACGATGGGACATGGCTACCTTTTTGGGCGGTATGCTGCTTTCAGAGCATGATGTTCGACGATCATCAGATCTACCACCATCGGCTACTGGCGCGAAGGGTCGCGGAGGGGATTTTCAACGGACGACAAAGGGAACGGCGTTGCGATGGGCTGGTATCGTCTTGGCGCTCTATTTTTTGTCGTACCCTGATTCCGGTGCCGAGTACACACCGGGTTTCGCCTATCTTTCGACCTGGGTACCCAAGTACTACACGCCGCTGTCCGGGTGGATGTTCTACGAGGCGATGGGCGCCGTGCTCCTCGTTGCGTGCATTCTGCGCAGCCCGGTGCTCGTTCGTTTCCTCGAGAGCCGTCTCCCGCAGTATCTTGGAAAGGTCAGCTTCTCGCTGTATCTCGTACACGGACCTGTGTTGCATAGCTTGGGCTTCTGGATTATGCCGAGACTATTCGACAGCTTCGGAAAGACGGGCGGGTACGTGATTGGTTGGGTTGTTCTGCTGGCCGTCACGTTTTACTTGACGGATCTGTGGAACAAGAAGATTGATGGCTGGAGTGTAACGGTTGGAAGAAAAGTGGAGAAGATGCTTTCAGAGGACTGAGCTGCGAAGTTTGATGGTGAACAAAAGAGGGGACAAGTGACAGGAATGACAGGACAATCGGGTTGTTGACAGTGGTGATATGTAGAGTACTGCATTTATGCAACGTTTTGCATCTGGAAAATGTTTCCTTGGGCTTCGTATCAGTTCCAAAATGCAAATAATACATATTTTGAAGCTCCTGTATGTATAAGGTTGAGGCGTTAAAAGAAACTTATTTTGAGGCATGTAACGCAAACACGGCCGCTGAGTGGACGCAGGCTGCACCGTTTGAGGTTTCGACGTTATTGCAGGGACCGGTTTCGGCAACGGCTGAAGCGCAAGAAAACACTCAAGTTCGGCACATGAGCTTATCTGATCCGCCTTTGACATGAGGCTATTGGTCTGGGAGCCAATGTGGGTAGAGAACAGAGCGCTTCAGCACGTTGTGCAACCGCACCATTGTGAGACAAGCACCGCATTCATAGAGGTCATAAGAGACCATAAATATTATTACGAGCCAGCAGTGAAATTGAGGTAAACTTATCATTCTTAGGATAATTTTAGCCTAAGCTCAGGATTTCTCACGATGCGACATTGTTATTCTTACGTCACCCCCACTGATGGGCCCAGCGATGTCGGCCCCATCAATTTCTTATCAGATCGTAACGTCCTGACATCATCACCATCTCAAATTCTTGCTTCTTTCACCTACCGAAATTATCACAAAAATGGCATCTCAACCCTCACTTCTCGCCGCCACGGCCAAGGTACGACTCATTCATTGCTGAAAGGCACTCGCTAAAATTCGCAGCTCAACAATGGCCTTATCATTCCCCGCATCCAGCTCGGCCTCTACATGATGTCCACCAAAGAAGCCACCGACGCAGTTCGTCAAGGTCTTCTCACCGGCTACCGCGGCTTTGACTGCGCGCAGATGTACCACAATGAGCGACAAGCCGGTAAAGCCATCAGCGACTTTCTTGCCAGTAGTGAGAACACGGCGGGTTTGAAGCGCGAGGATATTTGGTACACTTCCAAGCTTGCCAACTGCGACGAGTCGTATGATGCTGTCCGACGATCTGTCAAGAAATCGGTGGAGGCCTCAGGCTTGGGTTACATTGACCTGTTCCTCCTTCATAGCCCCTATGGTGGAAAAACGGCAAGACTTACGAGCTGGAAGGCTCTTGAGGATGCTGTTGATGCGGGTGAGATTCGCGCTGCTGGTGTCAGCAACTTTGGTTCTGCTCATGTGAGTTTCATGTCTTCTGCTGCAAGCTGATGATGCTAATGCTCCCAAGATCGAGGAGCTCATGGCTTCCAACCCTCGCATCCCTCCCGTAATCAACCAGATCGAAGTCCATCCCTTCAACACTCAAGAAAGAATTCGCGCCACTTGCGCCAAGCACAATATCACCATCGAGGCCTACGCTCCTCTCGCTCGTGCTGAGCGCATGGATCATCCGGCCATTGTCAACATGGCCAAGAAGTACTCCGTCACACCTGCCCAAATCTTTGTCAAGTATTGCTCCCAAACTGTACCACGTTCCGTGTGCTGATGATATCCAGGTGGGGACTTCAACATGACTTTATCACTCTACCCAAGAGTACCAAACAGAAGCGCATGGTCGAGAACGCAAGCGTTGATGGGTTTGAGATTTCGGAGGCAGATATGAAGGAACTTGATGGCTTGGATGAGCATTTAGTTACAGACTGGTGAGTATCCATGGGTTGTCAATGTTTGTTCTGGAGACTAACAGCTGTACAGGGACCCTACCGACGCGCCCTAAATTCTCAGATATAACCATTGTTAGGACATATATATATGAAAAGAATTATTCATTTCACATTGAGCCGAATATGGGGTCATTAGTGTGGATGAACGAAACAACCACTGAACTTGTTCATGGACCAAACAAAACTCAACAAAGAGCTCCCTAAATTGATCATAAATTATCATAAAATATGGATCCTAAACTATCCTAAATTATCCTAAGCTTCCCTAAACTACCATAAACTTAGCTAAGCATTTATGCTAGTTAGGATCGAGCTCTCAATTTTTCTTTCATCCCCTGGGTTCAAGAAGACAAACCTGGTGCGTGAATGATGCTCAACCTGAATCTGACAGTGCAGCAGGCAGGAGCTCACCTGTTTGTGACCTGTGTAACACTCAGTTGGCCCGTGCCCACGAAATGTTTTGATCACTGCTTCTGAAAGTCGTCTCGTCTTCTTGCCTTTTCTTCTCTCGCAACATCCTCGCCGTCACAAGTACTTCTGATATACCGACGAGTTATACGGCACCAACACATTCGAAGAAACCGAATTTGCCTCTTGCATTTCATGCAACAAGCATGATGCCTCAACAGCGCCGCAGCCACGAAGGGAGCCCCTGCTGCGGGCACGGTAAGTACTCGTTCGCCGCCTTGAGGATGCTCAACGCTGACCAGAACTTCTCTTCATAGAAGCGACAGACTGTACAATCTCCTAAACGACCGGCGACCAGCCTTGGAGGTTACTGATACGGATTAGTCCCAGATGATCGCCGATCCGACTCCCGTTCCCCTATTATGAACTGATTTGACGGCGGCCCCGTCTGTGACCACCACCCTTTTCGACGAGCTTCTCCAGCACTCTAGTCATGGAAGAGAAACAAAAATAAACAAGTGCAGGCAAAGTCCAGTTGTATGAGTACCCCATGCCGAGCCAGAATCGACTGGTCTGCTCAGCTTAACTATAAGCATGAGTAAGCCAAATACTCAGTCTAGTCTTAAACTACCACAATCTGACTCTTCCCAGGAGAACCATAGTTTTTAGAGTGTTCTCAAGTAATGTTCTCGAGATACAAGTCTTCTTTTCTCATAAACCTTTCGAAAGGTCACGTTGTTGGAAGAACGGCCAGGTGGGCTTGGGTAACTCTCAGTCAAGGATCAAGATAAGCTTTCATTCAAGGTCTCAACTGCAATTCTAAGTTCTGTGGGGTGATTACAAGCTCTCAGTCACAGGTCTCAACTGTAATTCATGCGATAAAGATCAAGACTGCCAGCGATACAACATCTATCTCAATGGAGAATCTAACCTACACTACGCCTTCTCAACTACAACCGTCTCGTCCGTGTCACTGTTTCCTGGTCCCTCGCCCGTACCCAGCTGCCGGATTACCAGCCAGGCTGGAAAGATAGCGACCGCCCAAATCCCAAAGTTCATATACGTGCTCCCCACAGTTGCCATGATCGGAAGAGCATTGAGACCATAGCTGAGCGCCTGCCATGCCGACTCCGTACCTCTCAACAACGCAGATAGTCGCACAGTCTCTTGCGGATTGCTCGAGAGCTGACCGATGATGAAGAAAGCAAAGTTGTAGTTGAGCTGGAATCCAGTGACAAGGAAGACGAAAACGCCGAATGCGGCACCGAAGCCAGGATCACTCCAGTCGTAGATGGGTCCTTCGCGCTTGAACTTGGTGACGTTGATGGTGAGCCAGATCCACCATCCTCCTTGGAGGGTCATGATGACAGCGTAAGCCCACCTTGCGCGCTTCTTGAGGGCGATTTGGTTCTGATCAAGCCAGACACCCAGAAGATTTCCCGCAATGACCGCAACGATACCAGAGACGAAAGAACCGAGAGCTCGAGCTCGCACGCTGAACCAAAGAGCGATGTACGTGAAGAAGACCGACTCTGAGTAGACTCCTTGACCGATCCAGAAGATGAGCAGCAGGAACTCTTTCTTGAGGAACGTTCGTGTTGTGGCCTTGAACTCTTTCCAAGGATGGTCGAGGATGCTCATATCGACTTTCTTCCCATCGGCGCGCTGGACTTGCGAGGGCTTGTTGAGAAGGAACGCGACAAATGGTCCTAGCGCCTGAAGAGCGATGAAGATGAGATAGACCTTGTACGACACTTTGCCCGCCTCACTGCGATCCGCATTAAGACCAAGGTTAATCGCGCCACCCAAAATCTGTCCCAGTCTCGTGAACGAAAGCCAGTACGCCACCAAGCGTCCTCTATTTCTCGGTTCCGGGTATCCAATCGCAATAGCCGCCTCAGCCGCCCAAAAGATTCCCGCTGAGACACCACAGCATGCTGCGCCGAAGATAACAAGCCACTCAACGCCATAGCGGTTATTTAGATAGAGACCCGCACTGTAGGGAGCAAAGCCGATCGTTCCGATAACGAGAGCGCCTTTAATACCGACGTACTTGACAATGCCGCTGGTGAACCAGCATGAGATGATCATGAGGCAGAAGGTTAGGGCGTTGCCGGTGTTGACGAGATAGGGCTTCTGAGCACCACCCGCGCCGAGGGAGTTCATTGCGCCCCAGAGACCCGGGGCGGCAAAACTGCAGAGGCCGAGGATGGTTGCATTGTAAATTGGCGAGCGGTTCCATTTCGCTGGTAAACATTAGTATAAGCATAAAGCTAGAGAGGCTGAACTCACGCTTAATTGGGCCATCATATGATGTCTCAGTATTTGCGGCATCAGCCGTATGTTTGCCCTCTGATTCCGACATTCTGGTGAAGGTTCCAACTGTCGGGCAAGTCAAGAAATTTGCCGAGTTTTGTGCGACTTGAAAGCAACCAAAGAGGAGATGATAAATGATGTTTAAGAGCGGCGAAGCATCAAGATAAAGTAGTCGGAATAAAAGAATGACACCACTCAACCCCAGCAATGATGACAGGGACCAAGATAAAGTGTGCAAATTAACCACTCGATCGGTAATGGTGGTTGTTTCGATCAAGTTAGATCGCCGAGGATTGATAAGGGTTTATGCGGTTGCGTGATATTCGACTCCGGCATCGTCATCGGCCCTTGGCTGTACCACCAATTGCGAACCACGAAATCCGGCATGTGTTTTGCGTTTGACAAAGCTCGGCATTAAGATCTCGGATCGTTTACAGCAAAATATGGATGAGGAAGTTATTGACAAAGTCCTGTCTAAATCAATCGTAACGTTGCCTTGATCTATATTGCTATGTCGCGTCGTACCAAGCTTGAGGTCTTTCACAGCTCAATAAGTTCAATAATCGAACACCAAGTAATCTTTTTTTGATCACATACTAGACACTCTTATCCCTCCAAAACTTCTGTCGCAACTTTCAGCTCTAAGTTCTGTGTCGTGATTATAAGCTCTTATCCACAGGCCTCAACTGCAAATAACACATCTAGCTCACTATTTGGACATTATACCATAACGCCTAACCAATTGATACAGCAAAAATGCTGATAAGAACAAAACCTACAACATGACTCTTTAGCCTCCCTCCAGGGGGTATAAGAAGATGCCTCCAATTGCTCGTTCGAAATCCAGAGTTAAAGTTTGAGCTGAGATGTAACCCGGCCCTATTTGGGAAATTTCACCACCGTAATCTTTCGAAAACCCAAACTTTCTAGTCGTTTATCCACCCATGATCGAGATTCCCCCACAGACATTGGCTTCATTCTTTGGGTTTGTATGTTGATGCTGTCCCAGGCATGATCCATCCCGACGCAGAGCGGGCATATGACGGGTCCAGTCACAAATGGTACTCGCCCGCCAAGCCACTGCGAGACTCTTGCGAACCGGGTTTCGAAGGGGGAGTTGTCACCGTATCCGGTCACGTGCCTTCCAGAACAGAAGGCACAATCACCGTCCTCCAGATGCTTGATGATATCTGGAACCGTGAGCTCCACATGGAGAAACGTGGTCTTTGATGCGAGCAAGGCCGTGGGAAACGCGCAGGGTGAACCGAACTCGCGGGTCAGTGGATCCCCGAAGGGGTTAGGGCAGGATGAATCCATGCCGGGATGGGACAATTGGTCGGGATGAGACAAATAAAATCGATAGAGTTCGATTTCGTTGAATTGCTGGATGTTACCGAAGAGGGACCAGCGTTGATACTTGCTGCAGACAAGTTCGTCGCCTCGCACGCTTGTCTGTAACAACTTGGGTCGTATGAGAGAATACCAGTGATCCTCGGGACAACGGTTGGCGAAGTCGATAATCATGTTCCAGAGCTCAAGTGGCAGTCTTTTGCCTCGTTGGGAGGCGATGAGTTCTGGCGAGCGGGAAACGACACCTTCGACATAGGCGGGTCCGAAGAGTGTCCTGTCGAAAAGCATGAGCGGCTGCCACTTCAGCAAATCGCTAATTTCTTCTGAATCTACGGGCCTCATGTTGATCTTGTGATAGGGATTCACCTGGGCACGGAATGAAGTTGTTGAGATTGTGTTGCAAGGGTTGAGTGAGGCAGAGTGTCACAGAAAGGGGGCTGTTCAATATATAGTCTCATAACACGTTACTTGTGCTTCAAACTCTTTCGTGAAAGGTTAATGCAGCGCTACCTGCTTGGTCGCTTATGTGCGCTCTGAAAGCACCTTGTCCTGCTATAGAACTCAAAACCGACAAAAGGGATTGTCTGACTAAGGTCCAGCTGCTCCTTTCCGGCAGGTTTGCCTAGAGCCTCAAATGGAAGAGAGTTTTTGAGCAATCAAGAAAGTTTTCTTGCATATTAACTTTTAGCCAGAAGTGACATGGCTATAACCCTATCACCACCTATATAATTATCATTGGAGGTACAGAAGCAAAGAAACGTCAAGTTTTTTATATCACTGAACGCCAGAATGCTCCAAGCTCGTGACCAAGAATAAGTTTTGTCATTTGTCAAAGAGTAGTGGCGGATTTGCTGGAACCGGGGATATCTATGGCCCGGGATTTTAAACTTCGGAAGTTGTGCACTTTTGTTTTTTTTTGACTTGTCTTGAATGGTGAAAAGCTTGACTGGCCACAGCTAACCCTGACATTGGCTTGCCTGCACTAAATTCCTGACCATATTGTGACTCGTGACTTGCGTTCTCATGATCACGACTTTCAATTGAACTCAAGAGTCATTGTCTCTTGAACAGTGTTTGCGAAGGATAGGAAAGCTGTATGGAGTAACAGAACCACTGAAATAGGATATCTAGTGCCCAGAAAAGAGAGGGTTATCATTAAACTGGTTGAGCTTCGGAGCAAACATTCCAAGAGCAGCAGGTAGTGTGATGGACGATGAGAATGCCACAGTTTAGCGGCAAAAGGTATGGGACATTTGAGCTAAAGTCCATAAATTTATATGTAGCAAGAGACTATCAAGGGTACAGTTCACTGAAATTCAATGCCATGAAACCAATACTCTGGTGAATCGACAACGATGTATCCTCTAGGGTATGACGCGACCATTCGCAGAACTTAACGACTCTCTTCTCATGCCTAGGTGTTACCCTACTACCCATCCAGTTACTCTCCAATACGGCCCGTTTAAACAAGCTTAAACCATCTCCCCATCCCGAAGAATACCTGATCTCTGGGGTGCAGTGCGGGTAAACTCGCCGTCAAACCGGAATGTATTGTCTGAGGCCAGCGACGGTTTCTGGGGTACAGCTCAAGGTCCCGGAACAGGTCACGAAAACTCATTATTCATATTAGTCAATGAGGTGAATAACCCCACAGATAAGCGATTGATGGCGGAGATGAGGGTGTCGTGGAGTAAAATTTGATGCGAAATTTTGTGTTGCTGACTCGATGTATAAAAGAGCTTTTCACCCCGGATTTTTTCGGTGGAGATTGCTGCAAGCCAAGACGGCAGTTGAGTCGACCAAGATTGACAACATTTCTCTGATCATCTTTGAATGCAGAAGATGTGTTTTTCTCTCATCACAAACAGAGTTTGGGGCCCCGGAGTAATCTCGTTGTCCGGGTCGGTCGAGATTCCATCTTGACGCGGAGCGCGACATCAGAGAGTTATTGTTAGGATATCATAACGTGATGATATCCACAAGCGTGTTTTCGGTGACGGAGCCTCACGGGATTTCTCACCAATGACACGTTTCATGCACGTAAAAACAACATCAGGGGTCTCATGTCATACAGACCCACAACCGGCAGATTCTTCCACCACCTTACGACTTTGGGCAAAGCGTCTTCCTTTTGGAAGGGTTTTACGGGTTTTTCGTACGCCACTCCGAGCGCGGCTCGTGAACTCCCTTCGGGCCTTTTCTCGCAGAAGCTGGAATTCTCGTCAGGAACAATGGAGTTTTTGAGATCAGTCGTTGCGAGGGACTGTTAACTCCGGAGTCGGAATGACATGAATGAATTACGAGTTTAAATGGAATAAAAACCTGGAGAAAGGTACTGTTATCTAATCGTCGCGACATGGTCCCGGTCCCGATCTTTCGGAGGTGGATACCCCGGATACACCGAGCATGCGCCAGAGCTCGCCTTGCGCCGTTTTTCCCGTTACAAAGCTCTTCTAGCCGGCTGTTTTCATTCCTCTTAAATACATTTGTCCTGTCTCACTTCCTCTCAAGACCCTGTTTGATCGCTTGTCATTCTTCCCCATTGTTCGTTGGTTACCTATTCCGTACATTCTCGACTCTTCTACACTGACCATTCCTTGGTCATATGAGTAGCCACTCTTCTACCCATCCTCCCACCGAACATACTCCTCTACTCGCTCACGACACGATGGCTACCACCTCACCCAAGGCCAAGTCCTCAAAACCTGTCAACATGATGGATGATCCTGAGACAGCGGATGATATCCAGGTGTCTCAGCAGAAGCAGCTCGCTGCCCAAGGAAATGCCCACTTCCACCGTCTGGGCTGGAAGCGTCTCGCCATCGTCACTATCGTCGAGGCTATCGCCCTCGGCGCTCTCAGTCTTCCCTCAGCCTATCACACGCTGGGCATGTTCCCCGGCGTCTTCCTCACAATTACTCTTGGTCTCGTTTCTATCTTCACCAGCTACATCGTCGGCCAGGTCAAGCTAAAATTCCCCCACATATCACACTATGCTGACGCCGGTCGCCTTCTTCTCGGTCGCTTTGGCTATGAGCTTTTCGGTGCTGCCCTTGTTCTCGAGCTTGTCATGGTTGTTGGTTCACACGCTCTGACTGGTAGCATTGCGCTTATCGACATCAATGGTGGACACGTCTGCTCCATCGTCTTCTCTGCTGTTTCGGCCATCATTCTGTTGATCCTCGCCATCCCCCCATCTTTCACCGAAGTCGCTATTCTTGGATATATCGATTTCGTGTCTATTCTGGCTGCCATTGGTATCACTGTCATTGCTACTGGTATCCAAGCTGGCGACTCAGCTGGTGGACTCTCTGGCGTTGAGTGGTCTGCTTGGCCCAAGGAGGACCTCAGCTTCGCCGAGGCATTCGTCGCCGTCAGCAACATCATTTTCGCCTTCAGTTTTGCAATTGGACAATTCTCCTTCATGGACGAGATGCACACGCCAACCGATTACATGAAGTCCATCTACGCTTCTTGCTTCATCCAAATTACGATCTACACTCTGACTGGAGCCCTTTGCTACGCTTTTATCGGACCCTCCGTGCAATCACCTGCCTTGCTCTCCGCCGGACCACTTATTTCCAAGATCGCTTTTGGTGTCGCGTTGCCCGTCATCTTCATCTCGGGTTCGATCAATTCCACCGTTGCCCTCCGATATCTTCATGGCCGTATGTTCAAGGACTCAATTCTGCGATATGTCAACACCCCCATGGGTTGGGTCAGCTGGATCACTCTTGTGACCATCTTCACTATCGTCGCCTGGGTCATCGCTGAGGCTATCCCCATTTTCTCCGACTTGCTTTCTCTGGCCTCGGCTCTTTTCGTCTCCGGCTTCTCTTTCTGGATCCCTGGTGTCATGTGGTTTGCCTTGCTCTGCGACGGCAAGTGGTTTTCCAAGAAGAATATGTTCATGAGCTTGGGAAGCATCCTGGCCTTCATCATCGGAATTGTTACCCTTGGCGCTGGTACATATGCCACCATCAAGGATATTGTAAGTTGTCTCAACCATCAAGCTTCTGCTCCACAAACTAACTTTTACCAGATTGTGATTACTTCCGATGGTTCTGCTCATGCCCCTTTCACTTGCCGATCAAACTAGATTGACTTAGCTTAGCGAGAACTGTTCAAAAGCGAAATGCATTTAGATATATAATGTACATTAATAAGATCTCAATTCTGGTTTATACAATCATCCAACAAGTTTTATATACACAGTGCATTACCTGCAGTCTTCGTTGTGTTTAGTAATCCAGGCATAAAAGAAAGGACATTATCTCGTAACCCACCCGACAGTAAATACAGTCTGATTCCCATCGACAGAGAAAAACTACTAATAAACCTTCTGAGAAAGGTAACGAGGTGCTTAAACATCTTACAAACCCAACCAGTAAAGAAAATTCATGTAACAATCCGCAATATCATTACGTACCACGCCCAACATTATATCATATACATCATTAACGAGCTGAAGGATATAGCCACTCTTGGAAGCTTGACCTGCGGCGAACAGGTGATCCGGTTGAACCTTCACTTCCAACACTAGCTCGACGATCGTTACTGTTACGTCGGACCCAAGTATTGGTCCAGTCGGCTCCGGTCGCAGGAGTCGTAGTTGTCATCACTCTCTGCTTGTAGGCTATTGATTCAAATTGTCAGTGGATGGTAGCAACAGAAATCATCGGGAAGCGAGCACATACAAGACGCGTCGTTCCTGTTGGGGTCCTCTAGGACGGCCTGGAGCTTGGCCTTGGCCTTCTCCGCAAGAGTTTGAGGTGCCATATTGACTTATTAATAGTTGAGTTTATAACCCTGAAAGATTTTGGAGTTTTAAATAGTTGAATAGTTAGGAAAGACAAATGAAATGAGAAGAAAGTCGCTTCACAATCACAGAAGAGGGGAAGCGGCTTCTTATGTTACAGCAAGCACACGACCTCGTGACCATCCGTCATCTTGATACAGAATGTTTGTCAGCTCACCGTTAGAGCACATTGCAGATTTCCTATTCTAGTATAAGATAAACCATCACCAACTGCTTTGTTGTGCCATCAACGTCAGAAACGCGGGGTAGCCCACCATCAACCAATTATCCAACGACTGGTGTTGCGTCGGTTCAAACGTTGTCACCCTCCTTTGTAAGATGGATTGTGTGATTGGGTACTAAATTGCTTTGGTAGAAGGGGTGTTTGGATACGGCTCGGCAGTATCGACTCGATACTATCGAGTACGGCGTGATTCTCTGGTTGTTTCTGCTTAGGCTGCACCCATTATCGCGCGTTGAGCCTAGCAAGATGGGTTGCGAGAGCAGATTAACCTTCAAAAGAAGCTAGGTAGAATCGAGCCGATTCTTGTTCCTCTGTTTCTTCCTCCATCGTCCCTCACTCAATGCCGAACAAGTCGAATTCTGCTTCCAAACACCATCACTCTGTGTACGTCGCACATAAGGTCCTGCATAAAGCTTTGCGCATTTTTTCCTTCTTTACTCAAGATGGGGAATGACGACTTGCAAATGACAATTTCTTGACCCTTCAACTTCAAAAATTGCTCACAGTATTGCCTCCGGGAAGCCTCATGCTCGCATATGTATGTTTCTCCCGCCATGTTCAGCGAAAGCAAAAAGAAAAGGATCTGTCCTTTCTTGACGTCTGTTGCACCATTTAGTGACGCCAGAAACCTCTCCCCCTTGTTTCCAAACGTCTGAGCAGCGTAGCAAGCGAACACACTGTAAGGCAATTTTTGAATGAACCACGGGACAATTTCAGGACCAAAGTTGAAACAGTCCATCAGGCGGTGGTATAGAGCGTTCATTCGGAACACCATGTCTGGTCGCGTTGAAAACAGCGGATGTGGAAGCTTCCTCCTCTGCCAGAGCTCGAAGTCCTTATCAGACAGACCGTTTTTGGAAAGCAACAAGTATATATGAGCCTCGACGAAAGCGCCGTTGCGTGAACCGCCGAATTTGCGTTCCAATGATTCTGATGTTAGCAGCAGTGTACTTGTCTGTCGCTCCTTTCTGATGATAGGTGAAGCTAAACATAGACAGTCGAGATTTTCATAAGAGCCAAGATATGTTATAACCATTTCTCGTATTTCGGAAGCGAGGTGTTGGAAAGGGTCCCCGATGCCTGGTTGCGACACGGGCACGGTTTCGGACATGTTGGGCTTTTGATATTGCGAGCTTGGAAATGAGGAGTTCAAAGGTGGGATGCTTGATACAGGAGACTTATTTATACTTGTAGGATCAAGAAGTTTATATCGTGAAAAAGATTCGTGTTCCAATTAGCTGTGTACACTGACTAAAGTTTGACCCTCTGGCCCGTAATAACATCCATAGTTGACTCACCCATCAATGTCAAAAAGATGCCCTGCAGGCTAGGACGGGAGGCTTTTCTTAACCCAGCGTTCAAATGCATAGCTCTGGAGCGTGAAGGAGATTGCCCCCTATGAAATCTTGATTAAGAGACTAACAGAGCGAATACCTTGACGAATCTTCGTGTCCAAGCGAGAGTATCATTAAACAAACACCCATTCTTCTTCTTCCTTCTCCTATTCTGCCTCACCCACTCCGTCATCATACATCCTGTCGGTTGCACCTGCCTTCGATAGCTGTTGCACCTTTCGTGACTGTTCCTCCTCCCATTTTCGCAGTTGTTCCTCTTGCGCCGCAACCTTGGCCTCACGCTGCACCGATTGTTGAATTTCCAAGGCAAGCCACCCTGCAAATCCCCAGACAACCCTATTTCCTCCGTTAAAACGCCTGCAATAATTGTAGCGTATTTCTGGGTTGGTAGGACCAGAGAGGGCCAAAACATCCATCACATCGACAAGAATAAGAAAGGACATCACATGATGTTGTTCCGTTTTCCTGAAGGAATATGTCGTTGGAAATCTTTCCCCCTGCTTTCCGTAAGCCTTTGCCACGCTGTGGGTGATATAACTATCTGCGTGTCTCTCGATGAATGCACGGACAATTTCAGGACCCAGGCTGAAGTAGTCTACCAAACGTCCATAAAGTGCATCCATCTCGTAAACCATTTCAGGCTTTGTCGAAAACAAGGGATCCACAAGTGTCCGTGGGTAATAGTTCTCCCAATTTGTTTCCGATAAACGGCCGTCAGAAAGAAGCAAGCGCATATGAGCGGCTCGAAAATTCCGGCGATCAAATTTGCCAAGGATAGAATCCGAGCAAGCTGTCAACTTGTTTGTGCGCCGTTCGTGATTCATAACCACCGAAGCTTTACAAAGATTGTCATACCATATGTGATGTTCAAGACAAGTTATGATCTTTTCTTGGACGTTGGAAGGGAGGCGAAAAAGGGGTCTTTGGTGGAAACATCTTTCGCGGCGGCGGTGTTGGGGGACATCTGGGACAGAAGAGCAGGGAAGGTTAAAATGTAAAGGATCAAGTTCGACGCGACTGATGAAGGACAAGAGAACTATTTATAGACAGGTGCTTAACTCACCTTCACACATGACAACATTCCCAAAGTCTGAGCGAAAAGTTTGATCACATATACGCAAAGACCTGGAAAACCTTATGGTGACAGGACCGCTCTATTGTGTCAGGCTTGAACTCTTTTTCGCCCACCAAAGTCAGATCTTAGGTGTGAACCTTAATAACAGTGAGAGAATTGTTCTTAGAAAGGGCAAGCCACTCGGTACGCGTTTGGGTGAAAGGCAGTCAAGTTTGCGTATATTCGGCCTGGTATCATAGCGAGATGTAATACAGAAACAATTTACGAATAGAAAGAAAAGAACACAGTATCTACTATCCCTTCAAGTAAGTACTGACATGGTATTGGCTACAAATGTTAAGAAAAGTGTCACAGAACCCGAATTGCAGTGTTCCTTTAAATCGGACATCCGAGAGGCCTTCTAAATTCTACATATTTCTATACCTTGGCTAGCTTCATAATGCAAGCAACAAATATGATGTCAATATCAGAGCTTGGTTATTCGCGAACCGAACACGGCTCAAGGTATGAGTTCATTTTAGACCGGGTTAAGAGCGATGCATTAACCGAGTAGTGAGGATTTGATATACTAGCAAACTTTGGAATATAATGTCACCAAGGATTTTGACTTCGGCAGGAAGTTAATTTCCTAATCACGATACCATTTTGAGCACCACGCTGTTGAAAGGTCAAAGCCATGACCTTGACTTTACATTTGCAGCTGTAATATGTGGCATATCTATTGGTTTGGCGAACACGCATTTGCGAGTACAGGAACCCGCCAACATAGGTATCTCTAACTACGCAGCTCAAAGTGCCGTGTGGGATCACGGTTTGCGTGACCATTGGATCTATGGCAAACCTGAAGAGGAGTTCAAATTGTTCGTTTTGATGCTTTAGTCCCCACACGTAAATGCTTGAACTACCTTTATTACCAGCGTAATAATGTATTATAAGGTACAAGAGAAGTAGCGCTCCAAATGCTCTATCGTGTGACGAAGGCGCTGTCTTGTTTTAGCCACGCCCTGACATCCTTGATGTGCGGATGAATGCTCTTAGCCAGCTGCATATCCACATTATAGCCGTCTTCCTTAAACCAATCCAACATCACAGCGACTTCCTTGACTCCTGCCTTAAGTGCCTTGCCCAGCAGCCCAATTGTCGTGCCAACGCCGGTGCCCGTCACGCTCCTAAACCTCTGGTCTAGTTCCTCGAAGGTAAGCTCCTCTCCAGCCAGCCCTATCACCTGCTTGTTAAAACGATCAGGATTTGCAAATGCCTCAGCTGCAAAAACTCCAATATCAGAAGTAGCAATCCACTGCAATGGCTTATCCTTCATGGTATTACGCAAGCTTGTCATGAATACCTTGGACTGGAAGTCCGGCGTAATATTGTCTAAGAAGATAACAGGGCGCAAGATTGTCCAGCCCATAGCGGACTTCCGACTTTCGACACTATCGCGGAGATAGTGTTCAATCTGATGCTTCGACTGGAAGTGCGGGATTGGCGTTGGGTTACTCCAGGACCGCTCGTTGCCGCCACGATCGACGCTACTGTAGACGAAATGCTTCACATCGTTCTTGATGGACTCTTCAATGAGTGCTTTGCCTTGTCGTATTTCTCCCTCGAAGGTGGTGCCCTTGGTCACTGCGGCTTGAACTGAATAGACACCCCAGATGGGGCCAGAGGCAACCTTCTTCGCAGCTCGAAACAGGGAGGGTACGTCGTCAAGGTTTCCTTCGACAAGTTTGACAGCGGATGACTTCTTGGCCAGACCCAGGGCCGATGGTGACTGTGCATTGCGAGTGACGGCGAGGATGGTGAATTCTTTCGAGAAACGAGCGAGGACGGCTTCCACGACACTGCCGCCTTGCTTCCCGGTGGCACCAGTAATTAAAAGATTGCGGGACATGGTTATGATGATTGGAGGTAACTGAAGTGGGAGATACAAGAGGGAATTGTCAGTAAGGCAAGCAGACTGCGAGAAATACGGATTGTATTTGAATGAAACTACCACCAATTTTTTAGCCGGAAATTTCAACGACAGATAAACCCGTTTACCGCCCGCGAGTCGCATATCGCGTTGAGATTCCTCCGCTTTTGTCAGCACATAACAAGCGGTCTTATTGCAATCCCGGAAGACCGCTCACTTTCGGCGATGGAGCTTGACGGTGAACTGGATTCTCCTCGGGTCAACTTTCCAATCCAGGCCAATATCTGTCCATGTAGCTAGCCATAGTATTTGTAAGCGATCAAGGTATTCTCCTCCTCCCTGTTGGGGACGGTGGCCGTTTTTCTCCGGCTGTGGCTAACCTCAACGAGCGTTTCTAGGATCCGGTTTCGCACCATTACTCCCGAGTGTGCTCATTCATAGAGACTGGTATAAATGATGTCTTGTTCTTCCGTTATTAGACGATCCCACCTCGTACATTGCAGTTGGAAATTATTATTGGCCTGAACCTAGCCCCTCTCTTTTAGCCCTCGTTCTTCACTCTCTACAAACATGTTGATATCTGCCTTTTTAGTCATTGCTAGCAGCATTGGGGCCGCTACTGTGGCCCCTAAGGCTCCTACTCTCACATACCTCTTCCGTATGAACCTCACTGTCAGTTCAACCATCAACACTGGTTCAGGTCCAGCAGGAACTCGACTGGCCATCCCAATAACTGGCGGGACCTTGTCGGGACCCAAGGGCGAGGGTAGAAGCAGGCCAAAAAATCCGTACATGATGAGCCCCAGCTAACTATTCACAGGAAAGGTGCTTCCTGTCGGAGCTGATTTTGGTGCAATCGATGCTTTGGGGAATTTCAATGTTGACGCACACTCTGTGGTACAGATGGATGACGGATCCTATGTTTACAGTCATTCAGCCGGCCCTTTGATCTCGGGACCTACTGCTTTGGATCGAATTAAGTTTGAGACTGGAAGCAGCAAGTACTCTTGGCTTAACGAGATTCTCGCTGTAGCTGTCACGGATTTCCCAGGTCCCTGGGTATCCCTTGATGTTTGGCAGGTGAACCCCCCTAGCTCCTAATGGGCCAAGACGCGCGGTTGTGTAGGGTGTAGGAGGGGGGAAGGGTTACTTCATTTCAAGTAAATATTTAGATTGAAAATAAACTTACCTTAGATGATATGTGTTTTAAATCCCAATTGATAATTGTATCTACTTTACGTAGCAACTTTAATTAAGCATTTTCTATTATAAATAATATGCAGATTATATTACTTGAGAAATTCCAATAAAATAGCTACGTAAGTAAAGTGATTTCATATTTAATATGTAATAGTTCAATAATTTGATCGAGCTAAGCTGAGTTCAATAGCTTCTTCCTGGAGGGGCATGTTCCTGTGGATCGATCGGACGGATCGCGGCCCGCCGGTTTTATGCTCAAGACCGGTCGGACCAACCACGGCCCGGTGATATTACCGTTCAGACCGGCCGCACCAGGCTTTCCGCCAAATCGGACTCTCTCGGTGGTGCGACCATGACCAAACCGGCGTGCTGACCAAATCAACATGTTTCCTGGTATTATTCTTTGTTACATCGTCTTCAGACGTATGCGAAGTTCGATCTTAACATGGTTTCCTAAACCCCAACTCAACCGTGCCATTGCTTTATAACTGGGTTGCCGACCTACTTCCTGCGTCTTAGCATTTCCGACGCCTCCGATACCACCGAACTCATGTGAATAGCCCTCTCTGTTCTCTAAAAGTCAGAAGCCTTGCCCTTCGAATCTCTCTGGGCCTCTCTGGGCCATGGCGTCCCACGCCCGAGCCACTACGTCTCCCTCTTCTATCCCCGAAGGCGATTCCACGAACGAGCAGAAACGGGACCCTAGCCCTTCATCCGACACAGTCATGACAGACGATCCTGGCCAAGCAATCACCGGACGCGATCCTAACAGCAAAATCGTCGGCTGGAACGGCCCAGACGACCCAGAAAACCCCAAGAACTGGCCGAATCGGAGGAAGTGGATGATCACAGTCTCGTTAGGCATGTTAACATGGGTTGTGACGTTCGCAAGCAGCATTTTTAGCACAGCAACCCGGCCTGCTGCGAAGGAGTTCGGCGTCTCAACAGAAGTAATGACTCTGGGTACAAGTTTATTCGTCCTGGTGCGTTGGCTAGCGACATCTAGAAGGCTTCATGTTGTGGCTAATCAATCCGCAGGGTTTCGCCTTTGGCCCCCTGATATTCGGTCCCATGTCAGAGGTGTATGGCCGTAAATACCCGCTCTTTGTTGGATATTTCGTGTTTGCACTCTTCCAAATCCCTGTAGCCACTGCCGAAAGCGTTCAGACAGTCCTTGTCTGCCGATTTCTCAGTGGTCTGTTTGGCTCGTCTCCTCTCAGCGTCGTTGGCGGCGCACTTGTTGACCTTTGGCCACCGGTCGAGCTCGGTATTGCCATGAGCATTTTCGCAGGCGCGAATTTTGTTGTGAGTGCGATTTCTCCATTCAATATTAGTGACCTTGACACTCATGCGACTCATTACAGGGTCCTGTTGCCGGTCCCATCATGGGCGGGTTCATCACCCAAAGTTCACTCGGCTGGCGGTGGACGGCGTACATCACGGCCATTATGGCAGCTCTATTCGGCCCCATCGCTTTCATCACGGTTCCCGAGACGCTAGAGTCTACCCTTCTGGCTAGAAAAGCTCGCGCAGTTCGTCTCTCGACCAGAGATTGGGCTATGCATGCTGCTGTGGAAGAAAAGCCTGTCGATATCAGCGAAATGGCGAACCGAATCCTAATCCGGCCGCTCGCCATGCTGGTGTTGGAGCCCGTGATCATCCTCGTCACGCTCTACATGTCCTTTGTATACGGTCTCATCTACCTTTGCTTCGAAGCATATCCAGTGTCCTTCGAAGAGGATCGGGGCTGGAACAGTGGTGTTGGATCTCTCCCGTTCCTAGCCATAATACTTGGCGTTGTCATCGGGGTCATCTTCATTATCGTCTTCTCCAAGACCCGACTCACACGCATAATCAAGGATAAAGGTCATCTGCCACCTGAGCAGCGGCTTATACCGATGATGGTTGGCGGGGCATGTTTCCCTATTGGACTTCTCTGGTTCGCATGGACCTCCGACCCTACCATCTTATGGGTGCCACAAGCCATATCTGGAATTCCGCTGGGGGTGGGTATCATGCTGTAAGTGTTGTCATTTGCGCAGGGTTGCAAAATTGATGCTAATTTTTCGCTCTCAGTATCTTTCTCCAAGGCCAAACCTACATCATCGATAATTATTTAAGGAATGCAAACAGTGCCCTCGCAGCCAACGCTGTAGTACGGGCCCTGTTTGGCGCAGGGTTTCCGATGTTTGCAACCGCCATGTACAAAAGGCTGGGGGTTGATTGGGCCACCAGCGTTCTTGGCTTTATAGCTGTCGGGCTTTTCCCAGTTCCAATACTCTTTTATGTCTTTGGCGAGAGAATTAGAAAGCTCAGCCGATATGCACCAAGTGGCGGCCCTCCATAGGAATCGTAGGCTGGGCACTTGCGATTAACTCTCACTTGAGTTCGGACCTTAGTAGTGCACTTCTGGATTTAGAACGCTCTCAATAGACGGTCCGGTTTAGAAAAGACTGGTTTTAGGTTTCCATTTATAGAATCAGTTTGGGTTTAGCTGTGCAATCACACCATAGTACTATAAATCACAGATATGAAGCTCCATCCAGTTAACGAACGAACGCCATACCCGTTGGATCGGCAGGCGTATCTATACAATAGAACGGGTCTGCTGTACCCCTTCAAAGAACTCCGCCCTCGAGTCTTGGTGCCTCAAGGCAACTTTGACGTGGTGGATTGCCGTGTTTCAACGTCGGGCAGCCTCTTACTCCCCTGGCCAAAGTAGACAATACTATTCCCGGCTTGATATGGCCGATTAGTCGTCTGTCTTGGTAGGCAGAATTGAACAGAAAGTGATGTGCAACGAGGTCTTGTCTTGTTTGGCGAGAATGGGTATTGACACTGGTGTTGGCGGAAGCTTTTGTACCTAGTTTCTGGATGTTAGCAACTCCAAAATGAGAATTGGTCACTGCGTTTGCGCTCTTACTCTATCTAAAGTTCTCGAGTCCATTCCGACGTGCCTCATCCCTGAAGCAAGCTGAATTGCTAACGAGCGTGAGAACAGGTCATTCTCGCCAGCTTGAGCAATTGCATTGAGGATATGTTGGAGATTTTGCTCGCTCTTCGGACTTTTGGCTACCATGTAGTCTTCTAGAAAGATCAGGGATGCAAGATACGCCGAAAATACCAAGAAATGATCAGTCATAGCGCCCTTCACGTCACCAGCCGACTTGAAAGCGTTCAGTATTTGCTCTGCCGAGGGTAGCAACCGAAGCCTGCTGTTTGCAAACAAGTCTGCGGGGAGGCCGAACTCTCTTATCTTTGCCAGCGCCGCTCTGTGTATGCATATAACGGAGGTGTGGATACCTACGTTGACGACGATGGCATTCCGCTTCCATCCGCACTGCGGGAGGCGCAGGTTTTCTGGGAGGTACAAAATCATATTAGATAGGTCGGCGTCAATCCCTCGGTGTCGAATCCAGTATGGGCCATTTACAATGTCCTCGACCCCATCATTTGGGAAGGACCGGAATGTGTGCTCTAGGGTTCTGTGGAACGTATGGGCAGTAAGCACCTTGCCGGCGAAGGGAGAATAGAGAGTGACCCCTTGAAGGGCATCCATGAGCCAGGGCGTTGCTTCATTGGTTCCCATGTCGAAGGCATCGTCAGAGGCAGGCAATCGGGTTTCAATCTTTATCCGGTTGATATATCAGCCCTTTTGGTTTCTCAAGCTCTCATAATTCAACGATCTACTTACATCCTTCTCATTGACTAGAGCGGGCCAACCTGTGATGCCACTCACGAAGCGATCGGAGCAGAAAATGGCCCACCAGGTTCTCCTCCGCTCTTCAACCTCAAAATGGTCTCCCGGTGGAGGGAGCGGAGGGTCCGTTGGTTGCTTTGGACTATCGAGACGATGCAACCCAAGCATCTGGGCAATACGTACACTTTTGGACAGACTGACAGAGGCGCGAGAGAAGAGGAGTTGATGGGATTCATAGACCGCGAGCAAACACCAGCATTGCGTATGGGCAATGGTGGTAAAATATTCTCCTTGGCCCTGATCGAAGGGGTTATGATTGCTGACTCCTTATGCGTTTCGGTTTATGTACTCACCTTCATCTCATCTGCCTCGGCATACCGCCTAGACCGCTGATAGAACGGCATTGCAAGGTGTGCGAATTCCTGTCGCGTTGCTGCGGCCAGAGCCAAGACGGCGTACTGCAAAGACATGGATGGGCGCATGTGGGCAGGGCGATGAAGGGATGTCACATAACGTGTGCGGTGCAACATTGGGGCATCTTGATTTAGTTCATCGAAATAAATACCAACCCTATGAACTCTTAATTAGCATAATCTGGCACATATGCATCCATCCCCACATATCAAGAAGCGAAGGAGAAAGGCAGTAATGGTGTAACCTAGGGGGAGTTAGAGAACGAAGAAGGAGGAGGTCGTGGCTCACAGTCGTTCGGTCAAGTGGCTGGGCGGAAGCTGCTCAAACTGGCCAAGTCCAATTAATTCGTGTGCTGCGAATGGCACCTCCTGAGACGCCATGGCAGCTGGTTGGATGAAAGGGGCTCCATCGGACGCGGGCCCGTAGAAAGTCGAGTGTCTGACGTTTGTTGCATCCTGGGTCCAGTCCATATCAAGTCCGGCTTCATCACCAAGGGATACGGGATCATTTAGTACGATGTCTGGCAGGCCACTCTGTGTAATTATCTCCTCTAGTCGAGCTTCAAGAAAAGCATCAGTTGACGCCGGTTATTGGCAAAAACACGATGTTCACTCACCTACTCGGGTCTCCAATGTGACAGCAGTACTCGTTTTTCGCGCGGGTCGCCTCTGTCGCGAGTTTGGGAACACACATTCATCTCCAAGTCGCACGCAGCGGCTGCAGTTGGGCTTCAACCGATCGCATTTCGCCTTACGAGCCCGACACTGAAAGCAAGAGAGCGTGGTGGCTATGCTGATGCGCTCGCTGGTTTGTTCGTGTTCTCGTTCCACTTCCCACGTTGAGTCTTGGCTGCTCGCTCCGGTTGACTGCATGTATTCATTGCCGGTTGATGATGAGCCGGCCCTGAAGGGGATCTCGTGCGCCATCTCGGCTGCTCGGCAAGTCAGTCAAGATGCAATAAACACGATGTCAGTACGAGATAAAAACGAGCCGAGCATAAACCCGACAGCAGGCTGAACTCAAAGACTTGAGAAACAAGATGGTTTTCCTGAAAGTAATGAGGTTGCGATTGCCATCAAGGGCCACCCGAGGATTGCTTAGGCATTACTCATCAAAAGAAGATGGCTGTGGGAAACGATGTGGACACGCCCGCGCGCGTATTAATCAGCCAAACATGGTGTCATTTGTCTAAATAGCCAACGGGGAAATTTGGGTAGCTATCTTTTTTTTGGTCCCGCTTGGATAGCTTTGGATGCTCAGGAATCGAGACGACTGTCCAACGCCATACCTTGAGCTCGAGACTCAAGTGCCGGGCAAAGTAAATATGCAAGGACGATTAGGAGGCGTTTGAAAGAACCCTGGTTGATGCAGATAGGAAAGAGTGTCACTTTTCTGATGACGAGGTTATCGAAAGTAAGCTTAAACCTAAGCTAAGCCTTGTAATAACTATGGTGATAATTATCCTTGAAATTATTCTTATCGTAGATTTGTAAAAAAAGACATTCCTGTTACCCTGTAGCAATGTCTTGATTCTCGGCGTTTTCTGCTTTCAGTCTGCCTCGTAGCCGACGCCAAGAACCACGCTTCAGCTAGGATCCGCAGCCCTGTCATCTTAGCTCCCCAAGCTCACCACTCGTTGGCTGATTCTCATGATCCTAGCCAGCATTGAGGCACAGATCCTTGTATGATGCCTAAATCGTTCCATATTTAAGTCAAGCGCAACCAACGAGAGTCTAGAATGTCTTGGTGTAAAATTAGCCCTACGCTGATGACGGAAACATAAACACCTCATTCCCGGCCCCAATGGTTCCCTCTTGTTCTTGGACGCCACTCACTCTTTTGTCATGGCGACGTTCAGTTTATTACATGCCGCTCTTTTCTTCTGGGTGGCTCTGGTAGCTGCCCAGAGTTCCAATCTTGAAGTTCTCAAGCATAAGGGCTGTTATCGGGGAAGATCGCCGAATTTTGTTGTTGGTGGATTTTCACGGAACGAGGTTCAACGACAGAAGTGCCTCGACACTTGTCGCCGACGCGGTCAGCAATGGATTGCGTTCGATTCCATTAATTGCTTTTGCAGTGATGTTGCGCCTCAGAATTATCATAAAGTCGATAATAACCGCTGTAATGCGCAGTGCATCGGTATCTTGGATGGTGACTGTGTCAAGCAGCCAAGGAACCATGCCTTTAAGGAGGAGGACGAACTTTACGGCGTTTTCTTCATCCCTTCTACGGCCAATGATGAAGCAAATGGACTGCCATCGCATCACAGACTGGGACCATCTGTTCAGCCAACCGAATCTAAGCAACTCGCGACAAACCGTGGCAAGGTTGGTAAGATCACGGCGCAGGGATGCTATCATGTTACGATGCGTCCGTCATTTCGCAAGAGGATGTTAATTCGCGACGATGACTCCCGCCGAGAATGCGCCAAGGCATGCGCTGAAGATGGAAAGCCTCTTGCTTTCATCAGTGGAAACGCTTGCTATTGTGGTAGAAGGTACCCCCGACCAGACTCCATTGTCGGAGCCTACAAGTGTTACATGCCTTGCTTGAGCGACGACGACGATCGATGCCAGCGTGCAACCCAGTACAACCCAATTCGCCACAGTCCTTATATTGCTGTCTACGACACTGGCCTTGGTGTTGATGTTGAGATCCACGATCCTTTCACTACACCACAAAGCTCTCAGGAGATATCACCCAAGCATACTGAGCCGAATGGGCATCCCGGACAGGCTTGCTACAGCAAAGTTCCTACAAACACCGTATCCAAACTGTTTGCGGGCAATAGTCCTATGCTCTGTCATCGCTTCTGTCAACGAAAGGGTCGTATATATGCGTTCACCTTGGATCAGATCTGTCACTGCAGCAATGAATACCCCGACAAAAAAGACGAGCTTCCTGATTCTCAGTGCAATGTCCAGTGTCCCGGAACAAGTCTTTTCAACTGCGGTGGCAACAACGTCGCGTTCAGCGTTTACAACCTCGGCCCTGAGAGGAGACCCGTCATCGAGCCTAAGCCTATAAGACAGATTGGACGGTGCTTCTCAGATATCCCCATTACTGCAAGCCGCATACCACTCGACGCAGGTGCAGTTTCAAAGCTTCCTTCATCTTGCATTGACTCGTGCAAAGCCGCTGGACAAGGTGTTGCATTCATCAAAGGCTCGCAATGTCACTGTGCCCAAGGCTATCCTCGCTCAGGCTCCACAACAGACCTTCGTGAATGTCAGATCCCTTGCGCCGGTGATGCCCAGTACTCCTGTGGAGGCTACGGTGTTACTACAAACACCTTTTCAGCATACAGAACTGGCTACGCTGGTGGAAGATACCGCATCCAACAAGAGTCCGATAACAAGGGCCATATGCAAAAGCCTTATCAGGAGCCAAGATTAGGCCATGTTACATCACATGGCTGCTACAATATGCAATCTGCTACCTTGACTCACAAGAAGCTTGAGAGCATGAATAGCGTTGATCAATGCGCTCGCTATTGCCAACGCGAGGATAAGCCTGTTGCAGCTGTTCAGCGAGGTTGGTGTTTGTGCTCTGACACGTACCCAGCGAAGAGCGCACGGGTCGATGATGCTCAGTGTGCGAATTGGTGTCCTGGTTGGTCTCGTGAAGCTTGTGGCGGAAGGAGAACTTGGAGTGTTGTGAACACGGGAATTATCACTAACGTGGTGGATGATGAGCTTGAGACCGAGGAAGTCAAGCGACCCGTTGAAATCGCGAAACGCCCAACGGAGATGAGACTGTCCAAGCTAAAACCCCATGGCTGTTTCATCCTTCCTGGCTTCACCTCTTCGTACCCTGCACGTGTCAGGATTACAGGACCTTATCGAAGCCCCAACAAAGATTCTTGCAATCACCAGTGCAGTATCAAGGGATATTCTGTTGCGCTTCGCCATGGGGCTAGATGCTTCTGCTCCAACAAGGTTCCCGAGGAATCTGCGCGAGTTAGCGACGATAAATGTTGGTTTAATTCCATCTTCGATACACGCGAGCAGTGTGGCGGACCTGATGATGCTTACTCTGTATACCGTCTCGGTTCCAACTTGTCTGATCCTGAGGAAAAGGAGATTCCCAAGGGCGATAACCTTAGTAACTCTCCTGTGAAGAGACCACAGTGTCTGCATCATGGGATGGAGCGCATCTATGAGACTTCATCGTGGGCTATTACCAAGACTGGTGAGTTTGCTCAGAATGCCCGAGAAGCATTTGATGGACTCCTTGACAAGGCTCAAGATGTCTTTGATGCCTGTCTTTGGAGGGTGATGGTTGCGTTCTCAGATGCTATGTATAGTTTGGGATGGAGATCTAGCTCAGGCGATGTTGATCTATAGGATACAGTGATATATAGTCTCTTATGTTGTTTTACAGGAATCTCAACAGTTCATACAGATGACATATTAATAGTTTACTGAGAGTGACCTACGTAACTGAAGTGTAACCGCCAGGTGCAGTACAAGAATGGATAATATGATTCTATATTTAAATCTGGTAATGAACATATCAATCGTAATATATAGCATTGTGTCTTCTTCAAATGGCACATAAACAACTCTTTCATCACCTCCTATAGTGAAGAAGAGAACAGTACATCCATCTGGCACTGCGCCTTCCATATTATAAGAGTATTGCTGGGATTTTGTTTCAACAAGATTCTGCACAGCTATAGTGGCTGATTTACCTGCATTCGACTGGAAGTAACGCATGAAAGCTGAGGCAGGGTTTGAAAGATCGTAAGCCTGCAATATGACCATAAAGTGAGTGACGACATCATCGTCACCCACAACACACCAGTCGATATTAACCGCGCGAAAGTCAGGATCATCGTAAACGTTGTACGTGATTTCGTAACCGGAATTAGCTTCAACGCGCAAGTTGTCCCAGTAAGCCGCGATGGCTACTGATGGTAAGCCATTGTCCGGAAATGGGTTGTTGGAGGATTGTGCGATGGAGTTGTCGAACAAGCTTATCAGTCCATTAACACCAACGTAGATGGTTTCGCTGGACTCGGTGTATATTCCCACTGGGAATGGAAGTGTAATTTCCTCGACACCATCGTCACTGTCTTGGTCACCGCTGAATAGTACTGTTGGGTTGATGAGGTATGACTCGCACACACGAGATGGTGGACTAGTAGTTGTAGTGGTCACTGCAGCTGTGGTTGTTGTAGAGATGTCGGTTGTTATGTCTGAAGTGCTCGCAGATTCCAACGTTGACGTTGTGCTGGAGGCCTCAGTGTCGACGGTAATACCAGTATCGGAAGAGCTGACACTAGGTTCAAGGCTAGCAGTGTCTGTGGCTGGTACTGTCGACGTTGTAGCCTCTGGAACGCTGGATCTTGCGTCATCAGAGGTAAATTGTGATTCTGTAGATAAAGCGTCAGTTGGCAAGACATCAACTGTCGTTGCTTCATCTGATGGTGCGAATGTAACACCAGGAATGTTTGTAAAAGAAAGATCGTCGGACGTCTCAATTGGTACTGTAGGGAACGCGATCGATGAAGTATTAGAAAAGCGAAAAGAACTTGTTTGGGCAGGTCGTGTCTGTGTAGGTTCCAGAGACGGAGGAAGAAAAGTCGTAAAGTCTACGAGCGACGTGACTTGGGATGGACCATCAGAAACAGCAGGAATGGCTGTACTGAAGGGAGCGGATGTGACTAATTGAGTCTACTGTGGGTTGGAGGATCTGGGAATCTGTTGATGGAAGAGCAGCGCTTACAGACGTCTGCCCACCCTCACACTCGTCAACTATTTCCAATGTTAGCTTCTGGTGACGCTTAGAACAGATAGAAACATACCTCCAACGAAAGATAGTCTAACCGGTACGCACCCTGGTGGTGATGGTGTAAAGGTAATGTATACCTGACCAGTTCCCGGGCTCTGACAAAAGCCTGCTTCGCCGTTTGGCAGGTCACGGCTGCGAAATCGAAGAGATCCACCATCTCCGGCAAATGTAGTAGCAACAGCCCCACGAGGTAATGTACCCTGTTGGCCGCGTAGTTCCTTGAAGTCTTTGCCATTGTAATAAATAGGTCTCCCGCTATCAAGAAGGCGACCCCCCGAGAGACTGAACGCAGAAGCGTCTTGGCATATCTCTGACGCAGAGCCTACAAAACCCCCAGGCTCTCTCTTGAAACGGCCTCGCCTGGAGTTATCATTATGTGGGACGATGCGGAAGACAACGAGCTGATCGTTAGACCCGGGCGGTGTGGTGGGAGCGGAATCCGCAGTATTTGTACCGGTCGTGGCCGAGGTTGTGATAAATTGATTGGCGTCGTCGGAAAGGGACTGGGAGGGCTGAAGAGTCTCAGTCAGGTCGAGAGATGAACCAATCCCGGACTCAAATGTCGTAGAAGCTGCCGAGGTAGCATCGAAGGTCTGCGATAAGCTGTCCGCTCCATCTGCTGGCACAGAACCTGTCGCGTTCGATGAAATAGGGACAAGATAAGTTGATAAGTATGTTACACAGACAGTGTCGGGTTCTTTATCAACATTCTGCGCCCCGATTTGAGTGATTAGACCTGGCAGCAGTAACGAAATGAGTCGTCTTGACATTCTGCTGGGTACCAAGACTAGCAGCTTACCGACAGAAGGTGAAAGAGGCGAGGAATCGCAATGTTTAATTTTTTTATGGGAATATCCACCAGTAAGGGAGGATTGTCTCCGGTGTGATGAGAGGAATGGAACTATTTGGTCGCTGAGGAGTTAAGAATCGCTGGTCGGTATGTACAGGTGCAAGGGGCAACCACTGTTGATGTCTCAGCTTGGACCCAGCTCAAAGTAGGGAGCGTTATGGATTACATCTCGATAAAATATGCTTGTATATCGAGTGAGACATCACCTTGGAATTATGACTGGTTAATAAACGGGACTCCTTTGCCATCCAACAAGGCTATATTCGCGCTCTACCTCGCCCCTACATATTGTTTCAAGACTCAAACACGTCAAAGTCTATGGAATGCCGTTCAAACTAAAGGCGTCTTTGTTAGGTAATACCTTTGAAGATTTACATGCTGATGAGATTTGCTGCATGCTGTCTCAGGTAAGAAGGTAAGAGGGTAGAACATTTGAGTGCCTCGAAAGAGCTTCGGAGCGCATTGGCGTATGGATCTGAGCCGAACCGTAGTCACATCGCTGTCCTCAATTGGCCAGTGGGGATTTTGATTTGTAGAATATCCTTATATGTGTTTCCCGGGTTCGAGCATGAATACAGCGTCTTGAAGCATTGGGTCCCATTTGACAGAAATGACAAACAAGAGCAGTGAGAATAGTAAATTAACACGAATATCTATCTATAGCCCAGCCAACTCCTGCAACATTTTTTTTCCATCTCTTTATGAATTCGTTCAATGACAACTAAGGAGAATACGCCCTTTCAATAACTTTTAATTTCCTCTTCACAATCCCATAAACACACGTCATCCCTAAACAGAGAAATAACCATTTGGAAGCTTCCAACATAACAGAAACATAATCCAACCTTGAGAAGTGAGTTCCATACTGCTTCATAAAACCACTCATATAGTCTTCAGGCAACCTTATGCTCAGTGACCTGTTCCATAACCATTCTGAGCATCCGACAAGAGTCGTTCTCTCTCACCATCGGCCTCCATCTCAACCTTCTTCTCGACAAAGACTCTACCCTTGACGGTTATGAAGACGGTCAAAATGAGACCTACAAGAGCTCCAACAGCACCTAAAGTCGCGTTGACAGGCGTTGGGTCATCGTGCAGTGGGCCATGCGTGAGCGCATCGAGTCCCGACTGAATAAGCTGCGTGATTCCAGAGATGCAAGTGATCGTTCCGTAAATGCGCCCGAACGTAGCGAAACCAAAGACTTTGGTGGCGTAGTCACTATAATACGGGTGAGTAATTAGACTTGGTGGGGAGAGTGTGAGTGCACTTACGAGACTGCAGAATAATAGAGAGGACGGAAAAAGACGAAAGCAACGACGGTGAAGTATCCAGCTATCATATTCGGCAGACAGTTGAGAACGCCAATCACAATGATAAAGACAGTCAAAACAGAAAAGGTAGTGGGTACACTCAGGTTATTGAGCAAGATTCCAATGAATGGCGTTGCAGCAACGCCTCCAATGGGCAGGGCAGCATCGAAGAACTCATTGATGCGTTCAGCAGCCTTGTCAGAGCCCAACATGTATCGGTACTGCGATCTGACACCAGCGATGAAGTAGTTCATACGAATCATCTGGAGGATAGTCAAGACAAGAATGAGGATGAACCAAGGAGTCATCATCTGCTTGTGAGCTGGCATTCCGTGGAGAACACCCCAGACGCCGCTGGCTTCGTGTCGGCCTTCCTCTTCTTTGACGCGTTCGCCTCGTTCTTGACTATCACCAGCGAGTTCCTCGATCTTTTCAAGCTTAGCCTTCCTTTGATCGGCTCGAGCGCTTCGGACGCGGGTAAGTTCATTTGTATCATTGATCTCTTCGTCCGATTCGTGAACGTCTCGGGTGCGGTCTTGGGCGTGCTCGATCTTCTTCTCGAGCTGAGGTAGGGTATGGTACGAGTGCGCTGGCATCCAGAGGAATTCAGCCAGGAAAATGGCGACTGGGACGGAAATATAGCCGTAGAAGAACTTGTCAAGCGAAAATGATCCACCGGATGCATCATAAGCCATGCGATAGAACAAAAACACTGCAGCCGAGGCATCAAAGGCGCCGGTGACGAGGGCCACGATCAGTCCAGAATATTTCGGAAACGCGTTCGCAAGCTGAAAGCTGGAAACAAAAATAAAGGTACCGCCGAAAGCGAGAAGAACATTGCCGAGGAGATATCCATGGAAGCCAGGATGCGAGAATGAGATGGCCATCATTAGTGAACCGAGAGTAAGCAGAACACTCGAGACCAGCCAACACACTCGTCGACCGTAGCGATCAAGCACAGCGCCAGCCAAAAGAGAAGAAACGTTAGCGGCGATTGACGCTGAGATGAACAATAGATTCAATCGCATATCTTGCTCAGCGCATGGAATTCTGTAGTCCACCACAGGGCAAAGCTCGGAATAGATGCCCTCATTAATTAGAATTGGCTTGAGGGCAGCGAAACCGAAGACGATGCCTGCTGCAAACCAGCAGGCTATTATACCAGTCGCTACCTGAACTGCACACAGTCAGCGATGCCTCTCAACTGGGCCAATTGGTTAACTCACCATAGCGCTTGAGGTTGGAGACGTTGTAAGCGGCAATGTTTGGCAATTTCTTAGCAATCTCAACGGGCGCAAAACTCAATCGTCGCCATTCTGATCGATCACCACTCTGATCGCATTCATCCCCAGGCACGAGAACAGGAGAAACATTCGGATGACTCGGACCTTCATAGTTGGGATTCGCTGGGCCTTCGTAATCGAAGCCCTCAGTCTGGGTCACATGCTGAGCGAGAGACATTTGCGCGTCCGTCAAAAAGCCACTACCCAAGCAAAAAGTAAACAAACAAAAAAATTGAAGAACACGAATTGAGCTGATGAATAGGTAATTAAATCCGAAAGAGTATTATTTATTTCCAGATTCTTGAGAAATTGCGGTCAGGAACAGCATGTTTCGGTCGCTTTCTTCCGTGTACCGTTGCAGGTGACGTCAACCAGATCTCATTGTCAGGACATGTCCCGTTATCGGTTGATAAGACTATTCTAGACTTGGGGATACAAGCAAGGGTATTCGCAGACTGTGAGACCGTGGAATCGCATCGAACAAAGGAGCCTCAGGCATTTATTGTTTGACGCGACATCCAATCTCATGTTGCTTGCCGATGCGAAGTTTCGCGAAACTTCCCCGCCCAGGTTACAGGGGCATCCAGCCATCCATGTACCCTACACCAGCCGCATCCTGTTGATCGGCGCGATTGGGCAGTCAATTGTAAGATCTATGTGGTCAATTGCATTTAGGGAATCCCAGAGCTAATTGGCGATTTTCTCCAGTCTGAAGAAACTTTATGTCGTTGCTTTCAGTCCATCTTGCCAATTGATAACGATGTCCGTAACTGGAGGTTCTTGAAAAAAGGTGGAAACCCGGGTCTTCCATCCGAAATGCTTCCATCGAATAGACAGATGCTACATCTTGAAGCTTCAACATTGCCCCTGACAGTGTCTTTCCACAGCTAAGACTGGCCTCTTAATCTAAATTTTCTCAATTTCTAATACGCCGCTTTTCATCCGTGAGGGATCGTCACAGTTGAGATATTACACAAGCTCAGTCTCCATGAATGGAGCAGTTCCCATTGAAGTCTTGGGATTGAATCGCTAATTAGTAAGTGTCTGATTAGCCTAAATGGCTTACATCGTCCTCTCCATGACGATGTAGTTTATTTTCTGGGTCGTTGAATCAGCCTATTTAATGGAATCAGCAAGGTTGAGTTGCATCAAGACCCCTCATTCTGCAGGTTCAATGCGCTCTTCGACAAGATCGTCATGCTACCAACAAGGGTCAGAATCTAGCGCTCGAATCGGCATCATCAATCGCGAACAATTTGTTTCTGGGGATCGTAATTCAGCCGTTTTGTTCCCCGCATTTGCCTGAATCTATCTCATGATCGACGGCTCGACAATACATATATAATGAGGAAGGAGCTCTCGCGGTTGCAATGATAGCTGGTGTAACCCAGGACGATATCCATTACGAGGGTTCAAGATGCGCTTCTCTTGGTTATTGTGCCCGCTTCTTGTGCTGGGAAGTGCTCTTCCCGAAAAGAAGACGGATGTATCAACATACACCAACCCAGTCCTTCCAGGATGGCACTCGGACCCGTCATGTATCCAGAAAGACGGTCTCTTTCTCTGTGTCACATCGACTTTCATCTCATTCCCTGGTCTTCCAGTCTATGCTTCGAGGGACCTAGTCAATTGGCGTCTTATCAGCCATGTCTGGAACCGTGAGAAGCAGCTTCCTGGCATCAGTTGGAAGACGGTTGGCCAGCAGCAAGGGATGTACGCACCAACCATTCGATACCACAAGGGAACATACTACGTCATTTGCGAATACCTAGGCGTTGGAGATATTATTGGTGTCATCTTCAAGACCACAAATCCTTGGGACGAGAGCAGCTGGAGTGACCCCGTTACCTTCAAGCCAACCCATATTGACCCCGACCTCTTCTGGGACGACGACGGAAAGGTGTACTGTGCTACCCATGGCATCACTCTGCAGGAGCTCGATCTGGAAACAGGAAAGCTTGGCCCCGAACTAAACATCTGGAACGGCACAGGTGGCGTATGGCCTGAGGGACCTCATATCTACAAGCGTGACGGTTACTACTATCTCATGATTGCTGAGGGTGGAACGGCCGAAGACCACGCCATCACCATCGCTCGAGCACGCAAGATTACCGGCCCATATGAAGCCTACAAGAAAAACCCGATCTTGACCAACCGCGGAACGTCCGAGTACTTCCAGACGGTCGGTCACGGTGATCTTTTCCAAGATGCCAAGGGCAATTGGTGGGGTCTTTGTCTTGCTACTCGCATCACAGCCCCTGGAGTTTCGCCCATGGGTCGTGAAGCGGTGCTCTTCAATGGTACATGGAACAAAGGCGAGTGGCCTAAGTTGCAACCAGTACGAGGTCGCATGCCAGGAAACCTTCTCCCAAAGCCGACCCGAAACGTTCCCGGGGACGGACCCTTCAATGCTGATCCAGATAACTACAACTTGAAGAAGGCAAAGAAGATTCCTCCCCACTTTGTGCACCATCGGGTCCCAAGAGAGGGTGCTTTCTCTTTGTCTTCCAAGGGCCTACATATCGTGCCCAGTCGCAATAATGTTACGGGTAGCCTTCTAGCTGGAGACGAGATTGAGCTCTCGGGACAGCGAGGTCTAGCCTTCATTGGTCGTCGGCAAGCACACACTCTGTTCAAGTACAGTGTTGATATCGACTTCAAACCCAAGTCAGACGACCAGGAGGCTGGTATCACCGTCTTCCGAACGCAGCTTGACCATATCGACCTTGGCATCGTTCGTCTTCCAACGAGGCAAGGCAGCAACAAGAAGTCCAAGCTCGCGTTCCGATTCCGTGCCACAGGAGCGCAAAATGTTCCTGAGCCAAAGATAGTACCTGTTCCAGATGGCTGGGAGAAGGGTGCAATTAGTCTACATATCGAGGCAGCCAACGCAACGCACTACAACCTTGGAGCATCAAGCCGCGGAGGGAAGACTCTTAACATAGCGACGGCATCGGCAAGTCTTGTTAGTGGAGGAATGGGTCAATTTGTTGGTAGCCTGCTTGGATCTTATGCTACCTGTAACGGCAAAGGATCTGGACTGGACTGTCCCAAGGGAGGTGATGTTTATGTGAGCCAATGGACCTACAAGCCTGTGGCTCAAGAGATTGATCACGGCGTGTTTGTGCGATCAGAATTGTAGTCTAGCGATACAGCTCAAGCTTAGAAAGTACTGTTCTCAGTCGAAGTACAATTGAAGCTCACCAGCTGGATGTGCTATTATTAGTGACACGTGTGACGGGAACCAATCTCACTGGAGGGATTATCCCTAGCTTCCATGTGGCCCCTCTCCACTTAGATCTAGGATGCAAGGGCGATGAACGGTTATTGCGATGCCGATTTAACGGGGCCAAATGGCCACAGAATGTCGACGTTAAAAAGCCAGAAAGAGATGAAGTTTCTGCGGCAGCAAAACCAATTGATTGGAGTTTCAGATCTTTTTACTCTTTAAGGTGCGCAACGCTATCTAAAAAGCTGAGAACCTCGCATAATCATGTGGCGTTGATGGTGAAAACGTCAATACCTTCGTCCAGGTCAACCATTGAGCTTATCACCATGTGCATTTACAGTGACACAATGTCAAACCTTGAAACACAAAGCATACCGCCTTTCTGATACAGTGATACAGCATTGGCTTTAAGCCGCAAAAGGTTACGCCGAAATAATTTCCTTATCTCTGTGGCGATGATGTCTTAGTGGCCTCCTCATCTAACCGTATTCGATCATTCCGAGGGTCCAGAACACAAATGCTCAGTAGCGACTTTGCCTGCAAATTCTTTTTCCCATTCACTTAATTTCCATTTTCCTTATCCTTCTCTTTATCGCCCTTTATCTCAGCAACAATGGAGTTCCAAAAACCCCGTCTTCCCCCAAAGGCACCGAGGAGTACGCTAAAACTTTCGAATGTCATCACTCATGATCTGGACTTTTACGTACATCCGAATCTGGTCCCTGATCAAGACCCCTGCAAAGGCAGATTACTTCGAGCCACGGGTCCTATTCGAGAAGGAACCGTTCTTCTCGTAGACATACCATATGCTATCGTCCCTTCTGTGACGTCCAACGAACCGCTTATCTGCAGCAATTTGTCGTGCTCCCGCCGTATCCCTCAGAATGGCCGCGCCATGCGCTGTGAACACGCTTGTTTCAAGGATGTTGTCTGGTGTAATGTCGCATGCCGAGCGACGGATAAGGCTCGACATGGTTTTGAGTGCTCTTGGTTGAAAAAGCACGCAGAAGCACTTCGCCGAGAAGAGGGAGAGTACAATTTCGCTACAGTCTGGCACGTTGTTCGCCTGCTTGCCACGTGGAATGTCGAGTTACACAGCGGTAACGCCCCTGCACAACATCGGCATTCATGGGAGGCTCATTTTCTACGTGGCTGGAAAGCTGTGGATATGTGTTGTGCGTACCTTGACTCGTGGCCCGAGGTGCAGATTACACATTGGAAACGATTGGTCAATGAGTATCTGAGTGATGCGACTGTTCTACCATCCCTGCTAAGTGCCGAACAAATGCTTCTGCTGTTGTGCAAGGAAGAAACCAATACTTTTGGTCTGTATCTGAGGGCTACGGGTTCTCAACCTGTGAGCGACAATGCGACACCAAGAGGTGAATCGTACGGAATGGCCCTGTATCCTCGCGCTGCCCAGTTCAACCATTCATGCCTACCAAATGTGAGCGAATCCAAACGCTGTAAAACCACGTGAATATGCTACTGACAGATCTAGTAGGTCACTCATAAACCTGACGGCCAAGCTCGAATGGTATATACAGCAGCCCGCGACATATCAAAAGGTGAAGAGTGCATGATTACCTACTTCGATCTTACGACGCATAAAGATCTTTCAAGTAGGCAGAACCACACTCAGGAGCAATTCCAGTTCAAATGCACTTGTGAGAGATGTCTGAAGGAAGAAGCAGAGGAGAATCTTGACTGTATAGACTCATTACCGTTTGGCTTTTGAGGAGGCATGGAAAGGCGTTCAGGGTCTGGGTAACGATTAAAGAAATACGAGAATACGAAATCGGAAATGAAGAAAAAAGTTAGCTGAAGGGCTTTGCTCCTGGCTTGAGCCCAAGCGGCGCTGTCTGTCAGCTCTACATGCCCGTCAGTGGGACAGGCTATGATTAGATACTGAGGTAGGGTATAGTCGGACTGAATGAACCCCGGTGCGAAAATGATTCAATTAATCATCAACTGGCACAAGTTCCCAGCGTGCGCTTTGATTCGCTGCGGAGATTGTTTTCGTGGGGTTGCGGAGCGGACCAAATGATGTGATAACGTTATATCAGCTTTTTCGCACCAAGATCGGACAAAGCTCCCAAACCAACGTTGCTTCAGCTTTTATAACCCAACGCCCGCGATTAAGTATCCAATAAAAGGGTTGAGAACTTGGGGAGTCAACTGGCCAAAACCATGATCGACTGCCAAATATCGGGGGTGAAGTTGGCCCGTCCGAGCCATGACAAGTTGAACTTAACCCGATCGGAGTCGTATTTGATCCGATCATGCCATGATTCTCTTCTTGGCAAAACATCTTTCGACTATAGTGGAGCAAGTCGTTTGTATATGAATGTCCAAAGGTGAAGATAACATCGAACGTCAAGCTAGAATTAATCTTTATTTACTCATCAACATGAAAGTTCTCATCGTCCTTGCTCACCCTGAGCCCCAATCATTCAATGGTTCTCTCTTCCAAGTTTCCATCAACGAGCTCAAAGCTCAAGGCCACCAAGTCAAAACCTCAGACTTGTACACAATGAAATGGAAATCCGAGATCGATCGTGCAGTCTTTCCCAATCTCTCAACCGATGACCGTCTCAAGGTTGCATACGCATCGAGGGAGTCATACACAACAGGAAACCTTACCGAGGACGTCAAGACCGAACAAGAAAAGCTGCTCTGGGCCGACATGGTCCTGATTCACTTTCCGCTTTGGTGGTATACCATGCCTGCTATTCTCAAAGGGTGGGTCGAAAGAGTCTTCTCCATGGGTTTCGCATACGGAGTTGGCGAGCATAGCGATAAGCATTATGGTGATAGATATGGTGAAGGAGTCTTTGCGGGAAAGCGAGCGATGCTTGTCGTTACTGCCGGGGGTCGGAAAGAGCACTTCTCGGCACGCGGAATTGTTGGACACATTGACGATTTACTCTACCCTATCAATCACGGGGTCCTGTACTATCCCGGATTCCAGGTTCTTCCATCTCATGTCGTCTATCAAACCGACAGACTGGACCAAGCTGGCTTTGAGAAGGAAGCAGAGGCGCTTCGTGAAAAGCTGAGGCACTTGGATACCATCGAGCCTATCGCTTACAGGCCGCAAAACGGCGGTGACTATGAAATACCGACCTTGACTCTCAAGTCTGGTTTGGAGGGGAAGAATACAACGGGGTTTTCAATTCATATTAGCGAAGGTGGAGCAGCTGAGGGCAAGTGATGGGAACTCTGGATTTACTCAGAGCAAGACAGATACAGGCTATATAGAATCAATAGAATAATGAAAGGAAATAGAGATGATAATTGAAGATACGTGCAACGTTCTATCGAGCTCGCAATGGCTTTTGTCTAGGGATAGAGTAAAACCTGCTGACCCCAACCCGTAGCCGTTTCCGCAATGTTGACTGCCTTCTCCCATTCATCCATAGAGAATCCTCTCTCAACAATCTCATGCCCAGCTTCCTTGCCAAGTTTGAGGACTCCCGTCTCAATCATCTTGACCAAAGACACCAACTCCTGGCGCGTATACATAAATTGCGCCTTGATTGTAATGTTACGAACCATGAGGCTAGCATAGTTGATCTTGATATCAAACATCATACCTAGAAAGACCACACGGCCAAAGGATGCCAGTGAGTTAATGGAGATGTTGAGGTGCTGATGTGAAGCTGTTGCTGCAGGCGGAGAAACGTCGATGTAGGCATCAACGCCTCCCGGCACAAGTGCGCCAATGGCCTTGGTATCCTTCTTTTCATCTCCAGTGAGCTCAACAGCTGTGACACGATGATAGCGAGACGTGAGAGGCTTCAGCTTAGATGCTGAGCGCGAAAGTGCAATCACGCGACAGCCGATCTGGGCAGCCAACTCGACTACTGCACCCGAAAAGTGTCCTGTAGCTGGGGCCACGATGACAGTCTCACCAGCCTGGAGACCAGAGGCTTTGATACCACCATATGCGACTGAGAGGCGCTGGATGTAGGTAAGGTCTCCATAAGAGTAACCCATCTCGCTCACCAGTATCTTCTCATTCAGAGGGATGACATTCTCTGTTGGAACAATTGCGATATCCCTCCAGAAGCCTTTCCAGAGGTTGAACAGCTTCAGGTCGGCCTCAGGGCCACCACCGTCATGGATACCGAGCAGAACTCGGATACTGGGATCATCTCTTGCAGTGACGAAGTTGTTCATATACACGAGCTGGCCAGGTTTGAGTGCAACAGCATCAGGCCCGACGGATATGATGCGACCAACACCACCATCGCCCGGGTTGTATGGGGGCTTAAAGGAAAGAGGACTGTTTCCTTTGAAGCCTTCGCGTTGGTGAGGGCGCACGGGAGTGCTGAGGACACGAACAATGACCGACCCGGAAGGGGGCGTCTTGGGGAGTGGAGTCCTCTCGAGCTTGAGAGGCTCATTGAAAGTGGGAAGGACAAGAGAGGATGAGAACTCGGGAATAGCTTGGTCGCCCATTTTGATGATGTCTTGGTGTTAGATGGTTGGGTTGGGATGTGAGATGAGTCGCTGGCTGGATACAGCACGATTATTGAGGGATGCTGGCACTCTTCTTATACCCGTCCCCGATGTTGATCGGCTTCCTCCTTGAGGCTTGCAAACCGCAAGGATACACCATCCTCTCCATGAATATCGAGTGTTGGGCGTCTTGGCGCAGCGTCGGATTTGATGTCGGACATGTCGATTACCCAAAAGGGTAATTATTAGAACCGACAACTCCGAGACCCCACTACATCTCTCCATTCACTCAGAACAGATAACCAAGAAAGTCCTAAACCCCGATAATTGACTCTTCAGTAATTGGCTTGTCGAAGCCATCATAGTCAGTCAGCAAGTTCATCGGGACCTAGGCCTCGTCAGTGGCGCATATCTGCATATCGATCTGTTCACGAACCCAATCCGACGCAGTAGCGTTATTCCATAGGAAGTAGTCCAAGTCACAGGCATCCTCGTTTCTTGACCCATAATATCCAAAATGTTGTGGTAAATCACTGTCTTGGCGTAGCTCGGAGATGTTTGGGTACATGGGACGCTCGATGGAGCTTGAGGAATGGATATCTGCCAAAATCACCTGAAGGAGTCGCGAGCTTTCGAGGGCGTATGAGGAGACACATGACCTCATAGGCCACAGCTGTGCTGCCGTTTCGAGTGTGTGGATGATATAGCCCTTTTGGCTTAGCCTGTAATACTTCAGTCACGGCAATTGGTTTCTCCTCAGGGTAGACCTACGGTAAGTTGGGGCATCCAAAGAACTCAAGTGGTGCCATTATCATCGTCATGAAGAAGTCATTGACTGGTAAGTTAGCTTTTACGTGCTGATCATTATGAAGTTTTCCTCCTTTCTGAATCTCCCGATCAACCTCGATGTAGACTTCGATGGATCTGAGTGCATTCTTGCGACATGTGTCAAGCGCAGTTTCGCAATACCTATTCTCAAGGCTCATGATGTTGAGAAACGGGCGATAGATTAGCGCGATTCCCGTGTTGTAGATGAGCTGGAATAAAATACGTTGCATAAAGGTGAAACTTGTATTTGTGAAGCATGTATCCTTGATCGAACGCACGCTGAGGCAAGCTGGAATCGACCTGTACCATGTCTCAAGATGTGCTTTGAGGGAAATGGCGTCCTTGTAACTGCAAGTCTTGAAACCGAGAGCATGGCATATAATCCTTCTTAGAATGGGCAAGAGTCGTGACATGTACACGCAGGGTAGGGCAGCATGGATCTCTGTTACTGGACATGAGAAGATGACTTGCGATTCCTCATCAAACTCATCATCTGTGACATCGGTCGGATGTCGGGTGGAGTATGTATTCTCATGTATTACTGGCGGTAATCCATGTTCAAGAGAGAGCAAGACGTCGTAGTATTGGAGATAATACCAAACGCGTCGCCTCATTTCGGCTTGAAAAGGTGTCACTGCCTGTAGCAAGTCGCCTCCATCGACATGATAGAATCGTTGTTGAGCGATGCGAACCGTCAAGGCATAGAGCTGTGAGAGATCAATGTCCTGGTCCTCTTTATGGAAACATCGTGCATGAAGATGCATAGCCAAGGCTTCAACAGAGGACTCAGTAGCCGTGCTGTACTGCCCAGATATAAGACACCGGGCTGAAAAGGACATAAGTGCCGAAGATTGACGATAATTTCCCCTGCCGTCGGGGATGATAGCGCCAACAGCAAGGACTGAGAACAAGATGCTAACCCAAAGAAGATTTGCGGATTCAGGGTTGTTCCAAAATGCCTCGTACTGTTTGCGGAATTGATGGATGTGAATAAACGGTACAGCAATATTCCTTGCGTTGAGGTATGTCGAGACTATCATATCAGCATCTTGGCGGGACGGCAAAGCTGCCAGGACATCTTCTGAGGTAGCTTTGGCGAGAGATCCAAATATGATGTCTGGAGGTTGGTCCACTTGCGGAGCCGTCGCAGCCCTACAATTATTGTCATTGATGGCCTGCCGAATGCGGTCCACACCCTGGGCTAGTTTATCGCAGGACGTAGCCGCTTGGTCCCGGTTAGGCTGGCTGAGGAGACTCTGGAGGAGGCTCTGCATCTGCCTAAGCTCATTTTGGACTCGACTATCATCGCGATCAGCCAGCAAAGCTGTTGTGGGCCGTGATACTGGTTCTAAGTGACACGAGTCCTGGAGACCGCGCTTCTGACATGCACCGCATGGTTGTTGTCTGTCGCATTTCTGCTTGCGCGCACGGCAGGTTGAGCAAGATACAGCGGGTCTGTTCCGCTTGATCCGTGGAGTTTGGGATACCCGGAACTTGGTAATATGACCTGACAGATCCTGGTTTGTCATGTTGTTCTTATTTCGGTGAGGTTAGGCCAAGTAATGTTAGGGGTGCAGGACCAAGTAAGTCATGGACATCAAAGTCGGTTTATGGAGGAATATCACCTCGAACTTCACGAGGCGGTGGGGACATGAGTGATCCTTGTACTGTCCGATTGGCTGTAACAATAGACTAAACCGTTTGGAGATAACCGAGATACTTGTCCTAAGGAGCCTTGCAGGTGATACCCAAAACATCAGAGCTAATGTTCTCACACAAAATTTCCCCAGCACCAGTTCCAGATTTAACAGTCCAATTCGTAAACTCAACATCGCAAGTTTTTCCTTCGACAGGACAAAAGACATGGCCGGTAGTAGGCGCATACTTGGTACTAGTCCTCCCCGAGAAGTTCTTGACGTAAATCTCAGTCACCTGCGCAGTACTGGGATGCTGTTCACAGTAAGACTTGTCTTCGTTGTAACAAGCATCGAACTCAAATGCAGCACCACAGTTATCGACAATCACACCATCCCAAGTAACGTTACGGACAACAGCTGTGCCGTGATCAGGACCACCGGGGTAGATCTTGATACCAGCCGCTTTCGTAGCTCCTTTCATGGTGGCGTTCTTTACATAGATGTTTGTGACTGTGTCGGTGTTTGTCTTGCCGAGAGAACCTACAGAAAGGCCGTGTGATCCTTGGCAGGTGATGTCGGTGACGGTGGCTTGATCACAGCCTGCCTTGAATGCAACACAATCATCTTCGTTCTGGATGAAGATGTTCGACAGGGTCGTGTACTTGGACGCTCCGATATCGAATCCATCGGTGTTCTTTGGTAGGTAGCTAGACTTGCTGATGGCAGTCAGATCCATGTTGATGAACTTGACTCTCTCGCTGTTGGATCCAATATCAACAAAGACGTTCTGGGCGTTCTTCATAAGAAAGCCGTTGACTTCAACGTCAGTGGACCCCGCCACAGCGAACATAACAGGCCTCTTCAAATCCCCAACCGATCCAAAGCGATCCCACGCAGCTTGCCCATTGCCATCAATCTCTCCAGTACCAGCAGGACTGTGAAACTTGAGCCCCTTGACTCCACGAATGTCAATCTGAGTACGAGAATTGTTCCAAAATGTGTAATCATCCGAAAGTTTGAGTCGACCGTCGAGCTGGATTTCGCAGTTGATGCAGCCGGCGAAGCTGAGTTTGCTTTTGATCATGTAGGTGACATCTTTGGGGAACACGATAACTCCACCGTTACCGCATTGCTTCAACGCTGCGACGATGGCGGGGACATCGTCTGTTGAAGCTGATCCAGCGGATTTGGGAGTACAAGTCGCTCGCTTGTGATGCGCGAGAGAATGGTCGTGTGAAGTTGGAGTTCCAGCGGCTCCTTGGACAAGGAGTGCAACGAGAGGAGCGAAGAAGATTGGTTGGAAGAGCATTGTTGTGGTTGCTAGACGTTGCAGTCTATGCTTCTGTAAATGTTTCGTCTTGTGCGATTCCCCTTATTTAAATACACTTCTTCCACCAAGATTCCTTGATAAACAGTTCACTGGTGATTCAGAAAAATGCTACCCCATGACTTCATCCTCTCCATTTCATTAGTAAAGCTGAACCCCTTAATCTGCCTATGGACGATTTGAGTTCGTATCACCATCTCAAAGTTAACTCGCAGAAGAGTTTCAACAAATTCTCCACCAATCAACATGTCTAGTTCCGTCCAGTAGTTTGAAAATACGACCCCTCGTTTGCTAACCAAACACATCGAACCAAAATGGACTCTAGCGTCTTTGGAGATTGGGACGGGCTGTGGATTCGTCTAGTTTCAATGGATAAATAGCTTAATCCTTGTCATCTTGGGCGGAGCCCGAGTAAATCTCCGGCTTGGATGAGCGAATACCCGTTAAGTTACCGCATCTTGCCCTACTTCTCAAGTTTCAATGGCAATCAAATAATCGATCAATGGCGTACATTGCACCTTTTTCTGGGGTAGATCGAAGTCTAATTGTCAATAGTCAAGATCATCACGTTAAGCAGATGCACGTATTTAGGCTAATACCCCAAAGTCAAACCCAAACCTGCCCCCAACTTTGACCCCAGACTCAAACCCAGGTTTCCTGTTTCGACTTTTTGCTTGGCCAATCGAGGATAGTGTCTGATTGAAACACTCATCATTTGATAGTATACGGAGAGACAAGAAGCTGGAAAGAAGTTTAGTGAAGCCAATTGTCTTGCGTAGCTGTTCAACGGCACAAAGTTGCCGAATGCTTGTCTCATGATCCAATTAGTTGCATTTTCAACGTCTTAATTCAGGCTGATATCGCATTGTGATTTTCCATGAATGAGATAAGCTTCTGAATAACCTTAGTTCAGCCAACTGGCAACCAACTCTGTGTGAAAACACGACAATTGCCTGCTTTCTTCTCCATACACAGCTCATCATCATTCGCTCAAACCGTGCAGTCATACAACTCTTCTATCGTCATCGTCACGATGCCATCCCCTAAGGGCTTCTTCCATTTAATTCAATTGGCTGTTTTCCTCGGCCAAGGCCCATCCTCTGGTGAAGCAGCAAGCTTTCCAACACGAGCGGACAACAGTCGCACTGCTGCTCCTGCGGATTGTATCGTGGTAAGGCCCGGTGGTGCTAGTGCATCAGAGTTCAACAGCCTACAAGCTGCCGTTAACTCTATCGGTTCATCTACGAAGCCTACGTGTATCTTCCTCAACCCAGGGACGTACAATGAGCGCGTGGAGATCAAGGTCAAAGCACCTTTGACGCTCTATGGGTCAACCGTCGAGTAAGACAATATCCATTCTGAGACTTTTGAATAAACTAACTCAGTTCCTCAGTACTAGAAGCTACAAGAAGAACACCGTTGTTATCCAGAATACACTTGGCTCACAGGATGCGGGCTCCTTGGACGCAAGTTCAACCGTCAATCTTAGATCCAACGACTTTGCTGCGTACAACATTGACTTCGTTAACGGGTACACAGCTGGACAGGTAAGTTCATCGTGTCATACGAGTAAGAAACAAGCTAAGAATAGCATAGGCTGTTGCCTTGACGGCAAATGGCAACAGAACCGGATTTTATGGCTGCTCCTTCAAATCGTACCAGGATACTCTGTATGTCAAGGCTGGATGGATGTACTACTCCAATTGTTATATCGAGGGTATGCCTTCGTTTCTAGCCAATGAGTGTGAGATTTACGACTGACAACTGTAGGTGCGGTCGACTATATCTTTGGCAACGGCCATGCATGGATTGGCGAATGTAAGGGCACTAGCTATTTTCAGCCATGGACTCTTTCTAATTTCGATCAGCCACTATTGCTTCTAATGGACCGGGTTATATCACGGCATCATCTCGAACTGAGCCAACCGACACCTCACGTTATATCATCGATCACAGCACGGTAAGTGCAACTTCACCTTGTACTAATGATAAGAACTCAACAAAGTGCAGATCACATCTACCGGCACTCAAGATCTTACCAACAAAGTATACCTCGGACGTCCTTGGAGAGTCAATGCAAGAGTGATGTACCAGTACAGCACCTTGACAAACGTCGTTAGACCCGAGGGATACTCACCCATGGCTGAAGGCGCAACACCGTAGGCTAACAAGAACATCCCAAAGGCGACCAAAGGCTAACTCTATTAGTGTCTTCCAAGAGTTCGGAAACACAGGTGCTGGTGCAGACACTTCGCAGAGAAAGTACTTCACCCCTTCTGATAGGGCTCTGACGAAGCAGGATCTTTGGGGAAGTGATTTCAAGTGGTATGATAGTAGCTACTAGTCTATATATATGAGAGACAAGGAGTGTTACTACGCAAGAACGTGCTTTCGGCTATACAGTAATTTCCTGAAGCTTGAGAGTAGCCACTGGTGTTCCAGCATCATGATATCTAACGGGATTCCATCAACTGTTTTGGCTCCACCCATATCATCAGCCAAGGCTCCTCTCCAGGCTTTGCACTGCTGAGATGAAGGTATGCATCCTCTTCTAGCGTCCACGTCAACTCACCTGGAGAGCCCTCCTTGACAACCACGACATCTGGCTCTTCACTTTCCTCAACCACTGGCTTAGTGTTCAATGCGTATATCTCTCTGAATTCCTTCATAGTAAGCTCATTAGCCAAGCGGATCCCCTTTGACGCTGCGGCGATGCTGAAGCCAGAATTAGCCTCTGTGTCCTTCTGTTTGACAATAACAACATATATATTCTTCCCACTTCCATCAATGGCGGAATGGTTGACCTTGTCAACAGCTTCCAACATATCAGGGGGGAAAATGCCACTGGAGCCACTGCTGCTGTCACGGTTCTCTTTTATAAGTGCCAACAGATCAACATGGTCAGACAGGTCATTCTCCTTGTCCATAGGTTCATTTTGCGGCGCTACCAGAAAGTCAGATAGCCCAGGCATGCGGTGGAAACAAGGGCAACCAATACGTCAAATATGTGGTCAAGGTTGATCTTACCTTCTTGATTCTCTTCGTCGTTCATCTCCACGTCACTCGGCTTTTCATCAGTCGTTGATTCTGAGACGTCCACCACGTTGTTCTCAGTTTGGAGCTTGTCTTTGACTTGCTCTTCAGCTGGCTCTTTATTGACAACAGCCTGAACCTCTGGCTCTTGTTCCAGTTCCAGTAGCTTACTGGGATGTTCATGATGGGTTTCCCTCGAGTCCCTCCCTGATAGATGCCAAATTTGCTCAGAGTCAAGAAACGGAACGATGTATTTGTCCACAAATGACTTCGAGACCCCCAGTGATACTGCATCATTGACGGCATTCTGCATCCTGGCGATGTACTCCTCTCTGATCGAGCCATCGTTAACGTAGTCCTCGCTAACATACACCAGTGCTTTGACCTGCTCAGTACGTGCATGACGCCCTGAAGTCTCGTCACCGACCATGTAGGACGCCGGGCCAATATGGGGTGGTGCACTGAATCTCACTTTGCGATTGGGATTGTTGGGAAAGTGAGTCCCATCTCCGCTTATAGCGTCCCGGCGCTGCTCAAGTAGATGGGACAACGGACCAGTCTTGAAATTCGCGTACTGTTGGTGAGGTTCGAACGAAACTCTCATCAGATACTTCTGGTAAAAGCCTTTCGACACTCCTTCGGAGCGATCTAGGGTCCTTTCGTCTTTGGGACCGATCATGTAGAGAAGGCCCTCGACTGAGTCATCGCTTCCAGATTCAACGATGTTGGCAACACCGCGCTCGTTGATCTGCCAGCGATATGACTCAAGAGTAGCCTTTCCTTTGAAGACACTCCCAGGGCAGCGATGAGCCATTTGGGCGAGGTGCAAGTTGCTCCCATAGGCGAAATACAGTGTGCTGGCTGCTCTGATCATTCTTGACCCGGGCGCGTCAATTGTGGCTGACTGCCCATAAGTTGGGCTCGATGGATTGAATGCATTCATTGTTGTCAGTTGTGAATACGTAAAAGTCGTTTGGGAACGAAGGGTCAGAACATGAAAGAGAGAAAAGAGTCTGGGGAATTCAGTTGGTGGGGCAGACCAGTCGCATGAATTCACAGCCTGTAAGGGAAAAAGAGCCTCAATCAGGCTGCACGTCGGCCACTGTATAATTCTGACTGTGAACATCAAGGTGCAGGACTCACCCAAATGCATCTGACCTAAATCGTCACCACCCATGCCATTTCAATCATACAATGATACCCTGCGGCTCTAGCAATAACAAAACCTCCCCAAAGTTCCATTAGGACCTACCAACAAGACTTGCACTTTGTGCTCTGTCGGTCCAGCGGCTGATATGATTTGGTGATGATGACTGCATAATCGGTCTGTTGGTGGCTACCAATCAAGATTGGCACAATGGTGCTGTGCGTTTTCCTGCCTCTCTGACTCCCATGTGAAATTGCACTTTGGGCCCTTTATGCTTTCTTCGATGTATCAATATGGAAAAAGGAATCCCGGACCGCCAGCCCAGACCACAGTCACTGTAAGCATTAGGGAACATGTCCCCTACCCTAGTGTCAAGCCAGGGAACAGGCGGCTGAGCCTTGTTAGGGGTGAAATGTCAAATATCTAGCCATCAGAAGGACGACGATAGCAGCTGATGCACAGTTTCTGTTGATAGTTTCCAAATTACTACTTTTCGTCTCATCTACCCATGGCTGATTATCATTTCGGTATTGAGATTGAAGTCATTGTCGGACCTCACAAGGTTCGGTCACCACTTAGCACTCAGCATGCTCTGTACTATGGCAAGCTTGCTGCGTCCCTCCGAAAACGAGGACTGAAGGCCAAGGCGGATGACTTGCAACAAGGCTACACCAAGCGACCCGAACACTACGACAAATGGTGGATCACCAAGGACGGATCTCTTGGGTCCCATACAGATAAGAGTAAAGAGGACTCGTCTCTGTTTATATCTGAACCAAATTGACAATGAATAGTTCCAATGGAGGCTGTCTCCCCAGTCCTCAGCTTGAGGGCAAACTGGGAACATGAGATCGACGTATTCTGGACCGCAATGCGTGTTGTTTTTCATATGCCTGATCGATCGCTTCTTTGCGGGAGCCACATCCACGTATCCAAGGGTCTCAATCAGACATTCACCCTTCCTCAAGTTAAGAAGATCGCCTTTGGAGTCGTCTATTATGAACCGCTCATCCTCCAGCTTCTCATGCGAGAGCGAGCGAACAACCGATACTGCAAGCAAAATACACTGAACTCGACGCAGCTGATGCGCTGCAACGGCAGCTATAACGCTATGGCGGAGCTCATCAAGAGTGCAACGAGCACGACGACCCTGAAGAACATTATGCAGAACGATAGGTACGTTCTGTGGAATTTCGACAACATCGTCCCTCAGGGCTCTGGAACTATTGAGTTCAGAGGCGGTAGGTGCCTCAGGGGAGAGATCAGAACAAAGCGATGGATTGCTTTTACGATTGCTTTGATACAAGCTCTACTCAACATGGTACGTTCCATAGCAGCTACTTATTACTTTTTATTACTGACACTTGTAAGAATAACATCTCAAATCCGAATGTTTCGACTCTGGAATCATGGACGCCAGAGGGTCTTTACACTATGATCAAGAAAGCTGCCAGTCAGCTTTCTTTGAGAGACTCCCTCCCGGAGGACTGGAAGGTCTTGAATGAATCCCAGAGATGACCTATAAGTGTTTTAGTTGTTTTGTTATTGTTTTTCATTATCGAGCAATTTGTGTTATGTAATTTACGCAATTTTCTTTACCAATAGAGTATACTACCTAACACAAACCAGCCGCCAACCTTTGGCACAATATTTGAGAGGCAGTGACTAGAATCTGTAGATCTTCTGTAGTAAGAAGCGTGTTCCCATCTCTAACGTTCTGCGCCCGTAATTTCCATAACGGTACATTTGAATCTGCAGATCGCCTCTATAAAGACACGTAAACAGGAACTGACAGCGGGCAGTCTGAGAATGTAGATCCCAACGATTTGATCTGTCCTCCTTGGCATCGAAACCAGGCTTCCTGCATCTAGTCGGAGCCAGTACCTAATGCTTTCGAGTCTAGGTACAGTCTGAATTGCACATTTAGCAGCCATCATTGACCAAGATTGGAAGGTATTACAGGCGCATCAAGCTCAGGACACCGCGAGTCACAATGACTCCGTACAAATTCCAATATCTATACCTTACATGGTTTCTTTTGATAACTTTTTCACTTCCGATTGCATCATGTTGCCCAACCGGGATCACGAAATAGGGTCGTTGCACATTGAAGGTCAGACAATTGCCTCAAGTGCGACTCAACAATCGGGCAGCCGCACTGCGCAGCCCGAGACCACCGGCTTCGCTTGCATGTGGCTGAGCAGTCCCCACTTAACCTTTACAGATGACAGGAGCAGTGTGGTTGAAAAGGATCTATTATTAGGATATACATGCATACTAAATCACAAGCTTAAGTAGGCTGAAGTGAATATGCACAAACGATGGGCGACAGCTTAATCACCACCCCCACGTCCAGGAGGTTGATTGTGAAAATGGGCTTGAAACCCTCTGGGAAGTGCGTACACCACGTCCCACAGTTGAAGCGTGGCGCTGGAATGCAGTTCCCCATGCTCTGCGCTGCGGAGATGAGCTCCGGCGTCTTCTTCGACGAGGCTCTTCGGGATCTGAACTGGTTCTGCGATGACCACTTTGACGCGCCGACCTTCTGGCCTGATCTTCCCTTTGAGATCTTCTTGAGGTTGACCTCGGTGGAATCGACGGCCGAACCGTATTCTCGAAGAAGTCACTCGGGATACCTAAAGTGACAGCGTCTCTTATGCCACAGTTCATGCGATCGACGTATTCATCCCGTGCGGTACCCCACTGAGAGTAACGACTACTGAGATAAACCAGGACGTTGCTCCTGATTCTGCCTTGCCGCTCGGGCTCATGGGATCGTGATCCTGACCGCACAGCGTTGACAGCCTGATCAAGCCCACCATCCTGGACAAGGTAGCGCGTTGGAAGCTGAAGGTCTTCAACAGCTTCATGTAGGACGACACTATGATATGATTTTGTGTAAGCGCCGGAATGAACGCCCTCATTCCTGTCGAGGCGAGCTTCATCATCGACGCTGACTTGATAGACCAATCCGTGCACGTTGTAGCCGCTGCAAGGAATCACATTTGCGAAGCCTCGACTGTTAATTTGCCAGCGATGATCCAGCAGAATCGCCCTGCCAACGTAGAAGCTTTCGGGGCACCGGCTGGCCATTTGCTGCAGCCAAAGGTTACTGCCATAGGCGAAGTAGAGTTGCGTCGGCAAGTCTGACATGGCGCGAATGTGCATGCAATAAACGCTGCACCGCGGTCGAATCGTGCTGAAGGTCGATGCCCAATGATGGCTAAAATGAGGCTCTGGGAGTCTGGGCTTCTATGCGAGTGGAAGAAAAGGATCTCTGGGTTGGCAGTGGGAGCCTGACAAGTGACAGTCAATTATTTGCATGCGTTAGGCTGCGACGAGCGAGGCAATTTATGGTAGCTTTCCGAATGAGCTGATTAATATCCTTGGTCACATTTGCTGCCATGCAACCTTGAGTGATGGTTGCGATACTCGCATCTTCAAGTTGCTTTGCCCATGTGCGCGTCAAGCAGCCAGAGGCGCGTCGAAGTGTGAATGGAGTTCCAATTCCGGAGTTGGAGGGTGCTCAGCTGCTACATTGTTAAAATTTCGATTTCTGCACATAGCTATCCCTCTTTATGCGGGCGTTTGCAATAACAAAGATGTGGTACTACAAGGCTTTAATACGCTAGCATGATGGATGGGGATGCAACCCTCTTGGACAGTGCGAGCCTGATTGTGTACTCGAATAGATACACAACAATTCGTAATCTGACTTGTGAGTGCAGATCCTGATCCATTTTGATTGCCTCGTCCAATGTCTGAGGCTGCGGCTCATATCTTGATTATGAACATGGCTTCCCCAACTGCTTGCGATGGGCGACTCAGTCATTTCCCAGCTACTTCACGTGAGCCACCATGTCTTCGTTTGGTTCATACAACTTTGGGGTCGAATTGGAGCTCATTGCTGAGCCCAAAAGAGTGAGGCACCCTCTACTGCGTGCTGTCTACTACGAGGAATTGGCGACATCATTGAGATATGATGGCGCCGATGCAGAAGCAGACAAGCTTAATCAACGATATCGAAAACGTCCAGAACACTATGATAAGTGGTGGATCACAAAGGATGGATCGTTGGGAGATCCTGAGCATCCGTGTAGTGAGTGTCTTGAATATTTCCTATGATTGCGTACTAATTTGTGAAACTACTCATAGTTCCGCTCGAGGCTGTCTCACCTATACTCTCCACTGATTACACTTGGGAGAATCAAGTAAATGTTTTCTGGAACTCCTGGGATCGTGTATTCCACATGCCAGAATCATCTCAGGCTTGCGGCAGCCATATCCACGTATCACCATCACCGGAGATGGAATTTGATCTCAATCAACTTTGCAATGTTGCTTTTGGTGTCGTCTACTATGAGCCGTTGGTTCTTCGTCTGTTGCCCTACCATCGTCAGAACAACAAATACTGCAGACCTAACACGCTACGATCTGGACCATTGTATGACCTCATGTCAAACTTTCACGAAGAAGAAGCACTCAGAGAACTCTGGGAGGCCCTTGACGAGGGCGTTGACGAGGAAGATATCAGGGACCTCATGCAATCAGGCCCGGAGCCAAAGCAAGAGAGATATGTCCTCTGGAACTTTGACAACATCTTTGGGGGCGGCTCTGGTAGCATCGAATTTCGAGGAGGCCCGGGTTTGAGAGGTCCTGTCAAGACAAAAAGGTGGATATCTTTTGTTGTCGCTTTCATCCACATGTGCACAAATCTGGTAAGCTTCTCACCCAGCTTTTCATTGCAGCAGGCACTGAATTACATCACAGGATGTCTCATCATGGAGCCACTACACGAGACCAAGTATGGACAGATTCTGGAGAGATTTACGTAGGTCTGCGCAAGCTGTCAGTGTTAAAGAGAACCTTCCATCCGACTGGAGAGTCATGGCAGGACTGGTCAGGTCAGTATTCCCATCCCATTTCGAGACCCGTGACCAACCATTTGCAGCGGCAATTCCTACGAAGAGTCTGTTCTGGATGACTTCAGCGATTCAGGCTATGGTGATGATTCATCTATCATGGGCAAGTCGGACTCTGAATATTCCGACTCTGAGTATAGTGATGGAGAATATAAAGCCTTGCAGCAGGAGTTGATCAGGGAGAGAGACCATCGTTGCACGATTCTTTAGGTGGCTAGGAGATATCACGGTGGCAATAAACAATGCTGACTGCATGATCGCGACTGAGATGAGTGCCAATCAGCATGGATCGGATTCATTGCAGTAGAATATTGTTGGTAAGATTCGTAGCGTGCATATATTTAAGTAGCCACTCATCTTCCCTTTACGTCCCGTCCCTCAACGGTTTTCCGTTGGCCAATACCGTCAGTCTTGGCAATCAGGCTTTCGATAACGAATTGATGGATGACAGTTCGGACACATTGAGCCTTTCTACTGGCTGGGTCGTTGGGCGACAAAAGTAGAAAGGGGACACCCTGAATCTTACGCGATATCATCGCGCTCTGAGCTTGTTGATTATCCCCGTTCTCTCTCTGCCAAAGAATAATGAGTATTGACTTGGCTTTAAGTAAATAGGGCCCGGGACATCCGAAAATACCCATGCATGGATAAGGTCTAGAAGCCGAGCTAGCCCAGCCGACAGGTTCAGCCTCAACGCGCATGCATATTTAGCCCCCAATACCCCCTCAGATGTAGGTGTGGATGATGGAGGCGAGAAGTCTCTTGGGTATCAGTATCAGAGTATTTCCCCAAACTTTTGCTGTGTGACAAACCCTCGTCTTACCAAAGGTTTAGAAATGAGATACGTATCTCGCCAGTTGCTCCTTAGGTAGAATAAGAACAAAGGGACACCCACAGGTTTTGCAACCTCTTCCTTTAACAATAGTTTGGCTCATGGCTGACGAAGTGTGCTCACGTAGCATTTATGGTGTTGCATAACGCATCGACCAACTCGATGTCTCAGTAGCATATATGAAGTCTGGATAAGTGGCGATACAAGGAAGAATATTCGACCTTGAAGGCCTAGGAAACAGCCTGAAAAGTTGTGTGGTAAGACCCTATTTCGGCGGGATTGGGGGCTAAGACCCAAGACTGAGCGTGGAGCTGTCTAAAGAAGTCGGGAGTTATTGTCAACATCGTCGGTGAGTGTGCCTCAGCCGCACGCCAGCAAAAGGAGTGATCCCCTACCTCCATGCAAGTGTCCCGTCTGGTGTTGTGGCTTGATCATTTAATAGCAGCCATATCACCCTGCAGACAATGGAGCTCTTCAGCGGCTCCCAGGTCCAGGTTTAGCTATACAGCTAGTTCTTCCCATTTTAATGCCGCCAGTCCTCCATCGCCTTGCCGCGTCGATGGTACTCTCAGACCTTACTGACTTTAATTTCTGAAACTATATCATTACTCAACATGCAACTAAGCATGCTTTTGTGGCTGGTGTTGGTCGCGTGGGCTCAAAACATCTACGGTTCCGCTCTATATGCTTTCTTCACCGACCTCACCATCCAAGTCGGGGCACAAGATGCTGCCACGGGAAAGCTTCTCTACAGCACCTGTAATAGCCAAGATATCCCAATTTTCCCCCTCGAAAAGCCGAATATCCTCGATACAAAGGAAACCCCGCGTAATGGCACCGCGCTTACGGCAGTAGGCTGGGGGGACTGGCAATTTATTACTGTACGTCGTCTCTTTGCAAACTGGCCACGTTCCACAGCTCAAAGTACATCTAGGTGCAGGTCTTCTGGCAGACGAAAGATAATACGATCGTGCAGGGAAAATACATATGTAATATGACAACGGGAAAGCTTGTGCGCGACCGCGAGTTCCAGATCTCGGCAGCGGCTGGTGTTGACTCCATCCACAACGAGACAGGTCTCTCCATTGTCAACCTTGGAGAGAAAGAAGGATATCGACTCTTTTACCATGACGAGGATAGGCAGGCGAAGATGCTGTGGTATACTGACGACGATGGCTGGAACGATGGCGGAGCTATCTCACAGGATACTGCCGGCGGCATGGCGTTAGGTTCAACGATTTATGACTTGAAGAACATTACTGTGCCTTTCCCGAAGGACTCCGAGAATATCGAGCTGTCCCGCCTGGATAAATCTGGGCTCTGGATGCTAGGTGCGTCCCATCGCGCTTCCGCGCTGGTGGTGCTGGACGAAGCAGTGGCTGACAAGTAATAGATGCGTTCCCAAACGAGTTCCTCGGACCCTATACGAACAACACGCTGCCGGGAGATATGTATACAAGCTTGGGAGACGATGCCGACTTCTCTCTTCCCGCATGGAACTCTTCCCTCGAAGCCATAGGCGCAGCAGTAGACCGATCGCGAACACGAAGCATCTTCTACATCGGTGACGATAAGAATATACACGAAGTTAAATCGACGAAGAATAGTTGGCAGCTGGGCTCAAACCAAACTGAGCGCGCATGGCCTGTCGCTGATGACCCAAGCTCCGGTCTAGCCGTAGTCTCTCAACAGAGCGAAGGCAAAGCTTGGCTATACTACTGGGCCAACGAGACAATCGTACAGGCATTCAAGAATTACGATGGTGACTGGAAGAAGGCAGAAGCATTACCGCAAAAGCTTCCGACAAATGGAACTGATGACAAGAAACCCAAAGACAGACCCGCACAAGAGCCTGAGCCTGAGCCCAAGGGCTCCAGGGGCCTGAGCGTGGGAGCCAAGACCGGAATTGGTGTTGGAGTCGGCGTTGGCGTTGGCGCGTTGCTGATCGGTGTCCTTGCTTGGTTATGGATGAAGCGTCGCAGAGATCGCGCTCACCAAGAGAAGGTTTCGGGTATAGTGGAAGTAGGAGGAAGTCCTCTAGAGCCGCGTTTATCGGTATTCAAGGAGGACCTTCCCAGGGAAAATGAACAAGTTGAGCCATCAGAGATGGCCGGCCAAGGACGACCAGCTGAATTGAGCCACCACGATTCAGTCGTTTACGAGTTACCAGAGCATCATACAAGGGGATAACAGGCGGGTATCGGATTGAATGAGTAAAGGCGAAATGATAAGATTGTCAACCTCAACATGAGCATGAATAGCAAATAATATCCTCAGCCTACCTTACTGTAAATGAATGGGTGCAGACAGGAAGCTTGATCTCAGAGTCACTTTGTGAATCTCAAGGTACTCGCGCCGTGCCGGAAGTCGGTGAATCTGCTGGCTCCGGGAAGGTCTTCCAGTGGCTGTAGTAGCCCATCAAATAGCCTAACGGCCGTACCAGCTGCCCTTTTCGCCGCCCTCAAGATCCCAGTCAAAGTGGCCTGGACCGCTCAATTGATTGCACGCACCGTGTCTGGATGGGGCTGGACCGGCCGGGCCTCCAATTCTGGCCTCGATTCCCATTGCGAGCCAAGCCTGATTGAAGGATCTATCATTTTCACTTGAAGAAAGCAAACTAGCTCAGGGACAAGCCCTGAGCTGGAGGTAAAAGGTACTCAAGCCAAAACTTCATCGCATTCCCGCGACCGCCCAACACTAACATTAATGGCTACTTGGAAAGACAGCAATGAAGCAAAGCCAAGAGAAACAGTGTCGCCAATAACGGATCCGTGCAAAGGGCGTTCACAGCCAGCCACCTAGCATCTCAGCCAGCCACTGGGTCGGGTTTTGACCAGGGTAATTTGAAGCTATCGATTTCCCAGGGAGCGGCCCGTACCATTCACCAAATCATGACTAAAACGGGGCAAGCCCACTGGCAGACCCGACCAATTGATCCATGGGTGGTCAATTTTGGAACAGACAATCTGGAGAGAGAATGCTGAGCGACAGCCACAGCTGATTCTCAATGCACTATTGAATGCTGAGGCTGACTGTTTCCCAGGCTTGTCTCAGCTTGTGAGTCTATTGACCGGATCACACCCCAAAATGGCACAATGTCAGGGCACAAGAGACAGGCTATAAATAATAGTTCTAGATGCATGAGCCTGATTAGGGAACATATCAAATAAGGGTACCGACCACTGGAACGTTGGATTGAAATGGGAAAAGCGCCGTCATATCAAGTAGTTGTACAAATAGAAAGAGTATGTGCCGTATTTTTCACGACTGGCCAAGTCTTTGAAACTCTGTCTATTACACTCAACTGTCGCCATGATCTTCAAATCTTTCCTTCTCTCGTCGCTTTTGGCCACTGGCCTCGCGTTATACATACCACATGAGGATATCACGAGCAAAGAATGCGATTGCTCGGGAAAGCATGTTCGTAAGAACGACAACCTCGGGCGTATCTACGTCTGCGGCGATGAACGCCTTGGGCCTAGAGACCTCCCCACGAAGCTCCCTCTCAGCACATTTGTCACTGGTTATGACCGTTTCGGAGGCTTGACTCCAAACGAGTTTCTTGAGAAGTGGTGGGATAACACGACCAGACCTGATGGCAAAAAGCCAGTTGGCTGGAAGTACCCGCTGAAGAACGGTTTTGAGTTGGACGATGACGAACGGCCCATCAAGGCAAACGTGAATCTCACGCCAGGAACTCTGGTTGATAGGTTCGGAGAGCCAACTGGTAAGTTTGATCGTAGTAGCATGGGATCATTACTAACCTATATCGGAAGGACGCTACATCTCTCCTGCGACAGCACCCTTTTCTCAAAGAGCTCTTCACCCTGGGAATCTCATCACTGGGGAGAACCAGGAGTTCCCCAACAATTATCACGTGTACAAGGTGACCAAAGCATTCACTGTTCAGGCAGGACCTATCAGACCGTGGTTTGGCCAGCCAGGTTATGGCGTGCAGTTCTTCCTTGGTGTTGGTATTACGGTGAACGACTACCTGGACAACGGAAGTTTAGTTCAACTCAACGCATCAGCCTTGATTAGGGAGGCAAAGCAGTGCGCATTGAACCGAGGAGATATTGACTTAGAGTCAGAAGAACTATAGATGACGGTTACAGGAAATACGAGTATTATAGACCATCGTGAAATAAATGGAATTGAATAACCATGACGAACGTGTTCCTGTTGCCTGTGTAAGCTTCCTAATGTTTAATATTATGATACTCATTGCAGCGTGACATACGTGCAAAACATGATGCATGTTGGTTATTACTAGCCATATATCTCTGGTTCAAAGAATGTAAATTTCTGATGGTTTAGTACAAGAGGTAGTACCCTGATACTTCCAATTCCGTTCTTCCGTAATAAGACCGCCTAGTCCCACCATTGTCCATCACGTTCGAATCCAAAACTGTGCCTACAGAGGCTCAGGACTGGTGTACTCCCAGTGTTCTTTCATATTAGTATCCAGGTGATACAATCTCCCAATTGAGGACTCATCATCAGCGAGTGCTTCGTCATCGACCTGTCGTCTCTTGTCACATATCTCGCAGTAAATATTATTCATCGAGGTCACCTTGCCACAAAGGCTTCCCGAGATTTTTTTGTTGCATTTCCACTTCTTGTGGTCTTTGCGTACAACTGTTGTCGTGGTGGCCATTGTGGGATTTGGGGGTTGTAAAATTTTGATGTTCTGCTTGGTAGAGGGGTATATGAGTGGAGTGCTGTTTTAAGCTTTCGATTTTGTAGGTGTTGAAGACTTTGAGTGGACTCTTTCTGAGCTAGCAAAGGCCCTATTTATCCCTTTCAGACGCTTCTATTCACTTGAGAGGTGCCCTGAATTGAATCACAAAGGATTTTATAACATGTGCTGCATCATAGCACTAAGCTTGATATGTTAATCATGACAGACATCTCAGTGACATGCATCAGGGCAACGCATCCTTGAGCTACATCACTGTCTGGGAGTTGAAGAACATCTGCCCCCTAACAATGAGAGCGTACTGTGTGTGACGCATATCCTTCGATCATAGAATCAACCTCAACTACTTACTGAAACGCAGCGTCACAGGTTCCTGTGGCTGACTGAGCTCTCGCTGACATGAGTGATTCTTAGCTATATTGAGGATTCCCACCTGTTGGAGAGCTATATATCACTAACGCTGACAGACTCCCTCGTTCATTCCAATTCCCAACAATAGTCCTAACCACGAGCCTCTCTCATCAACCACTATTCCACTTGACTTTACTCATATACCGCATACACCATGCCATTCGGACGAGTCACGAAGGGAGTGAGCAGCCATCACGTTTACTGGGGATGCAATAAACAAGCAGGCGGCTGCGGTGAAACAAATGACATTGCACAAAAGACCTGTAAGACGTGCAAGAAAACGCGGTGCGCAGGTGATGACGCCATGGCCAACTCGCCCGAGGACCCTGTGTCAGGCTCAGAATTCACAATTGGGCATTTGGACAAGGTTGACGATAATGGTGTGGAACACTGGTGTTATATCAACCCAAATGCAAAAAGGCAATCACAAATTGTGAATTGATGAGAAGCATATGTCAAGGAAAAGGGAAAGAATATCTCGCTTAGTTCATTACATCAACATGGGTTACGTTAAGAATACCACGCAATTTCCCATTTATCAAATTCTAATCCAGATGCTTCACATCAGCTTTCTCAATCACCTGCTTCGTGTCCAGCTCATCAGAATAAAGTCCCTCTGGTGCGTCACCAAAGATGACCGATATCTCCTCTAGTGTACGTCCACGTGTCTCGGGGTAGAAGAAGAAGATCACGAAGCCATAGGAGACGAGAAGAACGACATAAACAATGTAGTACTTCCAGCCAATAGCCGACAATGCAATTGGGTTGACAAAAACGTTGAAAATGAGAGCCAAGATCATAATCATCCAGGCTGCAGAGATTCCACGGCCGCGTAGCTGGAAGGGCCAGAGCTCCAAGGGGTAGGCAACCTGAAGAGGAGTTCTATTGAGAGCAGTGTTAGTGATAGGATTCAAAGCATTGGTGAGTGAAACAGAGTTGACTTACATAGCAACGGCATAACCAGCATTGAATAAGAACACAAATGGAATCATGGTGATTCCAACTGATCGTGATCCAGTCTGCGCAAAACTTCCTGACATGGCTGTGATCAAGATAAAGCTGACAAGCATGATCGCACAAGAAATCATGAGTAGAAGTCGCCGTCCAAGTCGCTCGACACATAGAGCACCAGCACATGCAGCCAGGAAACTCCAAATTTGAAGACATCCCATAATCAGAGTTTGATCAGTGACGCTGGTGATGCCGACGGTGGCAAGGACAGTGGAGAGGTAGTAGCTGACGACTCCGTTACCGACCCACTGACTGTAAATTGCCAATGATGCAGTGATGAAGAGACGGCGACGATGGGCTGGAGTGGATACCAGTGACGCGTAGGAGCTTGACTTCTCTGCTTGTTTCTCTGACTCGATGGCGGTCGTGATCTCGTGAAGTTCGAAGTCGACAAGCGGATGGTTCGCATCACCGCCCTATATAGTAGTACTTAGCTAACTGTTCGACGGGCGTCAAACATGCTAATTTGACTTACCGCGTGCAGCTTTCCTAGAGTCTCGCGAGCTGCGTCTTCCCGTCCCACAGATACCAACCATCGAGGGCTCTCAGGCACCAAGATCAGAGCAGGAAGTGCAACAAGAGGCAAGGCGATCTGGAGAATGGTCGGTATCCTCCAGGCCCAGTCGGTGTAGTTCCTCGTACCGTAGCACGACCAAGCTGCAATGATACCACCAATGAAATAATTACAGTTAGTCAAAGCAGTAATGACACTTCTGTGGCTGGGGTACGCGATCTCAGTAATGAGAAGAGGGATTGATGTCGCAAACATGGCAGTTGGGATACCAAGTATAAAACGGCCTGCGATCCACTCTGCCTCAGTCTTAGCACCTGTCTGGAGGCCAGTACCAATTGCTAGCGGAATGAAGCCGAGGAATGCTGGTAGACGACGACCGTATTTGTTTGCAAGCCAGGAGCTAGGCGGGCAAGCTGCAAAGAATCCGATGAAGTAGATGGCGTTGATGAAGCCGGACCATTCACCAGAAGGATGGTTCATGAATTCGCTCCATTGGGGAAGAGATTGAAGTCCGTTGAGGAGACTTCCATCATATCCAATTGCAGATTCTTGTTCAAGTCAGCTCTGAAGAACCCTATTGATCATTGGTTATGTAACTCACGGAAGCATACCAAGCCCAGGATCAAACTATTGAGTTTGACCAAGTGGGCTTGCTTGTACCATGGTGTAGTCTGGTTCGGTAGAACAGCCTCAATACCCCCAGATGGAGGCTGAATCTTGGAGTCCAAAGCCATTCTGCTCAATTGACAAAGTGGATAGTTGATTTGTGGAGTTATCGATGCGCCGCTATCTAGAGAGTCAGACCGCAAAACGGGGTGCGATCAACGGCCATTATAAACTACCACGGCATGATGCTGCACGGGCACCAAGAGCACGGAACTCTTCCCGCGCGGGTCGACACAAAACGTCGCGGGGTCTCCAGGTTTTTCCCAATGCCCCAGATCTCCAGATTATAGGATGATATGAACAAGGGATGGACAATTCGATACCACCTTGTTCCACTTAGCTGAAATGCCGGCCAGGGTACATGAGAAAGGAACTCGGCAACCCCGCAGATGTCTAATTGATCTCTCCATCTTTGCGAAGTTTGCCGGATATTGCCTGTTCAAAGCGTCACTTGCGCGAGTCATGGACTTGTCCTGATGTGATTCAAGGACAGGTTGAACTGCGGTTATCTCGGTTGAGGCCCGGTTAGAAGCTCTAGCGTCGATATAGACTGGAGAAACTTCGTTTATGAGTCGGATAGCAATTATGTGAGATCGGTACTGGTTCAAGATGAGGATTTGAAGCTGTCGGCACTTTAGCCATCTATAAATAGCCCGGTATCAGGCTTCCCAGCTGAGAGGTTTATCAGATCCGTACTATATAAATGCTCAACAGCTAGTTTTTGATACCAATCGACCTGAATCTTCACTTTCCGCTTCCTTCTCCTTCATACAAATTGTTAGACTGTGAAGCTGTTGAGCAAGTTCGCCGGCAGTTTTTCTGACCCCGTGAGCAGTCTCGGGCTCGTGAAGTGGGATACTGTCCAGGGACCCTTGCATTCAACACTTGTTTCGGACACGTAAATTACTGGCTCTCCAAGTTTCCTACGCTTCAATCACCAATCCCCAAGCTTTCCGAAAACACTAGCTCCGCCTCCACGCGATACCCAAACCCGTCAAATGGGGCCAAGGCCGTGAATAGGACCGAGACAGCTCCATCCAATCGCGCTCAGAACAGCATCATGGTAATGTAATACGGCAGTTGCGTGAGTATCGGGTCATGATATCCAGAAGCATGAAATGTACGTTTGTAATGATCATGTAATGCTCGATATGCGTGAAGTTCTTGAACGGGCAAGAGGATCGGTTCATGGATGGTAACATGGAAACAAACGATCGATGAAAGGGCCGATACATTCTCCTGTCGATCGACTTGCTCCGCGACTGTTGATCCCCATAAGCACTTAGTCCCGGGGGACTTTCTTAGTGCGCTTGTAACCATTGTCCGCGCTATTTCCCCAGATCAATGATGCCTCAATTCATGCACAGAGTCTAGGGTATTGTTTGCGGTAAGTACCGGTCAATGGTGCGCATCATCATGTTATGAGAACTACCACAAGACCTTCATACTAACTTTATGATGGACTTTCGAGACTCATCTGCATTTATCAACGCAACACCTCCCCCGGATTTAGGTAGGTTCGTTATTAGGCCGAAGAAGGGGGCATCGTCAAGGGAGACAACGACAAACTGACTGAGACGCTTATAGGTACTTTCGGCTGCAGGAACTGCTTCAAGAATAAGCCCCTCAATTATCACGAAGAGCTCTCCGACTGGGTTTTCATCTTCTCCTAACTCCTTGTTTACCTGGCTTCGTAATGTCGACCTCAAAGGCAGAAAAGAAAACGATTCCCCGCTCTTGAAAGTTGTCTCCAGAGTATCTGGATAGGCGTAAACCGTTGACGACATTTCCAGAAGCTGCAGTGTGGTGTTTTCCGCGCCTATCCTTCGACTACTTTCACGGACTGTGGCTTTGCATACACAACCTCGAAGCTGAATTGATCCTTTCACTTGCTGTGAACGAGAGGAGGTTTGAGAAAAATGAGTTCCAGCGTCAATGACTTCAACCAGGTCTTCATCTCGCGGTAGATTTGTCCTCTGCGGCAGAACAGACGAATCAACCGCAGCCCATGACCATGATGGAACACGAGAAGGATTGTGTGGTCGAGAAGTGGGATCTATAACTACCCAATTGAGACCTTCAACGATCCTTGACCTCCAAAGACCTGCCAGATATTCGTCACCAGAATTCTTCTTGAACATCTCAGCTATTCCAGCCATAGCCATCAACCGGTCATCAGGGCAAGTTAGACTACACTTGGAGTATGTCTTGGCCAGATTTATCCACTGCTGATAGACATCCACGGTCATTTTCTTGTCTTCTTCCTTTGCCCAGGCAGTTCTACAATGACCAGAGTCAAAGAACGCATCGATAGTTTTCAATTCAGGCGTATATACTGCGTCGGCGGGACGAGGCGACCAGCGGGGAAACATCTCGCTCTTGTCCATCTCAAAGCATTCCCATACAACTTGAGTCTGTGTGAAGTGTAGCACTCTCGGCGATAGGATACGCTCCTGAAATACCCAACCACGATCGGTAAGCGGACCTTGTGTTAGTCGCTGCATATGATGTTGGTCCCAAACATCAAATCTTCTGGGTTTTCCATCAGCGAACTAGACTTCGATGTGCCCTGATAGCGTTTCCTGGGCAGAACGTGAGCGAAATAGCCCTTCATCAGGCCCTTCGGAAGCGGTTGCGGAGATGATGCAGGCAGAGTTCGCATAGACCTGGTGCATCTGGAGTGATTCTCGAGCTCAATCCTCTAGAGAGTCTTGAATGATGCACAACGAGTCAATCCACATGTACTTGACGGAGAACCGACGCGCAACAGTGATGGCTTCTCTGAATGTCTTGGGAAGGCGAGAAATCGGTGCGCCCCTGCGAAAGTCTTCAAGGTTCGAGCTCAAAAGGACAATCGAAGGGTTTTTGGCCCATCTGTAACTCAGGGTCATATAATCTGGAGTGTCTATAATATCCTGTGGATATAGACAAAGCTTCCAGTCATCACCAGAACTAATGTCGATGAGCCGCGATGGGGCAAATTTTGGTGAAGACCGCAATCGTTGACAAGATTCGTGCGAGCCAGTACATTCTTCGTACCACTCATAACCCAGCTGATGGACTTTATCTGATGACGTACTGGTTTCGAAGTCGATAGAGCATGCTATCAGTATAGAAGACTTCTCATCTAACTATCTTAGTGATTAAAATACGCTTGATGGGAAGGCAAGCAAACGTACCCTCGCACGGAAGGAAGCAAAACACATTTCTTTTGTACTTCAAACTTATCCTAGGTCCCATGTCAAACGCTAGGTATCTTATGTGCCAATAAATAGCTCCGTACCAGCGTGGCGCCCAAGGCCGTCGCTCCAGCCCGCATTCAGAGGGTATCCAGCTGCGAGGTTCGTTGGACCAACCTATGATGGAGACATCTGTCACGGAGTCCCAGAGTTTCGCACATATAAGGCATCCATCTTCGACAGCCTGTTTGAAGCTAGAGAATGTGCTGTGGTGCTGGCAATCTGCAAGGAGGCTAAGCTCAACAGCTTCCAGACCTGGTTGCAACATGCCGAAGCAGACGCTGCACAATTTGCTGGGGTCCACCATCTCACTCTAGAGATGCGGTGTTAGTGTGAGGCTTGCTGATTTGTGGAATCAAATGTCCGTGAAGTCAATATCGTTGTTACAGCGGTTCTTACGATGTTGAAACGCGGGCAACAGGTTTGCTTCGTCACAAGGCAAACCATATATGAAGCGGGGTTCAGGCTGATCTCAAGGCAGACTCAGAATTGAAACGCCTCGAACTGTAGTATTATCTTTGCGAAGCTATTATGGTCTAGAAACGCCATGAACGCGGACGATGAATCTCACTTCTTTCTTGTTTTGATAAAACTATGGGAGCTCACAGCTTGATTCTGTCGGGCTGTGAACTGAACCTTGCTAGTATATCGGCAAACAATACGATTTTAATCTGCATCATCGACAGAACGAGGAGACTTGTAGGAGAAAAGAAATAACACTCACCATAACTTGCTATTTGAGCAATTTTCTCCAGCTGTGTCTGAAACCCCGATTTGAGACTCGTGACAGAGAGCTTCTCAATTTCTACATTCTTTCCCAACTACCCTGCGGCTGCGAGTCAGCCAGTAAGCCATGTAAGCCAAAAAATCGGCATCCCAAAACAGCAGAAGCCACAGAGAAAATAAGCCAATCAATCAACCAGGCTTGTGACGTTTTTTTCATGCAGTGTAACGCTGTAAAGATTAAACGCCGCTTATCTCCCACCAAAGCTATGTCCGTCACCACCCGGCGGACTTCAAGTCTTGCGTGCCAACACCCGGAGATAGGCTGCAATTGCCGGAGTGGATCACGACGTGCATACAACAAGGTTAACACCTTCTCAAATTCGTCAATGCTTCTTTTGAATTCCCAATCTCTACTGGACAGCCTCATGCCGATATGGGGCTGAGTCGGTATGGCGTGCCATAGTTTTCGTATCGAACTCCGCCGTTTGAACTGTAGATGAAAACAAAAATTCGAACTGTGAAAAAGATGAATCTTATATAAACCGTATTCTTTTCCCTGACAAGAATTTCTCAATCATCAGCATCTCATCGAGCTTCTCTTACAACTACACAACTGCAATTTACTTTTTTACCACTAAATAACACTTAACCTTCAAACATGGCACGAGTCTGGTTTGTCACTGGTTCTTCTCGAGGAGTTGGCCGCGCACTGGTCGAAAAAGTCCTTGAGTCGGGCGACATCGTCGTCGCAACTGCTCGCAACCCATCTCAACTCGACGACATTGTTGCCAAGTACGGATCTGACAAGATCCTCGCAACTGCCCTTGATGTAACAGACTTCAATCAAGCCAACAACGCCGCCAAGGAAGCCGTTGACAAGTTCGGCCGCATCGACGTGGTCGTCAACAACGCCGGCTACGCAGACATGGCATCCATCGAAGATGCAGACATTGAAGGTTTTCGCGCGCAGGTTAACGTCAACCTTTTTGGCGTCGTCAATGTTACAAAGGCTATCGTGCCCATTATGCGCCAGCAGAAATCGGGCCATATTATTCAAGTTTCAAGTATTGGAGGCCGAGTCGGTACGCCCGGCGCAGCAGCTTACCAGAGTGCCAAGTGGGCAGTTGGAGGGTTCTCAACTGTCCTATCACAGGAAGTGGCCCCCTTCGGTATCAAGGTCACGGTCGCCGAGCCTGGTGGCATCAAGACTGAGTGGGCTGCTATCGCTACTGAGACGGCCAAGGTCAGCGAGCCTTATGAGCAGACTGTCGGCCAGATGATTCAGCTGGTCAAGGGACACTCAGAATGGACGGAAGCTTCTGAGATAGCTAGAGCTATTATTCACCTGGCGAATGTGGAGGATCCTCCTCTGAGAATCGTCTTGGGCAAGGATGCACTTCCGTATGCTCAGATGGCTGCTAAGGCTCTTGCTGATTCTGACGAGAAGTGGGCCAATGTCTCTAAGCTGGAGTTCTGAGCGTACGTGACCCTTGAGTCACGGCGATATACTGAGAAGATATGGTGAAACATCTCTGTACAATAGCCAATTCATAGTTATTATGTTATTTGAACTCACAACCTCTCGGTGTCAGTCGCCGTACGATAACATCAACGAATTGTGCTTGTCTAACACTCATTATATAATTCCCGAGACTAATAAATTCTATTGCGCAAGTTAGATGCTAGTAATTATTTCCAACGACATGCATTTTATATCATCGAGGTCAAGCACATGTCCAGCTGCATAAGCGACAGGCCTCCTTGGTTGGTTGATCATTTGATCTTTGCTCCACCACGAGACCCATATAATGATGCAGGAACATCATGTCCGATTAACAGACGGCATGAAAATATTCGACTGACTTCTACACAAAATTTACTGGAATTATTGCACCGCAGATTCATTTCCATGAAGCCGGTTTCATCCGCTCAAGTCTAACAAGCTCGGTTATCAAAGTCCGCGAGATTTCTTATCTTAGCGTCTCGCTGACTTATCAGGTTTCTCCGGTTCGCTAAATCAGATCCGCCAGCGAACTTCAACATTGCGTCACACGACCATCAACACTTGAACCTCAATTCAACAACTCACCATGATGTCGAGGAGTCGAGAAGCAAGAAGCATTGTCGCTTCGCTGCGCAGACCAAATGTACTGCGACCAGTCAGCCCTGCATTGGCTCGTCTCAATGCCAGCAGCTTCCATACAACAACCCCGAGAAGAACAGATGGCGTATTTCAGGGCCTCGAGGATAAGAGGCAACCGATGCCATGGATAGAGGCGTTCGAGCGTCAGCAAAAGGGTCTGCCGGCTCACAAATCTGATGACTACCCAAAAGAACGCGACCTTACTCCCAAGAAAATGAGCGATAGCTACCATCGCGTTGTGCTTCCTCTCAAGAAAGACCCTTGGCTGTCAGACACTTATGTCAACTCATCCGGTCACATAAGGTAAACGCGCCAATTGATTCAATTCCATGCATCAATCTAACCAAAGTGATAGACTCGGAACATTATTCATGGACCTGGATGCCCTCTCTGGAATCATCGTTTACAAACATACCGGCCCCGGCGTTACAACAGTGACCGCCGCTCTGGACCGTATCACAATAGCGCATCCACTTACCGAGATTTGCGATCTCGAGTATAGTGGCCAAGTCACATATGCTTCCGGTAGAAGTAGTGTCGAGATCACCTGTAAAGTCGCCAAGGCCAGAGAAGAAGGCGAACCAAGCAAACCGGAGGATGTCCTTCTCACGTGCACTTTCACCATGGTCGCCCTAGATCCCAACACAAGAAAGCCCGTCAACATCCCCAAGCTTGTACCTACCAATGAGGAGGAAGAGAAGATCTTTAAGGCTGGAGAGGCGAAATCGTTGTCCAAGAAAGAGAATTCTAAGGCCTCGCTTCTTCAGACTGAACCTAACGATGCCGAATCTGCTCTGATTCATCAAATTTGGCTTCGGCAGCTTGCATACCACGATCCCAACAACGATCTTCGTCAACCATCCAACGTTGTCGCTATGTCAAAGACTCAACTATCAACGGCTGCGATTATGCAACCTCAGTACCGAAATCGTCACCAGACCATGATCTTTGGTGGTTTCCATTTGAAACAGACATTTGAGCTAGCTTTCTGCTGTGCGGCGAGTTTTGCTCATGCTCGACCGACCTTCATCAGCGCTGATCCCTGCACGTTCCGAAACCCCGTTCCTGTCGGCAGTGTTTTGTACCTGACCGCTACTGTCGCATACACCGATCCTCCTCTGTTAGAGGAAGACGGCACTGAGCCTGGCTTCCCAGATCCGGAGAAGCCCATGACCCGAGTGCATGTCCGAGTTGACAGCAAGGTTCGTGACGTTGAGCATGGTGTTGCAAAACCAACTGGCCAGTTTAACTATACCTTCTCCGTGCCCAAAGATCTCAAGGTCTTGCCGCATACGTATGAGGAGTACATGGTGTATATCGATGCTAGGAGACGTGTTTCGCTGGGCGACAGTCAGCGAAAGGAAGAGTCCAAGGCCTTTTCCGAGAAGAGACCTGAGGCCTCGGATAATGTCAACCTGATTGGATAACGAAGAGTGGTGTTTATGAGCTGCCAATGACCAGGCGTAGACAGTCTCGAAAGCCTCAACTTATCTAAAGGAGAGGAAGCCTGGCGACACGTAAGCTTCACATCGGAGGGAATTCAAGGACTATGTCCGAGTCCTAATACCGATTGGATAGCTTTTAGTATAGTAATAAGCCAAAAATGGATAGCTTAACTTACCTCTCACTTGCGAATGCGATAAGACCGTTAACTCCGGGCTGAGGATATTACCTTTGATCAATTTTTAGAATTGGGTATTGCTTCTTTACACCTACCATACTGAGAATATCTGACGTCGCGAACAGACGTAGAACTAATAATATGACGCTCTTAAAGGAGGAACGACTGCAACTTGCAACCATCGATCCGGAGCTGGCCGAAGTAATTCTCCAGCGCCAACAAGATTGACTTTGAACTGACCAGTTGCAGTACCTCAAAACGATAAACATTCCCCAGATTGACACCTCTGACCCCGCGAAAGCCATTGTAAGTTTGAGATGGTACATGGCAAGCCTTCATACGCCACCCGACCCAGAGAGTGGTGTTACTGAGCGCGATGTCTATTACACTGCAAGAGATGGCTACAAGTTGCGCGCTCATGTTTACGAACCGGTTGACAAATCCGATTCAACCCCGCCGCTTGTTGTATATATACACGGTGGCGGGTGGACTATCGGATCTCCAGAAGACACTGAACGCTCGTGTTGTGATATTGTACAAAAGTTAGGCGTCGTTTGTCTGGCGCCTTCTTATCGTCAAGGACCTGAAGACCCGTTTCCTGCTAGCATCAACGATGTTTGGGACGGCTTGCAATGGGTTGCTGCCAATGCGGAGTCCGAGTTGAAGGTCTCACTGTCGAAAGGGTTCATCATTGGTGGCTCCTCAGCTGGAGGAAACATGGCTGCGATAACCAGTCATCTGGCCCGCGATGAGGAACTTACTCCTGTGATAACTGGCGTCTTTCTGCTCGCTCCAATGATTCTTCCACCAGAGGCACGAGACTCCCTACCTGAGAAATACAAGGAATCTTACCTTGCTCGGACCCAAGCCAAGTGTAAGAACGATCCTATTCTCACCCCAGCTCTGGACAAGATATTTCACGACTCTGCGGCTGGGGATACATCTTCACCGCTCTTTGTTCCATTTATCTGGCCAACGGGTCACCACAACCTACCCAGGACGTATTTCCAAGTTTGTGGAATGGATGTCCTTCGTGATGAGGCTTTGATCTACGAGCAGGTGTTGCGCGAAGATAATGGGATTGAGACGCGGTTGGATATCTATCCTGGAATGCCTCATATCTTCTGGGGCGCTTTCGTGCATTTGAGCCAGGGGAAGAAAGCAGCTGTAGACCTTGTTGAAGGTATCAAGTGGCTTTTGGAGTAATAGGTCCAACACTCAGCTTTGCCTGCCGAGAGGCAGAATTCATACTAGACATTGATAGACTCCCATGATATTATGCTTCCGTCTTGATAAATCCCTCAAGATTGATAGATATTTTCCCATGACCCTTCTTGCTATGCCTTCTCTGTCTCCTCCCTCTTCTCCACCGCTAATCGTACCAACACTTCCGATGACTCCTCCTCCCGACCAAGAGGCACAAAGATATGATCATGATAGAACCCACTAACAGGGTTACAACCAATGCCCTTCGCCGCTAATCTTGTCGCGATAACCGCCATGAATCCGACAGCTTCCAGGCTCGATGTGACGTTGAGACTGATCATTTTGCAGGGGAAGAAGTAGTCGATCTTATGTGACTCTGCATAGTCTTTGCTGACGATTACTGTAATTCCCTCGGACTCCTTGAACATCATTTGCGTTTCGGATAGGGGTGGTAGATTGGAGGTATCTGGGAAGGTGGCGAAGACGTAGGTGGTTGGATGGAGCGTATGGGTAAGAGTTGAGAGGAGCTTGCTGAGCGAGAGCTCGCCCGGGTCATTGGCCATTAGCGACATGGTTCTAAACTTGAAAACGGGACGGTCACTCGAAGTATTCCGATGAAGTAGTGCTGACCTCTTGTTCTTGGAGTTTTATATGTCGATGGTGGAGTAAAAAATGCGGATGCGGTCAATTATAGGGCGCGCCTTCAGAGTTAATGACGTCACTTCAAACTCGTTACTGCCGATAGGGTCAAGATTTTCAAGTATCTTTTGAACATTGGCTGGACTGAACTAGTGATTACAGCAGGCGGTCTAAAATTCAATATCATTTCCATCTTGATTACCCATACCGCAATGGGATCAAACATTAAGCACCCTGGTTACCGCTTGGCCCCTGCCAGGGCTGCCGTCAGATCAATCAAATCAGATTAGGACGTAAATCTGAACTGAACTGATAATTTGCCCTCTACATCTGATCTGATTGATTGATTGATAGATATCTGATATATAATAGGTCACGTGGAGCTATTCCCAGCCTCACGATTCTGCCCGTGGGATCTGACTGCCTTGTTGCTTAAGCATAGACCCCATAGAGTAACACACCCTCCCCTTATCCAGTTCTTCAGTAATTGGATCGACTCAATGCTCGATCCAAGTAGAGAATGTCGCTGTGAGCTGACTGTAAGCTTCGCAAGACTGAATGTTCTCTTGCAATCGGTTGACATGGCCGAGATTGCAAGGACATCCAATGCAAATCTACTCAAACGCGGGATTGCTATGATCAATCCACCAAAGTCTGGCTAAATCTATGCCGTATCAGAGCGAGAGGTAGAAAAAAGGGGTGATCTACCGTATTTACTCACGAGATTCGGAACGCCCTGTGGAGTCAACTACCCTTCTTACGGCTGATTTAGCAATATAATTGGCCTTTTTGGATTTAACACGGCTATAATCGACATTTTGAGAGTCTAAAAGGAATGAGCCACTTAGTACATGGCAATTGACTCCACAGGGCGTTCCGAATCTCGTGAGTAAATACGGGTACCTTTAGATTCGCCTCTACCTAAGACCCCAGCAAGCAAGGGCCCAGGACCAATCAGCTCGGCTGACCCCTGTAACATCGTAGCTTTTCAGGAAGAGCCACTCTCTCCGGAGCCGGAACATACGGATGATCCGGCGGTTCTAGGGTAGCTGCTCTCCATTCAGATATATCAGATGTACAGATGCTTGTGTTTGAATTGATTGATCTGACGAAATTTCATATCTGATTTGAATTGATTGATCTGATTGATATATCTGATTGTTAATCTGATCTGACGGCAGCCCTGGCCCCTGCTCAGCCTTGGCCTTGTTGAATGCATCAATAGCGGCACCAGTCTTGATGACAGCAGAAGGTGCGTCGAGAGGAGGTAAGACGAGTTCGACCAACTGCGTTTCATTAGTAACCTCTCTCAATCAAGGTGAAAGACGCTGATATCTTACCTCAAGACAGCCTGCATTGCCGAACTTTGGATCCTGAAGGATCGATGATAGCTCTCTGCAGGTCTTGACAGGGCCATGGTACTTGGATTCGAATGCTGGTCCAAAAGTCTTGCTGAGCATGGAGTAGTCTAGAATTGCGACCTCGTTGTAGAAGGCTTCCTTGCCGTGGATGAGACGCTCGACTGTGTATCCGCCATTGTTGAGGACGAATCTGGATCATGTCAGCAAACGCTAAAGCCTGTCATCAGAAGTGAGAAGACGATACTTACATGACTGGCTTGAGGTCCCATCGCAGCATATCTGCCAGTGCCTGAATAGTGAGATGCATGGAGCCCTCTCCAGTGACGAGGACGGGCCTCTTCCACTTGCCCTCGCTTTCCTTGATGGCTTGACCAACTCCAACAATGGCACCAGTAGCATACCCAATACTGCCGTACACGGTCTGGTTAAACATCATGACACCGCTGGGGAGCTTAGTGTCGCAGAGGCCGAAAGCGGAAGTTCCGGTCTCGCCAATGATCACATCACCGGGACGGAAGAAAGAGCTCAGTGCCTGTGTTCGTCAGCATCGGTCTGTGATGGAGGATGTTTCAGTGTGACTTACGCCCCAGAGATAATCCTGCTTGAGGTCGTCGCTGGCCTGAAAGTTGAAGTTTGGATAGGGATCCCAAGTGACTTGTCGTGAGGCTATGGAGATTGGGTTCGACCGAAGCGAATATACGAGGCGTTGCAGAACCTGAGAGAGTTAGCTGGTTTTGCCAAAAATTACCCTGAACTATACTCACATGCTTCATTGACACGAAATATTGGGTCTTGCCGATCCAAACCGCGAAACGTTGGAGGTCAATAACAATGGCATCTTTGTTGACAACAGTCGTAAACTCGCCAGTATTAAAGTCAGAAGGATAGTTGCCGATCCAAATGACCGTGTCAACAGATTCAAGCGCCTCTTTGACAGCGGGTAGAGTACCAGCACCGGAGTGGACGCCAGCGAACTGGGGAATACTTTCATCGAGACCACCTTTGCCCATCGCGGTGGTGAAGGTTGGGAGGTTGGTCAACTTGATCAGCTCATGCGATTCTTCGAGTACACCGTTGCGTACCGCACCTACAAATAGTTAGTGTGGTTTGTGTTGCAACTGGACCCGTAAAACTTGCCTCCATCAAAAATGATACCTGGGTTATTCGATCTCTCAATCAACTTTCTGATTTCTCCAACGACACTCTCCTCGAGAGCTGAATCATTCGGCTGCAGCTTGGTGGGAATTGGGACGTTGAGCCTCTCGGAGTCGATCATTTCGTAAGCAATATCGACGCTGAGCCCGATGTAGACGGGCCTGCTCTCACGCATCATAATGGCAAGCGTTTCGTCGATCTCTCGAGCCGCAGTAGGTGCATAGTTGATCACGGCAGTTGCAGCAGTGATGTTCTTGGCCATGTTCTCATACATGTCGAACTTGCCGTTTCCGAGACTGTGATGCATAATCTTCTTGTTGCGAACAGCATCGACAGCTGGGTAGCCCACAATATGCACAACAGGAACAAATTCCGCGTAGTGACCAGCCATGCCGCAGTACGCAGAGAGTTCACCGGGGCCGAAGGTGGTGACAAAGGCTCCTGCACCACGGACACGAGCATAACCATCTGCAGCGTAAGAAGAGATGAGTTCGTTGGGATTACCTTTCCAGGAGAGGTCGTTGTCGGTGACGAGGTCAAGAAGAGCAAGTTCGTAGTCTCCTGGAACGCCAAAGACTGAACGGATGCCAAGCTCGTGAAGACGGCGGAAGAGGTAGTCACCAACTTTGATCTGAGACATGGTGGATGATGCTGTGGTTTTCTGGCTTGGATAGGAAGTGAAGTACTGAGTATAGAGCTGTATTGAGTAGGAAGAATGTTACGAATGATGTTCTGTTCTGTCATCTCTGAGGAGCCAAGCAGACATATTTATACTCGGACCTCGCAATAAAGGATGTCGTTGTCTTGCAGGCTGATGCCGTTGCAACCGCTCATCGGACGAGAAGCATCGAAGATGCAGTCGCTGCATAGCATGGCTGCTTATGTTGTATCATGATGGATGGTGCGGAATTGGAACCCTCCAAAACGCAGCGGAATGCAACAAATGCCTCTGCTATATCGGTCGTGCTCACATAAGGTAGTATCGAAGCGCTGCGTTCCGCTGTGAGCCGTCTGTATGGTGAGCCGCAAGTGCCGTGCCAAGCTTCAGAACTGACTCAGTGGCTTACCTGTTTGGGTAACGGTGACGGCCAAAAATATCCGCTGGCCCATGAACCTGGTTCTTAGCAATTTTCGCATCTGACATGCATTCAACCGGATAAGAAATGGGTGATATGATGATAGCCTCAAATCAGCATTCTACTCTTGCTGTCCAGATTTCTTTCACCGAACTCTGCCAAAGCATTGATGGATGGATAGAGGCATCGGGGTGAGAAATTGAGGCTACTAGCATTATAGAGATTCGTGACTGCTGGAAAAAGATTTAGTTGACGATTGTAGTGCTTGAATACAAGCCAGATCAATGCCAAGTTGGAAATCAGACCCTGCGTGAACATGAAGGCCAAGTCAAGAATTATCGTTTACAGCAGTGAAAATAGTGATGGGGGCAGCAGAGTATTTCGAAGAATTTCAGGGCCGGTGGGGTAGGCTAGGCTAGGGCTGCGGTACTACGCGGTAATAATTGATGGTTGCATTGCGGGCTGAATCAACATGCAATGACATTCCACAGAAGCCATCTATGTCACGGTGCAACGAGCAAGCGGAATGAAACCGCCTCAAAACAAAAGGTGCTTTAAGCACAGACATTGTGGTATTTCAAATACCTGGAACTCTCAGTGCAGTGTAACATAAGGCAGATAACTCACCACATGGAATGACGAAGTTCTGCATTATGTGATATCGATTGGTCCGGGTTCCCCGAAGTTGAGTGTCGCATTGTGAAGAATCCGAATCTCATCCGCCGCTAACTGTATAGAGTGGGATGCATTTACGGCCCAACAAGCGTTCTAAGTTGAGGGCCGCAGATAAGCACTACCAGCGGCAGTACGAGCAACTTCGCTGAACAGCCTGTAGCGCTTGAAGTTCACAACTTCTCCTCCACCAAGACTTCATAACCCTGATGAATAGTCTCTCACTCTTAGACTGTTAACCTTTGGTCAAGCACCTGTACCAAGGTCCATGAGGGCTGTTGGAATATCAGAATAATACCCGCTAGCGCCCTCCAGCATGGCCTCCCTAGGAACATTTTAGGAATGAAACAGGCTCGTACTAGCAAGCCCAAAAGTCGCAGTGGTCGCCTTTCAGTATTTACCAGTAGTGCTTGTTAGCTAGCAGGACTGTTGACTGTTTCTCGAGAGTGTAAAAAGAGACATGGGCGATATGACGAAGTCAAGCCAATATGCAGCAGCTGTCTCAAAGTAAAGTTTCGATACGATATCACGTCGCACTTTGCTAACTAACATGTTTCTGCTATTTCTTTTTGAACTACTCCACGGAAATAGAAAGGCAGCAGATCACATGCTCACGGTTAGCATGGAGCTATTGAATCTGGGACGGACACCTCTTTAAGGAAATCATCTCACCCTCTCCGATCCCTCACCAGCCTCTGTATATAGCTTCTCACGATGATGAAGAAATCAGCCTGAGCAAATTGTTTTAGCCAGGTGCAGATAATCTCCAGCCTAAATTCTCCTTTCTTTCGTGTTGGTCAAGGCTACCTCTCAAACCAGTACCTCACAGTGTTCTGTCTACAGCCATTGAATTCACGGAAGTTCTTCACACGTTTATGAGTTTTATCCTCGAGGCAACTGTCTTCTCCGTCAAAACTATGGAACAGATTCGCAGTCCACAAGCCGCCTTTTTCCCACGATTGCGAGATTGGCAAGCTATGACAAACCAATACTTCAAGCAAGAAACTTACTTTATTCTTGCGAATACTTCGAACATCTTGCAGATAGGTCAGGAAGTCCTCTTTATCCTGTTGAGTTGCTGCTGGGATAACGCTAAGCTCGACTACGAGTCGTTCGACTAGACATTCCAAGACATTTTGAACATGACTCGCACATTAACACAGGGATCGGAGCCTATGTCACGTATTGATAGATGCGTCGATCTTTATCTGCTGCCCTGCTTAGTATTCGTTGCCCATAAATGCAGAGATTTCAAGATACGGAACGGTGCCATGGAGCTGTATGAGACGATGACCGATGGCACGGAGGATGAACAGCTAAGATTACTCTCTTTTCTAGTTAAACTTGAAGAATTTAGACGGACAGAAGACGGGCGCATTCCTGCAACTGCTAGATATATCTGGTCGAGTGCTGTTTGGATGAAACGCAGTCAACACTGAAGATAGTCATGTCAAAGGTTCTACGGGGTGCATTTGGGGAGGGTCCTGACCGAAATACCCTTCGAAGATCTACGGTAGTCGTTATTTATTGATAGCTCGAGAAAGCGGTCAAGATCTTGATTTCCTTTTCCTCAGACTTATTTGCCCTTCGCCTATTTCCTGCTATAATTCATGTTCGTAACTGGTTTCGTCACGAAATCAGCGTGGCACACCGACGAGGCTCTCTGGCTCCTTATAGGCTCGATTTGCGAAGAGGCAACCATACACACATAACATGACGTTTTCAGCCTCATATTGCCTTGCATATTGTCGAGCGGGGTAGTAATTACACATCAAACAGCCTGAAATTCAATGTCCTAGGTTTTTCTTCCTGGTTCTTGACTATCACTGTCTAAGTATTTGCTTTTATCTTGCTATTTACCTGGATAATCACACAGTTGTGGCTACAGACTCATCTTCCTTACTTCATATCATGTCGGATCCTGAAGGAATCACAGTCGAACAAGCCATCCTCGAGGATATCTCCGATGGCGATCCAGAATTACCGGACCAAATGTTCAAAGTTGCTCATCGCTACTTCATTCGATACAGAAGAGTCGGATTGATGCCCGATCTTGACAAGGCTATTAACATGGCAACCGAAGCTATTCATCTCACACCTGAGGATCACCCACAGCGAACACAACGCCTGATTAACCTGTCTATCTACTGGCATGATAAATACCCAAGAAGAGATCCACATAATGTTCAAGGGCTTCAAGATTCCATCAGCGCATCGCGAAATGCAATCGCTGCTCTTTCTGATACTTATCCACACCGAGGAACACTTCTCGATCAGCTATCCACAAAACTGGGCTTACTCTTCATGCAGACACGAGAGCTCAGCGTCATCGAGGAAAACATTGCGATCCAACGGGAAGCCGTCGCCGTGACACCAACCAGCAATCCGAAGCATGTCGTCTTTCTAGCCAACCTGGCTGCTCCACTCACAGCACGACACCAAGCTCTTGGAAGAAAGGAAGACCTTGATGAAGCCATTCAAATCTGTCGCGATGTCGTCGCACGAACGGATGAAGACTCGCCGCAACTTCTCGAGAGACTCGGCAACCTGTCGCTAGGACTAAGTGAGAGATATGAAATACATGGAGACCAAACCGATCTCGAGGAAGCGATCGACATTGTGAAGCAAGCTATTAATGTAACGGAAGAAAATAGCTTGGAGCGCATGGCTCAGCTCAGCAATTATGCGAAATTCTTGAGTGATCAGTACCTCAGGACAGGAAATATGGCCGATCTTGAAGAGTCTATTGGCGCATTTCAGCAGGTTTGTGATCGTGTACAGAATGAGGATGTGTATATCGACAGACACAGATGTCTCAGCAACTTTGGCATCCAACTTAGTCGGAGATACAGAAGAATTGGAACCGTGGCTGATTTAAAGAAAGCGATACAAGTCAGCCGAAAGGCTTGCGAACTGAGCCCTGACGATGATACCAAATCAAAGCACCTTTCCAACTTAGCAATCATCTTAAAGCACGAATACTTCAGAATAGATGACCCTGTCAATCTTGAGGAAGCTATCAGTGTGCAGAGAAAAGCTGTGCGGGCCGCCCATAGGAACCACCCCGATATTTTTACCACGCTTCATAACCTTGCGGCTCTTCTCACTACGAAGTACAAAAATACGCAAAAGTTGGAAGACCTTGCGGAGGCGTTGAGGCTTGGGCAACAGGCTGTCGACTTGACACCGGGCGGTCACGCGAACAGAGCTGCTTGTCTAAACACCCTGGCAGTGCAATTGAGTGACATGTCCAAGAGAACGGGATTGTCAAGCGACTTGCATGAATCTATTCGTTATGGGAGAGAAGCACTGGATGCCACAGAAGAAGGCCACCCTGAACGTAGTAACAGGCTGGCCAACCAAGGTGGTCGATATGGTGATCTGTTCTGGAAGACGAAAGGACAAGAGCACCTCAAAGCTGCCATTACACACCTTGAGTCTGCTTTATTTAGCTCCAGCGCTTACGATGTCCCTCGTATTCGCGCAGGAAAGGAACTCATTCAGTATTATGCGGCAGTACCTGACTGGGATAAGGCTTATGAAGCTGTCAAGACAGCGATGAAGCTTGTTCCTAATCTCATTGCACAGACCTCGAACAATGCTGATAAGCAAGATTCCCTGGTCCAAGTCTATGGTTTATCATCTGATGCTGCAGCTGTTGCGCTCTTGGCGAATAAAGGAGCACTTGCTGCCTTGAGGTTTCTTGAACAAGGCCGAGGAATGATGGCATCCTCAGTTGAAGAGTCACGGATCGAAACCTACCATCTTCGGACTGAACACCCTGAGCTTGCTGAACGTTTCACCCAGCTCCGGGTTCAAATCAATTCCTTGAGAGCTGTAGCAGAGTCGGGTGATCTGATCCACGGGGCTACGTCCTCAGCCCGGCATTCCAAAATGGGCCATGAACTCGAGGAGCTTGACAAGCTACTTGACGACATCCGTCAAAAGCCTGGATTCGAAGACTTCCTCACTGCGCCAAGCGAGTCTAACATCAAGAGTGCTGCCCTTAACGGACCAATTATCATCATCAACGTAAGCGAATTCCGTCGTGACGCAATTCTCGTGGAGCGGGATCAGATTCGAAGCATTCCTTTGCCAAGGCTTACGATCAAGGATATAAGGTTCAATACCCAACAACCCCACACTTCAAGTCCGAAGATACTAGAATGGCTATGGGATACTATTGCTGAACCTGTTCTTAATGCGCTGAGAATCGGTGAGGCTTCTGCTGGAGAACGCTTGCCACGGATTTGGTGGATTCCAACTGGTGTATTGAGCATATACCCCCTCCATGCAGCTGGCCGACACTACAAAGGATCGGCGGAGACCGTGATGGATAGAGCAATTTCATCATATAGCTCATCTATAAGAGCGGTCATCCGGAGTCGGGGTCGTGCAGGTTTGGGCCCCATTCCATCAGATACCGAGCGGGCTGTGCTCGTGTCTATGAAGCGAACGCCGGGATATAGCACACTCCCTTCAGCAGGCAAAGAAGTCAGCCTGTTGCATCACATCTGTACGTCCAAAGGATTTGATGTTGTCGAGCCGAAGTCTCTCAAGGACGATGTTGTTTCGCAGCTCCCCAAATGCAAGGTCTTCCACTTCGCTGGTCACGGCAGCACCAACGGGCGTGATCCCTCTCAAAGCAGCCTTCTACTAGAAGATTGGCAGAAGGATCCTCTCACAGTGTCAACCCTGCTGGACATCAACATTCAGCAATACTCGCCATTCCTCGCCTACCTCTCGGCATGCGGTACGGGACAGATTGCACACGAGAAGTTCCTCGATGAGGGTATTCATCTTATTAGTGCCTTTCAGCTTGCTGGATTTCGTCACGTCATCGGTACTCTTTGGGAGGTTGGCGACGATATTAGTGTTCATATGGCAAGGGTTACCTACGAAGGTATTCAGCGAGGTGATTCGGCAGATGAGTCGGTTTGTCAGGGCTTACATAGGGCGACATTGGAGATGCGAGATCAATGGTTCAGAGAACAGAGTCAGACTCGGGGACGGAAAAGGAAGGCAAAGTGCATTCTGCAAGATGAAGGAGTAGGAATGACGGGTTCCCGTGATATTGAAGCCTTGGATGATGAGGACGAGGTTGCTAAATTGCCACAATGGGCTCCTTATGTTCACTTCGGAGTATAGAACGGGTAGCTTACTGTCACTCAATAGAATGGTGGTCTGGGTCAGCTTTCCCCAAGATATGCACGAACCTATTGTACGTTTATCGTATTCATCAACTAGTAAGTACTCACGCCATCTACAGTATCATCGTGTTAATCGATTTGTACAAGAAACTGTATATCATATCGAAACAGTAACAGGAAAAGATAGATAAAACTAGTATAAGTACAGCTTGAACAGAAGGAGACTGTTTTTCATGACAATGTCTAATGCCTAAGCATTTACTTCCTGTTTACTCCAAAGAATGGAGAATTTAGGATGTAGCAGCAAGACCCTGAGGTTTGACATAGAAGAAGTGACTTCCATCCTCGCGGTGCACCTGAGTGAGAAGGGACATGATCCTTCCAGGGACGCCAGCAGACGGGTGAGTGATCATGTAGTAGTTGTTATTGGCCTTTCTGGCAAGTTCACTGATAAACTGGAAGGGGAATCGCTCGTTTCCAGGCTGTCTTGGCTTGATGGACCAAGTGCAGGTAGGTCGTGCGAAAGGCTCAAGCGCCAAACCGTGTCGTCCGCCGGGGCACACAATACCGCGCTGTCCGACCTGGCTGATAGCGACGGGGTAGCCTCTGAGGGGATCGAAAGTTTCAACGTTTACAGGGGGCCAGGGGTCCATTCTCCACTCAACTGGATCGCGAGTGTTAACACTGATACGGGTTTGGGTAGCACCGACATCCTCAGCTGCGGCATAGGTATCTTGATTGGTCTCCCAGAAGAACGGGTGGGGTCTGGAGGGATCGAGCAAAATCGTCTCAGCGAGTCTGATGGTTTGGTTTCCAATGAAGTGGACGAAGCTTCCTGGTCGAGCAGTTGGCGTATATGTCGGTCGATGGCACGCTGTCCTTCGTCGAATTTGACACCCCCTGTTCGATATGCGAGTTGAAGAAGATCAATACCCTTAGAAACGGTGATCCAATAGTCAAATACCTTCATGTATGTTAGCTGTAGTCCATCGACTTCGATTATTCATACTTACAACTGTTTTTGTTCTACTATAGTAGGCCACCACGTCGGGAGACTCGTTCCAGGCTTGCTGCGAAAGCTGTCGCATGAAGGCCCTCTCACCATTGGCGTTCAAGAAGTTATGAATCTGAGTGAGCCATCCGGGGATGTTGTTGGCGCATGCCTGGAGTCGGTCATCCAGCCGCCGCTGCAGCCGACTCATTTGTCGTTCATGCTCTGCCTCCGTGAGGTTTCGATCAGCTACGTCACAAGCGGTATCTATGATATCCGCGACAGTCTTGTAGTGAGCCTGAATCTGTGCCCTTGGCTGATTCAAGGTATTCAGACGTATCTGAATAATACCGTTGGAGAGTGTGTCGGTGAGATCATCCAGCGTTGACTGGATTAGCTGCATCTCTCACACGACTCCATAGATATCGGCTCTAGTTACTTCGGCATTAGGATCTGAAGTGATATGGTCGAGGAATCGACCAGCTGCCCAGCTACCGGTTTCAGATATGGCCCAGGAGATTCCGCTTGAGACAATAGCTTTGCCTGCGGAAAAGAGGAGCATGCCTGCCGTGAAGGTCACAGCCATCTTGCTTAGAAATATCCAGATATATTGGGAGTGAAGAATGTGTTTGGTGGGTATTGATAAGTGTTCGTGACTTGTTGGCTGAGAAATAATATTCTGGAGTGATATATTTGATCTTTATACTTGTTTCTTACGTTTTCAATCAAGGTCATTATCTAGGTATTCCTCGATGTCTTTGATTTCTGTGGTCTTTGAAGGTTCATCTTATGACTTAACTTCTTCCGGCACCTAGGCAACCAAGGAACTAATCGAGAAAGACTGCCCATGTCTCGATACAATATCACAAGCGCGACATATCTCTAGTTCCGTCTCACCTATTGGCGCGACAACAGATTGGTATGCTACATTTAATCTCATTCATCTACGGAAAGTTCCAAAATCTCAACTCAAAAAGTAAGCCACAACCGTAAGAGGGTAAATAAGTGTAATTAAAGTGAGACCAACGATCCGGTCGTGCCGCCCACAACATTCCGTCGACTAGTACAAAACCAGCCACGAGAATATGCCGATAAACTTCGTTGCGCCAAATAATATCAAGGAAGTGGTGACGGTATGCAAGCAATTAAAGTGTGGCTATGTAGAGTGTGAAATCCACGTGGAGTCTTGGCATTGAGAAAGACCCGAGGCAATGGTTACCTCGTGGTGGCCGCAACGGCTGCTGCCGATCAGCAAGGACCAGGCACATGGGTCAAGATCGACATACAACCACCGAAGTGGTTCAACTTGATTAACCCATCAACTAGCTCCTCTTTCCTTTGCCTTCCTGGAAGCACTTCAATCATGAGAAATGTAATACTCCCAAAGGAGATGAGTGATTTGACAGCCAGCCGTTCCTAAATGGTTTCACCAAGATGGCCATCCAAAATACAATCGATATATGCTTGCATAATGATGTAATATATCTCTTCTATGCTGCTTTCGCTACGCTTCGACGAAGCCAGCGTTGAGCTTCGGCCATGCCGTGAACTCTTTTCCCAGCTAATCATCGTCTTCCTTGAAGTTCCCGTATGTCTCAGGCCAATTACACAAGAGACTAGCCACCCGCGACTAGCAGACTAACATTTTAGACTACCCAATGCAGGCCCAGCATGCCTGTCACTGCTAGTATCAAGATCTAGATGCGATCTCATTCTGTAGGAGAAATGCTTAATAGTTCACTATATCCATATAGTATAGACCCAAGGAATGCTGCCAAGAAATATTAGTTGTACTTGACCGTTTTTCGCTTCTATAATGCATTTTCTTGGCGAGGAGATTGCCGCTTTATGAACTTTTGTATCTCATCGCTGGTAACGTTACGGATAATTTTGCAGCTAGTTGAAAAGCCACCGAATTGTTAGGCCGTTCGCTGGGCGCAGCTAATAAGTATGCCTCGGCCGAAGAGAGAAAGTTAGGCAACTCCATTGCTATGCAAACTATGTTAAATCTCGGTAATATTCTTCATTGCTGCAAGGCACGGATTTGGATTCCAAAGACATTAAAGAATCGCTGATGATTTTCAACACTGGTTACCAGTTCGAAGAAGGACTGCCTGGAATGAAAGGTCGAAGTTGGCCGAGTCTTTTATCTTGTTTTGGTATTGAACGGAGATATCTTAGACTTAAGCTTTTGCGTAGCGTAGTGACTATAGCTCTCCAGATTAATTCTGGTAGAACTGTGGGGGGCTGGCTCAGTTGGTAGCCTACATTGCCAGATTATTGCGAGCAAGTCCAATGGTCAATATCGGCTATTCAAGAATCGTGACGGTGTTGAGGCTTGGGCTTGAAGAGACATGCCAATGTCCGTTTATGCACCTTCATCGCCCTGATTCCCCCACTCTTGGCTGCTCCGTTTCCAAGTTCCGTGTTTTATACTGCTCTACAACGATGTCCAATCTAACGAGAAATTGATGTTACTATGCATAATAGAACTGTTCCTCATGACAGGCTCAAGAATTAGTAATCGATACTTAACCCTTATGACAACTCTCCCAGATAGGTCCCTTTAAGCTCATGCGTCAAAGAATCCCACTAAAAGCAAGCTTTAGACAGGCTATAAGAATAGGGCCTTAACTGAAATGTAATTTGCTCTCGGATGAACTAGAGACATTTGTTGCCAATATGGTAGGACGACAGATGAAAAACTTAGAAACATGTTGATAATTATGAGCAGTGAGTAACAAGTCCGTTTCTGAGATAGAAAGTTGAACGTTGGAACCTTCTCCATGTTTGCCGGAGCATTAGGGGAACAAATACGGTCGTAAAGCAGTACAAGAATCGCCACTTTGTATATCAGGCATTTAACTTGAAGATTAAGACAAACTCTTATCTGCGAGTCCCAAGATATGCTCTGAGATCTTCGGGAAAGGCGAGAGTAAGTGAACAGGCGTAGAGATAAGAAAGCATGGTCCTATCTCTGATAAGATAAGAACTTCCCAAAAGGGCAATATCCTGAGATAACGCCATCAGTTCGACATACCCTAGAACCGAGTTTATAATAGCTCGGCTTTTTGCAATTCTATCCTTGGAGGACTAATAAGAGTTAGAAATATCCTTAATACCAACTTTCACTCTATCTATTGCTCTTGGATTAGTGGTAGCAGCATAGTCTGAGGCAGAAAAGCGGGGAATGAAGCGGCGGATCATCAATCATGTCAACACAGCTTCATCTCCATATTTTTTCAAAATGTTCAGCGATAACTCCAAGTGGATGGGACTTGACGCCGAGTCACTGTTAGTTTCTGTTATTTAAGTCATCCAGGGCGAGTGCATTGGCGCCAGCGTCCAGGAAGGTCCAGATCTCGCCTCTTTGAAGTCTTTGGATCTGCTTCGACCTCTGGATTCTTCTTTTCCAACTCTTTAATCAAGTGGTCGATCTGTTTGGTCATTTCCTCATCTATTGCAAGGATAATCTTTCCATCGACTTCAATAATATTGCCTCTATATATTAGTACCAATGCTATGTCCTGGTATTTGGCAGCTATTTTATGAAGTTGATCCCAGTTTGTGACCTATATAGCATCTTTAGGAATCTTAACTATATACTTAATACTTATAAAACTACTAGTAAATAGAACTGTAAGGAAGGAGGATCCTGTCTACTTGTTAGACCTTGACTCTGGTTTTATTACGGTGAAGAGGCATGACTGTACCAGTCCTTATATTGATATAAAGTAAAGAGACTTTTCGGTGGTTATTTAATATAATAACACTAAGTAGATCGGCTATATTGGTATATCTGGCATCAAGTAGAATACCTGCCACCCCTTGCAGCTTTTATACCAGTAATTCCGAATAAGTCACATGCTAGAAACTGCGTGAATATCATGGCTGTTAGTCGACAATAACCAGGGTTTACTAGAATCAACAACCAACACGCATAAATCCTTCCCAAGGAAAGCTCCGTTGGAACAAAGTCTACCGCTATTTTAATCGGTTATAGTCTTACCAGGAAGACTCTATAACAATCATATAGACCATTTTACCGGGCAAAGGCCTGTCTCTTAGTCTAACTTTTACTTTAATCTTATTCTATACTACCCCACGACAATAAATAGCTTACTGGCCGTTTATCAAGAGATGGCTCGAAAAGTTAAAATATTTGTGAGCTTGCATCTAGCTATTAGCTAGATACAAAGCAATTCTCCGAAAGTCCCATTACGCTCGGCTCTCGGCAAGTTTGAATCAGATCACATCCCAAATGGGAAGACAACAACCAACATGCATATACACTTTACCTACAGAATCGAACGTATTGACCAACTTGGCGTGCCAGGTTCCGACCTGATCCGCTCGATCCGCGTTTCACAAAGGTGCTTTGCATATCTTGCCATATCTTGCTTGATGCGTCGCTTGCATCTTTGTACTGATCGATTATTGCACCGGCTTCTTACAGTAATACTAGCGCTACCATATTAACTCAAAAAATTCACTACGACCTACAGGTCCTCTACAATTCGTTTGAATCATAAGCCTTCGACCCGTAGATTGTAGGGACTGTTTCAAGTTAATATGGCATTTGCTTATGATACGGACTGATGGAGAGGCACAGCAATTCTAGAACTTGCTGGTTCAGCCAATTAGAAGGATTGGGGGTTTCAAGCAGTAACTATAACTGAAATCCCGCTTGTTTAAAGATAAGCCCACTCCCATGTTGGGCCTCACTGTCGGTCTTTATCTCTTACACTTCACCGCCAGTCAACATTTACGACAAACATTTCCCTCATCATGTCTAAATCTGGTTCTAAACATCAAGAGCCTGCTGATCCTGAAGCAGCTTGCCGCGGCATTGCATACAAAGGCCTTTCGCCAGAACAACAAGAAATGAGCGATATTCTATATAACATGGAGCGCCATGACCTAGGCCTGTTAGGCATTGCAGACCTGGGCCGTGACGGGGTTTTCCGCTTTCTTGATGCTGATCGCAATATTCACTATGCAATTGCTTTAAGGCCAGCATTGATCAAAGCTCTATTAGACCGCTCGCCTTATGATCACGAGGAAGAGAAATTCTGGCGCGGAATTGATGGAACAAAAGTTCCTAAAGAGCAATGGTATAATCCATCCCTGGGTATCCTTCCCCCACCACTATCTGAGGAACATCGGCAAGAGGGCCGACAGATTAATGAGATAAATAAAGAGAAGTTTGACAAGATTCGTGCGGATTCGAAGAATTACAAGGAACGCCTTGTCTTTATAGAGTCAGATAATAAGCTTGAATAGATATACTGGAGTCTCGCCAGTTGAGAGACTCGTATTTCTACCTTGACTTAACCAGAATTTGTCCCAGAACCGGGGCACCACCATGACCTATGATTAGGGTTAAATCTGCGTCACACCCTGGCTTGATTTTTCTTTCTTCTCAAAGTCGCCGAACTGCTTGACCTGTCTCTTTCATTTCAGTCAAAGCCAATTCTGAATCGAACTGTTTACGTTAGTGAGGAAGGTTAAATTTCTGGCTCACCACAGAGAAGAGAGGGAAATAGACAGTTATGAGTTGCATTCGTGCTATACTCACTGATGAGCTATACACTTGATTGGGGATACAGAAAGATGACCGCTATAACAGGCCTAAGAACACGCAAAGTGACGTGCAGAACATCTGGAAGGGATTTATATGGCTTACGAGCTACCTCTAATGCAACTTTTAGGGCCTCAGCTCCTCTGGCGATCAAGAGCCATCAATACCTCCAGGCTTGAGAAGGATAGAACTATAGAAGTCAAGCTATTCAAGTTATTCTCTAGCCGGTGGCTATTGTGTGGGTAGTTGGTATGCTGCCTGAAGTGTGTTTTTGAGAGTGTTATTTTGAGTTGATAGACCTGACAGCTGATGCTTGCATCGCGCGCCTTACCTCGTTCTCATGGGCTAGCGATACTTAATTGACGCGATTAAATAGACCAGACTCTCATACATACAAACCCTCATCAATGATTGACCACAAGTCCAAGTAACTACCACGCTTCTCATCGATATCGCCTGGTATTGACAACGTCGAGGCGGCCCGCATATCATGATCACTTGCCGAAATGGCTTTGTATCAGTATCTCACAGAATCTCAAAAGGCAGCATAAAAATCACAATAAAGAGTCGAAGAATATCGCGCGAGAGGGCTTGGTGGTCGAATAGAGAAGAAAGGAGCTTTAAGCCAGAAGAGAAAGGTACTGTTACTGCAAATAGAGGAATTTGTAACTGCAACGAGCACAACTGTTCTGGACTGGTCATGTGTAGCACTACGGACTTCTCCACCAAGGCCAGACTCCCAATGCAGTTAAACATGATATCTCGGACCGACAAATCTTGGGAAACCACAGAAATCAATGAATGACATCCTTGACTGAACCAAAAGCCCGTCGGACCGACCAACACGACCCCGTTAGTTTCGCCCCCCAGCCCCAGATTCTCTTCTCCTTAACCCCAGCTTTTGCTTAGCCTGCATCACCATCTCCATCCCCAGACCCGTCAAACGCCCCTCAAAAGCATACCTCGGGACATGCGACACGAGATTCTGCCTTCCCCGGACCGACGAACGAGCCAGATCTGGAGTTTATGGGATGACGATTTGCGCCTAAAGACCTCATGAGCTGACCTCGACCCACCGGTCGCGGATTTGGAGCCAAACCCCGAAAACTGAGTGAGATTTTCCGTTGGACACTGCCACTCGGAGAATTGTACCATCCCCTAGCTTAACTGCTCGTCAAAGAGGCACCGTTAGTGTCTCGAACTTTAACCACAAACATGAGCCAAGGCGGTGAGAACGCGTCCCTGGACACCGTGTCACCATCCAACACCATCAAAATGGCCTCCAAACCGTCAACAAGGATCAGTCATATTCCCACTGATGAACCGAAAAGCCAAGCCCACAATGCAGAAGCCAGCGCCGCCACGGCGCTAGAGCACGAGCTTACCTTTCGCGATGCCGTGCGTCTCTACCCCAAAGCCATTGGCTTCTCCCTGCTGTTCTCCATGGCGATTATCATGGAAGGCTACGACATGGCTCTCATTGGTTCATTTTACGGCTACGAATCGTACGTTATTCCCTGCTGCTACGGCGTGTAAAAGAGCTAATTTGCTTTTTAGGTTCCGCAATAAGTATGGCAATCAACCAGATCCCGATGGTGGCATGGTTATCTCTGCGGATTGGCAGACGTACATCCAAGTCGGCGGCATGTGCGGGCAGATCTTCGGGTTGTATCTCAATGGCTGGGTCTCTGATGCTATTGGATACAAGAAGACTATGATACTGGCGCAGATCATCATGGTCGCTTTCACGTTTATCGTGTTCTTTGCGAAGAATATCCAGATGATCCTCGCAGGCCAGATTCTGATGGGCATTCCATGGGGTGTCTTTCAGACATTGACGTTGGCATATGCATCTGATATCGCCCCCGTGGTTCTTAGGCCTTATCTCACGGCTTATGTGAATCTGTGCTGGGTTATCGGGCAGTTGATATCAGCAGGAGTCCTTCGTGGACTTCTAAATCTGGACAATGAGTGGTCATATCGCGTTCCATTTGCATTGCAATGGATGTGGCCGCCATTTATTATTCTCGGTACGATCTTTGCGCCAGAATCGCCATGGTGGTTGGTTCGCATGGGTCGTCACGAAGACGCAAAGAAGGCTATTCTGGGTCTCGTCACGCCTCAGCCTGATCTCAAATTTGATGCTGATGCGCAAGTCTCAATGATTCACGAGACTAATGAGCTTGAAAAGGCTACGTCTGCGGGTACTAACTATTGGCACTGCTTTATGAGAGCTGATCTGAGACGAACCGAGATTGCATCCATCACATACGTTGCGCAAGCCATGTGCGGCAGCGTTCTCATGGGCTATTCAGTCCAATTTTACGAGCGCGCAGGGCTCTCATCAAACAGCGCGTTTACTCTTAACATTGTACAGTATTCTGTTGGCGCGATTGGCGTCATTCTGTCGTGGTTCCTCATGGCAAGGTATGGACGTCGCGCGTTGTATATCGCAGGCACAACCTCGCTTTTCATAATCCTTCTAGTCGTCGGTGGCCTTGGATTTGCACCTCAAAGCCAGTCAGGTCCTTCTTGGGCAATCGGCAGTCTTCTCATCTTTTATACCTTTATCTACGATCTAGCAGTCGGACCAGTCTGCTACACCATTGTTGCAGAAATTCCATCAACACGATTGAAAGCGAAAACAATCGTATTGGCGCGCAACTTTAATAATATGGCTGGCCTGGTAAATAATACGCTGATGCCGAGAATGCTTGGTGTACATGCATGGAACTGGGGTGCAAAAACAGGTCTTTTCTGGGCGGCGTTTTGTTTTCTTATCATGGTATGGGCATATTTTCGTCTTCCGGAACCAAAAGGCAGGACTTATGGAGAGTTGGATGTTTTGTTTGAGCATAGAGTCAGCGCACGTAAATTTGCCAAAGCGCGGGTGGATCAATTCGGAGATAGCACTGGTGCTGTCGAGGTTGATGCGCATTCTAGATAACGGTTGTACTGGGTAAACTATGGATAATGTAAGATTATGGGATGGGAACCGGATTTTAGATTGGCGTCAACATGTAATCAATTTGCATATCTTGCTCACAATAGCTTCATTTGCGGCCGAATCACAGCTGCAGGTGAAATGATCAGCCAAGCCATCATCACCCTGCATTCGCATCTACAGTGAAGCAGCTGACAATTTGTGACTCTGTAAGGGGAAATAATCGGGTACTTCCCAAACAAGTAGTAGATAGCAATGGAATTTAACCATGAGGCGCGGGGAACGCTCAAACTTCGGATCTGATCTCGGACCGTCATGATTGCAATGGATATCCTAGCGTTAACCTTAGATAGACACGCCTTTTCTCTTGGCTCATTAACGATCTACGAAGTTCCCCACTCAAAATCCCTTCCCATCACCTGATTAGCTACAGTTCGACTCTTGTCGGTCCGACGACATCGGCAAACTGAGGCGGATCTGGGGTCTAGAGAGGTCGGCTGAATTACCTACTTATTAGGCAAAACCCGGGCTCAACCATCCATTGTCGCTTCATTTTTCTTCGTTTTTATATCTTTTGACATTCCTTCAACGATTAATGACTGCGGTTGAGAAGTATAAAGTGACGACGGAGGCGAAAACATACTTCGGCACTCCCAGAAGAAACACAATGACGGTCAAGAACTCTACACCCCGCCCTCGATGGCATCCTTCGCCGACATACCACCTCAAAGCACCTCGAGGTTGGATCAATGATCCGTGCGCACCCGGATATGACGCCTCAACAGGCACATACCACTTATCTTATCAATGTCAGTACACCCAATCACCCGTCTCGACCATCTCCCATATTGACTTTGCCACCAGGGAACCCCAAATCCTGCGATTGGGGTGACATCACTTGGGGTCATTACACAAGCGGAGATGGTCTCACATGGAAGCAAAACACACAAAATCCAGTCCTAGAACCCTCTGAACCTTACGATGATAAGGGCATCTTCACTGGCTGTCTTCACCCTACAGGTCTCCAGGGCGAGGAGGGCCAACTCACAGTTATCTACTCCTCCATTACAAATCTTCCCATCCACTGGACTTTACCGTATACCCGAAACTGCGCTGGACTGTCAGTTGCAACATCAACAGATGGCGGTAAGACTTGGCAGAAGAGTGAACAGAACCCGATCCTGGAGGGCGAACCTGAAGGTCTCACCGTTACAGGGTTCAGAGACCCTTACCTTGCAGAATGGCCTGCTTTGGATGAGATGCGAGGCGAAGCGAGTTTGTATGGCTTCGTATCAGGAGGTGTTGTCGACGGCGGACCTACGGTGTTTCTCTACGCTATCTCACCGACCGACTTGACTCAGTGGACATACCTCGGCCCTTTGATCGATTTACCCACAGGATTCAGCCCCTCTGGACGATGGGGCGGCGATTTCGGTGTTAATTGGGAGTGCGTCAACTTCATGACTCTTCACAATGAGTCCGAGGAGCGGCCTTTCTTACTTATGGGAACAGAAGGTGGAGTTAAGCCTGGTGCCAAGGAGGGTAGCGATCAGTGGTCACTGTGGATGGCTGGGTCTCTTGAGCAGACGGAACAAGGCCCCAGGATGAAACCTGAATACAGTGGAATTCTTGACCACGGATGTTTATATGCGCCCAACTCCTATGAGCATCCTATTACGAAGAACAGGATTGTCTGGGGATGGTTGAAGGAGGACGAGCTTACCCTGGCCCGACGCGAATCCAAAGGCTGGACCGGGTACTTTTCCATTCCTCGGGAGCTATTCTTATACACGGTCGAAAACGTTACAAGGACCCTAGCATCATCATTGGCGGAGGTTGGCTGCATCAAGGCTACCGAAAATGGAAGAGGATCGAAGACGGTCCAGACATTGGGAATTCGACCTCTTCCAGATCTGCAAGGACTTCGAAGGGGCAAGCCTGGTCACTGGAACAACATCGACAGCAACACCAGTCTCGGGAAGCTTGTTGACACGCATACGGGAAGCTGGGAGCTAGAAGCCACAGTCAAGGTATCATCAAACGATCAAGGGCTTGGATTCTGGATTCGACACAACGAAGACTTTTCTCAAGGAACAGCCATTCACTTCTCTCCTCAAAGCGAGAAGATCACCGTCGATAGAAGCAAATCCAACCACGAAGCTGATATCGAAAAGGACGCAATTTCTGGACCTTTTACTCTCTTCTACTCAGACAGGAACGGCTCAGAGGAGTTGGAAAAACTTCACTTGAGAATTTTCTGCGACGGCGATGTTCTCGAGGTCTTTGCCAATGATCGATTCGCTTTATCGACTATGGTTTATGCGGATACTAGAGACTGCACAGGTTTGAGCTGGTTTATTGAAGGACAAGGAGCAAGCGAGACTGCTTTTGAATCGGTGAAGCTATGGGAGAACATGAAGGAAGTTGTTGAGGTTGATGAGCCTGTTGTTTACGAACGAAGTCAGTTGTGATGAACAGCTACTGACATATCGGCGCATGGAGTCATCATTATCGGGTTTATGATAGTCGAAAAGCTATAAAATGAACTTCTTTCCATTATGAATATCTTACCTGTCTTTGTCACTGCCTATGCCAACCCTCTGGAGCTTGGTGTTTGCCGAACGGCGAATGATCACTACCCTGCGCTCAACCATCTTTCCACCAGTCAATTGTATCAAAGTACTGTTATTTCTAACGAGACTATCACACTAAGGATGGACAACTACGTTTGGGGGCGGTCAGCAGTGGTTAGATTTGAGGTGGAGAGGTTGAAGTTACTACCGTAATGGGTAATACACCCCGCAATATTGCAACCTCACGATTGGCAAAACTTCCGTATTTGTCCATCGTCAAAGTCTGCTTACTTTACCCCTCTATAAAAACAGGCTTATTACGCAGAAACTCGCCTGATTCTTAAGAAGAGAGAATTATTATTCAGATTTCACCCTTAAACCTAACACTTTAACTTGTGCCATACCTTTGCCTAGATATCTGCTCCACTGAACAATTATCGCATCACCATGAGAGTCGTTGCAGTAGCTGGAGGAACTGGAAGCGTTGGCAGCACCATCGTCGACGGTCTTGTGGAATATGGGAAGCATAAAGTGTATGCTCTGTCCAGAAAGGTAAGCAAGTCTTTTGCGTTCAATCTACTCTTTGGTCTTGAGGTTGACATGGTCATAGGAACGATCCCCACAAGGCGCTGTGAACTACCTCAAAGTGGATTATAATGATCCTGACGCTATAACGAAAGCCCTAGAGGACGCAGGAGTCAATATTCTCATCTGCGCTATTAGTGTCGTATCGCCGGAGGCAAACCAGGCACAGAAGAATCTGATCCAGGCTGCTGAACGGTCTTCAACAACCGAGCGCTTTGTCATCAGTAGTTTCGACATGCTCCATGTTAAAGAGTAAGCATCCTTTAAAATCTTTGAACCCGACTGACCGGTAGTGTAGGGACATTGAACTTTCGCCACTGACCCGATACACCTTTGAAGCCATCGATGAGCTTGAAAAAACTAACCTTACATACACCCGCATCGCCAACGGCTGGTTCCTCGATTACTACGGCATGCCGCACTGGAAGTGTAATCTGGAACCTTGGATCAACATAATCAACATGAAAAGCAAGTGGGCTGTCATTCCGGCTGACGGAAACATCCAGGCCAGCTTTCTTACCTCTCAGGATATGTCCAGATTTGTTGCGCGTTTGATGGATCTTGAGAAATGGGACAAGATCAGTGCCATTCGGGCCAACACCTTGTCATTCAACGAATTGGTGGCGGCCGCGGAGAAGGCCAGAGGTAGGGACCTTGTCCATCAAGATCAACCATTGTTTACTAATTACTACCAGGGACCAAATTTGATGTCGCTGTTGATAGCCTGGAGAAGTTGAAGTCTGGCAAGATTTCATTCTTTCCTGATTATCCATCGATTGGTCACGGTGAAGGCGATGAAGCATTCTTCGCCATGATTCATTACCAAGCTGGCATTGGCAGGTATCTCGTGCCTCGAAATCTTCCACCGTTGGACGACAAGTTCCCCGACTTGAGAGTTACAACAGCCTTGGAGGTCATGGAAAGTGCCTGGAAAGGGAAATAATGATGCTCAAGTACAGGGCCATCTGCATTTTGGCAGTTCTTGATAGTCGATGAAAAATGTATTAAAAAGAAGAGGCGAAGGCCACAGGAAAAAGTCTTTTGAGATCACAGGCGTACGAGAAAGTCGCGTGTAGGGGATGGAAGCCTCTGCCAGTCTACTTTGCTATACGCGGATGTCTTTCCAACAAGAATAGAGAAGCAATCAAACCAGCAGCAGACATGGCCGTCATGAAGATACTTTGCAAATTATAGCCCTCGGCAAATGCTTTCCTCACAGCTAGCTGCTGGGACCGTTCCAGATCATTTATCGCAGATACGGAGTCCAGGATAGCTGCTGCTTGCTCTGAAGAGACAAGATCATGCAATTTCGGTGTCAGATGATTGTTGAGAAGAGTGGCGCTGCGGATCTGTCGGTAATTCGTGTTTGGTAGAGATATGACGGGTCGAACTTACCAAATCGCAAGTGAGACTGTGCCACCGAGAACACGGATCTGTGTCAGTGCACCCATCATCACAGCTTATTCCTGTTAGTACACCTGACTGTTATCGACAAGAAGTCACCTACGCAGATTTGCTTCAGAAACCACCACTCTAGCAAAGGTCAGGACGGTAGCCAGACACATACCGAACCCGACTCCCATCAGCACCTCATATCCATACTGAGCATCGTGCATACCGGTCGAAGCTGTGGGCAAAGAGCATGTTAAGCCGACGCCCAAGACCTGCAGCGCTGCAGCTATAATTATCAGGTATGCGGGCGGAACCTTGGCGTTTCCAGTTAGGTAGCCTGAGAGAACAGTTGCGGCAGGAGATGTGAGCATCATGGGTAGTAAGATAATGCCAGCGCGAGATGGAGACATCCCGTACACTGCTTGAGCTCTTTGCGGAATGTTGACGACCATTGAGACGAAAGGGAAACCGACGAAGCACGTAGTCCTATGCCACCAGTCAGTGCTTGTAGAGAAGTAGAAGGGTGTGTGACTTACAGCAGCATGGCGCTTGATATCCTGTCCTTGCAAATACTTGGCGGGAACACAGGCTCTTGCTTGCTTGGCGACTTTTCAATGTAGACTTCCCAGAACCAAAAGGCGATGAAGAGCACAACAGCTAGAACCAGGGTGGCTATGACAACCGCATTGCTCCATGAGTATCGGGTACCTCCCTCCTCAAGTGCAAACACAAGGAGAACTGAGGCTGCAAGGAGAAGGATTATTCCAAGCACATCGATACGAACCCAATTAGACCTTCGAACCTTTGACCGTAAGACTTTCAGGAGCGAGAGGTTGGACGACTCTTCGGAGGCTGGGAGAAAGAAGCAAACCATGACAAAGGCGATGGCTCCTCCAGGAAGACTATGATGTCGTGTCAGCATGTTGCGATCGAGCATAAAGCTGTGAATTGTACTTGAGAAGAAAGACCCAGCGCCAGGTCGAATGCTGGCTGATCACACCACCCAGGATAGGGCCTAGAACACTTGCGGTGATGAAGACTGTCGACATGACGCCCATGTACTTTGCGTATTTGCTGATTGGTACCAGGCTTGGGGCGATCGCGAGGATCATGGCATAGATGCCTGATGCGCCAATGTCTTGGAACGCTCGAAGTATGATGCTGAGAGTTTATCAGAGAGAATCAATGGCTGGACTTGAGTGCGTCTTACAGGTCAACGACATTGTTTGCCGCACCGCAGAGGCCGGAGAATACTGTGAAGATGAGTAGTGCTAGGAGAAGCATTGTCTTCTTCCCGAAGACATCGCTGAGTTTGGCGTAAATAGTCAAAAAGCCTGCCATAGTTAACATGACGTTTCAAACAGGAAGGAGACAATGTGCGCACCAGTATATGTCAACAAATAGGAGGTGACGATCCAATCCCGAAGGATGAAGCCATTGAGGGCGTTGGTGATGGAGACCAACGATGTACTAACAATGGTTGTCTCAAGCGTTGATAAGAAGAGACTAATCCATAGACTTGGCACGATAAGCTTGAAAACCGTTGAAATATCAATTTTCGCGACTGACTCACGCTGCGCTCAAAGAATGAAGCTTCCATCCTGTAAGATATTTCTTGTCGTCGTTATTCTCCATTGGGTCTACTTCAGGGGAGGCCACCGCATTGTGGAGAATTGGCGTCGATCCTTTGTTCTGCAGTGTTGTTTCAGTGGATTTAGAGGGCACAGGGGTCTCTGTATGCATTTCGTAGCCCAGCTCTTGACTGCGACTTGTACGACGCTGCATTGTCAAAAAGAGGCTGTAAATAGTTCCATAACATAGAAGAAGAAGTCAGGGAGAGAATGCAAATCATCATCTTTGACGGCGCGAAGAATAACCAGGCCATTTTAATTAGCTGAACGTGTTGGTAACGCGAAAGACGCGCAAGCGACCCTCCATGAATCCTTCGAGATATGGATGACGCTGAGGCCAGAGTGTCCAACACGATTATCATCGCTTAATCCCTGTAGTTTCACATACTGCACCAATTTTCACCCTCTGTGATATTATTAGAGTCAATAGTCTATTACTTTTGGTGCCTGCATATTCATCTCGCCTACGGTCGTTTTGAGCTACTCCCAGGCAAACCTGTCCATGGCAGAACAATCGGGATTCCGCGTTCGGATAAACATTAGCCGACTCAATTCAGTGGCGCAGCTCAGCTGAGGCCTTAGCAACAATCATGATCTGATAAATAGCACTCTGTAAAACAATAACTTGACTGTGAGATTGAGACTCAATAATTATGTCGCAAGCATCTGCAACCCAACAAGAGCTTTTCTTCAAGTCGTACAATGACAGCTCTCCGACGACAATCGTCTTGCTCCATGGCCTCTTCAGCTGCAACCTCGAATGGGAGCACGTTATTCCCCACCTTAGCGGTTACCATCTCGTCGTTCCCGATCTCCCAAAACACTCTCAATCGAGACATATAGGGCCATGGTCAATTGAACTCGCCGCAGACTCTGTCGCGCATCTCATCCGAAAACATGCCCACCGTGGACAAGCGCACGTTGCCGGCCTTTCGCTGGGCGGTTTCACCACCATGGAATTAATCCGCCGACATCCAGACCTCGTCAAATCCACATTCGTCACTGGCTCAACCCCGTTCCGACCGTGGCAAGTCTGGGCCGCAGAAAGACCTAGCCTCCTACACTACGGTCTCAAGCTCGTCCTCAACAGCGGTTTCTATTCTCTCAGCGTCTGGATGAAGGGTCTTAAGGATCATACTCAGCTCAAGAACGAAATCGCGGCCAATAACGACTGGAACTTGGTCAATGACGCTTACGCTGGACTTGCTAAGTGGCAGCACGAAGACGTGAAAGCAGTTGCCGAGAAGGATAAGCGGATATTGGCAGCCGCTGGAGACCAGGGCGATGATTTTGACGGTGCAAAAGAGATGGCTCTGACTTTTCGCAATCAAGGCCGCGAAGATGGAAAGAAGAGTACTGCCTGTCTCATCAAGGGAGCAATTCATGCATGGAATTTGCAGTTTCCGGAATTGTTTTCTGAAGGTATCAAAGCTTGGGTTGAAGAGAAGCCTCTTCCTGAAGGCTTTGTGAACTTGCTTGACGGTTCCAGTGATGAAGGCGCTTGAGTTGCTCAGGATCGGATAACAGATACTTATTATTCATTATGGAAATCTCAACTCCAGATTATCCGTATTACTGCCAAATATTGCTCCAGAAAAGCAAAACCTACCATGTGGTACTATTGAAGAAGCCAAAGATGGGAAGAACTGGGGTCTGGGTATCCATACTATCCATGGTGGGAAGATTACCAGACATAGACCAGTCCCCAGTCATCGGCGGGCTTTGAAACATATCCGTTGAGAGATTCCCATTTGTTCCGTCCTGCATCTGGTCTATGCTCCCTTGATTAACACCATTCATAGGTTGAAAAGGCACATCTCTCGGACTCATCCATGACAGTCCAGCCTGTGACACCGCAATTCGAAGCTTTTGAACGCAATCTGGAATTTCCAAAGGTGTTCCGAGTTGCTGAAGAGCCATTTGTCGAGGTTCCCAAGCCTTCAACAACAGCCTCGCGAGTTGAAAATGTTTATGCTGAGACAGATTCCAAAGCTCTTCATGATTGCGGTAAAACCGATCAAAAAGGCTCCATGTCCGCTCTGTAAAATCTCCAACTGGTGAGCGATGAACAAGCTGACCCGCAAGAAAGATGAGTGAGTCGAAGTGAAAGTGCGACTTTGATGAATACGCAAAAGGTCCATTCGATATCAGATCATGAAGCGCGTGTTCATTCTCATTGTGCGCAAGCCAGATTCGGAAAAAGTTGTCGTGAGAATTCTTAACTTCAGTCCCCCATTCTGGTGTTTCTTCCATTGGTGTCGCCATAGTTCTGACTTCTCTCAGGATATGAGGTCGAAAGGCCAGGGCGAAGACGTGAAGTGGTCCTCCTGATGGATCACAGTACTGCTTCTCAACCTCACTCATCTTTTTGTCGAATTCATCAGCAAGGTGTGTCAGCTTATCCAACGACTCGTGATAAAGATCATATTCGGGGGTTCCAGGCTCAACGTCTTGACCTCCCAGCAGAAGGTGTTCGAAATCGGTCATCTGATGGTCCTTCACGAAGTGAACGATCTCGTAGAGAACCAGAGCAAACGCCATTTCTGTGGTACCCTGCTTGTTTTGGATGACTGTAGACTCTGGTGAAAAGTCCGCGTCGTTGATGTTGTGAGGGAGCTTGGTGTCGCAACCCAGCGGTAACAGTGTTGGGTTCATTCCAGATGTTGCGGCGTACATACAGTCCAGTATGATGATTCGCCACCATACTCGACGACGCATCTCTGTGTCGAAAGGGGTCAAGCCGAGTGCTTCGCCATCGCGGTGGACGCCCATTTTGTGAGCTATGCGAATGACGACGCCGCTGAGCACCCATACGGCGTCATGGTTGCTGCGGCCTTGTAAGGCGATCTGTAAAATGATTAGCTTTGGAGTGCGTCCTGGTCAGCGTCTGTGGTCTTACCAAGTATAAAACAAGAGCTTGTAGAACGACCATATCATAATTCCTGAGAAAATTGACCTTGTTCAGCGCCATCTTCAAGCCTTGGGTGAATATCTGTAATGCTTCGTCCTTATGCAAGCCCAACATCGTCATTGCTTCTTCACCCGTCAAAGTGACGGCGGAAACAAGATATATAGCATATAAAAGTGCTCGGTTCTTGTGCGATATATCGGAATGGTTTGTCATTGCACCGATAACCAAATGCTCCGTAGTTGGAGTATGTATCATTTTGGTTATAGGATTGACTCTCTCGAGAAACACCTGCCATAAACGAAGGATCTGGAAAGGCAGCGGAGCTTGATCATTGATACTCAGAGACGAAATCTTGGCTAAAAGAAGATCATCGTCTTCATGAGGAGCGGGTGAATCGGAGGAATGGCAATTTTCCTCGTCTGACGTGTCTTCGTCAAGAATATGACGCATTTCTGAGATCTATGCACTGACTGTTAGTAAAGAGCCTTAGAAACCATATTATCGAAAGGGATGTCGGACATTCTCGTGTATCCTTCCCCAGATGTAACTGTCCAGGAATTTATACCCGCCATTCCGAACGACCAGCTTACCAGGACCAGTCGGCGTCTGAGCGCCGTGTCCATTAGATTGAGCCGGTGACGATCTGGCGGATATTTCCATCGGATCATGGCTCAGTCCACTCGTGTCAGAACTTTGCTTGGGTGAGTCTTGAGAGGTATATTGCTCAAGCAGAGCCTCAAGGTTCTTGATCCTTTCTTGCAACAGGGCATTTGGCGCTCTTCTCTTGCGAGGTGGAGCAGGCGTTGACGGCACGCAAGGGACATTGGCCTAGACGTGTAAGTTTCAATATCATCTCCTAAAGGTCAGGGTATACCTTTATGCAGTTGTTGCAAGGAAACACGCGATTGCATTTCACCTTGCGGTGCTGACAGTGATTGCACGCCAAGACCCGTGGCGTTTTTGGCGCTGGCGCGGAGGCATCGGAATGATAAGGCGAGTCTTGAAGCTGCTGAAAATCCGATGCACCATTCATGGCTGTTAAGTATCCTACGATGAGTCTGGGAAATATTGTTGAGCGATTGTTTGTGTATATACACGTTGGGGCGTCGTAAGAGTTGGAAATCTCGAGGTATCGGTATTTCCGTGACGTGATAAACTCGGTATCTCGGGCTCTTATACAACCCCGGTCACGGCATTATCGAGGTTTCATTCCACCAGCCAATTAGCTGCACCTCGGCAATTTCCACAGGGTTTCGACATTATCATGCAAACGGCTCATTCGGAATCACCTTTTAGTACGTCAATGCGATAATATCAGTTCTTGATGTTCTGCAGGGAAGTAAAGAGTAGACGGTCGGTCGGTTCACCTCACGTAATCCACTAATGCACTCTTCCGCCCTTATTCCCTTAGACTCGCCGACGATTACCAGATTGAGGCAACACTCCAAATGCTGTGCCGCCAAATGGTTTCGCGATTGTCAATTTTCAGGTTACGGACTTCTCACCGTCGTAGCCATGATGTCACGTATTTGCAGCTATAAGAAAGTCGGAGTTTCGCTCTCGAACATTCAAATTCTCTGGAGATAATATTTTTGTTTCAAGAAAAGTTCAAGATCAACTCGTTCACCATGTCTGCTCCCGTTGGCCTCGCTGTCGTGGGGACGAACTGGATCACCAACTCTTTTGTTCAATCATGTCATGAGAGTAAACTATTTTATCTCACTGCTGTGTATTCCAGAAAGCTCAACACAGCAAACAAGTTCATCTCAGAAACGCCTTCTATCAAAGATGCTTCTGGGGTGGAAGCTTACGATGACTTGGACACCATGTTGTCAAAAGGTTCGAATATCGATGTTGTGTATATCGCATCACCCAACTCGTTGCATTACGAACAAGGTGTCAAGGCTCTGAATGCTGGCAAACATGTCATCATGGAAAAGCCTTTCGCCTCCAACATGAAGGAGCTCGAAGCTCTTTACGAGCTCGCTGACTCAAAAGGTCTCCTCATCCTGGAAGCTTATCGGCACATTCAAGAGCCCAACTTCAAGAGACTTCAGAGACTACTTGATGATGAGAAAACCAGAACAGAGAAGTTCGGCAAAATCTATGGCGCGAGTCTCTCGATGGCTGTGTATTCGCCGCTGTTTGGAGATATCACAGAAAACAACGTTCCAAATGTTGCATCTCCCAAGTTCAGTGGAGGCTGTTTGTGGGATATGGGTTGCTATCCTGTCACATTCGCTGTCCGACTCTTTGGAAAACCCTCATCCCAAGCATATTTCCCAGTCATTCTTGAAACTGGAGTCGACGGCGGTGGTCTGATCGTGTTCCAATACACGACTGAGTCTTCAAAGCACCAGCAGAACTTTACTGTCTCGGCCCGCACGAGCAAGATTTATGATTCGCATGCACCAACCGAGATCTACTGTGAGAAGGGAACCATCAAGATATTTGGGGGCCAGGCTTCGAACGTCACAGATATCTGTACTTTGGAGTTCGTCACAAGAGGATCTCAAGAGTCTGAGGAGCTGGGAGATACCGACCCTGAGTATACTGATATGTTGAACTTGACATGGGAGGCTAAGGAACTTGGGCGTATCATCAAAGAGAAAGATATGGAAGCTGAAGCTGACTTGAGAGCACTTAGTCGAAGTATTCTCACGGTGATGGAAGATATGCGGAAAAAGAATGGCATTGTGTTTGGTAGTGATTGATCATTCATCCCTGAGGCCTAGATAGAATGCTGCAAGCAAGACAGGCGGCTACTCGTAGAAAACGCACAGTTTACTTCTTTCAAACCCAATGTCCAAACCAATACCAATGTCAGGTCCAATCGCTGCCTAATTCGGCGCCAAGTTAGGAATTTCATCTCCCAGCGTCATATCACCATCAACAAACGAGATGCTGAAGACATCAACACCTTCTGCAAATCCACCGAAACCACTAAAGTCAAACATATCCGCTGATAAGGCCCAGTCGGCTTCGACTGAGGTTTGAACTGCCAGCGTTGGACTTCCGGGTCTTGTTGGAGTTGACAACGAGGTATAGTCGACACTTTGCCACAGAGCTTTGACATCACCAGGTGTTCGCTCGACGCTTGAGGGTGAAAGCTCTTGTCCGCGAGTCTCGCACTGACTATGGAATCTCTCTAGTCGTTTAACCTGTGAGGGTGAGAATTTGATTTCGTTCTTTGAGTGAACAGACGTTTGGGCTTACCATTAGAGCTGCATGGTTCCAGTAACATGATAGGTCCTGTAGTGATTCCATGGCAGCACGATAGTGTCTTTGGCTCTCCTTTCGAATATGGTCTCTCTCATCGTTCATAGACAGAGCATGAATTGTACCAGCAACCATGATACAATATCCGTAAATGGAGGTTAGTATGAGAACATTCTGATTCTTCATATCCAGTAGGTCTGTGATACTTTTCGCATGAGTTCTACACTTTTCCCAAGCCGTCTTCATGAAGATCGACGGCGCCTTTTGTTTACCCGACTGAAGCCTTTGTTGTATCAGGAAAGGATGATGGAGCAGACAATGAGACAGGTGAAACATGGCCTTTGCGAAGATGAAGGAACCTGCGAGGAGCTGATCAACGACACCATCGACCGTACATCGTTGCTTAAGACTTTCAGCTGGGTCTTCATTCATTCCGAAGTAGTGTTCTGCTTGGAGTAACGCCGATGATAACGTGGCGTAAGGAGCTGTTGAAGACCAAGGAAGGCCCATCTGAGAGGTTTGGGTATCATGCAAAACGTAATGTGAGACACCACCCAGAATAGATGCCATAACGTTGATGAGACCAAGCGGGCAGCAACTGTCAACGGCTTCTTGTTCCACGCAATCTCCCGTCAATTCGTCGAGGAAGGGGGTCTTCTCCTCGCGACCCTCCTTGAATGCATCCTCTGAGCATGGTAAAGACACCTTGCATTCCTCGTCTCGGATACCGGAGAAGCGTCCACGGGAAAGACTTATCAGTTTGTCTTGCAGGTATAGGGACCAGAAGGTTCTCTTTCGTTCCTCCCGTTCTGGTGCAGGTAGTGATGGATCGGGTTCCAGGTGCAGCTTGTTATTCTGGGCAAGACGAATGGCGAAGCCGAGCTTCATGTGAGCTTGGCTACACAAGCCGGCTAGACGGTCAGGACTGTTAATAACTGTCTCAACTAGTAGACCACATCTCGTGATGGTGGATTGACTCACCGGGAACCTCAGTGCTTACTATCAATATGATGGTTTGAATGACTGTTAAAATCCTTTCCTGGGGCGCGTTGCCTGTCCACGGAAGTTCTATACTCTCCCAAGCTTTAGCAGCATAGCTAGACGCATCGTCGGCAGAGTTGATCTGAGTGACTGGTAGAGAAGAGTATCGTCTGGCAGCTGATAAGAATGCCCAGAGTAGATAGGTTGGTAGCGTGTCATCGGCCAGGCGCTGCCGAAAGGTTGGTTCGTGAAAGAGGGAGTAAGGTTGGCTGTGACAGTAGCGGAAGTAGACGTCGGCAGCAAATAGAAGGGAACTTGGTTGAGGGCGCTCATTGGCATGAGATTGTATCGTGGAAGGAGTTTGAAGAAGGACGGGGGCAGGGGTGTTGGCTTGGTAGTGAGTGCGTTTGGTGGATAATTGTTGTTGACTTGTGACGAGCGGCAGTAATCTGTACCTCTGTCAGAATGCGATCATCGACTATAATAAGAAGACACTATGTCTTGCCTTTCGACTGTTGCCTGTAGCGTTGATATCTGATCTTCGAAAGAAGCAAACCGCGCCGTGATGTTATCCTAGCCAAGGTCAGCATCACCAACCCAACAACAGTGGACCACATACCATAATAGCCTCAGGCACATCCCCCAAAGCAGGCTGAACGGCCAAATTCGTCCTTCTAAGACTCCTCCCATCCTCTGCATAAACACAAGGTTGTCCAAGCCTATTACAAAACTGACATATCGGTTTCTCACCCGTGCAGCGAACTTTTTTCTTCCTGCAATTGAGGCAGGCTTGGCGAATTCTCTTGCGACGACTCTCAGGACCGTCGGAATCGTCGTGGGAGTCTGACATTATGACGAATATTATGGGCTGGAGGGTTTGCTGATTCGATAAGGGAGATGCAGGATGGGATAAGGGACGGCTTGAGGGGCGGTTTGCGGGGATGCGGGCGACGCGGCTATACACGGTTATGTAATGCCGTGGTGCGGTCCGATACCCGCCACCATTTGCAGATCAGCCAAACTTAGAGTTTCTTTATATGTGAGATATTGCAGTAAGTGTCATACATGTGATGAACGATTACTTTGAACTTTTCAAGCCTCGATAAACTGATTATTGTCACCATGTCAGATATCCCAGCAGCAACAGATGAGCAACAGTATACCCGGAATACAATTGGACGCCGGAAACGCAGAGCTCGTAGAGCATGTCTAACGTGCCGATCTCGAAAGGTCCGATGCGATGTTATGCAGAAATCACCATGCAGTAACTGTCAATGGAGTTCGTGCGAATGCGTAGTGATAGGACCTCGACGGTCGCCGTGAGTCAACTTCAAAATTCCGCCAACGGTTTCACTAACAAAAACAGTTGCAAGAAGAACAAAGGAGACAGTCATGGTTCCAAGCAACCCACAAAGGAGGAAGTCCCCATTGAGGCCACGCGCAATAGTTTAAGCTATAATTCATACTCTCCGACATTGTCGCATGTCGAGTTCAAAGACGAGGATTCTAATGGTAAGCCCGAGCTCTTCATAAGCCATTGTTCTCCGGCATCATTGTGAGTCTCTTGCTAACAACTGCAATAAGTATTGGAGACATCATACCCTCCTATGGACGATATTCTTTCACCGTTGACACCTGTTTCGCAACTTGAAGACGAATACTGTTTCGGCCTGCAATACGCTAGCAGCCATGCAAATCAGACTTCCGGCATTGCCTGGAATCCCCCAGGCGCAACTTGTCTACTGTCTCCCGCCTCTTCTGAAATAGAAAAACAACAAGAATCGGACCCCATCATATGGTATGGGGGCGAGGGGATAGATGACGATCTAATTGGTAGTCTGCTGGCACTTCCCTTTGACAATCTGAGACATATTTGATGACCTCGTTATTGAGAAACTCAGCAAACACGGATCGAAGTCCGAGACAATACCGACACTAATTACCACCTCCATCAGAACCGACCACAAGAATTTTTGACTATTTACGGCCATTATGATGAATGACATCGCTCGGACAGTGATCTTGTCCTGAAATATTCCGGTCGATTGCCATAGTTACAGGTTAGACAGCGTCAGCCATGCTGAGGTCTAATCGCGGTTATTGACCCCCGGGCCCAGCAAAGTTTTTACCCCAACTTTGGCAAACATCCGTTGCCAAGCTGACCCACGTGGATCTGCAAGCAGTGCAGCTGGGGAATGCAAATGATACCGAGACTGTACTCACTGGGGGCATCGATGGGAATCAGGCTTGGCGAAAAACACGTCGAGAAAAGAGCGCGTCAATAACCTTTGCGCGCGCATAAGAACGAGGATTCAGGCAATTAAAGAAAGGCTACAGAAGCCACAACGCTTGTATTGAGTGTTTTTATTGTAAAACTAGAGACCAGTACACCAGGCCAAATGAATCGAAAAGCCAAGACGCCGTCACCCACGGGTATCCCCCCTGTTATCCCACCATCAATGGTGTGAAGCTTCTTACAGCATCATGACACCAGCAAGACCAGCGACAGCGACGACGGCAGCAGCCTTGATAGAGTTGACGCCAGCAGCGTTACCCTTGTCGCTAGACTTAGAATCGTCACTGGACTTAGCATCATCACTGCTGGAAGAAGCAGTGCCAGTCTCCTTAGCCCAGGTAACCTTGTCACAAATAGTGGCAGACTCCTTGAGGGAGGCAATGCGAGAGCTGACCTCAGGAACATCGCTGCAGGCATCGAGGAGAGAAGAAATGCCATCCTTCTGGTCCATGTACCAAGAGCTCAGCTTGGAGGCGTAGGAAGTGTACTCCTTGGCCATGGAGCCAGTAACGGCGGGGAGGACGCAAGCATCAGTCATGGTCATGACATCGGTCTGCTTGGCGAGGAAGCTGGCGAGCGAAGAGTCGGGAGTAGGGATGGCGGTGAGGTCGGGGAGGATGCTTGAAGCAACGGAAGCGCACTCCTTTGCGTCGCGCTTCTCAAGGCGCTCGAGAGCAGGGTGGGAGGCAGCGACAACGGTCGCGCCGACAGTGAGGATGATGGCAGAACGCATTGTGATTGGAGGTAGGGTATTATTAAAGTGTTGGTTTGCAAAGGTTTCGGCCGTTGAAGCGAGAAAGAAACGAGTGGATAGTTATTAACGAGAGTTTACTCAAAACAGATGGGAAGCGAGAACCAACAGAAGGATTCCAAGGGCTTTCTATTTAAGGTTGTCTCAAGGAGTCACGATTGTGGTGGTATTCATTAGGCTGGATTAAGGGGCTTCCTATTGTAGTTAACGTTTGGGCTATGCCTTATTTCCCGGTCCCCCCCCCCCCCACCTCGTAAAAAGGCTGAATGCCCTCACGAAACACCAAACATTTAGTGCCACGATGCGTCTGACCTCCATCCCTAGAGCTCGTGCCCAGGCAAGCAACTCGGTGCGTCAGTGACTCATTGTGTCTCCCATGAAGACCGGGTCTTCATTGCGTGATCTTCGACTTTACAATCACTGTATCTCTCATCCTGATCAAACCAAGGACATCCAGGCCTGCCATAACGCATAACAAAGGATCAGAGCAGCCACGAGCCCCTGCATGTTAGTTTTCAGCTCATCAAACAACTGTACCTTCCGTGCGTTAGGCAGTTTCACCCATCGCACTTACACTCCTTTAGCGCGCGCCAGATCATCGGCCATCTCCTAACTGAGAATGCTTCGCGAGTCACAACCGGCAGAGAGTTGCCGCTGCGCCTCTCACATGTCATCATCTGTGGAGTACTCATTTAATCCGCCTTATGCTACTGGAGCCTACAGGTCAAAATTGGACATTCGTGTCACATGCCGAGTTTAATTGGTCTTGAGTGATTGCTACGATTGGAGGCACAAGTTTCGACGACTATCTGTGCGGGCCTGGTCGTTTTCCTATATCAGATAAGCTTAGTTCTTAGTTACTGGGTCTCTCCCAGAACGAACTCCAGTCCAGCGTTAGTAGCAGGAGAAATTCAGCCTTGGCAGTCTAGCTTCAGCTGTTCCCTCACGGCGACTTCCGAAAGTATTGTTTCTATTTCATAACCCGACGAACCTAAAACGATGAATTGCCGTGATTTTGAGCGACTGTGCGGCGAACGAGATTGTTGTACTGACAACTGCCAGCTGGCTGTGAGGCTTTAGGGTAGTCAGAACAATTACGGTTATCTGCGAGCACAGCAGAATTCCTCGACTACTGGCATTCTTGGTTAAATTGACAAAGACCTTATGAAAGAATTGGGATAAAGGTGTTTGGGTCACTTTATTGATATCTGAACCAGATTCTTCAATTTTGTGACTGCATCGAAAGTGCATAGGATGCTGTGTATTGTCGAGTTTTCTTCAGCTGCATCGGCTCCTAGACCATTTCTCACCAATAAACCCCACCCCGACGCTGATGAAAGAGCCATTTGCGTTCTCCCAAGATGTAAAAGTCAATATAAATACAACCACCTTTGTATGAGACATTCAGGCTGCATGTGTAACCATTCAGCCTTTCCTGCTTTTTGGCTGAATAAGCATGTCAGCCCTATGCGGGGTTTTCTGCTTCAACAGCTCATCCTTGCACCAGATGTCGAACATCGATGATCATGATATCCAGGTTCTGAGGGACAAAAAAAGGATCTGCGTCTGAATGTCGTGAAGATGGCACCAATCCATCCGGAGTCAGGGGCGGGTAAGTCTAAGGCAAGGTGGGTTGCAGGCTTGTTGCTGACAATTGACAGGGCAGTTCTATGATATGTCGCCTCCAAAGCGATTAGGTAATGTTAAACTTTAGTCAAGTCTTCCTTTGACAACACTAACATGATCGACATAGGACGAGGAAGACATGCAATCGTGTTCGAATGTCGTGACCCAAGCGGTCGCATCTACGCTATGAAACTGTTCAAACAGGACAGCAGAGGCAGAATCAGTCGCGAACTCGAGATATTCCAATATCTAGGAAATGGTCCGAACATTATCAAATTTATCGACGCTGTCCAAGGTGAGGAGGTTCGCATCCCCGCCAAAGCCCCGGTCTTGAACTAAGATTGACCTTGTGAGGCATAGGGATCTGACATCGGCATAGTCCTCGAATACGTAGACAACACAGATTTTCGAACGCTGTATCCTCGTTTTGATGACCTTGATATTCGATATTATACCCGCGAGCTACTCAAAGCTTTGGAATTCGCCCATAGCCAAGGTGTCATGCATCGTGATGTTAGACCGCACAATGTAGTGATCGACCCCGAGAACAGAAAGGTGTGACCCATGGTGACCGAAATCTACGTATGTTGACGCATCATAGCTCCGACTGATAGGCTGGAGCTCAGCTGACTTTTACCGACCCGACGAAGACTTAGACGTTTGCGTGGGTCTTTGGAAGCCACCAGAGCTGCTTCTCAACTACGAACGATACGATTTCAGCATAGATATGTGGTGCTTCGGGTCTATGCTCGCAGCCATGATCTTCAGAAAGGAACCTTTCTTTCACGGAATTAGCCGTATTGATCAACTGAAGAAAATTGCCGAAGTCCTTGGCACAGACAAGCTGTACCGCTTTGCCAATGAATATGAGCTCGAGTTAGACGATGAGGAACTTGAAGCTCTGGGTCAACATCACGAGCAAGCTTGGACGGATTTTATCAACTCGGATAATGAGAGACTTGTATCTGATGAAGTGCTGAGTCTTATTGACCAGCTTCTACGATTTGACCCGAGGGCAAGTATTATCCAGTGAGAACTAGGTGGTAGTATATGCTAATATGCATTTCCAGGAACGGCTCACAGCTGCTGAAGCTCTAAGACATCCATACTATGAGCATCTGGGTTCTAGTTCACAAGCAGGTGGCCCAATGAGCAGGTGGGTTTAGAGCAGGCTAGAAAGAAAGGGAGCCGTCTATTGTTGGATGCATCCATATTATGTAACGGACCGCATGGGCTGGCTGAAGTTGCTGAACCTGCTGGAACACCACAATTTATCCATCGTGCACACCTCGCAGATCATATTTGTACTTAGTCCCGATCCCTTTAATTCCTCGAGGGGGACTAGAACTCCATCTCGCTTAATGACCCCGTTTTACAAAAATCCACCCAGGAACAAAAACTGCCAAAAAAGCGTGCGTCATCCGGAATTCGAATCCGAGCCTCAACTTTTCTCAATGGAAGAGTTGAATCCTAACCCCTAGACCAATGACGCTTTGGGCTGTGCTTTGATGAAAACACCCAGTTGTTAACCTGCACCATGACGACGGCCTGAGTTGGCTGATCCAGCAGTCTAGCGGCAAGCCGATTAATCCTTTAATCGAGAGATGTGGCCCATAGTACATAAATCAGAGTCTCAACTCATTGTTTCAGGGCATCTTTCCGAGTATTTTAAAAGTAACCCCTCTACTTGGTGTAAGACTTTTCCCTAATTTACATCATGAGTTCTGGTCTAACTGCTCCTCGGCCCGAACTTAGTAACATCTGAGAAATTGCGTGCAAGCAGTGAAACCGACAAGAAAAAAGAGTTTTGTTCAATTTTATTGTGTTTTAAAGCTATGATAGCGATTGGCGAAGGAAAGCCATGTCAAGGGAGGATCCGCGGCATGATTCACGATGGCATGGCTACTAGCCGTTTTGGCCGCTTTTTAAAGATCTGTTGCATCTTTATGAAAGGTACAACTAGAAAAGTCATGTTGACCACCTAGTAATTTGAAGTAACATAAAACCGTTCTACAGTACCAGAAGGCTGTATCTGCCATACGGCACAGAATCTCAATGTTACCAATTCGTCAAACGCTCCAATGATACGGGATTGTCTCAAATCTTGCGGTTGTGCCAATACCAAGCAGCCCATGTCAGTCTCGGCGCCAATGCAAGGGCGAGAACAGAACACTTTATTCATTTACACAGCCAAGACAGCCTATCAGAATCCGAGCAGAGAAATGCAATTGTCTTGGTGATTGTACGCCACGAATTGACCCCTTGATCTTTAACTACCCCCTCAACCGCATATCGCCCGCGTCCTGGCTGTTCTCCAACATTGAAATCTTGGTGAGTAAGGAAAATGAAGTTATTCAATACAAATAATCTCAATCCATCGATTTATTCCCATGCCGAGTGGTCGGAGAGGGTGCGGATGCTCGCACCGGGCAGGGAGCTTCAGCGGCATCGGAATCAGAAGAACCGCGGCCGCGCATTTCTCATCGCAATGGTGCTCATATTTCTGGTCTTCAACTGCAGGAATCTGGTATGAGTGCTTGTCACCGGACGACGCAGGAAAGTTAACGGACCTTAACATACAGGACATTAAGAATGCATCGAACCCTTCTCATCTACTAGCATCCTCACACCAGATCTCTAGACTTCACTACCTCGTTCCCGCAAACATCGCAAATCGTCACGTCTGCGCAGTGGTGACCTCGGCACTCGCCAACCGATACTCAATACCGACGATCCTGGGCTACAGAGGAGAGTCTTTTTTAGATGCACAAAAGGCACATATTGCGAAATTGCGCGCTATCAAAGATTACCTGCACCATGCGGGAGGAGCCTCTGACGATCTTGTCATCATTGTTGACGGATTCGATGTGATGGCTCAACTACCCGCAGAGGCGATGATACAACGATACTTTACCCTCATGGCCGAGGCAGACCAGCGGCTTGCTGATCAACGCGGCATCACCGTCAAGGAGCTTCATCGAACTGGGGTGAGGCAGACTCTTTTATGGGGAACGGATAAGGGATGCTGGCCCGAGAGCGATACAGATTCAAGGTGTTGGCTTGTTCCATTCTCAGCACAACCTCGACTCACATGGGGACTGAAAACGGACACTGGAGATCTTCAGTACAGCGACTCGCGCTTTCTGAACTCAGGTACAGTGATAGGCCCCCTCGGTGACCTTCGATATTTTATCGACGCGGCGTTATCACTGATCGAAGACGACTGGGATCAAAACTTCCTCTTTCGAGACTCTGATCAATTTTATATCGCGGCTTTATATGCGCGTCAGGAGTACCAGAGAATGCGAGATTTGAATGGCGGCGAGTTTCCTGAAGATGTTGCTGGAAGGGATACACCTAAGCCAAAGGGCGGCAGGGACGATGTGACGGAATATCACGTTGCAGTGGATTTCGACTATGCATTTACGCAGACAGAATGCCATAACTACAGGTTTGTCTCCCAAGTGCGGATTTGCTGTTGTTGACTGACACGAAAAGGTTCATCCATAAACTTCAATACGACAATTATGACATGACGGCTACGATGAAGCACGATGCGCTGGACGAAGGATCAAGATTCCGTCCATACAAGATTCAAATGCCTGCATCGATCTATCAGTCATTTCACAGAGTGTATGACTCGCTACCAGCGGAAGACCGACCGGCAATGTCAGGGCGCAACTGGATTCGCAGTCTTCGACTTGGCACAAACATCGGTACACGAGTCATCTTTGCCTTCTATCACAACACATGCGACAAAGCCGGCTTCGTCAACACATTTCACGACGCGTGGTTCTATCCTCTAATCAGACCTCTTCTTCGAGCCGCCGTCAGAGCGACTCAGCACCAACACCCAATCAGTGCAGAACCTATCGATGGAAGAGTTTGGGTGGCTGCAAGACAATATCCGAAACGTGATCTTGATGAGTACGGAGGAGTCTTTACGGATGCGCCAGGGGAGGAGTTTATACCACTGCAGACACTTTGCAGTGAGGATATTGAATCTGCTATTGGGAAAGATACTGATTATCCGTTGAGCAGACTCTGATGGATTGGGATTGATGTAATGAGTTTGGATGATTCATGAGCGTGTTGTTTTCACAGCCGGCGTGTTATTACACTGCGTCATTCTGCAAGCGGAGTAGACGAACTAAATGATATTCGATGTCCATGACTTTCATAAATAAGGGCCCTTTATAGCGAACGAGTTTCCTGAATGCTCCCTAGTCCTCCTTATCAACCCAATCGGGGTCGATGTCGATATCATCACCATCCAGACTTTCCTTTCCACTCTTGACGAGCTCAGCCCACATAGTGGCCTGCAATTTCTCAGCAAAAACATCTTCTCCTGGTATGCTGTAGTCAAGGTCTCGACCGCAGTGGATCATAGCCATGAATCCCTTCTTTGCAACTTGCGCAATGGAAGTATCGGGGTGATGGCTAAGCTTCTGAAAGCGACGTCTCCAAAACAACCACCGTGCCATGATGAATTCAGCTTTATCAGCACCTTGAACCTGCGCAAGGGGCCCAAGATTCAGTGAAGACTGTTGCGGCTGCTGTTCGTCTGCTCTGAGAACGCAGTCCCTGAGAAGTGAGTGAGGACACAGTTCCATCCACACAACAGCGCCAGGAAGAAACTTGGCAGTGTTCTCATTGCTGGTCTCAAGGGCCTTGCGCATATACCATAGCCCTGTTGAGGAGATCTGATCCTCGCATATACCAGCAGCCAAGGCCTTGGCAGAGAAAGTAGCAAGGCTCCGTAGCTCAACCTCTGAACCTTCTTTCACTAGCTCTTCCCAGAATGTCTTTAAACTCTCTGCAAAGCCATAAGATTCCCAGTTTCCTGCGATATTCTGTCCAGTGTAAAGCCCTTTATACACGAGATCAAACTGTCTTGTCCACAATAGAAGAAGGACAAGGCGATCCTGGAACACGCTGTCGCTATCCATAGCGGTGCTGGCTTTGAAGAACATATACCACAAGACGTCAAGATTCTGCTGTACCGTAGAGAAGTCTGCCACAGGTCTTTTGAGTGGCTCTTTTATGAAGTGAAAGGCAAATCTCTTGATAGATATGAGAAGGTCTTGCTTGTCTTTGTCAGTTGCTATGTCTTGAAGATCTTTTGCAAAGCCTTTCAAGACTTCATCTCTAAAGCGTGCGTCGTGATCGACCTGAGAGTCAGCCTGAGATGAAGCCATAACGAGTTATGAGATTAAAAGTGAAATTTCTTAAACGCAATATGCGATAGTGAGATAGGTGTATCATGTGAACAGATTCATGATGGAGATGGAAAGACAAGTGAGATGGTTTTTATATTCCTAAGTATTTGGAACTGCCTGAGGCAACAACTCTAGGCAACAATCGGAAAAGAATTTCTTGGAATACCATGTAATGAAACCATTTGCTTTATTTTTGCAACTTCTTTACTATGAACATTCTGAAATTAAAGCGTACCTCGTATGGTTGGCGTTGAAATGGTGGGGGTTGGACATCGTGGAGAAATGCAGTCATTGGTCAATCTACACGACGCGATTTGACGAGTCTGATTGGTGTAAGATATGATAAGATAAAGAGATAATAGAAGCATCATAATTTCAACGAGTTGGATAAGCTGCCTTCGTTCGAGGACTCTTTGTGACTCCAGAATTGCAAATATACATTCTCTACTGTAAAAGCCTCGACTTTGTCTTGCTTCTATACACGCTGATAATATGCGTGCCCAGCATCCATATCATTCTCTTAGCCTATTGGACTAGCAGAGTAAACTCGACAAACTTTCGGCTATTCGCGATGCCTCCGTCTCAGGATGCGGTTTCTACACTTCTCAAGATGAGAACGAGAGAGATGACCGAGAGTTTTGCTGTTGAGAGGTATACAAGCCATTTAAGCCGTCAAGTACGCTAGTTTGCTGTCGAAACGGTGCTGCACTATTCTGAACATGCATAGAGGGACGCTTAAACGCCAATGCAGAGTTTCTTGTCGCTTTATATGAACTTAAGCATATTGGCTGGAAATAAATCCGTCAGGACTGTATCGATTGCCAAGGGATAGATGGTTATCGTGGGGCTATTCCTTCTCTAGCCACCCGCAACCATAGTGGCACTGTATCTTGCTGAGCGGCGGTGGTCTCCTCTTCCCATGCTCCTCACAATCGAAAGAGTCATCCTCACAAGAATTTTGGATGCGTTCATAAAGATCAAGGAAAGATTGAATTTGCGCCGGTGTGTAGCCCTGGACAGGGAGACCCAGAAAGAATGCTGTGTCATCCATCCTCGGAACGCTTTCGGGCCTCCCAGCAGCGGTTAAGACCTCTGGCTTAACGAGAAAGTAGAGGTGTCTGATGGACTCGAAGAAGGACAAGATGAACAATTTGACGTATTACACCGTCATGTGTTCCCCGTATGGAACTCTCAATGCCTTCGCTAGATCTTTCACACATGGATAGTCTCTGCCGAATGGCAACATGCTGAAAGGAGGATACGATCTTTTTGAAAGACGGTAAGAGGTGATGTGCATCCTGGGTTTGGCTTTGAGAGGTGCCATGTTTCTGGAGGGATCCTGATATCGTCTCGATGCATAAAGTATCGTATGCGGGATTGCACCTTATAACTCGACAACAAGGATGGGGGCTCATGACATTACATAGAAGGATAGTTTCAGGATACCTCAAGAGATAGACCTTGCGAGCATCACAGCAAGCCAAGCTACGGCTGTGTGATTCTGTACACGTATCCGTATCACGTCCCCGAGTCGCAAAAAGTCCGTCTTCTATACATATAGTAGGCCCAGATAGGCTGGAAAGACGATCGAGACTGAGTTTAACAAGGAGGTAAACACTTATGCGCCTGGACGTTGCATCGAAGGCAGCTTCCCATATCTTGAGTTGGAGCTCTGGCGGAAGCTCAGAAAAAAGATGAAATGAGGTTGACTCCGCTGGAGACTCGGTTTTCGGTCCATAATGGTTGGTGGGAAATTGATCCGTAGCTGACATGAAAATGTTAAGCTGAAAGTTAAAAAACAAGTCGCAGTCTTGGGGAGAGGTGAGTATTTATAGGTCTAGTGAGAAGTCAAACTTGGTCCGCTAATTTAGTTTTCTAGGGTTAAAGTGGTTTGCTGAAGTATATTTATTTTCTTATCTAAGTTCTGTGTGTGATCATAAGCTCTTAGCCACAGGTCTCAACTGCGAATAACACATCTAGCTCACAGTTTAGACATTATGCCACAATGCCTAACCAATTTCTAAACCTGCAGGGCAAATCAGACAGAAATTGCAATATGAAAAAGACTTTAGACACCTAGTACATAAGAAAGAGAATGGCAATTTTTGCCATAATGAGAGCCTCTCATAACAAGCGTCATTCCTCAGCTCTTAGTTTTTGTTTGGGGGTATCCGACGAAAGATAAGTCTGGGCGAACACCTCATCTGAAGATCAGTGTTGATGTTAACAAGAAAATTCATGTTAAAGGCAAGGGTAGCAAGAGCTAATAGGCTGACGACATCCCTGGGGACAGCACCGGTGTTTCCATTGTGGAAATAGTTCCAAAGAGGTACCCAGTTTGCATTGCCCGCGACTGTCTGGCTTCTAGGGTTTGTGCTCTGGATAATGCTCGGGGAGCTTGAAGGATTTTGGATGATAGTCGTGCCGTTCGCGAAATGGGTGTCGAGATATCAGACAGTTGCATCGTCTTGAGCCACAAAAGCGAAATCATTCCCCTTAAGCAAGGCATCCATGGCCAAAGAATACTTGGGCCCAGTAAGGGTGGAATATATCATTACTCCATCTAAGTTCCCTAATTTCCCATATTCGCCAACATAGAAGATATATGGTCGCCCCTGGTAGTCAATCCTGCAAGGGCTGCTCCTGGTGGAAAGGCCTATGCCGCTGTTGAAGCCCTTTTGATTTGACCATGTTATCCCATTCGTAGTAGTGGTATACCAAACACCATTGCTGCCGCTCCCGCTCCGTAGAAGAGTCAAAGCTCTTTGGTCGTCAGAGATGAAAACGGCAGGGCTTGCGCGATCCATAAAGTTACCTCCAATGTTAGAGGTAACCGGACTGACCTTGGTCCAGGCATTGCCGTTAAAGGTCGTCATCCACGTACCATTCTGACCAGAACTGTTGGAGAATAAATAAAGCAATCCGTTGAATGCAATCATGGCCGGAGTTGTCTGGCTTCGAATGGATAGTCCGCCTGCAATGACGTTGCTTGGTGGGACAAATTTCCCACTTGCTTTACTCCAGTACGTATACCTCAAAATACCATTAGCTGCAGACGTGTTCCAAACGACATACAAAGTGTCCTGATAAACAGCCGCAGACGGACTTGTGCCAGGTTCGAATGTCTCAGAAATTGGTGAACCCATGTCATCATCGAGACAACTGATGCTAGCCCAAGTTACCCCATTCACGGAGTATGTCCAGAAGGTGCCGTTATTTCCAGGCCCATTGTAGAACACCCAAATCATACCGTCGAAAACAACGGCACAGGGGCTTGTGTAGTTCGCCAAGCTCATGCTTGCCGCGCCGCTATAAAGGCATGATGAAGGTCCGGCCCATTGCGCAGTTCTGGGTGATGTCCCTGGGCCGACGCCATATCAAGCACCATTCTCGCCTACACCTGAATAGAAGACATAAAGTTTGTTCTTGAATACGACAGAGGATAGGCCAGTGTTTTTGTAAACACCAAACCCCCTCAGACAAAATCTTAGACGTGGGATTGAAAGACATGATGCTCTTTGTTAAAATGAGGTACGAAGTGATGCTGGAAGGGAAGTGGCTGGTGAATCATGATGAGATGCTTTTTTGGGGGGTTAAATATGTTGAAGTGAGTGATAGATCATCGAATAGGGGCTACATAACTCCAAACGATTGCGAAGACTGGAAGATATGTGATATCTTTCTTGGAATTGCATGAATCACATTTTACTGCAAACATGGGCCGATTCGACATTCAGCCAGCCACAGTTCTTAAATAGTCGAACAGTAAAACCGCCTCTGAAAGCCCAGAACTTCTTTCAACCAGCCGCAAGACCCTTCATTTGGTGGGTAGGAAACAGCGATTCAGCTTTAGAGACATTTCAAAGCCTCTCATTGGCGATATAAGTTCATTACATGCGGCTAGTGATTCAGAACGCCAGCAAATCAACAAGTTTACCAATACTGTTGCTATTATCAAAATCTGGAAGAACATGGAATCATCCCACTTATTATCGCTATAGACAAAAACAACCCCATAAGTTACACGAAATAAAAGGAAACATCGGTAAGAGATCGACAGTCCGATCCTATTGACCAATATTTCTCATCTCATCTCATGAAACCATCAATTGCCTCTTCTAGAAGTTTCACCATCTCATCAGGTTTACTCAGCATCGGAAAATCACCACTATCAATATCCACTTTCGTCAAATTTGCACCAAGCTTTTCCGCACCTCGAACAAGCATCTTCTGCGCTTCATAGGGGAAAGCTCTATCCTTCTTGGTCATGATGAGCCAGATAGGCACATCCCTCCATCCTTCGTACGTCGCTTCATATCCGTGCGTCGAAGCTGTCAAGGCGTGTTTGGTGAGCTTTCCGACCCAGTATCTGGCCTCTTCTTCGGGAAGGTCGTGGTAGAATATCTCGATTGGGTCGACATTCAAGGTCATCATATTGTTCTCATAGTCGGTTTCCCAAGTTGGCGGGGGTCTACCGCCGAGAGCGTCTAGGAAGGATGCGCCTTCACGGACGAAACCAGTTGAAACCATGAAAAGCCCAATCACACGACCAGTCTTTGCACCTGTGTCGGCAGATTCGTTGGTGAAGCCTTTCATGGCACTTTGTCCCACCGGCCCACCAAAGGCATGCACTGACAGAATGACATCAAGTCCTTGCGACGTCTCGCCTGCTATAGCATCGGCAACAGCTTTCACGTCATGCGAGTAATTAACATCGGTACTCGTTGATTGGTTTGTCGGAAGTGCGACGGGAATACACTTGAAGCCGTTAGCCTCCATGGCGGACATGATCTTTCCCCAGCATTCGGGGGTATGCCATGCGCCAGGCACGAAAATGAGGCTCGGCTTTTGGGCCATGTTGTAGAGTGATTGGACGATAGTAGCTCAGGATTCAGTGAGGAGGGGGATAAGGGGTTGAGGATGTGTAGTCGGCTTACGGTCTATCTCAAATCGTGGCTGGATAAAGGTAGCGGGGTTTGTCATTAGCTCGTTTATTCCCCTCGAAAAGGGTTAGTTGCTGACAGGCTGAACACCATTCACGTCCACTCAAGAGTGACTCTGGAGTTGATAGTGGAGACTCCATTTCTTTGCCACGACGTTAGTGATCTATCTTCTGACGCCTCTATGTACGTGATAAAATGTTAGTATGATAGCTTCGGTGGGTCCAGACTCTCACGACCAAATCGCTCATCCTGTACCAACAATCATTAAACCCTGTGAGTGGCTTCCCCAATACGTCGTCAACGCCTCTCTATGAAGCAAAACTCCTCCCTCATTTCACAAAAGGCCATAACTCATCAGCCCATCGTCGATCATCTTCCCTGAGGCTTTCCCCAGAACAAGCTCAAGCCGGTCAGCATGAGTACAATGACAAGGACACGGAGACCCCACACTAGGAGTAAGACCGGGTGTTTGACTTGTCGAAAGCGTCGCGTGCGCTGCGATGGTGGAAAACCAACCTGGTAAGTCGGAGTTTGTCATCCAATTTCGACAAGTAGTCGAGAATAGTGCATGAGTTTTGTAGTGCGTTGTGAAACTGACGAACGCAGTACCCGATGTGTAGGTGCAGGGCGGATATGCGAGTTTGCTGATCCTAGCATCCCACTTCGAGACCGCAAAGCCATCTGTCTTCCTGGCGAACAGCAACCCTGGATTATAAACCAGGACGTACCTCCAGTGACTCTAATTGCTGATTCCCTGTTTGGGAAGTCAGTGGAGCCTTTCGACTGTTTAGGATTGGATATGACTCTCCGCTCCAGAGAATTACTTCACTATTGTAAGCGCAAGCCTTGCAGCATAGGCCAGCGACGCCATTGACAAACCTAGTTCATCATAGCCACGACAGTGCCGATTTGGTACTTAGTAAAGCCTCGAGAAATATGTACGTACCTTGTCGTTCCTGATCCGGTCCAGGCTTATGGGTGACATCTCTAGCTTTTCTTCTGTCGCTCAGCATCCCGATGCCCTGAGGGATACCCTTCTTGTGGCAGGCCTGCACTACGCATGGACTGTCGGTGATCTGGAAACATACAAAGCAACATTCTTGTTCCACAAAGTCTCAACGATACAAGTCTTGAACCGATGGCTGCAGAACATACACCAGCCAGGGTTGATGACCTTCATTCGACATGTTTCAATTCTCTGCTTCATCGAGGTATATGTCTCACCAACCAAAGCTTCATAACCGCTGACAATTGAAAGGCGTCGTATGGTAACGTACGCGATACAGAAGCTCATATTAATGGCCTTATCGACGCTGTTCACCTTCTCAGTCCATTAGATGATGACTTTGGCAATCGGGCGGAACTTGAAGAAGAGCTTGCCAATCGCTATCTCTTGCTGTAAGTATCCTTCATCGATGGATAGTCTCTTTGATACTTACCTTTCCAGCACGTATTATGCCTATCAAGGCTTTAAGGCCAGGATATTGGGAAGCGAATCTTTGCAGAACCTATTCCGTCAGAACAACACCGCAGAGTTCTCCACGTTCGTGTCACAGATTTATCTCTGGAAGACTCAGAATATCGGTCATCTCGAAATGCGCCTCAACGCCATGAAGCTGTTACCATTCTTCTTCGCAGCCCTTCCCTCGTCAACACAATTCCATAATATTGACGCATCTCCTCTCGTAGACTGTCTTAAACATGTTACTACTTCAACGCAGACAGTCAGGGAAGACCGTTATAAATGCGATCCAAGCTGGGAATGGATCGAGGGATCAGACTCTCGACTTCTTTGCGCTACTATTGGCTCCCATTTCTCATCTCTCTTCCACGATGACATGTTTTCATCAGCACATTCCTCTAAATATAGCATTTCTTGGTCCGGTATGTGCGCTGCCTCGAGCTTGTATATGCACAGCGTCCTGGAGCTCTGGAACGGTGGCGAGCCCATGGACGCTCGTCTCTTCCGAAGATTTCTTTCGATTTTAAATCGAGATCTCAGCCAAACGTTTAGCACATTGGGACTTAACGACTCGACGGACTTTTGGTTTTGGAGAGCGTTCTTGGGAGCGTATAGCATTGCTAAACAGCAAGCGCATGGGCGTGACCCGTTTCTGGATGACCATCAAAGAGCTTTCGCTGGCTATGTTGAGGCTTGGAAGAGTGTTACTAGCTTGACACTTTGGGAAGAAGCGCATGCCTCTTTGGTGTCAACCGCATGGCCTGCTATTATGAATTATGAGACAGGGCGAAGTGTTTGGATAAGTGCAATCGAGTATACAACAAGTTAAGGATTTAAGTTGTAGCTGCTTTAAAGCTGTACAGTATTGTATGACTAAATCACAACTCAAATTTTGTTGGAGCGGTCACGAAATCGTAAAAACTCGAGTTTGATCTCTCTAACCGTTCCTGGCAGACCTGACTCCGCGATTACCTGACGTCTACATCCCGCTCACTTCCCAGAGTGTCGACGAGCCAAACCTTTTAATTTGACTGGATTTCTTCAAACGGCTTGCCAGTGTGTTTTCTTCTCAATCCACCGCCAAAGACAAGACCCGATTTTGCTCTATTCTGGGAGTAATATAGTGCCCTCAGTTACTAGCGTTGCAGGTCCTGAGAGGGATATACTGGTAACTCTATCTCCAGTCTTGTCCAGCGCAATGTCAACAATGATACTGCTGTCACGTCCAATCTCCTGTCCCTGGTCAAGATAGAATCTATATATACCACCTGCATCTCCTTGCTGAAGCGCGAGATAGGCGCCTAGAGCACACGAGCCACTTCCACAGGCGGGGTCTTCGAGGCCAATTGCAACCATACGAATTCTGAGCTGTTGCGCCTTCTTGCCCTCCTCCACGTAATGATCCGACAGCACTTGATAGTACATCACCCCAGTGAAAGAGGGTGCCCAACCCTCATCAAGTTCTGTAACCTGACTAGGGCCTGCAGCAATGGCGGCGAACAGGCCGGGCTGATTGGTAAAGTCGACCAGTGTGTAGGTGACGCCTTTGACAATAGACACGCATGGATAGCTCTGTTCAATTGACAATTCCCGGGTCTTCAAGCTTGGCTGGGAGTCGAGAATGCTATGTTTACTAGTAGGGCGGGAATGAATATGGATATTGTATGGCACGTCGGCCGCAACAGTTTCTCGAGTCGGATCATAGCGCACTACAACTGGTCCAGCCTTTGTCCAAAGAGTGGCCTCTGAGGAGGCAGTACGGTCTACAGCGAGACCAGGAAGTAGCTGTCGAAATAGCACATGGCCAGTGCCGATGACAGGATGGCCGGCAAAGTCCATCTCGTTCACAGGAGTAAAGATGTTGATAGACATCTCCCCGTCCATGTTTCGACGCAAAAAGACGGTTTCGGAGAAGTTGAATTCCCGGGCAATCATCTGCATATGGGCGGGCGGTAGCGCATCACCTTGAACCTCGACAACAGCCACTTGGTTTCCTTTATATCTGGCGTTAACAATAAGTCAGTAATTATTGGGTTAAATTCTCGGGGCAGCCACAGTATCATGGCTGTCGGCATCACCTTTTTCTTGTGAAAACATCAAGCGTCACTTTTGAGCATGTTAACATTGAGCTCTTGCCACAAAGAACGGGAGAAGAGGGAAGTTGTTGGGTTAAGACCTCGCCATAGGGAATGGTAAAGTCTGGCAAGCTTATCTGGGTATTCATTTACCGTAGGAAGTCTTCTTGGAAGCCATCTTGCGGATCAGCGTCAATCGACGAGGGCTGTTCAAAGAGAGCGGGAAAGCGAATGAAGGAAGCAAACAACGTTGAATAGCTTAAGGCGCATCGAATACAGCTGATACATCGAGTAGAAGAGAGTCAGGCAGCTTTTACATTGAGAGGCCCAGGCTGAAGTGGGCTGGGCTGCTACAATACATGAGTGAATTCCGATTATTCCGCTTCGGCGAATTGCATTTTTTGGTTCTCATGGCGCATGGCTCGTGGCGTAGGGCGCAAGGCGTAGGGCGTAGGGTCCTAGGGCGTGTGCTGAGAGGAGAGAGTGGATGAGTGAGGTGGGGCGGACTTGAACACTGGTGTATTAGCATCTACGCTCTCTATCTATTGATCGTTTGCTTCATCAATAAGGACAGAGTAGCATTAATACTGCTAGTTATTCGAGGGACGGAATAAGGCAAGGGCTAGAAACAAAGTGCACATCCAAAGCTGATGTATGTATTGCAATGATAGTGTACCAAAATGACCCAGATCACAAGCCTTCCGAATACCAGTTGCTATTCTACAACATCTTGCTGTAACAGGATCCAACAGCCATAACAAGCTCATCTACGCTACTCGGGCTATGTGAAAAGGATGTCACAAAGCGAACCGTTCCCGGTTCCCAGCGATCGTCGTAAAACTGATAGCCCTGGCAAAGCAATTCCTTTATTACAGCTGGAGCCAGGCGGCAGAAAAGTATGTTGGCTTCTGGATCTTGCAAAACCTCAGGCCCAGGAACACTCCGTAGGCCAGAAGCCAGCCGTAGAGCCAAACCATTCGCGTGACGGGCATTTCGCAGCCATAATCCGTCCGCAAGGTAGGCTTCAATCTGGGCAGTGTGAAAGCGCATCTTTGACGCCAGCTGGCCAGCTCGCTTCTGCCGAAAGGCCAGCTCAGATGCCAAGGCAGGATCGAAAGAGATGACGATGTCGACTGTCATTGCGCCGTTCTTTGTCAAGCCAAAAGAGAGAACGTCGACACCGGCCTTCCAGGTCATCTCCGCTGGAGATGCCTCAAGGTGAACTAATGCATTGGCAAAACGCGCTCCGTCCATATGCACGCGTAACCCTGTATCTTTGGCTATAGTACACAGCTCGTGGAGTTCTGCGATTGTGTAGACACTGCCGGTTTCGGTAGGCTGACTGATACTTACGACAGATGGTTGGACGCTATGAACGTCACCAGCCTTCCGGCGAACAGCAGCTCGCAGAGACTGAGGATCGATCTTGCTATTGCTTCCAGGCACAGTAACAAGTTTAGAGCCCCCTGTGAAAGCTTCTGGAGCACCGCACTCGTCGTTGTTGATGTGGCTATCCGGGTGACAAAGAATACTGCCCCACGGTTTGACAAGCGAGGCCAAGCCGATACAGTTCGCGGCTGTTCCGCTCGAAACTGGGAAGACGTCGACTTCTTTTTCGAATATTTCCTGCAGCCTTTGACGAGCGGCGCCTGTGGCGGTATCGTTTCCATATGGCGGAACATGTCCAGTAGCCGCAGCGACGATCGCTTGCACAATTTCCGGTGATGCACCGGCTATGTTATCACTCATAAAGGAGCGACACGGGTTTGGGATAAAAGAACCCATAGCGAAAGTGCAGCAAAGAAGCAAACGATTATAGGTAGTTGAGAGAGTATGCTTTGGAACAGCTATAGACAATGCAGGAAGAAACGACAGAAGATTAGATAAAAGAAGTGAGAAAATGAATTATAAAGCCGACCCAGGACAAGAAGTAGTTGGTTCTGGAACCATTGTCTTTAAAAACTGGTGTGTTCGACCATGTTATTGCAGTGTCAGCGATGGCGTGCAAAGAGGGGGTGTGAATGAAGAGAAAAAAGTTCGCTTGGCCCACAGAAAAGGGCGTTGCGGCTTTTGCCACATCCTGGCCGACCTGAGTTATTGCGGCAAATCCGGTTGCTCCTTGGGCGTCCCTCGATAATGAAAATGCATATCATAAGTCACCATGAGTCCTGGGCGGTAAGACAGTTATTTATTTCCTATATAGCCCCAGATCGCCGACATGGCCTCAATCTGTATGCCTGATATACCCATCTGCGTTTAGAAACATTCGTCATCAGTATCTTCGTGTATCAGAGTATATACCCACACTATGGAAACAGTGAGTTCTCGATGAGTCTCTGATTAGCGGAAATGTCATATTAACCTGTTGATAGTTTGGGCATACTGAAGCGATCTATCATCGTGATGAGAATCAACACGTCCTGGAGGCGACCATCCTGGCCAGTATCCCATTTGCTCAATGGGACGATGCTGTCAAGAAAGTGTTCAAAGATGCTTCTGAGGATCTTTTTCTCGTCATCACCAATTCTACGATTTTCTATGCCAAGGGCGGCGGTCAACCGAGCGATACAGGCACCATGACCTCCCGCGACCAAGCGTCAATCTTCACCGTTACGTCTGTACAAAAGCTCCCATCCGGAACGATCATGCATCTTGGCACATACACTGGTGTCCCTTTCGAGGAACAGACGCTCGTGACTCAGGAGATAAATAAGGATGCGCGGAAGCTTCATTCACAAATCCATGATGCTGGTCACATTCTCGCTTCGGCTGTTCGAAGACTGGGAATACCGGATTTGCGAGAGATCAAAGCCCAGCACTACCCCGGCACTGCATTTGTTGACTTCCAAGGGACCATCCCGGGAGATAAGAAGGAGGAGATTGAGCGACTTGCGAATCAGATAGTCGATGACGATCGTTCAATAAACGTTCACTGGTGGTCAAGAGAGGAGCTCAGAGCCAAGTCTTGGACAATGCCAGAGGACTCTGATGGTCAAGATGGACTGGTAAGAGCTGTGGAGATTGATGGCGAGGGTGCTTATATGTGCGGCGGAACCCATGTGAGAAGCACAGCCTTAGTAGGAAAGATTAAAGTAAGGAAGGTGAAGAGGCAGCAAGGCACAACAAGAGTCTCTTATGAGCTGATCTGATTAGATTTGACTGTGTATTTAGAGCATCATAGGCTGTCACTTTATTATAGTTTTCAGGAAGCGAGAGAGTATGAGAAATAAGTGTCAAAACTAAAGAATAGGTAGGTCCTAAACAATAGCAAGTGACAGATATTCAAGTTCAATCTCGCCTCATGCAGTAAAAACTCAGGCTAGGCTATCTCGACGGTCTGCTGAGTCCTCAAGATGTTGGTTACGAAAACGAGACAGCCACTCTTCGTTGTCGGCGACCGTATCATCCAGCGGGTCTACCGTGCCGAATTGTAGCCTCCTAGCTTCATCCTGAAACATTTTATCAGTAGGGATAACACCGAGCCTCATCTGATGCTGCGCAAAGCGACCAAGGTGGAAAGCAAACAGTTCAGGAAAAGATTTATCCTGGAGGGGCATTGTAGGTTCTCCCGACTCGTGTGGCAGCTCCAAGCCGTTCCAAGCTTCGAAACTTTCCTCGGCAGACTTTGTTATCTGCTGTACATGCTCTGCTGATGTCGGGTTTGGAGCGGCCGCCGAGAATGGAGCGTAGGTCCTTGACTCAGAGGCAATTAAATACGGAGGAATTGCATTCGTGACCTGGGCCGCGATTCCGGGCTCAAAGCCGTGATCTCCTCTCCAATCTTCCATCGTCTTGCCCTTGCGAAAATGTAACACTAAGTGATCTATGCGCTCTTGCCAAGATTCCATACGTAAATCACAGAAGCCGCAGTTGGATGCTACTGGTGGCCCCTCGACCCTCCATGACTCTATCGGCGGAGGGTCCTGCACATGGTGTATACACCTTAGGTGCTGAATCAGGTGATCCTTCCGGCTATAAATCTGGGCTTGTCTGCATAGATTACTGTCATGGTCTTCAATATGTGTCGGTGTCGGATCCATAAGACCGCAGTACGCACAGCTGCTGAGTCCGGTGGTGGCCGATATCACAACGCTACCGTATGGCGCGCATCGCCATCCCTGGATACTGAGATGCAGCGACTGCTCGTGGCGTGCCCAGTCAAACTTACTTTTGAATGAGTCGCAACAGAATGTACAAGGGAATTTTCTCTTCTCCATTGTTTTGCATTTTGCTGCATTCGGTCGGGTTCGTTTCGATACGCGGCCACGTCGAGCTACAGAGCTTGCAGAAGTGGCAGAGCCAGAGGACAAGCTTGAACCGCTAGTAAAGCTCACTGTTGAGCCCGCTCGGACGTCCATCTGGCGGCTCGTCAGGCTACCTGTACTCGTTGATGCCGGAACCCGAAGCGGGTTATTCCTTAACGCGTCTGCAATGGCTACTAACGAAGCTGCCTCAGTCTCTGGAGGCGAGTTTCGCCATCGCTGTATCGGGTCCATTGCACTGTCTACCAAAGTGCCGGAGCCTGATATTTGTATTGGGCTGGATCCTGGAACCATTGGCAGGGCCGGGCTACGGAGGTATCGACTTCTTCGGCGCGGAAGGCAATTTGGCTGTATCTGGACACTGGGCGAGTGCTGGAGTGCCCTGGCGGCGCCCTGACCTAATTCCCATGTCGGCGACACATCGTCTAGACCGGATTGGAGGTGATGCGGCCAGATATCATGGTTCTGACCTTGCAGAGACCAGGGCGACGGCAATGCTTGCCAGGACCAGTCGAGAGCTTGGGTCGGATTCTCTAATGGGACCGTGGTAGCATCGGTTGATGGTTGGCCGAGATCTTGTGGCTGCCAAGAGAAAAGGGCTTGACCTTGAAGATCACCACCGTCTTGTTGAAGTGTTGGAAAGGAGTGTTGGGTTACATCGGTTATGTTTTCATGTTCCGTTGCAAGTCCAATTTGGGCATATGTAAGTTCAGAGGACGTTAAGACTGTTGATACGTATCAGCGCTGCATCATCAAGTACTTCAGATGAGCCTACGGTGAGTGTCGCCTTCGCCATGGCCTGTAAATTGCGGTATTTCCACAGTCTTTGTCGGCTGGTCAGTCGGCTCCATGAGGTTATCTGTCAGTTGGTGTACTATTAAGCCAGGTAATGTTGAGGCGTGGATCTGCCGTCTGCACAAACCGGATGATGGGTTTTGATGTTGTTGAGTGAATTGATTGGCTTTGTGATGCCCTCATTATATGATTGGAGCGGGCCTCGGAGCTGTATTAACCCGCCGCGCGCCGCTTACCCATCGACGAATGTCACTAAAGATGAAAGGACGAAGTAGAAACAAGGGCGATTTACACTGTTTCATGCGATTTTTGCTCTAGCTACTGCTTGCACCCTCTCCAAGAGGCGTTGTTCCCCCGTTTCCGCTCCCAAAACACGATACACTTGGTTCAAAACGCAGTCTGTCCAGTCTCCGACCCACCAGACGCCGCGCAAGTGTCGGAATAAGACACTGAAGCAAGCAAAAAGCGCGAGCGCAATCGGTCTTCGCGCTCGGAGCAGAGTCATAAACTCATCTGAGACGTCGAAGAGTCAAGAAAAGATATCAGTATTCTGGACTCATTCTGCTGGTTGGTGATAGACCGCGTTGAAGGATCTCCAGATCACATGTATGGCGCCCTCATAAGCGGTGAGTTCCGTTGGTTCCGTGACCCGGCCCTGAATTTCTGCTTGCAGGTCGGTGAGGGCCTTGATCTCGACTGCGTCCGTCGCCAACAGCTCGGCGAGCCGACGGACACGCTGTCTGCCAATCTCGATCATGGGCGCGAGCGGGCCTAATTCTAATGACGTTGCGTCAGGAGGCAGGATGAACGTCCTTGTACCTCGAAATAAGAAGACCCATTCTAAGAAGTCTTCGTCGATCTCCATAGCTGAACATCTCGCTGTGTCTCCACAGCGGCTCCTCGCGAGTGAGAAGTAACATGTCAGTGCCGAGAACAGGAAGATCGCGGCGTGGTTCTCTGTTGAGACCTTCTGCATCTCCGCCTTGGCGCCGGCAAGCGCTGTTTGATACAGCTCGATGCCTCGTAACCAGTGGACATGCCACTCGTTTGGCCTCAGATACGAAAGGTGTAGCGACGCCAGAGCTAAGATGGCGTCCATCAGGAAACGAAAACGGAAACCTATCTTGGGGACATCTACCTCCCATACTGCCTGTAGAGTCACGTTTGAGTGTAAAGTCGGCGCCGTCACAGTAGTAAAGTGATGCAGTAACATCATGTGCCTAGTGCTGAAGATGATGAGATCATCTGCTTCAGTGCCATGCGTTTCGGCCTGGGGCGCACTTGGGCCATTGGTAGGCGCAGTGGAAGTATGTTTCATCCATTTGTAGACGCAGGATGCACCGTGAATCTTGCAATTTCGGCATTGCGGCTTTCCTTCATCACACTAGCCCAGACACATCCGAATTAGTTAGAGACCTAGGGAAGCCTGTTTGAACTGCTCTGACCTTGATCCTCCTGCGTTTGCACGTTCCGCTCAAAGGCATCTATCGTATAGGAAGGGAGCCGAACAGCCGATAATGTAACGTCTCGAAGAAATCATTTGTAATCACCGAAACTCTAAAATATTCACCTCCTGGGAACATGGGAAAATACAAATCTATAGGTACTTAAACCTGGGTCTCGGCCCTCCAACAGCTGTTCTGATGCCTTAAGAACGAAGTACGCACACCTTTTCAACCAAATTCCTATCCCATTCAGCTCCATTCCTAAAAGCAACCCTGGGGTTCCAACTTATCATGTCTTCTCTCACGTTCCACGATTACCACCATCCTACTCCCGCAGAGAGGCATGGCGACCCTGACCAATATTCTCAAGAAAGCCCAGGAGCATGCCGACGCCGCCTCGTTCCCCTCTGCGAGGCTGTTTGGCGATATGCAGCCGCTGTCCTTCCAGGTTAATACAGCTTGCAACACTGCCAGAAAAGCTGTCCGACATCTGACCTGTGTGGAGTTCGAGGGTTGGGAAGATAGGGACAAAACGCTGGACTGGCTGATCGCTCGATGCGAGAATACGGCCGTCCAGCTTAGGTGTATCGATTCTAAGCAGGTGGAGGGCAAAGAGGCTGTGATGGTGGAGTTGAGTTTTGGGTCAGCGGGAACGAAGCACCTGACGGGCAAGGATTACGTCTTGACCTACGTTCTGCCAAACTTCTTCTTTCATCTCCAGTCGGCGTATGCCATTCTGCGTATGAATGGGTGTTCCTCTAGGAAAGGCAGACTACTTGGGGCCGTTTATGTCCCTGGAAGCTTGAATAGTACAATTGGCTAGCTACACGTGAAAGGTCGGGAGACGTGTTCTCTGCACGTCAGATGGCAAGACTGCGGATTTAACTTAACACATGCCACGAGCGAAACTGTCAGAGGATGGACTGCTCATCCGGGCTTCTTCGAGGATCGAGCAGCAAGACATGACTCCAAATACAACATCAAAAGACACACTACAGGCAGCATACCAACTACCCACACAACTACACAAGAATATAAATAAGCAGATTGAACCGATATCGAACCACTTGCCATATCCTTTAGCTTGAGGGCTGCACTTTGTCAATTGCAGTTATGGTACATGTTATGTAGTCATTTGAGGCACTAGAATGGATACTCCAACTTGTGGTTAAGTGAACGTGAAGAGTACCGGTATCCTTACGTTCACTCATCCCCAGAGCGGCGTACCAAGGTGAAGAGGGTCCCGTGTAAGCGACAGGCTATGCTAGCTTCAGACCTCTGGGTCTATACGACCGGACTTTATGTTTGCCGCAAACTCACGGGGTTAGTGACTTTGCCCAACTTAATTCCGCAGTTCTTAGCAACCAATGTCTGAAACCAGTTCCCTGTAACCTTGACAGGATTAATAATTGGAATACTAAAAGTCTAACTAACCAAGTATTTAGGTAGCTCATTAACTAAGCTTACAAATTGTCATTGACATCAACACAGAGGTCGGCCTGCCCCTGACTCCTGGCCTCCTATGCCGGTCTCTTTAAGGCTTACAGAAATACCGCCAAGGCCCGTCCTACCATATGTAGCAAAACCACCATTCTACATATTACTATCATTTCCTTACTTGGTATAATGATCTTTCTCATTATTTTCGCACTCCTGACTCTGTTGGCGTCCAGCGGGGTCTCTTCATTTCCGTTCACAGATCATGGGGATAAGTCCGAACAAGTCTATGCAAGCACTCTTTATCAGTTCCAGACTGGCACTCGAATCGAGAATATCGCGGTGCGTAGCAACGGAAAACTGCTTACTACTTTATCCGACCGGCCTGGACTGTACGAAGTTGACCTCCTCAAACCGGCGTCTCCAAAACTTATCCATCATTTTACTGGCTACTCTGGACTTGGTGGTGTCTCGCAGGCATCATTTCAAACGTCATCTTGGTAGTTGAATCTAATGGGAAGAAAAGAGTCATCGCGGCTACCCTGAATTCGACTGAGGTGGCCAGTTCAACCTCAGCCGCGTTTGGAAGAACTTGGGCTGATGACCATATTCTTTACGTTGTGACCAGTGGCACAGTGGCGGCCCCAGTCAATTGAACTTATAGAAAACCCGGCAAGGTGGTAGCTCTGAACTTACGCCATACTCGTTACTGATTCTCATGCTCTTTGGGCAATGAAATGGTTATGGGATTTTCGTTGTGTATATTGAATTGCATCGCTAAAGCTCAATATACAGATTCTCTAATCTATACAGATTCTATACTCTCACCTTTCTTCGACCAGCGTTTCCATTGCATGCCACGACTATAAAAACTAGACATGAGCTTTAGACGGGTAATACATTGTTAATGGTGTTATTCTTGCTGTGTATTGGACTATCTTGTCGAGATATTCATACAGTTTACATAAACATATTTTTTGATGAAAGAATAGGGAGCATAACATTTATTAATTTCTTTGAAATCTCACCGAACTCTAGGGACTGCTGACGAAGTTGCTTTATACTGCTTGATGCTGAGTGGCATATATTGCTTACAACTTGACTGGCTCCTGGCCATGCTCTATGGGCTTCTGTTGGTTGTGAGTTTGTGACGAGAACTGACATACTGATTTATCAGATATATTGTAACAGTGTATATCCATAGCCCTCCTCTTCTACTATGATATATTCCAAAAAAATATTAGATCCTCAGTGTCAAGGTAAAGGCTTAGTAATCACCTCTCTTTACACCACAAGCTCATCTCAATTTTCATCCATTGTGAACCGATCATTGCAGGGTAGGGCTGGACTGGCGGGGCAGGCTGATGAACCAATCATGTGTTTGCGGAAAGCAGGCCGCCATCAAAAGCCGCTGATTGTCTCGGGGCGTTTGCTCCCCGCTGTTACACGCAGACAGGTAACAGAGTTTGACTTTGGATCCCTTTGTGACTTTTCGACGGCCAAAAAGACAGAGGAAGAAGAGATGAGACAAGAAAACAAAAAAACAAACAAACAAAACCAAAGTTGGAGAGAATTCTGAGCCATTAGAGGCTGCCGGCTGTATCGTTTTCTGCTGATCATGTGTGGGGCTTGCATGAATGAAGTTGAATGGGTACAATTCTCAACCCATCGATCGATCCACAACAAAATAGAACTATTCTCGTCCCACGCATGCACATCATAACATGTCAAATCCCTAAATAGTGCGAGAATTCTCCATGGGGATAACCAAAAGGGTATTTACAAAGCCCTTGAACGAGTAATGAGATTCTGACAAGAATGATACACGAATCCCATCATACGACACCAAGAACAGAAAACCAACACGCCAAGCATCTTGTCACAAAACACTAAACCATTAAAGACAGCTCGCTCCGAATAAACAGCCAGGGGGACCCGCATACCTAAGCCATTTGAGGAAAATACTCCGTCGGGCTTCTCAGGACGTCATGCGTTAAAATTACATCATATTGGTCAGTTTTCCGATCGTTGGAGAGATATATAGAAATTCACGATGCCTCCAAAAAAGGCTTCCCCTCGAGATCGAAACTCCAAAAAAAGCCCCCCCTTGGGGCCGGAAAGGTGGTGGAACAGATAAAAAGGAAATCACCATGTCTCCCACGCGAAACTTTCTCATTCCCGTAACAACTCTTGCAACCAAGCAAGACGTGGGTAACTTTCATGTTCTTCGCAAAATGTATTTGCTCACGTGATCCAGAATTTCCAATTCGATCCCGAGCGTTTCGGCCGACCGCTTTGCGAAGTCCCCTTATTCCAGACCGCGACGATCCCGTCCACGCTCGCTAAGGATCGAAAGGCTTTCAAGCCAAAGTTTAGGGTCATGCCATGCCAATATGCGCGGGGCCTTGAAACCGCAGAGCCAGAGCTTTTAGAGCAGCCGCGGAAGATCAGCTCCAAGCGGAAATACAAGAGTCCTGAGGGTTGGCGGAGTAAGCATAAGCATCACTCCACCGCGCGCCGATCACCGTCGCGGCAGGCTACTATTTCATGTCCCTGCGCGATGGAACACAAAGCACCCAAGGCGCCGGATCACATAAGGTCTTGCGAGTTCTGTCACGTAACCGAGACGCCCAAATGGAGGTCTGGGCCAACGGGACGTCGTACTCTCTGCAACGTTTGTGGATTGTTGTACGCTAAGAGGGAGGAAAAGGCCCGGTCGTTTCTATTGGAGAGGGAGTTTGGATGCGACTCTGTTTCTGACGCATCGTCGTGGTCAACAAAGGTCTCAACGGAGGGTTCTTATTCATTGGGACTGCGATGACCATTCAAACCTCATCACCTCTTATACCATGCCAAGCGGCCCCCAAGAATACCTCACTGCCCCTCACTCTTGGCAAGCGGATTTGAAAGGCGTGGCATTCATGGGCAGAAGAGGAAACATTCACAATTTTTTATTGCAGCGTTCGAGCGTCATAATCATGAAAGAAACAGATGGCGCATCAGAGATCAGGTAACTAGGCAACATATCTTAGGAGTATTCGGAGCAAATAAGTTTAAAGAAAATACCAGACCTAATTCAACAATATCTTCTGTCAATAGCAGACGAGGAGCGTTATCACGAAGATGATTGCATCCAATCGCGAACTGTTTATCAGCTGATTAGCGAAAGGTCCCTCCCAACAGCAACCGTGATGTCAAAATCGCATCAGAAAACATAACCAATCGCACCCGTCACCTCACCTCCGGAGTCCTTCTCCGGTCTTTGACTTTTCTCACTGCTACCGTCCTACAGTACGACGTAGCATCGTCAATCTCATTCGACAAGGTCATTGACTTTTAGCGGAAGCCGGAGAGGTCGCGGAGTTCAGGGTGACTTTGACATCTGACTTTTTACCCCTCAATTGGCTGACGGGAACTCTTTTCAGCTCAAATGCCGACTTTGGAGTGGCGAGGTTGACACAGTGAGAACAAATCATCTGATCCTCTGCGCAAGCGAACTGCAGCAAGAATACACTGTATCACCAAACAAGTCTTCCGCCCGTTTGGAAAGACTGTCCTGTGTTTAGCGTGTAATGGGTGCGAGGAGTAACGCGCCGTGGCTTACGCGTCGGTAAATGAGGGTTGCAACTCTTGAGGCGAAGCCATTTCTAATCAATGTTGCAAGCAGGACGGGGGACCAGTCTTATCTATCAATCGTAGACAGACACGGCGCAAAGGCCAAGCCGCCATGCAAGGAACTGTGGAAACGGCTTACTGTCAGGCCAGGTTGCTGCGAGGGACAGTGTCCGAGCGGGTGAGGCGTCTCAAGGTTTGAGAGGAAAAAGCAAAGTAAACAAGGGAGTGAGGGACTTTGGCAGAACAGCACAGTTGAGATAACTGTGTGATGCACGGTTGGCCAAAGTTTAAATGAAGAGCTGAATGAATTGGATGCTCAGAAACATCGGATTTCCTTTTCCCCTTGTGAAAATGCTGTGTTGGTGCTGATTCTTAATGGACAACGAGCCCACTCGGTAGGTTTACTCCGGATCCGCGGATGGACCCTGAATCAGGGTCTCTGCACAGTCCAGACCCAATCGCGTAGTGATCTACAAGGGTTCTGGGGCAATCTTCGCTCTAAAGGTAACTTAGCAAGCGCCTCCGAGGGGTATTAGTACCGCCTCGATCCCTAACTTCTCCCTTCAGTCTCAAGATCGGATTTTCCCCTTCTCAACTGCCTCCTTTCAAATCACAGTTCCACCATGAAGCATCGGCAGCAGACACTCTCCAAAACGGCAAAGCCAATTCGGCGTCGAAGAGATCGTGCTCATCATCCTTGTCCCGTTGATCTCCCGGAATCTAGCCTTTTCCCGCCCCGACGATGTTCCTCCTTTGCGCGGACAAAATCGCCACGACACGTGAGCACTCTCTCTCTACGCGTCTTTGTTGACCCGTTGCCGGTAACAGAGACTAACCTCTTCCAGATCCGACCCAGCATCCAGGACGTTCAGCGGAATGGTTTACCTCTCTGTGAGGTCGCTTTGTTTCAAAATGCAGCTATTCCGAGTCCTTTGGCTGCGAAGCCAGAGAGAGATAATCTCCAATTGAAGGTTGCTTCACACACCTCATCTCTCAGATCACCCGCCGCGTCAGCCCGTTCAATCAAGTCAAGGTCTACTAGAGCCAGTCTCAAGGATACCTATGAAGCCCGCACGTGGCGTAACAGGCTGAGGCGACATTCCGTATGTCACTCATGTCCACCAGAATGCTTTTTTTCTTTCTAACGAAATAGCAGAAGTCACCAAGATCACATGAGCCAACTCCATGCTGCACATCATGCTTCATCAAAGAGACGCCCATGTGGCGCGAAGGTCCTTTTGGCTCACATACTCTCTGCAACGTATGTGGTCTTCTCTTCGCCAAACGCGAAGCTCGCCGCCGAACATTTCGTCTTCAAAGAGGCATTGCCTGAATGTCGCAATTTTCTTAAATCGTTGATCCGTGTTCATGTTCCCGCCATGCATGAGCATGCACCTAATACGGCTTCTGATATTTTTTCCTCATTTTGATACTTTTAGTGTTTCGTTTTCTTGGACTTGATCTCGACGTTATACATACCAGCGGGATCTGTGAGTGATGAGGCATGGTTTCTATACCCCGGCGCAGGATTGGGAAGGCATTTTGTGAGACTCGGCTGGCTACTGAAGTTTTGTGTCAAAATGGCGTTCTCGGTTATTTGTTAATGTTGGATTTAGCGCAGATACCTCAGTCACAGTTATGAAATGGAATTAAACCTTTTTTCGTATATCTATAATTAACTTGGATCATATGAATGGTGGTCGGAAAACTGTATCCTACTTAACACTCGTGGAAATACGTCTATCTCTCCATGAACTAACTTATCTAACATTTGTTTATTCAGGTGAAGGAGTTTCGACGCAGCATATATTCGCTCTGCCTTCTCTAGGGTACCAATGACTTAACATACATGCCATGCTGATTGATAGAATTGCAAAGTATTCTTATGTACATCAAACATTTCTACGAAGAGATAAGTGATGCCGTAGTCACAAATAAAGTAAAGCCAAAGGCCACGCAGTTAAAATAACACAACAATAGTGTTTTTCTTTTTCAATAATACAATACAAGGTGTCATACACTACGCCAAAAACATAATAAAATATTTCATAATAATATTTACTTTCCAAGAGACCCCGAGGAATGTGGCAGGCGATAAACGCCAAACTGAACGACCGAGGTTACTGATTAATAGTTAGAGCTTATGATATGTTAACGAGATGTATCAAGCCAAGACATTTAAAAATCCCAACTAACTCAAGGTTTAGATAGGCATCACGACCGAGGTTACGTTTTCAACTCCCTAGTAACAACTTTTGCGAAGTCATGCACCTACAGGGAATGAGATACTCAGCTGGCGGATCAGACTACCAGTTCAGGTAAGCCGAATCAGGCTGTCGCCAAATCTGCGCAATAAATCCATATCAGGTGCAGCACCCTATCGGTTTGAGCTGAATGCATCCGACCGAAATCGAGAAGTATGACCACCCTCTGCCTGTGTGGCAGCCCGTAAGACAGTCGGGGCTTTGAGGCTAAAGGTACCGAATTTCCCTCATAAAATAAAACCATAATACCCAAGTAAGCCAGGGATATCCTGATCTGATGTTCGGCCCACTGGTCACAGAATGTGCATAGATAAAACTCCTTCGTTCAAGCAACATTTACCACTCTAATTCCTTTGCTTTCTACTAGGAATCTTTCGCTTTCATCCTCAAATTGTTGAAGCCTGTTAATCATCATTTTGCATCGTGCTTTCATTAGCTATGGAAGCTATAACTATGGAATAGTTATGGGATGAAGCAGCTGAGCGGTTTCTGGCTCGTACTGGTAAAGGCCTGAACCGAAACCATCCAATGATACTGGACGACGTGCGAAAACAGATAGAATCGCGAACAGAGTCGGCCACAGACGTTGACATCGCAAATACACTGAAACACAAGAAGGAAATAGGTCTGAATATCCTTGAATGTCTGAAACTCCTTGGCGGTATAGCTGCACAAGGCGCCAGCTTGGTAACCATTCTTCACCCCGATTGAGTTTTCGAGCCGCTACTATCACCATCACAAAGGATGATATTACTACAGTACAAAACTTCTTATGGACCTTGTTCCAGAAGTCAGTGGTTGAGAAGTTCGAGTTTGAGCCACTGGCTGGACAGATTAACCGGACCAAGGGCGAAATAAGGGTAAACGAGTACGACGCACACTTAGCCATAGTGATGCAAGCCCTGAACTTCTTGATAAAGAAACCAGATGCTAGAACTGAAAGACTGGGGAGGTATCAGGTTTGGAATCTTCCAGTCCATTTGAAGGAATTGAAAAACCCTGAGCCTGATCACAAGGTCGACAATGCAGCAAAGAAAGACATAGGTAACATACTTTTCGATATCCTCGGCCAAGGCACCATCATTAGGAGGCATTGGGAACGTTTCGTTGACGTGCCTTTGTTCTGCAACGCAATGCAGATTTCAACAATTTTGGCATGGCTGCAGGATCCTGATGTTACTGGCCATTTCGGGATATACCAAATGAATTGGTTGGACAAGGTAATTTCAAGCCCGAGCCCTCATCGAGCTTTACTATTCTCCATGGCCCGTGAAGTTAGTCACAGATGACTCAAGAGTCGTGAGAATGATCCTTGGGAAGCATATCGGTCGCTCAGACGGTACCTTTCATTGGTAAGTCTAGAATGGTGCTTTGTTCACGCATACGTCTATTTGGACATAACTGACGTTGTCCTAGGTAGTTTCAGAAGGAGAATCAGATGTGTGTGATGATTCTATCGTGATCTTGAGTACAGATGAAGAGTCTGTAGCCCTTGACAAAGTAGAGCGTTGGTGCAAGAGCATACTTTAGGTTACAAACGAGCAGTCTTTATGGTACGAGAGAGTTGGGGAGACGGCTAGAAAAGTCGATGAGTTCGACCATGCGATTGCGATGTTCCTGAAGGCGACCAAGATGCCTGGAGCATCATGGACGTGTCACAGAGGTCTCGCCCGCTCTTACCATCAAGCCGGAAATATGAATGACGCCTGTGAATCCATGAAGAAGGCGTTAGAGATTCTCACTGGCTTGAAGGATCCTAACCCTAATGATATCTGGGTAACCAATATGGATCTTGGAAAATGGTACTTTGAACTCAAGGAGCCTGACTTGGCAACCGTATACTAGGAAAGAGCTCTAGAGGCCAAGCCAGCTGACGACGAAGCATACTACCGGATACTGGAAGCCAACCTTACATCAAAATCTCAAGACCGTGCACTGAGTCTTATTGAATCCATGAGCCATGACACGTCAGCAAAGGGCGGTATAAGTCGCCTGGGCTCTGCACTTCTACTCATGGCAACAGACGACGAGACTTACGACAGGCATTTCACCAGTATTCTCTCGTTGACTGCTTCCCGTGATGGGATGTTAGGGATAGTTCTGAACGCCATGGAGGAAGCCATTCAGCTCGCAGCTGACAACGATCTGCTTTTCGAAAGAAGCGCCCTTCGGCTCTACAAAGGTCTCGCACTCTACTACTACGGCGATGAAGCTGATTAGAATCCACTCACATCAGCTGTAAGACTCTGGGAGCAATGCCACTCGGATGCAAGAAGAGTGATCGAGGAAACTGGGACCTACGTACAGTGGAAATGGATGTGGTTGGGTGGCCAGGTTATTAGTGACATAATCTGTCATTATTTCAAAGAAGCTACGGCAGCAAATACTGAGATTTCGGCATTGGCAAAACTTGATGAAATAACAACTGGCCATTGAATTGCGTATGAAGATAGCCGGGTATTCCAGCCGAGTCTTACATGGGAGTCTATGAGACCCTACAGGGCAACTTCACCGCCGCAAGAACACATTTCCGTAAGAACATGCTCACGGCTCATGAGATGCTATCCGACGACACGGACGAGAACGACGCTGACGCTTATTTTGTCTTGTTTCAATGCCTCCCCCATACAGAGGACGATGTTAATGCTCTCGTTGCCTTCGAGCTGACGGGGCCGATAGAAAAAACGATCGAAATGAGGCTTGGTGAGATCCGGGGTGAAGATAAAGTCGCCGCAACAGAGCTCCTTGAGTTCGCCAAAGAGAACTTATCACTAAGCGATACTGCTCCTCATAGATACACGGCTGTCCTTAACGAGTTGCAACGACGAATCCACCTGGAAAATGAGGAAGATGAGAAAACCACGACAACTGAGACCTATCAAAGGCTTTACGCCCTTCTGGTCAAGAAACGACCGGCTACAGGAGATGACGATGATCCAAGCCAGCCGTATGAGATCACGGACAGCGATATTGTGGTCAACTGGCGATACATCTGCAGCGGGAATTGCGGAGGGGCTTGGGATTTCGAGACTGACATCAACATCTGCAAGTACTGCTGGGACACTCCCTTTTGCCAAAAGTGTCTACCGCAGCTTCAGCAAGGCACATCGAAGATGTTGGCTTGAAATGATCGGCGCTGTCCAGCAACCGTTTTTGGAACAGATAGAAACAGACGGGATTTACTTCAATTAAGACTTCTTGAGGTATGATATGTTTGGGTGGACGAAACAGAAACTCATGCCAACTTCTGAGTACGTTCTCGAAAAAAGATTTGGACAAACTCCTAGGTACTCCAGTGCAAGGATATACGTAAAAGAAAAACTGAAGCCGATCGCTCACAACAAGGGTGCGAAGGCGCGATGCTTTAAAAAGTTTATACGATGGAGAAACATTGCGGCCCGAAAATAACACGCATCCACTTCGCAAGCACGCAATTTGAGTTCACCATGTCGTTTCCCATTGATCCCTGATAGGTAATCCACAAAGAAAAGCTTTCATGTGGCTGGTATACACGATGTTCAGTGGCAGTTCACGCCACGAGATCGTGTTGAAATGTTGTGTGTATCGATACGAAAACTCTGTTGTACTGGAGGTCGACACATATCCCCGACACGTATGTGACTTTCTCTAATGTTTTTCTGGCATCAGCAATCTTTGAGATTGATCATCTACGATCTGGGGAAAAAGACCGACTCAAACCCTGAACAGTTGGATACTTTTATCAATCGTGTCTCTTAGCTGCTCCCGAAGGGTTCCATCCCCGGCCCGACAACCCACAGCCCCATACGACCTTACAAGCATTAAGTCCGTGAGTATAGACGATTGTCGTGCGCAATTACTCTATCGAGAACACTTGGCAAGAAAAACGTGCTGCAAGACAACTGGGTCGTGATCGGCCTCGTCCGAACGGGACGACTTTTATAAGATGGCTTCCCAATCTTCTGTCTTTCAAGGCGCATCTGCCTGTCCACCACAATCGAACACCAACATGACCTCCATTTCGGAGAAGACCGCCACAGGCAACGATGTCCAAGCGACAGAAAAGAGAGCGGATGTCGCTTCTACCGGATCCCTCAAGGATGAGTCCATGAACGGGAGAGCCCAGATCTTGGGTGCTACACCGGAGGAAATCATCGAGGCAGAGGAGCATGCGCGTACGATGGACCTGAATGAGACTAAAAGGGTGAGGAGACCCGACATTGATCGCCAACGTCTGCTAATACCGACACAGCGCGCCGAAAACCTGATCTACCTTCATGAACATGATCCCAACTTCAGCTCAGAATCTATCATCCGTATTCAAGCATTCCTCAACAACGAAGACATCTTCACAAATCCTCATAAGCATGAAGACGCCATCTCAGACATCAAGACAGAGATTGCACTTGTCACTATCAACTCACCCTACGCCGAAGTCCGCGCCGTCGTAAGCAACAAGGACGACCCATCGACACCAGCTGGAACTATTCGAGCCTGGACCATCGGTCTATTTTTCGTGGTCTTGCAGAGTTTCGTGAATCAGCTGTTCTCAGTACGACAGCCGACAATCCGACTCCAAGCTCCAGTAATTCAGCTCCTTTCGTTTCCTCTCGGCAAGGCTTGGGAGAAATGGCTTCCTGTTGGCGAGTTCACGCTGTTTGGCGAAAAGCTGCAGCTCAACCCCGGAAATTTCAATCAGAAAGAGCACATGCTGATCTCGATCATGGCAAATGTCTCGACGAGTTTGCCGCATTCGCGATACATCATTTTTACTAGTTGGTTGAAGAAGTACTTTGACTTGCCATTTGCGGCCGATTTTGGCTTTCAGATCTGCCTCTCGGTGAGTAAAACTGCGAAATAACTCTCACTGAGTTTTACTAACAGAAATAGCTGGCTATGAACCTGTTGGGCTTCGGTCTTGCTGGGTTGGCGCGACGTTTCCTAGTCTACCCGTCATTCTGTATCTGGCCTCGCTCCCTCGCAACCATCGCCCTCAACCAGAGTCTGCACAACGGTAAGTCTAGAGAAAACGCATCTTTAGTGTGTCAAGTTGACTGACCACCGAAGAATCTGGAAACGCAAGCGTGCTTGGTCCCTTCAAGAAGATGTACACCATGTCCCGGTACCGCTTCTTTATGCTCTCTTTCGCCGCCATGTTCGTCTGGTTTTGGTTCCCCGACCTCATCGCCACAGCCCTGTCCCTATTCAACTGGCTCGCATGGATCTCACCCAACAACTTCACCCTCGCAGCCATCACCGGCGTATCCAAAGGCCTTGGTTTCAACCCTCTTCCAACCTTTGACTGGAACATTGCCACTTACTACATCGATCCTCTGCTGGTTCCCTTCCATGTCACTGTCAACATGTTCCTCGGTGCCTTGTTGGGCGGTATTACTATCATCGCCATGTACTGGAACAACACCTACAATACCGGATATCTCCCTATCAACACAAATACCATGTTCGATAATACGGGCGCCAAGTACAACGTATCTTCTATCTTGGATGATCGTGGATTGCTAGATGCAGAGAAGTATCAAGCTTACAGCCAGGTCTACATCGCTGCTTCATCTGTCACGTACTAGTAAGTTTCTCTGACTGACCAGCCATGAGCGTGGTACTGACAAGAGATAGCCTCTACTTCTTCGCCGTGTATAGCGCGATTATCTCATATGCTGCTCTGTATCACTGGAACGACATCAAGCTTGGTTTCGTGTCTCTCTGGCAAAGCTTCAAGAAGAAGAGCAAGATGAGCGAGTTCAAGGATATTCACACAAAGCTGATGGAGCAGTACAACGAGGTTCCTGAGTGGTGGTACTTGATACTTAACGTGAGTTCTTTAGATAAGCATAGTAGCCTTGACTAACGCGATATAGATTGTTGGGGTTGCTTTCGGTATTGCTTCTGTAGCAGCTTGGCCCACCAACACCAGCGTCGGCACCGTCTTCTTCGGTCTTGCTCTTGCGATTCTCTTCACTATTCCCACTGGAATCATCTTTGCCACTACTGGTATTGAGGTTGAGTTCAATGTCCTCGCTGAGTTTATTGGAGGAGCATGGCAGCCTGGCAATGCCTTGGCTGTAAGTTTCCAACCACCCAAATTCCGAGACTCTCGGCTAACATTGCTAGATGAACTTCTTCAAGGGCTTTGGATATGTAACAGTCGCTCACGCCCTCGATTTCGCCAATGATCTGAAGCTTGGTCACTACCTCAAGATTCCTCAGCGCCAGACCTTCTGGTGCCAGACTGTTGCCAGTAAGTAATACTTCAGTACTTTAATGCTCACTTCAACTGACTGTCATTAGCTGTTGTCTCTGCGTTCGTTTGCACTGCAGTGATGAACTTTCAGATCATCAACATCCCCGAAATCTGCCAGCCTACACAAAAGGACCGCTTCACTTGTCCCGGTGTCGAGTCTTACTTTACTGCTGCCGTGCTCTTTGGCTCTCTCGCACCTCAAAGAGTCTTTGGCGAAGGTGGAATGTACACAGCTCTCCTCGCAGCTTTCCCAGTTGGATTGGCGTTCCCCGTCATCTACTACTACGCGACCCGAAAGCTGCCAAAGACGCACTGGCTCACAAAGATTCATCCCGTCGTCATCTTCAGCGGCGGTCACATCTGGTCTCCCTACAATCTGGCCTACGTCTGGCCCGCAGTCATTCCGGGTTGGATCTCTTGGGTCATCGTCCGAAAGAGATACTTTCAGTTCTGGGCAAAGTACAATTATGTCCTTTCAGCAGCTTGGCAGACTGGCATCGCTCTCGCCGCGGTGGTCATCTTTTTCGCTGTGAGCTACCACGGCGCGTCGATCAATTGGATCGGCAACAGTGCAGACAGTGGTTGCGAAGCTCAGACCTGCACCAGACTCAAAGTTCCAAATGGAACCATCTTTGGGCCTCAGCCCGGAACCTTTGCCTAGATATGCTACTAATAGCGAATTTCTAGTGACAACTCAATAGAACATGTTTTAATTCTTGAATACGAAAGCCAGACCAATAGTCCCCGGGTAATATTAAATACGTGACCGTGCCGCAGATCCTACCACATCTTCATCCCCGTATTCTAGGCAGAACTCGCTTTAGCGCTTCCACTGCCTATTCCAATGCTAGGATTCAGATCCTAAACACCAACTGAAACGTTGTATAAAAATGTCGGATTTCTCTTTTTCTTTTGAAACGCTATTTTGACATAACATCTAGCTTGATAATTCACGAGAATGGTTTATTTACCGCCCAATCAACATGGCGATTGCCTCAAATGCTATCTCGCCACTCCATTCACAGATGAAGAGCTGAAAGCTTTCAAGGCAGCTTTTGAGCTTGGCGCATGCTCTAAATTTTCTCCTCTGATGCAACTCAAGATCATCCGCGCACCAGACGATTATTTGGGCAAATCGCATCAATACATTCGTGCGAAAGAAACTGAAGCTGGCAATACGGATCCATTTATCGTCGTTGATGACGAGGCTAAGAGCAGAGGCGCAGTCTGGTACATCGATCAATTCGCTGAGGAAGATCAAGTCCAAGACGGAGAAGCTGAGAGCACAGATGTTGTTTTCAAGATTCTCACCCAGACTGAGGCGTTGGCTGTCGCTCACATAAATTACGCCATCGCCAATTCGAGCATTGGTGAGGATCTGGACAATTGCGCTGTGGATCTACCCCTCACCAACGACTTTCATCAGCCCGACCTGAATGATTGCGGTGGCATAGACCTTGAACAGCAGCAATGGGAGCAAGATGCTTGGGTTATTACTGAACCTGGAGAATTTGAAGAGAGCACCGATTCTGAGCTGTTGAATAACTTCTCCCCTCGCCCGAACAAGGTGGCTAGGCTGAGAGAGGATGTTGCCAAGTCTGTTGGGTTAGTCAGCTCTTGGACAATTCCAAGTGATGCAGAGCCCATTGATCTTGAAGACGGAACTAAGAAAGAGTTTCCTCAGGGTAGTGTTGTTTTGCAGCAAAAGTACAACCCAGGATTTCCATGGCCAGTGGACTCACTGTAGGCGGAAGATAAACCGTCAAGTGGACGAGCTGCATAGGACACCTTGTTTCTCAATAGGTCTTACAACCACCAATGATATGTAATTACGCGCTTTAGCTCCGCCCTTCGTGTCATCGCAGCTTATCGCAGATGTTATTTCCCACGATGGCGGAACCGAGCACATCTCAACTAAGATAAGCGGGACAAACAAAGACGATCTTTGCCCAAAACGCACCTTATCATCAGTCATTCTCAACGCTGCAGGGCGCTTTTCCACATACAGAAAGTGCATCATAGCCGTGGAATGGGTAGAACTTCCCAACGCAGCAATTTTTGGAGAATCGTGGTGGGGAGGAATGTGTGAATCATCAACTCCGCATCAAGACGCACAGATCCAGCATTAATGATAAATAGTTAGCCACTTCGTCAATTATTGTTTTCATCCGATTAACAGCGGCTCTAGATCATTGGGATTACAATCATGTCTTCTGCTCCTCACCCGCTTTGCCCACTGACGGGTGATGAGATTCAGGCTAGTGCACGCTTGATTGAGAGTGTGTGGCCACAGTCTGTCTCGCTATCTTTTAAGGTTATAACGCTCAGTGAGCCAGCGAAGGAGAAGCTTGCACCATATTTGGAAGCATTCGACAACGGAACTTCCCCTTCGCCGCTTGAACGTCTGGCTTTTGTTGCGTATTATATCCGTGGAACGGTGAGTGGACCCCACTTTGTTATCATGTATGATCTGACTGTAACAGGATATTTTTCATGAAGCTATCGTCAACTTGACCACTGGCAGGATCGAGAGCAATGTGAAGCTTGGACCGAATGTTCACGGCAATGTTGATTATGATGAGGCTCAGAGAGTCGAGAAGCTTGCGCTTGAGGACCCGCAGGTTTTGGCTGAGCTGGAAAAGCTGAAGTTGCCAGAGGGGACTGTTGTTTGTGCGGATCCCTGGATTTACGGTAAGCCCATTATTTCATGGTGAAAAGGAGTAAGAGCTGACTTGCATAGGGTCCGACGGAGTTGAGGATGATGTCCGTATGTACCAGGTCTTCCTGTACATGCGGGACCCCGCAAATTCTGGCGAAGCTGATTCGAATCACTACGCATTCCCTCTACCTGTTTCACCGGTCATCGAATGCGTTAACTACAAGGTCATTCGAATTGATGTACTTCCTACTGGCGCTGATAACACTATTAAACCCCTTACGCCTTATCAGCCAAAGCCGGCTAATGAGTATATCCCGGAAGCGCAAGTGCTTCGGAAGGATCTCAAGCCACTGCATGTAAGCCAGCCCGAGGGGCCAAGCTTCAATGTGGTACCGGTCGGTGAGACTGGAAACGTTATCTCGTGGCAGAAGTGGACCTTCTTCGTCGGTAAGTTTGAGATCTTGCCTTACTCAATCATCTCCCAGCTGACATAAATAGGCTTCAATCAACGTGAGGGAATGGTGTTATACAACGTCAAGTATGACAACCGTCCCTTGTTCTACAGACTTTCCCTCTCAGACATGAGCGTGCCCTACGGTGATCCACGACACCCGTTCCACAAGAAGTCAGCATTTGACTTGGGTGATGCCGGTGCTGGTGCTACAGCCAACAACCTCAAGCTTGGCTGTGATTGCTTAGGCAGCATTCAGTACCTCAGTGGTGTGATTTGCGACGACCAGGGCAGACCATTGCCAATGGAGAATGTTATCTGTATTCACGAACAAGATGCTGGTATTGGATGGAAGCATACCAACTACAGAACCGGAAGAGCAGCTGTTGTACGAGCACGTGAGCTTGTGCTGCAGTCCATCATCACAGTTTCGAACTATGAGTATATCCTCATGTTCCTGTTCAACCAAGCAGGAGAGGTCACATATGAAGTCCGCGCCACGGGTATTCTGTCTACGCAGCCGATTGACCACGAGCTGGACAAGACAGGAGTGCCTTTTGGTACTGTCGTGCATCCCGGTGTGCTAGCAGGCATTCATCAGCATATCTTCTCCCTACGTGTTGACCCCATGATTGACGGCCATACGAATCAGCTGGTATACAGTGAAGCCCACAGAATACCTCGTGATCCTCACTTGAACCCTCATGGTATCGGCTACGAAGTCGTCGAGAAGACCATTGACAAGACAGCTGGTTTGGATATCGATTACGACCTTAGTCGGGTCTACAAGATCACCAACCCCAACTCCCTCAACCCTGTGAACGGCAAGCCAGTTGGCTACAAGATTATGGCACCGCCGTTCCAGAAACTCATGGGCGATGAAGACAGCTTCCTACATAAGCGCGCCGAGTTCGCAGACCATAACATCTACGTCACCACGCATCGTGACCGTGAACTCTACGCGGGAGGATGGTACACCAACCAGTCTCGTGGAGGCACAGGCGTGAGAAGCTGGGCAGAGAGAAATGAGACACTGACGCCGGAGTCTGATATTGTGCTGTGGGTGCAATTCGGTATCAACCATATCCCGCGCATCGAAGACTTCCCTGTCATGCCAGTTGAGATTCTCAAGGTTCATCTCAAGCCTGTCAACTTCTTTACCAAGAACCCTGCGCTGGATGTGCCACCGAGCGAGCAGAGCGTCAACCAGAGTACGCTGATTGAGAACAAAAAGCCAGACATTGCCGATAACTGTGGATGCGAGTCATCGACTGTCCCTTCAAAGTTGTAGTCTGAGTCACTAGCGATGGAATGCCTCACGGTGTAAAGAATTGTGACATCAATGAGACAATATTAATATTATTCGTTTACTATGCCAACTATGGATAAGGCCCTATGCGTTCAACATGAACTGTTGTTTCTTCTGATATTTGTATCCCATCCAATCCCTCATTTACTGTCGGCGGAGGCGTTTGATGCCTCCACGGACTGGAAATTGTTATCTCTGTACCATAACTCCACCCAGCATGCGAAGCCTCAATGTCGTATCCCGCCGGGATATCATCGTTCATTACAAATTCGCACACGGAACTTGAGCCGTTCTGTACTGATGTTTTGGTGCCGCGGCTGCCCTTGATGCCGTATTCCGGCGATAGGGCCGAATCGACGACTGCGCGCTTGCTTCTGTGAGAGGCGAGGAATGAGGAGGGGACAATCTTTCGGAATACAGGTCGTAACATCGGTAGCGAAACTAGAGGACGTCAATTGATATTTGTAATATTGGGTCGGTATGATGTACCCGAAACATTCGTGAGGTTGCATTCTGCTGCAGCCAAGGAGCCGTGAAAGCCGATCTTGAGGGCGATTTCTCTTGAACTGCCATTGTACTTGAAGGAATCATGGATGACAAGAATAGTCAAGACGCACACACTGTGCACTGGTTAGTACAAGGCTTTCGAGATCACCACGGGAAACACACAGAGCACCGAAGCCAAAGAGGGCTATAACAGCAAGTTTTTGACCAAGCGGGAGGTGCATTTTGATGACTTCAATCAGAGGGAGAACAAGAATAATAATATCCAACACAGCATGCGTAAGACCAGTGGAGAAGAAATAAATATTGCTCGTGACATGGCAATGGGTAGCTCGTCGGGCGAGATCCCAGTAGGCTGACGTCGGCATACATGACAGTGTTAAGAGGAGTATTCGGACGATGAACCATGCGACACAAAGGGCGAGGACAATTTGGATTGCGGTTCGTGAACTAGAATATTTGAAGAGGCGCCAGTAAAATGTCAAGATGGCGAATTTGGCGAAGCCGATGCCAATGGTATACGTCAGGCTGCTCAGCCAAATGAGGAGGTATGATCGTTCGAGTCGTTCTTCTTCGGTGAGATGCGATGGGCCATCTTTGAGCGGTCGACCGAGGCCGAAGCCGAAAAGAACTGGAAACACATTCAGCAATCGGAATTGATACAGGCGAAATGGGTATGTTCTTACAGACTAGGTTGTCAATCGAGTACGCGAGAGCTCCAACCTGCGCAGCAATATTAGCGATTGATCATCCAGTGGCAGAATGTTAAGCATAACGCACGAACGCAACAACAGCCAACCAATCATCAATCCCATATCCAGCCCTCGTCGTCCGTCTCGCAAGCAATCTCAGCACTAGAACCAGCGCGGCAAGCGGCAAAGTAATAAAGATAGAAGCATAGACATTCGGTCTATAATCCGCTTCCATCGTGCATGATCAACACTGCAGCTCACTTGGAGCCCGAAAGAAGAAGAATAAGAAGTTTGGAAGGAAAAGAGAAGGAAGGGATGGGGGGAGGTAAGAAGAAGGGCTTGTCTCACATTGAACCAGTCAGCTTTGACGAATGATTCAAGTGAATCAAATCAGAAGACGCGCTAGAGGGCTCAATGATGTTATCCTGGCTGCGCTAAGGGGAAACGGTTCGCGGGGGAAAGGAGATGCCGATGCGGGGGATGCGCTTTAACGTTTGTCCTTGGTGTTTTTACTGGTGAAAGAGAAACGCTTTGACTTTGTTATGACTGTGGGATTGTGAAAGGTCGTGTTTTAGTGTCAAGATTATTTGTCGGATTTAACGTTGTCAAGAACTTCGGCACTCGTGCGTAATTTCCAGAGGTTCCGAGCGTCAATGCCCTGCGTCTTAAGCTGTTGCCCTCATCCGTGGATGGAGTGCCCTAACGACTTTCCTGTTAAGCCGCATTTCTCGATTGAGAGTGTGTGTACCAGCTTCTACATCGTTGGACTGATCCCAGTTTTCCCATGGTGAGGCTATTCAACCCTCATAACCCGTCCAAACAACAAAACATCTTCAGCTTACCAAATTAACGACATGTCAGAATATTGCGCTAAAACAAGCATAGCGTCGGTTTTCAGCTGCGACGTCGCTAAACTGCGCAGACTGCTTGCATTACGACGAGCGAATCCCAGCGAAAAGAAAGCATCTCGGATATCCAGGGTAGCTCATTAATAGTCAGACTCATACAGCTGAAGTTGTTCAGCGCTGACAGCTCAGAAGAGCTAAACCAATTGAGAGTGCTAAATGGATAGGTAAATGCCAAGTACTTCTTCAGGTCGTGAGAAATTAGGGATTTGCCCTTTCTATTAAAGCCAGAAGACTCCAGCCACAAACATGTTATCGTACCTACAGTCTCTTATATCATTGCCTGCTAGCCAGTAATACTACTAGCCTTATGCATCTTAAGATACGGTATTATCGTTATACGTTTTGGGACATATGGCCACTAGAGAATAACGATTCGATGCTATGCAACATGCTATCGTCAATCAAAACCACCGTTCCGACGACCGGGGAGGCCGCCAGCAAGGTTTAGGTGGTTATATAAATTATGCTCGCCTGGCTCACTACAAAGGATCTGCTCAATATGAGAACCATTATCGCTAGATGTTATTTCTCTACTTTTAGGTTTTATTTGCCCTGATAGTTTTGTACATCCTGCGTTGCTAGAGTCGTTCTCATGGATGCTATTCACGAATATCTATCGTGTCTTAATCACCTGTGTTAGGAGCCTAAAGTTTAACCTTATGGGAGCAAGTAGTCATGTAGTTCACAAATATCTCTCAGACGATGGCAAATTGGAAAGCTTCATACAATCACAAGCTTGAAATTCAAGCTCAAAACTCTTCTGTGCAAAAGGATATTCATGTGTGGTCTTTAACTTTGTGCTGGGGCCCGAAGCTTCTGCTAACGCCTCAACCTCATACATACAGTAGCATAAGAATATTCAATGTCATGTAAGTTTGGCCATCTATAGAATAAGATTGTCCCGCCCTTGACGAGCATAATCGTGGAAACCACCATGCCAGAATAATAATGGTGACTTGAGCAAACATCTCAAGTTGCAAGAATGGAAAGCCCTTTCAAGAGTAGCGATTGTGGATTCTGCCACGGTATTGATGGCGACTTCAACTTTGTTGCAGCATTGAAAGCTTCTGCGGCGCTTATACCAGCTTCCATGTGCAACCAGGCAACAGTCGAGTTGAGAAACAGGCGCCGGTACACTAGGTGGACAGTCAGCAGCTAGAATAACTCGAACAATATTCGTAAAGACAACCATAGACATGTGCCTAGTAAACCTGAGAGGGGCAAGACTAATCTCAACATGGAACACACAAGCGAAGCTGAGCTCTGAACTTCTAAAGACGATGGGCGATAAAACCAAGAATAGCGTGAGATCTCTTGTTTAAGTTTGTAGGGGGTTCGATTCATCACCTCGCCCCTTATCTTGGTCTTTGTCTCGTAACAGAAAGTGTATCTGTTGAGATAATCGGACCCATGCTGATTTATGACATAGCTGAGATCATAGAGTGACTCTCTTTCCATTTCAGTCCTGATGTTTTCCAAGTCGTATTGGTCAGAGCATTAGCCTCAGTATAGTAACCACGAGGGTCTTTGGCGGGGATAGTCATCCAAGTTCCCCCCCAAACACGAGAGGGTTACGAAAGTACCATTAACCGCCACGTCCGAAAACGCCGCAGAGAATATTTCAGTGGTAAGACTAGTCTTGAGAGACTCTGCTCAGCCTTTGGAAACGCGCTAGGAGGGCCTCAAAAAGAAGTGCTAGCTTGGGCTTTTTGCGTGATTTGCTACTACAATTGAAGTGCCGAATCGATGAGCATATTGTTCAATACAGGTCAGGCTTAGTCCATTCGATACTTGAGGATGGCGCAATCCAAATTGGAAAATGGCCTTATGGTATGAGACATATTTCTCCGAAAGCGGTATAAGTCAGCTTCAACGCCGAGCTGAGAACCCCTGGTCAATTGCCAATCACATCAACTGTTTGCTCTTTCAATTTCCAATTCGCAAGTGAACAGTTGTGGCGGTCTCGGCCCGCGCCGTTCAACCTCTCAATTAGTATGGATTGCGAGTCCAGACTGTATGTCACGTACAGAATCATTGTCAACTATACTCGAATCACCGTGAGGTTCTTTGGCCCCATAGTGTATTCAGCTTGCCACCAGGACTATACAGGATGACATAGCGTCATGCAGTTCTGTTCACAAGCGCTAAAAGCAATATCACCTCAGCCTCCAGCCTCATCAGGAAGTCGTGATGTCGACAATGTGACGAGAATCATCGCAATATTTGCTCTGAACCTTGCCATAGCACGATGTTTGGACCTTCATGGTTAGATCATACTCTCGTGGCCCAAGAAATGGCCAGCTGAAAGTAAGACAGACATTCTTCAGCAGTTACAGAACATACAGACTAAACCATCTGAGGATTGCTTCACCGTCGGCTAAGCGCTTAGCGAAGAGCGGTTCTGTTATGGGATTTAGCTGTGCATTCAATCTGTTTGTAATGCTTCCAGTATATCTTCAACACCAAATCATTAGCTCCGAGCCACGGGGGAAAATCTATAAAAGCTGCAAGAGTCCCCGGCCTGGAGAATAGCATCCTCATCAAACACATCAGATCTCCTCAAGAAACAACAACAACCAACAAACCTCCAAGTCCCTTTCAAACCTATCGCAATGGCCACCACTCTCGCTTTCCCTCAGCAACAGCAGCAGCCCCAGGGCCTGCCCATCCAGTCCGTGAGCTCCAACTCCGTGGACGGCGCTCTTCTCAGTGCTCTAGCAGCCTACATCACTGGCGGTTCTGATGCTCGCCACACCACTGAGCAGGAGATCCAAGACCTCGCTTCTGAGGCTATCGCCAGACCTGGTGGTCGGGCTCACCTCGAGGCTATCATTCAGTCTGAGGGATATATCGAGCACAAAGTCTGGAAGAACCAGGCTACTGCAAAGGGAAAGCTTACCCTGACCAAGACTGATATCACTGTCAGTCTTGAGGTGGCTACCCTCCAGCTTGTCTTCACTGCCGAGGGTTCTGGTGTTTTCCCGCCCGCTACCGCCACGCTTCCCGTGTAAGTGTATCTTAGAACGCAATTATGGAAGAGGATGTTGACTGATGTTATCTTAGTGGTACCTTCTACTACAATGACTTCGGTCAGTTTGGCCAGGGAGATGCCACCTTCAAGCTCCATGTCAAGGGTGTAAGTGAACAACGCCTATATTCAAACAACAGGACTTAACACGCTACAGCTCGATCTTCATATCAAGATCTACCGTAACCAGGTCTACGTCGGACACTTTGAGTACAAGAACGTCACCTTCGTCTTACCTCCTGGTGGTGTCGATCTCAACGGCAAGATTGCCTGAGCGCAGTGTTAGCCTGCTCAATGTGCTCTCTGATTATCAGGGGGTATCGTTTTGGAACTGGTATTCCTTGAAACTTGTTTAGTTATTGTTTTTGTTTTTAGCTAGCTGTTTCGCTCCTTAATCTGCAATCATCATTCCCGGGACCAATCAATGGCTTCTTATGAACCTGGTGAAATTTTGATTTGATATGCAATTACCAACCATCTTGGTTCCCACGCGACGAACTATCCAAGTCGAACCTTTCTCCACATTCTCAAGCATTCCTGCAGGTCCATAGACACTGTTCCCTCCAAAGCCGTAGAGGTATCCCGAATCATAGCTACCAATAGTGACGCATGGGCAAAGTCAACTTGATCATCTTGAACTGCCTGATAGTCAGACTGTTTCATACCTCCGACATCAGCCCAAGCCTTCCACTTGTCCAGCATCCGGCAGATATTGGCTGCAAATTCCCCATCCAGAACCATGCGATGTAACATAAAGCCAACGACATCCTTTACAGTAAGTGAGTCATCCCAATGGCCTTTCCCTTGAAGCCATCGCAGGCAATGCTCAGCAACAAGCTTTGTGTCCCACTTGGGGCTGCGGAGGGCTTCCATCATGCGCTGATCGCGTCTCAGCTGGCCCGTTCTGAGTTTCTCCCGCACTATGGTATGTCAGCAATGGACTTAGAAATCTATATGATTGGGCTGACTTACTCTCATCCATCCGCTCTTGATTCTCCTTGCGCATTCGAGCTTGTGCCGCCGCTTCACGCTGAGCAGGAGGCAACAGTGCTTCTGCAGCAATCGCAGCCCGTTGTTCCTGAGACTTTCGTGCAAACTTGTGAATATCAGTTCCGTGGTCATCATATCTGGTCGCCCACGTCGGCGTCTCAGATTCGTCAACGATGCCTAGAACAACCAACACTCCGCAAGGTACAGTTTCCTTCCGTGCAAAGGACAGAATATCGTCTGGTATTTTGTAGTTCCATAGAATGGTCTGACTAGATGTTCCAAAGGCGGTGGCTGCGCTGGAAAACCATACACCATCTGATTTAGCAGGCTGAGTTCGCAGGTGGTCGATGTAAAGGCTTTCCAGGTTCAAAGTTGTCTGAATACCATAGTGATCCTGCTCGGTCAGCGCCGTGACGAGCCCTGACATGGAGATCTGACAAGTAATTGCACTCGACTGTGGAGAAGCTTGGTTAGTTCCTGGGCGTGAATCAGCCTCCCGATCCTTCCCTGCTGTTAGTCCGTCCTCTGAGTTCCGAGCTGAGTGATCCGGAACCTCCGACGCGCTTCCAGGCTTGTTGGTATTGTCTTTCTGAGGTGGTGACGGCAATCGGACCCAATATGGCGGCAAGTTGGAGTAATCTCTTGTGATCCAGGAGCTAGACCAGGCAACAGTCAACGAGAGGTTTCCATCAGAATCATTTGACGGAGCGATTGTCAACGCGTCTTGCCGACCTTCGGGAGACATCATCAAGCAACATCCTACAGGTGTCCAAAGTCCCGATGATCTCAATAACTTCCATCCATGGGGGTTCGGGACAGCGCCAAGATCGAGAAGGTAGCAAACAAGCTCATCGAATGCCACCTCGACTTGAGGTTGTCGGACTTGATCAGCATACTCCACTCGCTGAGTCTTCATACCAATTGAGTGAGTTTTCCAGTTAAATGTGGTCCAACTACCGCCAGGGATAGAGCTGGGATGACGCGACAGAGTCCAGTACTCTGAGCGATCCTGGAATCTGTCCAGCGGCATGACGGCATAACGCGGGAGCTCTATCTCGATGACTCTGTTGACAATATCACTCCGTGTAAGTGCTGTCAGACGACTATGCCGCAGCATACGCTTTATCTTAGAAAGCGAGATGAGCGTGGAGAGCGTGTTGTATAGAATTGGGAGAACTGCCGGGGTAGTTAGTCGCTTGGCGTACGGTATACGAGGAAGCTAGTGAGTACCTCCCAAGACTGCCAAGGGCACACCGATATAGGTGATGATATCGGTCGGCGACTTTCCATTGTCTGCCATGCTGAAGTCGCGATAATTTCATCTGTGTCACGAAACATTTCGAAATTGCGAAAGGGGTTTTCTGAGAGTTCAGCTGAAATGAAAAATACCGACTAGGCTGATTTAGGTATGATCTGAAGCTAAAACAGCCACGTATCGTTAGAGGAATGGTGTCTTTTATTTTATATCTCGTACTAATAACAGATTTCTAAATATGAAAATGTTCAGTCATAGAATCGAAGTGGTCTGTAAGGAAGGTCTATCAGTGTTTGCCTATAAGGTGGCGTTATATGGGTGTTTTGTATTAGACGTTGGGCTGGCTTGACATCATGGCGGTGAAGTCGACTTACCTGATTTGGTGAATCAATGCGACTCATTGAATCTACACAACAGAAAATGAAAAGAAAAAGGGAGGGAAAAAAGAATTATGACGGTGAACTTTTTACATCCCTATAGCGAGTTCATACTGAATATCCAGAGACGGCTCAAGAAATGATGAAAAACACATCTACTTCAGGGTAGCGCGGAGCATCTGCGACACGGACCCCTTACAGCATCCTTGAGGCCAAATCATGTGCCTGAAACCCTTGTACCAACAGCTATCAAGGTAGCTTTTGTTGTCACCTCATTGTTCCCCACCTTAACGCGTCAAATTTTAAAAACATCGCGCCTCTTCTCACAGCTGCCCAACATGCAAGAACAAATTGTAATGAGGAACTTCATTTGATTAGGTACTTGCTAATCGAAGGCCAGGCTGTTGATCTAGATTACGACTCTGCTATCGGAATAGTAGGCCCATTCCGACCCAGCAAGGTCAAGGTTGATTCTAACAAAAAAAAAGCCACTCGACGATCCGTTAAATTTATCACTTCGATCCAGCCTGCTCCATTTCGCACAAGAAAATGGACGGACTTACCATAGGCTAAGTGAAGGGAGTAAGAATAGGCTTTGATTCAAATTGACTCTGGCTAATGGAAATAGAGTATGCCTTCCCAAATGACGATGTGAGCTCATGGTCAAACAAACTGGGTGCTTGGTCTAACCGCATTGGAGATCGAAAACGATAGACTCGGTAAGAAGAGACCTCGAGGCATGCTTGCCAACGCTGACAACGGGTAGATCTGCAAGATGGCCTGTATATTATTACGCTTGACGGGAAGAGGGCCCTGAATCCGGGAGCCGATACAGCCAAACGAGTTTTAGATATGGGTACTGGAACAGGTATTTGGGCATTGGAATTTGGTGTGTTATCTGATGACAAATTTTTGATGGAAATTGACTAATTAGATCCTAGCTGAGGAACACCCGGCTGCTGAAGTATGCAAATTTACTACACTCTGTTGCCTAGCCTAATGTCTGAGAACAGGTGATCGGCGTTGATCTGAGCCCTATTCAACCTCCATTGTTGGTCCTAACTTGTCTCGAACCTTTGCAGTATCTGACATTCGATACAGCGTACCACCGAACTGCAGTTTTGAGATCGATGACCTTGAGAAAGAGTGGACATGGACGACACCGTTTGACTTTATTTTCTCTCGCATGATGACAGGAAGCTTTTCCAACCCCGAAACAATGGCAAACAAGGTATTCAAGTAAGCTTGCTGATAGAACATTTTAACCTACGGGCATTCTAGTAACGCGCTGTAGTGGTCTAAACCCCGGTGGCTGGTATGAGATCCAGGATATTCAACTCCCCGTCTTCTGCGACGATGCCACTCTCGACCCCAAAACGTCTCCACTCATGAAGTGGCAAGAATGCCTCATCGAAGGCTCTCGTAAACTTGGTCGGCCACTCGGTGAGTCTGATAAGTATAAAGCCATCGTCGAGAAAGCCGGCTTCCATAACGTCGTGGAGACTATCTACAGATGGCCTACCAACAGCTGGCCTAAAGACCCAAAGCTCAAGGAACTTGGAAAATGGAACCTCATCAACTTTGAAACAGGACTTGAGGGCGTGAGTCTGGCTTTGTTTACCAGGGTGCTCGGTTGGTCAAAGGATGAAGTACTATCTCTTTGTGCAGACGTAAGGAATGAATTGAGAAACCCAAAGGTACATGGGTACTGGAAAATGTAGGTTTCTTTCACCACTACGTTTGCACTATGCTAACTACAAGAGCTATGTGGTATATGGGCAGAAGCCGGAGAGGGAGTCAGCGGAGTACAGGGTCGAAGAGCCCTGAGGTCATTCAACCTCGATTTTCATGACTGTCACTTTCTTCTCCTTAATATGAAAGCCGATAGGGCCTCGGCAGTACAGTCAACTCAGTAACGCATTCTTGTTGATTTGTGGTGCCATGGGGAGAACTATGTAGTGTGAAGTTTCGTGAACATCGAGCAAGGAGTCTGTTGCACGGGACCATCCTAATGTCGCCATTTGTCAGGCCAATTGTGAACTCAGGACCGTGGGCTGATCACAGAGCATCTTCCAACCATTCCACCTAAGCTTAAGTTCTATCACGAGTAGATACACAACATACGACTAATTTGACATGGCTGGATCGTTTCCAACATGCTGTACCCGAACCAATCGGTACCACCAAAACTTACCCCAGGTTTGCCTCGGGGCAGCCGGAGCCGGAGTGGATCACAGTCTAACCCAATCCTCGCCCCGACAAAAAGTCAGAACACCATCTTCCCCCCTCCAACTAATCCCAACACGCACAGAATGAGGGGGACCAGCCATGCAAATCCGGGGACGACGTCGGACGGGCGTTACATGCCGTCTGGGGTTCAAAGTCCGGTCTACATGAATATGCATGCAACTTGACTTATATAAAGACCCATTGAACTTGGCCTTTGATCGACAATCTTCTTTCTTGGCTCAAGTCTCCACTGATCTTTGACAAACATGGACTACAAAGCTGATGAGAAGGTCGCTATTGACCACGGTGATGAGGTTCATGATGCTCATGTTGCGGTTCAGCTTGCGCATGATGTTGAGAATCAGAAGTTGTCACCATGGACACCTCGTATGTTCAGGTTGTACTTCATCCTGGCTTGCGCGTACCTCTGTGGTTGCTTGGTAAGTGCTTCACGAGACAACAATAAGTTGGTTGCTGACTATGGAAGAACGGATATGATGGCAGTCTTCTTGGTGGTATCAACGGCATGAAGGCATACCAACGCTACTTCAACATGTATGTGAAACCATCAAGAAACAGGACTTGAACTAACAATCGCAGGTCTTCCGAGGGCTCTACGACCGGTATCATCTTTGCCATGTACAACATCGGCTCCATCGCCGCCGTATTCTTCACCGCCCCCGTAAACGACTTCTTCGGCCGACGATGGGGCATGTTCACCGGTGCCATCATAGTTATCGTCGGAACATGCGTCCAAGCTACTTCCACGGGACGAGGTCAATTCCTCGGTGGTCGTTTCATCCTCGGCTTCGGCGTTAGTTTCTGCTGTGTCTCCGCCCCTTGCTACGTTAGCGAGATGGCGCATCCCAACTGGCGAGGCACTATTACCGGTTTGTACAACTGTACCTGGTACATCGGTAGTATTATCGCCAGTTGGGTTGTTTACGGCTGCAGTTACGTCGAGGGCGACATTGCCTGGAGAATTCCCATTTGGTGCCAGATGATCACTTCTGGCATCGTTGCCCTTGGCGTTCTGTGGCTACCTGAGTCTCCACGATGGCTTATTGCTCAGGATAGAGTTGAGGATGCCGTTAAGGTTCTAGCTACATACCATGGTGAGGGCGATGAGAATCACCCTGTGGTTGTTTTGCAGATCAAGGAGATGTCAAACCAGATTGCCGCCGATGCTACTGATAAGTCTTGGTGGGATTACCGTGGACTCTGGAACACTCACAGTGCGCGACGCCGGCTTATTGGTGTCTTGGGTATGGCTGTATTTGGACAAGTCAGTGGAAACAGTTTGAGGTACGTCCCAAGTTCTTTTCCAGCTTCAAGCTTTCTCTAACCATGTATAGCTCTTATTATCTCCCCGTCATGCTGAAGCAAGCCGGCATCACCAACGAAAAGAAGGTCTTGGCTTTGAACGGCATCAACCCTGTGCTCTGCTTCTTCGGTGCCATTCTCGGAGCTCGTCTCACTGATGTCGTTGGTCGCCGACCTCTTCTGATCTACTCTATCATCTTCTGCTCCTGCTGCTTCGCCGTCATCACCGGTACCAGCAAGCTCTCTCTCGACCAACCCGACAATGCTTCCGCTGCCAACGCCACCGTGGCAATGATCTTCATCTTCGGTATTGTCTTCTCTTTTGGTTGGACTCCTCTCCAGTCAGCATACATCGCCGAATGCTTGTCCACCGACATTCGTGCCAAGGGTACTGCCGTCGGTAACCTTGCCAGTTCAATCGCGTCGACTATCATCCAGTACAGCAGTGGTCCAGCTTTCCAGGACATCGGATATTACTTCTACCTCGTGTTTGTCTTCTGGGATCTGTTTGAGGCTGCCTTCATCTACTTCTTCTTCCCTGAGACCAAGGATCGAACCTTGGAGGAATTGTCTGAGGTGTTTGAGGCCCCCAACCCGGTTACGAAGAGTCTTCAGAAGAGGGATGCTCAAACTGTTATGAACACTCTGAATGTGACGGCAGATGCGAAACTCGCGGGAGAGGTTTGATCTGGTCAATCTCAATTACCTCGGCATGTTTTAGGTAGCCATACTGAAGAGAACTCCATCGCAATCAATATAATGCATAATGCATTGTTACTCCACAAACATTTTCTTCACAACGTGATAATTTGAACATAATGAGCTTCAAGGCAGTGACCGACCAGAAAGATGTCTTGACTAAATGTTTCAGTACACCGTGGCATAGACCTTCAATTGGTTCGCAACAATTTCGTATCGCGTGTCAATTGAGTTCCAATTAGACTTGTCTGCCAATCGCCAAACCCTCGGCCTCACTTCCCGATCTGCATACCACGTCGCAACGAACAATGGCACCTCATGACCTTGGTTTGAACCCCAGTATTTCCAAGGTCTCATGGCCATCAAGCTTTTGCACCAACCTCGCAGATCAAGGAAGTGTCCAATCGGACAATGTCACGAAAGCTGGGGTAACTAACCCATTCCCCGAATGAATTCCCGCACCAATCACAAGCTTCAATTGACCTCGGACCGAGCTTCCCCGTGATCCATCAGATGATTCACAAACTCCTCATTCATTATCTCCTCTTTTCCCCACGTTTGTGTCGGCCCGTACCGGAGCGAATTGCTGTTCAATACCCAGCGCAATGGATCAAGCAAATGATGAATGGCCTGCGAGGAAGAGGTTGAGAACGTCGCATGCAGTGAGTTTGCCATCATGTGTTATGCTGCATGTGCTGACCGACGTTAAGTGCGATGCTTGTCGTACCCGCAAGACAAGGTAGGATGATCCTCTCGGCAAGACTCATTTGACAGCTTGGCTGATGGCGATAGATGCGATGGGAACAATCCTTGCGCGACATGTGCGTCGATCGGCCATGATTGCACCTATGGATCTGAAGCCAACTCGTAAGCCTCACTCTCCAGTTTATTGCTCGGCTCCAGCATGGTAACGCTACTGCAGGAGGAGCAAGAACGATCTCATTCTAGAAAGTGTTCTGCGGGTCGAGAAGACCCTACATGAGTTAAGATCTGCCATCGTAAGCCATATGTATCTCGTCTAGATGTCTAGTTTTGACCATTGTAGCCGGCCGGTGTTCAACTTGCCAACTCACCTCAAACAAATCGTACCAATTCCTTCTCAGGCTCATCGCCAGATCTCAATCTTCGTCGGCAGAGTCATGCTATACAGACACCAACCAGTCAAGACCAACGTGAGAATGTCAACAACTTTGAGAATGCAGTATTGGATTCTATGCATACCTCGACAACTGAGTCGATACTCCAATGGCCGCACTTTGACGTCTTCCCACTTCTTCGACACGATGGAGAGTCGATCTTTTACCTTGAGCAAGCACGGCCACCGCTATCAGTCGCATCGAATCCCATGTATCCATACGTTGACGCGGAAGACATAACCTCGATGCTGGAGGCGTTCGAACGTAACATCAACTTCTGGTACCCTTCCATGTCACAAGATCAACTTGGCAGTTTACGAGCGACGCTTCAGAATGGAATGCCTTCAGAAGATACAGTTCACTCTTGTCTCTGTTTACTCACATTGGCTCTAGGATGTGCAAGTCAAGCTGCTGAAGACCTTCGCTTCACCGCCGAGCCCGATGCGGCAGAGAAAGACAGAAGACTTCGAAAGCGGAAGCTGGGTGATATCTACTTCCAACTGGCTCTAAAGAAGCTCCACGTTGCCCATCTGCAAGTTGACTCTGAAAGTACTCAATGCCTCTTCTTCACGGCGTAAGATGACCCTAGTATCCCTGAATTTGGCCTTTCTAACCTGTCAGTCTTTACTTCGCTTCTCTGGTCCGACCACTTCAGGCTTGGGAGTATCTCAGTGCTACAGCGACGAGATGCATGTTGCTTCTATCCTATCCACCCAACACGCATGACAACGAGGCTGAAGAGCGCATCAGAAGAATATTCTGGTCATGTTACATCTTAGAAAGGTAAGCTTACAACAATTTGCTATCCAAATTTCCTCGACCGAGTGCTAATATGCACTTAGTGACTACATGGCCGAGCTATCAGCTTGCCCCCCTTCTGGCATCGCGCGCGTCGAGTCGTCTATCCCATTACCAAGCACATATCACACACACCCATCCGAAATTGTGGAAGAGGAATCGTCGCTATACTTCTTGGCCTGTGTAAGCATGCGACGTCTCCTGAACAGAGTCCATCAACTACTTTACGCAAAAGACACCGGCGCTGCATTTGATCACACTCGCTTTCCACGCATCGTCGCCGAGCTGCAGCGGCAGCTAGACGACTGGCGTGAAGTCTTACCAGCCTCTTTCTCTTTCAGCATCGATACGGAAGAAGCTGCAACAGCGGCTGGTGGATTTCTTCGGCAGCGTTATCTTACGTGCAAAGGAGTCATCTATCGACCGTATTTGATGTGGATGCTAAGTAGTAGCTATGCTGAGACAAGGGTGCCTTCGATACCAGATGCTATGCAAAATTGCAAGTTATGCCTTGACGCTTGTTTACTACATGCATTAGATCTCAGAGGCTTCCCACAAACAGTTCTGATTGATACCTGGATATGCTCGCTGTCGTAAGTTGATAACCGTTTCAGACTCGCATCATACTGACAAGGAACAGTATGTCAGGGGCGATGCTGATCATTCTCGCTGCGTCGCACGTGCCTGCTCTCAAAGAGTTCATTGGCTCACGAGCCACGCTTGTAGGAAGTCATCTTGAGAAGTTATTCCGAAACTGGCGTGAGGTCTCATTTGGTGGAGATTCACCGAGTGTCGATCGTAGCATGTGGCTCATGCAACAGGCAGATAGTTACATAAGGGATTGCTATTAACAGGGCTTTAAATGCATCACGAAACATATTATCACTTTGTACACAGGAGGTAGTAACGATTGCACAAGTAGTTGGGGTAAAGCTCTACGTGGAGCTTTCGATGCAAATTTGACTCTGCTATATAATAGAAGTGAACGAAAATATTCATCCATCTACCTTCCGCACACCACCGTTTATCGATCAAAGCCCCTGTTCTTCAAACCAAACAGATCTTGAAAGGGGTGATTACGCAGACGCTAGCCTCGGGGAGCAAGAAATCTTGTGAACCAGGGTGCCAAAACCCAAGTCTTTTTGTCCTTTAGGATGAAGGTCCTAAGTTTTCAGGCAAAGTGGTTTGACATGTCCACCCATGCTATTAATCAGGTTAGTTGATGTCACCCTTTCCTCCCGAGTCACAATGCTTAAAGCTGACTTCCGGTCCACAGTAAGCCTTGTGGTCAAAGTTGCTCGCCAGCCCAATGAGGAGGTACCCGTTCCAAGTTCCACCGTGAGTTAGATCCAAACACTGGGTACCCCAGATCTTGTGCCCGTGCTTCTTGATATGATGCTCGATTGCACCTGCAATGGTTTCCTGTTCGGCAGTCGTGTCACAGTGTCTACCCGTAGCCTGGGATTTGTATTGTTAGAACCACACTATCGTAAAGAAGAGAGTATTGAGGTTCGCTTACACGATAGCAGTAGAAAAGGTCGCCGTTTGGGCCAGCACGTCCAGTGAAGGTGGAACAGGTCTTGACGTTTGAGGCATGCTTAATGGCAGAGCCTAAGCGCTATGTTAGCTTAGGATCTACAACGAATTACCTGCACTTACTGATCTGGAGGATTCCGTCCTAAAAGAGGGATGTTAGAGACCTGTCGATTCTTCAGAGGTGTTTCTTACCTTGATAGCGCCCCAATAATAACACAATGAGAAGTAATAGTGATGATTCTCTCGCAAACCTTCAGAGATGTCAGATTTGTGAAGAACTTTACAGCGAAATCAACTGACCCTGACGTTTCTGCGCTTCTCAAGGGCAGAGTCCTCAGACTCAAAATCTTCAAGATGGTACAGCGCTAGCGAATTCGGCATCTTAATGGCCTCGGTCACCTCTGTGGTAGGCATAGAGTAAATAGACGAAGGCAAGGACATTAAGACGAAGAAGCTCATAAGGGCGGGTTTCATCTTGACTTAGGTAGACAACGAGATTCGCTGCGAGAAGGATAGTGGGAATAATGTATCCAGCTGATGCTTGAACGATTTGATCCAGAAAATGAGGCTCGAGTTGAGGTGCTGGGGCCATTACTGCGATATGAACGTGAGGTCTTCGAGAGTTGTCGGTCTTTTATAGGACTTTTATGCGGATTTCGAAGGATTTGATGATGTGACGAGAGCAAATGTTGAATGTCAGAAAATTTGGCCGATGAGGGTATCTTCGGCGTCAAAGTGAATATGCCACTTATCCGACCCATGTGAAATGCTGTTGGTTCTACAACAGGCACAGAAACTTGCGAGAATGTTGCAGGCACAGAACCAACACACTTTGGCTACAACCAACAGCGGCTCTATATATGAGAAAGATCCATGTGTCTCGGAAGAACGGCATCTCCAGCAACAATAAGCGCCACGGCCTCACATACGACATGCTGAGGTGTCCGACCTTTCGGCGCGGACTTTACTAACAAATAACTGAGTCCTCGGGGATAAACCATCAGTTTTTCACTGACTCTTTATATTGTCAACATGAAATCTTACAGATGTTCCACCTCTTATGCTGTCCTCTTTCCACACATAGCCTTGGGAACATACCATTGTCAAGAATTCTCTACTGAGCTATTTGCAGAACCCTGCGGCAAGATGGGTGTCTCGGCCCTTTCTACTTACCGAAAAGCACCAGTTGAAGGATTCTATCCTTGCACTTCTCATAAAGATATCTTCTTGTCAGGAGTCATGATGTGTTAGCTGCAAGCTCAATCCTTCGTCTTCGCGTCTTTCAGTTGGTCATTGAACGTGTGATCTTCAATATGTGCCGAGTTGCCGCCTGGATGTTGGTCTCGATGAGCAGACATGTCGGCAATTCCAAAAGGTTTTGCAGTCCATATTAATTCCTGTTGCTACATTGATGAATCGACCGGTCTGGTCTTATGGAATCCCTGAGGTATCCTTATTATTGCATGAAACTGGTGGTTTTGACGGAACGAGATGACGAACGGTGTGCAGGATGAATCAGAGTTCCCCTCGGGTTGGTTGAATTTACAAGCCAAGGATTCAGTCGTTCAAGCACTTTCCAATCGTCTGCGAGTTAAGTTCTAAAACCCCCAGACAATGGCCAGCTTTCTCTGGCACCGAAGTAGATCATATCCAAGTCGATAAAGTGCTTCGATGAAACCATTGAACACACAGCAGTTTTATTCACTGGAAATTCGGACTACGAGAGAAAATAGGTCATAAGTGGATTAAAATAAGCTTGTTCTCTCGGCGTCTGGCTAATGATGTCTAAATACAACTCTAAACTAAATAAGTTCATTTTCCCGAAGTATGCCTCCTAAACTTTGTAGGCTATGATGCCATTGGTGATAAATTCCTATAATTCTTTGAAGATGCAATGACTTCATGTTTCCGCGAAGTCAGAAGTGCGTTGTGATAAGATACAAGTAACAGGTGAGTCTAACAACCAGCACACCAGGATTCATACCATTTGCGGTTATCATTCTCTTTGGCACGATTTATTACGGAATTGGCTTCCTAATAATCTCCTTCCTTGGCCTGTACTCTCCCGACTTTCCATAACTCGTCAAAATATGTAATAGTTTACCAGTAGACTGATTGTTAACTTCTCACCTACAACTAATTTAGACCCTCTATAGCTCACGGTCGGCCCCTTTCTGTTTCTCCTTTTTCTTCTCTTCCTCCTGGAGACTGTCCAAATCCCACATCATAGACACTGGAGTAACTACAAGCTTTGGCCCGCATTCTATCTCGTAGTCAAAGCCCTTGGTCGGTCCGATGAGAAGGTGGCCATTCCAAACACCGGTGTCAGTCAGGTCCAGACATTCAGTGTGACGTAGAGAGGGCCCTTCTGTCTTGATACGATGCTCGATTGCACGTTGGATCTCGATTTGTTCGATGACGGTATCACAATGGCCATCATCAGTCTACTCTGTTTTAGCCATCTGATGCGAGGTTGGATGAAAGATGGACAAACCTCATACTGGTAGTAAATCTCTTTCTTAGGACCGGCGTGTCCACTGAAGTATCCGCAATCTGCGAGCCCGGCGGCATGCTTGATTTCAAAAGCTAAATACTCAGTCCATATCCATATTGAAACCGCAGATTGTCTGCTTGAACTTACTCCAACGAAGCCATAATACCTTTGATTGACATGTTAGAACTCTTCCTTCCAATTCAAGAGATTGGCTTACCTTGAGTCCCTCTGTAAACTCATGTGATGGCGCAACAGCAGCCCATGCACGTTCATATATCTAACAATCAGCCACAATCCTGTCAATGAATCGGGGTTGGGTATTACTAACAGATCTCCGTTTCTCAGGCACGTCCTTTTCGGACTCACTGTGCTGAAGTTGTTCCAGTGCATGGAGCAGCTCAAGATGTATCTCCTGGTTCACCGCACTTGGTCGCGGGCCACTAGCCGAACCTGTCGCCTCTAAGATAGGCTCCCAGCAGATAGAGGTTGGCAAAGACGTTAAGGCCAGTAAGATCATAAGCTTTGGATGCATCTTTGTTGATATAGGCAATCAGGTTCGAGACTATAAGAAGGAGAGGCACGATGTACCCGGCTGCTGCCCGGTTGAATCTGTCGATAGTGCCGGAGTCAAAGGAAATGTTTGGTGACATCACAATACGTCGGCTGATATTCCCAGGATTTGTGGCTGGATTAGCGGTATTTGTTGATGAAAGTTGAGGAAATGGGCGAAAGGTACTGATGATATGACATGTGCAAACGAGGCTATGCTAGGCGATATGTGCCGGATACCCGGTAGTGGAGACGCTGTTGGTTGGAAACGCGTTGTCACTTACGAGGTTGATGAATGTTCAGAACCAACATGCTTTGATAGAAAGAGTCAATTGGTCAATAGTGCAGTATCTCTCCATCTCGGAAGTTCGGCAACTCTAATATGAAACGCGGCCACATAATCTCATTCCGACCTCATCCTATCATAAGCGATTACAGTTTTCTCGGATTGTTGTTTCTGTATTCCAGTGTCGTTATGCAAGGAAAGGTCAATTTCCAATGATAAAATTTAAAAACACAGCTGATTTGTATGGTCATATAACAATTAAAGCTACGAATACTCAATATGATTGCTTCACATACCGCGGATTTAGCCGATCAGCTGTTTCATGTTTTCTGGTCCTCGTCAACGACCTCTGTTTGATCGCATACTGACTGTAACCGTTGGAAACTGCCTCTGATGCTACCCAAGTCAAGAGAAGTATTGTATCATGGAAGTTTATGAAGGTGAAATTAAAATTCGACTGGGGACATTACCGATGAGATAAAAGATGTCGTGCCTGGAGAATCCTCAGCAATGGCAACAGGACTAATCTTGACACCTGAGACCGATGCCAAGGAGACTTCAGCCTTAATAGTGGACCGCATTTCTAGATTGTGACTTATGGGGCCTAGAAGCTTGTCTAATTTCCTAATAATAGATCTCTATATGTAAAAATGTCCTCTAGCTTGTCAGTCTAGGGGTACCCCCTCGACCATGCTGAGAGAAGCAAAGAGGCTCACTAGCGGAACCAATAGAATAACATGGTTTTGGGAAATATTACACTTCATTTTCCTCAAGTCTGTGGTGCTATGTATATCATTTGCCAGAATATTTTGGTGCTTCGGTTGGTAAGGTTAGCAAGCATTATAATTGTTTAACCAATACACTGTCAGATTTGAGCAGCCTGATTAGTCTTCTCTGCTACTCAAACACGCCTGATTCTCACAGTTTTCAACTACTACCAAGTGCATTCCATACCATGACTTCTCCCATGAGGTCGTAAGCAGGTGGCACGTAACAATCTCAACAGGCCTGTTCCGCTGTCGGGTAGTCCAGCCAAGCCCTTCAAGTCTTGCCCCGCTCCGGCTCCGACATCCCCGGGCTGTTACCCTCTAATCCTAATACGCTCTGGTGCATTCAGGCTGTTCCACCAAACAAGGCATGATCAACACCAATCAAGCCATGTACCCGCACCTATCATGGATTCTAGTGGAGTTATCTCCTCCCCGAGAGTCAGTCCGAAGCACGTGTTGAGTAAAGACCAAGTTGAGACGTATCACGATGCGGGGGCTGTGCTATCGCAGAGGAGGAATTACAAGATAAAAGTCCAATAATTCCTGAGACTTGAACTTCCAATTCATTTCAATCGTCTTTCTTGCATCGTCAAAATGGGAGACAGCATTCAGCAAGAGCCCAAGGGCATGCCTCTTCAAGAGGATCCCTCTCGACCGGACTATATCAACGAAGCTGTCTTTAGGAGAAACACTCTCCCCACTCGTTCATATCATATTCCTGATACTTCAATCTCACTGAACGGAACATGGGACTTTTCTCTCGCTGGCACAGTTCTCGAAGCACCCGAGCCAAGCGCAAAAGATGTCGCTTTTGGTCAGATCCAAGTCCCGGGCCATTGGCAGCTTCAAGGCCACGGAAAGCCCTGGTACACTAATGTTCAGTATCCTATTCCCGTCTGTCCGCCATATGTTCCTACAGAAAACCCTACAGGAACTTATCGTCGAGAATTCCACGTCCCGACGGGTTGGGCTGCGGATTCTCAGCTGAGATTGCGCTTTGATGGCGTTGATAGCGCGTATCATATTTGGGTCAACGGCACCCTGGTCGGATATGCCCAAGGCTCAAGAAATCCTTCCGAGTTCGACATTTCATCGTTTGTCAACCGCAAGGGCGCGAATGAGCTCTTTGTGAGGGTTTACCAGTGGTCTGATGCGACGTACATCGAAGATCAGGATCAATGGTGGCTTTCAGGTTAGTAGCGCCCAAACCGCCAACTTGAACAATAACTAATCCTTTCAGGCATCTTCCGAGATGTGTATCTCATTTCCTTCCCAGCTGCCAGAATTGAAGATTTCTTCCTCACGCCACTTCTTGACGATGACTATAAGAATGCTCGCCTAAACGCATCTGTTGATGTCTTTGCTCAAAAGGGCGTCGTTGTCGAGCTCACGGTCTCTGAGCTTGCAAAGAATGGCGGAGCTGTTATTGGCTCCACCGAGACCTCTTTCGATGGACAGTCAAAGGCTAGTCTCAGTCTTTATGTAGAGGACCCAAAGAAGTGGACAGCAGAGACACCATATTTATATTCAGCAGAGATAACACTCAAGTCTGAAGACAAGCAGACTGTCCTTCACAAAGTCCAGCAACGCGTTGGTTTCAGAACGGTTGAGCTGAAGGATGGCCTAATGAAGGTCAATGGCAAACGCATTCGCCTCAGAGGTGTCAACCGTCACGAACATCACCCTCTTCTCGGCCGCTCTGTACCTCTGGAATTTGCCAAGCGTGATCTTCTCATCATGAAGAAGCACAACATAAATGCCCTTCGTTGCGCCCACCAACCTCACGACCCCCGTGTTCTTGACCTCTGCGACGAGTACGGCCTCTGGGTCATGGCGGAGGCCGATCTTGAGTGCCACGGCTTCTATGATGCTGTTGCTCGACCTCTCGACATCCCCGAGTCGATGGACTACGGCGAGCGAAAGAAGCTTGCCTTCGGAAAGGCTGCTGAGTTCACTTCCAATAACCCCAAGTGGAAGGACGCTTATCTTGACCGCATCCGGGCTGTTCTTAACCGTGATAAGAATCACGCCAGTGTTATCATGTGGAGTTTCGGTAACGAAGCCTTCTATGGTGATAACCACAGAGAGATGTTCAAGTATGCTACGGAAGCTGATCCCTCGAGGTTGATTCACTATGAGGGAGATATGGAGGCCGAGACAACACATATGTATAGTTATATGTATCCCACGGTTGAACGCTTAATCAAGTACGCTGCAGAGGAGGGGGTCAAGGACGGCAAGTACGAAAAGCCTATTGTACTCTGTGAGTATGGACATGCAATGGGTAACGGACCCGGTTGGTTGGAAGACTATGAGCAGGCCTTCCGTGACTATCCTCGTCTCCAAGGTGGCTTCATCTGGGAATGGGCTAACCACGGTCTGTGGAAGGATGATCACGAGGGAGCAGGATATTACGCTTACGGCGGCGACTTTGGTGATGCACCCAACGATGGAACGTTTGTCATGGATGGCCTTCTCAACAGTCAGCATGAGCCTACTCCTGGTCTGACGGAGTTCAAGAAGGTTATCCAACCTGTTGGTTTTTCTTTCAAGGATGGCGAGTTGAAGATTGAGAACTGGCATGATTTTGCCGGCTTAGATCACTTGACTGCGTCTTACAAGGTGGAGCAGTTTGGTCAAGAGTGAGTCGATTCTAAGATAAGTGAGCTTTTCAGAACGCTAATCATAAAAAAGGTCTACCTTGATTCACTCCAGGTCATTCGAGATTCCCGAGATCCCAGCTGGCGAGACACGTTCCGTACCTCTTCCAGTCGACGCCAAGCGATACAACAAGGGCAGCGAGGTTTATCTGACAGTGACGCTATCCCTCAAGCACTCCACAGCTTGGGCACCTGCCGGTCACGAGATTGCTTGGTATCAGCAGCAGCTCCAGGCTCCTCAAAGTGATGCGAATTCTGCTCCTGTCGCAAGCAATACCCTCACTTCCAAGCTGTCCGTTTCTGAGAAGGGTGCTACTGTGTCAGTGTCTGGCAAGAACTTCGAGTTCGTCTTTGATAGAGCTTACGGCTCTTTGAAGAACTGGGTCTCGAATAACGTTGCGCTACTCACCTTCGACCCTAAGACCCAAGCTGCCATCATCCCGTCTTTTTGGCGCCCCAAGACCGACAACGACGTCCCTGGAGCCGTACCATACTGGGAGCGATTTGGTGTTGAACAACTCCAATCTCAACTTCGATCTTTCTCAGTCGACTCATCGAACTCCGATAAGGTTGTTCTCAAGTCACATACCTTCATCACTCCTCCAGTTCTGTTCTGGGGATGGGACTGCGAGATTGAGTATACAGTCTATCTCACAGGAGCTCTCAGTGTTAACGTCACGCGTCTATCACCTACGGGCTCTTTCCCCGAGCACGTTCCCAGAATTGGCCTCAATCTGTACGGCAGCAAGACCCTAGAGCACGTCAAGTGGCTAGGCCGTGGACCTGGAGAAAGCTATCCCGACAAGAAGGATTCTCAACGTGTTGGAATCTGGAATGTCGAGTCTATTTCTGAACTTCAGACTCCTTACGATGTTCCTCAGGAGAACGGTAACAGAGAGGACACACGATGGGTATCACTTCGGGACTCTAAGTCTCCTGGCATCGGACTCCGTGCGACACGTTTGGATGGAAAGAACTTTAGTTTCTTGGCCTCGCATCATAGGGATACAACTATTCATGAAGCTAGACATCCTCCTGATTTGAAAGAGGATGATGCGGTCTTTATTAGGCTGGATAGTAAGGTTGCTGGTGTTGGTTCAGGTGCTTGTGGACCTGCTGTTCGTGAAGATCTTATGGTTAAGACTGAGGAGACGACTTTTGGATTCTTGTTGGAGCCTCTATGAACTATATTGATAGATATGATGAGTAAATGATAAGGTACAGAAGTTCGAGCAACCAATTCCCCTTTGACATTGCCCTTGTGATGTTTGTCAAATTGTGCCCATCCTCTAGTGCTCCACCAGGTCTCCGGCCTCATCCCAGAGTTCCCTCATACAGAGGGACTCAATCAAGCCTTCACTGAGATACGCAGACAAGTTCCACAGAGTTTCTCAACATTTCCCTCTACAATAAAACAGCAATTCGGTGGCTCGAGGCTATTCGACATCCTCGTCGTCATTGACGCATGGGTCTTGATGCTCATTCACCAGCCACTACGCCACCCGAATCATCATCGCTAACTTGGCCGAGTGGTTAAGGCGCTGTGTTTAGGTTCTCATCAGAAACCAAACCCGCAGTGGGAAACCGCGGAGGTTCGAACCCTCCAGTTAGCATATTAAGCGATTCATTTTTTTTTTTTTGCTTTTTATGACGATATTCTTATGCTTTGAAATACTATTTGGATAATGGAGGCTGAATACACGCGTGGAGTTACATATACCAAGACGCGACTCTCCAAAGTCCCCACGTCGCGCCAAAAAGTGCTACCCAAGACAAAACGCCCTTCGCAATGAATATGTATCTCACAATCTGAAAAGTCTTCTTCTCATTCAATCGCGGAAAAGGCTCACTCGGAACATCCTTGCCCAAAAATTTGCAAAGCGGCTCCCATCCATCCTCTGCCTTGAACTGGAGAACCTCTCGATTGCGCTTCTTCGCCTCAGCCAACACCTCCTCGTTATACTTGTTATACATATCCGCGGAGAAGATATTGGCTGAACCATACTTCTCTTTGCCCATTTTGATGCTCTCCATATTGAGTGTATACCACATCCGATCAGAAGACCAGAGCAGACCAACCCAGTAGAACCAAGGACTGAAGAAGAACCAGAAGCTCTCTTCAGCGCTCTTAGCCCAGACCTCGGGATCAGGTCGTTGGTTCAAAACGATCTTGGCGTCTGGATACGCATCCATCATATCGGGCGTGAAGTACACGACAGGAAGATCACAGATGGAGCGATGCCCGTGAATGAGTTGCTTAACCATCTTCTGCCGAACTTCGGGATTCTTCTCACGCAACGCAGCGATGAAGAGGCGCAAACGAGAAGGATGAGGGAGGATCTCTGCCATGTGCATGCATGGTCCGCAGCCTAGCTTCTCAAAGGCAGCCTGCATTGATGATGTGGCAGCGCGAGGGAGCCCTGCCCCGATCACAAGCAGAGGGACCTCCTCAGATTTTGGGTCACCGAGGCCTCGAGGATCCGTAAGGAAGCGCATCGCCACAGCTGGTAATGACAAACGGTTAATAAATTCCAGATAGCTTATAATGCAAGAAGGCAGAAAGCCTTTGATCCTGTGAGAATGGGGAGCAGTCGGTTTTTAAGCTCACATAATATTGAAGCATCGAAATAGTGCTGACGCCAAGCGGCGCAGCGAATCCCTTGTCAGATTTTTTCTGACCTTACATCAGCCTATTGACTCTCGGATGGATTTGAATGCTTATTCTAAGTAGTTAGCTTAAGAATATCTGTAGAGTATTGGGGTTTCCTTTTCGAGTAATTATGAGACCCAAATTGTAAAAGTGCATGGCCACATAATGTAAGGGCATTTTGGTTACCAAAGCACCATTTTCCAGTCCAAACGTAGCTCGGTTTCCATGTCCTGATCTTGAAAACTCACAGATCGTCAAGCTGACCTTGAATGGATTGGCAACCAATCACAGGAATGACAAAAGATCGTTGGCTACGGACTCCGCAGTTCAAGTCTTCTGGCACTTGTCGTAAGCTTCACGCATGTGCCCGTATCCCAGAGGATCGTCACAGGTACGTTATCTAACTTTAGACATCCATCGCTCCTCTCATCTGACGGCTTTTCAAGATGCTCAACTTCGGCTGCCAAGCGAACTGGGAAACCACGGCACCCAAGCTCCAGCTTGATAGCCAACATATCTTAGTGTTAAAAAGTACCGAACTTGCTAAAGCCATAATCGATAGTCTAACGGCTAACAGTAACGATTACATCATGCAAACATTGTTAGCTACATACTAAACACAAGATATCGGTCCTTGACTGTCGTTTAAAGATCCAGATGATTGTTTTTATAGTTTATTGTTATGGTTGCTGTGGAAATTACCCCAGAATCTCACCTTTGCATGACGCCGATATGCACGAAGTCAGGGGAAATGGCCGTTGTGGCTTAAACTAATTAAACCTTATGGAGCCAAAATCCCATCCGTCGATCTGCCGTCAAGTTTTAGTCTTGTTTTCTCTCATCACCTACCCAATAGGCTAACTCAATAGGTTGAGGGTTGGGTGCTCAGACGTTGTGCAGAATTTAACCTGACCTGAAACAAAACAGGTGCAGGTGGAGATGGTGGCCTCAGTCTGCTGTGCAAGTGTAAGCGGATCGGGCAATACGAAGAGACCTTTTTCTTTTCTTAGACCGTTTGAACTTTGTTGACCAACTGGAAGACTTGTCCTTTCGTAAAACCGATATTAAAGGTTGCCGCTTTGATCCGCCTAGCAGCTGAAGTTGGTGTGGCGCCTGCGGTATGATGAATCTACCGGCTGTGTATCTGATGTCAGTCCTGCTAGACCAAACATGTACCAGAGAGGTAATCGATAAATAAATATGATATCCTCATCAATTTTGGACAACAAACTTGCTGCTTGTCCCATTTCATTCCATTCCATTCCATTCATTCACCTTGTCTTCTCCTCCTTATCTTACACTTCTCATTCTTTTCCCTTACTTTCGTTACAATGAAGTCCCTTTGGACACTTGCTCTTTACCTCGGGAGTGCTAGTGCTGTCGCCATTGCCCAACCGGCAGCAAAAGCTGAGACCCCTGAAGGATCCTTGCAATTCCTTAGTCTTAGAGCCTCAGCTCCCATAGGCACTGCTATCAACCGCGACAAGTGGCGTGTTACCTGTGACAGCCAGCACGAAGGAGATGAGTGCTCAAAGGCCATTGATGGTGATCGCAACACGTTCTGGCACACTGCCTGGGCCGCGGGAGGCACCAATGACCCAAAGCCTCCTCATACCTACACTATCGATATGGGCTCTACTCAGAATGTGAACGGATTGTCTGTCCTTCCTCGCCAAGACGGTAGCGATCACGGCTGGATCGGCCGTCACAATGTCTTTCTAAGCACAGATGGGAAGAATTGGGGCGATGCCGTTGCAACCGGAACATGGTTCGCTGACAACACTGAAAAATACTCTAATTTTGAGACTCGTCCTATTCGTTATGTCCGTCTTGTCGCTGTCACTGAAGCAAACGACCAGCCTTGGACCAGCATCGCCGAGATCAACGTCTTCAAGGCAGATTCCTATACCAGCCCTCAAGCCGGTCTCGGAAGCTGGGGCCCGACACTTGACTTTCCTATTGTTCCGGTGGCTGCTGCAGTTGAGCCAACATCAGGAAAGGTTCTTGTTTGGTCTTCCTACCGTAACGATGCGTTCGGAGGCTCCCCTGGCGGTGTGACATTGACCTCGACCTGGGATCCTTCCACGGGTGTGATTTCTCAACGCACTGTAACTGTCACCAAGCACGATATGTTTTGCCCTGGTATCTCTATGGATGGAAATGGGCAGGTCGTTGTCACGGGTGGCAACAATGCTCAGAAAACAAGCCTTTATGACTCTTCTAGCGATAGCTGGATCCCAGGGCCTGATATGAAAGTTGCCCGCGGATACCAGTCATCAGCAACTCTATCGAATGGTCGCGTCTTTACTATCGGCGGCTCTTGGAGCGGTGGTATATTTGAGAAGAATGGCGAAGTATATGATCCATCTTCAAAAACATGGACCTCACTTCCAGGAGCTTTGGTCAAACCAATGTTGACAGCAGACCAACAGGGCCTCTACCGTTCTGATAACCACGGATGGCTGTTCGGCTGGAAGAAGGGAACCGTTTTTCAAGCCGGGCCTAGCACTGCTATGAATTGGTACTATACCAGTGGAAACGGCGATGTAAAGTCAGCCGGCAAGCGTCAATCAAGCCGCGGTACAGACCCAGATGCGATGTGCGGAAACGCTGTTATGTATGATGCAGTTAAGGGAAAGATCCTTACGTTTGGCGGCTCCCCAAGTTATCAAGACTCTGATGCCACTACCAACGCTCATATCATCACAATTGGCGAGCCCGGAAGCACACCCAAGACAGTATTTGCTAGCAACGGCCTGTATTATCCTCGAACATTTCATACGTCAGTTGTTCTTCCCGACGGAAACGTTTTCATCACAGGTGGCCAACAGCGTGGTATTCCTTTTGCCGACTCGACTCCCCAGCTTACACCAGAGCTTTATGTCCCTGATGCAGACACTTTCTACAAACAGCAACCAAACTCCATTATTCGAGTCTATCACAGTCTTTCCTTATTACTGCCTGATGGTAGGGTTTTCAACGGTGGTGGCGGTCTTTGTGGTGATTGCGATACCAACCATTTTGATGCCCAGATCTATACGCCAAACTATCTGTACAATTCTAGCGGAAAACTGGCAACGCGTCCCAAGATCACTAAAGTCTCTGCGAAAAGTATCAAGGTGGGTGGCAAGATCACAATCTCGACAGATACCACCATCAAGAAAGCTTCATTGATCCGTTATGGTACTGCAACACATACAGTTAATACTGACCAGCGTCGCATTCCTTTAAGTCTGAGGAAGACTGGAAGTGGAAATGGCTATTCATTCCAGGTTCCAAGCGACTCTGGCATCGCTTTGCCTGGGTACTGGATGTTATTTGTTCTGAACTCGGCGGGTGTACCAAGTGTTGCGAGTACTCTTCTCGTTACTCAGTAAACTATGGCGGCTTCGTTCTTGAGGCAAATGGACTGTTACTCAATCTGATTTACTTGATATATTTCTGCTATTTCTAGGCTTTCAAAATAGGGTATTTTGTATTTCGTTCAACTTCGACTATATATATGTATCTACATCAGGGGACAAACCTTGGCCTTTCATCTCAATCCTTGCCTCTACGTCTGCACTCGGTGACACTTAGTTAGCTCAATCTTACTACCGCAAACCGCTTTCTGGATTAGTACTGAGTAATTATGCCTCCGATTCGCTTATAGGTAACTAGCAGCTACTATCAAGCCCACCAAAATGCAAGGTGCGGTTTTGAAAACAGCCCCCAGAAGCTCCGCGATGGTTTCGTTGGCTGACGCCTGAAAGGAGCAACAGCTCGGCTATCGGCAGCACAACATAATCCACCCCCTTAGTGATTGAAGTCATCGAGGTTAGTATCTGTAACTCAAAACGAAGTATTGTATTTTCGGAACGTAATTCGGATCGAACAATTGTCTGGAATGCAGTCTGCTGGCCGGACATGACGAGGAGATAAACGATAGCGCCACTGATGAACCGGCCGGAGCGACTGTTCCTAAGAGCTACCGTCGCGTCGAGGAAAACCCCTACTCTTTTCTCATTATTATACTCTTTTCAAGCCAATATTCACTTTGCGTAAGACGAAGGCGGGGCTCTATTCCAGATCCTGGTTGAAAGAGCAAAGTCATTGATGTGATTTCAACTTTGTGCACGCCTTTATGAGGCACGACCATAGTAAATAACAGCAAATTGCGAATCCTCGCCAAAGAACGCACGTATAAAACTATTTGGATAATTGATATTGAGTATTGAGGGTCAGAGTCTTTTGAACACTACCTCATCTGATAATGGTTTCTGACGAAAGTTTACACTTGAAATATGCCTTTAAGTGATTGTTATTGCATTACCCTAGATTCTGATGACAACAATAATGATATGGTATTATGTACAAAAGATATGTAGTAATATTAGACGTTTCTAGAGTATTTCATATTGATTTCTTATGTTGTTGTACTTAGTCTCACTGTGTCGTAGCACTAATTGATGGTGATCGACTTGGATCCATTCGCAGCGCTCGATGACGACAATGACATCATCACCACGATATCTCTCGCTAAACCTGAGATACCTTCTCATCCTAGCAGAGCTGAGAGCGACATGAGTTGTATAAAACGCGCTCAAAGATTACACACAGCAACAGTTCAAACCCTAAAACGAAATTGCCGAAACTTCTCCACGCACAAACCACTACAGCGGAGGCCGTCGGAGCCAGTCAAGATGAGTTGGATGGACAGCTGGAGTCGACCCTCCAAATCTCAAGCTACACCAGCACCTTTCTACTTATTGCCCGGAGGCGAAGCAACTCCATACTGTCACTCATGCGGCAGAGTGATTAGTACGAGACGAACTACTGCGACAGCAAATACCAATACTCCAGCCAAGTACTGCTCGAGCCGATGTCGGACACAGAAACCCGGGAAGCTGGACCGAGAGCTCGAGAAAGCCTTCGTGAAATTGCTGACCGCGGACGAGAGCACACTAGAAGAGACAAAGAAGCAGGCAAAAGGCAGGAAACACAAGAAGGGGAAGAACAGCAAGGGCGACAATCGGATCTTGGTGCCATGCAGTGCCGCTGAGGAGCTCGTCTTTGGACCGAACCGAACGTCAATGGAGGAAGAAATTGAAGAACATCATAGCGACGAGGAGGAAACGAAGGAATTAGAACCTACGCAAGCGCCATCGGAGCCACAATCATCAGAAGACATGGACCTCTCGGGCAACATCAAAGACGACAATCACATCGACGGCGACGTTCTCGCCCGCATGTCAATCCGCAGCGGTACTCGCATCCGTCCACCACAATCCATCTCCGAAGTCAACGGCAGTGTCGGCGGCGAAAAAGGGCGAGCAGAACGTATCCACGAAACAGACGCGATGCTCGAGAAGCGCAAACAGGGGCAGAAACGCGCGAAGGAACGGGAAATGACAAAGTGCGCTGCACGACGAGGTGTTGTTTTTGGGTTTTCTGTCAACGACGAAAGCGAGAAGCGTCTTTGTGAGGCAATTATGGCGGGAAAAGTCGTGGAACCTAGTTTTGCAAAGGGGGATTGGGCGATAAGATGGAGAGAATGAAAGTGCTCGGACTGTTGGCTCATGTATCTGATATGGTTCGGGCCGACAGGAGTCAATAAAGATACTGATTGAGTCTGATTGACGATATTTATAACGCGTTAGCGATAGGGATCGACGCCTTATCACGGTCCAAGCGTTGATGACAAGACACTCTAGAGCAAAGAAGGAAAGGATACTGCCCATTTGTAACACGGGTTCATTCATTCACCAACTAATCTGCTGAGTAACGCATATGAGTGGTATTACTGGTAGATCAAGTATCGCCTTGACTTCATTTTTGACAGACGAGTTTCTGGATGCAGAGGTGGAACATGCCAAGCAGCACTTACGGAATGGTCCACCACGGACGAGCGGAAGTGTCTCCATCGTTATCGGCACATTCGTTCTATGGGTCTGGGGTTCTACTCCGCTGAAATCTGTCATTTGTGCTTTGCTCCGCTGGAATCTGTCATGCGTAGCCTCGCCTCACATGCTTTACCATTTTCAACGTGTTGGAGAAACTATCATGTCATAAATATTCCAGAAACTAGGAAGATCATCTTTTGACCAAATTTGACAGGACGATAAACGAGAGTCTAGAATCATTTTTTATCTGTTTGGCCCAGGGGAAGTAGGACGACATCCAGGTTCCCGAATCTCATGCTGCAGGGTTCAGCTTTCAGCGCTCCAGGCGATGGTACACAATCTTGACTTGGCACCTCCAGCTCGACGCGACTGCAACGTTGTTATGCAAGGTCAATCATTAGCCAGATTCCTACAGGGCTGGAATGCAGCCCAGAATCTCAATAGTTTTGAGCAGCGCAGTTCATAGTGCCATCCCACGGAGAGGGCGAGAACGATGGCGTGCGTTAGCCGGAAATAAATCATGACATTACAACAGAAAACGGTCAAGATCACAAAAGATAAGACAGGACTGTTGGTCAATGCCTGTCCGGGGCAAAAAAAAAAAAACGACCTGCAATTACCCCTAACTCCAAAAGCAGTAGGTGGTAAAGCCCAGGGATCAGCCACTGGTCCCAGCGCGCTAAATAGTGACGCACTACAAGCAGACGTGGCGCCACGATGGATGATAGGGCGTCGTGAATTGGTGGTGATAGGTGAGATGCTGTTTCAGCATGTCGGACCAAATCTAACAGAGTTTCTGTTAGAACAACCGAAAATTCGGGACCGAGCTTACGGGCCGGGCTGGTTGAAAAACCCTGTCTATCACTGGCTTAGAGGCTAAAGCTGAGGCCATCTTGTTGTCCAAGGGCGGTGGTTGAGTGATTTTTCTCCAGAGCTGCCTTTTCTAGAATAATCCTCGTATGAGCAATCAATGGCGTCGTTATCCCACCTGCTGAAAAGGTCAATGAGAGGCTGATTGTGAAGGTGTTGATCAATGCGACAGCTATCGACGCCTTTTTTCTGGTTCTGGAAGGTCTGCAGTGAGTTAATCAACCATTGATGTTCTAAAGGGCCGAGTATCCGACGAATAATTGTTAACCCCCATTCGGTTGTCAGTCGGTTCAGTTAGCCCAACTCAAACAACGTCACGTCATTGATGATCGTCAAGGGGAATATTCCTCAAACAGGCACAATCACTCAGGGACCCAGAGATGATCAGCCCTGCCAACATCTCCCCCGGACGATTTCCGCCGGTCCACTGTAGCTCCAGGTTTACGCTAGACTTGGTCCAGTCACACACAATGGCACTCCGGTTAACATACCCGCCGAGACCTGATGGTGTAGACAACGAGTCAGTTGTTCTGGAAGCCAAGTCCAGTCCCCCTTTACCCCAGAGCCTCAGCCAACGCTTTTCTCTCCCTGGGTTAGACCCATCCAGATAAGCGTCAAGGATCCTTACTGTCAAGGGACCCGAGGCCACCATGTGGGAAGGACATCCTTCAAATGCAGATCACTCCCACAGACATCCGTGCCTGGCGTGTGTGTGTACTCCTGCACCTTGCCTTGCTTTTTTAACTTAACTAAAACAAAAGTTCGTCCAAAGTTTTCTGACAAGCCTGCGGGAACGCAGGATCATAGCCCGCCATGAGCCTCAAGTCGGATATCATCAGTGCCATGGTCATCACGTGGGTGTCGGCCTTGTTGGCGCTGGTTGCACGTATCTTTGCGAGGCGCATGACAAAGGTTCCGTGGTGGTATGATGACTACTTGTGCGTTGGTGCCTTTGTAAGTTTTGCTTGTGAAGCTTAAGGGTCTGTTGCTTACATGCTGTAGGTTGTTGGCATTGGATACAATGTTGTGATGATATACTGTAAATCCCCCTTCAGGTTGATGATAGGAACAGAGGCTAACATCTGTAGGGGCCTTGACATGGTACCTTGGCACGACGATTCCCGACTCCGTCAGCGATGAACGATATGAAGAGATCAACCTCAACGCCCGACTGATGCAGTTCCTCATCTCCCTCACCTACTCATACTCGATCGGTCTCTCGAAACTCTCTATTCTCCTCTTCTACTGGCGCATCTTCAAGCAATCAGCTATTCGAATTCCGATCCAGGTTATGCTCGGTATCAGCGGCGCTTGGCTCATCCTCCGTACATTCATGGTCATCTTCCACTGCATACCAGTTCAAGCCTATTGGGACAAGTCAATTGAGAACGCTGTCTGCAAGATCAACGACTCGCAATTCTTCTTCGCGACATGTCTTACTCACTTTATTCTTGATGTCGTTATCTTGGCGCTGCCGGTTATTGAAGTGTTTAAGTTGCGACTTCGTCTGGGACAAAAGATTGCCATCACCGCTCTGTTTGCCCTTGGTTTCATGCAAGTCCTCCGTCAATATGTCATAGTACTATACTAACAAACAAAGTGTTTGCCTTGCATCTGTCTTTGTCATCGTCACAGCTCTTCAATATGATCCCGCGTCAAGACAAATGCCCCGCGACGTCGCCACAAACGACATGTGGGGAGGTGTCGAAATCAACGTCGCCATCGTCTCCGGTTGTTTCCCTCTTCTCCGTCCAATCTTCACCAAGATCCTTCCCAAGAGATTTCTCAGCTCTGCTGGAAGCAGTCACCCCATCAGCCGCACAACCCACGGCATTCGTCTTACTACCATCAACCGTACAAACAAGGATAAGGAGGCAGACGATACAAGTTCAACTCATCAACTTGCTGATCCTGAGCAAGGGATTCCTGGAGAGTTTGAGATTATCGATGGAAAAGAGGGACCTCGGACCTTTATCTCAAGTCGAACTACTGAGTCGCTTCATTCGAGGGAGCAGGATATGGCGGGGATTTATGTGCGGAATGATGTTGTCCAGGAGGTTGAGGAGTCGAATCATACATATGCGATGAAGAGATGAAAATAATCTCTATTAATATTGTTTCCTATTATCTTATACCCATACACGTGTACATTTAGACTTCCAGAAATGTGATTTCATATGCAACTCTGATCGGATTTCGTGAGATTTACCACGAGCTTTAATGCGTCTTAGCCAGCAGTACCAAGTCCGCCGGCAAATGATAGGCGCTAGAAAACAAACAGAGCCTTTCAGCTTCAACCAATTGCGATGTGTTGTCTATTATGCGAACCCGACGTTGAACATGTACGCGGCTGAAAGCCTAAGTTATGCATAAAAAGAGCCTACCCCCCCTAAACTCTTTAACATTATGAAGGAAGTTTAGACTACATGAATGAGGATACGAAATTTAGATGGAATTCATAAGCTTCAGATATAGTTTATAGTTCTCTTCTTAATCCATATTTTTGCGCTGACGTTTACTCATCTTGACCAAGATGAGCTCTCTCCTTGTCCTCTCCACCGTGGTGCCTTGATCAAAGACTTATAGTAATAGATCATGTGAGTGTCTGGTAAGGTGGCAGTGCCTTGACTCCGACCCTTCTCTCACTCTCTCGTCTCGAAGGAGAGGCCTGCTCCAAGCTCGAGCGAAGGCAGGCTCGATAACTGCCTCGCTTGTCGTCGATGTTGCACCTGCCCTTTCACCACCAACACTGCCTTCCGCCATGATTCATTTGAGTCTTGAGGCGACGAGGAAGAGCTTCTCTTCTCCGTCAAACAAACTTATCGCCAGCAATATCTCAACAAGAGCTTCTTTTCTCCTTCAAACAAACTTATAACCAGCAATATCTCAGCAAGAGCTTCCTTCGTCACGCCATGTCGTATATTGTTCCTAACACTGACTTTTCCGATGAACAATGGATGCATTGGCTCCAGCTTCATGAAACTAGTAGTCTATGGCCGGGAGTATTCGATGACGGTGGAATTTTCAAGCGGTTATCCGAGGAGATACCGTTAGATGCATTACCGCCTACCACCCCAGTCCAAGATACTACGTCGGCCGAAGATACCACGGGACTGGACGATGCCACTCCGGTCGGAGGCACGGCCGCAGTCGAAGATGCAACTGCTACACCTATCACAAGTAATAGTACACCCAACGATAGCGACACTTCCTTCATTTTCGACGAAGGGGGATTTCGCGACTATCACAAACTCTCTCGCCGCGCACAAACAACGACTCTGGAACCTGACACTGGTCTGAGACTATTCAAGGATAGATATCCCGATTGCACACGAAGCAGCATCGTCGTCGAAATCAAACTCAAAGGCCATAATAAGTGGAGCTACGATTGGTCCGTCTCATTCTCCTCCAACGAGCCGTTCAATGAAGCAAACCGTGAGGGAGATATTGTGTTAAGGGTCAATCAGCGCTGCGCAGCATGCGTCAAAGTACTTGGCGAAGCTATCTCCGCAATCACCGAGTAAGTATGCTTCGTTCCCAAAGAACAACCAACTCTAACAATCTAAAAGATTTACCAAAGAAAACCGCAATGCGAATCCACCCATCTCGAACTTTTACGTGCTCATCCCCCAGGGCTCTAGATCCAACTATGCACTCCTCAGGTTTTTTCTCTATGTGGAGCAAGGAGTCCACCTGGAAAATGATGACCCTGGCTGGTGCATCGACGTGTACAATGAACTTGCGGTGATTTTGGAGAGGATGCGAGAACTAAGGACGCAAGGAATTAATGTCAAGCTGTGGCAAAGGGTTTAGTGCATAGTATGTTAGACCCAAGCTGGGCATCGATAGACAGGTCTCTGAGAGACTGCTAATAAAACGGTCTTTTATTTACTACATATATAGGTCCTAAGGCGAGAGTTTATATTAACTTGGTAAATATTTATAAAGTAAATATCATGATGCCTGTTTGTTCAAACGCCCAGCCAGTGTGTTCAGTTGCCAACAAATCGAGAAAATCCAATTATTCACTCTGAAGCTGCATTCAGACGTTAATCACAGATCCTCATGTACACCAACATCACATCACTGACAATGATTGCCTATATAAAGTCCTCAAGCCTGGTCACTGGACACACGGCACGCGTTACGCTACTACATATCGAGAATGTCGGACTTCCGCACACGAATACCTTGCAAACAGGTCAACTCCTTTAGCAAACTCTCTAATGTGCTGACGGCTGAATACGGAGATATGCACTATAAATTGAAGACGGAAAAGAACGAGCGTGGCGAGCTCTTCTACGTGGTTGGTGTGTCGTGCCATTTTGCGCGTGATGTGCGGGAACTCCTGATCACTAAGGGAGTTCTTCGGGAGGGTGCGAGACCGCGGGGATTTTCGGCTATCAACAAACCAAAGCCTGGTGGAGATTCACTGCCTGAAGTCATTGATCTCACTGGGGATGACTCGGATGGGGAGGCACTGCAGGCCCAGAGTCACGAGGAACCGAACGCAGAAAACATTCCAGGAGAATTGACATCTGGATCACGTCAACGTCATCCTGTTCTGGGACAAACGCCAGGCTCCATTGCCAAATCAGCATCAAATCAACGAGATACCACTGAGAGGATGCACCAAAGCACTACGCTACAAATCCCTTGCCATCGCCGAGTTGAACAGCGACGCAACGGCGCGGTTGGCCAAGGAGACTGTCCGACAGGGAGGGTCCCGATATCTATGCTTCTTGAAGATCCTCAAACTTGAGCTCGATTGGCGTCTAGAGATCGAGCCAGTTAACACAGGCTTTTGCAGGAAATTTGAAGTTCAGTAACGGAGGAAGTTGGAGGTTTGGGGATTTAGTGTCTGGCACTTGTTTGCAAGCGCTGGACACTCCGCCCAGCTCACCGGGTCCTTCGTGAGCACGCATTTCTTTTGCAACAAGGAACGGAATAGAAAATAACTGATAGAGCAATTGAATACCCTTCTATTTTAAAGGTTACATGGGTGCCGGCAGCACCTCGGGTCGAGACGTTAAGCATAATTTTGCGCGATGCGGCTGACATTATTTAGAGTAACCATAGCGAAGTGGCTGTTACAAAAATAACACTCAGGCGCCACTAAGTTAGGCTTTTGGGCTCACAAGGCGTTCTTTGGTGGTATTTTGTGCCTCGTGAATGTGAGACTAATGCTTCAGCTGAATGCGTGGACCGGTCTGGACTCAGCCCGTGAGGAGTCATATATATTTAACTGTGATGTGTCCCTTCAAAACCCTGAAGCTTGGCGATTCCGTGAATAAATTGAGAGGATATTTGTGAATAGCGTCATAAGTGTTATTAAAGAGTTTTTTAAGGATTGTGACATCAAGATGGCGAGTGTTCCGCCTTATGGCAACTACCAACCGCCTGGTCCAGGCCTGCCTAACCAGGCTCCAGCACCACCAACGCAGCAGTACTCCCAATCCCCTCACCTCCAACAATACTCTTCACCTCCACCTCAACAATACGTGCCTGGTCAACAGCCGAACTATCAATCGCCTCCTCCCGGACACGCACAGCAGGCTTATCAGACCCCGCAGCCGCCCCCAGCGCAATATGCGCAATCGCCGTATGGACACCCTCAGCAGTACGCGCCAGGCCAACAGCACAACTACCAGTCCCCTCCTGCGCCAGGCCCTCAAGTGATCCAGCCCTCACAATCGCCCCAGGTTCAACACCCCCAATTGCCTCAAGGTCAATATCCTCAGCAGCAGACTCCAGGTCAGCAGCCCAACTACCAAGCATCGACCTACGGCGTCGCAGCCCCGCCAACACCTGCTCAGCACCAGCAGCAGTACCAGCAACAAGCAGCTCAATTCGGGACTCGACCTTCGGCACAGGCCCAACTTCAATCAACCGCTCAATCTCTCTTCAAGTCTGGAAAAGGAATTTTGGGCAATCTTGCTAGCAACATCAAGTCAAAATACCCTGCTTCTTCACCTTCCGGTGCTCCGACAAGTTCTGGGACCTCATACACTGGAGAGGCGCCGAAGCCGACCTACAATCCAGCACAGCATCCTACGCAAACGCCTTTGAGTCCGACAAACTCATTCCCGCCAGGCTATGGCCAAACTCAGCCTCAGCAGGCGTATGCCAATCAGGCGCCGCCGACACCACAGCAGAGCGTTCCGCCCGCTGCACCAGGCTACCCTCCGACTCAGCACCAGGCAGCGCAAGTGGCATCGCCATCTCAACACCCAAGTGCGCCTGGTCAACCGCCTCACCTGAGCTGGCAAGAGCGTTTAGAGGCTGCTCAACGTCCCAATCCGGACTTTCAGCAATCGCACGCGAATGTTCACGCGGGTGTACCAGGCGCGGTCCCTCAGCCGCTGGTTCAATCACCATCAGTTGCTTCGCCATATCCCCAGCCCGTGTTGCATCATCAGCAGTCCAATCCAAATGAGCCTACAGCTGCACCACCTACCAATCAACCTCTTTCACAAGGATCAGCCTATGCCGGCCCACCTGGGTACGGTCCGAACCCTCCTCAAGCGCTTTCGCCGCACCAACATCACCAGAGTGCTCCTCCTCAGCTTCAACAGCAGGCATCATGGCCACAACAGGGAGGTGTGAGTACTCCATACAACCCGGCACTACCATCGCCTCCGCCTCCACCACAGACAGCTCCCCAGCCTGGTCCTCAAGTTGGCCCGCCCGGTCATGACTCTCATGGTGTACCACCACAGCCGCAGTACCAGCAGCAAGCTGCCCAATCATCGCCTTATCAGGCTACCCCTGTTGGTGCTACGCACAGCCCGCATCAGGTCCTCCCGCCCCAGCAGCCCTACCAGAGTCCCCCTCCCCAAGGGTACCAGCAACAGCAAGCGCCTGTCCCGTACAACCCGATAGCTGCTTCGGGGATGTCGCCAACAGCGCATGCAGCGCCTGTCCCGCCAGCTCAGAGCCTTCCCACGAGCCACCCGCAAAGTCCTCCTGCAGCGCAGTCACCGCACCAGCAACACCAAAGCCCACCATCGCAGCAGCCAGCTGGCCAATCGGCAGTAACTCAGCACGTGCAGCCGCCTTTTCAGGGCACTTCCGGACCTCACGGGCATCCTTATACAACAAACCAGGGGCAAGTCCCTCAGACTGGAGGTGCGCCCGTCGATGTCCAGTCTGTTCCTCCTCCAGGTCAAGCTCATACCTACCCGCCTCCACCACCTCTTAATCAACCGCAACACAATGTACAATCTGTCGCAGCCCCGGCACCAAACCAATTCCAACCTTATAGTCCACCTGTTGACCACCAGGCTCCACCGGCCCAATATGCGCAGCATCCCCAATTCGCAGCTACAGGCCCTCCGACTTCTCAGCATTATACGTCACCTCCTAATCCGCCAACCCCAGCTGGCGCGGTCAGTCATGGACGAGTGCCTGCAGATTCTCCAACAACGATAGCAGGTCAGAACTTCCAGCCCTACCAGCCTGCTCCCGAATTGTCAAGCTCTCAGCTACCGGAGGTGATTACGAATAATGTGCCTAGCCAGCCCGCTGCTTACGGCTATCAACAAGATCCCGTCGCTTCCCTCTCTGCTCAAATGAACAATCTGAACGTTCTGAACAGCGGTCATCCTCCAACAGCGCCCAGTACTGGCCCGACCGCACAACAAGATGGGCCCCGGGGACCGCCGTCCTGCCAAGCCACTGGCATGTCCAGCGACATTCTCCCATATTGTCCCGAAGACAGAATCGTGAGCTACTCGCTTGATTGGTATCGATTCATTGCTGTGCCACAGTATCTCATTTGCACGAGGTGCTACGCCGACTATGTTCAGAGCACTCATCTCGCGAGTCACTTCGAGAGGTACCATTCGCCTGAGGGCACAGAGTCCAAGTGCGGCTTCTGGTCTCCTCGCGCACGAGAGGTGCTCTGGCCTCAGGCTCTTCAGACCAACGACGTCAGACCTCTACAGGCATGGATGGAGAAGAGCTTGACTCTCAAACCATGCAAGGGTAGAGTCTGGACCATGGCTGCTGATGAGATCAAGTGGTGGGGCATGGTCAATAACGAGATTGACGGGTTCATATCGTGCGACGCTTGCTATGAGGATCACGTCGTCGGCACCGCCTTCGAGTCTCGCTTCCAGCCATACCGCCAGCAGGGCCAAGACGAAAAATGGATGTGTGATTTGTGCATTCCCTACATCGCCAAAACGGCAGTCAAAATGGCAAAGCAGAACCACTGGAACGGCTTTGTAGAAGCTGCCAAGGTGCGCATTCATCTTCCCCTGTGCGAAGGTAGGGATGAGGAGTCCAACAGTGGGCATTGGATGCTACCCCGACGCAGGATCAAGGACATGACCGTCTGCGAGGCATGTTATCTGGATAAACTCGCGTTTACACCATTTGGCAACGAGTTTGAACGTCACATTCGTGCAGAAGGCTTCGACGCCTTCGTTGAGTCAATTGGCCAGAGATGGAAGTGCAAGCTCACTGATACGGCTGTCAACATGAGTATTGCGCTCGAAGCAGCCATCTATCGTCGAGACTTTGACGTCTTCTGGAACGCAGCTAACGCTATATGTGGCCTAGTTCCATGTACTATTCACGGAATCGTGCGTGGTAACTGGTGGACTGTCGCTGGAGGATGTGCCGACTTCGACGTGTGCGAAGCTTGTTATAAGGGAATTGTCGAGACATCTAACCTTGAGAGGTTCTTCGAGCCTGCTCAGCGTGATCAAACCCTCGACATCGTTTGCAACTTTTGTCCCGGTACTCCTCGATGGGGCATGTTCATCCAGAAGTTCGCCGAAGCTCTTGATAAGGGTGTCTTCAGTCACTACTCTGACTATGTCAAGAAATGGGCCGGAGTCCCGACATGTCCAGGTATCAAGAACAGAGGCAAGAGTAAATGGTGGGGACACCCTGAAGCTCTGGCCTGTCAAGACTGCTGGTTGAACTTTATGGCCGATACTCCATTGGGCGATTCTGTTCCCGTCAAGGGCGTTTACGATGAACGCACCTTGATCTGCCAGCTATGGTCTCCAAGAATGCGCAACATGTGGCTCGCAGCTTGTGCTGCCGGACCTCCTGGATCACCTGAATCACAAAAGGCCCTGGATGAGTTCAAAGCATTTGGAACAAGGCGTGTTCAGGTGTATAACGCGACAGTACCTCACATCGAGATGATACAGCAGATGATGATGATGAAGCAGATGCAGGCTATGCAGCAGGGGCAGCTGAGCTTGATGTACCAGGGCATGAATGGCATGGCATCTATTAGTGGTACTACGGACGGGTACTTGCATGGGAACAGTTCTGTTGGATACTATGAGACTGAGCATGGAGTCACAGCGGCGAATATGATGAACAATATGCATGCTGGGATGGCGGATGCGAATAAGATGAGTGATTGGCAGCAGATTGCGCAGCTGCAAGCTACTTGGATGGAGGTTGAGTAATCTGGTTCTTTGTAGTTGGATAACTTTTTCTCCATAGCGTTTCGCATGATCATGATCTTCATCAATTGTCCTGTTCTTCTAAAGATAGTCGTGGGTCTTCGTGTATCTAATGCCCATCCCATTGCTGGTAAGATTGTTCCCGGTAGCTAGCCCTGATGTAAGTTGTGGCTCCCAATCCTCTCTACTTCTTTTCTTTCTTTTCGCCTGTTTATGTACCTCAACGCCGAAAACAGAATGCCCTCTCAAGCTCTCACAGGCAAACCCACCTGGAGATATCCGAGTCCTCCCTCCATCGTGTCCGCCGGCGCGATCAGCTTCTTCAGCAAAGCGATCGCCTCATTTCCTCCACGCCCATCAGAAGTCCTCTCATCCTCCCAATACTGATACAGCTGCCACCACCAGCAATGTGTAACCCCGTCAAGGCCCTTGTACCCAGCTACTCCATCCAGCCCAACACGCTTTGCCCACGGTTTGTCGACGATGTAGTGTAGACAGATGACTTCCTCATCACGCCAGATGTTCGGGTGCCAGTATCGCATCGTCTTGATAGCATTATACTGCCATCCAAGTGCATACCACTTATTCACAAAGAAGAACGCCAAAAAGTCCTGATCTGGAAACATGAACGTTGAAAGCAGCGGCGTCGTGTTGAACACATCCAACATCCTATCCCAAAGTCCCTCAGAAGGATGAAAGATAAACATGCCACCATTGAGAAGCTTGTGCGGTGAAGGTGACGTCTCAGTAGGCTGTAAAGGCTCCATAAGCGCAGTGGGATGCTCAAGCGGCGTGTAAGCACAATTCTCCGCCCTCCAATCCTCAGGCGCCCAAGAATCTGAATCAAGATTACAAACACAAACATGATTCGCCGCAATCCAATCATCAGGAAGATGCGTCTCAACCTGGAATACAACATCCATGTTATCCAGCACCGCCATATCAGCGTCAAGGTAGCACACAGCGTCATACTCAAACAACTCAAAAACACGAAGTTTCGTCCAGGTATCCGCGAAGCGTTCCGCGATAAGCGTCATCTTGACACCCTCCGGCGGAAGAAGATGCTGGCACTCACGCAGAATCATGTTACATTTTGGCGCCTCAAGCTCAAGAAGGCGTTTGGCATCTTTGGGGAGGTTGGGGGTGTAGAGCACGACGAGAGGGTAGATTGAGGAGTTGCGCTTGAGGGTGTAGGCGAGGATTATCACACCGGGGAGGTAGGAGTCGCGGGTGATGAGGGTTGCATAGGCGTTGTGCCTGGTTGCGTTGTCTGCCATTTTTGTCGTGTTGCAGATTTGATTGTGACTCTGTGTGATAGAGATGAGGGTGAGTAGTCGTTGGCTGGATGAATAGGGCGGAAGAAAGAGGGGTGAGTGAGATTCGTGAACGTCATGACCTAAATATGCGGTGATGAAGTCATGATTTAGTACTACCTTATCCCTTACATTATTCACGCTTGTTTAAGTTTTGTGTGCAAAAGTGTATGGATTATGCGAAAAAGCAAATGCTGGCTGAATGCTGTGTTACATCTAGAGTATCGGTGAGACTTTGTAGACGCCACGACGTTGGTCCCGAAGATGAGACACTTGAGATTATCGTGAATATCGAGACTGTACCTGAAATGAAACCGAGTCAATGACGCGTGTAAATATCGGTCATTGAGAAGCTAAGCATTCGTTTATCCAAGATCTACAATCCAAGATATGATGACCCAGATCTCGGGATCTAAAGTTCAAGTTAAGATTTGGTGTATCATCTTACCTCCCCATCCTAGCACTGCAACCCAACACCTGAAACTGTAATCCAATCTTATCACAACGTTACATTACACTACATTCAATAATTATCCACCGCTTGCACAATTGCACCCGCAGCGCCCTCGTCCAGATCATCCAGCGCCTTCATATCCCTGTCGTCAAGATCAAACCCGAAAACATCGGCGTTGGCTTTGATACGCTCGGGTGTATCGCTCTTTGGAAGGGGAACCCAGTTCTTTTGAAGACAGTATCGGATTAACACTTGATTCTGCGTGACTTTGTGCTTTGAAGCGATGCTTTTGAGAGTTTTGTCATTGGCTTTTTGGTTGCGAACGAGAGGAGCGTAAGCTTCTACTACGATGTTGTTCGTTTCGCAGTATTCCACGGCTTCTCTCTGTTGTAACCAAGGATGCAACTGATGTACCTGTTAGTATTTTATTTTTTGCGCTTTTTGCCGACGTACCTCGATCTGATTGACGTGAGGAGGCCAAACTTTGGCGAATTGCTTCAGCTCTTCAATATGCTTAATACCAAAGTTGCTCACGCCAATACCCTTCGCTTTGCCGTCCTCATACAGCCTCTCTAGGGCTTGCCACATCTCCTTTCTCTTTGCAGCACCGCTATTGGGGCTATGGATGAGAAAAAGGTCGACATAACCGCTCTCGGGATCAAGCTTCTTGATGCTCTCAATGCATCTTGCGTAGCTCTTGTCAACACTACCAGCGGCCTCGAGAATCTTTGTAGTCAAGAAAACATCTTTCCGATCAACGTTTGACTTTTGAACTGCCTGCCCAACCTCTGTCTCATTGGCGTAGTATTGCGCCGTATCGATGTGTCGGTATCCAGCTTCAAGTGCAGTGAGGCATGACTTGGTGCAAACTTGGGGTGGCGATAGATACACCCCAAATCCAAGCTGAGGAATTTGAACAGAATTCGCCAGAGGCAAGGTATCAGACTGTGAGCGCTCCATGGCAAATACAAACAAAGTACTTATCTAACAAGATAAAGTTTGGTGTTTTGGACGAGAGGGGTAGACTGTATTTTACTGCTGTGTAACTGATGCGGAGCGCGTAAAGATACAGTCATAACTCGTCAGTTGAGTCGATGACGTTGTCTATACTCCTCTTTTTTCTGTGTCACAAAAAATAAGTCGATGATGCCATGAGTGAAACAATTTAAGAAGAGGGGTAATTGATGCATCGCGATAGACTCAGTTACTAATTTTGATCTGTGTTTTTGGGCTGAAGTCTGTGAAATGGTGGATGCGAATTATTTTACGTGTACGGTTGGTGAGGCTGCGAGGCTGAAGCGGAAAGACGAGAAGGCGAAAACGTGGACGACGGTGGTGACATTGATCGATGACCAGGCTGAGAGGAATCCAGATGCACCGGCTTTGGGATTCGCGACTTTTACGCATTTGAAGTCTACACAGGGTAAGTGTTCGCATGAATGACAATACCATGGCTGACATGAGCAGTATTCCGTCATCTGTTCACATTTCGGCATCTCTCAGACACATCAAAGCATGCCGCACAGGTTCTTTCAGCTCACTTGCCGAAGGAGCCTAAGTCCTTGAATATAGGACTATTATCCTCAAGTAGCACCGAGTTTGTCCTGACATGGCTTGGTTTGATGCGCCTGGGATATACTGTTTTGCTTCTTGCGTAAGTCACTGACTGGCCTGAAGGTTATGCGCAAACCTGACCATATTGCAGACCTCAATTGGCACCACCAGCAGTTCAGCATCTTTGTGAAACTTTAAGCATCAAACATGTTTTCGTCGACGACATCTACGAGTATAGAGCTCGCGGGCTCTCAAACGACATTGACATCATCAGGATCCCTTCATACCAAGATGATTCGCCAACAGATGACTTGGAGCAGACCCCCGTAGTTTCCGAGACAGCATACATATGTCACACTTCAGGAACATCCTCCGGGCTACCCAAGCCAATCCCTCAAACACAGTTCGGCGTGATGGGGGCGTTGTACAGCTTTCCAGGAGAGAACAAGCCCGCAACCTTTTCCACCACTCCTCTCTATCACGGAGGATTCCCAGATTGTCTAAGAGCATGGACAAGCGGTGCCGCGATATGGTTTTTCCCCGAAGGCCACGCCCCCATCACAGGCGCCAATATTATAAGAGCTATCGACTTTGCACGCGCGCACAGCTCAATCCCCGTCAAGTATTTCTCGTCAGTTCCGTATGTCCTTCAAATGCTCTGCGAAGAGTACGGCGGCATTGAAGCTCTTCAAACGATGGACCTTGTAGGTGTCGGCGGCGCTGCTCTACCATCGGCGATAGGCGACAAACTCGTGAACTCAGACGTGAATCTCCTCTCGAGGATGGGGAGCGCAGAATGTGGGTTCTTAATGTCTTCACATAGGGACTACGCCGACGATAAGGACTGGCAGTTTCTCCGGGCCATTGATGACCCAAAGCTAATCGAATTTGAGGCGCGCGAAAATGGACTCTCGGAACTTGTTGTGAAGCCTGGCTGGCCTTTCTTGATCAAGACGAATCGCGAGGATGGATCATACGCAACTTCTGACCTCTTTGAACCACATCCATCGATCCCGAATGCATGGCGGTATCACAGCAGAGCTGATGCGCAAATCACCCTCGCCAACGGAAAGAAGTTTGATCCTTCGCCTATTGAGGGCAGCATATTAGCTTCTTCCAAACTGCTGCAGGATGTTCTCGTCTTTGGCAGTGGAAGAGACTACGCTGGAGCACTCTTGTTCCCTTCCTCGAGCGACATTAGCGCAGATGAAGTGATCGATTCTGTCTGGCCACATATTGATGAGCTGAACTCGGGCAGTCAAACCCATACTCGAATCAACAAGACAATGCTGGTAGTTGTCCCTGTCAAAGAAGGGCAGAAAGCTTTAGAGAAGAGTAGCAAGGGGACTATTCTGCGACGGCAAGCTGAAGAGCGGTACTCTGATGAGATCGAAGGGGCTTACAGCAACACATCGTCTTCAACCACGAAGATTCCCGAGGGGGGCCTTCAGAAAGCGGTTCAAGATTGTTTCCAGCAAGTCCTCGGACGGCAAGTTGAGCCAGATCAAGATTTGTATCGCCAAGGCGTCGACTCAATCGCTTGCATACAAATCCGAAAGTTGCTCGAACAAACATGTCTATCATCTGAAAATGACCAGCTTCCTCTGAACGTCATCTACGATCAAGGGACCATCAATTCTCTCGTGGAGTATTTAGAAAGAGAGAACTCAGGAGACAACGAGCTGAATGTCGACACCGATGAGTCAGAACTCAACCTCATGCAAGCTCTGACTGAAAAGTACAACTTTGACCCAGCGTCGCATGACAGTGGCAACCTGATAGCCTCAGGTGTATCTCCTTCAGATAGCAGCTCTAGAAGCCAAGCACGACGAGATCGCGGAGCCTTGGATCAAAAGAAAAGGCTGGCCCAGATGGCCATGAAAATAGTCCAAGATCCCAGTGAACGACCCACGCGCGTGGTACTTACCGGTGCTACTGGGTTCCTAGGGACACATATCCTTCATCTTCTTCGAGAAAATTCTAAAGTTGACAGGATATACTGTTTACTCCGAGGTGGCGGACCATTTGCAGCTCAGAAGCGAGTTTCTGAAGCTCTCTTCCAACGCGGTATGCCGCCTTTAGAGCCGCATCAGGATAAGGTTGTCTGTCTTCCGTGTGATCTGGCGAAAGGTGATCTTGGGCTTTCCGAAGAGCAGCTTCGGGAGATTTCGTCGGGTGCTACGAAGATCATTCATTCAGCTTGGGCTGTCAACTTTAGTCTTCGGCTGAACTCCTTCGAAGACCAGATTGCCAGCACGAAGAACCTGATCAACCTCGCTGAAGAGGCTGATGCAAAGCTCATTTTTGTCAGCTCGATTGCAGCAGTGAGTGACTCTACCGCTCGACCGATCCCTGAAACGCTATCTCAGGATCCGGAAGAGGCTTCGCCACTGGGCTACTCACGCTCTAAGTGGGTAGCTGAGCAAATTTGCGATGCAGCGAACAACAAGCATGACTCTCCTCTGGCTTCGATCGTCCGTGTTGGGCAGCTGTGCAGCAACGAATCTGGAGTCTGGAACACCACCGAGGCGTATCCGTTATTACTCTCAACATCCAAGATAACAGGTTGTCTTCCCGATCTTCCAAACGAAGTGCTCAATTGGCTTCCTGTCGAGCAGGCTGCTCAAGTTGTCGTCGAAACTGCATTTACTTCTTCCAAGGGTTCAAAAACACCTGTCTACCATGTCTTGAACCCGCATACCACACCAACTTGGAAAGAGATGCTGGATTGGTTAGCTGCCAGCGATGAGGGTCCCGAGTTTGAGATCGTCTCATCATCGGAGTGGCTTGAGCGTTTGGAGAATGCTTTGAGCGGCGATAGTGCCAGCCATCCGTCACAGACTCTTCTAGATCTGTGGAAGCGATCATATTCTAAAGAGGATGAGAATAGCAGGGCAAAGGATGATCAGGAGAGTTCTGTATTTGATGTTGCTCAAATACAGAAGGTCTCTTCTGCAATACGGGAGGTCAAGCCATTGGACCGAAAGCGGCTGATCAAGACCTGGAAGTGGGTGAATGAGAATATTAAGGGGTAAGCATTCTTTACCAGTTTGGATATTTCATCGCAGAATAGAATAACAGCATGATAAACAAGACATCCCGACATTGAGGATCTCATTGCAAGTAGTCCATCGTCCGCAAAGCGGGACCCGTCGGTGTATTCTCTGACTCGTGATTCGTCACATCTTAGACTCACTCTGTTTTGCCAATCACGACGGCGGAAAGTGTCCGACGATGATATTGCCATCCACGATGCGCTCGAACTCTTCTTCCACCTCCAACTGTCAAGTAATTTCCCTTAGAAATCTCACCGATATCAATCTCTCCGCAATGACATTAACTTCCGTCACCAAGTCAAACGTCCCGAGACCCGCTCGGCGATCAGCCTGCGATTCTTGTAGTACGTCACATCAACTCCCATGCTGTACTATTGAAGAAACCTGACAAGTCTAGGGCAAAGAAAGTCAAGATGCGATGGTGGAAAGCCTTCATGTCGGAGATGTTCTTCTCTAGGTCTTGACTGTCACTACTCGGTCAAGAAGCAGATGGGTCGACCTGCAAAACGTCGACAAGCATTGGCCGCAGCACTACCCAGTCCGGCTGTCCAAGATGAAATGCCCTTTCTGTCGCTCTTATCGCCTCAGTCAATGATTGAAGCACTTGGCCAACTAGACGTGGATGCTTGCGGGGACACAAGTCTCTTGACTGACCTGAGCTCTGAAGTCCTTAACGGACTTCAAATTGAGCTGGGAAAAGGAGCCGACTGCTCATGTCCGACGTCAGACCTCTTATCAAGCTCCAGTGCTGCTCCGGCGCTCGATCCAAAAACTTCAAATCCTGTCTCGGTAGCTACAGTATCTCCCATCTCACAGACGTCGTCCCGGCCATGTTCCTGTCTGGCAACTTTCTATCTCACAGTAGATGATCTCTGCAAGAACGAAAGACTGTCCTTTCCGTCAGGTCTTCCTTTTCTCCGCAAAACTGTATCAACAGCCAGCCAAATAGCTCACTGTCAAATCTGTCCGACCAGTCACCTCTCCGCTATGCAGAATATTCAACTTCTGGGAACACTCCTCATGTCAGTGGGGCAGCAATACGGAGTTATTCTAGAGTCCATAGACAAAGAGGCCAAGGCATCAAAGGAGCAAAATGAACTGAAACGTCTCCAGTTCAGCGAAGTCGGGGTTGATTGTTGTACGGAGGCTCCAAGCTACAGCTTGGAACTAAGCCCTTCAGAATGGGCGGATTTGGCTAAAAAGGCTGTTAAGGCTGAGGTTTACGGAAACGGAACGCATGAAGGGTGTTTGTGGAGTGTTTTGAACTATCTCGAACAACGTCAGGCCCAGTGGCATGCCGTCCCGCCGCATCAAGATTGTCCTCATCAGCACCACCAGTCTGAGGAGGAGCCATTTTGCATAAAGATACTTCATAAGGCTAAAGAGTCGATAGAGGCTCTGAAGTGGAAGTGTCGTGAAATCTATGGCCCGGATCAACCTGATCTTGGTATGGTCTCCCTTATCTGAAGCAGATCACCTACATAAATTGGTCTCGCTACAGCCATTTCACCTTAGTTAATAAAAGGTCTCCTAAAATCTCATTCTAGGGCTCACTTCGGTGCGATTAGCCGGTCGTCGCAGGAAGGCTGTTAATGCTGAGAGCGAGAAGGATTAGCAGACATTACAAGGATGCATACTTCAGTCTGAATCAGATTTCCGTCATTAAGTTTCAACATTTGATCCACAAACGGTACAGAATCTGCATAACCAGGTTGAAAGTATCCGATTTGATTGCCTACACCTCATCTTCTGTAACCTGTAAGCGTGATGGTTGATGTGTCTTACATCATCTCTCGAAGCGCTAAGATTCCTTCGTCAGAAAATCGACCATTGTGATTTAGCACCAATTGCCTATAGGTCAGGTCATATGTAGCCCAATGATAGAGCCAGAAACTGTCCATTCATGAGGCAAAAGTATCCGCTTATCTCTCCATGAGCGCCAGCGCATATACTCTTTCAGCGTCCCTTTTTCATCTCCTCTCCATTCTCCACACGATATGTTTTCATCTTGAGCTCAACCATCTTTTTTAACAATGCCTCATGTGGTCAACCCAACATGCATCGAACCTCATTTCCTTCGCAACGTTCTGGATGTTCTGATCATTGGGACTGGGACAGCTGGTCTTTCTGCGGCCTTAGCTCTTGGCCGTGCGCGAAGAAGTGCCATTGTTTTCGATGATGCTGAATACAGAAGCAGTTCCTATGGGACTGCACAGGGTGCTTCAAGGCAAATGATCTCAAAATCGATTCAGGAGGAGACGATAGCCGAGATCAAAGCCAAGTTCAAGACCGTCATGTTTAGTCACGCAACTGCTGCATCTATTCGTGAGAACGGCATGGTATTTGAGGTGGAGGACGTTAGAGGTCGATTCTGGAAGGGAAGGAAGGTGATATTGGCCACGAGTAGCCGTGATGTTCTTCCAGATATCCCTGGATACCAAGAAGCTTGGGGAAAGAATATGTAAGTTACCTTGGAAGCACGATAAAGGTCGAGTCCTAACTGGTTAGATAGTTTTGATGTCTCACAGTCCCTTGATATGAGTAACAGAATCGCTGCTTACGCTGCTGTGCTCATCACATCCGGCTCTACAAGCTCGATCGACGCGGCGGTGTTGTCGGCTCATCTCGCCTGCCAGTTCAGCCCCGACTTAACATTCCTAGCAAATGGCCTTTCACACATCCAACATCATCCTCAAATCATAACCGCCAAGAGGCATGGATTCAAGATAGACAACAGACCAATCAAATCGCTGAAGAGTCAGGAAACATCAGTGGCTGTCCAGTTCGCCGATGGGACGGAATCTGTGTACGGCTTGATAGCGCATAAGCCAAAGACGATTATTGGCGGACCTTTTTCACAGCAAATAGATCTTGAGATGACATCGGAAGGAAGAATTTTGGTTGAAAGTGAGTTTCAAGAGACAAGTGTGCGCGGTGTTTTCGCTGTTGGTGAATGTGCCAGTTTTCTCAAAGAGGAGAGTACTGGATGGCTTGGTGGGGTTGGTGCAAACTTGCAAATTGCCGAGGATGATATGAGCATGTAGTTCAAGTTTGTTTCGAATATAGTATGAAACATTATTAAAGTAGTCGCCGATTCTCCCGTGCGATTCAGGCTGACCCTTGCCAACTCCGGTTTTGATGCGCACGATCCGGTCATCGGGGACTAGATTTTGGTCGCCGATCATATGTGTACAGCTTATCTTGTACCTTAGCCGAGGTCAAATATTGTTATCATTCGGTTTATTTGACTATCAAATACCGATGTACGTGATTTATGAAGAGAAATAATTGACCAAGCAGTCCATGGGCACTGAGTTTAGTTGTTGGGGTTTAGGGTAATCCGGTAATTCCGTATGTTACTTTTCATAATGCTACCCTTTCGCTGTTTATAAAATAAACTCGAACCTTTCGGGGAGAGTAGCTATTATCAGTTAGTTTCTGATAAGTTGAGGCTACATCATATATTGGCATACCAATCATTCCATGGGATTATTGTCACGTGAATTATATCTGAAGTTGAGAAGCTTGCCTCAGGATCAAGTTATTGCCTGCTAGGTGGGAAACATAGGTCTTATTTTAGCTTTTGATAACGTTATATATCCATAGAAATCAAATTTAATATAATGATCAATCATGCTATTCCCCTTTATCTGTTTCAGCTTATTACCGGAAGTCGCCGTTCCAAGTCGTCGTGTTGGGCCATCGGGCTCTAATTTCGGACCATCGGCGGCAATCACTTTATCCCTGAATCACGCAATTGAGACTTATCCTCGGCTGGTTAGTTCCCGCCCCGGACAAACCATAACCCGCCCATTTCACGCCCCGAAACAGCAAAGCGTCACGCACTAGTGGGTACGTACAGTACGTCACTTCAATTGTACTTTTTCTGGCGTGTTCACTCTTCAGCTTGAGCTTTTTCTCACATTCGACTTCTACTCTCTCCCTTTTGAAGAAAATCACGAAAACACAAAATGATTTCAAGTCGCGTGACACTGGCAGTTCGATCTGCGGCCTTTAGCCAGACTCGGAGAGGTCTTGCTACCGCTGCGGCCGTCACAGCTGCTAGCCGAAGTCACAAGGTTGTCGTTATTGGAGGAGGCTCTGCTGGTCTTGCAATCAGCCATCAACTTCTCCGAAGTGGCCGATTCGCCAGTGAGGACATCGCTGTTGTCGATCCTGCTCAGTGGCACCACTATCAGCCTGGATGGACACTCGTTGGCGCTGGGCTTAAGACTAAGGAGGAGTTGAAGATGTCCATGCCTGAGCTTATCGATCCCAAGCTCAAGTTCTACAACGTCAGCGTTGATGCTCTCACTCCTGAGGACAACACCATCACTCTTGGAACTGGCGACAAGGTCAACTATGAGCACCTCGTTGTTGCGCCTGGTATCAAGATCAACTACGACAGCATCAAGGGCCTTCCCGAAGCTCTCGCTGAGCGCAACGGTCCTGTCTCTTCCATCTACGGCTACGACTTCTGCGATAAGGTCTTCCCCAACATCCAGCGCCTCCAGAAGGGTAATGCCATCTTCACCCAACCCGCCGGCGTCATCAAGTGCGCCGGTGCTCCTCAGAAGTCCATGTGGCTTGCCCTCGACCACTGGAAGCAGACTGGTCTTTATGACCCCAAGAACCCCTCCGCCTCTCCTATCAAGATCACCTTCGCCACCGGTCTTCCCGTCATGTTTGGTGTTCCCAAGTACAGCGCCGAGCTTGAGAAGATGCGACAAGAGCGTGGTGTCGAGGGTCTTTTTCAGCATGACCTTGTTGCCATTGAGGGCAATAACGCTGTCTTTGCCCATGGCCAGGACAAGGTTACCAAGCCGTTTGACTTCCTGCACGTTGTTCCCAAGATGGGACCTCATGCTTTCGTCAAGAAGAGCGCTCTCGCCAACGAGGCTGGTTACGTTGACGTCAACGACAACACCCTCCGCCACAACAAATTCGCCAACGTCTGGTCCGCTGGCGATGCTTCAAGCCTCCCTACCTCCAAGACCGCTGCCGCTGTCACCTCCGAGGCGCCCGTTCTCGTCAGCAACCTCCTCCGCGCCATCGATGGCCAAGAGCCCGAGCCAGCCTATGATGGATACACCTCATGCCCTCTCCTCACAGAATACGGCAAGGTGATGCTCGCCGAGTTTAAGTACGGTGGCGTTCCCAAGGAGACTTTCGGAGAGATTCTCGGCATTGACCAAGCCGTTCCCCGCCGATCATTCTACCACTTGAAGAAGGACTTCTTCCCCTGGGTTTACAAGAACTACATGGTCAAGGGAACATGGGGAGGACCTAAGGGCTGGATTAAATAGACAAAAGCTTTGGACTTGCCATGTATGTTAGACTTGTATCATTGGGGAGATTGTATACCCACGGAGAAACTGGAATAAAAGCTGCAAAATAATGACCCCAACGACGCATGGCTTGGCTACCGTGATGACGGTTTACCTGCTTTTTGGCTAATGAACAGAGGCGGTGGCTGATAGCCCTTGGTCAAATGGGAGAGATGCTCATCTTTCACACTATGGCGACATTATCATTTGGTAACACTCATCCGTATTCTCAACGGTGCGCACGTAACATAAAACCTTTTCCCTCCCGCATAAACAAGCATTTATGCTGCCGTTATACACAAGATTCTTCTGGCTCCCCGCCGCCCAGCTCCCCCAAATCGCTGATGTCTTACAATCACTCGCTACACGATGCCGCAAGTCTCAAAACCAACCCAGAGACCGGGAAATCCGGTTTCTACCTCGACCGCAAAGCAGTCAAAATGCTCCACGAAATCGAGCTGTTGAACCACAATCTCTACCATATCAGACATCAGCTAGACGTCAACGTACGCGATCTCGAAAAAACTCAATTCTACAGCACGAAAGCTAAACTCGGATGGTTCGGATCCCTTCGTCGTCGATTAAACGAGCAAATAGACTACCGGAAACGCCGCGAGCGCCAGATTGACAAGACACGCACCGATCTCCTAATCATCCAGATTCTATCGGATAGGAAGGAGATAGAAAAGAAAGAGACGAAGCTGGCGAAGCTTCAGACAGATTTTGAAGCCAGGATCCAGTGGAAGAGTGAGAAGGACGAGCAGGATTATCGGGATTGGCTTGTTGATGTGAAGATACTGACAGAAGCGAAGAATAGTTGGAAGGTGGAGCAGAAAAAGAGGGACAGAGAAAGGTGGGAAGTGAAGTGGCAGGAACTTTTATCGAGCAAGGGAGCGAAGACAAAGGTTTCTAGGGGACATCCTGAATTGTGGGGTTCTTTGCTACTATAAAGGGCTTTTCGTGGTAGCAGATTTGGTGGTTTGCATGCTCGCTTTGGACGGATTGATGGCAAGGATGATTGCTTTTGGAGGTTGCACGATGTTCATCGACGGACACGGGAAGCACGACATCACCATGAGATTTTGGAGGACTGATATACGACGACTGTGAAGTAACTTGACTGCTTGGATTCTGAATTCCCTTTTCCTCCCTCACTTCGCATGGCCATCTTCGGCACTCGATTCGACCAACAATGGCAAATACGGCTGGTGAGACACATTCATTAGCGACATTCATTTCGGCATCAAAGGACGATATGGGATCCTTTTATCTTTCATACATTCATATGGACATGGAATATTATGCCAATACCTCTAAACAAATAGCTCGATCCTTAGGTTAGCTTGGCCTGGCCTCATAATGCTTGATATCTTATATCAGTTTCGGTTCATAGAAATCACTAATCCTTTTATCACTCGACTTCCCTACAGCGAGTCGTTACCCTACCTTCTGAAACTCGGAAGTTCATGATATAAAGTCTCCCCAGTACTGACAACACGAGTATTCGTTGCCACTTGATTCCCCTGAACGTATGGTATCACGTCAACATATCAACGCGTGGCGAGCTCCCCCTCATCAACCCTCCACTTGGCCAATGATATAAAGAGGAGGCTAGAGGTAAATGGACTGCGTAATACCTTGTTAAATAGATCTTATAAGACCTCAGCGAAACATATTAGGCAAAGTAGTTAAGAATAAGTCTGCTAGACGAGGAATTGCAATCTGTAAGGTTAGACTTTAGGCAGCTCACACAGGCAATAGGAACACGGTAAAAGTCAAGTCTGATTGGCTTTCTCACTCTATGTAGCGAGTGGCATGCGTAAAAAGTTTTGTTTGGCTTTTAAAATGGAGAAGTAGCTCAAACCGCAATAACAAACTTTCGGCAAGGCTTGTAGAAGCACAAACCTGTTTGACTTCTTTAAGAACCTGGAAAGCCCAAAATTCTCAACCCTTTCTCTCACCACTAGATATTTCTCGGCGTTTTCAGAACCGTTCGCTCAACATGGAGTTTGTTGACTACTACAAAATTTTGGAGTTGCCCCCAACAGCAAATACAGACGAGATCAAGACGGCTTATCGACAACTGGCCAAGAAGACACACCCAGATAAGAATCACGAGGATAAACAAGCCACTTCAAAATGTATCATAAAATAACACATTATTTGGCTCTCCTTGACAGCATTTTGCTAAGTCCAAGCCAGGACAAACGACCTTGCCTGTCAATTGGTTTATAGTGGCCTACCCTACAGACACAGCCAAGCATGCACCTCTGGAGTCTCACGTGCGTAAGCATTGTCTTACATGGTTGTGATTTGTTTCCTTTTGAGAAAACCCCCCCCCCCCCCCCCCCCCCCCCCCCCCAAGGAGGTCAAGTAGGCATTGATCGAAGCTAAGTCTCTTAATCATAACATATAGTGCGGGCGATACATGATCCAAGATCAACGTGTCACTAGGGCGCTGTTTTCGTAACAGGAAACCACAGATATACTCATGAGAGACTTTTGACACGGCTACTAGGTATTACCTTGCCGCAAAGAATAGCCAAATCTCATGTTGACTCGGCCAACTACTGCACGTCGGGACCGGTGTCCACAACCCGATCATGGATGGAAACATGGTGTCATCCGTAATCGATGGGGTTGCTTCTCCGTGTCGAAATGTCGGCATCGGGAGAACTACCCAGACCGAAAACTCGTTCAAGTGCCTTTCCTGGGCCAATACGTCGTAGAAACATACACATTATTGGATCCCTGGTCAGTCACAGTAGTCCTCTCGGCCGAGCTGCTCTCGGAATCGAATCAAACAGGATTAATATAGGTTAGTCATCATCAAAGAGCTTGGTTCGTGACCTCTGCACCCGATCTTCGGCCGGGATGTCGATCTTCTCGGGAAGTTACGTAACGAACTCTGGGGTAGTGGGGTAGATTCAGTTCGGAGACCTCGGGGGATCTGAGCGACAACAAACAGCAGCTGACGTTGACCTAGTCTGTGATAGGATATACCCCGCGTTATTGACTTGCTCGTATCGTATCGCTGTTCTAAGCGCTAGGATTCCCGGATACAGAGATCGTCAAGTCTCTGCACCACTGGTCAAAGATTATAAAAACCCGTCATCTCCTCCCTGAAGTGATTACCTTGCCTCACACACACGCAACCAGCCTCTCGACCATAGAATAGCTTCGAGATGACCTCATCCATTGCGGTATTTGCTATACCAGCGGTGCTTCTCGCACTGCTTTTGCGGTTCATCATCCAATCTTTTCGCTCTCCACTACGAACTGTCCCGGGACCTACTCTCGCCCGATTTACAGATGGCTGGTACTTCTGGAAAGTCTGGGGAGGGTCATTCCAAGATGTAAACTTGGACCTGCATAAGAAATACGGTAGATTCACCCGTCAATACCTGATATACAACTTTCACTGAATGCTTTGTCGCAGGAGCGATTGTTCGATATGGCCCCAACCGATACAGTTTCAACGATCCCGAAGCAGCCAAGACGATCTACGGTCTGGGCACTCACTTCCCAAAGTCGTCGTGGTACTCAGCCTGGGCAACTCCTGGCACATGGGCCATCTTCAGCGATCAATCAATCAAACGTCACAACCAGAACCGAAAGCTCTATCAGGCAACCTATGCGATGTCTTCACTTGTCCACTACGAACCCTTCGTCGATGACTGCGCCGACATCTTTACTCAGCGTCTCTCTGAAATGTCCAGTACTTCAACCCATCTCCCTGTTGACATGCGACATTGGTTCCAGTGCTATGCATTCGATGTCATCGGTCTGATTACCTACGCGAAGCGTTTCGGCTTTCTGGACAACGGAGACGACGTAGGCAATGTTATCGGTGCTTTGGAGGACCATTTAGGCTATGCGACGTTAGTTGGCATTTTCCCAAGTCTTCATAAGTACCTATACAAGATCAGGAACTCGCTAGCCGGAGGAAAGGGGACAGGACGAGCATACATCTTGAACTTTACAAACGAGAGGATTCGTCAAGCCCAGGTAGCTCCCAAGCCCGTCGCCGCAGAGAGTGAGGTCACTATGGAAGACTTTCTCACAAAGTTTCTGGCGAAGCATGCTGCCTCTCCGGATATCTTCACTCAATATCATGTTCTCATGGGATGTACATCGAATATGGTTGCGGGGTCTGATACAACTGCCATCAGTCTTTCAGCTGTCCTGTACTATCTACTGAAGAATCCGGATTGTTTACAGAAGTTGAGGGCCGAGATCGATGACTTGACTGCACGAGGAGAATTGTCCAAGTCTCCTACCTTTAAGGAAAGTCAGCAGATGGTCTATTTCCAGGCTGTCATCAAGGAGGCGCTACGAATGCATCCCGCCACTGGTCTCCCACTCGAGAGAGTTGTTCCTGAGGGCGGTGCAACAATTTGCGGAAGATTCTTTCCAGAAGGAGTAAGTCCACTGTTACGAGACTTGGATAGCTTGAGCTCGCAACTGACAAATGACACAGACTATTGTCGGCATCAACACATGGGTAGCTCACCGTGATACTCGTGTTTTTGGTCAAGATGCCAATTCCTTCAACCCTGACAGATGGCTCACGGCCGAAAGCGAGAGACTCTCCATGATGAACCGTTACTATATGCCGGTAAGTCTCTCATGTATGAAGCCCTTGACCATGTAATTGACAGCAAAACCTATCTTAGTTCGGAATAGGCTCACGCAACTGTATCGGCCGACACGTCTCAATGCTCGAGATGTCGAAGCTGATTCCTCGAATTATTCGCGATTTTGACTTCACCCTTGATTCTTCGTTGCAACATCAGAATTGGCATACCCAGAGCTATTGGTTCGTCAAGCCTCTTGATTTCAAAGTTCGCATTCAGCCACGTCTTTCAGAGAAGCAGATGTTGTGAGGGAGGCAGCTGGACTGTAATGGTCATCTATAGTTGATTAAAAACATGTGTGAGCGCTAGAGAGATCATGATTCCCCTCTTCTAGCGTAATTTGTGATGCATTTCATCTATTCTGGACTTAGATAAATGACGATCACGGGCGGAACTATCTCTAAGAGGTTGCCTTGACCAGTTTCTCCGACAACACCCAAAGCTTCTCCGCCTCTTCATCTGACTCGGCCTTAGGATGAGCTCCGCTGCAAATCTGACAATCTTCCAGAAATACACCATAATTCTGCTTACCTTCTCTTTTCTCACCAGGTCCAAGTTGGGGATCCAGCGCTGCAACAACAGTGGTTGAGCCCCCAGCCTGTAGACTCTTGTACTTCACCCCCCTCTGGTTTCCTACTTTCGCAATTGCCTCACGAGCTTCAGAAGGCATATGTCTGCTGAGCTCTGTCTCGATCCATCCTGGAAATACCGCCAGAGATAAGATCCCGTAACGCTCGTACCATCGTTTGTTCGCGCCAATGCTGAAGAGCACGTTGGCGACTTTGCTCTGATTATATGCTGCCAAGGGGATGTAGCTCAGTTCTTCGACATTAGGAGACCCCCAGGCTCTGTGGACCTCGTAGTTAGGTCTCTCTTCTTCCGGTAGGTCCTTGTTCTTCTTCTCAAAGTTGATGTCACTCCATCTCATATAGGCCCATTTTGGCGATCCACTGGATACGTTGATGACACGAGTTGCACCCTTAGGGCTCTCCTCAGCGGCCTTGATAAGCTTTGGTAGAATGAGGCTGGTGAAAAGGAAGTGGCCGATATGATTGATTGCGAAATGCATCTCGATCTTCTCCGGGCTATAAGTGCGATCGGGGAGAAACGCAACTCCAGCATTGTTGATAAGCAGGTCGACCTTTGGAATGTCGTCTCGACTGAGAAGTTCCAAAGCAGCGGCGCGAACTGACTGTTGGCTTGAGAGGTCAAACTGGAGGATAACATAATTGACCTGAGGGTAGAGACTCTTCATAGCGTCGACGCTTTCATGAAGCTTGGTACCAGAGCGGCCAGTGATGATGAGATGCGAGGGTCCCTGAGATGCCTAAAATGATACTGCATTAGAACAATGGTGTTTTATAGATCGAAGGTCCTACTTCCCACATACCAACGCCTCAGCTGTTGAGTAACCGATTCCACCTCGGTTCACTCCGGTCACCAACACAACCTTCCCAGAAACTTGTGCAGAAAAGGCTTGAGCGACCTCAATGCCCTCTGTGTCGCCATTGAACTGAGAAAATGTTGTTGCTGTCATCTTCACGAGTATTGAAAGATGATAATGAACTGGAGTACGAATGAATAGCCTGTGATGCTTGCGTGAAATGTCCAACTTGTATATCTTTTCCAAGCGGGAAAACGTTTAATTTATAATAGGGAAAATGGAGTGAATTTGGGTAATCGTCATAGTGAATCCCGCTTATCGTTATAATTCAATATGAGATGTTCGGGAATAGATACCATCAACATGGACTTAAGCGGAGTTAAGCGATTCAACACCAGGATTTCGGCGACCTGATGCCCAACTCCGTTGATCATTTCCAAAGCTGCGACTTCAAGTCGGGTTCAAAATAATGAGATATTTAGGTTTTCGGTGATGTCTAGTCCGTTGAGCCCGGGTTGTCGGTATACTTGATCCCGGGTCACAGAATCACGTGTCGAAGTATTAATTGGCTTGTAGAAAGGCTCAGATCGCTTGATTTCATGGGCAGCTCGAACCGGTAGATTTACTCATGCAGCCGCCTCCATCTCTTCTTTTCTTTCATTTTTTCTCTTCCGGCCAATAAGGCAGATGATATGCGGATCGGCCTATCACTTCAAGGTCAATCATGGCCATATATCGGAGTTTGCCGGGCTACGAAATGACGCATCAATTTCTTCACAGGCAACCCCATGCCTGAGAGCTATCTATGCAAGGGGAGATGAGAAAACTTAGGATCTCTGCCGTAAGTGATAAAGGACCCACGTAAATTTAATATAGACTTAATAGACGCTTTAATAGATTAGTTTTGGCGCCTAAGGTGAGGGTCAGAGATTTTCTTGCTCCCTGAGGCTATGGAATGGCACTGAAACATACAGCCTGGTCGGTAGGGGCAAACAAAAGCAGGCTGTGACAGCCTGCAGTGCCAAGAATCTCAACACCAATAGTTATTCGCCATCGAGGGAGAAGCTGAAAAGCATTTGCACATTGTAGCTGAGCTATTGAACGCCACGGTATCATTCAAATGCAATAGGGGCTGTCAGTAAAATTCTTTCCACGGGTACTTGAGCCTAGGGGGACCCCGTCTTCTCGCATCCGACAGCCTTAGTCTTGTTGACTCGTATCTTGCACGAACCCCCAACATGGACCGAACCAACATAATTCTTCTTTCTCTACTACTTTGTCTTCAGACTCATATCTTACCTGTGCAATGTGACTCCATAATCGGATACACCGTCGCAGATGGAACGAGTATCTCTTCCCTCCAAACCCCAAGACGACGTTGACTAACTGAAACCACCCAGCCGAAACGTTCAGCTGCCCGAGCCCAGCATCTTTCCGCACGACGCACACCTTCTCCGGAGACACAGACACATACGCCCATTGTGACTATTTTACTGCCGAAGCGGGTAGCAGTTTCGAATATCGAGTCGGCACATACTGTGATGGCAATACGGCCCTGTTCACCCACTGGACAGCAGAAGGCTCCGGCACCTCGTCTTCGATGGTTTGGTAATACCTCATCGATCCCGTAGCATCCATGTCAATGCAGCGTATACTAACATGTTAGATCAGCGATGGGGATTGTGTGGCCGTACGATTATATGATTACCACGACGATTTAGAGGGACTTCGATGGCTGGTCAGCTGCAATGACTCCATTGGTGTTCCAACTAGCATTAGTACTTTGTTCATGGAACATCCAACAGACTGTAAGTATTGCACCTGATTGGACCAGCTCGATCACGAAACTCACAGTCCTTGGGTGGTAGGGGAGACTGAGACCGAAAGCTCGACAACTGAAAGCGAGTCATTGATCACTGTGACAGTAGGCGCATCCGCCGCATCTTCAACAGAAACTGAGACTAGTCCATCCGCCACTGTTCCGTCACGACCATCGGAGCCTGAAGAAACAGAGAGTTCCACTGAAGAAGTGACCAAGGACGGTGGTGGGCCTAGTGGGGGCGTCATTGCTGGAGCTGTAGTCGGCTCAATCGCAGGCGTTGCGTTCATCATAGGTGCCATCATCTTAGCTTTTAGGATGGGAAGAAGAAGTCGAGATGATACCGAAGGACCAGATGGTGGCTTTAGAGATTCAATGAGGTTTATCCCAATGCCAACCGCCGCGGGGAATCAACCTGAGCCTAAACCCCCTGTTCCGGTCATCCAGCCAGTCTTTGTACAGGACAGTCACCTGTCTGGGAACAACAGTTAGAGTTGACAGGGCTTGAGTAACGATGTATTATATCAACTAGAATGGGATGGGAAGCAAGGTAGATCTGATACATCGTAGAGGGCTAGGTGGTCTTCAACAGTACTAGGTTCAAAAACCAACGAATTGTCCTTTGGTCTTGCAAATTCTTCTAACCACGAAACATAGTCTAGGCGTTATTTTATATGCATGTTCGTTGCATAAATTTATACTGTTTCTAGAGTCAATCAGTTGATTCCCCAAACAACTGTGGTTGGCAGCAAACGTTTTTGAGATCTATGTATGAGGTTGTCTTCTCTGGCTGTGCGACTGTCTCTACTAAGAAAGGATAATATCTGGATGGGTAGACTCAATTGCGAACCTTTTTGTCTCCTCAAAGGCTGACCTTTAGGCTCCGGTCATCATTGGAGCATCTTTTCGAAGGCTCCAGGCAGCTCGCGAGGCTTACTTCTTGAGGCTGGGCCAAGCCACTACCAGCCCACAAGATTCCCATTTTCTTACATTGCAGAGGAAAGCCTCACGCCCCGCATGGCTGCCTGCCCTTAACAGAATACTGCATACCGGATATGTACTAGTCCTGCGAACTGTATCTTCACTGACAGTCTGAGTACAGCCTTGCCACCTTCTCCGTGCCTGCACGGGGAGACCAAGGAATGTGACTTCTCCTCTGCCACGATACTTACTACTAAGCAAATGCTCTTGTAGCAGACTACCATAGAGCGGCAACGAAATGACTTCGGGTCTTGAAAGCAAAGTTCTTGCTAGGTACTAAGTATTCGTGTTCTACGTTAGTTTCCTCTTGTCTCCCCGTGCCTACACGGAGGTATTCGTCCTATCCTGGATGCCTTGGAAGGTAATTGTCATTTGAGATTAATATTTAAACACCCCTGATGCTCAACGGTCTGTTCACTTTTCTCATAACTCCTGCAGTTCTCAATATCGAGCAACATCCCCTCTCCATTTCTTGTACTACCTAATTGTCCAAGATTTGACTCCCAATATTTTATCAGTTTCCCAAGATCACATTCATCCACTTGTCCATCATGGGTAGTTTATGGGGAGAGACTCACACCCATTCTGAATCACTATACCATCAGCTATGGTTGCTCGATGGCGGATTCACGCGTGATTCATTTGTATATTACGGTTCATGGGAAGAAGACAATTCTATCGTGTACCGCATCACCACCAACACAGCCACCGTCAGCAAGCTTTTTGCCCCGTTCACGCCTATCAAAGCAAACTACGTCCTTCTCAAGGTCCAACTTCCCTCGCCGGAGACAGCATACAATGCACTAAAGGGGAACGCTCCTCAGGGTATGCTCCCACCGGACGACTTCAAATCAGCCCTGGGAGACAAGAATTTTATGACTGCTAGACCCTGGGCAGGCTTTAAAGGTTCTGAAATCAGGGAGTTTGTCAGGAACAACGAGTCTAAGATTCTCATTGAGAAGAGGGAGTACAACACCATGAGGGTCTACACTATTGTTTGGGCACCGAACGGTGATAGGTGTCGCTTAGAAGGCATAGAAGAATTTATCTGGAAGGTTATTGGTGGTGAGCTCAACGTCGACAACTGGGCAAACTTTATGCGCCTTGCGGTCTCTGTCACGGTTGGAGGTCCAAATTGAGCTTTGGCCTGAACAGATCGAGGTTTAGAAGATCGATAGTAAAGATAGTAAATTAAATCAAAGTTCGATAACTGGGTATAAAACTACTGAGCAACGACTTTTCCCCTCAAATCCTAGCGCCAACAAAGTAGTTCATAGTCAACAAAGAAACCATCGATAAAGAAAAGAAAGAAGACCTTAGATAACAGTATCGTAAGTCGGCAGCGCATCATAAAGGTCTTGTCCTGCCTGAACCTGCTCCTATTTACTTATTAGTTTTAACGTCTTGGCGACTTGGCTTAGCGAAACTCACATAAGTTGGCACGTGGTTTATGCCCGTCTCGTGATGTCCCTCGACGGCAATCTGCAGAGGCAGTCGCAGCGTAAAGCTTGAACCATGTGCTCGCGAGGCCAAAACGATTTCCAAGATGTACGTCCGGCTGATCAGGCAAGAGTAGAATGTTGGAAGCAAGATCTTGTTATCGGGGCTCGGCAGCGCGATCGAAACGGGTAAAGTGGCTGTATGTCTTGGCGCTTCCGTCTTGATGATATCACTGCTCTTCGAACCTCGTCTGGAAGCTGTGCGAAGATGTTCATCGCCCATAGTTGAGTTCTCTGAGCCTCGGCGAGAGCTCGGTGCTGAGAATGAAGCTGATGTCTGTTCCCAGTGAGGCTTGGGAGACTTGGTAATCGTGGCGCTCTCATCGAGAACAAAGCTCAAGATGGGATTCGGCATCACGCTTGGAAAGTTATGTTGGTCTGGTAGAAAGCTTAGATGCCCTGTGGAGTAGTATGTCGATGCTTTGATGTTAGCCGACTTTGCGTACATCTCAGGCGGCGTTGCTTTCTTGGAGGTTGGCCAGAATTCGAGATCGATGTTGAGTGAGCATTCTGATGGTTGCAACTTGTCGGCTGAGATAATGACAGGATCCGGTTGACGTGTAGTCGCTCTGATGTAGCCAAGCTTAGAAGAGAGAATATCCTTCCGAATCGACTTCTCTTGCGTCAGAGTAAATCGTGGGTTTCCAGGTACGATATGCAGAGGAGGCTGCTCTGGAAGAAAAGGCATGACTTTCACAGGATGAGTTCTCTCCAGGACCATCGATTTGCCCTTATCAGTCTTAAGCAACACCCGTGCATCGACACCGTAGTTGATAGCAACAGTGTGAACAGCCATGTCATCGTGCTCCCAGGATCCAATAGTCGGCGGCAACTGCAGATGCCGTTCCCGAATAATCGGGTTTTGATGCTTGCAAGCCGCGCTGGGTAGTTGGTATGGAATGACGAATGAGAAAGGAACCTCGTAGGATTGACCAGCTTGAAGGACTCCATCTGGCGGAAGGGCACTTTCTGGAATTGGCATTCGAAGCTGAAGGAACTTATGTCCTGACTTAGGCATTGTTCCTTGGTGAAACATCTGAACGAGTGTTGTCTCAGAGCCCGTGAAGACTATCTCGAATGCATCGATGGTGAGATCTGCGCTGGGTGAGAACGATACAGAGCCCGTGATGGTCGAGCCCGAGGTGTAGATCTTGGCCTCAAAGTGTCGATCGATAGTGACTTCAAGAGGACATTCTGACTTTCTTCGTGTGGGAACCCAACTTCCTCTACGCTTTGGTTCTGCTTGTATGGTGTTGATTGGGGTAGTGTTGAACAAAACCTGGGCAGCCGACATTTTGGTCGTGTTCGTCAAGGAATTGTTGGTGCCGATAGTGAAAAAACTGGATAATCTCAGTCATGAGCTGAGAATATGATGTAGGTTTGTGATGAAGATGAAGGAAGATAAAAGAGTCTTTCCCCCTCGATACTTGAGCTGACCTTTCAGTTCCGCCACAAGACGAGTTGGGACTGCCAACACATGACCCTTTATCTCAGCCAAGGCTCGAGTCCGCGGTGATTGGTTACCCTGGCCGACGCGACGCCCTGGTAGTGCATTTGGCCTCGTGTAATTGGCTAACCAAAGCCGACCCCAGACTTGGGGCCAAGACGTCCGATTCCCGCACGACTTCACGCCCTGGGACTGACATTTGCCAATTTCTCATCAGACTCATGGAGACAAATGATCAGCAGCTTACCAATCGCAATCTATCACATCTCAATGCTCACCTGCCAAGTCGCCGCATATTGCTTCATAGAAATACTTACATTCTAGGACATTTAAGAGGCAAATTTGTGGAGAATTCGCCATCTCCTCGGGCTGTCACACTCCTACGAAAGCCAAGAACTAGCAGTAAGCCACAGAACATTGAATGAGGGGTACTGTCATGATCACAGGGAACAAATCAGCCTATAGTTATCTCGAGCCAAGATACACTGGTATTTTTCGCAAAGACTGACTCAAAGATAAGGCTTCGGAGATGGCTGTGCCGCGCTAATCCAAGAAATCTTTCCTGATGATGTTATCACCGGCTATGCGGCGTGCAATGCGCCCTCTCATGGACGTTACCGGCCGTTGGGGGGGTTATTAATTGGGTTTAGTGGGATGACTTACCCCAGACTTTGCGCTCGGAAGTGCAATCTTCGCATGAAGTGGTGGATGAGTGACAGGCGGTTAGGGCGGGTTTTTGTGGTGGCCGCGATCGGCGGGGAAAAGTGAGAACAAAGAGAGAACATTTTCGCAGGGATTGGTGAAGGTTTTGTACAAGCGTGCCTCGATCTTGGGCTTGAGTCGGAGATGCTCTCATTTGTCACATCACATGCTTTAACTTTATTGACTTGGCAGCCACAGCCGCCGACGTTGCACTTGGATCAATTATAAATAAGATTGAGTAAAAGACGTTGAGGCTCTGAGTAGGCCGTTAAGCCCAGTTGAGCGAAAACCGCCCTCTGTAGCACAGAAGCACGCGACATCTCAGCACATCATCGTCAATTAAAAATCTCTACAAATGGGACATCCCCCCAAAATGAGAGCAGCTCCACAAGCTACCCCAACTACAGTGGAACAATGTCAATTACTCTCATCTCGTGAAGTGGGCTCATAATTGCCGATGAGCTTGTCTCACTCAGCCGCATCTCAACGTAGTCATTCATTCAATTGGATCGAGAATTTTCCACGACTCCATTTCCCCAACGACGATCAGGGACTCGTTCACGACTCCTCACTTTTATGGAGATAAAAAAAAACCAACCATCATAACTTCCGAAATGCCGTTCAAGATCCACCGTCTCCATCGTCAACATCCGACTGATATTGACAGATGGATCCGATGTGACGTGCTTGGCCAATGCGGGGTCTTATCTCCATCAAGTCAGCTCCGATAATCCACTTCCGCTTCAGAATGAGACCACTGTCTCGGTAATTAGTTCTTTCTGGTGGTTTCCGAATCCTTTGCAAATAGTTACACATTCGACATGACAAATATTACGAGTCCTATCGATATTGGGAGATGTTCGTTGAAGCATCGCGTCGTCATGGCGCCGATGACGCGCTTGAGGGCTGATGAAAATCACGCACCGTTGGATATGATGAGGGAGTATTATGTTCAGAGAGCTTCAGTTCCTGGTACACTACTCATTACTGAAGCGACGTTTGTTTCGGTGAAATCGCGAGGACGTGATGAGAATGCTCCGGGAATATTTACCGAGGAGCAGGTCGAAGCTTGGAGACGTGTGACAGATGAGGTTCATAAGAAAGAATCGTTCATCTTCATGCAGCTATGGCATGTCGGCAGAGCAGCTCGCCAACACGCCTTGGACAAGGCTGGCCTGGAAATGGTCAGCAGCAGCGACATCCCAATCAGCGAAGAATATCCGACACCCAAACCCATGACGACAGAAGAGATCTGGGAGTGCATCGCGTCTTTCGCCAGCGCTGCCAGAAATGCTATCGACGCGGGCTTTGACGGAGTCGAGATTCATGCTGCAAATGGATACCTGATCGACCAATTCACGCAAGATACGTGTAACAGACGAGCAGATGACTGGGGAGGAAGTATTGAGAATCGGTCACGGTTCTGTCTTGAGATCGCGAAAGCTGTTTCACAAAGAGTAGGTCCGGATCGAACAGCTATTCGGCTGTCACCTTTCAGCACGTTCCAGGGCATGCGAATGCAGGACCCCGAACCGCAGTTCACCCATCTGATCTCCGAGTTGAGACATCTGGGGCTCGCGTACCTACATCTCGTTGAGCCTCGGATTTCCGGGAACGTGGACAGGGAGACCGATGACAAGGAAAGCCTTGACTTTACGCTTGACGCATGGGGTTGGGTTGGACCAGTCATTCTAGCTGGAGGTTACACCGCAGAGAAGGCAAACAAAGCTTTGGAAACAAGTTTTAAAGACCAGCCTGTTGCGTTTGCGTTTGGGAGACACTTCATATCTAATCCGGACTTGCCGCTCAGACTCGCGAGGAATACTCCCCTGGCGCCGTATCAAAGGGATACTTTTTACAAGGTAAAGAGCGCGGATGGGTACACGGATTATCCTTTCAGCGAAGAATGGAAGGGGGAACAAACAGTAGAGAAAACAGCGGTTTAGAAAGTGATTGGTTTGTCTGGTACAACATGTTCGTTGCTGTGTTTGTTGACGCATGGAAGATGTTGGATGTTTACAGAATAAGTGACACTAGGCCGCAGAGTTCAGGACCGGGGTGCCTTGAGATGAGATGGAATGAGATGAGAACGGCTAGGAGAATCCAAGAGCTAGTGCATTCAAACATCAATTCCGAAGCATCGGGAAATTCTTGTGACTTTGAAGGCATTCATGCATTACCTCATTTTCTGTGTAAGGTTTGTGGCATGAGAAGGCCGTTTGAGCAATGCCGTTAGTGGGGCACGGAAACGCACGGCCTCAAACATACGATGCTAGTACAAACAATAACGTCCCCAACAAAGTAATCGCTCTCACAGAAAAACAAACAACAAAAGGAAGTGAAACACTTCTTACGTGGCCGTTCTTCTTTCGCCTTCTTGCACAGTCGAACGAGCTTGGGTTTCCAGCGTTGACGCCTGAACAGTAACACACGTGGCATATCACATGACTCCGCAACCGCAATCTCATCTACCGCCTTAAAATTGCCAGGCATTCTTTTGTGCCCGCATTCACCATAAACGACATCATACCCTCTCCTCTTTCACCTCGCACCTCACTCACACATTCATCCGGAATCTTCGGCAATGCAGGGCATGTCGTCGTCATCCGCCGACAATGCTTCCTGATGCAACAATCGACAGTGCAGCTGAGAAGCTTGCCGAGTTCCGAAACAACAACGCCCTCAACGACATTCTCGACCAATACGCTGTTCTAATCGAAGACTATAAGCGTCTTAAAAGCGATTATGAAGAAGAGCGTGAGGGTAGAGAGCGCTACAAGCAGCTCGCAAGAGGTCAAGAGCGTAATCCTTTTGCTCTTGTAGTCGTCGATGGAGATGGTTACATCTTTGATGAACGCTTCGCCAAAGACGGTGAAGAAGGCGGAAGCAGAGCCGCCAAGCAACTCAACGATACTATCAAAGATAGTCTACGCCGCAAAGGCCTCGAATCCTGCGAGGTCATGGTCCGCGTCTACGCCAACCTCACAGGCCTATCAAAAGCCCTCTGCAAAAACGGTCTCGCCGGTGCAGAAAAGCGATCATTCTCATCCTTCACAGCTGGATTCAACCGATCTTACGGTCTTGCTGATTTTATCGACGCGGGCGAATTAAAAGAAAACGCCGATTTTAAAGTCAAGGCCATTCTTCGTCTCTACGCCGACAACGCTCAGTGCAAGCATATTTACTTTGCCGCCTGCCATGATGTGGGCTACGTATCCGACCTTATCCCCTTTAGGGGCAACCGTGAAAGATTCACGCTTATTCGAACGCCGAGTGTGTTGTTTCATAAGGAGTTTGATAGACTTGGCATGAACATTGAAGAACTCCCTGGTGTATTCCGCCATGTGCCACTCACATACGCTTATTCTACTGCGCAAACAAAGACGGCTCTTGCGTCGTCTAACAATATCAGCAAAGTCAACAGCTCACCATACACAAATTCTACGATCAAAGGAAACTCGAATGAAGGGAACTCGGTCTGCAGCTTTTACATGCAAGGAAATTGCCGATATGGCAGCGGCTGCAAGTTCTCTCACGTCGACAGTAAAACATCCAGTCAGAATAGCACACCTTCGCCATCTACTATCGGCACAAGCACAAAGAACTTTGCAAGCGATTGGCGACGCGGTTCCAGCATCACTAAGAGTAACATCGAGTCTCTACCACTAAAGGAAGAAATCCCAGATGGTTATGTGGCCATCAATGCAGTCGAAGATCGTCTCGACGCATACTTACCTCCGCCTGATCCCGACGCCTCAAGACGCCTCAAGATGCTATCGCAGGAGAAAAGATTCTGCAATAATGCACAACTGTATAACTCATGCGACAACGACAACTGCGAATATGAACATGCACCGATCGATAAAGAGCTTCTCCCAGCGCTTGAGCACCTTTCTCGCTCTGTGCCTTGTACTCGCCGAGGAGCTTGCCGAAGAGCAAACTGCGTTTATGGCCATGTCTGTCAGCGGGCAGATTGTCGTCACCGAACTGGCGGGAAGAGCTATTGTCGTTTCCCCCAGCGAGTTTGCACCGCAGATTATAATGCTGTCGACTTCGTTCCGGTTATTGATCCGCCTATGATGTCTCAATCTCTGCACTCTGAAGATGTGGATGGGTGCAACGCTGAAAATGGAGGGACGAATCTGTGGGGAGTTGAGTAGACAACTACAAACTATAATGGTATACCTGATAGGATGGGTATACATATAACGCGTTTTGGTGAAGGAGATTATGTTTCTACCTCCAGGGCCTCATTATAGGATGGCTGAGGCTTGAGGGCGCTCATTATCTTGTGGAATTGCCTTCGCCCGTACAGTAGGGCAAATACGGAAGGCCAGGGGTTTTTTATGTCCATTCAACTGGACAGGTCAAAGGGAGAAGTTTGGATGGACCGTATTCAAGAAAATCGAGTTTGGACGTCTCATGAGAAAGGCACTAGAATACGGTACTCGGACAAATATAAATACAAGGACACTATCGCGGTGAAGATTGACTCGGCACTGTGACAAAACGTGGGATATTTGTCCTGAAGTTGCTCTGATTGTTTGGGTCGTAGCTGAAGCTTCGACTCGACAGCTTACGAAAGCCAATGATCTTGGATTCTGCGAAGATTGGTGCACGAAACAATAGGATTTGCCTTTTATCATCCCAATCAGGCCGTGTTGGTTATTTCTAAAATTCTTCGTCCAGATGATTATGTCTCGCCCCTCGTGCCTAATGTACCATTGGATCATGATGCCCAAAACACCAACACGGATGCCACGGCCGACGACTAACACGAAAATCCTGCCAAGTACGATATGTCCTTCCACTTCCAATGGAATTGTTGTCTGGGGGGTCAAGGAGATTTCTCTCCTCTTAGTATGAACATGGCAGGTATGATGTGCGTGATTTGGAAATGGACAACACCAAATAATGGAGGCCACTGCCATCACATCTTTCCTGGGAGATGCGGTAGGAGCTTTCCCTGAGAGAAAGGGAGACCTCTGGCCCAGTCAGAGTTGCAATCAGTTGAACTTGTTCGACGAGCGGGTTGATTGAGCGAAGTCTCTTTAATCACAAGGATCAAGTGCATTAGTACTCTTCAGAGGTTTTGCTAAACACCTACGTAATCTCTCCATGTGCAGACAGGACTGGATGACTTGTTGTGATATGGTCCTGCTTCCTTCCCAGTTTGAACGTGGTTGCCCTGACTGAAGCGGGACGCGTCGTCGTCACGGCCATGCCCCTTCCTCGACGTAGTGGGGACAACAACTGCGGGTTAACTGAACCTCATATGGAACTCTCAGACTTGGGAACTTCATCATTCCAACACACATGGAAATCATTCTGCTTCATGCTCAGCTATCCCGTCCATCGCCAAACTCAAGTTCACAGGCCTTAGTGAGTGACCACATCTTCACTTGATCCACTGCAACCAAGAGCAAGCAAGATACGGCTAACTTGGCAGTGCCCTTTTGATGCACACAGTGCCATCGAAGCAAAGCCCCGGCCGATCAAGTACCAAATCAAACGGTCGACCGCAGGGCCTCAACCCAAAAAGAGGAACGGCCTCGGCGTCGCGAATGGCATTTAGCAGCGCGCCACAAGCTACGATGCCTGATAGCCTCGAAAGCGAGGGCAAGTGGGACGGCCTAAATTTATTGAAGGGAAGTCCTGCGCATGGTTATCAATCCTGACATGCTGCAGTGCTTGCCACGACACCCGACGCGTGCCATGCAAATTTGCAGATACTGGCCAGAAGAGTCTCTATAGCACTGAAAGCTGGGCTCGGTTAGGAGGGCTTGTCCCTGTTGCTACGATGCTTGTCGTCGGTCTAACGCGTACCTACCTCATGGAGGATCTTGGTCAGAAGAGTCAAATCAGCGTAACGCGGGGCTCGGTTAGAATGGGCTCGTCCCTATAGCAATCCGATGCTTCCTTTAGCATTCGTATAATAGGGAAGATGCTGACCCTTCATGTTACAGTGAGAGGGTTCCGCGGGCGTCGAAGTCGGACTCTGCAACCTCCTCGTGGTGCCGCCTGGGAACCCGGTCAATACTGGAGCCAGTGCAGAGACGTAACCCCTTTCCTTTCCTTGATGTAGCTGGTTGATTATATCGGGATGACTCGAGCGGCGATCTGGTCCTTGGCAAATGATCAGAGGAGTTTGAGGACTGCTGAGAACGCACAGGTAAGATGTTATCATCACGTTCGCGAGATTTAATGGCGCTAACGGAAGGCGAAATACATCATATATGTTCCGATGAATATCTTCGCAAAAGGTCAGGTACCATGAGAGTATCAGCACGAGCCAAGGTCTAATCTTTCAGACCCTGTTGACTCAGGCTATGTGATTTGGGAAACGGCTATCTTTGCAGTTTGGCCATGTCATTGCCGTGTTGCTATGGACAAAGCTATTGTCTGATATACATTTCCACCGCTATTTCGGATAGGTGCCATCTCGTGACGAAAGTTCACAGTGCTTCCCAGCCAAGAAGTCCGATTTTGCAGTGACCAGTGCGACTCCGAACACGTACACCATGGACTGTACTCCGGGAATGTCCATTAGGGATCATAATTCTGTCGCTCCAAAATCTGTCGCACTCTTCTTGGACAGTCCACTCTCTGAACTGCCGTACGAATTCAATCGAGGGACTGCGGTCTGGTATCGATGTGTCCGCCCATGGCTTTACAGACTCCCACCAATCCGGGTTAAACTCGATTGCGATGTGCTGGAGTCTTCGGAAAGGCGGCCGAGTTCCTGCGCGGGTTGGACTAGACGCTACCCAGTACCAATCTATGCCACCTAGTTTATCAGGTTGGGAAACAAAAAGGTCTCTGCGAGGGAAGACCGTCAAGTAGTGTGGAGGGCCTCCTTCAAAGTATCCCGTCGAAGGTACTTGAAACACTGCTTGGTAAGGATATTCAGGAGACCATGAAGGCCAATAACCAGTTCGAAAAGGGAAAAGTCGATCGTCAGGCCACTTATACTGGCTGAAATGCTTTTCGATGATAAGTCGCGAGTGTTTGCAGGTTGTCCACATTGCACCGTCAATGAGATACGTGGACATGTTCTCGTTCCCGCGGTCCTTGTCCAAGCTGTTGAAGTATCTGTGGGGTGGCGGCTCAGATAGTACACCGCTAAAGTGGCTGCCATGCATCATGGAACGGCCCTCAGCCATGCCTTTCTTGTTCTCATCGTAGTGTCCAAAGATATGAACTCCTGGATGATCATCCCGTGGGACGAGGTTCCATATCATATCTCGGATCTCCCAAGGAAGATCGGAAAGATTCGCCATGGTCGAGTATATGATTAAAGGTGAGACTTATAAGACGGATCGTTGGGGTGAGGTGCGTTTTGAAGTGTTGTGGTGGTGAATGCCAATTTGGCTGCGCGTGGCGGATTTCCTTGTGAGATGGGTTTCTAGGGGAAGGTCAAGTTGACTTGAAGGTCGGGAAGAGTAAAGGTTTTTATAAAAGCAGCGACGCGGTTAACCTTTATGGCCTGAGTCACTACACGCCTCTTTAACTTTGCAGCCAGACCTCTCTAGATGTGTTATTTGCAGTTGAGACCTGAGGCTGAGAGCTTATATCACCACACAGAACTTAGGACCACTGGCAGCACCCCCCAACTTTCGTTTTTGTCCCACCGAACCATTTCTTCAAAGTCTCCTTGAAATTTATAGGTCATCCCATCCAAGAAGCCCAATGCTAAAATAGTAGTCCTCTTCACTGTCATCTGGATGATACCGGTGATGGATCTTGTCTTCCAAGTGCGAGACGAAATCAGGCGAAGAGCTAAACTCATAATCTAAGCCAAACTCGTCGACATCTGAACTGGAATCGTCATCCGGATAGAGTCTTAAAGGTCTGATGTAGTCCCATTCTTCATAGGGAGAGTAATTATTATGATCAATCTCCAGAAACCTCCTGTCGCTCGCGTAGAATGCGTTGATGCTGTAGTAGGATTTTCCCTTTTGCTCCTTGAACGGTGGAGCATCCTTCTTTCGTTTCAAGGTACGGTCGATGAACCACAGCTTGCAAGTAAAACAGTCCAACTCAAAAGCAGCATGAATTAACGCTGTGATATCGGGGGAATCTGGGTAATATGGCCCTTCGGATATGTCCTCCCACCACTTTGGGTCATACTCGATTGCGATGTGCTGCACCCCACCGAAGCCCTCATCACCACGCTCCATGCAAGCTTCAAGCGCAAGGAGGGACCAACCGATCTTGGCTAAGTTGTCAGACTGCAAACAAAAAGACCACGGTGGGGGAAGACTGTGATCGGGTGCAGAGGTGAACCGTCAAAGCAGCCTGTTGAGGCCTTTTTGAAGATGTCTTTCTCCCTATCATACTTTGGGGTAATGCATTTGTAGAGATTTCGGTTTGACTGTTGGAATCGCTTTTCCATGATGAGCCGTGATTCATGGCATGCGGTCCATAAGCCGCCATCGATGAAGTATGTTGAGATATTCTCATCGCTCTGGTCCTCGTTCAAGTTGTCAAAGTACCGGCGCCAGGACGGTGCAGCCCAGTTTAGGCTTATAAATATGCCATGTCTTAGGGCATGGCTCTCGCTCGAATTCTCTTTTGTTTCTTCATATTGTCCAAAGATGTGTACTCCTGGGCGGTCGTCCCGGATAGCCATGCTCCAGATCTGGTCTCGGAGTTCTCGGGGAAGCTCAGGGAACCTCTTGAATGCAGCCATAGCTGAAGATCTGAAATATCTTTAGCCCCAATACAAAAGTGTTTGCACTATAAGGTCATGTTTGTGCGTCGTCGTAGTGGATCCGAGATTCACAGCGCGCGCGACGGGGCTGTTGTTCAGAAGGCATTGTGTGAACAGAGGATCAACAGAATGACGACCTGATCCCCAGGTGACATCAGCTATTTATATCTGTCTGCAAAGTGCTCTGCGGTCTGAATCATCGCTTTTAGGTGTCTTACTTTGCACTCGGATATGTTACTGGAGCTCGGCCACCAAGACAAAACCTTATCGACTGCGTGGTATTAGTTTTGAGGCCATTACCATATCCACAAAAGACAAAGTTTCACCTTTGAATAGAATTATGAGTTTGTTCTGAAACCTGATTAGATAATAAGCTGAAAAGCTTATCTTGGGCTATTCTGTAGGTAGTTGGTATGCTGCCTGAAGTGTGTTTTTGAGAGTGTTATTTTGAGTTAATAGACCTGACAGCTGATGCTTGTATCGCGTGCCTTACCTCGAGTTTAGTCTGAAACTCAAGGCTGGCTCTCAATGTTCACAAAAAGTTAAATCCCGAATTCGTAACTGTTAACACAATATTAGGAGTAGATAATTTTATCCCACATAATCTGTTATCTGTTTCAATATCAACAATGGAGCAAGACATGGGCCGCGTTTATAAATTCCATATCTCATGGTTAATGTTGAGGCGTATTGGCTCCGCCGAATCCAATAGCTACCACAGTGTAAGGTCCAACGGACATAGTTATACACGAAAATACATATGTCTTGCTATATCACTGACCAAGTAACGGTATCTTCTCGCTGCGACTTGATCTCCAGATCAATGCTACCCTTAACCAGCCAGCGTTAAGATCACTCAAACTTCACTATTGAAGCCTGGAGGTGAATGGACTAAGTTCTGTGTGGTGATATAAGCTCTCAGCCACAGGTCTCAACTGCAAATAACACATCTAGCTCACAAATTTTAGAAGAACTATGGTCTTACTTCTCCAACTATCTCTATAGCTTCTTACAACACTCAAAGCTCAACCTCAACAATGCTAAGCCCCAAAAAGCTCTCCGTCGTTCTCAAAGGTCATCCCAACCAAGAAGCTTAACATCCGAGGCAAATCGTCGATCAGGTTCTTGTCCATACTGCCCATAGCTGATGAATTGCCCATGCTCATCGTCTGCTATACTGTCCAGGGTTTTTGCCAGACCGATAGAACACCCATGTTTCTCATCTCCAGGTGGCTTGATATGTCGCCAGCGTTCTAAAGGCTTGTGTCCCCAGTCGACCTCTATGAGCTTTCTGTCGCAAGTATAGAAGGCTTCCCTTCTGTACTCTCGCGAGTTTTTGTCGATATTTCCTCTCATATTGAGATTGTGATCGATTATCCATAAATGGGCATCGATATGGTGAAAGGCGTCGCATATCACATTTAAGTCATCACCCCACTGCTCCTCTTCTCGACGAATACCCCACTCGCGATCCCACTCAATCCCAATATCGATATGCCATCCGAAGCCGGTGGGACTCAACTGCTTTAGGATGTCACGAGCGACCGTGGGCCAGTCAATGTTGTCGATGTTCGCGGGCTGTAGCGCAAAGAGGTCTCGGAGAGGTCGAACCATAAAACGCTGTGAGCTACTACCGAAGAAACATCCCATGGCAGGCAAATCTTCGACATTCCTCATGCGACGGTAAGGCTGTTTGGCCTCATGTTCAAGGCCTTGTCTCGATGCCCTTATGTCCTTTTCCATGATGAACCGTGACTCCTTACAGGCAGTCCATAATCCGATGTCCGCCATGTATGTAGAGACATTCGAATTGCCTGTGCTTCCATCAGGGGCAGGGAAGTATTTACTCGTCAGTGGCGAAGCGAGCTCATGCTTAGGCGGGTGACCAGCTGAGGGGTTGGCGATGGAAGTTTGGCTCTCTTCATTTGGTTCGGGTTTCTGAAGGTCAAAGATCTGAACGCCGGGATGGTCATGTTGTGCTCTCATACCATTTCCCGCAGCTCTTTGGGCAGGTCGGGGAATCGTCTGAAGCTGGCCATGGTAGATGATCTGGTCTAAATATTGAGGTGCAAGGGGGATCCAGGTAAAAGGTTGAGAGGATATGACAAAGTAGAAAAGTTGAATAAGGAAAGAAATGGAATGGGGAAGCCGAGCGGACAATATGCTTATATATAAGCTTTTTTGAAGCTTTCTCTTCTGCATTTCGCAAGACTCTAGTAAGAATATGTGTCAGTTTGTGAGAAGACGGAGGGTTTGTGAGATCTCCCACCAAAGTCAAAACTCATAACTCATTTCAGCTTTAGGCTGGTTCAGTATATTTAACATAAATCTGAGGCTAAAATACATAATCTTTAGTTCTTTTAGGATTAGGTTATCGCATTAAAGCATAATCCTTGTGGTTGCGAGGCCTTGCTTCCAACACCCCGATTGGCAGGTGGCTATGAAAGTACTTGCTAGCCATAAGGTTAACTTTAGGCAGCTAACACAGCTGTCTAAAGAACGCATCTTGAGACCTAAGCTCATTAGACAAGGTTAACTTCAGTATACTCTTCAAACGTCTCCTTTTTCCTCTCACCAGCTGTGTAAAGAGAATTATCTCTGTTATTTGTAGCCCTCTTCTTGAGAAAGTCCACTGCTTCGAGGCTTCTCTCTAATTAAATGGATACATCAACCAGATCGGTCTCATTCAAGTCCCACTGCAGCAATAAAGAGCCTATAGCCGTCCTTCTTTTCATGGCCAGTTGCTAGAATGGTAGGTTCTATAATAAAAACCAGCTGAGCATTCTGTTCAAGAGTGTAGCGCCTCAAATTTGTAAACCAGGCTCTCACGATAGACTGGTAACTTACCGTAGCATGGCGTGTTACCAGCAGCCTTGATTGGGCCTCTTCCTTCGTTTTTGTTCTGGTTCTTCATCATTTCTAAACCTGTTCCCTCGGGCCTTAAAATTGAATCTGCAGTAGCACGTTGGAAGTAAACGGATCCTTGAAGATTTCAGCAATACGGATAGCGTTCTTATACCTAACCAATACAACCGCTTAGCTTATCTCGGAGACTGCTGTTTGCGATTGCTACAACATTTCCTTCTGTGACCGACAACTGCCCTGTGGAGGAACTAATTTCTACCGCCAGTATTGAGTGATGCATACCGCGCTTACACCTTATCCTCAACCTTAAAATATGCGTATTGAGATGCGTCACCGAAGTGCATCCCACAAATTCCTCGGTTACACACAAAGACAAATGACTGGAGGTCGTCTCTCCAGGTTGTTACCTGCGGGATTCCAGAACTTGACATGCTGAAGACGCCACTGGGCAGCGTCAACCTGAGCATTTTCAATCACGGCTTTGAGAGATTTCAGTTGGTAGCCAGAGTCTTTTCTTCCGGCTGTATCCGACCACTTGCATTATCATCTCCCTCAACAAACAGTCGCAAAATGTAAAGCACATTGCTAAAGTTTGGGACAATCTGCATGTCCATAGCAACGGCGATACTGAACGGCCCATATCTGGCTACCTTGGCTTTAGGATCTACCCAAAAAGATCTTCTGCGACAAAGTCTACTTTTCTGATATGAAATAGCATGTGTTCAACAGTTGGTATAATGGTGACTTGCTTTGTCGAAGAAGATTGAGTGCCCGTGGCGGCTAAGAACTAACGTCAAGGGTGAACTCAGCCCACGCTACCTATTTCTAGTTTAATGCCAATAATGGGAATGTTTGGTCTTCTGATCTTCGCTAAGGCGTCAAATCAGGAACGACTTCGACAATCTAGACCAACGCCCTGTCTTGGCTAATCGGTCACTACAGGGTCCAGTCGCGATAGTTTCACGCTATCCAAGCCACAAGACCTCAGCCCTGGGAGGGTTAAAAACATTTGGGATCTGGAGGCGCTTTAAGAGCCATTGATTGCCCCTTTCTCCAAATTTTCTGTTGCACGAACAGGGATTTCCTCAAGATCTGTGAAGTGGGCATTGTTAGAAGCATCAACGGATAAACAAAATGCGCAAGTTTGTGTTGTTAGGCGCGCTCTTTGGCCGAGCGTTGGCGACGTGCTATTACCCCAACGGTATCAACGCAGCAAAAGACTACAAGTATGAACCATGCGGCAACTCTACCACGACATACTCTACATGCTGCTACTTTGGCGAGGGCGATAAATGTTTGGCAAACGGCTTGTGCAACCAGCCAGGAAAATACGACTACCGCGCTGCTTGTCAGAACAAAGACTGGTCGAATTGCCCAGAAGTTTGCATGGATAGTAAGTTATCTCGACGCCGTCAAACAAAGAAATATCTGACATTTTGTAGCGGACTCTGGTACTTGGTTCCCACTGCAGACATGCGGCAAGAACAAATACTGCTGCCCTCCAGCAGACGGAAGTGATTGCTGCGACAGCGGCGCCCAGATCTATACCCTCGAAGCCCCCGATCCTTCATCCAGCACCAAGACGAGCGATGCGACGAGTACTTTCCAAAGCGTGATTCGCACGACAATTATACAAACTCCAACCTCAACAGCAAATCGCGGGGATAGCTCAGCCAAGAAGTCATCGACTCCTGCTATTGTTGGGGGTACAGTCGGTGGTGTTTCCTTTATTGGGTTCTTGTTTCTTGGGGTTTTCTGCGTCTACAAGCGCCGCGATCGTCCATCTACTCCGCATGCGACCACAGTGACTCCTGAGAAGAAAGATGATTCAAGTGGCAAAGACAACGCCACAGTCCAGGTCTTGCCTCAGATTGGTGTTGCAGAAGCTGAGGGTACAGAGGGCAATAGGTACACCGAGGTTGACTCGCGGGCTGTCAATGGTACCCGTCCTCCACTTGCGTACCCTGAGGACGATGGGATGCCACAACCTGCTGATGTCAGACTTCCTCAGCAACCATACCCAGAGAACGACAGCATGCCGCGAGCTGGGATGGCAAGTGGGCATGGTCTTCGGGGACAGGCTATGAGAAGAGCAGGAAATGCTTCAACTGAAGCGGATTCTAACCCAATATTGCATGCTGACTCGAATCCTATTCTGCATGCCGATTCAAACCCTGTTTTCCATGCGGATTCAAATCCCATCCTACAGGCTGATTCCAACCCTATCAATGAAGCGCCTGATGATGCCTGGGTCAGGCCCCGTATTGCGACCGTTCCGAAAGGCGCGCCGCATGAACTTCCATAGCATTTTCTATAATACCTTAAGAGAGAAAAATCATATCTCATACTAGTAGTGACTTATCTTCACCTCCATGTGCATACCATTGCGACCTAATTCACTGCCTCCGCATGCGGTATTGCGGGAATGTGGCGAACATGTAGGGCATTACCGTCCTGAAGTTTCAACAAGCGGGTTTAGCTCAGTTGGGAGAGCGTCAGACTGAAGTTAAACTTCAATCATCATTCGATATCTGAAGGTCATGTGTTCGATCCACATAAACCGCATGTTTTTTGCCATTTTTACGTCACATAACCTTTTTTTTATTGCTCATAGATGAATGAGTTAGATGTCGTTTGCTTTACTTGGGGGTACTCAATGATCCATTCTCTGAATAATCCTCTGCGTGGTTAGTTATGCTTGTTCCATGACTAGATGCTCCTATCTAGAAACCCAGTCGCTTTGACCCCATCTTCTCAAGCACCGACCAGTTCTACAGAGTGATGTTTACGGAAGGTGACAATTCTCCAACGTGCGGAAGATGAACCTGGGGTTACCAGATGTAACTTTGTTGATCTTGGCGCGTAACAACTATAGGCGTGCCAATCACGGTAAACTATCCAAATGATCAACCTCCAGGACTGCCTCAATTAATACGCGCAAGTCTAGTATGATCATAACGATCCGGAGTAATAGGATCCGCTCAAGCATGGAACTTTTGTCATGAATTGCACTGCGCTATAAGAGTTGTCCACTGTCGCAACGAGAGGACAGGCACCACTCTCTCACTGAGACACCCAGCCATGATGCTATCACTTAAACAGCTATGCGCAGTTCTTGCCTCTGCAGGGACCTTGGTGCTGGCACAGAGAGACAACCTCGGCCTCAACAATGGCTACATCGACCTCAAGACAGAGTACTTCAAAGCCCGCATTGTTCGCGACGCTCAAGTTCTCGTATCCTTGACCTCGGCAGACGGCACTTTTGACTTTCTGCCATTTGATCGAATTGATGTTCGCGCCCAGAATGGGCAGTATCACTGGGGCGATATCACATACCGATATCGAAAACAGGGCGGTTCGGCGTGGACGAGTGGTGATACTGCTCAAAAGCGTGGGCCAGTGAAGAAGGTCAGTACAAGCAAGGCTCTTGCAGCTTCAGAGCTTGGCCCGACCCTCCCAGACAGCCCTCTCAGCATCACTCGCGAATGGCTTGACGTCGACGGCGATCTGGGTCTTCGCTTCACTATTTCCAATAGCGGAGACGACACCATCGAACTTGGAAGCCTTGGATTCCCGGCCGAGTTCAACAGTATCTTCACCAACAGAACAGCCGAGGAGATGCAAGCCCATTGCTCTCTCTCAGACCCCTACATCGGTCAAGACGCTGGTCAAATCCGTATCGCACCAGTCAAAGGCACTGGCAATGGTCTCGTCGTCACGCCTCTGGATGGAACCAAGACACCACTTGAGGCTTACCGGGATCTGAAGGAGCCGTGGTTCGAGTCAACTGGCTATGCAAGTCAGACGTTTGAAGGGTTCTATGAGTGGCAAGTCCTCACCAAGGCATGGGCAGAAAATGAATGGAAGAGTCAAGAACCTTGGAACGAACCAACTTCGAAGATCTTAAAGCCTGGCGAGTCGCTGAAAGTTGGCGTCCGGTTCTCTTTATCCAAGTCTGTTCGCGACTTTGACAAGGTCATTCGTGAGACTGGAAACCCCGTTGCAGTTGGAGTTCCTGGATACATCATCCCACGAGATCTAGCTGCCCAACTCTTTCTTCAGAGTGATAGTGGTGTCGCTTCAATAATCGTCTCACCCAAGGGTGCGCTTGGAGTTAAGATGGATAGCGAGAAGAAGTACACCCTCACCCCCTCATCCTCCACTTGGGGACGAGTTCGCGTCACCATTACTTACGACGATGGCAAGGTGCAGACTGTCCACTATTACGTTACAAAGGCAACAACAGAGACTCTCAGTGACCTTGGTGGTTTCCTAACCACCAAAGCTTGGTTCAACGACTCATCAGATCCTTTTAAGAGATCTCCGTCGGTCATGACCTACGACTACGAGAAGGGCGCCATCGTTGAACAAGATCCTCGAGTCTGGATTGCAGGTCTCAGTGACGAAGGTGGTACTGGTGCTTATGTCGCGGCCATGCTCAAGCAAGTGGTTCAACCAAATGCTGAGGAGATTTCCAAGCTGGACGAGTTTATTCAGACGACGATTTGGGGTCGACTTCAAGGGCAAGACTACGGAGTACGCAAGTCCCTCTTCTACTACGACCCCAAAGTAGACTACCCGTATAGCAAAGATATTGACTGGACCTCCTGGACATCATGGAACAAGGAAGCCTCGGAGAGTCTTGACCGTGCGTATAATTACGTTCACGTCGTTGTGGCTTACTGGTCTATGTATCGTGTCGCACGAGCATATCCAGAGCTGACATCCAAACCTTGGACTTGGTACTTGAACCAGGCTCAAAAAACCATTATTCGCATGACCCAGAAGGATGTGTCATACAGAGACGTTGGCCTGATGGGCGAGACGGTTTTCGGGGAGGTACTGACGGATTTGGAACGAGAGGGAAATAATACCGCAGCAGATGCTGTCGAGAGCGCGATGAAGGAGCGTGCTGGGCTTTGGCACTCGCAGGACATTCCTTATGGAAGTGAGATGGCATGGGATTCAACGGGCCAGGAAGGCGTATACTACTGGACCAGGTAAGATCAGACTTCGGTTGAGTTACTCATTACTAACTTGATAGGTACTTTGGCTTCGATGATTCAGTCCAGAAGACTATCAACAGCGTTCTAGGATACATGCCCAATGTGCCTCACTGGGGATGGAACGGCAATGCTCGTCGATACTGGGACTTTATCTACGGAGGAAAGCTTCAGAGGATCGAGCGACAGATCCACCACTATGGATCTGGCTTGAACTCTCAAGTTCTGCTGTCGGCTTTTCGTGATAACCCATCCGACTCTTACCTCCTTCATGTCGGGTACGCTGGCTCGTTTGCACCTCTGACCAACATCAATGAAGATGGTTTTCCCAGCGCGGCCTTTCATTCACGACCGGATACTCTCAAGTGGGATGGTATCACTGGCGATTACGGCGGTGGCTTCATTGGTACGGTATTGAACTCGGGCACTTACGTCGCTGATGACAAAGGCCTTGGCATGGTAGCTTTTGGAGGCTCCATCTCAAAGAAAGGAGATCATTACACTGTTCAACCAAAAGATGCTGTACGAAAGAGAGTCTTCATTGGACCTTTGAAGGTTATGGTTACTGTTGACGCTGGATCCATTAGCGAGTTCACCTTCGACACAACTCTGAAAACAGTCTCAGTAACGCTGTCACAGACAGAGAACTCTCCTAGGGCAGCCAAAGCCGCGGTATGGATTGAATCAACGGGTGCTGGAGAGTGGCAACTCAACGGGAAGGATGTTGAGAAGGGGCGAGGAGGATGGATTGTACCTCTCCCTAGCTCCGGTTCTGTCAGTTTGTCGGTGAGCCAGCTGTAGGTCAATGAGGCATCTCTCGATGTAGCTATCTACTTAGGATTCCTTATGGTTATCTCGGATCTGAATGGGCCGCTGTCTTGATCCCTTACTTGTTTCTTATCTTAGTGTACTTAGGATATTTTAGTCAATGTTAGGATACTTTATAATAAGTTCCAGAAGATTTTGCATAACAATTTTCATCGATATGTATTACTTTATTTCTCTCTCGTCCATGTTGTTCTCGAACTTTATATCACAGGTTAAATGGGATTCTCTTCTCACTCGCCTCCCCATGCCTCTTCTCAATCTCCTCCAAGCTGTAACCTTTCGTCTCACCCATGAAAAGGATAACCATGGTCGTTGTCGCGAGACTACATCCTGCAAAGAGGTAGTACGCGCCAAAAGAAGACTTATCAAGCAACACTGGCGTTACGAGAGCCACGATGTAGTTAGCAGCCTGAACGGATATGTCAGTACATATTGTGATATGTTTGGGGCTTCACTCACCCAATTTGAACTTTGCGCAAGACTCGAAGCACTGCTTCTCGTCCGTCTTGGCATACTCTCAACGACCCACGTCCGAAAGCCAATGGCCCACGTGAAGCTGAAAGTAATGGCGAAGAGGTAAATGCAGACAATGACGACCCATCTACCTGCACCGTACTCTGGATTAACTTGCCCAGACGCATACAGCGATCCCATGATCACCATCAAGCTCACGATCAAAACACCACCCAGGATACTCTGCATACGCCGACCCCATTGATCCGCAAAGATTGTCGCAGGGAAGGTTGCTGCAAGAATCACAACAGCAGAAACTCCAGATGCTAGGAACGAAGCTTTCTCGCCGCTAAGACCTGCCTGCGTGAACAGAATGGGGGCATAATAGAGAACTCCATCGATGCCGCTGAACTGCTGCATCCCCATGAGAAAGCAAGCAAAGGCCGTTCTTCCACGATATGGACCTGAGAATGCGCACCTGAAATCTTGGAAAGTATGTTGAATGTCTTGCCAGAGCGACGTCTCACCGTCTAAGCCACCAGGGGTATCATAGACTTGAGCAAGGAGTTCTTTCTCTTCAACTTCATCAATGCCAAGTTGTCGGCACACTGTTCGAGCTTCGTCCGTTCGTCCCTTGGAGAGCAGCCAACGTGGAGATGGAGGTACGATGAAAGCCACCATCGACAGAAGAACGCCAAGGAATGCAACAATAGCGAGGGGCAAACGCCATGTTATAGACGAATTACCAAGTCGCGATGTCCCGTAGCACGTGAAGTAACCAGTAACAATACCAGTAGTGATGAGAAACTGCGGAAGCGCAGTCATGATTCCTCTTACTCTCGACGGAGACATTTCTGAAACTTGAACGTAGACATTGCTGAGAAACAGACCTTCGCCCATCCCTTTGATGAGCCGACCGAGGATAAAGACACCAAGATAAGGAGCGCCGCACTCGATAGCGGCACCAATACCGAATATGATAGAACCAATGGCAATGAGTCTCACATGTCCGAAACGATGGGCTAGAGCGCCAGCGATGAGTGCTGTCAAAGCTCCGGGGATGAGAATTGTCGAGACAATAACGCCGTGAATTGTTGCGGAGAAGTCACCAAAGGTATCCTTGAAGGCAGCCATTGTCGTGATAGGACCAATACTTCCAGTGTCCATTCTAAACAGTACAGTCAGACATCCAACCTCAGAACTGTCACAATTAGAAAACATACCCAAAAAGGAACGCAACACAAGAAGTCGCAGCACCAGCGCTCGCATACAACGGCACCTTCATCTTCACAATTTTACAATAATCTGACTGTAAAATCACATCAGAAAAGCACAGCTACTCAGTTTTAAGCTTATCTTTTAGTCTTGCGCAATCTTTTCAGTCGGTGTGATCACATTTTTATTGTGGAAACAGGGGCGCTTCGGCTTGCCTCTTTCAAGATCGATGGGGCTGGCGGAGTTGCCACTCTCGGATTGATTACCTGGCGCGTCTTATCAGTTCGCGTTGAGTTCTATTTTGGGATATGCATGTGATGGAGATAACATTATATCTATCAACTCTTGTTGTATTTATCTATGTTTCAAGGATTAGTGATGCTGGTACACTGCATGGTTTAGATGTTTCTCGGCTTGGGGGAGGTATGCTATAAATAGAACACCTTGTCGAGTTTCGGCAATGCAGGCCCAACGTTCACGGAGACCATACCCATCTGCTGAGCTCTTCTACTATTTACTTTCATCTTTGATAGAAGGCAAAACCGGGTATTCATTCTTCCAGACTTCATTCGTCTTGATACATGCTGAGGCCGAACCTCGCTCCAGAAAACACGCCCTACGCCCTACGCCCTCTAGCACTGACATGTCTCGACACCTCTGGTAAAAGTAAGGCGTGCGGCCAAGAGGTCCTTACATATATATCATCAACTTTATTTATTACTATCTAGCCGTTTAATATATAACACAATCTAAGCCCCAATCCGGGCTACAAACACCAAGTTTTCCCATCTACCCAATTGCCAAAAGGAATGTCCTCTTACCATCTTCAATCCCCATCAGCTACCCGGCGAACTATTAACATGATGCTCTTTAAAACACGAAAGCCAGTCCTTGTTATCTGCAAGCGTCTGATCCATCGGATCCACGGTATCGTAAACAATCCTCCTCGCCTCAGTCTGAAACATATCATCTGACGGGATGATCCCGAGGCTCATCTGCCGCTGCGCATATCTTCCAAGATGATGAACCAGAAACTCCGGAAAGGCCATGGAGCTGCTGTCTTGTGTCATTGAGCGTTGCGGTCGCGGTATTGTTGCCTCTGCCGCATCCATATTGCTCAGACTCCCCTCAGCAAAATCCGTGGTTCGAACAACGTTCTCTCGAATCTGAAGAAGATGATCTCGACAGCTTGGATCAGTCGCTGAGAACGGCACCGGACACTTCGATTCAACTTCAATCATGTACGGCGACAGGGCGTTTGTCACATGAGCCTTGATATGCGGTTCAAAATCATGATCGCCTTTCCAATCAGCCATCGTATCACCCTTTCGAAAGTGTTTCGCCAGATGTTCGACACGTTCTTTCCACGTCTCCATTCTAAGGCCGCAGATTCCACACCTCGATTTAACAGGCGGTCCCTCGACTTTCCACGAATCTATAACCGGTATCGTTTTCACGTGGTGGACGAGTCGAAGGTGCTGAGTAAGATGGTCCTTTCTACTAAAAATAGGAGATTTATCATCGTTTTGACAACCCGCATGGTTGTGAGTGTCGAGGTGTTCTGGTGTTGGGTCGAGTTGGCTGCAATATGCACAATGGCTTCGTCCTGTTTCTGGGGATACAACCACCCCTCCGAACGGGGCGCATCGCCAGCCCTGAAGGTCGAGATGAAGAGATTTTTCGTGACGGGCCCAGTCATACTTACTCTTGAACCTATCGCAGCAAAACGTACAAGGAAATCGTCTATTTTCAGGTTCTTTGCTCTTGGCAGTAGAAGTACGTTTTGACTTGGTGACTCGCCCTTTCAAAGAGCCTTTTCGAGTTGCGGATTGGGGTGATCCCACTGACGCAGATGAGCAACTCGTTGCGCTGCCGAAACTAACTGTTGATCCTGCGCGACTTCCGACACGGCTTCGGCCTAGACTTCCAGCAGACGAACGAGTTCGCAAAGGAGTCTTTTGCAGTGCGTCAGCGATGGCGGATAGAGACGCTGCTTCAGCTTCCGGAGGTGATTCTTGCCATCTTTGCATGGGATCTAAAGTGCTGCCGCGTCGAATATTGTGACGAGGTATTGAGATGGGATCACTTCCTGTTCGATGAGGTTGACGACGAAAGTAATGACTTCTTTTCCGTGGAAGTCCTCGCTGCAAGCTCTCGGCTATCGGAGAACCATTGAACGATTGACCGAATCCAGGGACTCCAAATGGGGATGTCGTTGTCGGAGTTCCCACTCGATTACCCGATGTTGCCAATGGTGAGATATTCCCCCCAGTTGGTGTCTGTGCCGCAACGGGTGTTTGCCACGAATTCAGGCTCAATGCAGGATCAAGCCAGAACTCGGTTTGTTGTTCTGGGATCATGGAGTTGAGCAAGTCATCCGTGAAATCGAGGTGCTCATGACCGAACGAAACCTCATCATTCTGAGGCGGAAAATACGATTGCTGACTTCCTTGACCCTGAATTGGCGCGTTTCTATCATCAAAAGACTTATTCGCAAGTCCAAGTCTCGCAAAATCGAGTTCCGAGAAGGTCAAGACTATCGGGTTACGCATTAGCGGATCTCAAACCCGAGATAGAGGTCTGCTTACTATCGCCATCAACGTCATCCGACGGCGGCCGTTTCGGTGCATTCGACCCCATTGCTTTGACCTATGTCCCTACAATCACTTGAGGGCAAGCGCTTGTAGTTATTGTGTAGTTTGCGGTGTTGTTGAGGCCAGACAAAGTCAGTGACTAGACGCCTTCTTGATGACAAAAAGGCGTCGTTGACTTTCCGGAATCGGAGTGAGACTAACCCCCACCTTGACCAAAATTCGTGACACCAAATATGCGATACTACGTCTCCATCGCGAAACAGTCAGAGGCGATTTACTTCCTTGGCATAATAAGATTTTTCAGCCTCAATCGTGGCATTCCTCCGACTTTCTTTCTCCATACTTTGCCATGTTAGAGTGATTACTCATGCGTATCGGCACAGACCCATCCCCATGCAGGGCGAGTCACAGATAAGATTATTTCATCAATTCCCGCGTGAAGATGAACTCAATGCGTCACTTTAGCGGTAAAGACTTGCTTATAAAGACTGGTGTTTCATTATTTCCTCCGTAGACGGTCTGACTCACTCAGGGTTGCTCTGAGTGCCGGCAGCGCTGAAGCCATTTACGACGGTAGTGAAGAACACGTGGATGCGCAAGCCGACTGATCCTTTTCGCTTCTTCAGCAGCTGCTTATTCAAATATCCAGGAAAGTGAATTGTTCCATATCTGTAGCACCCCAGCTTCAGTATAGTCGTTGCTTCTCGTCACTCACCAAATATGTAGATGAAGCACGACAAGTTCGAGGTGAGCTCTGCAAGTGAATACATAATGGCGCCATCTTATTCTACCAAAGCGAATCCCAACCTTGACGTTTGAACATTGATGCTGCAGCTTATAAAGTGTTGCTTTCCACTCGTTTCTGGCAGAACATCGAGCGTGATCGGAGCTATCTGGGGACTGTCACAGGATTCCATCCTTGACAATGTGTTGCGCCTTAAAGATTGGCAAGCCGGAGAGCTTGCATTTACCAAGGCAACAGTTCTGCCATACTCGATTTGACCAAATCCCGGGTCAGTAAAAGAACTCGATAATTCCATCAGTTTCGTATCAATTCTCTTACTATTCACTATTTTCGTAATATTTCATCGTCGCTCTTGTATAAGTTGGTGACATTCAAGAATGGTAGCACAGGATTGGTCCAATCAGTGCTAGTAGCTCATGGCGCGTGACGCTCTGCGTAGGGCGTGAAAATGGCTTAGGTCGGACCAAGATCGGAGCACCATTTTTTGTAGTAATGACGCTTACCGAAAGCGATCAAGTTCAAGATGTTTCACATGAAAGGTAAAGGTCAGGACTTATACGAAACCAACAGATTAGAGGCTAATGGTATGTCACCTTTGTATAAGTTGACTCGCGCCGGGGTATGACGTAGTTGAGTGTAAGGTTTTTGGATAGCAATAGCAGCCAAAGATGATGGTCTACAGCCCTCATTCGGGTCCTTCTCCATGAGCTAATGAGTCTGTAGCAATATCAAATTGCCTCGCCTTCTTTCTGCTCATCCTTCTTGATCGCATCAACCTGAACTATCGAATGCGACAGTCCCTTACCATCCTCCCTCTCGTGAATAACCATGGCTGTCAAGCTCTTCCCATATACGCAGCCAGAGTCCATACCAAAGGTATATCTTGCAACCTCGGGCGAGTCTGCGCCAACTTGTATCCCAACTCTGGCATCATGACCATAGACGACAATACTTCGCTTCTCAGGATCCTCAATCGACTTCTGCCATCGGTCCCAAGCGTCGATCCACCAATCGCCCTCTCGAGTTTCAAGCGGAAATCCAACAACACCCTCTTTGTACTGGCCACTGAACCCTTCGCCATTGTTGATAACATCTGCCCATTTTGCCAACTCGGCCTTTATATCTGTATCAGTGACATCGTGATATGCTGCATATCGTCGCGTCCGACTCTTGGCTCCCTTAAGTAGACCAGCGCGGATGGGCTCAGAGACGATAGCTTGTGGATCTGGGTATACCAGCCCTCGCATGTTCATGACGGCCCATGGGTCTTGTTCTTCCAGTGGAAGTAAAGGGACCAAACCGCCATGCGCAACAAGGAGGGTTCCGGAGTTCCAAGGCGGTGATGTTGCTCCCTTTCGGAGTTTGATCCGTAGAATCAGCGGTTGTGAAGCTAACCAAGAAACTTGCTCATCGGTAAGATTGGCGGCAGTCGTAAAGTCGCTTTCCGAACTGTAAGGTTTGAGGTCCTCCGGTGATATTGACTTCAAGTCCTCCTTCGTCTCGGATGGGGCCTGTTGCTCGCCATCTTCCTTCTCCTTCTCCTTTTCCGCTTCACGGGCCAGTCTCTTCAACCGCTCAACAAGCTTCGTATCCTCCCCCCTTTTGATAGCAGTATGCGCAGCAAGCACTCGATCCTCATTATTCCCTCTTATCGCACTCGCCCCAAGCTCCATCGCCAACTGCACAACACCCGCACTGTCAGGACCCTTGTTAATCAAGTCCCCCACGAAGATTAGTTTATCGCCATTGGCTCTGCTATACGCGACTTTTCCCAGTAATTTCTTCAGTTCGGGGAGTTGGCCGTGTACGTCACCGACGATGATGAGTCTGCCCGGGGCGATGACATCTTGAATACGAGTTTGCAAGGGGTACCACGGGAAATCGGCATGAGAGTGCGCAGTGGAGGAATGGGTATTTATCTCGTATTCATTTTCATTTTCGTGAGAGGGCATTTTTGGTTGTTAATTATAATCCTTGGCGAATTTTGAGTCTGGTTTTGGTGAGGGAGGAGAAGAGATGGGTTTGTTACGAGCCGACGAATCAGAGGGTGGTTATTGGGGATTGGACCCACCTTTGGTGATGACGAATGTGATGCAGAAGGATTGCACGTGGGCAGCAAGGAAGGAATATCGTATTTACAATTCGAAAGAGCAGAATGCGCGAGCTTCAGCAACTTACGTTAAAAATTAATCATGATCTAGTCGGGCGCCTCGGGTTGAGGCTGAGCATTGATTATGATATAATCACTATTAGCATTCGTCTGTATATCTGAAAAGGCGTGGTGGCAGAGTGGTCTAATGCGATAGACTAGAAATCTATTCCCTTCGGGGGCGTCTGTTCGAATCAGGCCCACGTCGAATATTTCTTTTTGGCCTTTTCACCAAATTCCCATTGTTTTTGTATCAACCTGTGATCTGTTTATTGTTTTTTTGTTTTTGGTCCCACCTGTTCTCTGATAAATGTCCAGCTAGTCAGCTCACTAGTTGTATTATTACGGCAATTAATAAGTGTGTCTTGCCAATCTGTTGCCCTTGCACGTAGTGAAACAACTATATTAAGTTATTGTGTACTGGCAGTTTGCAACAGTTTGCATTTAGATGGTATGTCTTACTCAAAATGTCTTTAACTTTACCATTTGTTCCAAGAAGTCATAAACAGGTTCCTTGATTGATGTATTATACTAACAAGTATTCTCTCGATGATTTAGGGTAGGACCAAGGTTTGCCCGTCATGTCTACCGTTTAAGCATACCCCTATGCTTCCGCAATAACCTACTTGCGAGATCCTGTAATTCTTTGAAGGCCTTTAGGTTGAGTTAGTTTCACATGAAAGAAGATCGTTTAAACGGCATCTAATGTAAAACGCCTCGGTGGAAGGAAACTCCCCCGAGGAACCATGCACGGCCCTTCATAGTAGGGGATATGTAGAGTTCACTAGATCCAATAAGACTACGCTGACGCATTCCCCATTTCCCCTTCGTTCAGAGGGCCGAAGAGCTTATTCGCCGCCAAAGAAGGTGGTGCGACAAATGCATGATATGATTTGCTTCAGCTCCGTAACTCTTCGATTAGGAAACCCCCAGCTTCCAGTTCCCCGGGTTGTCCAGACCCAAAGCAGCAGGGCTGAAGAACCAGAAAGTCTAGAAATGCGATATCTATCACATGGCATGCTATACGCTCGAGCCCCCAGCATGTCCATGTCTGGACCTCAAGAAATTCGCCTGACAAAGAAGCATTCGGAGCGGAGCGTCGCATACCAAACGCTCTCGGCGACTAGAAGCGCCCCAAAAAGCTTGATTGTCGTCAAGTGTGACGGAAACGTGGAAACTTAGATGCCGGAAACTACGAGTGAACCAATCGTGGCTTGCGCCGTGTGGGGGGCTAGAATCGTTGGTCTTTGTTGATTGTCGTGTTGATTGCTGTTTGCGTAATCTGATAGTTTAGCCCTGCATTCCAAACGCGCGGGCCCCGTTGACAGCCCAGGTCCCAGGTACGGTACCGACAATCACTGCCAAGATCAAGGGTTCAATCGTCTTTTCAACGATGAATATTGTTCTATTGAACGTTGCATTGCCGTGTCTTGGCAATGCTGGTTATGATCGAGCTGGTTGAACAGCTGTTGTAAGACATGTCAAGGTATGACGAACGACCAACAAATCCCGCGATAAGGGCGACAATTGTTTTAGCGCATCCCTTGTGCCTTGCAGGTGAAAGACAGTTTTAGCCTCTTTACTACCTCAGGGTGGCTGTAGCGTATAGACTCATGGTCTTGTTAGTCGAGGCGTGTTCAATAGGTCGAATGCGGTAACTCGGATATGGTGGAGCCGAACCAACTGAACTTGGCAACTTCGGATGGTGAGGCCGCTGTAAGCAAGCCTCGATCATTCCACACTAACAAAACCGCTCGGAATCTAGGCCCTGCTCTCCACTTCAGCTTTCTTTGGGCTGTGATAATGGGCACTTGAAATAAAGATCGAGCTGTTCCCCTGCTCTGGGATCTACCTTGGCAGAGTCGCATCATTCAGTGTTACCTTGTACGCTTGTCTTGTAAGTCAAGTCTGCACTCAGAACAGGCCGAGTTGTGTTGCACGGCTCAACTTAAAACATGGCGAACAAACAGTACTGACTTATTCTCTCAGGTATTAAGGGCCAGATTCTACCCAGGCAGTCACCGGACTGTCCCCTCGTCTCCTCCCGACGACAAGATGTCGATGTTTGGTCGGTTCCAAGAGAGCAAGAAACAATGGCGTAACTGCATCGTGGCCTGTTTCGCAATCTATGCTCTCGGTTTTCTCTTTTATTACTACAACTTCCCGGCCTTTGGTGACTTCCATCGACCCCACCAAGCCGTCTCGCTCACGAAGCCGTCAAAACATGTCAAGCCAGACAACATCACCGTCAGCGGACTAGTATTCTACGGTCGACAAAGCCGAGTTGAAATAATGAAGTGCTACATCGAGCGTAACCTGGTCGAAAACGGAGGCTGGCTCGATGAAGTTCTCTGGGTTGTCAACACCGAGCATAAAGGTGATCTCCGATATCTCGAGGAGATCCTGGCTTCCAACCCCGAGCGATACAAGAAGATTTATTCCGACGAGATTGCAGGGACGTACACGTACAAGAACATCTGGAAGAAATTGGACCGTGGAAAGTATTACGTCAAGATTGACGACGACGTCGTACGTGCAATGTTAATGTCTTGGTTCGCTAAATGCTAATTACTTGTCTCGCAGGTCTGGATCGACGACCACGCTATACCCAGTCTCGTCACACGCAAAGTCCAAAACCCCAAGGACTTCGTTGTCTCTGGTAATATTATCAACAATCCCCCTCTTGGCTTCTTCCACATGCGCATGGGTGCCATTCATCCATACTTCCCAGAGGCCTTTGAGCCCTTCAGCGTCACAAACGCCACTGATTACTGGAGGCCATCACGACATCCTTCATGGGATGGACCCAAGAAGTTCAAGTGGGAACTCAAGAATGAGCCTCCTTCGTGGCCCCACCATCGATGGCTGCGAGTCCCCGACGATTCGATGCTTGATCAAACTCCTGCTTCTGAACTCAAGTACGATATTTGGGGCGACAGCTACCGCAACTGGGCTATTGCTTCTCAAATGCACATGTCTCTATTTGAGAACATCGAGAAGAACCAGCTGGACTTGTATAGATTCGAGAAGCCTTGGGTTATGTACGAGGACCGAATTCGAATCAACTTTATGTGCATCTACAGTGATGACATTCTGGACACGGATCCTGAAAATTGGCCCCAAGGACGTGGTGATGAGGACATGATTGTTCTTGATCTCCCAAAGAAGCTTCGACGACGTAAGTATCCCAACACATTCCACCAGGCTTCGTGACTAACTCTCTCTGCAGCTGTTGTGATTCAAGGCGACGCTTTAGCCGCTCACTACCAGTACATGGATCAGGGCAAATTGGAACAAACCGATATCCTAAAACGATACCAATCTATCGCAAAGGATAAATACTGCCTCGGCTTAGATGCAGTTCAGGGAGCCGCGGAAGCAGATCTGAAACAAAGGTCGACTCGAGGACTATTTTCCACCCCAAGTGGGTATGATGTTTGATGTCTATAATACGGAGTTATATATCCTGGGATGGGAGCGTGTCGGTTGTTATGCTAGAAATTGCACCAGTCTTTTTTTCACCGCTTAATCTCAGTCTGTCCACCTTCGTGAAACTTGTAAGATCGATGGGTTTACGAGATGTTTTATCTCGGTTGTTTGTTACCGTTGAGGTTACACGGCATAAGATGGTTCTAGTCTGTGATGGGTAAGGGGGCAATGTCGTCGAGACCCTCTTTTGGAAGAAATCGTACTATCGCCACAGGAGTAAAAGTTATTTGTATTGGGATCTTCATTAATTATCGGCTGATGAGGACTTGACATGCGAAAACGACCTAGAACCTTTGACCTGGATGAGAAAAATGGCTAGTCAAGGAGCGTGTTGATTCCATCCTGAATTATGTTAAACCTACCTCAGTATTTTTGTCACATAGAATCGAGGTCTTAAGTTATTTGACATCAACTTATGAGGATTTAATGACTTGTGACTAAATGGAAGGTATCAGTTCAGAGCAGAGTTCTGGTCTGAGGTCTTGAGAGTGACTAAACCTTCACGTTGAGCCATTTGTTAGAAGAAGATATTATTTTATGACAGATACAGAACTTTGCCTGCTATATACACTAATATGATATGGTTGCTCTAATTTCGAGTGTGAGTGACTGTCCATCGAGTCTCGACACTGATCTCGCTGTTCTTCATCTCGGAAGACCCAACAGTCAAGTTCTTCTCCGACCCTGACTCATCAGGGAATCCTGCGACAGCATAACCGTGCTGAAGCTTATCATTCGGCCTGTAATCATCCATCTCCCAGGTCGACAAGTTTGGGTCTCGAGCAATCTCAGGCTGGGTGCTGGCTGCACCTGATCGGCTGGCGTCCCTGAATCCGGTAGATCGTTCGGTAGAGTACTCATCCAATCGAGATCCCCCCATTCGCTTCTTGTACTTGGCGTAGAAAGGTCGTAGCATGGGAATGCTGACGCAGAGGATGGCCAGGTTGGGCTCGAGGATGAAGAGGAAGATGGTGGTAGGCATAGTTCCTGTGATGTTGTTGTTGAGATCGACGGTTGAGATGTAGATAAGTCGGAAGACAGCGCAGACAACGCAACTGCTCGAGTCAGTATATACTTCTTCAGTCAAGAATAAGGAGACCTACGCAAGACCCAGTGCGAAACAAGAGGTGATACCAATCTTCTCGGCACGGCGTGTCTTCAAGTTCCAAACACTATGCATAGGCAGCGCCATAATGATCAAGTCTCCAATAGCGTTGGTAGCGATCAAGGACTGAATCATGGGGATATACGCTCCACATTTTCCTTGAGCAGTCCACTGAGCCGAAACTGGGTTGCAAAGAAAGATACAAGAACAGAGATAGGCGATGAGCCACATGCCGACGAAGACGAGGGCGGCTTTGGATGACTTTTGCATGAAGCTCGTGGGGAAGACTCGGATGAAGAACGCTAACATGCTCGCTTTGACGGAGGCGAGAAGGGTGACATAAATGGTTTGCATGCAGAATGTCAACTTGAGGATGAAAGGGATATTGGCGGCGACTGAATCAATGAGTTAGTAAGACAGTACTGTCATGAGGGCAGATAATCGGTAGTCGACTGCGGATAAGGGAACGCACGCTCAGGGTGTTTCGCTAATTCGTATCCATTTCCAACAGGTGCAAAAAGTCCTTGACAACACAACATTGCCACGCCCAGCGGCTGCAATCATTGTCAGTAATGGCCAACCTTAGCCAGATGTAGTCACCAACCGTTGCAAAAATAACGAATCCATCATCCCATCCAAGCCCAGGTCCCATAAGTCTTCCAATGACCCGCAGGGAGACAACGATCAGAACCAACAGCACAATCAAGCAATTGATGACAAGTTCGGCCTTGACATAACCCAATATGGGCATGTAAACCTGCGGTGTCGATATCACCTCTACTGCTTCCGCCGACATGATGGGAAGCACTCAAAGCGAAACAAATACGCCGAAGAGAAATTCACAATACATGGGGTAAGGGGAGGAGCAAAAAGGAACCCATTCTTCCTTATATAAACAGGAACCAGAAGCAGGTCATGTCGATCACTTTGCTCCAAGCGAACGGCTTGAGAGAAAAGGACCTGCATTAGTCGAGGGTTCTTTAACGGAAACTTGGCCCAAATTAGACTGGCCTGTTACAGATGACTGAGACAAGACATACGAGTCTACACTTGGCTGTGGTCTCTTTGCCTATTCGAGTGAAATGGCTCCGCTGCGTAAAGGGTAACCCTGGGATCCTTGGGGGCAACGGCCTTGGAAGGATGCAGTGATGAGACAAGGCGATCCTTGACAGGGGGTCCTTTAGCCAGCGCGGATGACGGATCCGTGGCGAACGGGACTTGGCGCGGCAATGGGGGGAGCCTCAATGCTGGGGATGGATTGGATGCTTCGGTTGGCATTGTATATCCGAACCTCACGTGAGGGCTCATTTGTGATCCAATGGAAGAAAAAGACGATACGTAAAATAACATCTTGGCATCCAGAATATTGGTGCAGGACAGGCGAACCAACCGAAGTTGCCGCATGAAACATTTTGATTACAGACCACTCCACTATCAAAGACACATTCTTTCTTGACTCGACTTCCGCAGCGGTAACATCGTAAACGGGTCAAATGAAAAGCCGGGAAAGTGCTGGGTTTCTAGTGCTTCCATAGCGAAAATGGGTAAAACAGTGCCAGGGCTGAGGAACAAGCTCACCGTCTTGTCTCACAGCTGACCAAAAAATTATAAAACAAAGTCTTATAGGGCTAAGGTCATCCGAGGGCTTGAGAACTGACAATGCGGAGAAAAGCAAAAAACGGCCCTCCCGAGATAGAGAGAAAGACTCAAGAAATCGTCGACTGAAATTACTCGCCAAGAATTAGAAACAACGGAGTATTTCTGGGGCCCGTCCCGTCTCGTTCATTGACCACTTGGTGAACAATCCGCAAGCAAGGTCCCCATATATAACCCACAAGGAAAAGAAAACGAGATTTTAGCCTGCATCCTGAAAATATCTTCGGAGAACGTTAGCCTACTGTAAAAAATATCTGCTGGCTGTCCAAACGGATCATGTTTTATCCCCTGGATTGAGTGACGATCTTGCACAAGAAGAGCGCAGTTCGCCGATGCTCAATGGGAAAAAAACCGCACTGACTCGACACTAAGGGAAACAAATCAGGGCTGCAAGATAAGCTTCCCGTGCTGCCCGTCGATGGTTTGGCACAAGTCTAACGGTCGCAAGACGCCTTTTCACATGGAAAATGATTTTGAGTTTCGGAAATATCGAGATCGAAACGCTGACGTGCTTCTGGATGATACCGTAAACCCTTCTGTCACATCCCATCCTTCCTTGCCACGCCACGTTATGGCCGCCCACAATCCAGGTTGTCGGTGTCCTTACTCAATGTGCCCGTCCATGCTGCATGCATGAAAGGAGGTCTCAAGGGTCCTCCCTGCTAGAACGCTTCGTCGGAAATGCAAGCCTGATGCCCCCTGGAGACCGCCACCGGAAAGGTTTAGGCCAAGACCGCACGGCAACGCAGCTTTTTTAATCACGGCAAACTCGCGTCGTCCTTATAAAGTATGGCTTGGCTGTATTTAACTGGACAGACTAGGTTAAAAAAGCAACGTTTTTCGTAACCAGACCAGCATATACTATCTCCACCAACCGTCAGCAAATATACCCACGAAACAAAACATTGTTTAAACTTTCCACATCATCATGACATCCTCATACACCACCAAGCAATGGGTCCTCGCCAACAAGCCTGCAGGGGAGCCTGTCCTGTCTGGCCCAGACGCTACCTGGAAGCTGCAGACCGTCACACTACCTGAGCTGAAGGATGGCCAGATCCTCGCCAAAGTCAAGTATTTCTCCAACGACACTGGTCTGAGGAACTTTATCCAGAGCACCGTCGCACCTGAGCGCTTCTACGTGCCTACTGTCCCTGTCGGCTCGCCCATGCGATCCGGCATCATCGCTGAGGTCGTCGAGTCCAAGTCGGACAAGTTCAAGGTCGGTGATCTCTGCATGGATTTCCACCTGGGCACTTGGAGCGAATATGTCATCCTAGAAGCCGAAAACTCCCAGGCCCTCGCGCCCCTGCCCAACGGCCTGCCCACCACTCACTTCCTTGGTGCGTTTGGCGCCTCTGGTCTTGCCGCGTATACCGGCTTGTACTATGCCGGTGAGGCTAAGCCCGAGCACACTATTGTTATCTCAGCTGCTGCTGGCGCTACTGGCTCTATGGCTGTTCAGATCGCCTCCAAGATCCTTGGCGCTAAGCGAGTCATTGGTATCACCGGCTCTGACGAGAAGTGCGAGTGGGTGAAGAGCATTGGTGCCCACGAGTGTCTCAACTACAAGAGCCCTACATTCCTTGAGGATCTCAAGGCTGCTACACCCGACGAGGTCGATGTATACTTCGACAACGTCGGTGGTGAGATCCTCGACGCCATGCTGACCCGCGTCAAGAAGCACGGCCACATCGCTGTCTGCGGTGCCGTCAGCGGATATAACTCTGACGAGCCCATGGCTCTCAAGAACTGGTTCGAGCTTATTTCCTGCAGAATCACCATCCGCGGTTTCATTATGCTCGATTATATGGATAAGGTGCCCGCCATTCTCGGCGAGCTTATTGGCGCCACTGCTGATGGACGCATCAAGCTTGAGGCTGCTGAGACAGTTATTGAGGCACCTATTGAGCAGCAGCCTGAGGTTTGGATGAAGCTGTTCAGCGGTGTTAACCAGGGCAAGCTCCTCACCAAGCTCATCATTTAAGAAGCCTGGGTGGAAAACATAAATAGTTGATGAATTTATGGGGGCATTTGCATACATAGCGTTGCCATTAAATATAAACTGGCTTATTATACTTGACCATTTCCTAATTCCACTGTGATATTAATTATAAAAATGCTCCTTCATTCTATAGCAGCGCTTGTGCCTCAAAGCCTGCGTGGCGTGTGTCTTGGTCCTCAAGCTTTTAGGCTTCCGCTGTTCACCTTCCATTTCACCGGCGACAACACCCTCTAATTTTAAGTAACCAACGCTGTAATCAGCAGGGATCGCTGGCCATGCGCTGCACCCCAGCTTTGCCTGCTGACAGAAGGATTCACGCCTTTACGTTTCAGTGGACCATCCCCGCCTGTTCACAGGATCAGGGCCATGTCCAATGTTAAAAGTCTATCGATCTGAAAGAGGATTCAATTCCTTGTGTGTTGTGCCTTGAGTAGGAAGGTCAGATGACCTGGCGGATTTGTTCGATTGTCGGAAGTTGTGCTGTTTTCTTGGGGATTGCGAGGCCTGCCACCACTTACCCTGAAGACAGCCTTTGACAATCACGAGATTTCGGTACTTTTATGGGTGCGATGTAGGGCAAAAGACGATAAATCTGTACTCTCCTGTCATAAACGTAAAACTGACTTGCTGTTATCGACATGCTGCCATCCAATCGCAGCTTTGGTAGTACATAAAGGAACCGCTCATCAATTGACATTGAAGCCATTCATACCCCGCACTGTGACATGAGGTTGACAAGATTGACCACAAAGGCGTGCCAAGACCTGCAATCGATGACCAGTGACGTGTGTTGATTGACCCCTCAGCCTTGTGTTTCTCACTGATAAGATCGAACAGTGTCAGCAACCTTTCACCCATCTTACTCCCTTATCGCTCCCTTCCCAGCGACAATCATGACAATTCCAGAGTCAGGCATCACCATTGAGCCAGGATACCGTCCTGGTTTGCTAGCCAGATGTCTCGAGATGCACATAACCTACTATCACCCATACAATTCCTGGGGTCTAGCATTCGAGACCTCACTCGCCAAGAGCTGGGCCGACCTCATCCAAAGACTCACCAATCCTCGCAACCAAATCTTCGCAGCAGTTCAGTCAACACCTTCTGACGACTCCGCCGACTTCACTCAAAAGATTGTAGGGACTATCTTGATTGATGCAGAGCACCTTCAACAGCCGAACACGGCGCAAATACGCGGATTCATCGTTGATGAGAGAGCTCGTGGGCTTGGGGTTGGGAAACGATTGATGGCGGCGGCGATGGAGTTTATCGAGCAGCAAAAGTTTGACAAGGTGACGCTGTTTACATCTAATACCCAAGAAGCCTCTTTGTACCTTTATAAAAAGGCGGGTTTTGTTGTGGTGAAGGATGAGCAGAAGATTCTGTGGGATGTGGCGATGAATGAGTTGCAGCTTGATTGGACACGACCAGTTGTCTCAACCCAAGAGCTTGGTGAGCAAGGCGTAAATGGAGTTACGAAAGAATGACCTACAGAGTGTAAAAGAACATCGGATGACATAAATTCTATTCTCATAATTTACTAGACCATCTCAATATTGTCATCTCTTTTACGAGCTTGAGCCCAATTGCCTGGATGCGACATGTACAGTTGAACCTTGTCCCAATACTGAGCCAACCGAGCAACGAAAGAGACAAGAAGTATCAGCATAGGCGTCAATAGAAAGAATGACAGTTTGGTAGGCCCCAGAAAGTCAGGGATCGCCTCCTCCTGCATAGAGAGTATTGCCGCCGCGAGGGTGATGGGCGACACAACCTGCAAAGGTATATTAGCACATTTACGCACGCATCGTCTCCCGAGAAACACACGTATAGTAGAAAGCAGCTAAGCACTTGTGTGCTTTCAGCAACTTGGGCCTGCATTCGGGAAATCCTGTATTGTTCGTTGATGTTATGGAGATTCAGCTATGCAGGTAGTGTGAGTACTCTCCCGTGTCATCGTGGCCTTTTCGTACCGTTCTCTCATGCTCATCGCACAGCGTGCGAATGTTGTATAATTCTTTCAAGCAGTTCCTCACCTCCGCGAAAGTCTGCTCAATAGCCACCATTGACTGACGTCCATAGCGTGTTTGCATATGGTCCGGGTAAGTGAAGTTATCCCAGCAGTCGATGGTTGTCTCCAAGCATACGACAAGCTCGGTCAACTTGCGTCTTGCATGTCGAAGCCAGGCCAGTGGCTGCTGAGATTCTTTACTGGCCAATGCAAAGTCAAATTCATCAACCTGTGCAAGAATTAGTTGTGAGTTCGAAATCCGTAGCATTAAAGTTATTACATATGTTTCTACTCTCTGCTTAAACCTTTGTGCTGTGTTCATTCATTCGTCCTTGAACACAAGCAATTGGCATTGAAGAGAGATCAGGAAGTAGTCGTCGGGATTTAAAATTGGTAGATCAGCATCGTGTTTACCGGTGGTAAAGGGGTCGACCTGCATGCCTCTATCACAATAATCTTCAACGCATTGCCTCTCATCTTCAGATTGAAAGTATGTATCGACGAGACAGTAGCCAGTCCAAATTCCGTCGTCCATTGGCGTAATGCACACTGCAATTTGTGCTTGACAAAGGTAGTCGATCGTGGGGGTTGTCGGAGAATTGCCTCGAAGACAGCTCATATTATGAACTTTTCTCAGGGAACTACCATCTCGTCTGAGCCGTATATCTCGTGGCTCATGCTGGGTCAGTTTCCATGAGTAGAAAGGTAAATGGAACGAGAGCTCATATGTAACAAGGCCTTGAGGCTATTTATGGAATGATTTATTTTAACGGAGGTTATTACATGGTGCGTCACGCTTACCTTGGATAGAACTCCTATATAAGGCTGAAAAGCAATATATGAGTATAGAAAGTGTATTAAAGCATTCTTTTGATACCCGGGAGCCGTTGCCATTACACTGACCAATGCATGGCTATCGGGGTTCATGATAAAGCTAGACTTATATCAGCATGGAAGTTTCAAATGACGGTAGAAGCTTGTAGAAGTTCTCACACCAGTCTACGGTCTGTGTTGGGCTTTTTGAAGCCCCCGTTAGATGGCGGCTCGTGGAATCTCTAATATCTCGATTATCACCGATGCTCAATTTTGGAAGAGGAGAAGTTTACTTTTTCCACGAGTCTGGCATACATCCCGTGGGAAGTCAGAGGCTTCCGGTTGCCATTGCTGGTTGAAACTATGCCATTACTGGTTCTATCATCAATAAGACAAGACTTTCTTGATGACAGATTGGAGCTGTTGGACTGTAGTTCTTGAAGCTCGTTTGAGTGGCAGAAATGGTTGACCACTTCGGCTTGATACCTGTGTCTCGGCTCCTTGCCACCATTGGTCATGAACCAATCAACCAAGTTTTTGGCCCCGATCTTTTCAGGATTAGCGTATATATCATTCAAAATCTCAAGCATTCCCTGCGTAAGCTCCGAGCTTTGTTGAAGATTTCCAGGGTCTTTGACTTCCTCGGACTCTGCAGCACTTTTAGCGAGAATCTGATTGTTTATATAGTCAACCAGCTGCACCAGATTATCGTGACTTCTCGCTTTTATTTTCAAGGGGCCGTGTTTATGTCTCTTTGTGGTCGTTTTGTTGCTCATTGCGATCCTAAGAAACTCTTTAGTGGTTTTATATTTATAAATTATCAATAAATGGTTCGCCTTAATACATACCCACAAATAATTCTCTAAAGGGAAAAAAAGAAAAAAAAGGGGAATGGTTGGTAGTACAAGGTTCGATTACGAGTCTCCAAAAGTTCAGATATGTTATGGGTCTTGGGGTGGACGCAACTCTTATATAGGTAGCTAGGCCACTATCAAGGCGACACAGCATATTACGCAGAAGCAAGCAGAGCCTTCACTCGTGCCACTTTACAAGTGCACAAGTTTCACATGGGTAATTCCCATCATGGTTACATTAGACGACATATTAGACGACAGGCAGTGTCACATAATGACATCGATCAAACTTGAAACTTAAGACGATACGACACGTATTGAAATTGAATCCAGCCTATGCAATATTTGGCTTCGACGCGTAGTGTCCGCAAGGTGGCCTTCGGGGCTTCTTTCACTGAAGGGGTTTGGGCGCTTGAACAAGGCGAATCTAACACCTCAGCGGATATTTGGCATTTATAACAATGAGTATGTTACTTTATATAACTATCATTCTCAAGACAGCCCTCCCTCCAAGGCTGATAGCAGATCTTATGTCTTTGTCTTCTGACTGGATACATCGACCCAGTCACCCATGGTGTCACCACTGATACTGATCTGAGTATCGTTCTCTGACTGCTTTTCTCTTCTACCTCGCAACGTTGGCATCTCGATTTGTTGCATCTAGTGCATTGGAGAGTGGAAGATTGAATGTGTGATGTCCGGCAACTGCAACATGTCCAAACCCAAAATCGCTTGTTCCTTTTTTCGTTGTCGTAATTGTGAACTCGCTCCCCTGGACACGATGGCATTTCGCTGGTCCAGCCAACTTCCACATAAGGTTTTTTAGCCTGGAATAAAATCGGGCATAGTTGCTAGAAGTGATTGATCAGTTTTTGGCAGTAGGAAGAGATTTCGTTTAATGAATTGTTGAGCTTGTCCATTCTAAGGATGCGAGGTCGCCAGACAAGCTTTTATGGTGCAATAATGACAGTTGTTCCGAGCATCACTGAGGAAGACTTCTAGTGACTGATGCTTGCTCTATTGATGAAACATTCACAGTAAGATCTGTATGTGTTATTCGCCGTTGAGACTTATCACTGAGAGCTTACAATCACCACACAGAACTTGGTAACTCAGACCCATGTTTACAAAAGCCTATCAGATCAATATGCTACATGGCCTTCTAAAACTAAATTAATTAACCCCTATAGCTAAATATTTATATTCATGGATCTTTATTAAAGTTAGATTAGAAAGAATGGCTGCAGTAAGAATATACTTAAGGCAAGTAAAACAGGTAATGAAGAACATTTGAGTCAATAATGCCTGTCCCTGGGTGTATTTTGAGTCGACAATGTCCATCCCTGAATGTGCTGTCGCGGAGTAGCTCGTGAAGCGCCGGCCTCTGTGCTGAATGACCCTGATTCTGGGACTAGGAATGACCGTGAACATGTTCTAGTTAGGCCTAATGTCAGTTATTGGGAGCCAAACTCAGTACTACTCACGGTCAATGTTGGATTATAAAAGTCCTTCTCTCTCGCAATCTCGCATCAACTTGCTTGGTGAAGACAAACCCAACAATACAACTACCTGGAATCTCTTTCAAGACGCCTTAAGAAACCTACAAGTACCTTTCCAAGGATATGGTGGCATTGATCTTGGGCTATTAAGCCCAATCTGATAGTGGGCTACGCCAGCGACATACTATTGCCCCCAATAACAGGAGTTTGCCTTGTGAACCTGTAAGTCTTATAAACTTCCCAATAGCATATCTTCCTTAATTAATATGATGCTAGATATTGAAAAATGAACAAACTGAAAGCTTGAAGAAATGCTAGCAGCAGCAGAACGCTTCTACACCCCAAACCTCTTGCTTATACATTAGCCGTATTGCGTAAAGAAAGATAAGCAAATACTCTGGTTATGGATATGCTGTGGCTACCGGATAACTGGCATTCCTGTGACCCACCTCAAATACCCTGAATGAAATAAAGCACGCTGTCAATATTGCAATCTCTATAAGAAAGACAGCTCGGGAACGAATCTCAGATAAAGCGCGAAGCCTTTCTTGGAGAACATATTGCGAAGTTTGGATTCTCTCCGGTAGGACGTGGCGATGCTTTGGCCAAAGTTTGGAACTCGACGATTGCTTGTTAGTACAGAGACCAGGTAAAGACGGCATTAGTGAAAACTCATTATAAAACAATCATAAATTTTACAATGCTTTGCTTATCAATGTGACCAAGTACCTATGTTCATGGTAAGAGAAAGACAGTAACACAATACGAGACATAACAAGACACAACTTGACATAACCTAGCATGATACGATATAATACAATGCCATTTAAAGTTTAACTGTGTATGTAACTGGTAGTTGTTTCTATTTGGTGCCATCTCGAGGTAATTTCCTCGCCTGCCTTCGCCTGCCTTAGTTTTGCTGTACTGAAGACCCCCTCTCCTGTTCTTACTGTATTTCCCTCTTGTACACCCTCCATCGCTCAACTCCTACGTTTTTCACAGCCCTCCAAATCATAGCGCAGGAAATCCAAGCTACTCCAAACTGCAATCTTTCAACATCCGTCGTTTGGTGAGTTCCCTTTGCCTCCGAGGTTTCTGTCGACCGACATCTCGGTCGTGCTTGGTCCATCCCCGATTCCAAGCACTCTCAGCTGACCTGTCGTACAGCAACACAAACAAACAGAGGAAGATCAACTTATCACCTCATCAATCGAACAGATCAAGACCTTCGAGAGCATGGGTATCTAGCAGGGGAATATCCAGTCCACCGCTTCCACCGCTTCCGCCGCCTCCGCCGCCTCCTCGGCCGCTGCTGTAAGTATATTCTCCTTCTTTTGAGTACTGGATTTGTTCTGAAACGCCTGGATAGAGCTCATCGTCCATCCCTTCGGGGGTTCAAAAGGTATGTCACTCTGGGAAGCTGTTCTCTTACATCTATCTACATATATCAAATCTCTCTATATTCCATTGTTTTAACAATCAATCTCACTAACCCATTGAATCTACAGCCGAGTCGAAATGTCAGTTCAAGTTCTCTCCTCACGATCCAACTAACGTTCATTCACCCATACTAAACTACTGTGTCAAACTTCAGCTGCTATTGATGACAAGACCAAACTGACAATATTTCTCTTTCTAGCACGCCTTCGCCTTGAAGACCGTAAGTGCATGCCCAATAATCTAACACTGAACAATGCACTGACACTTTTATAGTGGCACTTAGCTCGGGCCAACGTAAGACCGATGGATTGCAGTACACAATCTGGATATACACCGACCTCAATGCGTGTAGAAGAAGCAGGATGAGAAACGGGTCATGGAGGCCCAGCTCGCTGTAAGTTCAATTGTATCCCTAGTGTATCTTAACATATCGAGCCATGGAACAATTGCTAATATATTTCAGGGACTCGAAAAAGACATCTCAAGTCGGCTGCCTCGGCCGCAACCGTGAGCACAAGTCTGCAAAAACTCTACGATCAGGAATCCACGGCAAATGGCGCACATGATTGGGGTCACAGTGTTGTGAAGATGAAGATGGCGACTACAAGGACCAATGTTTAGGCCGAGAAAAAATAAACCCCTCAAACTTTAGGCTCTGTTCATACTAAACTCCCCTAAAGCTGGTCTTACCTAAAGCTGGTCTTACCTAAAGCTGGTCTGAGATTTCCGCAACCTAAGTAGGTATCCAAGGATCGAGGTCTCATGTTCTTGCATGCCTCGAGCGTAGTGACTTGTCAGGAGGGCCAGATGAACAGTTAAACTTGTATATTCAGGCTTTGCCGTACCGCTCCCTTCCTCGTAGATTTATATCCAATTACATTCTCTATTTATACACCTTACTCCCATGTATTGATCTCCAAACTGTAGACATGGGGAATTGAAACGCCGATCGACACTGTAAAGCACAAAACTCCAGCACTAAAAAAGAAGAAGCGTCTACCAAGGCATACCGTTTTGCTTGATCAGATCATCCTCGGAAGTCTTGAAGCTCTCCGACTCCTTGAGGAACTGCTTGTGGAAAGTCTCGAGGAGAACACCAGGGAAGACAGCACCGACGGCCTGGACAAGACGGTCCTCCTTGCCGATCCAAACGTGCTTGATGAACTTTCCGTCGCAGCCTGAGTTGCTCTCGGGAAAGCCGTTGGCCTCGGTACAAGGCAGGGAGAGAATATCATCGGGATACTCGTAGCGGATGAATGTGCCGAAACCGCCCTGGTCGGTCGGTTGCCAGCCCTTTCTGTTGCGGAACTCAGTGCAGCCGGGGAATTTGCCGCCGTCGTTGGCACAGTCATCCCACTCCTTGAAGATCTCGTATGTCTTGTTCTTGTTCTGCATGATCATGAAACCAGTGTTCAAGAACAGGTTTCCTCGTCGGTCGCGGTTATGCTGGGTGTCAGGATCGAAGGGAAGGGCGAGGGAGTTGTTCTGGGGAGAAATGCTCCAGTAGTTCATGAGCCACTCGAGGGGAAGGTCGAGACGGTTGAAGAGAGCGTCGGAGTCGATGAAGACACAAACGTCGTGCTTCTTCAGAACCTGCGAGAGGACGGAGGGCTTCTTCCATGAATCGCGACGGTCGGGGTAGCCGTTGATCTTGATGTGGTAGTACTGGTATCCGTGGATCTTGGCTATTGAGACATTAGTAAACAGCGAGCACTGGGGTTAAACGAAGGACGTACAGTAAACCCAGTGGTTCAGTGTACCACCGGATGGGCCGTGGACTTCTCGGCTCTTGTTCCACGTCATTTCGTCAGACCAGATCTGGCCGGGCTTATCGAAGCGACGACTCTCGAGATCGATGATGCAGAGCTTCTTGCCGAGGGGCTTGGTCCAGATGGGCTTGTCGGAGGGGAGCTTGGAGGGCCAGTGGCCGTAGGGGTAGTATTCGGGATCGTTGACCTTTACGGCGGGCTTGATCCATTGGTCGGGTGTGAAGGCATCAAGGTTAGGACCGGTGGGCGCTTCGGGAATCGCGGGAGCTTCAGGGATTTCTTCGGCTTCGGTTTCGGGGACGTCCTCTTCTTCATGTTCGTGGTCGTGCGCTTCTTCGTGCTCATGGTCATGCTCTTGCTCTTGCTCCTGCTCCTGCTCGGCAGCGGGCGAGACAGCAGCGGGTGAAGCAGCAGCGGGAGTAGGAGAAGCATTCGCAGCCAGCTCCTCAGCCTCGGCCATCTCCTCGGGATCACTGGGCTCCTCCGCAGGGTCAACATCAGGCTTATCAGGCGTAACAGCATGGTGATGCTCCTCCGGCTTTGGCGTCTCAGCTACGACCTCAACAGCGGGCGTCGCACCAATCTCTTCATCTTCGCCGGGTACGAAAGTCGGGGCAGCAGCGGCGGCTTCTTTCTCGGGGACAAAAGGCGCAGGCTCGTCGCTGTTCAAAAAAAAGGGTAATTGTCAGATAAAGTTTCGTCGCTGCGAAAGAGGGGGAAAAAGGCAAAAGCTTACACTCCGCTCTTTACGGCTGATGTTGTGTCGGAGGGAGACTTGAGGTGGAAATGCGCGAGACCGAGAAATATGGTGACGAAAACGACGGCGGCCAAGAGCACGGCTCTGTTTGACCTTGGAACGGTCATTTTCGGCGATCGGACGATTAATTGCTGTGTGATGATAAAGAATGTAAGAGAACGAATGTCGGAAAGCAAGAAAATAAAAAATAAAACAAAGTGAAGAAAGAAGTGACAGACAGCTGAGCTCAGAGAGGGGGGAAAAGGGAATAGAGACAGACCCCTGACTCTCTTTTTAACCAGGGGGTTCTTACTTTAGAATTTAGATACAGTATCATTTTCTCTCCCTACCGTAACGATCTTGTTGTGCTTGTCTCAGTACAGGTAGCGCTTCATAACGGTTGGTCAAGGCTTGACGCCTCGTTGATCCACTGTAATCAATCTCTGACGACGCCTGGAGGCGAAAATAGGGGACTTTGAGGCCACGATAGTTGAGAATTAACCTTGTTGTTGTATTTCTGATGAGTGTTATTCCGCCGCTCAGATTGATAGAATGGAGGATTGTCTTCATAAGGTTATTATTAGAATCTCTACTCGTGGTGATACTGTACTGGGCACTGTAGGTTGCACGCGATGCGGGGGTGCTTACGCTTACTTTTGGTGTTGGTCCCTTTAATGGATCCTTTCCGCCAAGCAATTTCTTACCAGATCTCGTCACTTTTTCATCGTGTTTCTGCAAGTGCATCGCCAGAATTGCTCTTCCAAAGGCTTCGCCATCGGTAGCTGAATTATTTGGACTTGAGGCTCACTCTTGCAGCATCAACAGCACTCCCAATCTCACATCATCACCAATGCAGTGCTTGATCACGTGCCGCTACATCGAAAATTACAACCCAAATCAAGCTTTGAATGTTGCAGGGCTGTAACTCTGTTTTCCTCCTCCCGAAACTGCCGTCACTAGCATCAGACTCAACGGTCGGGCGCCGCGGTTTGAGCCAAACCAGCCCTCTGCCTAAAAAACGCCCCTCAAATGTCCACTACCATCGCCAATTGAAGCTTCAAAGTTCAATCACTGAATAGGAGAAATACCCTCCTCCGTCGGTTACTTTTGTCTTCACTGGAGCTGCAAAAGAGGGGGCTCTTTGTTACAGTACGATGCCTCAGCTGAAGCTAAAGACGCCACTTGAAACGGGTTTTAATTGGATGGCTTTGCAGCTCCGCCCCCTTGCTTTGCTGATGATGTTCATGACCGGGAATCATTCCTGTAGGAATACTTCGTGCTCTGGTCTTTGATCATTTCGGCACTGTCATTCTCCATTTGTAAGTCCCAGGAAAAACAACTGCTGTAACGCGCTTCATCTTCAGTGGCCATGGTGATAAGCTGCTCCGATAAACAAGTCCCGATAAACCCCTGGGCTAGCCCTGTCTTTGTCCTCAGATTCTAATCCCTGTCACCTGAAAACGCGTTCTGTCAATAGCGCGCTGGAAGGCCAATCAACGTCCCGCTGTCTGATCCACCCTAAACTAACGATGTTTTGGGCCATGGTCCCTTCACGCTATCGATTTGTTTCAACTCCTTTCTTCACGCTATTGAAGCTATCATCAGTTTTTTGCTGCGTTGGTTCAGGGGCAAATAATTTTTGTACAAAATTTGTGGCTCATTAGTTTCAGGTACTAGCGCCTGTCAATTGTCAATATCCGCAGCGCCGATGCTTGACGATGCCGGCTATAGGGTATGGCAGTCTCGCTATCTGATACCTCAAGAACTGTCTTCAATGTGACCTTCAATCCTACCCAGCTGTGGTCCTAGATATTTCCCAGGAATATTTCGTGTTATAGTTAGTGTCTAATCAGCATCTTTAAGTTAATAAAAGAGCTGAACAGGACTGCATCTGAGCCGCACTCATATCATGTGTTATTTCATCCAGTGGGTATTGTGAATCCGCGTTTCTATACTGAAACCTGACAGTTTGTTTGGTTCTTTGACGAGATCATTACGGGAATTATACAGGCCAGTGAACACCTGAAAAGAATACCAGAGAACTACACAAGCCTACACAGAAGCTAAATATTCCTAAAGCTTTAAGTGTGAAACTGTTAATATAACAAAAATAAGCACTCTTCCTTGTTGGATAACATAGGTACTATCAGATGCAATCAAGAATGCAAGCAGATTTATAGCATGTCGGCAAAGTGACATAATGGCAAAGGTTTCACATGATCTTGCGAAAACTTTCGATCACAAAGAAATTCAAAGGTTAAATAATACACTACAAGCCACCAGCCAACAGAATGTCTGATCAGGATCTAGTAGCAAACTTCTCATCATCAAGCTGAGGTATCTAGGACATTCCCAAATTATGATACGGCGGATGCAAGCCGCTTCCCTCACACAAGTCTCAAATGCTCCTTTGATCAATCAACTCAACTACAATCATTCAACAATGTTGCTTAAGAAGACTCACCCGAAGGCCTGCTATCTCGGAGAGGCCAAGACCACCGCCGTCATGTCTTCGGAAGCAAAGGAGCGGAACGCCTCTCTGCCAGGTCGACCGGCGGCTGCACCTGTGAGTAAAGGTCTGCATAGCGTCGAGCGTTACGTCGGACTCTGTCAGTCTAAGGCTGCCCATCGGTTCTGATTTTTTAGCGAGGGGTTGGATGGGTACTCTGAAGGCCACCGACAACATTCCACTGACTTAAAGACTTCTCAGCCGGCCATGATGCTAGGCTTCCTCATGTAGATCGTGGGATGAGTCCGCTCAACCGTTCAAACGCAAACCGGAGCTACGTTTTACATGAGCCCGTACGGCGATATTTAACATTTCTCTGCGGTTGGTGAGATCGAGGTATTGTCGCTGGTCGGAGAGATCAGCGTGAAGGATTGGGTTGTTTGTCTCTTGGCCTTTCTCATCACAAGGTCACTTCGGTACAAATTTCGACACCCTCTCTAAGCTACTGATAAAGTGAAGAATATCCCCGTGCATATCGAAAAGTACTTTATAGCAATGCTGAACTTAGTTGCATTGTATTACATGAGAGAATTCAAGCATAGCTGGACCTCTTCGACTTTCTTTGACCGCCACAGTCTGCAGTTTCCATATCCGGATCCTGACATGAGTTATGGAAGACCTTCATATGCCATCGAAGAGCAGGCCAAACATGAGGAAGGCCAATGACGAATCAAACTTGCATATTCCCTTCTAACACCATCTTGGTTCTCTGTGCAAAGAACTTATCGAAGTTCAGGGAACTGAGGAGATTAATATATCGTCTTACTAGGTCTTGAAATACATGGCTAAGAGTAATATCAATTACATCATACTGATTACCATCAATTACTACTAGGAATGTCGTGAACGCCCAGACACACCCATTTGAACCTTCAGTTGATTGCACGAGCGGTTGAGATGTTCTTGAACATAATTTGCAGTTGAGACCTGTGGCTGAGAGATTGACCTGGTCCTCTGCGCAACTTATACGCGGTATTGGAATTCGCTTCGCCAGTTAGATCATCAGATTGACTAATGAGAAGTTTAGAGATCTCGACGAAGGAAGTGAAAGCGAGCGCAGAAAGGAAACGGGAACCATCAGACGTCGAGAAACCTGAGGCCGGCATCTCAGGCTTCAAGATTCAGAGAAATTGATAAAAGCAAGTGCTCCATGTTGAAAGAAAGGCTGATGCATAGTCTGACCATTTGTACGGAGAATTTACGATCTGAAACAGGAGCTTACCAAGGTCTCGTTTCGCATCGCCATCCTTATCATTTAAAGCTTGTGTTTCCCATATAAACAAAACAGAATAGGAAGATCAACGCACCATCTGCCGGACCATACTCTTACATACCCAGTAAACTCAATAATTATTTGGCATATAAACTAGGAAAGAAGTCCATAACACCGAGGCAATTCACCATACTCACCTGTTGCCAGCAATGTTGTCTAAGATATCTTTACTCTCAGCATTACTGCCTTCGGTGATAGCAGCGGTAACGACATGCAAACTGCCAAGAACTGATACCCACTTTAGTGTTGGACATGGGTTTCAAGAAGACTGCATTTCTGGAACTGGTACGATCCAGGGTTACATGATCTTTGTCGATTTTTCCGATGCTCAATCACCAGCTTCTGAATCTGTCAAAGAGCTTCGTGATCTTCTTGTACCGGATGCAGCAAAATGGTACCAGACAGCCAGCTATGGCCAGCTTGAACTCAACATTACTGCCGATACCTCCAAATTCTATCGCATGCCCAAATCTGCAGCATCCTATAGGTGGGAAGAAGGCTTCAGTGCTGAACAGCATCTATCTTACATTCAAGATGCCCTCGACGCATACACCAATAATGGCGCGAGACCGCCGCCTGCCGAGACGGACATTCTCTACATCGCGATAACACGCAACAACGACAAGATGACCCGATCACTCGGATCTAGCTTCAGCGTCTCTACACGGAATGGGAAACTCGTCTCCAGGAGAGCTGTCACTTTCGGCGCCGATCCCTACATCTCGTGGGGCTATAAGGCGGTCAATCACGAGACAGGACACTCGATGTGTTTGCCCGACTACTACCCTAATACGCCGGACCTGCCGACTGGTCATTACACTGGAGGATGGAGTATCATGGGAAATGTGGGAGGAGTAGCACCTGATTTCTTTGCCTGGGATAAATGGAGACTTGGATGGTTGGCCGATGAGGCCATTGACTGTGTTCTTGAGCGTGGTACGACCAAGCATACGTTGACTCCTGTTGAGGTTGAGGGAGGCGTCAAGGCTGTTGTTGTTGCTAAGAGTGAGACTTCTGCTTTGGTGGTTGAAGCTCGTGTTGCGAAGGGCGTTGATGGGAATATTTGCGCACCGGGAGTTCTTCTGTATACCGTTGATACAACGCTAGCAACATCGGAGGGTTCAATCAAGGTCCCGGATGCAACGCCCGGATCAAACGGCTGCGGGGATAACAACGGCGTGGAACCATTGAACGACGGAACTTTGTCAATGAATGGCAAGAAGTCGTTTGAAGTCTCGGAATGGGGAGCCAAGGTCATGCTGATTGATGACAAAAATGACCAGTTCAAGATCGAGGTTCAGTACTCAGTATAGTTCAGGCAGCGTTACATTGCAGACGAGAATTTGGGGAGAAATACACATCATCTATTGGCTGCCCTCATCTTGACCTGCAGAATAGATGACATTCACTTTACCCACGAGTCGTGAACTCCGACGGGATTTACGATCATGACTGGTTATAGTCATGACGAGGTAGTATCGGCCAAGTCCCCCTCGGCCAATTCCAGCTCCATGGTTCCATCACTAGTGGTCGAGCTGCCAATTACGGTCCGATCACAAGAACCTTAACGGCCCGTTTGTGGTACCCCATCGATATATCCGGGGTTTCAAGTTTCCCGATGTTTTGCCATTCGAATTTCCAAAAGGTCCCCGCATGTTGTTTATTTGCGATTCCCCATGGGGAATGCTCTTGCGTGCATCATTCGACTACGATTCAGGCAAAGGCCACCGAAAGTCGAACGGCAGTTGGCCTCGGCAAACGTGAATATTCGGAATTGTGGTCGAAATAGGGAATGGCATGGCCGTAGCGTGGTATCCTAGCTGATAATATACGTGATGCGTTGAGGTTTTGATGGATTTTATGGGAATTGTTCCGCATGACGTTTCTGTTCTCCGCTCAATGGCACTCTAGCCGGAGCTTTGGTCAATGGGTAGACCATGGCCTTGTTTTTTTTTTTCCAAGACCGTGGGAATAAATAAATAATGTCGAGTTCCACTGATCAGATAGTTCTGAGACTTGAGGAGTGTCACGCCAAGCCTTCTTTTCACTATGCCTTCTCTCTTGAAATTGGCCACTGCGGTTACCCTTCTTACCGAAGGTGTCCTTGGACGACAAGCACCTACTGTGCGAGTCAAGAATGGTACCCTTGAAGGCAAATATGTTGCTGGATATGATCAAGATCTCTTCCTCGGTGTTCCTTTTGCTCAACCTCCTGTCGGACAACTTCGTCTTCAGAACCCTCAGCCTCTGAATGAGACTTTCAAAGTCAAGAAGGTTACCAAGTATGCTGACTCTTGTGTTGGTTATGGAGTGAGTCAACCTTTTCATGGTCGTCTGAAGCCTCACTGACATCGTGTAGAACAGCCCTGATCAGGGTCCTGCGACTTTCAGCGAGGACTGTTTGACTTTAAATATCGTCAGACCTGCCATGTTCAAGGGCAATAAGAAGGGAAAACTCCCAGTTGGTGTCTTTATCCACGGTGGAGGCTGGACCATGGACTTTAGCGCCAACGGTGTTTACAACATGAGCTTCATGGTAGAAGAGTCAGTCAAGATGGGCAAGCCCTTCATTGGAGTCTCCGTCGACTGTAAGTTGATCAGCCTGAAAGACTTGGACCTGTGATTGACAATTAGCAGACAGACTTTCTTTCTGGGGCTTCATGGCCAGCCAGGACATCCTTGATGCCGGAGTTGCTAACCTCGGCTTGAAGGACCAGCGCATTGCTCTGCACTGGGTTAAGGAGAACATCGCTGCCTTTGGCGGTGACCCCTCCAAGGTCACCATCTTCGGTGAGAGTGCTGGTGGCGGTAACGTCGGCTACCAAGCCATGGCCTACGGAGGCGTTGACGAAAAGTTGTTCCGTGGTATCATCGCCCAATCTGGAGCTGATGGAACTGACATGAAGAACTACACCGCGCCTCAGCAACGTTACGACACTATTGTCAAGGCTGTTGGCTGTGACAAGGAGTCCGATATGCTTGCCTGCCTCCGTCAAGTCCCCTTTGAGAAGCTCAATGCGACAAGCACCAAGATCCAGGGCAGCTTCTACCCCGTTGTTGACGATGACTTTGTCCCCGACTATCCCTCCAAGCTTCTCGCCAACGGAAACTTCACCAAGGTACCACTCATGGCTGGAACCAATGCCGATGAGGGTAGCTTCTTCGGCATGCCTGGCGTCGATTCATCCGAGGAGGCTGCTGCTCGCCTTCGAGCCACTGGCCTCGATACAGATACAATTGAGACACTCCTGGCTCTGTATCCCAACATCGACGCTCTCGGAATCCCCTCTGGTTACCGTTACAAGCCTAGCGATCCTGTCAAGAAGCAGTTCAAGCGATGGGCTGCTCTGCAGGGTGATCAGCTCTTCATGTCGTGGAGACGTGCGCGAACTGATGCTTGGTCTAAGCATAACGTGACTTCATATGCGTACCTGTTTGAGTCACCTAACACCAACATGCGTAAGTATATTCCTCATAGATTTTGACTGCGACGGTTTCACTGACAAGGGGCCGCAGCCGACTATATCGGAACTCCTCACTTCGTCGAGGTCGCTTATGTCTTCTACAACTTGCTCGGCCAAGGCTACGGCAAGGGTCAAGGCCCTCTCGTCAACGCATCCAAGGAGGTTCTTGAGCTTGCCAAGCTGGTCAGCCATATGTGGATCAGCTTCATCACCGAGCTCAACCCCAACGAACACGGAAGTAAGTCTTTCATATCACCTACATATAAAATATTGAAACTAACCTTCACAGTTAACGGTGTTCCTGAGTGGCCTACTTTCAACAATGGTGGTGGCTATGGCGAGCACTTCTACTTCAATCCCAATGGCTCGATGGCTCAGCCTGATACTCTCCGACTGGCCGGTACTACTTTCATGAACTCGGTTTCCGCGGATCAATACGGAAGGTAATCTAGAAAGGTATCTCCTCTAATTTTCTTCACTTATATACTTAACGCTCTCTCTACGAAACGAGTTGAGGTACAAATCTTGGCATAGTATCAATATCACAATATTTCTCATACGCACTTTATCCACAGTGACACCCCGCCGCGGCAAGATCTCATTAGCCAAAGCACGGCTCAGAGAGAGGTCTTTTCCATTTATTTAAGGTTCAAGGCTGCATTAATGGGTGTTGCATTGAAGACTATCGAAAGCCCATCCCAAAGTCAATCAATATGCGCGAACAAGATACCCTGGGCATTTAAGTACACCCACCAATGGCGAATTGAGTTTATACCAGGGGCTCACCACGAGCTATTGCTACCTAGTCCCGGCGTGGCGTTGAATAAGACGATGAGATGCGGGAGGATCACCCTAGCTTGGAGTATAAATCGTACGACTCGGCATGGGCAAATGTAGTAATTGCACGCGAATTACGCAGTCCTTCGTGTTGGTCCATGGGAGTTTAATCAATTTGCATCGTGGCTTCAAGCCTGCATATGGCCACGAGAAATCATCGTTGGTTGACAACAGCTTAGCATTTGTGCCAACAGGGTATTGATGCGCGCTTTGACAGGATCCTTGCCATGACAGCAAATCAAAGAATCCTCTGAAGGGCGTTGGTCGAGACTGGATTTAGTATGACCTTCTTGCTTAAACGACGTTACATCTCGATTATACGTGCCGTGCCGGACCATGTGTTGGCATGCAGCTAGATTTTTTCGACAGATCCGGTCCAACCCTAGACCCTTGCATCCGTCTGCCTCCTGGTTGACAGTCATGGCCCAACGTTGCATGAGGCTTGAAAGCTTGCAGGATCCGTGGAATGGCTTCCGGGCTTGACTTGCGTATGTCGTCCACCGAGGCGAAACGGGGTGGCGTTTAGTAGTGCACGATACACGTTGGCATGAACATGCAATCACCTGACATCCATGAGGGAATTTGAGACATGGCTGAACCTACCAATGCCAAAGTCTGACATCTAAGAAGAATGGATAATCATTGCAGGAGCAGCAGAGTGCGTACACAAGTGTTGGAAGGTTGGCAGGTTGGCAACCTCAGTGCCGAGCTTGAGTGATGGAGCAAAGAAGAATTTGAGAACTGAGCAATCAGATTCGGTCAAGGCCAACCAGGCTGGACAATTGATAATCAATGATCGACAACATCGTCAACTGACAGCAAAGCTTGGCAGCACGGGATCGCCCAAGAAAATACAGGCATATGCCGCGCACTATGACATGTCCCGACAGAAACATACACTTTGAACGTTAACTATCATCACCGCGTCATGCATGTACTGCCACTTTACAAAAGGACCAACGCGTACAGTTACCTAGGCCCCCATTCTGGTTTCCTCTTCTCCAAGAACGCCCTGACACCCTCTCGCTTATCCCCCGTTCCAAACGCAAAGTAATACAAACTCCTCTCAAACTCATGATCGGCCCCCAAATCATCAGCTGTGATAAATATGTTAGTCAACGTGACACGCGAACTACATGATGGTCACTTACATCTACAAATAGCCTCTTTAGCCAAGCCCAGCGCCGTGGGGCTCAGTGCCGCAAGCGTCGATGCATGATCCTTCACAACGTGCTCGAGGACTTTGCCGCTCTCATACAGCTGTGTGACAAGACCCACAGACCGGGCCTCTTCCGCTGATATGGGCTGGCCAAGGAGGATCATCTGCATGGCCTATATCACGCATGTCAGCACATGGTAACACGAGGTTTGGGGGAGGGAAATACCTTGTACTTTCCTACTGCGTTGGTCAGACGCTGTGTGCCACCCGCGCCAGGGATAAGACCAATCTTTACTTCTGGAAGACCGAAGCGGCTTCCGTCCGCGGAAAAGATCAGGTCACACTGAAGACGTCAGCAACCCACGGGTTCCGTCCACGGAAAGAACAAGCCCAACTCACCATGAGAGCAAGCTCAAAGCCCCCGCCGAGCTGTCAATCCCCAGCAAAAATATCGTCAGCCTATCTTCAACCAATAGCTCGGGTAAAAAACTAAACTCACCGCCATTCCCTCAACAGCAGCTATCAAGGGCTTGCGCACGGCCTGCATCCCCGAGCAAAGCTCCGCCAGATAGCGGCAGCCCCGCGCGTCTTCCGCATCGAGCCGCGAGATCTCCCCGATATCAGCTCCCGCTAAATTATTGGTACGTCAGTTCCAGTTCAGCTTAGCCCTGCCACTAGAGCGTGACAAGTGCCGGGGGTATATCCCTGTGGCGTGTGGATTCTCTCATGGATATGGGTAGGGTACAGTACCGCAGAAGAAAGAAGAGCTGCCGGTGATGACAATGACTCGCACACCATCGTCCCTGGAAGCCGTGTTCAGCTGTTCCAGAAACACGGTAATGAGCTCCTGCGAGAGGGCGTTTCGTTTGGAGGGTCTGTTTAACGCGAGGACGCGTACACCGTCTGCAGGCGTGGACGCAAGGACCAATTGCTCATCCATGACCAGATCAATATCGATGACAGAATCGTAAGAGAAAAGATGTAGCTGAAAACACTGCACTTGGCAAGATTGACTCTGCTGCTTGCCTTGTCGGGTTGCGTTGGATCAAATAGTTCGGGTACGTCAATAACGCGACCTTAGCCGCGTCGATCACTTAATCGATAGTGGAGAACAAAGTGTCTTTGATTCAACTGAGACACGGCTGGGATCAACCAGCAAAAAGCAACGAGCAACTGCAGCTGCACTGCAGGGAGTGAGACAGTGCAGATTTTTGGTGTTGGCTGAGGCATTTCGAAAGGGCGGTGGTTGGGGACTAATTCCACGTCGGGAAGTATTGGTGAAAATCTCGTAGTTTGCTGCCTCTCATGTCGATCTTGGTGTCTGTCATTCCGTTGGCTTGGTCCAAGTGTCGAGCCGTTCGCATACTTAGCTCTTAGACCCGATGATCTTTTGTTGAGTAAGATTTGACTGATAGATTCGGTGAGTCTTTAGAAAACCTGTTCAGAAGCTTTCAAATACTTGTTTTTCTTTATATTTTAATACGATATAGGTGATGAGTAAGCTATCTGTCATTTAGGCTTATCTTGAATAACCTCATTTGAAAGCGGCACAGCTTACCACCAACTCCACCTCATATCATCTCGGCTCATGTGAGATTTTGCAGATGCCGAAGTCAGATCCTGCAGTTCCCGCAGAACCCGCGTGCTAGACATGTCTTGGCCAACCCTTGTATCCGCAGCCACGGAACCATGACCATGGCAGATCGCTCTCTACATGCGGGCCTGCGGGCCTACGGTACGTACGTACGTACGTACATCTACTGTACCTACAGGGGTACGCACGCAGACCACATCACACGCCTCGTTGTTCCTTTCGGTCAAAGTTCTCGATGAGTTCAGGTACATACTTACTTACCTAACTGGGACCAACGGACCAAAGAAAACGAATTCTTGCCCCATCTGTCATGTGGCATACCTGATGAGCTGTCCCTCTTTTCGACGCTATCTGGAACTACATGCCTTAGCTTGGCAGATGGTTTCTTGTTTACCAACAGAATTTTACCGTATTAGGTCGACTCCGGAGTTTCAAGGCGGATCCTTCTTGTATCTCGATAGAGAAAAAAAGACGCATTCTGGGGGCGGCTGGGGGGCGTACTCCTCCGAGGTGCAACTTGAAAGGGCAGCTGACTGGTTAATGATCAAAGGTGCTGGTGTTGGGCCTATCCTGCCAAGCATGACGAGAAGGCTGGGTAGGATTAGGAAAAAGCGGGAGAAGGACTTTGGCTTTATTTAAGAACAGACGTTCTTTTATGTGTGGAGAGATGTTTCTTATGCAACTCCTTAATTTCAAGTCTTTGATGCACAATTTCCCGCCCTCCACGACCTGACTCCTACTCAAGCTATTTGAGTTTTCATCTATTTGGAATTGCACGGCGATCCTCATTTTATCTTGCACACGCCTCAGATCTAGCATGGCATCATCTGTGCTTGACATCTCCTCCCCACGGGGAGCTGCCGTGCCAATCTCGTTTACACGAGGTACATGCAGTCGACCTAGCTTCTCAACTGTCACAGAGGCATTCTTCCATTACGCCACCGCACAGCCTTCGGCAACTGCGGCACGAGATCTATCTGCCGAGCCGGCTGTTGAGATAAGCTATGGTGAGCTTGCTGAACGAAGCACCCGGTTGGCGCAACGGTTACGAAGTCTGGGCGTTATGCCGGGTCATCGTGTGCCGCTTGTTGTCAAGCGTGGTGTTGGTATGTTGGTTGGTATACTTTCTATCTTGTCTTGTGGAGCTCAGTATGTTCCTCTTGATGGAGGTGTAGTGGCGGATGAGACCTTACGGTTTGTGTTACAACAGACCGGAGGAAGGATAGCTTTGTCTTCAAAGGCCACGGCACATCGTATTTCAAACACGGATGTGGCAAATGTTGTCGTCATTGAGGATGAAGACATTAGCAAACAAAGTGTCGAAGGCTTTACTCCAGTGAGTAATCCTGAGGATGGCTGCTATGTGATATATACATCAGGTATGTTGAGATATCGTACACTACTCCTCATAAGACTAACAAGTACTAGGCACAACAGGTACACCAAAGGGAGTCGACGTCACTCACAGCAATGTGACGAACTTATTATGCCAAGCACCAGGCAACTTGGGTATTGGCACAGAAACATGTGTTGGCCAAGTGCTGAACGTCAGCTTTGATATGGGTAAGTATTGAAGTATCCTGGGAGGAAGAAGTAAGCTAACGATGTTTGAAGCTGCTTGGGAAACTCTTGGTTGTCTATCAAATGGAGGAACCTTAGTTCTGCGGGGCTCTGACTGGTCAAAAGCCCTAAAGCAAGTGAGTTCACGTTGTTATCAGTGTCGACCTGGTTACTAACTTCGGTAGATTGACGTTCTCATCTGTACCCCGAGTATTCTCTCAAAGCAGAACCCTCAGGACTTTCCAAGGCTGAAGACCGTTGCCACAGCAGGAGAGCCCAGTTGTCAACAGTCAGTGTCCTCCTTTCACTTTTTTTGTTAACTTCGACTGACCTCTCTAGACTCGCTGACCTATGGGCATCTCATGTCTCATACTTCAACTGCTATGGCCCTACAGAAACCACCATCGTCAACACCATGCACCAGCACCAAGCGGGCCAACCACTCTCCATTGGTAGACCAACACCAGGAAACAATATCTACATCCTAGATGAGTTTCTTGTACCAGTTCCTGTTGGAGAAGTCGGTAATGTCTGGGCTGGTGGTGCAGGTGTAGCTCGCGGCTATGTCGACTTGCCGGATAAAACTGCTGAGAGGTTCAGACCTGATCCCTTCACTCAAGATGGGTAAGTCTCCAACACGAGCAATATTATTACCTAATACTAACTTGAATTTCAGTTCTAGTATGTACAACACTGGAGATCTCTGCCAATGGAACCCCAACGGCACCCTCCATATCCTCGGCCGGATAGACGACCAAGTCAAAGTAAAGGGCTTCCGCGTCGAGCTCGACGGCGTAACAGCCTGCATAAAATCCTGTCCCTCCGTCCAATCCGCCACCGCTCTTCTCATCAACAATGAAATCCACGCCTTCATCACCCCCAGACACTGTCCCATCGCAGTAGTCAAAGCCCATCTCAAGGCCCTGCAGCCATACTACGCCATGCCAACACATTACCACCAACTGGACAGCCTCCCTATGACCGCAAACGGAAAGATCGACAAGCGAGCTTTGAGAATGGGAGAGATGGTGGAGGTTGGGAAACCTCAGCCTGCTGTTTTGCATGCGCGTATGGATTCGAATGCGTCGAGTGCTACGCAGCTTAGTTCTTTCTCTGATGCGAGTGATACGACGCTTATTGATGAGCATCAGTATGATCTTGAGAAGGCTCTTCCTGAGAAGGATATGCCTAAGCATGCGAGGGGATTGCGGCACAGATTACTCATTGTTTATCGCCGCCTGTTCTCCCTTGTTGGGTTGTTCAACATCGGTGCGGTTATCGCTCTTCTCCTGACTGGCATCACCAGAGAATGGATGGGCATCATCACAGCCATCAACCTAGCCACAGCTGTCCTCGTTCGTCAAGAATTCGTTATCAACGCTCTATACACTATCACCTGCAGCGTCCCCAGGACCTGGCCTCTTGCTATCAGGACCCGATGTGCCAAGATCTACCATCTTGGCGGAGTTCACTCTGGTGCCGCCGCCAGTGCAGGGGCATGGCTTTTGGCTACAAACATCGCCGACATTGCTTGCTCGTTTGGAAGCTGTGCCAACTGGGGAAACCTGTCTATTGCTTCGCAAGTCATCTCTTGGATCCTGTCTGTCATGTTTGTTGGCATGATCGGCATGGCTTGGCCTTCTGTCCGCAAGCGGTATCACGACCTCTTTGAGAGAACTCACCGCTTTGCTGGATGGACTATGCTCGCCCTCTTCTGGGTGCAAACAGTACTCTCAGCACATGACAACACACCATCTGGTACTACACTTGGAGAGTCATGTGTCAAGTCCCCTGCTTTTTGGCTTCTCGCTGTAGCGACAGCCAGTGTTGCTTCTTCCTGGTGCTTCCTCCGCAAAGTTCCAGTTGAAGCTGAGAAACTCTCAGATCACGCGATCAGACTTCACTTTGACTACACCGTTCCTGTCAACGGTTCCTTCACTCGCCTCTCTCACAAACCTCTCAAGGAGTGGCATTCCTTCGCCACTATTCCCGCTCCCGAGGCCATCAACGGCCGATCAAAGGGCTACTCCCTTGTCGTCTCCAACGCCGGCGACTGGACAAAGTCCACCATCCAAAACGGCCCTTCTCACATCTGGACACGCGGTGTCCCAACCTGCGGCGTCATGCGCATCGCAACTCTCTTCAACCGCGTTGTCCTCATCGCAACAGGCTCCGGCATTGGTCCTGTTCTCGGACACATCCAAAACCCAACATGTCCAACCCAACTCATCTGGTCAACCAAGAACCCCGAAGAAACCTTCGGAGAGGAAATCTGCCAGACTATCAGCGAGCGCATTCCCAACGCGGTCATCCACGATACTAAGAAGTTCGGGAGACCTGACTTGGTGAAGATGGGCTACAATCTGGTAAAGGGCTTCAAAGCTGAAGCAGTTATTATTATTGCGAATGAGAAGATTACGAAAAAGGTGGTTTATGGATTGGAAACGCGTGGCGTCCCAGCTTATGGTGCTATTTGGGATAGTTAAGTTTGTGACTTTGTGGAGTCTTGAGTTTGGGTGTTTGTATTTGTGTCTCGGTACTTGCGATTGCGACGAGTTTTATGCCGGAAACGATTTTGATACGATGAATGATTACATGTTATGATCTGAAACAATATTCGTCAAGATTGGCGTGCTGGAATGTAGTTGTCCTTGGCGTCGGAGGCTGAGATTGACTTTGGGGCTGGATTGACTTTGAGGTTGACCCGGGACCCCCGTTATAATCCGATTGAGTTCTTAGATCGACGATGAGCTGAAGCGAGAAAATCACGCACGGAGAGGGTGAAGATAACAGACTGTTCCTTCGTTGCAGATCATGTTACTGGGGATCCCAGTCCGGATCATGTTTGACTCAAGCGATGCAGATCACACACTGCGTTTAGGTATCGAGAAATTACCAGCAGCTTTCATTTTTGACTAGACAACATATATGTGTAACATTTTAATACAGAAAACCGCTTCAAAGACATGACTGAACGTGCCGCGAGGCACTCAAATGATCTGAAATGAATGGAACGAAATGAACTTCCCTCCTACACCTGATTGAACGGGGATCCAAAGGCCAACCAATCAGCCTCCGGGTCGGGCACTCCGTTGTTTCTGGTTGGTTCCCGCATCGGCTGTAACTGCAACTGCGACTGGCTACTTGAACTTGCTGATACACGTGGGCAGTTGAAGAATTCAAAGACATCGATACTGTCAAGCTCACTGAGAGACGTAGCTTGTGTTGATGTCGGCTCAAGACCGGAGTGTCGGGCGGTAGATGTAAGTGTGACTAGGTCATATGCACTCCTGCTGTTGTTAATTAAGAAATTACTCGCATTAGATATTTAGACTTACCTTCGCATAGCTGAAAAGTTCATGTCGCCTTGTCGAGATCTCTGAACCAGACGATGAAGAATCTTGGAGTAATTATTCGCAACCTCCCAATGCTGTCCAACATCACGCAACGTATCAATGAAGAAGTCAATCTGAGAATCCACAGGACATCCAACCGTCGCAGCATGAACAAGCAGTAGCCTTGCAGCAACCCAAAGCGAGAATGCAAACGAGGGGCCAAGCAGATTCAGACCATCTGCTTCAAGAACATCCTTCGTGATATCCCCCAAGCTCTGCACAGCCGATAAACATCTTTGCATAGCGTAGTGTGAAGGAACGAAGATGTGAGATCGGACCGTTGGATACGCCGCTGAAGAGTGCAGTCTCACAGCAGCCGTGACGTACGCGCTGTGCAGCATAAACCAATTCGCCACACGGCTCGCAGGATCAGAATGGCACAGAGCCGAGATCTTGCTATACTCACTCGGTAAGCTCTGCAGCCAACCATCCAGCGTCCTGTCCAGGTTGCGATATGTGTTTCGCCATTCAGCCATGTCACTTGATGAAGTGACATCTACGGGTGTTTTGAGAAACTCGTGGATTCTGCTAACGATGACAAGAATCTCACAATGATAAGCAAAGCTGCCGAGGTTTTCGGGCTTGTTGACGAGATATGTCATTATTGGCGATTGTTTCTCATTGTAGGGACTTAAAGAACGTGTTTCAACTGGCACGTTCTTTGAGAAGAGATCATATGAGCAGGGGAGGAAGCGGTTGATCTTTGTGTCGTTGAGGATGAAGTCAAATGTCGGTGTTGCAATGGTTGCGTATCGATCCAGTACGTAGATCATCCAGTACAGTCGCCTTCGCCCCTCGTCTTCGATCCAAGACTCGGGTTTTCCAGCAGTTACTCTGTGAGAAGAAGCTGTATGCGTTATCTCAGATGCCTCTGCCGATAGAAATACACTGCTCTCCTCGCTCAAGCCAAGCTGTCTGACGTTCTGCGCTAGTAGAGACAGAAGATTCCAACCTCTTGGCCCGTTGGACGTCCCCAGCTCGTCCAGAGTAATGATGACAAGAGCTCTCATCGCAGGAATAGTGGTGTGCTCCATGGCGTATAACTGAACTGTATGCTTCGCCACCTTGTGATAATATGAGCTCATCTCTGGTGATAACCTCGGATCCTTCAGAAAACGCAGCGTTGTAGCCACAATCGCGTACAGCAGTATCCGATCAGCTTCCTCCATTGATGTTGAGCCGAAGAAGGTAGCAAAGATGGTTTTCCGCTCAAGGATAGGACACCACGTGTTGCAGTGCTTGAAATAGAGATCTACCAGGCTGTAGATGATGTCGTGCGGCGGTAGATCAATGGTGTATGACTGAAACGATGGATTTCGCCTTACGCCAGTTGGATTTGGCGCGGTACTTGCTTGGCTAGGTGTTGGTGCACTGGCGCCTTGTTGAGCCTGCATCGGCGATTGAATAGTGTTCTGGTTGTTTGCGGGCTGCCATGGACTCGAGATGCCCGGTGATCTCGCCTGCGAGAAAGAAGACTGTCTTGGAAGACTTGTGTTTGGCGTAGGTCTCCCGTCCACTTGTGGCGGTCCATATCCATTAGTTATCGACGGCGATACACCTGGTGACCCAACGGAAGAGTGATCATGAACGATATGCTCCTCCACTCGCCTCCCCAACGCTTGAAGCAGCGCATCAATCCTATTGACCTTTGCCTCAAGCTCAATGCTAAACCCATTGCGCGCAGCACCTGGTTTCTGCCTCTCAAGGTAAACACAAGCTCTGTTATGTCTTGCACACCACGAACACGCAGGTTCAGCCCGATCGCATTTCACCTTACGCGCCTTGCACATCTCACACCTATCGCGACATTTAGACTCATTTCTTAAGCATTACAGAGCGTACATACGATATCTTTTGATGTTTCTCCCTCCTCCTCTTCTTATTAGGCCCCGCACTCGTCAATCTTGACTCGTCGCCGCTTGACCCATCGTCGTTGCTCAGGGTCGAATTTGCCTCTTCCTCAGCGATTGAGGGTCCGCTCATTGACGTGGATGGCATGTCGATCTCTCTCCGCAGAGTCTGGGGAAACAAACTACTGGGGAAAGGAATAAGCAGAAACCTTGCACGGTCTGTTATCTTTTTAGTGGAGGTGAGACGTGTTGTTGGTATTATGAGATGCGACGGAGTAAGGCCGAGCCGCGGGAAGGGGAAGAGAAAATCTGGAGGTGTGACGGAGTGGAGAAGAGTTTAGTTGACTAATACACTGGGTCTAGTGAAGTCAATGGCCAAGCAGAAGCGCTAAATCCATCCACTAACTTAAGCAAAAAGCACTGAATATCACTGCATCAATTGTAACCATTCAATTCAAGTGCCAATGTAATGGAACTACAACACTGTAAAACAGCACAGTAGTCGCGGTCCAGTAGAAATGCATGTGGACAAGAAGCCCGAACGTTGCAGCCGTGATCCCTGTCTAGCTAAAAGCCAAGTACCTTACGTGCTGCTGTTGGTGACAAGGAACTACATCCATGTCATGGTTTCAACAAAGACCTTCTATCTATGGTTAACCTTGAATTGCCGTAACGCATGTGACATGTGCATGTTCGGACCACAAACACCGGCACATGAGGGAAATATCTGTTTCTGTCTTCGTCAATAGCACCGGATCACTCGGGGATTTGACGACAAACATTCCGATCCTTGTCTCTTTAGCAAAACGAGACCAACATGCACCTCTGATGGATGTCACACCTGGAGATAGTCACAGATCCCCTCCCCCGGAAATAACAATAAAAGTGCGGAGCCGCTTATGGTACGATCATCAAGAGTCTAGTGGTTGTTCCAGAACAAGTCAAGTTCCATATTTATTTCCTCGTGGGAGTTTAGACGCTACTGTACGTCGGGCTTATTTGGTTACCTTCTTATACAGGTTGGTGTTCCATCAGGCAGCAGTATTCCGGACCATCCATGTAAAACATACTAGTACAGATCAGACCTAATCAAGCTAATGTAACTAAAAGCTAACAAACAAAAAAGCAAATCAACGCTCGGCGTTCTACTCGTTGGCCCAACCCTTGGACATCTCGACGGCTTTGGTCCAACGACTAAACCTCTTTGTCGCTTCCTCCTCGGCGATCTGCGGTTTAAAGATGGTACGACCCTGGGTATTCACCTCCTTTAATTCATCAAAGCTCTTCCAGATGCCGACGGCGAAGCCGGCCGCGATAGCTGCACCTAGTGCAGTTGTCTCACGCATGCCGGGTCTGTTGACAGGGATCCCAATAAGATCAGACTGGGTCTAAGCAAAAAGTGTTAGCATCGTCTAAGCCACTGCCACGAGATCAAGAAAAAAAAATCCTTTTACGTACCTGCATGATGAGGTCCGAGTTGCACATGCCACCGTCGACGGCCAGCTCGGTCAACGCATGTCCGCTGTCCTTCTCCATCGAGTCGAGAATGGCCTTTGTCTGAAAACACGTCGCTTCCAGCGTCGCTCTCGCAACGTGTCCGCGCTGCGTGTACGCCGTGATACCAAAGATTGTACCTCGCGCATCGTCAATCCAGTACGGCGCAAACAGGCCGCTAAAGGCCGTTACAAAGGTGCACCCACCATTATCTTCCACCGTCTCGGCGAGCGCGCTGAGCTTGGCTGACGATTCGATGAAGCCAAAGTTGTCAACGAGAAACTTGACGCTTGAGCCTGCGACGGCGATGCTGCCTTCGAGGGCATACATGGTGTTGCCTTCGCCAAAGTCAAAGGCCACCGTTGTGAGAAGTCCGTGTGTTGAAATCACGGGCTTGGAACCAACGTTGTAGAGCAGAAAGCAGCCTGTGCCATATGTGTTCTTGGCGAGACCGGGGGTGAATCCCTTCTGTCCAACAAGAGCTGCAGACTGGTCGCCCAGACATCCAGTGATCTTGACGCCCTTGAGCGAGGTCTTAGCAAGCGTACCGTACGCCTTGCTATCAGAAGACCGCACGATTCTTGGCAGCGTAATCTTCTTGTCATCGATTCTGAACCAGTCCAGAATATCCTCGTCATACTGCAAAGACTCAAGATTCATAAACATGGTTCTAGACGCATTTGACGGATCAGAAACGTAGACATCTCGGTCCGTTGCGCCGTTGAGCTTATACGTAAGCCAAGTGTCTACCGTTCCGAAAGCAAGAACACCGCGCTCATAGGCATCTTTGACTTCGGGAATGTTTTCAAGAAGCCAGAGAAGTTTGCTGACGGATGGATATGTGGAGAGAGGAATTCCGCATCGCGAAATCAACTCGCTGGCGCCAAGACGACGCTTTAGACGACGGACAAGATCTTTCGATCGTGTGTCTGTCCAAACGATGGCGTTGTACAGAGCATTGCCGGTGGTCTTGTCCCAGACAACAGTAGTCTCACGCTGGTTTGTGATGCCAACGGCCTTGATCTGTTCACGAGAGTGACCTTGACCTTCAAAGGCTTCTACAGCGCCATCAATGCACTGCTCAACAGAGCTGATGAGCTCTTCAGGATCATGCTCATGCCATCTAAACCAAACATCAACTCTCGCTCTTACAAAAGTAGTGGTTAAACTTACCCGGGATGAGGATAGTATTGCTTGAATTCAAGCTGATGAGTAGCTACAACGTCGCCACTGGTGTCAAAAATCAGAAAGCGAGAACTTGTAGTACCCTGATCAATGGCACCAATGAAGGTAGGATTCGGTTTTCCGTTGAGCATAGGCATAGTGAGAGATGGGGATGCTGTGAAATTGCGGGGAATGGTGTCAGATCCGGGGAGAGCGAATGCAACAGTGACTAAGAGGAGCAAAAGAAGCGACGACAACAACAAATTGATTGGGGACTGCAGGATCAAAAGCGTATCGGATTGGCAATTCTCTGGGGTGTTTAAGTATTCCCATCTCGGGTTCACTGATACCAACAAACACCGAGATTCAGATGTAAAGGCATCTCGGGGAAGCATTTCCCACCACCCTTGGGATATCTGCGGGGTATTGAAATCCTTCCAACATTGGCAAATTGCCTTTTTGTCTCACGCACCCTTGTAACACGCAAACCAACGTCACTTTCCTGATGTAGCTGTAAGCCTCGGCTTGGTGATACCGAAATACAGGCCCATGTCACAAGACAACCATCGGGGATCTAACACGCGAAACTCAGAACCAACACTAATAACACCTACCGATGTGCATTTGATGAAAAGAGAGGGGTACGTTATGTTACGTTTCCCCGCAGTCATGTTCCAGAAGCTCGACCGGGCGCATATCTGCGGGTCTGGTGAACACACCTTGACCATACCTTAATTCCTAGCCAAGCCAACCTCGGTCAAGCGGATGTGCAAATCCTTTTCTCTTTTCGCACGACGATCCGGGGTTTGTTGGGCTGTGGAGTAATATGCAAACACAAGTCTCGAACGTGGCCCCTCCATCCCACCCGGCCTTCGGTGTAAGCAACCTGATCAGAGCAAATACTTCGGTGATGATATCCACGTCTGAATTCCGTCTCTCTCGGTGTGTGCCGCCGAGCGGCATTTCGTTGGCACATTGCACCGCCGCCGTCCAAGCTTGAGCGCATTCGTATCGCCCGCACCATCGTTCGATTCATCGGGTGTAGTCGCTGCGTCTCCCCGTGTCCGTTCCTCTTTCCTAACGCAGTGGCGGATCGACATGCTTGTAAGCCCACTCGTTGGTGATGTCTGATAACCATGGAGTCTCGCGGGCTTCGGTATGCTTTGCATGTAAAGGGTGGTGTTTGCAAATACCGAGGCCGAGAGCAAGAAAAGGGATCCTCTCTTGGGATGAGATGAGGGGCAAAAGGCACCCAAGCTTCGTTCGTTTGCTGACCATAAATTGTAACGTGATCCCCAGAGATGCTTGATGACGCCAATCCTCTCAGTGCAACCTGTCTCTCTTGCATCCGCCAACGTTCTCCTCTTTCTGTCTCAAGATCAACTTCACAGGCTCACTCTAGGATGCCTATCCCTACCATGAACGACTCCATCTCTGAGTCTTCCGTGCACAAATCTTCTATCCCCACTAAAGTCGAGATGAGCCAGAATGAAAAGTACAGTGAGGCTCCGAGTGAGCCGCCAACTATTCCTCCCCCACCTGAGCAGTATGCCTGGAGTCGAGTGAGGGAGTACTGCCAAGATGCCTTTTCAGAATTCTTCGGTACTTTCATCCTTCTTCTCTTTGGTGATGGCGTCGTTGCTCAAGTTGTTCTCAGTCGAGGAACGAAGGGTGATTACCAGAGTATCTCGTGGGGATGGGGGTAAGTCGTTATTCCCGCGGTGAATTGAGCTCATACTGACATGAATCAGTCTCGGTGTCATGCTTGGTGTATACGTTGGCGGTAAATCAGGCGGTCACTTGAACCCAGCCGTTACTCTGGCCAACTGTATATTCAGAGGTCATCCTTGGCGCAAGTTTCCTGTGTATGCCGTCGCTCAAATCCTTGGAGCCATGACCGCTGCAGCCGTCGTGTACGGTAACTACAAGTCTGCCTTCGATGCTTATGAAGGCGGCCCAGGAATTCGGACCGTCATTGGCGAGAATGCTACCGCTGGTGTCTTTTGCACGTATCCTGCCGAATTCATGACACGCACTGGCATGTTCTTCTCTGAATTCATTGCCAGCACGATTTTGCAGTTTGTCATCTTTGCTATGGCTGATAGCGCTAATATCGGTGCTGGTCCTTTGATGCCGCTTGGCTTGTTCTTCCTGATCTTTGGAATTGGTGCTTGCTTTGGTTGGGAGACTGGCTATGCGATCAACCTAGCTCGTGATTTTGGACCTCGTTTGGTTTCGTACATGATCGGATATGGAAGTGAGGTTTGGTCTGCAGGTGGTTACTACTTCTGGGTGAGTTCAACGCCAATATCTCGACAGTGAATATCAACTGATAGCGAAAACCAGATCCCCATGGTAGCTCCCTTCATGGGATGTGCTTTCGGTGGCCTTCTGTACGATGTCTTCATCTACACAGGGCCTAGTCCGATCAACACGCCAGGCATGGGTCTCCCACGCCTCTTGAGCCCTCGTCGCTCAACGTGGTCCAACACGTACAGCGCCTCCTCACCAGTATAGATGCGCTCATTTTTCTGGAGTTCGGAGTGCTTTCGTGGTGAGGACGAGGTATTCGAGACGGTCGGTGGAGTTTGAAATCCGCGCTGGGAAGATGCGTAGAGACATGGCCTAAACAGTGGCGCTAAAACGGCAGATTCTTCGTTTGAGGAGCGACGAGACTAGCATACGAGAATGGCGTTCGTGTTCATCTTTTTTTGTTGTTGCTTGTTTGCGGCGGTGTTGTTGAGTGACTCGTACTCGTTGATAGCGTAGATAAGAAGCTCATGCTATTACCAAATGTTCTCAAATGACCGTGATCAGTGAACAAAAATGCCAGTAAGGCAAATTTGTTTGTCTACACTTGTAGCAGCCGCCAGTGACTCGTGATATCAAAGGTAATTCTCTTTGTTGAAGAGAGGTGTTTGCGACGGAGTGGTATCGGGTCTTTTGTGTTGTCCAAGGTTTGGGTCAGGTACCTTGGGGAGAGGGTGCCAGAAACGTAAGACCTTTATCTAAGGTGGTAGAAATCCTGGATCAATTTCATGGAGACGTAGTGTAGTGAAATCTGACCTTTCACTGGACTTTTCGTATCCTGATTAGAGCTCAAATCTCTGTGCAACCCGGGGGCATCGTACTGGTTGTGTCGTTGGTGGTTTGTTTGAATGAGGTACTCACCAGTGGTTGTTGCCGCTGACGGTCAGCCACCAACCCTAGACTACCAACACTCTGAACTTGTCGATTCCATTTGTGTCGGCACAGCCGCATTGTGAACCTTATCTTGAACGCAAAAATGCATCGTCAATTTCTAGCACTCAAACAGGTACAGAGATTGTATAAACGTATGTTCGCAATAGTGTTCGAGCTGGACATGTTGTCAGTTGTATGTCTTTCAGCCCTCAAGCCATCACGACACAACATCCACCAGTCAAATCACAATATGACTGTGGTTCGCCTTCTGATTAGTGGAACAATTTCTCAGTCACGCCGCGCAAAGAACAACACATACAGACAGACATGGAATTCAAGCAAACAGCATAGTAATTCCCCCATCGTTTAACAGAAAACTCATGACCTCTTGAACCTTTTGACTCTTACCCCAAAGTCTAGAACCTCGGGTTTCCCCTCCCCGACAGTGGGGGCAGCACATGGAACTCTCCGCACACCGGCACGGACCATTGTTAATCCAGGTCTCGGCTAACCCATTCTCGGTCACGTTCGGGCTTTAGCTTCGGGCTTTTCACACCGAACTGCATAAGACCAGGGGTAAAATCTCGATGTCGACGTCAGCACTTCGGTCTTCTCGCCCCGACGTGCATTAATGGCCTCGAGGCTCAGGACCTCCCGGAATTCCTCTTTGAGCCATATGACCCAGCTCGCAACGTTTATTGCACCGTTTTGCATCTCGCTTGCGGGTCATATGCTTTGAGTAATTCGGGCATTCTTGGAATCAACAGAGACAGATGATGCATACATAGCCTAATTCTGGGTCTGAACCCCCAAACTTTTGCTTCTCATGTGCCCCAGCACCCTCATAAAAACATGTTAAAACCTAAGCATCCATGATATCAGACTCTCTTTCACAGACCCATTTCCAACTCCGCTAATTTATGGAAACTCTCTCTCATTCTCCACGATCGTCGCGCTTCGATTTACTTCTTATAAACCCCAAAACCTAACTCTCTTTCTTTATTCTGTCTGATCTTTAATCCCCAGACCCAAAACTCCAGACTCTCCATCTTTTCTCCAATCTACCTCCCCCAAGCTTTTACACCCGAAAAAGCTCCCAGCGCAAAAACACCCCCAAACACCACACCAAAATGCAACAAAGATTACGGTCGCTCAAGCGCCCTCTGCTCCTCGCAGCAGCAGCCACAACAACAGTCACCCTCGGAGGAGCATACTACGCCTCCCGCAACAAGACACACGTCGTCGACAAGCCCCTCGTTCCTCTCAAGCGCGATGAGAAGAACCGCATCGTGCCTCCTACATTCAGCGCCACAAAGACCCGCACAGAACAACTCGCTGAGCTTCGTCGCAGCGGCGAAGACACAGAATACGATCTTCTCATCATTGGAGGCGGTGCAACAGGAACTGGTATCGCTGTTGACGCCATCACCCGCGGCCTCAAAGTCGCTCTTGTAGAGCGTGATGACTTCTCCTCTGGCACAAGCTCAAAGAGCACAAAGCTTGTTCACGGTGGTGTGCGATATCTAGAAAAGGCTGTTTGGAACCTTGACTATGGTCAATTGCAGCTTGTCATGGAAGCTCTCCGTGAGCGCAAGACATTTTTGAACATTGCGCCTCACTTGTCCAGCTCATTGCCAATTCTACTACCCCTCCAAAAATGGTGGGAGGCGCCCTACTTCTGGGCCGGTACCAAAGCCTACGATCTCCTCGCTGGATCGCAAGGTCTTGAGAGCTCATACTACATGAGCAAGAACAAAGCCCTCGAGGCATTCCCTCTTTTGCGACGAGAAAACATGGTCGGTGCGCTGGTCTACTACGATGGTCAGCACAATGACTCCCGAATGAACGTCGCTCTCGCTCTTACAGCCTCTCACTACGGCGCTACTGTTCTCAACCACGTTGAAGTAACTGGTCTTGAGAAGGATGCCAATGGCAAGATCATGGGCGCTCAAGTCCGCGATGTTCTCGCCTCCAAGGACGGTGATGCTGCTGGTGCTCAGCCCTTCAAGGTCCGCGCCAAGGGTGTCGTCAACGCAACCGGTCCCTTCACCGATGCCATTCACCAAATGGACGATCCCTCACGCAAGCCCATTGTCGCTCCCGCTTCAGGTGTGCACATCATGCTTCCTAAGGAGATCTGCCCCAACGGTCTTGGTCTTCTCGACGCTGCTACCTCAGACGGTCGCGTCATCTTCGTTCTTCCCTGGCAGGGCTACACTCTCGCTGGTACCACTGACAATCCGTGCGAAGTTGAGGCCGCGCCTGTTGCTCAACAGCAGGATGTTGACTTTATCCTCAAGGAAGTCAGCAAGCTTCTAACACCCGAGTCTGTTCTTTCGCGCAAGCATGTCCTCGCTGCTTGGTCTGGTAAGTCATGTCATATCAATTGATCTAAACATTTCTAACAATTACAGGCATCCGACCTCTCGTCAAGAACCCCAACGCCAAGAACACCGAGTCCCTCGTCCGAAGCCATCTCATCACCACCTCTCCCTCCGGACTCCTCACCTGCGCCGGCGGCAAGTGGACCACCTACCGTGAAATGGCCGAGGACACCGTCAACGAGGCCATCAAGCTCTTCGACCTCAAGCCCCAAGCCGTGGCTCTTCCCGACATCAGCGGCGCCGGCGCTACCGGTTTCACCACCCGCGGCGTTTGCTGCACGCGCAACGTTCCTCTCATCGGCGCCCACGGATACTCCACATCTCTCGCCTCTCAATTGATGGAGGTCTACAACATTGACGCTGACATCGCTGATCATCTCGCTCACAACTACGGTGATCGCGCCTGGACTCTTCTCTCCATCTCTCCCTCCCTCAACACTCGTCTCGTTTCATCTCTTCCCTTCATCGAGGCGGAGGTCTCTCACGGCATTCGCTCCGAAGCCGCCTGCACCGTCCCCGACATCATCGCCCGCCGCACTCGTCTCTCATTCCTCGACTCCCATAAGACTCTTGAGGCCCTCCCCCGCGTTCTCGACATTGCCTCCACAGAACTCCAATGGAGCGCTGCCCGCAAGGAGCAGGAGAAGGCTGATGCCATCAAGTTCCTCGCCTCCATGGGTCTTGAGCAGCAGACCGATGCGCCCGTACAGGCCTCCCAAGAGGAGAAGATGCCCGTGCGCAGCATTGAGCACTCATCTCGACCTACCCGCGTCGGCGGTCTTGATGTCGACCTGAATGGCCTTGGTGGTACTGGTTCTTACAGCAAGTCGCGCGACGACTAGATGAGCATTTCAATTTTTTAGAGATAACATGTAGCATATAGAAGATTCCCGGCATTGGTTGTGTGTGTTATACTAAAAGCATGGCGCATAGATGCAGGATTGGGCTGGGACTGGACAAGGCGTCACGGATTTTCCTTGATAACTATATATTTTAATGAACTTTTATGATCATCCTCATCTCCAAATCTTATCTCCATGGTATTGTAGTCCTTTCATTCACCTGCCAACCTCGTCTAATTCCTCTATACCCGCTGATCAATTGGAGATTATCCCCGCAATTAAATCCTGTTTAGAAAATCCCCATCTGATTGTCGATGATTTCCTGCATCTCCATAAAACGAGGCTCCATTACATCAGGACCCAGATGGAGCCCCAGATTAAACATGCATCATGGCCTGGAGGTAAATGACGTAGCAGTTCCGTAACTATGGGTCTTGTACGTTACGTCCACGATTCTACGAGTGACTCCGATATCGCGCTCGTCTTTCTCATGCCGCTTCAACTGGCAGAGGGGGTACTCTGATTTGGAAAGTCCTCACCACCTGAAGTGGCAGTCTGCCCCCGAGATCAAGGAACTGGTCCGGCATTGCCCATACGATGAGTTCAAAGCTGAGCTCGCGAGCATCTGTGACATTCGCATTGTTACTGCGCTGCCCTTGCTGGTCGTCGTCGGTCTGCAATAGGCCGGTGATATATGGCTGAAACGTGTCTGAAGCCTCACCGTCGTCATTGATCAAGAACTGCACGTCTAGTGCCTGGTCGTTGCTTCGGTTGTCGATTTGGACGGGGATGACATTCACCGTTTTACTGTCAGACAGTGTGTAGGTGGCACTCAACCCTTTCACACACACGTTAGTCTACTTTGAACATTACATCCTGAGGAAATACCAACCTCCAGTAGGACCTTCTCCGCTGAAGCCGACATTAGCACCTAGAGACAGCTCACTTGAGGTTGTGTAAGAGGTTGTATTGCCAACTGAGGCAGGCTGCGTCTGTGACCATGAAGCGTTTGGCAAAGTGACATTTTCCGAGACCATCGATGGGGACAGAGTCCAAAATATCGTGGATGGTGATCTATAATCGAGGGTTCGAAAGGTATTAGAAATGAAGCTTTCGCCTTCAGTAGCTCCACTGGCAATGGTAGATACAGCTGAAGTATCGGGTCCTTGGCTGGGAAATGTTCCCTGAAGCGCTCGCAAGGTCACACGATAGAGTTTAATGGATAGGCTTGGGTTAAGTGAAAGGTTTACGCCTGGGCGGAATCAGTGTAAGTCTTGATCCTTGCATATTGTCGAGCACTTTACCTATCAGGTATGCATCGTGAAGGGTTGGGCTGCCCTGGTTGATCACGAAGGATGCGGAAGACACTGTAACAGTACAAGATACGTCAAGCGTACCTTGGGCATAAGACACCTGGGACGAATCCTTGAGACTAATGGCGACAGTCTGATCCCAGTAGTCAACCTCCTGGGCAGTTATTGTGTGAACGTTGAGTGACATGATGAAGAAGAGTTGAATGACAGAATAAATGGAAGAACGAACTGTGAATTGGTCATGGTCTTATATAGTTGGTGAAAGACATCAACCAATGCGTTGTAAGACTGCGACAACCTACTCATTGATGTTCACTCACCACCGCCAGTGGATGTCTTCCAACAGGAATGGTCAAATGTCGGTGCGCTGCAGAAAACGCAATAGTTTGGAGACAAAAGGCCTTCGATTCAGGCCTGGGCTTTTAGTTATATCCAATAGTTGCCGACGAAGTGAGTTCAGCTGATACTGTGGCTGGCTGGGTGCGGTCTGGACCAGGGCAACTTGCCCAGATATAATATTGATTGGTTGCATCAGGTATGGCTTTGCAAGTTTGCAGAAGTTGACTCAAGGGTAAGAGTGATTTTATTAGTCAGTCCAAGACTGTCTTACTCCAAGTCGAACGAACAGCCTGCATGATGGGTAAGACATCGGGGAGTTTGGCTGTGAGAGACTATGTATAGGTAGCCACCACCGCTTCCATCATGGACGAATCAACATCAATATCGCCGTATAGGTTTTCGGAAGAGACTCGAAAGAACAAGTCGGCTGAAATACTAGTCCATAGTAGGAATCGTATCAGCTAGACCTCTCTCGATCAACTCGATGCCACAAGGGAATCCTTCAAGATGGTCTCAAGCTAACCTGTCACATAGGTTCTTGGCGCCTGGGCTCAATCCCCTGACAATCGCGTCGTAATATCCAGCAGTACAGCCTCTTTTATCTTGGCAACAGACTCATCGCTAACTTGTCCCTCTTGAATAAAACAAAGTTGATGATCTAATTGACTTATATCCTCACGCAACTCTGCCAGTTCATTGCCAACGCTCTCCTCCAAGTCTTGTGTATTCTTCTCAACCGTTGTCTCAAGGGCTCCAAAGCTATGGTGTATGTCTTGTTGCGACTTGTTGAAGGCTTTGTATTGTTCTTGGAGCTCGGCTATGGCTGCTCGCAGTTCCTGGTTCTCCTTCTCTAAGAATGCAATGCGCTTTCCGTCTGCAGCTTTTGCTTGATTGAGCATTTGCAGCTCAGCCCAAATCAGGGCGATATCGTCAGCGCATTCGGTCGCAGTATCTTGTCGCGGGCGCTTTCTGTCAGGCTTGTGGTCAATCGGGGGCGGCGGCGGTGGGGGTTCGGTTTCTTCGTAAGATGGCGGCGCAAGCGTGTCATCTGCACCAAGTTGGACAATCTTTGCGCCCAGGCCGGCATACATGCTAGCCAGCTGAAAGCGGCTGCTGCAAGAAGTCTTGAAGAGACCCCGGCTGACTGCATCGCTGATTGACTGGAGCTTCGGAGATGCATTGCGCGCCTCGATGTAGATGGTGAAGGCAGTTGCTCGAGAAAATTCGCGAATGGCATCGAGCACAGCACCTGACCGTGCTCGACCTGCTGGACATATTGGCTCGAGAGCAGGAGTAGGGACAAGGATGTCAAGATGACGGTTCAGTTGGAAACGGAGGCCAAGAGCTGCCGACTTGAACTCTTGCTCCACCTCGCTATGTACGATCGGATTTTTAACGAGGTCAAGAGAGATAATGGAGGAAGCGCATGCTCGAAGTGTAATATCAGACGTGCTGTCAAGGCCTTTGAGCTTGAGGGGGATGTGTATATCAAAAAGAGCACTTTTCGAATCGAAGCGAGCCGTCAACGTAATAGAGCTGACTTTGGGATCGGGCTTGGCCAGAATACGTGTCGTGCGATCTGACTGCGAGATGTGTTATTGGGAATTGAATCAGGCTGAGAGCTGACGGCGTGCCTTACCTCGTTATCAGACTGCCACTCGATGACAGCGCGGGTAGTAAAATGGACGTCAAGGCATGGTAAAGTCGACATTCCTGCAACCAGTCAGTCTCACAACGTGATGGAACTTGCCTGCTTAGCTCCGCACCGCGCCGTGCCAACACGCGCGCGACCAAGAGAGGGTGAGCTTCGCTGCACAGGCAACCTCTGAATCTCCAGCGCGCTGCGAGACCAAAGATCCCTTCCACAGACCCCGGTTGTTCCAGCAAAGGAGGCGCGAAACGCTCTCGTTTGAAGGGTGCAAGTCGGAATTTTATGACGGTCTGTAGTGCGATTTACCGCCTCTTCTTGGACGCGGCAAGTGGACAGGGCGTAGGTGGAGAGAGTTGAATGATGGAGGAAGAAAACATTGCGACGCTGCTGGGTTGAACATGCGTGCGTTAGGGAGCGAGCGTGAATGAACAACTGATTGTGGATGCTGTCGGTGAATGGAAATGAAGTGGAGTTGCTTGCTGGGGAGAAATGGTTTGTCCGCTGGGCCGATGAATCTTGGTGGGGTCGGGCTCTAGGGTTGATTGGCTGTTGATCAATATACCACTGGCACCAGCTGAAGCGGAACAGTAAGCTGCATTATCAGAGGTACTTATTTATAACAAACCTGATTATTCTGCAGGAAGATGTATCTTTGATACTATAGATATCCTTGGTTTAGCCTGGCGTAAACAGGCATTTAATGATTTTTCAGCACGGAAGAGATTTATTTGGTAAATAGATTAAGGTCAGAGAAACAGTTCTATTGAGATGCGTCAAGCATGAGGTGGGCGACATTGAACTGTTTGTTTTGGTGGAAATGCTTAGTCAAGTGAATCCTTTAAGGTCAGCGTACACAACCATGAACACTGGGTCTATTTTTGGGGTAAGTTGAACTACTTTGGAATAGAATTGCTTGCAGGGAGCAAGTGTTCTAAAGCCAGCTCCGGGATGCACTGTGTCAACCAACTTCAGCGAACGGGTGACTACCCGAATTTCAGTCAAATCAGAGAGTATTGGTATCTCTTTTATATTAATGAAAGGGTTCTCACTCCAGTTCGCAATTCAACAAGTTAATAGCCCAAAATGAGTATGCGTCTGACAGCCGCATGTGATGTCTGCTTGGGTTTCGCTCGACAATCTCGGGGGCCTCCCAGTCAGCCGTGACCAATGGAAGCTCCAGTGGGGAGTCCTCACCAAAGATAGAAAATTCGAAGCCCGAAAGCTTCGGAATGAAGCTTTTTGAATCGCCAGCGCTGAACATCAATACATTTCCAGGCTTGATACCTCTGTGGATAACTCCATTTTCGTGGAGATGAGTTAGAGCAGCTCTGATGCTTAAGCAGAGCCTCTTCTCGTCTTGAATGGGTACGTCCAGCAAGGCCGGTTTTGGAAACCCCTTTTCCTATAAGGGATGCAATATCGGCATGTGGATGTGAATATGTTTCTTGCAGCGTATGGCAAGGGACATGTTCTCGTCGAATGGCGAACATTGAACCAGCAAGGGGATGGGTATCTAATGGTCGAATGAGGCAAACCGCAGCTAGTGAAACTATTTCTGGAATTAAGATGCCAATCAACAGCTTATCCAATTTTGGAATATATTGGCGTCGTCGATAAAAGACACCATGGGTCTCCTCGCCTGGAGATAGCATTTCGTTTGCTGCAGTTGCCGGGTAATGTCTCAGGACACCCACATTCGCTACACGAATATCTTGACTTTCAGACCTTTCTCCTTTCTTTGGGTCTAAGATTTGAGCTGGATCGGGAGGTGGCCGATGCGTTTCATCAATTCTATCAGCTCCAGACACCTTTGGAAGATGTGAAGGGAATTAAGAACCCTTGGAAGTGACCCGATATTGTTAACATGGCCAATAATAACCAAGGTACTGATAGTTTGAAGCCCGCAGTTCCAAAGGGAGAGAATAGTGAGCCGATGGGTTAAGGGAGTCAAGGCCTCGATAGCGATACTATCAAGTAAATTCCTGGCAAGTTCGGTGATGGTGGTGGTCTTGAGGGCAATGCCACTGGAGACGGGGGCAGGTAGTGCGCATATCAGGTATTCTTGAGATCTAAGAACGGAGATTGAAGTTAAAGTGTACAAGAGAGTCGATGATGTGACCAGTGAGGAGTAAAGAATGACAAAGAGATGGTTCCCATTGGCAATGAACGACGACGGGCGTCCACGTGAGATCCATTTGTCAGAGGAGTGTACAAGAACTGTGAGGTCTCCCCATGATAACCTAGCCTCGGGTTATGATCCTGGAACAGCCCAAACATAAAAAAGACCTTCTGGCTGAAGTCTTCGTGACGTCCTCAATCCTTCGGCTTAGCTCCGACATCGCGCATCGTGTTGTGGCAGTTCCCATGATGGAGAACCGGCTTGAGGATGACGTTAGACTTTGAACGTTCTTATTATCTTCACGGGCTCGGTGCCGCCTAGTGAGATGAAGCTTTCTGGCATTGCCCATATGACTAGTTCGAAGCTGAGTTGACAGGCGGCTGTCGGGTCGACGCTACGCAGTCTTTCTCGATCGTTGCCAACCTGTAGTACGGCCGTGATGCGTGGCTCAAAAGCCAAAATTGCATCCTTGGTATCTTCGATCTCAAAGAAAATATCGAAGACTTCGCTGTTACTTCGGTTTTCGATCTTGATAGGCGGCATATTGAGGGCTTGGCTATGAGGGAGTTTGTAGCTATCACCGCTACCTATCGCTAGTGCGTCAACATTAAGATGACTTCACATGTTTTCTTGTAGAACTTACCCTTGAAATCACTGGAACCAGAGACCTTGACATCAGCGCCCAACGTCATTGAGGTTGCACTGTCGAGAATTGTCGCCTGCGTCTGTGACCAGGAACTGTTCGATTGAGTTGTCCAGGCGGAGGCATCTGAAACCGACGCAGACCATATCGTAGAAGACGGCGTATCGTTGCCAATTAGCTCTTCGACCTCGCTTATCGGACTGGAACCTCTGTCGCTTCCTCTATCGATGATCGCGTCAGCCCAAGGATCTGGACCCTCAGTTTGTACTTCTTCCTGTAGAGCGCGAAGGGTTACACGATAGAGCTTGATCGGCGCGCTCGGTGCCAATAACAGTCCTAGATCTGAGAAAATTCAATCTTAGTATCACCGTTGACAGATAATTGGACTGCATTGCTCACCTATCTTGTATGTATCATGAATTGGAGTTACATCGTCGTCCACTGAGGTTGCGCAAGACACTTTGACCGCGCAAGACATGTCGAGCTCCATATCATCGTAAGTGACCTGCGATGTAGATATAAGCGTCAGGGTTATCATTTGATTCCAGTCGTCAACGGTATCAGAGTTTGTCGCCATGACATGGTGGATAAAACGGTTGAGGACATTGGCTCCTCTAGCCGTAAAGGCCAGGGACTTGATTCACCGCTAAACCCTCCAATAAAAGCTCCTGAAAGACAGTTAGCGCTGTGTGTCAGACTGGAAAACAAGTATTTATGTCTGGTCTAAAGTGTGGCATCCTAAGCTAAGTAATGAGAATGTTTTGGCAAACTTGGGATAGTTTTAGGCTGAGCTTAGGTGACTCGTGAACTGAATGACTATCATTATTCATGTTTCGCGTCGTGATTGGAGATTTCAAATGGCATTGAGGCTGGCTGGCCGAACCCCACTACAAACGACATCAGTGACCAGACGCAAGGAATAATGTTTGTCGAGAGGGTGAGATTCTTCTGTATCTGTTTGTAATACCTGCTTCCCACAAGACTAGCACATTACTGTTGATCGGAAACGCTGGGCAAGGTTACAAAGGACAAACAACAGTCCTGTTGCCAACGCCTTTGCTTCAAGAACAACAAATGGGTCACTGGATCAACATCTCATTGGATCGGAATTTTGTTTTGCCCAGGCTCCCATGGGAGAGCTGTAATTAGTGTTTCATATTGAGGCGGTTGATGGGCCTAAGACGGGTATCAGGATAATGTGAGATGAGTGAGTATCAATGAAACCTAATATACGGGAGCACCTGCAAATTACGGGATAACACGTTTGCGGCCGAGAAAATAAGAGGGACCAGGACGATAACCGCGTATGAAATGATGTAGCACACTTGGGTAGGAGCAAATTGTCCGTGGGGTCATGAATCTGCATCTGCACGTTTGTTTGTCAATTCATAGCCCTACCCCCTAACAGCAAACAAGCTCCCGTCATCCTCAAAATCTAATTTCCTATTATTTGCTATTTACTATAATATATATAGATAGTGATAAGTTTTCTTAATTTAAGATTAAAATAAATTTCTTAAAGGTCTTTAAGTAAATTTATATAAATTTATATAAGAATCTTATGAATTAGATCCTAAGTTTATATAAGTTTTTCCTGAAATCATCTATCACACGCCAAGGCTGCCTGACGAGTTACCAGGGTCTTTAGCCACCGTCCTGCACCTCTAACCTGCTTGCATCTGCACTTCCTAAAGTACAGCCTCGCGACCTAGACGCGTCTTGCAACCCACGTTTTTTTCTCGTTTTCCTTCCCTTTATAAAATTCCGCCAACTATCAAAGACTCTCTTTCTTCCCCTTCGTGTCACAACCCACAACCCTCTGCATCTCTTGGCCTGTCAGCACTATGTGTTATGAAGCGCCACCTGTGCCGGCGCCGTATAATCAGCACGCCAAACGCACGAATGAGCTATTCACCGTCTTTTACGAAGAAATCGGAAAATGGCCCTGGGAGGTCATTTCGTTCGGGCCAAGAACATGGGGTCAGAATTTAGTCCAGGATTTCATGAGGCTTCTGAGCGTCGACCTTCCTAACACCGAAGGTGTGAGACTCGAGGAACTCATCGACTGGTTGCACGACAACTCTGCGGAACATCCGATGCCGCGATATAAATATCAGCTGAGCAAGATGCTCCTTGCGAAAGCAACCAAGTGGCTGGCTGATAAGCGTGAGCTGTCTGGCGCTCAACAACATGACTCCGATTCCGGATCCGACTCTGACGAGTCTATCCCCAATGAACCTCAAAATGTAACCCGAAACAAAGCTCGAGCTCAAGCCCTTCGTACCGGCGCTAGAACTGCGCGTAAGTGTATTCTTTCCATCAGGCTACTATCTATGATACTAACGACTCTAGCGACCCGAACTGCACGCAAGCGACCAATCGATTACAATGAACGTCGCTACTTCACCAAACTTCATAATCTCGACGATCCGGAAGATGATGCTGCAGATGAGGGGGGAGACCAGCAGGCCGAAGAAGAGTCACAGGAAGAGGTTGAACTTGAGCCAGCCGACCCTCCAGCCAAGCGAAGACTTATGGTCTTTTTCAACTTCTCGCCCGAGCACACCCAGGAGCTGTCCAAACTCATGGGAGACCGCATCACGGTAGCGTCCCGACACTCGATTCCACAGCGAAATGTCCCTGGAAGCGCAGGGGAAGCACACCTTCTCGATACACCTGTGAGTCCATATTCAATTATAATCACATTAATTGACCAATCATTATAGATCCAGTCACTGAATGAACTGAATGAGGTTCAACGGGCCTATGCCGACCACTTGAAGCGCGAAATCGCCAAAATCGAGGAGGACGTCAACCGGACCGAAGCAAACATCAGTAACTCAACCCGACGCCACCTAGGTTATCAAGAGATCGTGCGGTTCAGCGCCGAAGCTCTCGAAGAAGCGACCAAAGAAGCCACCGAGGCTTCCCAAGCGGTACGGATAGCTAGAGCGCGCTGCGCAGCGGATGTCCAAGCCGTGGAAGAATTACGACGTATTAGCAGCGACAACCCTAGTATCCTCGCGCCTGAGATGCTTCAGAACATCGAGGAAAATACCGTCGCCCAGAAACAGAAGAGAGAGACCGAGCTCACCCTGCGAAAGAAGGAGAAACGTCTGAATGACCTCAAGAACAAGATCGAAATGGCAAAAGTCAACGCGGATCCACTCCAGAGCAAGATCAACGAGCTGTCTGACGTCCGCCGTGCAAAGGAAAATTCCCGACGAAGTCTCGTTATTTTGCATCGTCTTGTTGCCATGGGAGAAAAGGAAATGGAGGAGGTTTTGGGGGAGAAGGGTATTGAGGAATGGATGAAGGAGCAAGTTTAAGAGGAGCAAATTTGAGAGGAGCATGTTTAAGAGAAGCGATAGGTAATGTGAGGAATTTGGCGTTGGGTTAGAATTGTATGAGTTTTTGAGAGCTTGCGGCCTGGGAGCATACTTCGTTCAGCCCTGACAATGGAATTGCACTATTTCGGAGGTCTTTATTGATGAAACTAAACAAGTCTCGAGGTCCAAAGTCCACCAGTGAGTACAGACTGTTGTACCTGCCTTTATAGAGGGTGACTGCAGTGCAATAGGTCGCTAGACCGCACAGGTTAGGCTGCTGTTAGTAAGAAAGAGAGTAGTTAACTATAGGATTTTTAAAATACTTCAGTTATATAAGTTTATAAAATTTATATAAAATTATATATATTTATTAATAATTAAATTAAGTAATAAATTTCTATATAATAAATTTCAAAATTAAATAATTTCTTATATATTTATATAATTCTTTTAAACCTTTATTTAGGACTAGCTACTACCTTCATACTCTCTTAAAATGCGCCATCGCCCTCACTCCAGCTCCTCTTCTCAACTTCAAGCTCCTTTACATAACCTCCAAACGGGCGAAACACATCAGCTAAAACCCTAGTCCAGCGTTAATCCCACCTGAATCCCTCAAACTGAGCCTTTGTACAGTCCCAGTACTTTGGGTAAAAACCACGTTTTCCCAATCGACGATCCCCAAGATTGCCCAACCCCTTTTTCCATCCAGTCTTGTGACTTTATCCACGAGAGTATTCCGCAGATTCAAGTCCGCATGAGTAAATACGACTTGGTGACTTACGGGCTGGATCATCGGGATGACGAAGATATTGACTGAAAGAAGCTTCATCTTCAAAGGGGCCAATCGGATTGCCATCGCGAATTCTTGGGTCGCTACGTGCTTTGCCCAAAGTATTACATATGTAATTTTTGGGACCGACTGAGGTGATTGCCCGGAGTTGAGTCACGAAGCCTTGCATTTGGTGGACGAACTCGCGGCAATCTCTATCAGAGAGCATATCCATTGCTCTAGCGAGGGGTTCACCACGGAGGGATTTCGTCAAGAGATACGTGTTTCGTGAGTCTGCTACCAGATCTAGCACATGAGGGGCTGGCACAGAGGTGTACTTGTGAACAAGAGTGAGCGCATTGGATTCATTGAATGCCCTTTCGTCGGTGGACTTCAGGTACAGACCGACAGGCAGACGGCTGACCGCCAAAGAACTGGTTCGTCCGAAAAGATGGTGTCCGACTTTACTCAATAGTTTGTACATTGATAGCCGAACGAATTGGGGGGTCACAAGCCATGCTCGCCAGAAGATTGTGCGGAACGTTTGAAATACACCTGATGTCAAACTTGGCCTGGATGTTGAAGGGCGTATCCCCGCTTGAGCTATCACTGTTTCATTGTCCGTAATTTGCTTCTTGACTTCGAGCCATCGGATGCTCGTGGCCAAGCGGGCATGGGTCCCGATGAATCGTGCGTCTACCTTGCGTATTGCCAAGCGCGAATGGTCTCCGAGAAGGGGATATTGGCCATCAACATCAATCATTGGTTCTACGGTCCCAATCAAACACCAACCAATTCTGTACTAAGATGAATTAGTACGAGAGAGCTAGACGGATGATATAACTTACTTCAATCTTTGAGGGATGTAGCCGATGCAGCTTGACCAGCCCATTCCTGTAGGCCTCGGCGGCCGACCTGCGAACAAGCCAATGGCCGTCGATGGGATCCACCCGCTGTAATCGTTCTGTATAAGCTAACCACCAATCGAGGTAAGGGGGACTGAAGAAGGTGCGAAGCATATCATGGACTCTCGGCTAGTCAACCTGTCAGCCATGGCAGAGCTCAGAGAGGGGGAGACAATCTCGTATACCTCGGTTTCAAGCCAGCGGGATGGCGCGAGAATAACAGGCATCACTACCAGGGGGTCCTTTAAACTCGCTGGCTTCCCCATGATGCAACATCGGTTTCCAATCCTTTTGACAATTTGTGTTTGGGTCCTGCTGTCGGGGGCTGGTGGTGCTGTTCCGTATTTGGTGACTAAAAATAGTAAGAGTGAGAGTGTTTTATTGATGGCCAGACAAACTCACTAGACTCTATGATAAATGTCCAATCTGAAACAAGGGCATAAAGATCAGCCTTGCCGTGTTGGCTCGGATGAAAGGAATTGAGGGCATAGGCGGCGGCGAGGGCAGGATAAAGTGCTTCTGGGGCGAAAGACTTGAATAATTTACCCAGAGGATGTGGCAAGTTTTCGTTTTCAATGATAGAGATAGCCTCATGGCATTTTGGATCGGTGGTGGAATTCATGACAAATTGGGGGCATGTAGAGAGGAGACCGTTTACTGAAAGAGAGAAGACCAAGCTTAGGGAAAGCAGTCACAGGCTGAGAAGAGTAATTTCCCAAGATTGTGCCATAATACCAAGTATCCACGGACACAACTATGAGCCGGGATGGAGGTTTACTGTTGGTTTGTCTCGACATGAAAGATGGACTGATGCTTAACGGGATCACGTGCAACTTCGTGATTGTCTTCAACCAACAAACAATTCGACAACAGCCTAAACATCTCTAACATATTGAAATATCTCTATTCAACCTGTTTCCACATCCTCTCCAGAACACCAACCCTCGCCACAGCCGCCGGACCGGTCGCAGCAGCCCCAACCTGCTGCATCGAATGATCTGCCATCGCCGCCTGTAACAATTGCTCATTCTGATATCCATGCCCAACCGTCGAGTTTCCCACCGTATAATCATAGTGAAAGTTCGTTGCGTTCAAATTCCCAGCTGCGCTGAACGTTACGGCTGCGAGGCCGAGTGTTTCAGCCTGGCTGAGAGCATGTTTGGCTGCTGCTAGCATCCTGTTCATTTCGGGGACTGTCCGGAGATAGACCTCGCGGCGTTGACGGGCGAAAGATAGGAAGGATACCAGGTCTTGAGTTCTACAGGCTTCTTTGTAGAGTTTACGCATGCGAGGGGAGTAGAGATCACAGAGTCGGGACTCAGCGATCTGACCTCCCTTCATGTTGAAGTGTTTCTCCAGCTTCGTGTCTTTTGCTACGATGACATAGCATTCCTGACAGATATGGACATTGTCCCATCCCCACCATCGACGGTTCTTCGCCAATTCGAGATCAATCTTGGGACATGATGGTGCGGTACTGAGATTCACTGCCAATTCGCTGAGTGGTCGCCAGTCGTTGATGTAAGCTGCCTCCGCAAACTTCTGCAAAAAGAGAACCCCACGCGACCATCCAGGCAAGTTGAATGAACAGAGACGAGGCTCAGATGGCCCAACAGACTGTTTGACTTTGAAGAAGTGAGTCATGTCCATGGCAGTTACAGTGCCCGCCATACACGTTGCGCAAATCTCAAATTCCGGAGGATCACTTGGAAGCGTATACCAGCGAATGTCCTTTGCACCCTGAGGACCACAAGGGGGGTGTTGTGAAAGGTTTTGAAGAATGTTCCAGAACTTGGAGTAGTTGCCCTTATCAACCGCCCGGACCATTGGGATGAGCATGTTGGCCTGCCCCATGTCACACGATGCTTCCCGTGCAGGCCCAAGACGAGCTGAACGGAAGGATTGACTTTCGGGAGACTCGTGGAAGTAATCCCAATAACACGCCTCGCAGACCGCGAAGCCTGAAGGACCTTGAGAGGACGTAAACCAAGTCCTCTCCGGACCTGCGATCGGTTGTGCTTTGGGACATGGTGGGAGCTGTAGCCTCTTGTAGAACCCCGTAGTAAAAGCCGTCCAGTTGTTATTTGGTGCATGGAGCTTTAGCATGCGGCGTATGTACCAGAGGTTATGATCACAGCTTGCAGCGCCCTGAGGTGTGTGCGTACTGAACCTGTTGCCGAATGAGGTATGCTTGAAATGATCCTCATAGCAAGGCTTGCAAATTGCCATCTCTGGTCGATCGGGCGGATAGTACCACTCTTGCCCCTCGACTGACTTATCTTCTGAACAATGAACTAGTGCAGGCCGCATGGCCATGAAGCTCATCATATGGTCAAGACTCATCGATGACAGAGAAGCTGGCCAAAGATTGTCTTTGACGCGAGGCGTTCCGAACAGACATTGTCGTTCAACTCTGTCATCGTGCCATACTGGTGTAAAAGTGTCTCGGAAAGGTGACTTGAGAATATGATCTGCGTAGCAGCGACTGCAGATGAAAAAGTCTGGAAAGGAACTGTGGATGAACCAGTAGACCGGTAGTGAGAATGGCATGTCGATACATTCTGTTATCGGCTGAATTCCCAATGGCATCGCGGTGTTGGGACCTCTGCTGGAGACGGCCGGATTAGGAGACATTTCAGCACGTTGAGGTACTGGAGCACTTCCTTCCGCTGGGAGCTCTTGACGGGCCTGTTGAGTTTGATAAGGGTATTGTTGTTGCTGGTGATACTGCACCTGCTGCGGAGGTGAGACTACAGGTGAACCCTGGAATTCCGCTTGAGTTTGCACTGGCGGAGGAGAGTAGTTCTGATAGTACTGCTGCTGTTGATGTTGCACTAGATATCCGGGGGAATTGCGATACTGTTGGGCCTGTTGTCCTTGCTGCGACTGAGGGTACCCAGCAGCTTGTTGCTGCTGCTGCAAGTCCCTCCCAGCTTGCCTCACTGCTTTCTCCGCGTCGGACAGAAACCTACTCAGTCGACCCATTCGTGCACAAAGTACCCAGCAATATTAGATGTCGGTATGAGAGTAAATAGTACAGTGAGTCAAATATCTCAGCTGAACACTTATACTTGGACGACGCTGCCCCACTGATGCCGTTCCGTGCCGACATTGCCGGCCAGTATGCCTCGTTTTCCCAGTTTGGACGGACTAACTCAATTGGATTGACAGCTAGGAGTGATTGAAGCTTATTGGACTCCGAGCAATTACAAACCGGTATGTGACATGCTGACTTCGTTTGTGTTACGCCATGCTGCTGCGTGATTTATCCTCGTTGAAGTTAGCATGACTCGCCAATGAAGTACAAGCAGAGCGCTCAACTGTTTTCACAATCGTCAATTTCAAGCTGCAAATTGTCTGTGGTTTAGTTTAAAAGTATATATCTAATCTAGTATTTCTGTTTTCTTTGAGTATCCCTTTACCGGCGGGTATTCTTCTAGACATACGAATGAAGTTATTCCCGTTGACAGCTATGTGAAACAAGGCACCAACAACTCAAACAGAAGACCGGAATCTATACCCTCCTCCTTCCGAAATACAAAGACACTCCTTGATCTTTTGCTTAGACTCGAGCCTGATAGTGCAGACCGTTTAGAAGACGCCTGGGATAAAGCGCGCGGTAACCCGACTCCAAGCAACCCATTCCTCTGCGAATGTCTCCTTCAACATTTTCTCCTCATCCTTCACTCTCATCATGAGCCTTCGCAAGATTCCAAACACAAGAACCAAACAACAGATCAAGCCCCAACCGTTGACCGCTATTCGCATGTCATGAGAAAGCCAGCAACCGAATGCGCCGTCCCAGCGCAAGAACAGAGCGAGATTGACGACCAACACAACAATTTGCCCTGTGTATCCAGGGTGCTGAATGTATCGGTAAATCCCGCCCGTCATCAAAGTATCAGGTGGTCCAAGCTGGAAAGTGAAGTTGCTTCCAAGCTGAGCAAAAGCCGTAAGTCGAAGTGGTCCGCCAACGAAAATGATCATCAAGAGACAAGCCACCGTGTATGCATTCCAGTTGAACAACTCTTTGTTCAAGTTCTTAGGATGCGGGCACACGAGGTTGGAGTCGCTGTATCCTAGCACGATGAGGGAGTGGAAAACACCAACACCAACAGCCAGAATCCGTCGAACTCGTGCTGCTGTTGGGCTGGCATAAGTTCCGAGACTGTCTTGCTTCCAGCCGTCTCGTGGAACCTCGCTGGGTGGTTTGAAGCAGGACATGGTAATGAGGCTGGACAGTAGAACTGCCCCTGCGAAGGAGACTTCGTGGGATGTTGCCATCGTTTGACGATTGGTGAAATGTAGATTTGGTTGAAGATGGAATTATATGAGATTACTGGGTTGACATCGCCAATGGTTGTTAAATGTCCCTGTCTTTTAAACTGTCTCAGCATCGGCGGTCGGTGGTTATACCTCCCGACATGGGACCAAAGCGCTCGGCGTATGACACTTTGCCCTACCGGTTGATAATTCTTTACCTGTGCCAGATCTCATTCTAATTACCCTTCTCGGCGAACTTGCAGCCGATTTCCCGTTTTAACCATCGTATGACTTTGCTTCCAAAGTGATTAATAATCTCGGCGACCAACGCAATGAGTGAGCTTCAGGGTTTTACATAATAGTAGCCCCAATAATTACAGTGAACCACGCATTGTTCTCCCATTGAGAGAAGAGCTAGCATAGATACACCTCTGTGTTTCCACAAGAACTCATCGCCAACTCATACAGTTTAGGAAATCACTTGTAATGCCAATGCCAACAGCTCAGAGACATCCATCCATGGCATTTGCAGATGAGGCCCCTGTGGCGAACATCCTATATCTACAAGTAGACACCAGTGGGGGAGACAAAAAGCTGCTTTAAGCACTAATTGCCGACTCTAGCCCTATTGCAGTCGCTTATCTCCTAAGAGCCCAACTGGCTGCAATCCGTACCCCGCCCCACCCTATCCCTATCATTACAGCAGTATAAGCAGGGTACTAAAAGCTTTAGCTTCTATCCTTTTATAGCTAAATTACTATATAATTCATAGTAATTTAATTAATAAATACCTCTTTAGATCCTAGTTAAAGATAGGAAATCGATTCTTATAATAATAAGAGCTTCTATAAGCAATATAAGGGCCCCTATATAGGCCTAAAGGAGCCTATTAGGGCTAATGATTATCTGGCTAATAAGACCTGCAGCTTTAATTTTAGCCCTTTTATTATATAACCTCGCGATTATTATATTAGTTATTTGCCTAATATACTACTTAATCTTTTCTAGCTTTTTATACCTAAATTATTGCTTTAGAGGTAGATTAAATATACTAATAGTTAGATTTATTACCTACTTAAAAATAGCATAGTTAATAGCTAGAATAACCTACTTTATAAACACTTAATGCTCCTAGCTTAGGAAGGGATCTTTACTATATAGATCTATATATAGCTTGGCATGCTAATTTATATAGGAATTCATAAGAAAAGGAAGCTATAAAGCCATTAGAAGGCTCCCTGGCTAGGAGATTAATCCCCCCTGCACTTAGTTATTAAGTTTATGCCCTATTAGAGGTTTTAGCTAATTTACTGCTATCTTTATCCCTTTAATTACATTAAGATTAATAAAAACGCCCCCCTTCTAAAGGTATTCTAAGCTGCTAAAGAGTAGTCTGACCACATATAGAAAGTATTAGCTACACTCTTCTAACCAGGCTCTTATCTTGCTATAGATAAGTATATAGTCTGCTATATAGGCAGATTAATAGCAATAACTGTTATTAAAGGGAAGCCAACTCTACTAGGCTTCAAGATCTAGGTCATCGCCTAAGCAGGCTTCTTTATTTAGTAGCTTTAGCACTTTAAAGGCTTAAATTATAATGCCTTAGACCAGGGGCCAAGGCAAAAGAGAGGTCGCCCTAGCATATAAGAGAGAGAGGCAGCTGGCAAGGAGGCAGCTGCTCTTATATAACTAGGCAATATGCAGGGCATTATTATTTCCCTATATAATATACTACTAAAGTAGATATATTATATCTTTATAGATAACCTCTTCTTAATACCACCTCTTTTCTGCAAGCTTTATAATTACAGATATAGGGCTATAGGCATAGCCTGCCCTAATTATAGTATATATAAGGACCTAAAGAGGGATAAGGCACTTAATAAACTAGGGCATTATAACTATGCCTTTAATAAAGTTAGGGCTATCCTAATAAGGGATAATAAGGTAAGAAGCTATAATACTTTTTTATATATTTCCTTTACTAATTTATCCTTTCCCCTCCTTTATAGGTTAATTAACTAGCTTAGAAGGATAATAGCCTTATGCTCTTTATTATAACTATCTTCTAAGGCAATAAATATACTAATAAGAAGAGGAAGAGGCTATTTATAGACTACCTATAAGCCTGGCTAATATAGCTTAAATTTAATAATAAGACTACTAAAGTTATTCTAATCCTAATAGTAGCTACTGCTTATAATAATAAAATAAATTATATTAACTAAGGCAATTAATTAAAGTTATATATAAGCTATAATTACCCCCTATGCTAGGGGGCTTAGCAGGCACTTATATAGACCTTCCTCCTTAATATTATACTTATTAATAACTATATCCTTTAACTATATAGTCCCTAGCTAAATTAAGAGAGATATATATTATAAAAGGATTAGCAGAAGTATATTTTAAATGCCTTATTTAATATATATTATTAAGAAAGTTAAGCAAGAAAGATATATTAATTAGGGGCTAAGGAGGATATTAATAATTAAGAAACACGGCAAAGATATATAGATAGGGTATAACAGTTAGGTTTTCTAAACAGGTAAACTAGTCTATATTAGGTTTATGTTTACAGGTTGCATAAGGCATAATGCTAAGCATTACAAAGTATTATATCTCTTAATAGTTAAGTAATGCATATTAGGCTTATTAATATAAAGATGCTTTATTAATAGCTAGTAAGCTAAGTTCTATAAAAGTATTAATAAATATATTCTATATACTAAAGGTAGCCTAATAGCTTAGTAAGGAATAATAGTAATCTAAAGGTTAGATCTTAGGGGATTATTAGTAATTTATAGTAATTTAGCCTTAGAGCATTATAATCTAAGTGCTCTAATAGAAGAGGATTATTACTAGGAGAAGTAATCCTCCTATAATAGGTGGAAATTATAGGGGCTATATAATATAGCTATATAGGTTATAACACGATCTCTCCCCTCTGTTAGGTCTTGCCCTTAAGACCTGTATATCTCCTTGTTCTTATATTAGGCTTTAGTAAGCGCTAACTCTCTTCCTTTATTATTTTCTTAGTATGCCTTATTAATTATTATATTGCAGAATCTTTAGTCTAAATCTTATAAGACTTTAGAGTATATTTGTTTAGCAGATTTAATTATAAAATTTGGTTTTAATATTATACCTTATTCCTTCTATAAAGCTAAAGGCCTTTATTATAAAATAATTAAGCGTTCTTCTTATTACTTTAAATATACTTAATAAGGTTAATCTTATAATACTTTTAGTATTATAATTGCCTATTATATATTATTTCTCTTATTATTATTGCCTTCTGCTAACTGTTTTTTCTTTTAGTTCCTTATTTAAATTGTAATCGCGGACTCGCTGCTGCCGCCTCCGGTTTAGCGGCACCGCCCGTTCGGGCAAGGTGCACTCGCCGCCCACCAACCCGACCGTCCATCACGTGACCATCCTCTATATAAGACGGCGACGTCCTCGGCGCCTGTGAACATGTATCTTTGACCTCTCTCTTCTCCCATGCTCCGCCAATTCGTGTTCACCCTTTCTCTTGTTCCTGCAAGCATTACTGCCCTTCAGCCTAGCTCCTCCGCCCATCCTGCCGCGTCATCCTTCTACATTGGAATGAAGTTCTCCTTCCGCCGGGGGGATTGACCGACCATCGCGATGCTTGCATCGTCCCCAATTCCAGATTGCAGACTTGTACTAGACACTGGTCTACGATTCCTGTTCAACCTATTCTCTGACACTATTGCCAACTCTACAATGCGCTTCGCACGGCTCTCCTTCCCGCCTTCATCTCACAGAATCTAACCATGTCAATTGTCTAGAAGTGTACCCTCGGTCGGGCCTCCTCACAGCGTTGCGATGCTTTTCAGGCAGCAGCAGAGCATCTCGCGATTCTTGTGAGGCCTCCAACAGACGCTCGGCCAATGGCAGAAATGCCGCAGTGGCTCATCAATGCCCCCAAGGCATGACGGAGGATGGTGCCATCTCGGGCCCGCCTCCTGAAACTGGCACGGGTGGCTCCAGAGGCCTCTGGCACGAACTTACTCCCCGATTGGTTCTTAGAGCGGGCAGAGCGGGCGAACTGTGTGATCACGAGTCGCTTGACGGCTCCCAAGTCGTCATTCCCCTGTTCAGGGGCTGCCGAGACTACCCGCCGCTTGGGAGGGGCGTTCCCTCGATTTCCGCCTGCCAGCCCCGGGCTCAGCCGTTCCTATCCTGCTTGTGATGGCTCACCAGCCTCAAAAACGGGCGGCAGCCAGCATGTCGAGAGGGGTGATTGGGCAAAGAGGAGGAGACGGGGACGGGCGCACTCCGGCGAGTTGTTGGTGTTGCATGCATGCAACCTCGGTTGTCTCAATGTTGCGGGATCATGAGACGTTTATGACGGCATCTGGAGCTCCTGAGTTCTCTGAATGGTTCAAGTTCGCGGCTGTGACGATCAACATATGCAGGCGCAGCGTCGAGCTCTATCACGGTGAGACAGAAGAGCTAATGCTGCCGGAAACTTCCTACCCCATGCTTTTTGACCAACTGGAGATCACGCGTCGTGCGTGAACAGCCCAACAGCCATCAAGACCTGCCCCATCTGGCATCTCCGAGAACTCTGCCTTACCATCGAGTGGCGTGGATCCCTGATGATGTGCGAGAAGATGAAGCGAGGGGGGAATCATCTGTTCAGCACAGTCGCCTGGTGTGGCCCGGCAGTGGAGTGATTGGCACAAAGGGGAAGCGGTTACGTGTCTGCCTCCTCCATCCGACCCGCCCTGGTCTTGGACAACAAAGGGAGACAGCAGGAAGACACCGGGCTGGGCTCCTGCAGGCTATGGGACTCGTGTGGTTCAGCTGCGAGCATATAAGCTGGACGATGCCCGCCCGTCTTCCGCTTCATCGTACTGCCAGAGCAACCCCCTTATAGCTTGGCTTCCAAACACACGGCAACTCCAATATGACATCGACTACATCTATCACTCTTCCTGCTTCCCCAGCGGCCACTGTATCGCTGTGCAACGAAGACGCCCTCTCGGCTACTGGAGAATCCAAGAACGCTGCCATTTGGATTTCCGATGACGGCTCTGATACGGAAGATGAAGACGACGATGAGGGTCAAGCCTTTGACGATTCGCAATCTTGTGCAACATCTACGTCGATCAGCATCGCAGACCATTTGGGTAAGTACTAGCCATTACTTCTTTTTGGTGATATGTCCTAACCACTGGTGTATAGATAGCACAGGCACCAATCATGGCGCAACGGAACCAGAGGCCGCCCCCAGGGTGGTCGCGGCGCCAACAGTACCGACGGCTCAAGCGGAAGATGCCCTAGCTTCGCCAAATGAGCCACGAGGGCCCCACCGAGCCGACGCTGAACGGATCCAGCAATCTTCTTGTGAGATGAATCACATACTCACCAGAGATATCTCTGCTTGTCAAGATGTCAATTTTGCAAACCCGCCCATCAGCCCCGAAAGCCAGCTATGCCTAGGTGTGGCAGACGGACAACAGCTTCACCCAGTACCTAACAGCGAACCGGGCAACATGACGATCGATGCTATCTCTAACCAAGGGTCTTGTCAGGAGGCCCAGAGTCCTCTGGACTCCCCCTCAGTGTGTACACATTATTCACATACTGCCAGCCCCGTCGAGGTGGCCCAGACGCCACTCCAGGACAGTGAAGCGTTTGTAAGCACTTTGGGCGATGATAGCATGCCTGGAGCCCATACTCCGTCTCCCACAAAGCTGTCACTCGAATCGCATCAAGAGCAAGTCTTGGATGGCGCAAACTGCGGACCCAGCGATGCCGAGTCCGAGGCCTCAGAGGCTGAATCCGGATCCCCATTTGAAGCCCAAGTGTCTCCCCCGTCTCAGGAGTTGCCGTTCCCGCACTGTTCTCGTCGCAGACCCTCACGTGCCCTCGAAATGGTGCAAGATAAGGACAGCGACGTAGACACTGAAGGTTCTGGCAGTGAGGATGGCCTCGACGTTCCAGAATTTGTGCGTGACGAGGACTATTGTCCTTCGCCTCCAACCGATCAAGGACATGGCTCTGGAGACGATTCCGATGACGAGGAACATCATGGTCGCAAGCGTCGCAAGGTATCTCGATCTCCTCATAGCTCAGTTCGCAGTACCCCCACCAGTGCTCGGAGCTCTCGTCTAAGACGATCGACAAGACGTACCGCACAGTTACCGAGAGGGCGTCAAACGTCTGCATGCGGCATTGAGAGTCCAGCACCATCACAGGCAAGACCAGTCCCCTCCGAGGCCAGGACGTTTCTTGCTCGATTCGAGGAATGGCCTCTCAGAGACGTTTCACTGAAGCGCATCACTGAGGGCGACAAGGCGACATTTCAACTGCAGTTTGTATGGACCCCTGATCTAAGTCAGCCGCATGCTGACAGATCCGTATCGCATCCTAAGAAGGGCAGAGGGCCGGCTAAGGCTTCACCTCCAGCTACCAGATCGTCCGGTGGTAAGTGGACGCTGGAAGAGGAGAACAAGGTACGCACGATGAGACAAGATGGCTGTTCTTGGGCCGAGATCCAGCGCGCCCTTCCACATCGTTCCCAGGGCACGATCCAAGTTCGGTACTCGACTAAACTCAAAAGTTGATTCGGTCTAGTGCTGGAGCTCGAGGCTGTTAGAAGTTATTGATATGGTAGAACACTGAGACATAAAAAAAGAAATACAACATTGTTTTATGATTCATCCTGAACTTTGCCGATGCTGGCGTAGGAATGATCGCTAGTGATAGCTCTCCTACGGTCGTCCGTTCACTGGTTGACCTGAGATGGAGGACGCTTGCTCCCTCCATGTCCGTGGTCAGAGCCTCCCGGTACCGCTGAAATGGGGCACAGCGCGTCGCAGGCGCGTTAGGCAACTCCCTAATCGCAGCACTCGTGAGGACGATTGTCAAGGCCCAGGCTCAGGCCACTCGGTCCGGGACTGATCCTAGCGGCCAATGGTAAATCTGGCAGCCGGGAAGTCAAAACATGTTGAGGTACCGATTTTGATCCCCCATGGCCAGCTCGCGGGAGGCAAAAGCTGATGTGTCATCGCGTTTGCACAGACACATTTGGTAGCAGCGATCCACCCAACAGAGTGGTGGTTCCTGGGCAATGGGGCTGGGCCGGAAGAAGCCGCTAAATGTACCGGTCTATCTCGGTCTGGCCAACGGATATGTGACCCACAACTCCAATAAAGTTACCGGTGGCTAAAACCTCAAATCTCGTCCCGGAGGCAGTTCCTCAGAGCTATTTGCGGGGGGGGGCAACTGAATGGCTAGTTTGCACTCTAGGATAGTTGTATTGAATTGACCTTGCCCTAATATCAACGAATAGGATGTTGCTTAGAACGTATTGTCCGAGTTTGTACTTCGTACAATCTAGCCCCTGAGTGCTCCCAGGGTCATCCCTGTCCGCAACGTGCGGCCCATCGGCATAGGGAGCAGCTGTTCTAGCCAAATTGCAGTAGCGCCGTGCACATATCAGGGGCTCCTGCGATGGCTTAAGTGACCCTAACATTGAGGTTGTTCTACTTTATTCTCGCTGACCGCCCTTTGCAGCTGTACAGAAATTGTAAGAGGTTTGGTAGCATTATGCGAGTTCTAAAGTATATCAACTGCCTCTATGAACTTTCTCTCTTTCACATGCTAAATCTTGGAATCGATGGCACGGCTGTCGGCCCTTGGATCGTCCAATAAAGCCCAAGCCGGATAACGGTTTGATCTATTCGATGATATTAATAAGACTCGCATAATAGTCTCTTTGGCAATAAAAATATCGACGTCATGTCCATGCAATATCCAAGCTACGAACGATCGGTCTTCGTAGTCGAGCAAAGCATGCGGGGCACCATTGGAGCTCTGAGATTCCTTTGTGGCGACCTCCATTTTGGTGGCTTCCCAACTTGTACCGAGACCGCCGGCACCTCTAATGTTTGTTCGCCTTACTTTAGATTATCCCATCAATTGTCTAAAGGATCCGACGCGGTCACTCGCAGGGATTCAATCCAATTACAGCCACGCTATTAGGCTATACCTCTTTCAGCACGGATTTTTCCCCAACCACCGAGTCATCAAGCCATAAGATCATAACAGATAGGCACGCTATCGCCGCTTAATAAACCCTGTAGCAGATACTATCATAACACTGGGGCAAATTGCTTCCAGGAGCCTTCGGCAATTGATGGGATAGGCTGGAAGACGTCCACGTTATTGCACGATGCTTGGGTTTACAGGACCGACAATTGGCCGCTGCTGGCTGCGGAAGTAAAGAGCAAGCTCTGCGAGACGACCGTGGATAGGGATCGGAGTCAGCCTTGATAAATGATGAGCCATGCAGATGTGATACCCTAATCGTTGCCCTATCCCAACAGTGGTCTTAAGGCTCCAAGCCGTACCTTGCCCCAGTGTTACGTCGTTAACAGCTAGCGCCTGCTATGGGGGGCCTCAGGGAGCGTGACTGATAAGGCCATATTACTCATCTACTTGCTTCCTGGGCAGATTATAGTAATGGGCAAAGGTATCGTCGCTATCGAGAGCTGTGATTGGTCTGTACCCCTCGTCGTGACCTGCTTGGAGCCTTAAGACCACTGTTGGGATACAAAGCAGCTCTGTGTTGGCTCAAATTCCGCCCGCTATGGGGTGGTGGGGCGCAGAATGATGGTGACGAGCTGACGGAGAGGCGGCTTTGCATCCTCAGACTCCGGGACATTGGCTGCCGGATGTCGGCACCTACGGGGGACAAACATCTAATGAGGCCAGACCACCTCTACGACAACGTGTGGTTGCATGTCGCTTGATTGCCGTGGCCACTAATAATGCCTCCCTTCAGTTCACGGGTGCTCGATTTCGCTTAGTCTCAATAACCTCAAAAGTTTTCTTCCCCGTTCATCCCTCTTATGGTCAGATGAATTGCCTGTCGATCCCCTACGCTTCCTTCGTCTCTCCCAAGCTCATAGTCCCTACGTATACATTTCGGCTCACAATTAACGTTACAACGAAGCATAGCATATATCTATGCAGAACGCCAACCACATATTCTCATCACTGTAGAGAATTTGGGCGCTCAGACGCCGGCACAACTCAGTTCGTCGTATCTCTCATGTGTTCCAGCTTGCCTTCCGTGAATGGTTCTACCCCCGGACGATGGTTGCCGCAGGTCCCAAACTCTATCGCCAGCCATAGGTAATGTGCATCCCATTCGAAGCGCAAACTTTCTTCTACGAGTAAATATTCTACCGGTAGGGTTCTGCCGGAACCCCTTACCGACGCCCCCCTGCTAGGTAGCGGCGGTTGCCACAATATTCTCCTTGGCCAATGGGGACACTAGCGCCTAAGCCCTGCGTGATTACCAGTACTTCCGGATGTGGGGTAGATGGAGAGAGAAGTGATGATTTCCATGCTATGGAAACAGGATAATATTTGCAATGTTTGTAGCTCTGACGATGACGCTATGGAGCCAGTATCCCTACATGGCTATACATTAGTTATCAATACGTATAATGACTGTGTGCAAAACGGAACTTACGACTGTGGAAACGTATGGCTCCCAATAGCTGGCCGCTAGGAGGCGGAAATCGGCATGAGTAGTGCTTAACCGCCCAAGCGGCTCTTGCCGTTGTCTCGAGCAGCACTTCTCTGGTTTTGATTGGATCTGCCGATACGAGTTAATTTAGCCCCCACCAGGAAGTGGGCCGCGTTATGCACTCTGGGACCTCTTGACAAAACATGCAGAAAATTCCAAGGTCGGCGGTGAATTAAGTTGATCGGAAAAGAGTGTGTTTATCTTTTAAGTCTCTAAGTTTGTGCAAGCCTAACCTAATACGACCGACATTACGAATCTTCTGTCATTTGCCTTCACATGTCAACGGAACTAACCCTCTGCAATAAAAAGCCATCTCTTTCGCGATGATGACTCCTAAAGTTGCGTTGTATGCACTATTTTTTATGACGTGTGCCGCATAGATATTAAATTAGCCTAGCTTTGGTGGAGAATGAGCTGGAGATTCTGTTGCCACAATTTGAAGCTGTGATAATGACCGAGGCGAAACGCCTGAAAACTCTATAGATGGCAAGCCTCTGACATGTTGAGTACGTGGCCCAGTTACATGCACAGGCAGTGAGGGACGTTAGTTAAGAAGCATAACCATGCTCCAACTTAGAAACTTGCTCGCGAAACGTATTATGGCCTACCATGCATAAACTTCTCTCCGCCGATATGTTCTTGATTGTCGACTTCAACTTTCTGGTGGCTTGGATAAGAAGGCCTAGAGTGGGTCTAGCCTAGATTTGACGACAAAATGACGGAAACCATTTTCTTGGAAGGCCGGGTAGCATCATAGAGTGGGATGCTAGAAGAAGGTAAGTTTATATTTTTAGAGAGCCCAGTTGCTTATAAAAATGGCCTCCTTGACTGCTCATTCTTGAACGAGTTCCGTTTGTAAACAGCAATCATCAATTCTTTAGTTGTTGAAACTGAGCAATATTAATCGAAGTCATTGTTACACCCCAAATATTATCGAAAAATGCAGTTCAAGAACTTCCTTGTCATCCTTGCAGCTATTACTGGGGCATCTGCTACTTGCACGGGAACGTCAAGCTGCCAGAAAACATGTAGCTGCACTTGCACGGGCACCACTTTGACCACTAATGGCGCGTCTGGTTGTTCGCTAGGGTCAGTCGGGGGTCAGGGGATTTCTTGTCCTTCAGGCTCGGGAACCACAACCAGCACCGTGGCTTGTGACCAAGACTGTCCTGATTGCAACTGCCCGAATACACCCACCCTGTCGCAACCCAACTCAGGGTTGTCAAAACACCATCTCGAGATGCAATGTTCAGTGTACTTGTCCGTCGTAATCGTGGTAGGTATTCAAGAATTTATACTCAGATCCCATTTCTGAATATTACTAACATATCCAAGCCTTTCTTTTCAAACCAACTCCTTCCCGGCCCCGGGGAGTAACCCAAAACCAGGGTGAGGAGGGAGGAATGCAAGGAAGATTTGTTACAGGTGGATATTGGGGGAATTGGACAGGTTCGAGGCCTTTCAATCCGTGCAACTATCAATTGCTGTGTCAGGGGCCAAAGCCGCCTAACCGGCTTGGCCAAGGAGATCTAAATCGCAGTTCAACCTCGCGTTAATAGTTAGTCATTATTATAGCTATCAATTCAGTTTTTTCGAGTCCTCCTAGCCAAGGAGGTACCAGTCAGTTATTTCTTCTATTTTGCAAAAATGCCCGTCACATCGTATCACTAAGTCTGCTCTGACACACGGGCTGCCTGACCAAGGATCAAACTTGGATGAAAGAGATAGTGAGGAAAACCCCGTCACAGCTAATGAATACGACTCTATCCAAAGAAGAAATAAAACAGACCAACTTTCAGTCATTCATTTAGTTAGACAGGCGACGGCGGCTTCGGGAGCGGCATGTACCGCGCCTTCCTCAATGCCTCACTTGATGGACGCTGCCTTCTGCGTCCGGTCCGGTCCTTCCTGGACCAACTGCTGCATTTGGCGACATCTTGTCTCCCGAGTCCTTCCTATCTTGTTTTCTGTTGGTTCGGAGGTAATGGAGCTCGAGTCGTTTCGGTGGAGTTCGGCTGATAAGATCCTCTCGTACGCTTCGACCAGTTTGGGCTCGCTGGCTTTGAGCTCGTCGTAGGCCTGGTTCCAAAGTCGCTCTTGTAGAGTCGGCAGCGGCGAGGTGTCGGAATCCGTCGAGGTAGGTGGAGAAGGCGTTGGCTGAGAGTCGGTCGAGTGGTTGGTTGGGATGCAGGCCGAGACGGTGTTGGCGAAGGTGTTTGTGGTGAAGGAGCCAAGGCAGATTCCTGGGGAGCGGCCGGCCGTAGCTTTCTGATCTTGGGTTTAACTTTCTTAAACCAGCGACGCGCCATCTTCACTGAGAAGAGGGCACGTTGGCCTTGTGCGATATGACGGTATCAGCGAGATGGCTTCTCCTCCGATCCATGGGTCGGGACGACGATGGATTGTCATCATTGACGACATGGGACAGCAACATCTTTGCGGGAGAGAGCGGCCGAGCCAGGAGTGGAGTTCCCGTCGCGTCTCGGCTCCGTGGACGTTAGCTCAGCTTGGGAAGTCTGGACGATGCACCTCACCTCTAACTTCACCTTCGATCCGAGCGAGGATCCGTCGTATCTCGGCAGGCCCCTAGTCTCGTCAGACGACAGCCACGTTTCAATCTTCTAGAGTCCATGCCTTGTCCGAGCGTATCGGTGCATCCTGGGTCCGGCTTGTGTGTCGGTCGTGTACTCTCCCCAGTAGTCGGGGGCACCAGGTTGTGCAGTTCTTGAACCAGCTTTTCGAATAATTCGACCTGTTCAACGCGCCCTCTTTTGCCCCAGAGTGCCCAGGACATCTTCCCTCGTCTCGACCGGGACGCCGCAGCGAAGGGGAGCCCCGGCTCGTGCAAGCCCGACGAGTCATTGACGTCTGGCCCGGTGGCCCGAGTACGGCGTTGGGGCGCGTTGCTCGCATCGCAAATAGCCTTGATGATTTATAATAGCAAGTCCGTCACCACCGGCGGACGTGTCGTTGTCGTCTAGGGCAGGGTGATGATTGGGGAGCCAGATTGCCTTGCTTGATCCTACACCCGGGCCCCATCGTTCGAAGCGGGTTTTGGCAGCCTTGATCGAGTAACTAGACGTGCGAGTCAGTTCCGAATGTTTGGTAGGATTGTACCTTGTCAACGGGCTTCCAGGCAGGAGTTGAATAGCCCAGCGAGCCCAGCGACCCCAATGACGAGGCCGGCGGGCTCCATGGCGAGGTGTCGTTGATCTGACAGGTCTGAGCTGGTGAGGGGTTCCTTGCTTATATACCGACCCTCAACCACCCCTGCCCGAGTGCTTCCAGCAGGGTGCGACAGCCTTGTCGTATTTTTGTGTCCACCGTGGTCAGGGCCCGCCCACCTCAGGCCGCGTCCAGGCAGAAGGTTCAGAGTCGTTGGTCGTACGCAACTGATCTGAAGCAGAAATGCCTTGTAGTCACGCAATGGGTTTGCCCTGACTCTCTAGATGCCTTGATCACTACGCTGCCTAACCGCTGACACTACATATGCGACTGAGCCTCGTCTTCTTTCCGCTACGATGCAATGGGGAGTCTGAGAGCGCCAAGAGCGGCATCGAGATCTGTCTTATCTTTGTCTTGACCCTTGCGCTGCCACTGTAAGTATGCCGACGCCTGGGGCCCGGCTGACAAGAGACGACTTGCCCCTCGTTGTGGGGGCCAACAGCGATAATGTTCGTGGAACTATGGTTCGTTGAAGGAAAGCGCTGAGGAGAGAGGGGATCCGTCAACAGGTACCACGGTGGATGCCTAACGAGGCTGTGGCGTGGCGGAGTCGCGCTTGGCTTCCTGCCGAGGACACAAACGCCTTTGTGCATTTCGTAATGATCGGTCCATCAAAGCCCTTGTATCCCCACAAAACACGAGACGGCCTATTGGATAAGGCTCAAGGCCTCTAATCAATTAGAATTTGTTGAGTACGTACGTTACTGGCAGCAGCTGTTACTAAAGAGGAGCAGATACAAGGCTTAAATTCCACAAGGGCGCTTCGCTTGCTCCCATCCATATCCGTGGCCAATGCCTCCTACTGCCCGCGAAAATCGGCTTTAGCGCGTCGCGGACGCGTTAGGTCATTCGATAATCGG